CCCTTTTGTCCCCCCGCCTCTCTCCTCGACCATCCAGCCAACATCCATACCAACTCTTTTTAAGAGTGTGATCTGCTACTTTGTATGACAAGCAAGATAATTACCCTTCAGCAGACTTGCATTTCAGTCTGTCAATCAATCTACCCCTCTGTCTCTGTCTCTCTGTCTCTCTGTCTCTCTCTGTCCCTCTCCCTCCCTCCCTCCCTCTGACAGCATATACTGATACTGATGTACAGTACTGGCGTGTCTGTCCTCCTATTCCTCCTCCCCTGTCACCCTGTCACCCTCACTCTCCCTTGCTACAAACTGATCAAAAAGTCATTCTCGTTTTTCCCTCGTTTTTTTTTATTTTTATTATTTTCTTTCGCACTGTCTGTCCTTGCTTGCCACCACCTCCATCATACCCATCTCTATCTATTCTATCCCTCCTCTTTCCTCCTGTCCAATCACCCGAGTCGGGTCAGCCTTGCAATTTTCATCCATCGTCCATCATCACCCACCCACAATAACAACAACAACAACAATAACAACAATAACAACAAACAATTGTTGACAAGCTTTTCCCTTTTCTCTCTCGTCAGTCAACCGGCCCCGTTTCTCGTCACCATTTTTTTTCTTCCACTTTTTTCACAGCCACGACTTGGATCACCACCCACCAAACAAATCTAACACAAACAGACTGCATGTTTTTTTAAAACCGGCAATTCATCTTTCTCTTGTCCCCCTTTTTTTACTTCTTACTTTTTGTCGCTTACTTTTTACTTTTTACCTTTCTCCAATTCATTCGTCTCCGTACGTCCGTTCGTCTGTTCGCTCACTTCCTTGCTGACTTTGCTTTGCTTTGCTTGTCCTTCCTACTTCTCTTTCTCTTTCTTACTTTGCATACCATCACATATATTTATATATATTCCTCTCCTTTCTCACTCTTGTCTTATTTCCATCCTCCCGTCCTCCTCCTCCTTCGCTCCGCCCCATCCTCCCCTCTCTCCTTCTAACTGCAGGACCAGGACTTTCGCCATCTCCAACGCGTTCGCCATCACCCCTCCCACTTCCCATTCCTTCGTCAGTAGCCACGTCATAATCAAACACAAAAAAACACCTCTTGGAATTCTCCATCTGCCACTGACCCCTCTTGTGCATCATTCCCAGGTACAACTCACTCGCCATCCAGATCCACCGCCGTTTCTCATTCATTCCACAAAACGTGATCACACCATGGAGCCACAATGGATTTATTATATTATTTTTTTTATTTTATTTTATTTTATTTTATTTTTGAATGAGGAGCCAGAAAGTGATCCTCTCGTCATGTCCCTGTTCCTGTTGTTATTGCTTTTCCCTTTCCAATCTTCCTTAATACTTCTTGCTCCTCGGCACCCCCTTTGACCATTCTTCCGGTTCCACCTGTATGCACAAGCCTCTATTTCAATCATTTCCTACTCCTATCGCCACCACCACCACTGCTCCCACATTACTATACAACTACCGCTACTACTGTCAGTTACAATCTCCTTGTTGAAAAACGATGCTCTCGTTTTTTTTATCGGCCCTGGTTCCACCAATTGCTCCCGGCGTTCGGCGTAATCGACTATTATCCCATACCACTCCACTATCTTTTTTTATGTAATTTTTTTTCCATTCTTCCCCTCCATTTCAAAAGAAGAAGGGAAAATCTTAATTTGGCGGACAACCTCTATCTGCAAACTTTCACAAGTGAAGTGATTACCCAAGCCTTCGAGGAACGAAGGAATCTGCTGGCTCTCTTCGTGTTATGCTATCCGAGAAATCGACATCACCCTTTTAAACACACTCACACGCACACGCCAAAACAAAAGGAGCGCAGTTGGCTGCATATCGGTTGTGCATCGATTGGAATCAAAATCCAATGTTCCCAATAACAACGCCGCATCGTAAGCCGATCACTTGGGAGGAGGGAAGTGGGGGAGAAGGAGGAGACAATCCAATTGTGTAGGATGAGCCATCTATCTATCCTCTCGTGGGATAATCGGGCTTGAAGTCGACCTCAAAAGGAGTTGAACCTTACACTACCTCCACTCCACCCAGCACCAAAAGAGGGCCATCCAAATCCAGCCTGTTTTCTCTTCATCTCGACATCGACACTGGACAATCATGCGTCGTCACTCGACTTTCTTTAGAAACAAAAAGGGCTGTGTGTTGCTCATTACATCGTCCTGGAGCCGGATCCTCATTTCAAATCCAGCCAGTCATGTTGCCTCTCTCTTCCGCTCTCGCTACTCTGGCTGACCCATACACTCTCACACATATCCTTTCGCATTTTTGCCACAAATGACGAATGGGAAAAAATGGATACCACTCAACCTGGAGCGCCTATCAACAGGGCTAGGTCATTTTTTAATGCCTAATGAACAACCCCCCAAAAATGGCGTAAGAATAGGAACAAATATTAATGTCATTCACTACAACAACTTGTTCTTCCGGATTCATAGGACATTGGACGCTCGGAACTAGTAGTCAGTGGCAGCAAAAGTGTTCAACAACACAGGCGCCGACTGACAATACATTAGTGGAAGGGCAGGAGAGCATGGAACACAAACACGCAGAACAGCCAGAACAAGATTATCGGTAAGAGTGAGCCCAAGATCCTACCTGCTCTTTCGTTCCTTGAACTTTGGCATGCGCCGAGATATATCACAACCATCTATGACACACAGGGACATAGTCAATGAGAGTACATTTGTTTTCTTTACATATCTTTCTCTCCAGGGACAGGAGTGAGGCAAAATGGTGAAGTTGATGTGGGATGGACCATGGTTCAATGTGGGAGTCAAGACAAAAGGCTAGGTGACGCGCTGAGCTTAGTATGAGAAGGGACGCGTTCGGCTGAACACTGATTTACGCAGCGTTTCCCTGTAATTTTGATGACACAGCCACTGGCTGCAAGAAAGTCATGGTAGCCTTTTCTCTCGTTCGTTCTGAAGAATTCTCTATTGTGGTTTGGTGGTTTGGGATACCACTCAGTTGACAACATTGTTTTGAAAATAAGAAGGTATATTTATTTTTCTGCCCTGTGTTCTCATTTAACCTTTCTCCGCCCGACTTGATTCACTCTCTCTTCCTCTCTCCCTCGCTCTCTTTCTCTTTGGTGCTCTTTCTTGGTTCTCCCTCGTTGGGCTTGGGGTGGGGAGTGCGGTGGGTGAAGGAATCCAAGGTTTCTGTTGCTGTAGGGTGTCTGACATTGTCTTCAGATCTGGGCTCCATTCCAACCCATTTAATTCCTTCCGATTTACCAATCAACGTTTGAGACATCCCTGCGACCGGAAGTTTCCCAGCGTGCTCGCGGTTTAAAGTAGGGATAGATCAACAAGATACATCGTTGGGTCCTTTTAAAGAGAACATCGCAGCATCATCTGAGGGCCTAGGCGGTCCAGGAGAGGCCAGTGGACTGTCGGTCATGATTATTGTTTCCAATTCAATCGAGCCACCCGTACGTCTTGGATTTTTTTTTTCATGTGTACGCAATCTGCAGCACCAGCAGCGACATTTACGTCCATTAGCCGTTCTGGACAATCGCGGGACTATATACTGCCTTTTTGCAGTCCAACAACGACAGCTGAGTGGTTCTTCAGCAGCTCATCCGTGAATATGGTTTGGAAAAGTGCCTTTGTTCCGGAGTTTTGCTCCAGAGTTTTGCTTCTCTTCAATACCTCAACATCCCCAATACCACAAGTAATGACCACTTTACATGGCTGTTTCGTTGCCAACCTCAGCCATACGGCGTGTAACTTTTGGCTCCATTCCTGGCGCTCCATCCGCCTGTGGTGTATTTTTATCTCAAAGATGGAGCCATTGAGTCCATGGGGAGCCTTTTCCTTGAAGAGGCATGACAAGTTTGTCGCTGACTCCCTCGAAGTCCCCTCGGACCCTTTCATCCATAAACCCTGATATCCTCAACCCACTCCCAATTCTTGCCTGTCGCGCGGTTCTCATACATCTTTTTTTTTTGTTCTACACCAACGTACTTCTTGACTTTATTTCCATTTGTCATCTTGTGTCTCAGTTATTTTACCTAACTCGCCCTTGCTACTTGCTACAACCACTCACTTCTTGTCTTTTCATTTTCTTGTTATCGCTTCAAATGCTCCATTCTTTTACTGTCACCGCCTCCTGTGTCCAAAGATTTCCAGATCCTACTGAAGCTATTGCCCCCCGCGCCGCCATGATGGCCCACGAACGTAATAACAGAACCTATGAGCTCCAGATGGCTCAAAACCCCGTCCGAGCGAGAATGTGCGGATTCGGCGAAAAGGTAAGCTGAAAGTTTAGCATTTAATTTGCTGTGATTTCTAGGGGACAGGAAGGGTGCGCATCAGCACTCAGCGAGTAACGTTTGGGCTTTGGGTTTGGCGCCATTTGAGCTCGGAGGAAAAAAGGAACAACGTCGTCAAAAGGGGAACCAACAGAATGTGTGTAATAGGGTTGCAACAGCGACCACAGACAAAGCGACTCGATGAACAAACGACTGTTTCATTTCGCTTACTAGTCCTGTATAAATATATCATTTGTGCCTTGCCTCTTCTAGGATAGGAGACCAATGGATCCTCCGCCGATACTCAAGCTTATCGTTCGAAATGAAGACGGAACACTGGCGGACGTGAGGTAACTATACAAGACGATACGCAGGACCTTGAACAAGTGGACGAAAGATAGTGCGAACAAAATGAAAGAGAAAAAAGAGGTGCAGCTGATAATTTAATGAGTCTCAGGCGAGCGGAAAGTCGGAGGACAAGATGTAGATCGCTCGGTGTCGTTCATTTTCCATGGCTTCATTCTCGTACACGATCGGTTTGTCTTTTGACCGACAGAACCATAGAAGCCAGCAAAAGGATAAAAGGGATGGATACTCTCGGCTGATCGCTCTGTTTGCCTGAAAGAAAATCATGACGACAATGAAACCATCGAGCAGAGCTAACATTGGCCTGTGTTTTTTGTCTCGTCCTATGTGCTAATGCTCTAGTCAAATGGACGTCAACTTTTATATGGTCATTGCAGACATTTACTCGGCAGACCGAACGACGCCTTGCACACTGGTGGCAAATCCGGCGATGGCACCCCAGACCACGTCACTAATACCCAACGCCGTCGAGCCAGCAATGTCCGTGATGTCGTTATCCAGCTCCAACTTAATGGCGAGCCGCAACCTGACAGGATCGACTGTTGCATCAGGAAACCTTCTCTTCAACTTAGAGAACGAGCCAGGAGTGTACTTTGTCTTTCAGGATATCAGCGTGAGGAGTGAAGGCATATTTACGCTTAAATTTTCATTTACATTGCCTCCAACGTAAGTCCTTCATTCGTGTGCATCGCATGCGTTGTCTTGTTGCTACTCCGAGAAAAGAAATGTTTGTCATTTCTAATTAGCTCATTTAGAGGAGTGTATAGGCATACATTAGACGCGTTGGTTTGTGTCTATGCAATACTCTAACATTTTGTTTATTATTCTTATCATTTTGTATGACCAACTTATAGCCCGGACGGACCTCCCTCTTCAGTGATGGCAACAGTGTTTTCAGAGCAGTTTACCATTTTCTCGGCCAAGCGTTTCCCTGGCATGACCGGTAAGCGTTCTTTCAAGGAGTAGTCTTCTTTTACATTCTCCTCGAGACAGGCGCCACAAGATAATTGATTATTGACCCTCCCTTCACGTTTCAATTTGGTGGCAAAATCCAATAGAGTCTACGCCGCTTTCGAAATGCTTTGCAAAACAGGGCATCAAAATCCCTATCAGAAAGGAACCTCGCATCAGTCGCGCCAAGAGGATGGCCGGAGGAATGGCAGTCGATGGACAGGAAAGGCGAGGAAGCAGTACAGGAGGGGAGGGTGGTTCTACAGGAGTTTCGTTAAGTAACCAGGACAGGGATATGATGTCTGAAAGCGACGACGACGACGATGGACAAGGATAGAGTAGCAATTAGCTTGCTTCGTAGATACAACTCTGCTCTTCCTTGTTTGCTTTACCTGATGGTATCTTTTCCCCGTCCTTCTTTTATTTTTCTCTCTCCTTGTACACGTACATGTCTTCATATTTTTTTTCTTCTCGAAGGGTTTGTGTGAACCCAAGGGACCTTCGTAATTAACTAGATTTCGCGAAAAACCATGCTCTGTCCCACATTTTGTGTTTTTTGTATCTTGTTTTTATTCATCAATATGGTATTGTACATTGTTGTTCTCGTTTTCGATGGCTTGGGAGAGAACAACGATATTTTGAGAGCACTCGATGCAGGTAAGGTACACCGCGCGGTGTAGAATGGAGACGATGGATTGTTGGGTGTTGCAGAAGCGATAGGGATCGATTGTTAATTGATGTTGGTGGAACAATGAACTGTGCTGGGAGCTCGGTGTTATGCGGGGAGAGGTTAGATTCATTTTCGGATGCGGCGTGTTAATGAGGAGGAGGGGAATGCCATTTTTGAGTTCTGTGGCAGTCCAGTATGCGTGGACACAATTGCCACAGACATTTCAACGCACGCCTGCACTGAGAGCTGAGAGCTCTTTCTTTCTTTCAATGTATCTCTGTGTTCTCTCTCTTCCCTGTCTGTCTGTCTGTCTGTAGCCTTGGCAAGACTGGTTGCACCGGCAAAGAAGGGGGGTTTAATGGCCATATAGATTGCATTTGTGTTTTGCTTTGGCTTGTTCGCCTTTTTGCTATGTGTGGATTCAAGGCCAGTGGGTTGATTTTGTTTTTATCTGCCCTTTTCCTCTCTTCCCTTTCTTCCTCTTGTACCTTTCCCCTTCTTTCTTTCCTTCTTCCTCCTCCTCCTCCTTATTCTTCTCCTTTCCTTTCTTCCCTTCTTTTCCGCCACCACCGTCTCTTCCACTCCCCACCGTCTCTTCCACTCCCCACCCCCTCCTCACATTCCTCTTTCCCGTCTCATTTTCTTCTTTTTTTTTTCCATCCTTCATACCATCCCCACTTAACCCCATCCCTCATCTCCCTCATCCTCATCTTTTTTTGTTCTCATCTGATTAATACCCCTCTCCGAGTAACTGGTTCATCATTCCCACACATATACACATATACATTAACAAAATATCATGAACCAACAAAAACAGGGCCAGTGGCAGCCTCAGGCCCAGCCCATCTATAACCAGCAACAGCAGCAACAGCAACAGCAGCAAGGATACGCACCCCAGAGACCCCTCCACCCCTCCGTCTCCGCCTCTCCTTCTTCGCTCTCTGCTGGCGGCCGCTCCAACTCGCCCCAACCCTCCTCGCCCATCAGTCCGAGTATGCACATCAACACTTCCAAGGTCGGCGGATCTCCAGCCTCTCAGCAGCGATCCAACCCTTCCTCGCCTGCTGTCGGATCAGCTGGCAACGCCATGGAGATTGCAGCCAGACACTACGAATCCCTCCAGCAGTATCTTCTTGCCCATATCTTGAAAGGTAAATAATAGCAGAGAAGGAGACGAAGAAGAAGCAAAGGACGAATTGGGACCGAGGACTGGATCAAACCAGTCGCTCGATACAGGAATAGGAGAAGATGAGAGGAGCGGATGACCCTTGGAATAGTTCGATGTTCCCAATGTCCGTTGCGTGTTTTTTTCTGTTTTGTTTTAATTTTTCATATTAATGTCGGAACCCCTTTTTTTTTGTTTATATTATTAGAAAAACATGGTGTGAGCGAGCAAAGGATCGCTGCCAGAGAAAAACTGTCTAGGTTGCAGCAAAACCAGCTTCAGGATCTTTCGACCGATGTCTACGATGAACTGAAGCGACGAACCGACGGTGCCCAAGGTATGTGTCCTTTTTTCCTTCTTCCCCTTCCTCATCAAGACAGGAAAACAACCACAACAAACAAACACACACACACAAAACAGGATCTGGAAAACTATCACAATCGGCCGATGTCACGGAGCAGGGAAAGAATGAAGTCGAAGAACAATGGAATTAAAGTCTTGAGAGCTGGGAGCAGAATGTGATATCATGGTCAAAGTTCAAATTAAAAAAAATGGACCAATCTTTATTAAATGCCGGCAATGTGCATCCTTTTTTTCCTCATGATAGTTCCTTTCCTGGCTGTGCAGAATGACTTCCATCCAAAGCGCAACCAAGCCCGTCAGAAGCTGGCCACTCTTCCTCAAAATCGCTTCAAGGACCTGGCCAGTGATGTTTATGTCCAACTGGAGCGTCAATTCCCCACTTTGCTCGAGATGTTCCCAGTAAGTTTTGATCGATGGTGTTATTGGCTAGTGTCGTTGGATTGATTAATCTCGACAAGCATGACCTTGCCTTCTATTTTTACACGACATGGCATTTACCTTTTCCCCTTGAAAAATAACGTCTCCGCAATTCCAATAGCTGAAAGCCCTAGAGGAGAAAGAGTTTCTCTCCCAGTCACCCGCACCAGCGCCGCAGCTTGTCCAACAGGAGCGTGAAGCCCCCACTCCGGCTGTTCAACAGTCAAGCGTCGTTCCCAACATGGCAACATTCACCATTCAGGACAGCTCGAACGTGGAGGAGGAGACATATTACCGCTCGCCCGGTCAGCAGGCTCCAGCATCACCCACAGCTCTGGAAGGAAACGTAAATTTTGCCAGTTTGGACAGTTTGATGACCGATATTGGTCATATTGTTGGCAAGGATGGCTCAGATGCCAGCAAGTCGGCCTCCGTTGGAGGAAACAACAAGATTTCGGACAAGAAGGCGGATGCCAATGAGCTCATGAGACTTCCCAAGGACCAGGAGCCAAGAAGCCCTTTGAACGGCCTCGGCATTGATTCAGGTTCGGTAAGTCTTTTTTTTTTTTCTTTGCCTCATGTTTTTCTCGCTCGACAATATTATTGTGAATCCTGACTGAAACGCGTGAGGATTGGGGTTGTGGAACTTTTGTTTGACATTTCCTTTTTGTTTATTTTTTCATGTTGCCGTATTAGCAATTGACTGACCACATGAAACAGGAGTACGAGACCCGTATCTCGGCTCTTTGTAAGAGACTGCAACATCTCGAGAGCGAGGTCGGTGAGGGGGCGAATCGCCCAGAAGGCTCGCGTCTCTCCCAGGTCGAGCGCCAGTTGGCTAAGCAGACAGAGCTGTACAATGAGCAGGCTTCCCAAGTTACCAAGCTGCAGCTGGATTACAACAAAGTCTTCAACGACTACCACGCACAGCTTGAGGTAAGACAGTGCGATAGAATGCAATTTTTTCTCCGGGTGCCATGGAAGGGCGCAGCCTATGCAGTAGCCTAATGATCCAATTGCTGCCATTTTACATTTGTAGACTGTGGATATGGTGAACCAGGAAGTCAAGTCATTGGTCATGGACAACAAGAATTTGAAGCAGCGTCATCTGGATGCAGAGGAGGAGCTTCAGCTCGCCTACAACAGGATCAAACAGCTTGAGGACGAGAACAGCGATTTGAAGGGCGATTTGGAGGATGCTCTTCACCGCGAAAAGGTGGCCAAGGAGGAAGCTGGAGCCCGTGCTGTTGTCCGGGAAAACACTCTCAGTGCAGCAACTCCCGTGCCCCCAACCAACGCCATAAACATCAACACCATGGACCATATGAGCAGTCATCACGATGCTCCACGCTCCGATGACGTGGATCTGGACACTAAAAACCGTGATGATGATGATGATGATGACGATGACTGGAACCAGGGCCGTCAGCAGGTTAGAGACAGCATCCTTGTGAACCCCAACTCAATCGTTCATCAGGACAGTCTGGCCACTTTCCGTAATGCCGTTGATGACTTGCTGTCCGCTGGAAGGTATGTTCTCTTTGAGTCGCGCTAATTCTTTCCCCCGCCCGGCCTACCACCATGGGTGACAGTGACCTAAATTTATTGCTCATGCCCTGATCTCTCTTTTTTCTTCTTATTTGTTTCCCAAACGCAGGTCCGATTCGTCATCTTCGGTTCTTCTGGGCATGAAGTCTGTCGTTATTGCCTGCAAGACTGTGACGGAGGATGTCGAAGACTATGAACACGAGACGAACGATAAACACATCTTTGCGGATTTGAAGCAGGAGCTCTCGTCAGGATTGACACAGCTGATGAATTCCGCCAAGGCCCACTCGAACGCCTTTGACGAGGATGAGGATGAGTTTGATCGGTCATTGAATGATTTGGAGGCCGCAGCGGATCAGTTGGAGGCCATCGTGATGGATATTGTGAACGTGCCCAAGCACAACGGTGGTCCCATCAAGGAGAACGGACACCACGGCCGGGATCATCACGACGACGATATTCAGCACAATAATGGAATGAGCAACCATGACGGACACCACGGTGAACCTAACGGCAATGCCCCCGCTCATAACGGCAACAGCAACAACAACAATAATAACAACAACAACGATGGCGGCCCTATGGATTCGCAAGACTTGAAGGTATATACGAGTGCGGTTTCCACACGCATCTATAACTACAGCGTTATGTTTTCTTGGATTGCTCCAGTGGAAATGATCACTTACAGCTCTCAATCTCTCTTTGCACACAATAGATTTATCTTGAGACACAAACCGGGTTGATTGTGTCGTCGATTCAGATCCTGTTAAGGTCACTTCGATCCAGCTCGGACTCTGAGGGCATTAGCGACGCTTCGGACGATATCACCAAGGTGGTTGACCAGGTGATCCGGCAGACACGGATGACACTGGCGACCCCCAATTTGGTTTCTGCACCACAGGCAACGGAGCTGCGTTCGCAGGGAGAGATGGTTCTTGAGGATTTGGAGAACTCTGTTGATCTCTTGATTGAGATCAAGGAGCAGCTCGAAGCCGAGCCTGACTTGGCCCACTCGTCCTCTGCAGAGGCCAAGTCGTTAAAACAAAAGATGGCCAGCGCCAGTTTCGACATTGCCAAATATGCCAAGGAGCTCGTCAGTCTCATCGAAGACTAGACATCCTTGTCTCTCTATATCCGCCGTCCTATTTAACGTTTCTACCATCCTCCTGATTCCCTACATACGAACCCACACAACGGACCATGACCTATTTTTGTTCCTCCTTTACAGATGTACATGATACGACCTTTTCTTCTATTACTACCTCACATCCTTCCCACATACGATTAGACATCATTTTTTTACGAACATACACCACACACTACAAGCATTCATTATTATAAAAAGTAGCAACTTTACAATCACACTCTTGACTATTTTTCGCTGCATACGCGTTGAAGCGGGACATCCCCATCCCCTTCAACAAACATCCCGCACACGCCTCCCAGCTCGACGTGGTGCAACAGAAAGATCGTCGAGCTAGAGTAAACAAACCGATCAGAAATGAATGAAGAGAAGCAAATACACCTGCAAGAACACCCCCGCGGAGGAAGTGGTGGTGCCGAAAGAGGATAAGGCTGATGGCAAAGTTGGTGCGACTCTCATTAGGCCTTTTTTTTTCTGTGTTGTGTTTTGTGAGTGAGTTTCTTTTACCGTTTTACGTGTCGGATGAGTACCCTTTGTTTCTTTGTTTTTTCTGATTGAAAAGGGTAGGGGGGGCATGCATGCATTTGTATGAAGATGAATAGGGTGGGATTCTAGGTAGGTGCAGTGAGGCTTAACGTTCCAGCTGCCAGGAAGTAGGCTCATGACACTCTTTTTTTTGCTTTCTGTTCAGTTGGTCCAAATCCGTCAATCCGTTAGTGTTTAGCAAGCAGAGTGGAAGACTCTTAGTTGGCTTTTCTCCTCGAGTAGGTGGGCGTGTTGAATGAAGTGAGTGAGTATACATTTGATATGAGTGTTCTCACAGGTGGTGTTTTCTCGGTGGCAAAGCGGTTATGATTTTTTTTTTTTTTTTTTTTTTTTGACTGGGATGATGTGGATGGAAGAGCGTAGAACTTTGCAGGGCCAAACAGGAATCAGAGGGAGGGGGCTTTGCAAAAACACAAGGTTACGTCTTTTGGACTAGCACGGGGATCCTTCCCCTCTATTGCATGTCCCAATTGAAAGTGGAATGTAAACAAGCATCTCTTGGCAGCGAATAGTAAACCCTAATATGCATTCTCATCTTTTGCTCACGGCGAAGAAAAATGCGAATAAAGCGACACAACAACGAGATGACAGAGCACAGACAAAAGCAGAGGGTAGAGAGATCCACATGGTCGGATGACTGTCCGACAAAGAATTCAGTCCTACTCCAATCTCCCCTTCACACTAGACAGAGCATCCCCCACATCATAATTTGCCTTTTCGCCCATCCAATAATCCCCCCCTGTCCTGCCCTATCTGCTCAACTATCCAATTGCTCTTTTCTTCCCCTTTCCTTCTCTCTCCGCACATCTCATAGCCTAAGCGTCTACACACACACACACACCTCGCTCTCGCCACCATCCCCATCCCCATAAGTTCATCCTTGGCTTGCCTTTTTTTTTTTTTTGTTGCTGGTGCTGCTTTTCAAATTTGGCTTACATCGCTTGCATACCTTTATTTTTTTTCTCAGCTTTTTTTTTTTTTTTTTTTCTTTCTACACTGCCTCATCTGTGCACCCGTTCGTTAATATCCTCTTCTTTCATATTCGCTCACCTCTGCTTCGCTTGGCTTTGATGTTTCCTATGGTCTGACCCTGCTTCCTGCTTACCCTGCCTTGATGCGTGTCTAATGTGTGTTGTGTAATTGTTGTGAGTGATTGTTGTGTGTATGTAATATGTAATGTCCGTGTGCTGTTGGCAGGTGCATACATACATACAGTACACACACACACACACACACACACACACACATATTTTTATGCTGTCTTGGGTGATCCTAACAAACAAACAAGGCCGAAAAAATAAAAAATAAAAAATGAAAAACCAAAGACACGAAAGAAATCCAGCAACTACAACGACTCACGAACCGAAAACTCTCCCAAGAGCTAAATGGTTATTGACTTCAATCGCAAGAGAAAGTTCAACAGACAAGGAATTATTTGTTATTTGATGTTTTTTATTTGATTGATGAAGTGAATGAACAGAGAAGGGTGGGTATATGTACAAAGGCTAAATGGATTTTTGTTTGCAAAAAGAAAGAGAAAAAGAGAATGCAAAATGCTATTTAAAAGTGGTTCTCGAGGCGACGATGTCTCTGGAGAGCATCGCTACGACCAAAGCGAGAGGTGCAGAGGTTGCAGGCATAGGGCTTGTTGGCCAAATGCTTCGACTTGACATGGCGATCAAGATCGTGACGACGGACAAAGTCCCAGTCGCAGCCGGGTTCGGGGCATTTGTGGGGCCGCTCACCATTGTGGGTGTTGACATGCGACCGGAGGTTGAAGGCACGCGTGAATGACTTGTCGCAGCCCTCGAACGTGCAAGGGTGCATGCGCTTCTCGATCGTGTCAGACTGAGGGCGGGTGAACTTTGTCGACGAACCCGAAGGAGAACAAGAGGAAGGCGAAGAACCCTTGACTACAGCCTTGGAGTCAATGTAGTTGTGCTCCAAGGACGACAACAGGCTGTGGACAGACGAGATCGAGCTGTTGCGAGAGTGGGCCGGTGAGTGAGCTCCCGACAACCTACGCTGACCAGCCGAGGCGGAACCAACCGTCAACGAATCCATCCTTGCGCGCTTGGACGACGAGGCACTCTGGTGCTCGTACGACTGCTGAGGATGGCTGGTGCTGATGCTGGAGCCGATGCTGTTGTTGTGGTGGTGCTGATGGTATTGCTGTCCGTGTTGGCCGTGGTGGCTATAGTGACTGTGGCTCAGATGGCTCTGCTGTTGGTGCTGAGTCTGATGGTAAAGCTGGCTGTGTTGCTGTTGCTGATGGTATTGGTGGTGATGCTGCTGCTGCTGGTATTGGGGCTCCTCCTCATCGCGCTCGTGCTTCAAGCCCTGGGATGCCCGCCGAGAGTTGCGCTTGGGCAGGGACAGAGCTGGAACAACATTGTCGTCGGTAGGATAGCTGCTGTTCTCCTCGTTGTCAGAGTCTGCGTCATCATCCTCATCGTCTGTGTCTTCGGTCTCGGGAGATTCCAACTGGGGCTGAACCGTGCGGGGAGCGATCACGGCTCCTGACATCATGGCCTGGCCGGGCATGCCAGCACCCTCGCGCTTGCGATCCATCAGATAGTCGTTCTGAGCGTAAAGACCGGCAGCGCCAGCCCAGGAAGGCAGGTTGAAACCAATGTGACCGGCGGAGGAAGATGAGCCAGCGGAGGACGAAGAACCAGCGGAGGACGATCCAGAGGAGGAAGGCATAGAGGGGTTGAAGTAACCCTGCTGCTGCTGCTGCTGCTGCTGGGAGGGCTGGATGAAGTGCGATAACTGGTCGCCAAAGATACCGTTAGAGCCCATGCCAAAGGCTTGAGGAGCATCGCACCAGGCATTGGGGTCCATACCGTCGCCGCAGCCACCGGCGCCGGGGGTGTTGATAGTGTAGGGGAGAGCGTCGAGGTATTGGCCGTCGAGGAGGAGGGAGTTGTACTGCAACAGCTCGAAGGGGTTCATGCTGCCCATGAGGTTGTAGGGGTTGTTGGGGTCCTGGAGAGCCGGGTCGGTGTTGCTGGCGTTGGCTTGAGTGTTGTTGATAAGCATGGTTTGCTCTTGAGGGTAAGTGGCAGCAGTTGAAGAGGAGGCACTCGAGTCGGCAGGGGAGTATGTGTTCTGGCCCATGACAAAGTCAATGAGATAGGTATCGTGTTGCTGGGATTGTTGTTGTTGTTGTTGTTGTTGAAGGGGGAGAGCGTGCGAGTGGTTGTTGTTGTCTTGGTCGTGGTGATATCCCGCGGAGGAAGACGACATTGAGTATTGGTGCTCAAGGGCAGATTGGACGGTCACTTGCTCGAGCTGGTGCTGCTCGTGCGTGTAGGCGAGCATCGAGGCCAGGCCGGGGAAGCCCTCGCGCTCAAGGGCCTCGGCAAGCAGGGGATAGACGGGAGCCAAGGGCATGTTGGCACTGGTCGAGACGGGACCATAGGGACCGCTAAAGTCAATTGGGCCTGCAGAGGTGGAAGTCACCTCTGCTGCGGGAGTAGGGGGCTGCTGCTGTTGTTGAGAGTGGTGGCGGTCCATAGTGGAGTAAGTGTGCTTGTTGGAGTCGGGTTGCTGTTGGGAAGTGTTGACGAGGGTGTCGGAAGAAGAGATGGAAGAAGAGGAAGAGGCAGACGGCGAAGGGTAGTGCTGTGGTGGAGGGGCAGTGGACTCGAAGGTATCGAGGCAGGATTCGAAAAACACCTTGGCTGAGGAGTGGTCTTGGTAGCGGTGTTGGTGAGGCAGGTCCATGGAGCTGATGAGCGCAAGGGAAGAGCGCGGGCGGGCGGAGGAAGAATAAGAAAAAGATGAAGAAGGCGAGGAGCAAGAAGAAGGATGAGAGTGGTGGTGGTGGCTGTAGTTGGTGTTGTTGTGCGGGTGAGAGAGGGAGTAAGAGGAGAGAGAGAAAGCAGAAGGGGACATTCAAAAAGAACTTGATATTTTATGTTGTTTGAGTTTTTGTTTGTTTTGTTGGTGCAAGTACGTTTGATATGTTACTGCTACTGTTATTGCACTCTGTGCAGGAAGGAAGAGGAAAAAAAAGAGAGCGTTGAGGGAAGGAGTGAAGGAGTGCAAGAGGAACAAGAGAGCACTGGAGGATAACTTTATTCCGCGGTGGTTAGAAAGAAAGAAAAGGGGGGAGGTGTATACAAGAGAGAGAAAAGGCAGGAGATACAAAAGTTGTTTTTTTTGTTGTTTTGCTTGGCAGTTGATATATACAAGAGGGCAAAGCAGGGCAAGGGACAATGAACAAAAGAGAGATGGAATATGCGATATGCAGAAGGAAAATGCGAAGAACAAGAAAATGGTTGAGGGTGAAGAAGAGTATGAACAAGAAAGAGAGCGAAGGTGTGTAGATATATACAAGAAGATGAAGGGCTTTTTTTGGTTGGTGTTTTTGTATTTGAAGAATGAGAAAAGTGAGGTGAAGAGAAGAAAAAAAAAAGAGGAGAAAGGGGGGAATAGCCACGCTTTTTATATACGTCGGGGGAAAGAGAAGGAAGATTGGGCTAGATATAACCAACAGGATAAAGTAAAGGGGAGATGGAAATAGACTCTTTCAACCATTCAACTGAACTGAATGAAAAATAAAATAACGAAAATTTATATTTTCCCAAGGTATGCGCCCTCTTGAGTACTCGCGGGCCACTGCCATGTTTTTCTTGCTGCTTGTTGTTGTTTTGTGAAAAAGGGTAGACGCTCAATGCTGCTGCTGGTGCGTTGTGTATCCCTATTATTATTGCTGACACGACAGACAACATCTTCTCGTTTTATTCATAGTAGTAGCAGTAGTCGTCCTTGGGATTGTCGCTTGTTTGTTCACTCTCTCTTTTTGCTCGTCCGCTTTCTCTCTCTCTCTCTCCCTTTCTCTCGCATCCAAACACTCATGTCCGAGTATTTTTGTCTTTTCATTCCCTTTCTCTTTGTCCAAAAAAAAAACGAAACTGTCTACTTTCACTTCTTCGTCTTCGTCAAAAAAAGAACTAGAACAAAGCCTCGTCTTGTCAGACGAGTAAGAAAAAAAAAACAAAAAAAAAACAAACACAAAAATAAGCTCCAAGTACGACTTTCATCAAGAAACATGAACGAACCAACGAGCAAGGCAAAGGCCAATGAAAACATCACGGCCGTCATGATCATGTCGACACTCGCCTCTTCTCTTTCATGTTCATTGACCACCGGATTGGGTCCTGTTGGCTTCATTCACCAACTCAAAAGCGAGTATTTTTGGTCCAAGGGTTTAGATGTTCTCGAAACTTGTTAAACTTGTCAGCGAATCTGATGTAAGGGCAGGTGTGAGATTAGTTGACGAATGGGAGGAAGGAGGAGGAGGAGGATGAGGAGGAAGAGGAGGAGGGAGGAGGACTCGCCCTCTGTACCTCGGGTTGGAGTGGTGGTGGTTGTTGTAGTGGTGGCAAACATGAGGTTCTAGTCCCCTCCCCCTTGCAACTGACACTTTTTTTTCGTGCTGAAGAATAGTTATGAACACGATATCAACAACCTTTAGTAACATGAAAAAGACGAAGAAGATGAAAAAAGGAAGTATTACAGAAAAACTAAGCAGAACAGGCAAGCAGACATGAACGCGCTCACGCAGCAATAGCAGCGGCAGGGAGCAGTAAAAAGGGGGTTCGGAGGGACAGGAAGAACAGACACGCAAAAAGGCATGATTGTCGTTCAATAGAATCGACTCAATGCGGACCACGATGTCCAACTGTAAATAACAAAATAGAATACACAGACACACCGATTGAATGTTTTCGCTGTTCGGATGATGTTGGTGTACAGGACAATTGTGGTCGACAAACGCTAAAAAAACCGGGATGAGCACCTAGCCATTGCTTGTTTGTTGTGAACATCCACCCGCGGGAAAGAACGCTCTCTCTCAATTGACGGTTCCGTCGGCACACCGCCCCCTCGACCTGTGCCCTCTCTCTCTTGTTTTTTTATGACTCTTTGCTCATGCCCACGCTCTCGCATCGACTACGGCCGAGAGCATAAAAAATAAAGGGATTATTGCTGGTAATCAAGAACATCGCTCATCAGCTTGCAGAGATCCCTCCCTCTTCCTCGGCACGAAAGAAAGGCAGTAAGGAGAACGAACAGGTGAGAGAGATAGAGAGGGGAGAGGGATGGGAGGGAGAGGAGTATCTTTTGTGACATATGGGACCCATGTCATCGATTTGGGGCATGGTCCAACAATCCTTCCCCCTCCCTTAGCCACGACCCCGATCCAAACTGGAAAAAAAGAAGACAACTGCGGCCTCCCAGACATCCGACAGAGTTGTTTCCCGACAGGGCCACGTTTCCCCCAGCCCTTGCACAAACGCCCCAAGCTGCCCTGTCCGCCGTGCTCTTTCCCGCGCGGCATCCTTTTGCCACCATTACCAAGTCCTCACGCGGATCAATTGTCTCATCCAATAGCCCTAGCCAAGCTAACCTTCAATCGAAGGAGAGACAAAACAGGTCGGAGTGATAAAGATAGGGATAGAAGGGGTGGGATAGACGAGGGACAGCCATCTATCAATTGAACCAAGTAGCCATGCAACACACATAAGACATACAAGCATACATACACACATATATACATACATACATACCACGCATACAAGCACGCTTCCGATCCGTCCTGTTCACCACCCTTTTCCCTTTCTTCTTTTCTTTCCCCTATTCCTAGCATTGTTCCTTGACGCCAACCCTGCCCACTGCCCATCGTGTTTTTCTCGCCCCTCCCCTTGTCTTTTTCTGGTCAGACTTTATTTTGATGTGGATGTGAATGACCAAGAGACAGAAGGATCCAGTAATTGGATGCCGATAATAGATACTCTTCCCTTTGTTTTGTATAAAAAATAACGCGCTGCCAACGTGCATTAAGAATCAATCTAGAAGTACCGATAGCGCGCGAATGAGGCGATGACAGACAATGTTTATCGCATGAGATGATTAGTCAATCTGCGTCAAATCGTACCTTCTTTCGAAGAAGAAAAGGGACTATATTATGAATGTTTTCGCGCGCGCGATTGAAGGTACGATAGGAATAGAACAAGCAAGGGACAGAGACTCAGCCCGGTCCATGTTTTGTTTATCGCTATTTCTACTTTTGGCTCTTGTTGCGAAAGAGAGAGAGAGAGAGATGTATAGGGTAGGTCACGCTTTGCGTTTTGATCCATTGACCATGCTCTGGTCGACCCTTTGCTCAGAGGTTCTCACGTTGTTTTTAGGTATTTTTTGTGCGCTCTCAGATAGGGGGCGTCGAGTTGCGAAAATCCAAAAATACAACTTTTTTTTTCTCTCGTTGGTACACCTGGACCGTATGTCTCTCATTGTTGATTTTTTTCTGCGCACTGTTTGTGTACCTCTGTGTCTGTGTGTGTGTTAGCAATGGTGCTATTTTGTCGGTAGCGTAGCAAGATGTGTGTTTGTGTTGTGCATGTTGATGTCGCTTATCTTTGTAAGTGTGTTTTCCCTCCTTTTTTTCCTTCTTCCCTGTGCCTTCTCTCTGCTCCCTCCATCTCGTTTTTCTTTCTTCCCAGCTTCCCTTCCTTATTTTTGGCCCCGCACAGGCATCAAATCTTTTTTTGTTCTTTTCTTCTTCCCTGTCTTCCTTCTTTTTTCACAGCCTCCTTATTTTTACCATCTCTTTACGCCTACTTTTTTTCTCGTATTGTTACACGGTGTGGAAGCCGTCAAGATTTTTGCATGAATGGGAATCACCCTTCTATCTCGCCCAAGCCGCCCTTCGTTGTTTGCCGAGGTCCTATTTTTATTTTTCCTTTTCTTTTTTTCAACGTCGTACAAGCACATGGCGTACAGTACGCTATTTTTTGTCTTCCCTTCCTTGTTCGGTGTGGAACATATCCACTTTCAACTCTCTCTCTTGCTCCCTCAATAATGTCCTCCTCTCTTGTTGACTGCACTGCCACCTCTCGGCATAAAAATAGATGCATAAAAATAACCAGCAAGAAGACAAAAATTCACCGAATGTGTTCTTTTTTTTTTCTTCTTCTTGTGTTCCCACTCCCTCTTGTACTCTTCTCGTATTTTTTTTCTCCCTCCAACTCTCAGGCGAATCGTTCTGTTCTTGTTGGCCAGCCTTGTTGTTTGTTTTCTTGCGTTCTTGTACTTCCATGAGTTTAAAGAAAAGAGGGATGGGGCGCAAAAGATAAAGAGGCGAATGGAACCCCGGAGAATACACAACAACAAGAACAAACATACAAGCACACGCTGGGCCTCCAAACGCGCAGCCGAAATGTATGGAACTTTTCGTACTTTTTTCCGCTCGAAAATGCCGTGCTTGAGCCTGCTCTTCTTTACAAACCGTGTCGGACACGTTGCATACACAAACACGCATACACAGAGATACAGAATACTCAGAAACGCAAAAAGAACGTAACTTTGAACCGTGCACTCTGCACTCTGCCTTTTTCTTTATTTACTTTTTGTTCCTGACGCGCACGCGTAAAGTATAATAGAAAAAAACATTAGAGTTATTGTTCTCCCTGTTTTTTTTTCTCCTTGGCAACGCAACGCGTAGTGGTTTATGCCAGCGAAGAGGGGAGTAAGCAAGAGATGAGGAGGAGGGAGCCTCGTCTCCTTTCCTTTTACATTTCTTCCCCCTGCCTTCCTCCCTATCTTGCTGTTTCCTCCCTTCTCGTCACCCCTATTTTTTTGCATTTTGATTATTCATTATTTTTTATTTTTTCGCCACTTTGCCACAATGGACTCGGTGGAGTCAAAGAATAAGGAGATGGAGAAAGGAGCAAACACACCTATCGCATAAACGCATCCGTCGCGTCGCGTTCTTGAGTTCTCAGATTATACATTTTGGGGAGGAAAGGGGGAGGAGAGGGAAACTATTGGCACAACTCCTTGATAGCCGCGTAGCAGAACTGATACTGTCCCGTGGTCTGAACCATCATCATACGCTCGTTTCTGAACGCGTTCAGGATCTCAAAAACAAGATCACGATCCTGATTCCAATTGTACGCGTCTTCGGCCTGGACCATTAGGTTAAGCGCTTGTTCTTGCAGGCTGGCATCGCGGAGTGGGTGAGGGGCAAGGTGGGGGTATCTGATATGCTCCAAGACCGAGAGAGCTGTGTCGATGACACAGAAAGTTCCAGTACGACCCACTCCTGCACTGCAGTGAACTAGTATAGGTCCAAAATTGCCCTTGGGGTTGTTCGTAGCCTGCTGATTGCGCTTCCAGCTCCTGATGGTGTACATGATGTCGCGGAGGCTGCTCGAGCTCTTGGGCACACCGTGATCGGGCCATCCCTGATAATGAGCCAGCAAGATCGATCGTCTAGGATTCGCGTCCGACGAAGGGTCCCAGAGTTCCAGGTTGCGGTAGACAACTTCGCTGTCACTATTGGTCGAGTCTAGACTTCGCACCGAGAGGTTGGGTCCGAACCGATCGGTCTGTCCTGCGTTGGGCCAGTATTGTTCTGCCTTCTGTCCCCTTTGCGTCCGGTTAGCACTGACAGTCGTCAAACAAACAATCACGTGCACATTTTCATCGCAAACCATCCTCCAGAAGTTCGCCTGAGTCTCGGGAAGAGGCGCTTGGGTGGCGATGTATCCTGCAAAGTCTGCGGGGAGGCTGGTACGAAGTGCTGGTGGTGCCGTGATCCTGCTGGCATTCATGAATGGCATTGGACCGTTCACCATAACTCGCGAGTGTTGGTATGGAAGTACGTTGGAATCTATTGTGGAGATAGGAGGTAGACTCAGAGTTGTTAGACATAGAGCAAAGCGCGATGTGGGTTGGTGAGATAAAATCCATACGGCACACGCGAAGCAGAAGCAATAAAACTTACAGCGGTTGAGTTTTACTGTGTTGGGGAGTCTGGCCTCGTGAATCGAGAAGAGAGTCTCATCCCTGCCATAAGCCTGTTCCAGACGGTCAACTTCTTGGCTTTCGATGCTCTCAAAGACCTGGTTCTGATGGTAGCCTCTGCTCGTTCTCGCTTCCGGACGGAGGAATCCAGGCAGAGTTGGTATTGGTGCATTGGCCATTGTGTTTTTGTTGATTTTGATGTTGCTTGAGTTGCTGCTGTTGATGCCACGGTTGGGGTGCTTGATCGGGGATGTGAATCTGTTGACGGAGAATGTGCGAGTGTGGGTGTGGGTATGAGTGTTGAGGGGATGGAAGAAAGAAAGGAAGGAAGGGGCAGTAGTAGGGGTTGTCTTGCAAGGGAACTGAAACAACCGTGGTTGAAAGACAGGGGAATGGAAGAGGGGTCGAGAAGGAAGTAGAAGAGATGGAAGAGTGGGCATGCCTGTATGAAATAGAGCTTGCGGAGATTCACTGAGAGGAGAAAAATCAATTACAGAATGAATTTGAGCGCAATGAGGCTCATGGGATACAGTACTGTACGTACGGGGCGGATACCATAGTGATGGGTGCCATTGGGCGGTAATAAGAAATGGAATAACTACTTTATCGTTGTTTCTGGGATCTGTCCCTCTCCCTCTCACCTTGCGTTCTTCTCCCTCCATCTCTCCCTTTCTTGTTCTCCTTTCTTGTTCTCATTCATCACCTCCGCTCATCAAGCATCTTTCTTTCCCCATTCAACCTCTCGTTTTACGTACACTGACCGATATAGCTGGTGTTGCGCCCTGTGGACACCAGACACACAGCAAGGGGTGAAAACAAAGCCAACTTAAAACGGTATAACCAACAAGCAACAACAATAACAACAATAGCAAAGCAAGCACAAGCAACAGCCAGCCTCGCTTGCCACTACAACAACCACGAGACAGCTAGAAACGAAAGGAGAGAAGAGAGGAAAAAGAGAAAGTGATAATTGTTGACCTCTTCAATGGATCAAACAATGCCCTCTTCATCTTCCTCCCCCTTGCCCTCTTCCCCCGCGGATCAATCCTCGGAGAACAATAATAATTGTATAAAAGCATCGCCCTTGCCAGAGCCATTGCCTTCTCTTCTCCTCTGCCCGGCCGACAACAATTCCACCTCCACCACCACCGCTGCTGCCACTTCTTCTACAGCCACGACCATTACAATCAGTCCATCAGAAACAGATATCGCCACATCACCAACCCCGGTTGCAGATCCCTCTTGTCCAGTCCCTGACTCCTCCTCTGCCAGCCCAGGTATATCAAATCACTCAGGAACCGTTCCACCCAGAGGCTGGTGCCCCTATCTTTTTATTATTATTATTATTATTCTCATTCATGATTCACAGCCCAACTGTAAAAAACATTATTCCTTTGTACTTTTGGGCTGGTTCACACCACTCGCCACTCTCGCTCTTTCTCTTTCTCTCTCTCTGCTATCTCTCTCTCGCTCTCTACCCTCTCTCTCTTTATCTCTTTTCCTTCTCCTCCAACTTTCTTTTTCTTCACTTCTCACTCCCTTCTCCTCTGCATTCCATCGTTCTCTCGCTCTCTCTTGCGCAAGCAACACCTCCTTGATCATCCTTCCCCCTTCACACTCTTTCTCCCTCATCGGATTCCTTCCTCTTGCTTCATCCTTTAGCTGTTTGCCTGCATAACACATACAAAAAAACTCTTCCCAACCTTATTTCCCGGTGGTGTGTCACTTCAACACCGACATTGAAAGACCTTCCATTCTCATTCCTAATCTTCATCCATCAAACATACCATGGTTCTAGGAGGCCCCCGGTACGAGTCTATCCGGGACGAAAGTCAGGACAACAGCAATAACGATAGCAACAACAATCCCACCAGATCGTCCGCCTGGTCTAGCCTCACCAGACGACCGTCCGATCAATCCGCCACAGACGATTTTGAACTAAGCCCAGTCAACGACCGGACAGGCTTAACAAGCAACCGTCAACACCGCCCACCCTTCCTCGACCAGGACTCACAGGAGGATCTACTCCAAGCTAGCACCATGGCCTCAAGCAGCCAACACCTCCAACCACCAGAAATGCATACCCGTCGACCGCGTCGCTCCAACCTCTCTGGCTCCAACATCAGCGGCGATTCGTCCCTTCGACCAAAATCAAATCGCTCTTCCACCCCGAGCTCTCGTCTCGCCTCGGTGAAGCAGGTCCTGGGCAGAGCTTCAACAAGAGTCATTGGCCTCACAGGACCATCTCGTCGACAACTCCATGGAGCCGACTCGACGTCAGTCCATTCAAAGCGAGAGCTCGACGAGGACAACGAAGGCGACGAACAAGATGCACTCAACAGGCTGGATGGTGATCAGGAGGCCCGAGCGAGTTTGGAGAGCAATCGCACAGCCACATCCCGGCCCGGGGAACCCTCGCGGATAGCCATAACGTCTTCAACAGGACCCCCTCAAGGACCACCAGAACCAGTTTGGATCGAGCCGCCACTCGAGGGTAGATCCCTGTTCATCTTTGGTCCTGACAACTCTTTCCGTAAAATGATCAATCGTCTCCTGAACCAGACGTAAGTGAGCGCCAATCCAAGGAAGGCGCGATCTTTCTTCTTGTTGTCCTTTTAGGAGGTTTGCACAGCCATTTGAACGATCGATCTAGACCGTTCCATTTAATTGAATCTCCCAACTAACAATATGATCACTTCAATTGACGATTAGGTGGGTGGAACTTTCGCTTCTCGTACTTCTCGTGGCCAACTTGGCGTTTCTAATAGTCGCAGTGTCTTCACCGATGGACAGAACGGACACTGTTTGGGGAGGACACTGGACCGACTATGGACTATTGGCCGTCTTTGTGATATATACGTAAGGTGTCGCTGACAACGTTCAGATTACACATAGTTGGCTGTACGGACGGATCGTTTTCTAATTTCTTGATCACATCTTTTACACGAAATAGCCTGGAGATTGGCGCAAGGATAATTGTTTCCGGACTGGTCTTGTATCCGCAGGATGGCGATAAAGTCCGCAAGTTCTTTGGGAAAAAACCCAGGACAGACAATCTCCACGATACCAATCCCACAATCCTTAGGAAATCGCCCGAGGCACAACGTGCAAGGACAATGGCGCTACAGCCTCAAAACTCCAGCGCCAAACTGAACGAGCAGGCTGTACCACATTCCACTGGAACGAATCGAGCCACAACCATCATCGATTTTGCTGTCGGGCGACAGACAACAATGATGCAGTTTATTCCGACATATATGGACCCCTTGGTCGCTTACAAACCTCAGTTCATTGCAGCAGAAGGAACTCAGGTCCCTTTTCTCCGACACACCTTCAACCGTATCGACTTTATTGCAGTGGCTTGTTACTGGGTGGACTTCTTTCTCATGATCACTGGAGTGCGAGGCGTTTACTTTTTCAAGGCCGTGGCGGCAATGCGAACTCTCCGTCTGCTCAACATTACCGGGGGATCGGCGACCATTCTGCATTCCCTCAAGAAGAGTGCCCCTCTTCTAGTCAACATTGTGCTCTTTATTGCATTCTTCTTCATCGTTTTCAGGTAAGGGGTGCAAATAATGCTCCACTGGTTACCCACAGAAATGATTGTGTGTTAATGAGCAACTGTGATGTATTGACTGTTGTATTATTCATTATTTTATAGCATTATTGGCGTGCAAGCTTTTAAGGGATCGATGTCTAGGCGCTGCGTGAATGCACAGAACAACTCGATAGTTCTCAATGGAGTCTATTGTGGAGGATACTATGATCTGGACAATCCGGGAATCAAACAGTCATATCTCAGCGCTGATGGAGAACCGAGCTTGACGGCAGCCAAAGGAAATATTTGCGCGCAGGGATTTGTCTGCAAGGTATAGGCGAGAATTTCAAGCGCATGATCTGGAACTTTTAAACTCAACACATGCGGAACCCGGGACTGACTGCTTCATCTTCTTCTAACGGTGCGTTTGTAATGTAGGATATCGGAACAAACTATGAAAACGCCATCTCGTTCGACAACATTTTTTCCGCCATGGTTCCAGTATACGTGTTGATGACAGGACAGACATGGACGGACCTGATGTACAGCATCATGGACGCAGAGTATGCATGGTCATCCATCTACTTTGTATTGGTGGTTCTCGTCATGAACTTTTGGATTCTCAACCTGTTTGTGGCTGTTATCAACGAGATGTTTGCCAAGATCCGAGACGATTCTGCCAACAACTCTGCCTTCTCTTCTGAAAGATCGGACAGGTAAGGCAAAAGCCGGGGGGGGGGGGGGGGGGGGGGGGGGGGGGAGGGGTTGGCACATTAGGGCGGTCAAGGCTTTTTTTGCTGCAAAGGAAGCTAATACGTTTTTCTACTTGATTCACTTTCAGCAAAAACCAAATCTTGAACGACAGTATCAAGAACTTTACCTACACCGAGTCGGAGCAGACGAGTCGCAGAAAAAGGTGGGTCGAGACGTTGGAGGGTGTCTGGGTTGCTGCCATCATTGTCGATCTTGTCTTCCAGTGCTTGCCGAGTTACGACTCATCATCCGAGAAGCTTCAGCGACTTGGTAAGTCTCTTTGGCAATGGACTTGTGACTGGGAACAGATTGGAGCCAAGTATTCCTGGTTGATTGACATCTTCTACTGACCGTTTCAAATAGATCGAGTTGAGCTCGGGTTCACGGTCGCTTTTGCGGTGGACATTGTCATCCGATTTCTGGTCTGCCTGCCTATGCCTATGGAATTCTTCAAGAGTAGAAAGAACATTGTAGACCTGTTCTTAGCAACCGTGACACTGCTTATCCAGATCCCGCCCATCAAGAACAGTCATGTCTACTTGTATCTTACCGTTTTCCAGGTGGTCAGGATCTACAGACCGATCATCTACATCGAGCGTCTTCGCTCCCTTATTGTACGTCGTGGTCTCAGTCTCTTTTGTTAACCGTTCTTGATTTGATTTTGATAACCCTAAAGCTAACAATCCACTCTTTCCAACTGCTTTAGCAACGAGTTGTTGGTAGTTGGATTGGTTTGTTGAACTTGGTGATGTTCATTGCCGTATTCGTGGCAGTAGTGTCGGTCATGGCAGGAATCTTGTTCAGGGAGAACGTGGATCCTAATGAGGACCATATGACCTTTGCGGATTTTTATGTCAGTTACCTCGCCATGTACCAGGTAAGTTGTCGCAAGCAGAGGCCAAGTACTACAAGAAGCATACATAGTGCAAAGGTACTTCGGGCATTAACATAGACATCACCCCCGCTCCTCTTTCTAGATCTTTTCTGGAGAAAACTGGACAACCATTCTGTACAGTGTCATGCAACCGAGCGTGACAAGTCAGATTATCGTCGCCACGATCTTTATTATCGCTTTTTACAGTTTCGCCAATTGTAAGTAATCCTGCAAGTGCAGGCTTTTCGTCGACAATTTTTATTCCAAATCCGTATCAATGTTACTCACCTCCCTCGCTTACATTGGCCCCCTAATAGTTGTTCTGTTGAACATGCTAATTGCGATCATTATGGAGAACTTTGAAGGCGGCACGGAGGCATCGAAGCACGCACAGCAGATCTTGGATTTCGCATCAAAGGAAGGCTACTCAAAACGCAAGGAGCGCGAGTTTGTCCTGTACCTGACAAAGTATCTCAAGCCGATGCCCAAGTCGATTGGTGTCGACAGCTCGCAGTCAGGATGGATCCACAAGATGCGCAAGGGACTTGCCCGCCAGTTTCTTTTGGTCGATAATGACCTTTTCCATTCGAAGGAGCTCGACCCTATGGTGCGAACAGCCTCCGACCCCACAAGACGCCACCACAGACGCCGCTCCAGCCAGAACTTTGGACCCCTCGAATTGGACCAGATCGACGACAATGAGCACTTCAGGAATCTCTATGGCGTTCAGGCACCTGGAACCGACGAGGCTGGAAGTATTATCGAGCCTGTAAAGTCCAAAAAGGTTTTCTCCATGGACTCACTCCGACATAGATCGTTCTTCATCTTTGGACCCGACAACAAGCTCAGGAAGATGCTGCAGCCCATGGTGACTCCTGGGCGGGGACGGCGTATTGAGGGTGTTCCAGAGAACGTGCTGCTGAGTCGACCTTTCAACCTCATCATCACTATCGCGATCTTGGCGTGTGTCGTTGTGGCGGCTGTGACGACTCCAGTATGGCGCTTCAATCAATTGGAGAGTGGGGAAGAGGAAACGCCGCTGATTATCCGCGTATCCGACTGGTTTTTCCCTGTCTTCTTTACGGTCGAGTTCCTGATTCGAGTCATCGCCGATGGATTCATCTTCACGCCGGATGCCTACCTCAAGACACTATGGAACAAGATTGACTTCTTTGTGCTTCTCACCCTGTACGCCCCTTGGTTCACCAACCTTGGTGATTCACAGGGATTCGCCCGTTTCTTCCGTTCTCTCAAGGCCCTGCGTGCGCTTCGTCTGATCAACCAGTCGGCCTACATCAAGGGAACCTTCCATGCAGTGTTGGTCGCAGGATTCCCTCAGCTTTTTGACGCCACCTTGCTCTCGATGTCCTTGATTGTGCCCTTTGCCATCTATGGCATGCGCATGTTCTCGGGCCAGTTCTATTCGTGTAACGACAAGAGCCCTAGCATCGAACGCATGGAGCAGTGCGTGGGGATTTTCTTCGACAAAGGCATTGAAGGACTGGCCGAGGAGACGGGATTCTACAAACCACGCATATGGTCCAACCCACATGTCTACAGCTTCGACAACTTTGGGGACTCGTTCTTGATCATGTTCGAAATTGTGTCTCAGGAGGGCTGGTCTGGAGTCATGGAGACGGCGCGCGATGCTGTTGGACTCGGCATGCAAATGAAGACCGACGCCTCACGCTACAACGCCATGTTCTTTGTCTTGTATAACTTGGCTGGTGGATACTTTGTCTCGGCCTTATTTGTCGCCATCGTCATCGAGAACTACACCAAGCGAACCGGTACCGCCTTTATGACAGCCAATCAAAGGCGGTGGATGGATCTGAAGAAGCTGCTCGGAGGAATCCGTATGAGCAAGTACATGTCGACACCCCCCGCCGGCGCCATCCGTCGCACGCTCTACAACATTGTCTCACCCAAACGAGGCTGGTTTGTGCGACTCTTGACGGTTGTCACCATCATCAACGGCATTGTGGTCGCGACGGAGCATGTTGACTCGCCCTCATGGGAGGTCACCAAGGCCTGGATTTCGTTGGGTCTCCTGGTGTTTTATATTGTCGAAATTGTTCTCAAGATTGGAGGTCTGGGTTGGTCTGGATACCGAAAGAACCGGTGGAACATTTACAATGGGTCTATCTCCATTGCGGCTTTTGTGCTGACGGTCTGTCGTATTTTCTGGGCCTCTTCCTTACCACAGCCGCTCATTCAGACTCAAAAGTTGCTCCTGACGGCGATATTGTTCCGCTTGGTGCCTCGCAGCAACAGTTTGAACCAACTCTTCATGACCATGGCGTAAGTTCTTTGCGACATTGGATGGTGAGCTTAATTCTTTTCTATGATGCGTTTACTAATGACTACCTTCTCTGATCCCTTTTTATTAGTGCAAGTATCAACTCGATTGCCAGTTTGTTTGGCGTGTGGCTCGTTGTGTTTGCAGTCTACGGCATCATGTTTATGGAGATCTTTGGCTTGACTTCCTACGGGCCTAATGGCTCGGACCATGTCAACTTCCGTAACACTGGAGCAGCCCTTCTCATGATGGCCCGCATGTCAACAGGGTAAGCAACACTGCTAACTCTTGGATGCAAGCGTGACCCTTGTTATTGCCTCAAGTACTCATGAACTTGATTCTTTTGTTATATATCAACCTATAGAGAGGGATGGAATGACCTGATGCACGATTTCGCTGTCGAACGGCCCTACTGTGTGAACAACCGACTCGACTACCTCTTCTCTGACTGTGGATCGACCTCGTGGGCATATGCACTCTTCATCTCCTTCAACATCATCTCGATGTATATCTTTACCAACATGTTCATCGTTGTAGTGATGCACAACTTTTCGTACGTCTACCAGATCGCCCCCGGTTTCTCGTTGATCAACAGAGACGAGATCCGAGCTTACAAACGTGTCTGGGCCGAGGTTGACCGTGACCGGACCGGATACATCCAAGAAAAGGACCTTACCAAGTTCTTGATGGTAAGGATTGTGACCCTTTAGGGGAGCTTGATAATAATCGTTTGTCTAAGCGCCTCCAAATTAACCTTTTTCTTGGCTGATATGTTTAGAAATTGCGAGGAGTGTTTGATGTACGGATCTACAGCGAAGAACACTCGATCGCCAAGCTGCAGTCAAGACTCGAAACCGCCAAACCAACCTCCGTGAAGATATCAGCCCGGGAACTGGAAAAGAATACAACCAGCCAAGCCACCCAGGCACGGAAAGTCTTGATGTTGAACCAGACCAGTCGTCGAACGACCCTCAACTGGGAGGATGAACAGAAGGGGACAGGTACTGGTAAGGGGGTAGGACAAGGACAGGGGCTCCCTGATCCTTCTCGGCCCAATCTATCGTACAAGCTGGATTTTGACTACAACTTGGCGGCGTTCAACTCTGCGATTGCCAATATTGACAGGGAGAGGGTGCATCAGAAACGGAAGGTGTACAACTTTTTGTATACGGAGGCGATCATGTCGATGGAACCTATCCCTGGAACTGAGTTTCGCAAGAGGAAGTCGAGGTTCTTTCCATGGCGGAGTCTTGGCAGACAAGCTGGGGCATCAACAATGGCAGGAGCAGGAGGAGCAACATCAAGGGCAGGACCTGGATCCGAGGCTGACGACTATGAAATGGGCGGACTGGGCGAGGACGATACTCCTGAGGAATGTCTGAAGGGTATCTCCTTCCAAAAGATGCTCATGATCCTGGCACACTACAAGCTGATTGAGGACGACCAGTGTCTGTCGATCCGCGACATGTTCCATCATCGTCAGAAGATGGATCGGATCCACGCCCACATGAGCGTGATCAAGATCCGGAGTGTGTTGTTGAAGTTCTTGATTCGACAACGGTTCTTGAAGCATTATCATGCAGTAAAGAGGATCCAAGCTATGATGGGCGGTGCGTCGTGGTCGGACGATCAGCCTCCTATTGGTGGCGATCCTTCTTCTGGCTCTCCCCCACCACCTCCTTCTTATGCTCTCACTGGTCCATCATCGTCGTCATCCTCGACACCTTTGGCTTCTCGATCCGCTCCTATGGCATCTTCTTCGTCTCCTGCAGGCGCTGGTATCGGTTCTTCGCAACACACTGAATCAATGGCACAAGTTCCAGCAGCATATTCGTCCGTCTCGTCGACTAGCAGTTCACCCAGCTCGCGCAAGCAAGTCAGAATCAACGTCGACGACAATGTCCAAGATACTCGAGGCAGAAGCACAGTTGCGTTTTCAGATTCCAATGTCGGCGGCCCTGGATCTTCATTCTCTCTGAAATCTGTCATTGAAGAGGATCCTATTGAACCTGTCCAAGGCGGCGCCATGATTGATGACCTCCGTTCCGAATGGCGCAGTAAGTTTTCTTGTCATTTCATTTCTTCCTTGGTTACCATTTCCACTGTGAGAGTTGGGGGGGGGGGGGGGGGGTTGGAGCATTTTCAGCTAACCCGCCGCGTCTTTTCTTTTTGTGTAACTTAGCATTCATCTCGAATCACGACATGTCTGTAACAGGAACGACAGATGCAGGACAGGCTGCAGCGCTGCAGTCAGCTCCGGGCGTCTTCCAGATCATGGATATAAACACCCCACGCCCTACTCCCAGGCACGAAGTCCTTGGCTTGGACTACCTTTAAATTTCAGTAATCTTTTTTTTTCTATTTTACTCCCTCCACATCGTGTATAAATTTCATCCCCTTTCTTGCTATTTGCTTTTAATGTTTCGTTCCGCACTAATTTGTTTGTACGTGTATTGTTATTGTTTGTTTTGTATGCTTGGGATGCTATCTGATCTAATCAGACTGAGGTTCAGGCTCAGGAGTAGTATACTCTGCATCATCACTCCACGAAGAGGTCTCCAAAGTTGACGGTTGAGTATCATTCACCGACAGACCACCATTGCTGTGAGAGGCGTTGGGGAAGCCAAACGAGGCACTGACATAGTCCAGCAGAGACTTGTCGGACCGCAAAGCTACAATGTCGCCACGTCCGGATTTCATTGGGTAATTGATGATGCAGTCCAGCAGCTTCCCTATTACAATGATTAGAGAACGATTAAAGGGTGTCAACTAAGGGGTTTGCTTCGACACACATAAAACATGTCTAGCGGCGTGGAAAAAAGAAGCGACAAAAAAGAGTTAGAGGGGGGGACTTACAGGGTTCAAAGAGTTGAGGAGAGGCTTGGAGGTGCGCCATAAAAGTCCGGATCTCATCCGCAAACCCATCAAGCCCATACGTGAAATAGACCAAATCCCTTCCCAGATCATCCCCATCATCCACCCTTGAATACGCAGAGCATACAGAAGCAGCCATCAACTGGATCAAAAACTTCAACTGCAAATGACCCCCAAACGCGCCACAACCCCAGTTACCCGTGGCGATGAGTTCCCCGCGAGGCGAGGGGGCTTCTCCACGACAGAGACCCCATTCCGTGGATGTGATGGGTGACCGTCGGAACCCGACGATAGCCTTGTTGAGTTCTCGAAGAACTGCCGATTCACAGAATTGGTCTAGTCGCTCGGATACGGACTTGAAAGGCAACGCGTCAATCGCACAAATTTCTGTCTTCCTTCGACCTAGCTTGTCTCTAAGTGAGTGTAAGACAAGGAAGGTGTAAGAAACGTCTCAGCTTATCAAGAAGCGAACACATACAGATATACATGACAAGTTTGTGCCCAGAGTATTTCTAAGACGAGATTCTTACCTTGGAGTGGTGTCGATGTGGTTGGAGTGCCATTCAAAAGTCTGGGCATATCCGTTGTAATTTGAGAACCGCTCCGCGCCCTTCATCAACAGCGCTTCATTGTTCTGAAGTGTCTGCGTGAACAGTCGAGAAATGATCAGCTCAGGGCAGATCACAAACCGAATCTCCTCCTGAACTGCCCCCTAATAAGAATTTCATAATTAATTTTTGGTGGCGTCAGATGGGGGATAATGAAGGAGCAAGGATCTAGATCTACAGGAGGACAGGGGACAAATGGACAACAGCAATAGCAGCAATGTTGGCTTACTCGACTAAGGACTCCACCGCCAATGACTTTGTTGGCGAAGTCCAACTGAAGGGCACCGAGTGGGGCGTCATCTTCGAGGGGAGCATCCAACTCAATCTGAACATTCGAGTAACGGAACGGCGCCTGGTTAAGCATCTCTCCCGAGCTCAGTGTAACTGTATCGTTCAAGACTTGTCTATGGAATGTCACAACTCCAGTAGGCACTATTTTTCACCAAGACGCGTCAGGACATGTTAGTTGATATGTAAAAGCATTGAACGCGTTGATATAGACAACCTTAGAAGCACAACATGTTACAAATGGAGGAGCGTACTTTGTTGAATGATGCGGTCGAAATAGTGGATGATACAACGAAGCTTAGCAGCATTAGTTGAGGTACAAGGGTTCCGGGCTTCGTCGCTGTGGAAAAGACTGGAAAAGTTGATGGATGGGTATCGAGGAAATGGGGGCCGTTTATAGTCTCGTCCAGCATTAGTATGCGAATTCCGTGTTGCTGACTCGTGTCCTGCACTATGTGTTTCCCTGCCAGACTTGACTTGTCCACTCAGATCCTCCTGTTTCACAGTACCAGCTCCACTACCACCACCACCGTGTCTACCATCGCCGGGGCGGACTGAGCGTTCTTGTTGATGATGTCCACCTTGCTTCTTGTTGTTATCGAAATGGGGAGAAGTCGCCGTTGCTGGTGGTGAGGTTCTTGATGACTCTGGCTTGAACGACGTTTTCGGTTCGGTCTTTTTGAAATATGCAAATAGCGACAGCTGGCCATCGGTATTACGATAAGGATCTGTGTTGGACGATGACTGCTTCTTAGGACGTGGAGCAGTAGATCCATGTGGGTCCTTTGGCACGCTATCTAACGTCCTTCCTCCTCCTGCTCCTCCCTCTTGCTTTCCTGTGCTCCTGCCTTCATATTTGTCAGAGTGAGGTCGTTTCCGGTAGGGGTTGGGGTTGCTGAAGTGCTGGTTCGGGGCATTGCGACAAGGGAACGTGCAGAAAAAGGCGTTTGCCAATAAACACGCGATCTAAACACCGTCGTAATGAAAGAAGGTAAGAAGGTCTGTATGATCAGATACTTGCGCGCTATATAGATTCACCTTCTGGAGGGCTAAATAGCATGATCAATTAATTGACAGCAGGAATGAGTGTGAATGGTACCTGCTCCTGAGAAAGTGTAACGGCAGAATCTTGTTGCTGCTTCAAAAAGGGGATCGGTCGCTTGACGAGCTCTGGTAGACGGAGAGCGAGCTGTTGCATCCCGGGCAAAATGACCTTGAAGAATCGGTCGCGTTCTTCACGCGACAAGAATTGGTCTTCCGCAGCTTCTTCGTTATGATCCCAACGCAAGAATGGACGGCTGACAGATGCTGCGGGAGGTGTGCGCGTTCCATCATCGTCCCCATGATCACTCATTTTCACGTCATCACCTTCATCGATGGGTCGCTCATTGTTGTTATCACCATCCTGGAATCGACCTTCTGACATAGAGGTTGCAGAGGTTGAGGTCGATGTGAGAGTAATCTTGCTGGGTACATCCCGGTCGGCTTTCTGGTTTAAAAAGGCTTCCAGGGCATCAATATTCCATCCACGAGGGTCGCCTTCATTCCAGCGAGAGAGAATCTCCGAGAGTTGCTTTGAATTGGTGATAGTGGTGGTTAGCCCTTGGACAATATCGGGCCATGCGTTGGAGACTGCGGCATGCGCAGGGCGGTCGGAGCAGGCGAGGCGGACGTGGTGGTGATCCCAGCAGTCCTGAAAGTCTTGAGGGTATGGGAACTCCTTTGGGTCTAATCCTGCAATCTAGCAGAAAGGTTTGTTAAAATGGTGTCAGTTGCGGCTGCTTTATAGGAATTTTTTAAAAGTGAACGTGGATAGAAAAGGCTGAGGAGTCGCACTTTGCAGAGGACGTGGTGGGTGCCGGTCTCGAAGAAGGATGACGGACGCGACATGTCAAAAGTCGGCTTGCTTGGCGAGTGATGTTATGATGGTGTGTTACAACGAAGGAGGAGAGGGAGAAAGAGGGAGGGATGAGAGAAAGGTGTGAAAGAGGGCGACAGGTACAAACGAACGAAACCAAAGGTGACTGACAAAGTTTGCCACCATCCGTACACGACCGCCACCAAAGGGTCTCGAGGAGCCATCGTGTGACTTGTTTTTGTGTCTCTCTCGCAGATATCAGGCATCCAGGCACAAAGCGATTGCCTGTGTCATTCCAACCTACTTGATCATCCCACCTCTCAGGACACCACGACTCTCAACACCAACAACGGAGACATCCTACCGTGCAGCACACACGCAAGCAAACGTCAATAAAAAGACAGCAGCAAACACACACACACACACACAAAACACCATCATGAGTGAACCAGAATCAACGGCCAACACACCGTCAGCCATGGTCACAGATTCGCCACTACAAACCGAGGATGAATACGAACAGCTGAAGCGATTCCAGGTCGAGCTCGAGTTTGTCCAGTGCCTGTCCAACCCATGGTACCTCCACCGTACGCGCGCACTCGACATTATCCTCTCTTGCCTATGTTGAGACGAAAGCCTATCGTGTGTATCGATTTGCTTCAAAGGATCAAAGGATCAAAGGATGACTATATGCTAACTCCTCGCCCTTTGGCGGTTGCTCGTTGTCTATAACTACTGGGTCACGTATTAGACCTTGCGCAACAACAATACTTCAACCAGGACGCGTTCGTCCGCTACCTGGACTATCTTCAATACTTTCGGAAACCAGAATACGCTAAATTCATCATGTAAGCCATCGACTACATTTGACATTATTTTATTGCTCTATTTCGAAAACACCTCTGAGCCACATAAGTCTTGTAGTTCAAACTAACGATAATATATTTGAATATAATAGTTACCCACACTGTCTTCACTTCCTGACGCTGCTGCAACACAAATCCTTCCGGGACCAACTCGCCAAACAGGATACTGCGACCTTTGTCCACGAACGTCAGTACTACCACTGGCAGTTTCTCAGGAACCAGGATATGGTCGTTCGGATGGAGATCATGCCTGATGGCACAATGGCCGAGATAAAGACTGAACCTCGCCTTCCTCTTCCTGGCGAAGCTTCAGACGCTGCTGCAGTAGTGGCAGCAGCGGATGGTGCAGCAGGAGCAGGAACAGGAGTAATGGCAGGAGAGGTTGGATCGGGAACAGGAAATACACCGTTGATGGCCATGGATGCAGATATCCCAGGGGTAGCAACGACAGGAGCACCAGTAACAGGGCAACCGGGAGCATCGCCCTTTGCAGGAGGAGTAGGATTCATCAATGGCCCTAACGGATCTCATTTCCCGCGGCCATGAGTTGCCTCATGAGATGCCTTTCGCCTTAGCACCGAGCACAATAAATTGTCCAAAGAATACTGTTTTGGTATAATACAATTTGATATTTATTCATGATGGAGATTACCGCTGGAACTGGAAGCCGTTAGGGTAGGGTTGGAAGTTGGCTCCATTGGTCGAGAGCTGGATGGTCTCGGGGACAAGGATATGTCGCGAGTCTAGGTTGTAGTTGGGATATCTTTGATGCTGCTGTTGTTGGCTATGAAGACTACCGGGTGATCCTGGGAGAGTTCCAGTTCCTGAATGTGGTCCTGACATACATTCATTCTGTTGGCGTTGTTGACGCGGGTCATATGTGCTGTGGTTGTTGTTGATTCCATGTTGCTCTTGCTGAGTGGACATGGAGACGCCGTTCTGTTGTAGCGCATTGGTGACGGACGACCTTTGGAGAGTCTCGGCAACGTCGCATGCCAGATAGACCGCGCCCAGCTCGTTCTGGGACCAGGCTCCAACAGCAGGACTTGACTCTGTTGTTCTAGGTGGTGCTTGACCTGTCCCAACTCCAACTCCGGCGCCAACTCCAGCGCCAACTCCAGGTCCTGTTAGATCGTAGACATTTCCCGAAGTCCCGACATACCCGACCGGCATCCCCGCCTCATTCACCACCGTCGCACTCCCACCCTGTCCCTGCTGCTGTTGTCCCCCTTCCTGCAGTCCACCATCACTACCATGATTCCCATATCCCATCGCCCTCCTCACCGCAATCAAATCTTTCAAATCCTCCTGCTCCAACTCACTCAACGCCGCCCTCAAAAACAAAATCGACTTCAGTTTCCTCGCCCCAAACTCTGAATCAACCCACCGAGACCGATGAAAGACTCTACACAGAACCTGGAGACAGGCTTTACTGGTCCCGTCCTTTGTATGGTTATTTGTCGCGTTGAGGATGACGTCGATTTTATGGAAATCGGAGACGGCCTCGCCTTCAACGTAGGTTTGGATCTTTTGCTTGAGTTTTTGAATTGTCCGTGCGGTACTGAAGAGGGGAATGTCCATCCAGATGTTCTCGACGTGGTCCGCTAAAACATAGTCAAAAAAATAAGGGAAAAGTTTAACAAAACGCGAAGAAGAGGAATAGGATAAAATGAAGTGTAAAGAGAGTTAATGGGCTATGTGCGGGTTATTGAAAACGTTCTCTCGATCTCTCCTGGATATTGTCTAGGCATAACAAGGGTGAAGGACTTACATGACCGACTGAGGTTGTTGATGTTACGCGTCGCAAGGACATAGTTGGGCGAGAAGACATGCTGTCGTCGTTTTGTTTTTCCGTTTGGACCCCAAGTGGTTGTTCATATTAGCGTAGAGTAACATTGATAACCTTGCAGTTCCTTCATCGATTGAATAACAAGCGATGACGTTAAAAAAAGAAAACAAAGAATAAGAAGCAAAAAGCTTACCATTCCGTCTCCTCGTTTCAACTCGGTGCTCAGGATATGAATAGTGATAATGGTAAAGTAGGCGCCCTATCGGATATTTTATCCATGCAACAACAACAACAACAACAACAACAACAACAACAACAACAACAACAACAACAACAAACATAAACCAATGATAGAAAAAAGAAACAAAGTTAGGCATGATATCCTTTTGTTTCCAAGAACAAACAGCAAGCGTGCATAATGCACGAATGCATGCACGCATCCTTCTAGAAAAAACTTACATCCAATTCGATCCTGTCACCGACATCGAACGCTATTTTTCGTGAGAAAACAAAGAACAAAACGAGAAAGTTGGAGAGAGGGGAGGGAGGATGAGACAGTGTAAGCCAGAAATGATTGGATTGTCAGTTCTTTTACATGTTTGTCACTCGTTGGTTTAGATTTCAGAATACATGCATGATAAAACTTACGGCGCTAGATCATTGGCAGGAAGCAACAAAATAATAGGGACATGAGGTTAATGGATGGATGAGTGAGTGAATGAATGAATTGGAAAACAATAGGGGGTGAGTGAGGACGGTGTCCAAGGATACGCTTGGCCAACTTAACATTTGAGTTAAAGGAAGGCATCTTCAAGCTCTGCCTCACGAAGTCATCACCGCGACAAGTCTCATTTTGCTTACCATGACAAAGATGAACACCATTGACTCGAAGGCATTCTTGGCTGAGGTTCCTGTGACAAATGCACATCCAACCACCAACTGCATTCCATATCCATATTAGCACCCATCATTATTTTTCAGAAGGTGGCAATGAAAAAACCCACAAAACAATAAAGGAACCAGGCACATACCGATGATACGCCGACTGCAAACTGCTGCACGGCAATGTCGTAGGCAATCAGAAAGGCCACAATCACAAAGAGGAGTACAATACAGTTGAACAGCATATCGAGCTTGGCCATCGCATTCTCAAACGTCTTGTGCGTAGACGTGAAACTCTTACGTAGATTCACCATATCCACGATTGCTAGGAAAAGAATCGCACGTGAAATGTTAGGAGGATAGACACGAGTTTGGCACATTTTTTGCATGCTCGGCCAGCCCGATAGACAGATAGTGATCGGCAGCGAAGCTCTCGATTTATGTTCATTTCATGCATTTGTGCTTACTTTGTTTGAACATGGCACGCGTGACGATGTCTCCTCCACTGGGGTTAAACAGCTTCCAGACGCGGTCCATGATCTCCTTTTTGAATTGTTGCTCCAGATCTATGCGCTCAAGGTGGTTCCTGTGTGATGGACATATCCGTGCCCACAAGTCCTTTGCCTTCTTATTCGGGTTCTATCAATGTAGAGTTGTTTTGTGTAGTATTAGACAAGCCCAGGTAGCAGTAAGTCATTTGTGCTTCAAGTAGCACATAATACAACGAAAATTCCTTTGTTGTTTACCTCGATGGGCTTGTTGCGGAGGCTGTGGATAAGTTTGGACTTGCGCTTCTTGCTCATCCGGAAGAACTCCTGGGGCTCCAGCTCATGGTCCTTGTCGCCGTCAGCCATGGATCCAATGATCGACGCCGCAGTTCCTGACATATTAGGCCGACCGGTCCGTGTCCGCCGAGCGATCGATCTCTTCAGTAGCTGCCAAGTTGAATTCTGCCTCGCACTTCTTCCTCCAGCTGTTCCTCCAGTCGCCAAATCCGCAACAATCGATGCCGTCAAAGGTTTGTCGTCCTTGGGTGAATTGGGTCGACTAGCGCCTGGCGATCGCGCTCCCTGATAAGTGGTGGCCAACCAAGATGTCGATTTCTCTGCCCAGCGTTGCGTGTGATGGTGCTGACTCAGGTGGTACTGAGGTGCATGCAGACTCGATAGTCGGCTCGCCCTCGGCTGCTTGATCTTTTGAAGGCCGTCCAGAACATGGCCCTGAAAGTTGAGCTCGACAAACTTGGAGTTGTCCTGTTCGAACCGGTCCGAGAGAATTTGCATGGTGTATCGCTTCACGATGTAAAGCATGTTCATGGCCTGGATCCCCCAGAGACACCGATAGACCCACCAAAAGATCCATCGACGACAATGCATGTCGACTCCACCCGGGAGCGTGTCTGCTAGACCTAGTCGACTCTTGGCCAACATACATGTTGGGCTGTGTACAAAGACCGCCCAAAATCCAATCAGAGAAAAGAGCCAGCAGGACCGTGCGATATGAGGGACCAATCCGTCATGCGTCTCTAGGGTGATCTTGACCTTGACGGACCCAAACCTGTGGATAATCTTGAAGAGAGCCATGATCAGGAGCTGCATCACAAAGTAGCCGATATGATTCCCTACCACGACAGCCATGTAGGGCCTCCCGTCCTCGATCAGCACAATCGTCTCGTGGTGGCGCGAATGGACATGGTGCAAGATGAACTTGGGGATGAGCAAGAAGGTGAGCAGGAATGCATGCTTGATCAACTTGAGGATCCATGGGTGGAATCGACAGTGCAACGGTCGACAGCAGACATCGTCCTGTAACATCCTCGGTTTGTCGATACTGCTCCGAGCTTGCTTGCCCTGCTGTACCTCATAGATTTTGTCCTCCTCCCAGTCAAAAAAGTCATCGTCGTCCTTGTTGTCAGTGTTGCTGTTGGTGTCATCTTTGTCGCTTCTTCCTGTCTCTTGACCATCCGCTAAAACGCTCTTGTCGCCCAGAAAACTGACGGGTGAGGCTTCATCGACTCTCATCTTGAAAGAAGACCCCAGCTGCTCGGTCTTGATTCCTGAAGGTACATGCCCCCGCGTTGAGCTGAAGGACGGTTTGCGTTGGAGCGAAGGTGGTACTATTGTTCCGTCGCCTGTTGATTCAGTATCCATTTCTTCTGTTATTGGGAAACGGCGTAGCGAGTCGGCTGGGGATCGTGTTGTTGTTGTTGAAGCGTGTGGAGTGGAGTGTGTTGAGTGTGTGGATCGAGTGGATCTGCGATGCCGGAGCATTGAGTTGGGTGATTCGAGCTCGGCTGACTTCATGACAACTTCGACCGGTGGGGTTGTTGCTGTCGTCTGAATGGATGCCGATACGGATGGATTGTTGTCGATGGAGCTGGTACTGTGGTTTGAGGTGGGTTGGTGTAATGTCTGCGATAGTGAAGTGTTGAGGGCCAGTTGAGAATGCGGTATAGTTTCTGTATTTGCGGTTTGGAGAAGGCTGGGTGAGCTGAAGGTATGGTCCGGGTGGCTGGTCGATGTAGACGTTGTTAATGCATCTGTTGGTATTAGAAGAAGGGTCGGTGTCGATGTTGTAGTTGTCGCTATTGTTGTAGACAATGAGGCGTCGCCATGAGTCAAAGGTTGTCGAATTGCTCTGCTCTGACTGCTAGCATTGCTGCTGTTAGTTGTTGTATGGCGATGGTCATGATGATGATGGTGATGAGGATGATGGCTATGGTTCCTCGGGTCTGGCTGCCCATGGTGCTGCTGATGCTCAGGTTCCATAGAGTTCCCAGTATCTGGTATCGTTGTTGTCTCAGTTGGGTCCTTGGGATAGGCTGACGAAATTGGTGGCGTATAGTCCGTCCTTGGTCGTGTTGTCGTGTTCTGTTGGGCTATTGGTGTATAGGAGGAAGAGACTCTTGTCCTTGGATCCGGGGAGCCCCCAGTCTCCTTCATTCTTTGCTGTCTTTCTGTCTTTCCTTTATTCTGATGCCCGCGTTGTTGTGTAGATTGTGGTCGAGATATGAGACGAATAGGAGATGGGAAAGAAAGAGAGAGAGGAGGAGATGGCTGAGCGGGTGAGATATGTGTAATGGATGGGAGAGCAAAGAGTGGAAGAAAGAAAGAGAGGAATAGTGCAGAAAGGCAGAGAAGGAACTGGAAGGGTGTAGTCCAGTAGACTCTCGTTTATTTTTCTTTCGCATCAAGTCTATTATGAAAAACACTCGCTTGTATCGTTCTCGTAACGAAGTGCACATACAAGCGCGTACAGGCAGCGAAGTAACCCATGGGTCGAGCTGGAACCAAGAATAAAGGTACTCCATGGCCTGACCCATACGGACACCACGATTGGACACAGCGTCGGCATTATTCTAGATCAGACGCGTTCCCTTCTTTGTTAGGAGCAATTGGACACTGTGGGGCAAAGCCATTGTAACTGTTTCCTCTCTGACCCTTCGTGACTCCCTCTCCATCTCTCCCTCCTTTCCCCTTGTTCGTTTTATTTTGATGGAGAGGACGGAACAAGTTCCTCATCCAGGGACTGACTTGCAAACAATCTCCGATATCTATACAATTATGTGAAAAGGAGAGAAAGAGGTACGAAGGACTTGAGGGGGCCAAAGGGAGGCAGTAGAAGCAGTATGTATCCGCTATCTGTTGACCTCATCAGCGGAGTATCGTGGCGTGTTTTTTTTTTTTTGTCGTGAGGATGTGCCTGTGTTTACGAAACAAGGCAGCCAGAACGGATAAGGGAGATGGGGTATTCTTAGGCTATCTGAGCCAAGTTTTACTTTTTTTGACAGGCAGACAGGCAGGAGGGGCAAAGATAGGCGGGCAATGAGGGGCAGATGACCTTTGTCCCATCCCATGGCATGGGATATATGATGGGGTTTGTTTGCAACAAGAATGAAGAGAGTGAGTACGAAGTAGTGAGAGCCCAGGTCCATTTCTTTTCTTGCTCCGTGGGCAGTTTCCTTTTTTTTTTTTTTTTTTTTTTTTTTTTGAAAAAACCTAAAATAACGAACCAATTGAAGCGTGAAGAATGACGTGAAGGACAAGGCATCCCCATCGATTGACCATGGTTGAAGAGAGTGAAGGATTGAGCATGAGGGATGAGCATGTCGCATCGATGGATAATGACCATGGAGCACTTAATCACACCTTTGGTCTATCATCGTTGTCAACAGAGGGGATAAGGATAGGGTCATGAAGGGTCTCTGTCTCTCTCTCTCTCTCTCTCTCTGTCGGCACCCTGTGCTATTGTTATCCCTTCTGTCAATTAAGCCCAAGTACCCAACAGCATATGCACTAATTGCTTTCGTCTTCTCTCTTCCCGTTCACACCTCCTTGTACTGACCCCTTTCTTTCTTTCGTTCCTTTTCTTCACTTTCCCACATTCATATTCAGACTCCCTTCTCCTTTGCCCTTTCACTTGCCTTTATCACTCCCCAACTTTTTTCTCATTCTTTTTTTCTTTTCTCCTCTCTTTCTTTTCACTCATCACCATCTCTTTCGCTTTCTCACGCTCGAACCTTTCAGGACAAGTCTCACGCAAGAAGCAACAAACCAGCAACACAACAAACAACCACATAACAATATGGCACCCTTCTCGTCAAAGACCAAGAGTCCCTTCACAAAGTCGGACAACCTCCTCTTCGACCCCGCCCTGATCCCAGCATCCATCCAGGAATCCCTCCCCGCCGGATATGTCGTCCGCCCCTTGGCCCGGTCCGATAACCAGGTCCGATCCAACTCCTCCTTCCTCAAGACCCTCGAGGTTCTCACCACCGTCGGCACCATCTCTGACGAAGCCTTCCAGCGCCGCTTCCAGTACCTCAAGGAGCATTCGGATCAGTACTATACGATTGTCATCGAGGACATGAACGTGCCCCCGACCTCTGCAGGATCTGCAACCTCTTCATCACCGTCATTGGTCACCCCCGGTCGGGGCAAGATTGTTGCGGCTGGGACCGTCCTGGCCGAACGCAAGTTTATCCATGAGTTGGGAATGGTGGGTCATATTGAGGATATTGCGGTCTCGGCCGACCAGCAGGGCAAGAAATTAGGTCTGCGGATCATTGAGACCCTCAAGGCTATCGGACAGCAGGTCGGTTGTTACAAGGTCATCTTGGATTGCTCAGAGAAGAACGTACCCTTTTATGAAAAGTGCGGCTTTGAGCGCAAGGGTGTCGAGATGGGCTGGTATGTCAACAAGCACAAGACCGCTAGCCCCTCTGATGCTTACGCACCCATCCAAGCCAAGCTCTAGAGGAAGAGGTTACACCTGGAGAACAGGAACGTCATGGTCGAAACCTCCTCGCCCTTTCCCGACCACCGTCTCTGTCCTCGACTTTCGACCCCCCCGGCTTTGTATTTTACTTCAAAACCCCAACCCATCCAAAAATACCACAGGTACATTAGCCGACCCCACCCTTTTTTTTCTTCCTTCGTTCTTCCTTCTCATCCCTCCTCAAAGGGTGAGTGGAACCGCTTTTCATTCTTCTTTTTTTTTTTTTCGCCTTGCGCCTTTTGTAGTTCTATTCTTCTCGTTTTCAAACCAATAATACATCTCTTCATTTCTTTTGCACCATTCATACACATTGTCTCATCGGAAAAGCCTGCTCTGTGCTCTCTTTCAATTAAAATCACGGATACTGTTCAAAACGGACAAAACAAGAGGGAGTGATGAGCCTTTTTTTTCTTTTCTTTCTTTCTTTCTTTCTGCAGGTTCCGTTGTGCCACGGACGAAATGGAGGACCCGTATTTGTGTTTTGTGGGAGGGAAACAATGGGACACAGAAAACAAAGAGCTCATGCACACGTCAACATAACACATCATGCTTGAAATGGGTAAATATGGTTTTACTTGAAAAGTGAGTATGCTTGGGGATATCAATTGAAAGGCAAAAAAAACCATTACTCGGTCTTGGGACGCTTCTCGGCCGACTCTGCTGGCTCAGGGGCGCCGCCAGCCGTAATGCTTGTGTCAGTTTCCGACTCGAGTTTCCTCTTGACGTCGCTATAGTGGAAATGAACAGGGTGCGTGTCAATAAAAGCGCATACAAGGGAGAAGGGAGGGGATGCTTTCCCGGCGAGCTAAAATAGATCGAAAAATAAGCACGGACTTTCATAAGGAAAACAACCCACCAGGGTAGAAATAACCAACACCCAAAGACGTTACCTTACCTTGCAAATGCAATCTCGGCAGGGAGACGGAACGAAATACAGTACATATCTTTGTTGGGGGCCACCTTTCGCACCCAGTGCAGCTTAACAGAGTCCAGCTCCAACTTGCCACCCATTACGGCCTCGACGCGTTCGCGGACATCGTCCTCGGGCTTGTCGCTCTTGGAGAAGCAGTGGCAGTGGATCATGGGTAGCTGGACCTTGGGTTCTGGGATCTGTTCCTCGCGACCCTTGAATAGTCCGCGGAAGGCGTCCAGGAACTCGATTGCTGTTGCTGGGAGGTTCATTACAAAGTGGTCAAATGTCTTGAACTTATGGGCTGGGGCTGTTGGCGTGACGGGAGCGACTGGTGCAGGTGCAGCAGAAGTCTCAGGCTTGGGAGCAGCAGCACCCTTCTTGCCCTTGGGCACTGTAGGAACTGCCACTGGGGTCTGGTATCCTGACTTTTCCAAATCCTCGACCGCCTTGCGGATGAACTCGCGACCATCCAAGTTGTAAATAAGCAAATTATCCTTGATCTACGATGGTAAAAACCAGGCAGTCATACTCCTATGTTAGCGAGTTATCCAATAATCAATATCCAAAGAAGTGCTTTTCAAGCGCGACAAGCGTAAAGAGAATGTGTACCTTGTTAAGGCCCTTGTTCTCGAGCATGGACTTGTATGAAGTGGGGTTAAGGTCGTTAGCGTAGACCATGCAGCCCTTCTTAGAGGCGGGCATGGCAAAAGGACCCACTCCCGCCATGACATCGCACACAGCGTCCGTTGGCTTGAACATCTTCACAAGACGGTCGTGCTCAGTGTGAAGGCGAGAGTTCCAGTACACCTGAGAAAAGTCAAACTTGAATCTGCATCCACTTTCTTTCTATCAGATCGTCGAAAGGTATAGCGTTAGAATCAATCTTAAGGTCTTGACAGAAAGCAAAGGGCGAAGTTAAACGCGCTGAGCACTGCCAATCGACGACCCAACATTGTCCCGTGCACTTACGACTTCAGCGATCATGTTATCCTCTCCTGCAAGAACTTCCATCTTGAAGAACCGGAAAGTAGTATCAATCGAATCCGTCTTGTTGACAACCGTCTTGAGGTTAGGGTTCTTGTCCAGAATGACCTGTCCAATGAGTCCCTTGAAGGGGAGGTATTCGTCCTTGAGGTTCATATGGGCGATATGTCCGACTGTTGTGAACGAAGAGGGAGCCTCGTCGATAATCTCCTCTGGAAGAATGGCACGCAAGATCTCGTCTGCTGTCCAGTGGTCGTATCCAACGCTGATCTCGGCCTTTGTCAAGTCGATGCCCTTCTCCTTGATAAACTCCCTTGTCTTTTCTGACGCGCCTTCGAGATCTATTATTTAGAAGCGAGAATATTGTTTGGTGGTTAGGGTCTAGAGCGATAAACAGGCTCGATATTCAACCAAAAAACATGCGATGGAACATGAAGCCTTGGGCATGAATGAGGGCGATCGTTTACCTTCGGTCTGGATATCCAGGTTCAAGAGCACCAAGCGCTTGGACTTTTCGCCATCGTCACTATCAATGACATTCCTGATCTTGGGCTCCAGCAGCATATCTCTATAAAAATAGTTAGATATTCCGTTGTTAAATAGCTGGGCCGAGCAGAAGTCTGGTTCCTAAGTTCCTTGTTCAATTGCATCGTCCCTCTTCCTGGAGGCGTACTCCTATTTTGGTGGCGTGCTTGTGAAAAACAAAAAGGGCACATACGTTCCGAGAGTCTTCTTGCATTCCATGGTCATGGAGGCGGGGATACGAAGAGCCATTGCACTGACAGAGGTTTTGAACAGTGACCTGTCGAGAGTCAAGAGACCTCGCTGAATGGCTGGTGGGGGAATCATCCTGTTCCTTTGGTGTTGGTAATGAAGAAGTAAAGAAAAAGAATGCTGGTGAAGGAGCTGATCTCTGTTTTCTGTGAAAAATCGCACTTGGAGGCTGAGTTGGGTGGGCAGTCACTTCTTCATTTTCGGTGTTGAGAAAGGCGCTTTCTCCCTGTGCATTTGTTCCTCTAGCTCAACCTACCTGCATTCAACTGCGCCCTGTCAACTGCATACAGGGGAGACTGACTGAATTGCTGATATTTCTTTCAGCACAGAAGAAGTAGGGGAACAATGTCGGCAACAATGGTCAATATTGGATGCTGATCAATGGTGTTTATGGGGCGGCAACAACACATAGGTAAGTACGAGTGCAATGACGACAGGTTGCCTTGTCCATGTGTGTGTCACTGCATACTTGTTCATACAATGGCCGGCTCAAAGGCGGGCGTGGGCATTGGGCCATTAGGCAAAATGAACGGTGTCCGTTACTTTGTTAAACTAAGCTCCTCAAGCAACTTTTTTTTTGAATTTTTGAGACTACATCAATTTTCCTCCCTTTTTTTTCTTTTTTCTCACCCTCTCCACTTCTCTCCACTCCGCTCCCTCCTTCACCATCCATTCCTTCTTGCACTCACCTCCACTTGCAGTCACCTTAACTCCCAGCCTTCCTCCTTACACACACATACCACGATGGATATCGAAGACTTTGCATACCTTCCTTGCAAACCCAAGGCCACTCACGTAAGGCGATCGTTCCTTCATTCCCTAGTTTGACTTATCCTCCACATTGAAGAGGACCGAGCGGACCTCCAAATAACAAGGCGCATCGTCCACAGCAGTTGACACTTCCTTTATTCTTCCTCCTTTGCTTCTTTTCCACCTTCCGACTAGTTCAACCCCATCACTCTTCGTAACCTCAAACCAGGATCCACCAAGGAATATTGTACCTGCGGACTGACCAAGACCGGTGTCTGGTAAAAAAAAACAAAAAAAAAACGCACAATTACACAAAAGACGAAAGCAATTATCATTGGAACGATACGCGCGTAGCACCATAGCTCAGCCCATCTGAATAATGGCCTTTTTTTCTTCATGATATAGGTGCGATGGTAAATCTCACAAAGGTACGACATTCAAACCCCTGCGCTGGAAAGTCCCTGACATACCACAGACAATCTACCTCATGTGCGACTGCAGATACACCACTCGCCCTCCGTAAGTCCTTCTTCTATCGTTTCATCAATCAACAACGTCAATCGCATTAACGAAAGCACAAATCCATCATTTTCCTCCCAACTAACTTCCCTCCCCTCCCTCCGTCCTTCTCCTACAACCAAACAGCTACTGCGACGGTTTGCACATGGACCTACCACTCAAGTACTTCAAACAAATTGAAAAGTGCTCCAAACAGCCCCACGATCCAGAGGTGACAAAACTCTGTGAAGAGTGTGGTTGGGCGGGACCTCGTGACAAGTGGCCCGAACTGCCCGAAACTGATTCTGAAGGATCAGATTACACTACTTCTGAGGATGAAGGGGAAGATACGGAGGAGGCCAGAGTAAAGAAGGAGGAGAGGGCGGCAAAGACTCTTGCAGCCAATACTCCAAAAGTGCAGATTGAACTTCAATCCGATCAGGAGGTTTCTTCAACATCATCGACATCCACAGCAGCTGCTGCAATGGTAGGGGAGAATGTCACGGTGCAAGTCCAACGTGGGTGCAGTGGCAGCTGCAAAACAAGGCACCACCAGGAAACCGATACCAACGACGACGGTGTCGCAAAAGTTACTGATGGCCTGAACAAGACCAGTCTGTAGATTCTCCCTCCGCCCACCTCAATCTTACACATCCACTTTTCCATCCGTACTATACACATAATAGAACTGTTGGTTATTTTTCATGTTATTGTTATGCGAAAAAGTAAAAAGTGCAAGTGACTATGAACAAAGTAGGGGATATGGTTGAGTATGGTTACAATTGAGGATAAAGGATTATATGCGTGCAAAAGAGATGGAGATGTGTATTCACATCTAGTTCAAGAAGGTCGTATCAACTCCATCAGCAAAGTCCCAAATGATGATCTAAAAAATGAACGAAACCGATGATAGTCAATGGTTAGCTTCACATAGCTGGCTGAGCGAAAAAAAAGAACGATATGGCAGAAGAACAGAAACAACTTGTGCTACCTTTTGGTCCTGTGAACAGCTCACAATCTTGGAGTCGTCAAACTGTAGCTTGAACACCCGGTGCGAATGGCGTCCTCCCAAATCGGTCAAAAGATTGCCAGTTGCCTGGTCCCAAATCTTGATAGTCTCATCATAACTTCCGCTGATGATCCGTCCTCCCGCAAACTGCAATGTTCGTACGAGTCCCTCGTGCCCCGCCAAGGTGTTGATACACGCTCCTGTGGAAAGGTCCCAGATCTTGATCGACTGATCCGAGCTCCCGCTGACAACAACATTGCCCTCAAACTGGATGCAAGCGATACCTCGGGCATGACCCTCCAGCGTCCTCAGACATTCACCCGTCTCGAACGACCACACCTTGATCGTCTTATCGCCGCTGGCAGATACCACGAGTCTCGGGTTTCCTCGGAAGGGGGACGGCGCCGCTGACTCTGGTGAGAACTGGACCGCATTGACAGCAGCACGATGTCCCCTGAGAGTCCTCAGCAGCTGTCCTGAGCTGATCTTCCAAATCTTGACACTCCGATCCTTACTGCAGCTGACCACAATATCCTTCTCGAACCGCACGCTCAGCACACTGTCGATATGACCATTCAGCCTCTGAAGGATTTGGCCGGTTTCTAGATCCCAGACAAGAATGGACGTGTCACTGCTTCCGCTCACAATCCTCGTATCGTCATACTGGAGACACAGGACGCTGGCAGTATGGCCAGAATATGTCCTGACGCATTCGCCCGATCTGATGTCCCAGATCTTGATGGTGGTATCCCGACTGCCGCTGATAACCTTGTAGCCGTCAAACTGGATACAGTAGATCCCTTCGGTATGTCCTGGAAGCTCTCTTGCCAAATGTACTCCCTGCGTCCAATTCTTTTCCAGCAGCTTGCGTTGCATACACAGGTACTTCCAGTTGATCGTCGCGCGACCAGAAATGGGGTCTCGATGGGCTTGAAGGATCTCGGGGGTGAGGAATTGTGATGGATATGGTGCCTGAGATCCGATAAAGTCGATGCACTTTCGAATCGGTTGATTGGATCCGTCTGAGTTAGAGTTGGTGGCGGAATTTGAGAAGGAGGCTGTCACAGGAGAGGCTGGAGAAGATGCAGATTGGCGATTTTGCCGAGAAGATGCTGTTGGAAGAGGCAGTGGGAAATGAGATAGCCAGGTGGGCAGCGATGGCGTGTGATGAAAATGCATGCCTTGATGGGACGACGCTCCCGAACCATCGTTCCTGTCGCCTGGATCCGAATGTCGATGCACATGAAGCGATGGCCAGGCAGGTGATCCTGATACGCCCATAACCCCATGCCGTATTACACTCCAGAGGCTTTTCGCTGAAGTCGGAGAATGTGGTTCGTTTGGAATATTGCCCGAGAAAATGGGCGAAGTCAAAGGCTGACTACTTGACGCTGCTGCCTGTGATCCGAGTTGTTGCTGGTCCGCTGAACCGCTCCTCTGGTGTCCAAAGAATCTTGACGACCTGGAAGATGTCGACGTAGGAGAAGAGATTGTCGTTAGGGGGTTCGGGATCCGGATAGGCGATGGTGGGCTAGTTCGTTGCGACATCTTCCTTAACATTGACGGCGGAGTCATAAGGTTGCTGCCAAGGGTGTATATCGGCATCCGAGGTCGGTGGAGTGATGGCATGAACGAGTTTGTCGGTAAAGAGAAACGGCCCTGACGTTGACCCATTGAAGGCGAGCGCAGCATCGAAGAAGAACCCCGAGAACGCCCAAATGTTCCCGCGAAGCTGAATGAGGTGGATTCATCAGGTGAAGTGGACGTGTCCCGGGAAATAGGGGAAGAGGGTGGAATGGATATTGGTGAACTGGTGTCGTCGTAGAAGTCGGAAGAGTTGGATGTTGTCGCTTCAACGGGATCTGATGGTGCATGTGTCAGGGTCTCAATGGCGTCAATATCTGTTTGGTGCTCAGGATCAAACTGCGTTGGCGAGAATCGGTGCAACTTGCGGTCGCCTTCTTCCTCTGGGTATCGCTCATACGGTGTTGTAATATCTTGCAGCATGTCATAGTCGTCACCACTGCGCTCTGCAGCATCATCCTTGGGGTCGATATCCACCACTTTACGGCGTTTGCCGTTGCTCACTGCAGACCTTGCGGCAAAGATGACCCTGTCCTCGTGCTCCTGTTCCTGCTCTCGCTCAAGGGCTATCGATGCCATCTCCAGTTCTGATCCCTTGAGATACCAATCGATCATATCCTGGTTGACCGCCCATCCATGTCGGATATAGATCCCCTTCCAGACAGCGTTATCTGATGCGAATCGGTTCCATTCCTTTGAGACGAGGGCAACATTCATTAGCGACCTTTCATCGAGATATGAGAGGAGATGGACTAAAGGAGATCCCAAAGAAAGGGTCAACAATTAATTCACTGGAAAGATTTCTTCCTGGCCAATGGTTTCGATCATTTCCTGTTTCTAATACCTGTGAGTTCGTAAGGTAACTCTGCCAAGAAGTCACGGTGTTGGAGCAAAGGAGTGAGTCGAGCATAGGCTCGTGAGAACACCATGGGCGAAACAGACTGCAGCAACTGAATCGCCAGCTCTATATTTATACGAACATGAAGTGCGAGGTTAGGGTTTTGGGAAGTACGACGGAAGGAGAGAGGATAATTGTTTGGCCGTAGTCGAACAATGAACAAAAGAGGAACTGCAATGAATGCCGGGACTGACCAGCTCGTTGTTCCTCACTGAGCTGCAAGGCCCACTTGGGCACCTCTGTTCGTTGCTCGTAGTAGCCTTCATCGGGTATATTGGGCGAGGGTGGGTCTGTTGGTTCCCTGTAGCGTGAAGCCCGGGAGGCCGAGGATGACCGTGATGGGCCGGACATGGCACTGGTGTGTGGAATCAGTCCTTGTCTATTGTTTTGTTGCTTGTCGGTATGTCGGGTGGTAATGAAATCGACCGTGTGAGTTTGTGGAGAAGGTGGAAGTGAACGAATGAGAGGGACGGAGGGAGGGCGGGGAGGAAGAAAGTTAAGACAGCGGTGATGATGCTGGCGGTGGTAGTGGAAAGTGGAAAAGAAGAAAGGAAGACAAAAAGGATGTGGTTGGGAGAGAAAGCAAAGCCTAAACTGCAAGAAAAAAAATAATAAATTTGCTGCAAGGCAAGGTCAGCCAGATGAAAATAAAAATACATACAAACGGTGGTGGTGGGCTTGGACCCCTTTGGCATCCCGGATGGTCCGATGGTTGGCTTCTGTACTACCCCATGGTTCTTTCTTCCTCATTCTCTTCTTGATAAACATACATTCACACACGCAAGAACAAAGATCGATCCTCATTCACTCTAACATTTGTTCATATGATTCTTCTATTTTTTTATTTGATGCCTCTCGTTGCTTTCAATCAACACGGGCACGCTTGGCTTCCCTGGCAGACTCGTCTTCTTGTAGGTCATCTTGTGTCTTGTCGCTCACTCCTTCCTCTGACTTAGTAATATCATGCTTGCCTCCATTTGAGCTCTCGGCATTATTGCTTGATCCTGCTGCTGACTTCGCGGTGTTGCTCTCATTGTCACTATCATCAGCAAGTTGATATTCCAGCCGAGGAGTGCCTGGGTGATCGGCAAACAGCACTCCCCTGAGCAGCTCCGCAACAACCCACACGTTCAGACTGTTTCCAAGCAACTTGTATCGCTGAAGGGCCTTCAACTTGTCCGGGAACCGCAGGAAAGGTCCCTCTGGTCCCTGAGCCAAGCGAGGATTGAAAGGACGGACCGTTGTCAATGAATCTCCTGAACTGTGTCCTGACGGTGATCCTGACTCGATATTGTCTGTGGTGCTTGTGCTCTCAAAGGGGTCATGTGATCCATGCTTCTCGTCCAAGGGGAAAACGTGTATCCGGGCAACCTCTGTTGGTGTCAAGAACCGAAGCCCAAGATCTGCAATGGATTCTGAGTTGCTATAGTCGTATTCCTGTTGGTCCATCTTTTGAGTCTGAAGCAAACTACCGCCACCAGCGACATGGTGGCTGCCGTAAGCCTTTGTGAAGCACGCTGATCTGGTCGAGGATGGTTGCAAGATGTCTAATGTGATAAGGTGAGAGTTAGCACGTCGGTTCCTTGAGCACCCTTTTACAGCAACCTTACTGCCAGTAGCTATTAAAACCTACCGAATCGAAAGTTTGGCCTCTCCAGGATCAATTGGCGCGACAAGTGATAGTCCTTTCCATCCTTTTCATTCTCGTCCATGAACTTTTGCAGCTCTGGTATAATGAAAGTATGTTGCTGATGATTCTTCCGTGGGTCCTCGACAAATGCTGGAAGTGGCCACGAAGTGTAAATGATCTCGGTCTCCGGGTCAAACTTCACCGGCTTCGGATCTGTGTTGTCCTGGGTTGTTGGTGTCGCTGATGTGGAAATATCAAAGCTGGATCGCAAGCGAGCCATCAAAAAGTACCGAAGTCGATCGTTGGGAATGCCAAAGTTGTAAGGTGCAAGCAGACACTCACGGAAGACATATCCCATATTGTGAAGGAGTGTCACCAGTCTGTGTCGTGAACGTGATGTCTACACAGTCGACATGAAAACGAGAGTTCTGGTCAGTTGAATGTCTCTTGTTGTTCATGGTACGCCTGAAGAGTGTTTTCGCCTGTTGCTTTCCTAACCTCAAAGTTCTTGACGTTCTCCAGAAAGAGGTACTGCGGTGGTGTCTTCATCTTTTCCAGCTGATCCAGCAAATGCAGGAGAGGCTTAGCCCGGTTGTCTTGATCGTCTAGCAGCTTTCCTCCGCGTGTGTAGGGCTATCACAAACCATTTAAAAGTAAAACAAATGTTAGGTGGAGCAATTCAGCATGGTCAGCCACTGTTCACAAACGCGCTCTCGATCTAATATACCTGGCAAGGCGGGCTCATCAACCAACAGTTGGCGTTGTATCTATCATTAAGGAATGATATGTGTGTGTCAATTGTCTAAGGCGAAGAGAAATCTCCTGTGCGGACACAATCGCTACTGCGACATTTCATACTTTTCAATGTCCTTAACCATCAACCGGTCGATTCCTCTCTAAGATGAACATGCAGAACGACAAGGGTTAGCATTGGAACGAGAACATTTGATAGAGCACAGCATTCGAATTGTTGAAAGATAGGCAAAAGATATCTTACCGAGATGGGCGATTTTCCAAAGCTTAGTTTGTAGGTATCGTTCGCCTGCTGGTTCATGTCAAAGCTCTCCAGCACTTGACCATTGGCACCGCTGGCATTGAAACCAAAATGCTATTCGTCGTAAAGAAACGCCGAGGTCCGGTTAGGTTGCGGTCGCAATATCAATGGCGACGTTGTTCCTGATATTCTCACAAGACCCGTATACAAACCAAGCCTCCAATGCCGCTGAAGAATTCCAATGCTCGAATGGATGTCATGGTCTCTTGTTGGTGAGTAGAGGTTGATCAGGCAAGGTTGAATGAAAGGTGAGAGACCTTGGGTCAAGAGTGTCACAGAGTTGGAGGATTCAACCAAGCCACTCTAATCCTTTTGGTGGCAAAAGATTTTTTTTCTCTTTCGCCTTGGAGAAAAAAAGCCTTGGACCTGCGTTTGTCCATACGGGCTATTTTCTTATCCCCACCATTCACTTTCTTTTGCGAGAATGGTATCTCATTGGCCTTTGGCGTCAGTTGCTTGTATGCGCAGTGCATGAATTGTAGTAGAAATGATAAAGGAAGAAACAGAAAAGGGAGTCAATCTCAAGGTATGCAATCCAAATGAACAGGCCCTATCAGAGGCGAAGTCAAGCAGCTTTATTGTTCTCCCACATGGCATTCAGCAAGATCTTTGGGCAACAAGTAGTGGTGATAAACACAGTGTAGGAAAAAGCAAGCTAGTCGTCGTCGTCGTCGGAGCAACGTCGTGGTTCGAAACCCGCTCGTGCGTGCTGCACCAATGACCCATCGTCTTAAAAAACCTTAGTGTTGGACAAACAAAAGCCAAGCCACCGCCAAAATAGAAAAACAGGCGCCTGGTCAGAGATTTGTGTTTCTTCCTCTTCCCTCTCCTTCAAATTCTATACATCATGTCTGAAGTTACTGACTTGGCCATCGGAATCGATCTCGGGTTAGTTTTCTTATTCTATTTCGACTACTCAACTTCACACCTGGGGGAATTAGACAGAACTCGGATCTTTTTTTCTTTTTTTTTTTCTCTTCTCTCTTGCAGCAGGATGCTAGCAAGATGAGAAAAGGCCTTTTTTGGGGTTTAGAAAAGATTTTTCGCACTCAAACAGACAACAAAAAAGACAGCAAAGCGACAAGCGACTAGATACAGCAACAGGAATACAATACATCAACTCGTGGACGCATGGAGATCAGCACGCCAGAGCCGAGGCAGTCTTTTCGATCAGCATCTCGGTTTGACTCATTTGCCCAGTTTCAAGCAGGAATCAGCAGGATTAAGGACAGGATCGAGATTCTGATCCTTGAAACGACAGCTCCACAAGAGGAGTCAGACCATCAATACCCCTATCAAGCGGCAAAGGGCTAATTGATACAACCACGTACGCAGAAGAGGAGTGGACGAGGCAAGCCCTAACTCCAATCGACAATATCGACAGTATCGACAACACAGCGGTACCCAGTCAGCAATAACAGTAACAGACAAGGAGATAATACATCCTTTTTGGCGATTGGAGCAAGCAAGGCCAAGCGGCGGTTCAAAGAGAAGGGTCCACCCTGCAACTCCAACGGAAGAAAAAATATTCAACTTCAACAACAAAGAAAACACCGACCAACCGACCAGCACGACAGAGAAGTGGAATAAGAGGGGATATGAGAGCGATAATCGCAATACGCACACTCTAGAACACAAACTGGAAAAAATGAGTCAAGTTTTCCTAACCCAAACCCTTTTCTCGTTAACCGACAAATAGTACCACCTACTCCTGCGTTGCTGTCTGGGAGAGCGAGCGTGTCGAGATTATTGCCAACGAGCAGGGTAACCGTACCACTCCTTCGTACGTTGCCTTCTCCGAGCAGGAGCGTCTCATTGGTGATGCCGCCAAGAACCAGGCTGCCATGAACCCCACCAACACCGTCTTCGATGCCAAGCGTCTTATCGGTCGCCGTTTCGATGACCCCGAGGTCAAGTCTGACATGAAGCACTGGCCCTTCACCGTCATTGACAAGGACTCTGCCCCCTTCGTCCAGGTCGAGTACCAGGGCGAGAAGAAGGAGTTCTCCCCCCAGGAGATCTCTGCCATGGTCCTCATCAAGATGAAGGAGATCGCTGAGGCCAAGCTCGGTAAGACCGTCACCAAGGCTGTCATCACCGTCCCCGCCTACTTCAACGATGCCCAGCGTCACGCCACCAAGGATGCCGGTGCCATCGCCGGTCTCGATGTTCTCCGTATCATCAACGAGCCCACCGCTGCCGCCATTGCCTACGGTTTGGACTCCAAGGAGACCAAGGAGAAGAACGTTCTCATCTTCGATCTCGGTGGTGGAACCTTCGATGTCTCCCTCTTGACCATTACCGGAGGTGTCTTCGCCGTCAAGGCCACTGCTGGTGACACCCATTTGGGAGGTGAGGATTTCGATAACACCCTCTTGGAGCACTTCAAGGAGGAGTTCAAGCGCAAGCACAAGAAGGACATCTCTGGTGATGCCCGTGCCACCCGCCGTCTCCGTACCGCCTGCGAGCGTGCCAAGCGCACCTTGTCTTCTTTGGCCCAGACCACCATTGAGGTCGACTCCCTCTTCGAGGGTGTTGACTTCAACGCCAACATCACCCGTGCCCGTTTCGAGGAGATCAACTCGGTCCACTTCAACAACACCATCGACCCCGTTAAGAAGGTCCTCAAGGATGCCAAGTTCGCCAAGAAGGAGGTCGATGAGATCGTCCTTGTCGGTGGTTCTACCCGTATCCCCAAGATCCAGTCTCTCCTCCAGGAGTTCTTCGATGGAAAGGAGTTGAACAAGTCCATCAACCCCGATGAGGCCGTCGCCTACGGTGCTGCCGTCCAGGCCGCCGTCTTGACCAACCAGGCCGGTAACGCCGCCACCCAGGATCTTTTGCTCTTGGATGTCGTCCCCCTCTCCCTCGGAGTTGAGATGCAGGGTGGTGTCATGGCCGTCGTTGTTCCCCGTAACACTGCCATCCCCACCATCAAGAAGAAGACCTTCACCACCACCGAGGATGGTCAGACCACCGTCCAGTTCCCCGTCTACGAGGGTGAGCGTCCCATGACCCGCGACAACAACTTGCTCGGTAAGTTCGAGCTCTCTGGTATTGCCCCCATGCCCCGCGGTACCCCCGAGCTCGAGTGCACCTTCGAGTTGGATGCCAACGGTATCTTGAAGGTCACCGCCATGGACAAGGCTACCGGTCGCAAGGCCAACATCACCATCTCCAACGGAGCTGGTCGCTTGTCCGCTGCCGATATCGAGCGCATGGTCAACGAGGCCGAGAAGTTCAAGGATGAGGATCGCAAGAACGAGGAGATCGTCCAGTCCAAGCAGGAGCTCGAGTCCTACGTCTACCAGATCCAGGGTACCCTTAACGAGCCCAACGTCTCCATGAAGCTCAAGCGTAACGACAAGAAGGCCGTCGAGGAGGCTCTTGAGGAGGCCATGGCTGCTCTCCAGATCGAGGAGCTCGCCGAGAAGGACACCTTCGTCCTTGCCCAGCGCAAGCTCAAGCGTTCCGTCACCAAGGCTTTCGCTTCCCTCTCCCGTTAAAGAATTTTTCCTCCCGCTCTCTACCTTCCCCCATGCGTGTGTCTTTTTTGAATCGAGAAAATAAAAATGATAAACTTTTATTTGTTATCTCTCTTTTTTCAATGTGCTATGGTTATTAGTTCTTATGAGGGATATCCTTTGCTAGGGTTTTTCTGTAGTCATGAGGGATATATCTTTGCTAGGTTGATAATGTTCTCATGAGGCCTTTGATTTTTCAAAGCCCAATTAGGTTGGTTGAGATACTATTCTAGACGCTGCAACAAACAGGTGGTGCTCTTGTTGTTGTCATGGTCATTCGGACGAAAGGTCATGAGAACAAAGTATGAGAGAGAGAGAGAGATAGAGAAGAGTACAGGACGCCAGGTACGTTTCTTGACAACGTGGATAGCATCACTCACTCTCACACAAATACACGCATTTTCTCGTATGTTTGCAGCTAGTTATTTCTTTCCATTTGCACCCTATCATGAGGAATGAGGTATTAATGATGGCAATCATTTTTTTTTTGCAGGGCCGCCCCCCACTCACTCCGCTACACAAACCAAGGCACAAATTTCAAAGTCCCAGGTAGTTCCTATCTATTTTTTGTGTTGCCTTTTTCTTGGCTTTAGCACATTCGTGCACCCTTCACGCGCGAGAGCGAGCAAGAGAGCACGACTGCGAGAGAGAGAGAGAAAGGGAAAGAGAGAGAGAGAGAGAAAGAGAACGATGGAGAAGGAATACAGTTGGAAAAAAGGAGAGAAGTGAGAGAAACAGGTTCGGCCCAAACAAGCGGTTTTTGTCCGGGAGAGCCCCATCTGGCCATACAATTTATTCCAGCCCCATTTAACAGCGAAGTAAAAGAAAACAAGCGGTAAAATGCTTCCAAAGAAGCACTAGGCCAGCAAGCAACAGCGCACAGGAGCGTTGCGAACCATTGGCCGAGTTGTGTTCTCCCACTCCCGTTGTTCCATGCAATTTAGTGAAAAGTTGTGGTTGGCTGGTTTTTTTTTATTTGTTTGGGTGTGTGTTTGAGGTTGGTTGTTTTACTATGGTACAAAAAAGGTGTGGTGCGGAATGAGGCGAAGTAAATTAAGAATAAAGGAAAAAAGGAACGCTCGCTCGTTTGTATTGTTGCCGTAGCGCCCCTCCCCCAATGACCGTTCAAAGCTGGAAGGATACCAACTTGTTCATATGATCGTCATCACAGACCGAGGGCTTCATCCAGGGTGACGACAGCGCAGACCCGATAGTCGACATGGGCGAGGCCCGATGAAACGGGTCCGAGACATGGGCCGTTGATGCATCGGGAGTGTTGGCCCCCGAGGGAGGTGATGAGGCCATGGGGGTTGTGCTGGCAGAGACTTGGCGGATCATCCTTGACATTGCCGAGAACATTGATGATGTGGGGACGCCGAGGTGATTATTACTTGAGGTGTTGGAGGGAGTACTTGAGGAGGTGGAAGACGCGGTGGCGATGGCTCCGAGACGGGAGGTGAGGGCCGAGATGGGTCTTCCGGATATTGAAGACTTTGCGTCTTTACTTGAGGAGGAGGAGGAGGAGGTAGCGGCGGCGTCGATGGGGTTGATGGAAGGGGTTTTTGAGGGTGAGGTCGAAGGGGAGGGTGAGTTGCAACCCTGGCGGGCGTGGAAGTGTATCGAGGGATCTGCAACGTCAAGTAAGAACGACATTTTGTATCTGTTGTTTGTGTGTTGTTGCTGTGAGAGTAGAAGTGATATGTAGGCGGCAGAGAGCGTTGGTTCTATGAACGGTCTAGAGGTGGAGAAAACTGAATGAGAAAAGAAAGGGATGTGGATGTGGAGAAAGAAAGATGCAAGTTGATGCCGGATGTATTCACAGCAAAAAAATGTTTTGTTGCACACAAAAAATGTGACCGTTGAGAGACAGGGTGGAAAGGAGGAAGGGTGGAGTTGAAGCCTACTATTTTTAGGCCTCTTGGAAGTGGGTCCATGGCCCAATGGGCCAGGTCCCACGCCAGCACGGGCCAAAGCATAAACACCATTCGCCCATTTAAACTGGGTGCAAGGAAGGGAGTAGTAAAATAAGTGCCCCGGGCCCCTTCCATCTCTTTTTAGTATCCAAGGCGGGGAAGTGGGTATTACTACGGAAAGTAGTAATATTCGTCATGAAGAATAAAGAGTTAAAAAAAAATGAAGAGGTGTAAACGGAATGAAGGGTCAATCGACGTTAGGGCTGAGAAGGTGGTGATGCATGGTGTGCTTGTTTATTTTCAGAAAATGAAATGAAAAGAGAGCAAACTTGTAAACTTGTGGAGAGAAAAAGGGAAAACAGAAAAAATATAATAAATTAAACAACACGGATGGAGAGGACAGTGGAAACTTCGCGGATGACTCTGCTCAGAACCACCAGCACCGTCACCGTGACAAGGACAAGGTCCATCATCAACAATGCGCTCGCTTGCAACATAAACCGAGGTGCAAATACCTTCCACACCATCAAGTGTCGCCTGAACATGCCTCCCGTAAAGAACATGTTCGCCACCAAGACGAGCGACTGGTGCATCATCATCATCAGGCATAGGCGCGTCAACTCGGGGAAGAGGACAACAATGCCCAGCTTGTTGGCCTTGGGTGGCATCTGCCAAAGGACCACCAGTGGCAACGCCATCGCGCAGAGAATGAACGGTCCCAGGGTGTTGACAATCACCAGAATAGGCGAGAAAAAGTAGTTGAGTGTCGGCACTCCGATGAATGCAGATAACCACTGGATCGAGGAAAGCGTTGCCTGGTGACCCGTTGCGAAGAAGAACAGGTTGCCCATCAACGAAAGGACGACTGTTGGCAAGAGCAGGTTCAATGTCGGTGCCTTGGCCTGTTCCGCCTGAGCTGCTGACTGGATCGAAACTGCCGCTGCGATACCATCCGAGTTCTCGACAGACGCCTGGGTCTCGGCCTGAATCCTCGCAATCACACCCTGCTGCCAGACCGCAAAATCGGCATCCCTCCAAATATCGACCAGTTCCACAAGACAAGAAATCTGCGCTAATCCGACCGATAAGACAATCGTCCCCAGAGGTTTCTGCGTCAGGATCACAAATAGGAACATCATCGTCAGCGCCATGTAGTAGCTGGCTCCGAATGCGTTGGCGTAACCGAGAATGTAAATCTTGCGCTGAGTGGCCGGTGCTGTTGATGACGATCCTGACGGTTTCCTGTTTCCACCATCAATGGCCACGGGCTCTTCGACCGTCTGGATGTCCATGCAGAGAGGGTTCGTCCACCAGGCAGCCGGTCCGATGATCAACGCGAACCCGAAGGCAATGCGAACCAGGGTCGTCTTGATCCACAAGTACTGTCCTCCAGCCGACATACCACCCAGGAGTGGCTCAAAGGCATTGGCGTTGTTGCCAGTTGTCGCAGCACGAGTGCCGTCAGACTTAGATCCCTCAAAGTCGAGGACAGCGTAGAGTGTGCCCAGAATGATGCCAATGCGGAGACCATAATCGACCCAGAGAAGCGCGATGCCGTTCATCGACTTGGAGCTGCTGAGAAGTCGTCGGATCAGGTAAGGTGTGATGGCTCCACTTCCCACCAACATCACCAGGGACCATTGAGAGGGCACCGACTGTTGGGCCGAAGCATAGAACGTGGGCGAGCACAGATCTCCCTGCTCCTCGCGGCAGACGGTGGAGGTGGATAGGACTCGTGTCATGGTCATAAACGACAGTACAAGAATGACAGCCTTGATGCGGGCAGCCTTATCGGGAACACGGAGCGAGAACAAGAGACCGATAACACCGAACGTCTGGAGGAATCCGATAATAAACGTGCTCTCATGGACAATGTATGAGTTGGACGCAAAGATGAGGCAGTTCACAAAGATGAACAGGCAGGCCAGGAATCCTGACAATGGAGGCCACCGGATCAAGCGGAACACGTTCCAGCTCTCCTTCTTGGCGAACGACTTGGCATTCAGGGCAAGGCACAGCAGGAATCCTGCAATCGAAAAGGTCGACATTGAAAAGATCATAATATCCACCAAGCCGAGGGACGACTCCTGAACGGTCTCGATCTTCAGCAGCAATGGCTTCAAGTGGCGCGCGAGCGCGATACCCAAAAGAGTGCCTCCTGCCAGGAATCGCTCCAAACTAGGTGGCATCCCTACAGCGCGATAGATAGTGATATGGAGCAAGAGGCAGAAACAGCTGGCCAACAAGACTCCGCCTCCTGCTGCCATGAGTGGGACGTCAAAGTGGGCCCAGATCCGCTTGCACGAGCTCAACGATGTCCGCAAGTACTCCGAGTACAGCTTCAGGGCCGTGGCCAAATCCTCCGTCTTTGCCTTGGGATCCTGCCCAAGTTCTCTCATGAACGTCTCGGCACGCTCAAACAGCTCGCCAAACTCCATCTCGACCGCCAGCGCGATATCCGAAGTCGGGTGCAGCTCCATGTACGACTCAAAGTAGGTAGCTACCTGTGCCGCGTTCAGACGCGTGGCTCTCAACAGATCTCTGATCGCGTTCTTGGGATCCTTGGCCGAAAGAAACAGCTCGGGAATGACAGATCCCAAGTTGTTGAAAGGGATAGGCAAACCCAAGAGCAACGACAGCGTAGGGACCAAATCGATCTGCTGCACAGTCCTGTAGACATTTCCTCCAACGGGCTTGGTGTACCGCAGCGTGTCTCCGAGAGAGAACTGATCCAGCAGACTGGCGTCGATGAGCTTTCTCTTGGAATAGATAACCATGCCAGCCTCGACCTCATCGTCACTGTCGCCGCCGTGGTCTCCGTGTCCGTTCATTCCATGGTCGCCCATAATCACAACCAACGTGTCATCTGAAACGCTCGCGAGGACTTTCTCCAGCTGATCGTTCATTTGCTCCAGCTTCACAGCCATATGAGGGTCGTTTGGTCCATACGTATGTCCGCAGTGATCTACACCCAAGAAATGGGCAATCAAAAGATCCCACTTTGAGGGGTCCTCCAACGCAGGTCCGAGAGCCTTGATGACGCCGTTGTCGAGCGTGTCGAGATCGTGGGTATCCAGCGATGGGAAAGCATGTGAGTTGTTCGTGCTCAGGACACTAGGGAACAGTCCAGTCCAGGTGTCGTCGCCCATGAATAATATCCGATCCTGACCCCGCGACGACTCGAATTGAGCCAGCCAGTTGTCCTCCTTGAGAGCCGACGACGCAAAATTAGATCCAGCATCAATAATTGTGGGAAGAGTGCCCGTCGTCAAAGCCTTGAGCCGCTGAAGAGTAGTTGTTGGAGGATCGGCGACGAATTGATACACGAGCGTGTTATCTGGCTGCTCCTCGAGGAGTTTGTGGATGACGGGGAGCTTGTTCAGGTAGTAAGGTTCCTGCTCGTCGTCTGGCAAGTCGTGGTGAGGAACAACAAAACTATCAATGTCAAAGTCGGATGTTGTTAGAAGCTAATGGCATCGAGAACTTGACATACTGCCCGCTCTATTCACACTGATAGGGAGTGCGCTGGTACGTTCATCGTTAAAACAAAAAAAGGCTTACTCGAAACGCAAGGCGTCGATGACAATAACGACGGCCTTCTTGTACTGCTGGGGGTACCAGCACCTGTTAGAAGAGTCGAGTCTGTGGTCGGTAAAGATGGATTCGTCCATGTTGGTGTTGCTGCATTCACTCTTGGAGTCGAGGACAGATCTTGAGAGGAGGAACCCGCGTGTAAAGAGGTAGATGGCTCCGACATGGACGAGGAAGACCCAGAGAAGCAGCTTTGCGAGTCGTATGCTTGGTGCGCGTTCCTTAGTGGCTGTCTTTTGTGTAGCTGATGCAGAGGCTGGTCCCTTGGGGCCATTGGGTTTTGCTGTTGTTGTTGCTGTTGCGGTAGTTCTCTGTGAGGTTGTTGTAGCGGTGGTACGCGATCGTAGTGTTGCTGGTGACGGGATGGCGGATGCCTGTGCCTGTGCCTGGCCCAGGGATGGAGTCCTTTGAGCCATTTGAGGGCGGAATGGATGAGGAACGGTGAAGTAAGGATGGAATGAGGAAATAGAGTAACGAAGGAAAGAAAAGAAAGGATAGAAGAAGTGCGAGAATGTAATTCTCAAGGCTACGACAAAACCAAAGATCGACTGAACACGACCAACGTGAATACAAAAATAAAAAATTCCTCCCATTTTCTGTAAGCGTGAGTCTAGAAAGACTCTGGTCTCCACAAATTACTTTTGATGAAATTTTATTGGATCCTCAAAGATCCTTCTTTAGATTCCAAGGATCTGGTTCTTTTCTTTGCCACCCATCGACCGAGAGCCAAGATACAGCGACTCCTTCGAAAAGAAAATGTTGGGCGACGACGTTGCTCCAGCGCTTGACCCTGGGTTGTCACCGGGTCTCACTGACCGTCCAGGGCCAGCTTTCACCGTCGATGGGGTCCCGATCAGCACGCTAGACTGGATCAATCGGTAGTCTTCGTCCTCGTCCGACATGGCCTTCCCCATGTAGCTGCCACCCTCTGGCGACTGGACCACACGCGATGTGGCGGTGGCCGCCATTCGCCTTGACTGGGAGATGGGTGTTATGAACAGCGAACTTTCATGCTCCTTTCGTTTCGACTGTGCCCCATCGAGATTCAGGGTCATCTCCGTATCCTCGTCGACATCCATGCCACTGCCAGAGAGTTGTTGGTGATGATGATACGGCTGACCGTCAAAATCAAGCCGCTGTTGCTGGCTGTGGTATGGATTGAAGGAGTTGTGAGAATGGGCAGAACGAGTAAAGTCGCCATTCAGCCCAAGACCGAATGCCGTCACCGGTGATGCCCTCAGAGGCTGGCCCAAGGTCAAGTCGTCCATGCATACATCCTGATCCTTTTTCCTCTTGCTGCCACTGAAGGGCACCTCGCCCTTTCTCATCCTCACATATCGTTCTTCAAAGTTCCGTGCTGGCGCCTGTCTCGGGTCTGCCGCATGGCCTTCTGCCGCAGCGGGAGTCTGGCTCACGCCATTCTCAACAAGTGTCGTTGATCCAATCCCCAGACCTTCAAGAACAACTCGCAGAGACTCCTTGCCGTCGGGGACTCGATTGGCAAAGACGACGCGTATACTACGGTAGAGGTACACGTATCCAGGTGCAGGGCAGCAAAACTGCAGATGGATCGCATAGCGCAGTGTACCACTGCTGCTGACTGTCGACGAGACCGGTCCCATCCCAGCACCAGTCGAGTAGTATTTTTGCCGAAGAAACGTTTTCGTACCCGAGGGCATATCAGTAAAGTCGTACGGCACCAGGAAGACCTTCACAACCGTCTTGTTGGGATTCTTGATCATGACCTGAACCTGACCACGAAGAGGAATCCGCATTCCACCAGGCATCCTCGCGAATCGACGAGCGCCTCTGAAGCTGCTGTCCAGATCCAGGTTTCCAACGTACGGCAATATCGGATCATCCTGCGCTGTAGGAACAGCGCGCGTCAAACTGTGCGAGAGCGTATTGGGCGCCGATCCATGCGAGCCACTAAGCTGAGCACTGGACGAAAGGAACAGGCTCAGGTTGGGTGAGCTAGCATATGATCCCATGGGGTGATGGGATGGGCTTGTCGAGACATGTTGACTAAAGGAGAGGTTGGACTTGAATGAATGGGAGAAACTGGAGGGACCAGGTTGGGTCGAAAATGTCGGATGTGAATGTTGAGGATGGGTGTTTTGATGATAATAGGGGTGGTGAGATTGGTGATGATGGTGATGTTGGTGTTGGTGGTGGGTGCTGTGGCTTCCATGCTGATGTTTGTTGGAGGAGCTCTCATAGTCGTAAAAGACGGCGGGGAACTCGAGTTGGACATGCTTGGGACATCGGAGCTTTGGTGGGCAATCCTTGTAATCCTGGTTCGCCAGGACACCGATCTGCGCCGTGAATATCAGCGGTTTGGACGGCAAAGTGGACATTCTTCCAGAGAGGATTGATTCTTCGTAAGAACCGACCAACGATCCGAACAAGTCACCATGTGAGCCAGTCAAGGGATTCAGCGAACTTCTGCGAAGGTAAGAGTGCCGAGAAGGAGAGTTGGCGGACTGGGCGCGTGAGTCTAGGGTAAAGGAGTGTCGTTGATCCTGAAGAGAGCCCCAGCGGCGGGTCAAGTTGGATGATGGGCGACTAGAAGAATCCTGGTTGTCATCATCGTCGTCATCGCTATCATTGAAGAACTTTCGGTTGAGCTGAGTTGCTTCGGGGCTCTGAGTTCGCCCTGGATCAGGGGAATCGTCGCAATTCATGACAATCGAAAGCCGCGAAGAACGTCTACGCGTGATGACGTGGGCAAGAGGCGAGGTCGATATCGCGTGGCGTGATGGGTGATAATGCTGTTGAGTATAAGGTGGACTAGGCTGGAAGGCTGCTGGGTACTGCCCATACTGAGGAGCGACTGGTTCCGTACCAGTTGGCGTCTTTTCAAGTTGAGCTTCTGGTGACAAAGGCGAAGGCCCTTTTCTGTCACTCACACTGTCTCTGCGTGGCACGGGGATGGACAGTGGTGGTGAAGGTGATGGCGGTGGGAACCGGTAGGCCTGCATTCCTTCCTGGGTGGGTGTTGTGGACCCTGACCGTTCGTCATTCTTTGGCAGCAAGGATTCCTGAAGCACATTGGCACGAGGCGTTTCCTGCGCTGGATCCTGAGCAGCCGGGCTTGACCGTCCCATCGAAGACGAGATGGATGAGAAGAGGCGGTTGCCATTCTGTTTGAGTGCCTGTAGTCGGGCACGGAACTGGTCCTCTGGACTGAGGACAGGTGACGAAGACTGTTGAGTCCGTCGATCGATCACTGGTGGTGGATGTGTCGATCCTGCAAGATTGGCGTCTGGTATTGACGCTGGGCTCTTGGTCGGAAGCCCATTCAAGTTCAGGACGGTCGGTTCGCTGATGGGACTTCGTGCTGGCTCCTGTGCGAGGTCTGCTTTTACTGGCTGAGCGGCAGAGGTCCATGTCGATTCTTCCTTTTGTTGTCGTTTCGCCAATTTGGCAGCGGCAATGGCAGCACTGGAGGCGCTGGAGATCTTGGTCTTCGACGAAGAGGAGTGGCGCTTCTTCTGGACCTTGGTCAAGTCCTGGAAATCCTCCGGTGCAATCCTGCCTCCAACCGACTCATCGTACATGCCGGTGACTCGAATGCATCCCCATTGCATATGTGAAGCCTCAAAGTTGATTAGCTTTAGAGATGCTGCCTGCACGAACTCGAGCGGCAAAGTCGTCCTGAGCGAGGTGGCAAATTCTGTGTAAGGTTCCTCCGACAGATCGACCACGGGTGCATCTCTTGTTGTATCCTGCTCGCCTACGATAGGCTGTGTACAACTGTAGAGCGTCTTGTCCTGACGACTCTGGGTGATGTCCTCGCGCGCCGAGGTGACAGAGTAGGCGAGATCGTTCTTTGCCAGCTTAGTCTTTTCGTCGAATGATGTCAGGCAGTTCTGGAGAGGGAGAGATCGAATCTGGGTATATAGAGACTGCACTAACAGTACGAGATCGGTGGTGTCCTTGAGCTGGGCTGGCGCTGCTGAGGAGGGAGGACATGCGCATTGGGCGGTCTGTTGATGTTTGGCCTTCGGTGACAAGTATCCGGTGTAAGGACTCGTAATACTGGGTGTCGCAGGACGTCAGAGAAGCGGTAAATGCATGGTGACGGGAGGATTGAGGAGATGAAAGAATGATAGAAAGGGAGGAGGAAAACGACAGGGGTGGCAATGTAGAAGGAGGTTAGCAAGGTTGGTACAATACGACAGTAAAAAATAAAAGAAACAAAAAAAAAAGTTGATGGTAATCACGGGCCAAGCTTTCTAGGTCTCAGAAAGAAAGAAAAAAAAAAAGACTGAACCTTGAATCCCTCACGGAATGACACACGACCCTTACCTTGCCAAATCGGCTGACATTGCATTCGGCGACGATGCTGCTGTTGGGATAAACGATATCACCCAGCGCTCCAACAGGATATGTTGAGCAGAGTGCAGGATGTTGACGTGCACAGGTGTGCTGTTCCTCCAGAGATCCATGTCCTGCAAGACCGATTCTAGACTTGGCTGCTGTAGCTGTTGTGGTTGCGCTGTTGGCACATTGCAGTTACCACTGGTAGTCGTCATCTCTGCTACTACTGCCGAATTGGACGAAGAAGGGTAGCCAGGGACTGCCGGGGTGGGTGTTCTTGCCTTGATGATAATCTGGCCAATCTTGGAGAGGAACTCCATCACGGCGGGGTCAGGACCATGTTGGCAGCCGGAGTGAGCTTGACTGTGGCTACGACTGTGGGCGTGACTGTGTGAGGAAGGTCCATGACTGTGCAGATGCGAGTTGCTGGATTGGACTGTTGGATATGCCTGCTGAAATTGATGGTGAGGAAGTAGGTCCTGATCTTTGGTCGGTGTATCGACGACGGTAGAAGGAACAGTTCCAGAGAAGGCAACGGAAGGTTGCAGCGCGCTGTAGAAGGCATTAGGGGTCGGCATGATGTCTAAATGTATGCAAGGATATTTTTTTGGTTGTTGGATGCGATTGTGTAAGTGTACAAGGGAATAAAAAAAAAGAGCGAAAGAAAGGGAAAAAGGGAAAGAAATAGACCGGTGAGATTTTTTTTTCTTTCGCTTATTTGGATCCCTTATTTTTGCAAATTCAAACCCCAAGACATGCCCTTGTCTGTAAGGATGGGATGCACCTTTAGAGAAAAAAAAGGAGCCAAAATAACACAAAAACAAACAACATTAAAAAAAAAAAGTCAAACAATAACAACAAGGCCTAATGCAAATCCTCAAGTGCACCACAAGGGGGAACGAGCAACCGGGGATGGATACATATAGGAAGCACCTTTCTCCTAGTTGCATGCTAATTCGTTGTATGTTTCGCCGCATACCTTTGGACAACGCAGAGTCAACAAGAGGCTGTTGTTGTTCTTGTTGTTGTTGATGTTGATACAACGGCAAGGATTTTTTTGAGTATGTGGAAGTGATGAAACTATTGGCAAGTGAAGTGGTTGAAGTTTTTCGTGCTGCAGGAGAGACGACGGAGTAGTGAGAATGGGGTAGTGTTGTGGTGTTGGTGGCACTGTTGGTCGCGGGGTTGAGTTCAGAGTTAATAGAAGTATAAGAGGTAAGGGTGGAAGTAGTTAGGTTATTATTATTGTTGTTGTTGTTGTTGATAAGGGATGTGTTGCTGCAGGGAGGGGTTCGAGGAGGGGTAGGTACAGGCATGGTTGAGTGTAGGAAGAGAAGGTGAGGGTGAAAAGGGGAGAGACGAGGGGGGGGAAGCAGAGAGGGAAAAAAGAGCGGGAGGAAGAAGGGAGGCTGGTTATGTTAGACCGCCATGGTTGAGCAAGAGTGGAATGGGAGGAATGTGTGGACAATAAGGGATCCGATGAAGGGCGAAGAAGGAATGGAAGAGAAAGGGGTAATGAAGAGTGGGAGGGGTGGTGCGAACGTGTGAATGGTGAATGCGGGAAGGGGGGTTAACGAAGAAGACAACAAGAAAGGTCGAAAGGAAACAAAAAAGTGGGAGCACTTTTTCCTTACTGGAGGAAAAAAAAAAAAAAAAAAAAAAAAAAAAAAAAAAAATGGGAAAAGCAGTCATGCTGTCTTCTGGGGAGAAGAGGTGATCGCGTTCAACCCTTGTGAACGTTCCTATCCAAGACATATCCATGGAAGACACCGACCGACAGACGACGGCCATTGACTGAGCCTATTTATTCCGAAGGGATCAGAAGGGACATGAATCACATGAACAAGAAAACAGGTATCGGGCACCGTGTCATCCAACATCTCTCTTCCTCTCTTTTTGGTGGCGTGTATTCTCTATCTACAAGTAGCAGCTGGATGTCAAAATCCATGGCCCAATGCGTTCGTAGGCAGGAGGCAATTGTTTTAAGGACGCTTCTCCTCTTTTTCCGTCCTATCCTTTCGCATTCCCTGAGAACCTAATTTTAGCATGCTATTGTTCCTAGCCTGCTGCAAACAAAATACACAAGAAGGCTCCAGGATCCATAAAAACGTGCACTTCATCTCAACCTTTTCTTTGCTTTACTCCATTTCCATCTTGTTACCTTCTTTCGCCTCTACCTTCCAGACACAACTCCTCAGCATCCTATCCTACTTTTGATCCACAATGGTGTCAATAACATCCAACACCCACCGATCGCCACTACTCCTCCTCTGCATCCTCCTCCTCGTCGCATGCCTCTTCATATCCGTCGTTCATGGTCAAAACGACGACTCGGGTTCAGGTTCAGACTTAGACCCCAGCCTTGAAGAACCCGAACAAAATCCCTCCTCACCTTCTACTCTACCTTCTCCTACACCGGACCAACCGCCAGCAGCCATTCCACCACCTCCTCCTTCAACTCCTCCTTCAACTCCAGCAACACCACCAACCACCGCACCCGGCACCCCAGCACCCGCATCCTCAGGAACCCCAGGAGCTCCAGCCCAGCCTCCAAACCCAATCTTCTCCACCTCCGACGCCTGTGTAGCCTGCCAAAAAGAATTCCCTACCATCAGAAGCTGCACCGCCTTGATCCCTCCCCCAACTGTCAACTTGACCGTCATCACCCAAGTCCTGCCCTTCTACAACTGCCTCTGCAACAACGGCAACCTAGGATCAGAAATCGAAGCCCTGCAAGACTGTAGTAATTGTTTCCGTTCCACAGGTCAGAAGGCGTTCTTGAGAGGCGATTTCTATAATGTGACCAACCAGAATGTCAAGGCCATGAAGCAGGTCTGCGAGGAGACCGTTGGCGGAACCAGAGTGCCGACGAGCAGTAGTGGGACTGGAGCTGGAGTGGGGCTTAGGGACTTGGGGTGGTGCTTTGTTTTGGCTTTTGTTTCATCGGTATTCCTCGTTCCCGGTGGTCCTTGACCCGGGTTTTTATATATAGCACCATCTTATTGTTCACATTCCATACCAAACGCTCATAGACTTGCTCAAACGCGAAAATGAATTTTTATTTGGCTTTCTGGATGTCTGTGCATCCGTTTCCCATGAAAAGTCCAAATAGGCTCTTTTCTTTTCAGGAAGACGTGTCCATCTGGGTCTCAGCCCAGACAGGCTAGAGACATGAAAACAACAAATATATTAGACATGATCTCTTGCGCTACAAATGAACCCCATCAAACAAGAAAGAAGAGGCTCTGAACGTTACCTGGACGTAGGGCAGGACGGTGGGGATATCCTCCTGACGGATTTTGTAACGGCCGCCACTGAATACTCCGGCATCTGAAACGATTTGGGCAAATGTGCCCCTCAAGACGATCTATGAAAAGGCGCCATGGAAAATACCGAAATTAGATTCCAGTCCTGAACAAAAAGGGGAGCGCCCTCGACGCGCCTCCTTGATAATTACTTTAGAATGAAGTGAATGGCCCAACATAAGGAGTGATTGCTCTGCTTACATTCTTCTCCTCGCTGATGGTGGATTCTGGGCGGTTGGTGTAAAGCGTCTCGAGCCATCTGCCCAAATTAGAAAAGCTGTCGCCGATAGAGCCTGCCCTTCCACTCGAAGCAACCAAACGGAACGCGTTCAGCAAGAAAGTGACCACCTGCTCGTAAGCAGCACTATCGATCGCCGCGCACGGCAAGAAAAAGTCGTTCATGATCACTGTCTGCCACTTGCGCGTCGTCAAGAAGCGGGTGATCTGATGTTGGCGGAGGAGGATACCCACGAAAGAGTGGAAGAAGGACCGGTAGGTTACGTGAAGTGAGTCCATGACCTCTGATTGGTAGTCGTAATTGGCGTTTCTCTTCAGGCTAGCGACAAAGTTGGGCATGATCTTTGACAGGGCCTGGATGTCCATATGTGCTAGCCTGTTCAGGATGTAATGGCAAATGAGCTACCACGTTCAGGTTCACACAAGGTTATGCAGTATTCGTTAGTTTATGAGGAGCCTTGGGGAAATTGGTCGCTTTTACAAGAGTAGCATGATCGCCTGGTTACCTTTCGGGCAACTTCGCTATCATCGAGCGCCACCAAATTCTCCTCCGTAAACTCGACTTCATCAATCTGGTAGGGTTCTTCCGAGTCCTGCTTCAAACTGCGGATAGCATCGTTTAGGATATAACTGTTCAGCGTCGACATGAACTTGTCCGTTACATTCGCTTCCACTTTAGGGATCCTGAACTTTTGTTGTTGAACAATTCTTCTCGCATGAGCTCCAAGGTTGAGCATCGTAGCAGTCCAAATCGTAGTATTCTCAGCCTATTTAATTACATGTCCAGTTGAGAAGCGTTAGACATGCATGGATATTTACGATATCTATGTGATGGGTCCCAATGCCACCAGTGTGAACGACTGCCTTACTTGACCAAACCGCTCAGTCTGAGTAGCCTCGATCATGATTTGTAAAAGACGTGAAGCAATCATATTGGAGGTGAAGGGGTCGTTCAGAATCATGGCAATATCTCTATCAGAAAAGACCAACTTTTTGGGTTAGTAATGCACTCAACAATTGGCACAATTTCGATTAATAAAAAGGAATCTTCAATCGCCAACACACACCCATGGACAGGGTCATCGCGGGAAACTTTGTCGAAGAACTTGCGGATGTTCTCCACACGACGCTCATCCATTGACAATGTTCTGTTGCAGGCATCCAGATTCCAGACCAGTTCGTGAGACGGATCGTTTGTTGTAATCTACATCCAGGTTTGGCAAAAGGTAATAGTTTGTCAGTGAGAAGCCGAGTTTTCTCCGTCACCACTGTAGTGCAAGTCAGTACTGTCTGTCCAGAACCAACTTACAGCTCTAATGTTTGCTTCGTGACACGCCATCAACACATCGTAGCGCAGCGTGCAGTAAATAGCGTCGTTCGTCAGGACGAAGAGTGACCGAAGACTGTTCATGACGTTGTTGTATAGTTGCATATCGCCGCCAATAAAGTCCAAGAGCTTCTTGATACTCGCATGACTTCGCCTATTGTGTTTGAACAATCAAGGTGTGAGTCCGAGATATCAGGCTAACAGTAAAGGAACGCACAATGGTCAAATAACAGAAAGGACGCCGCTGCGGTACCTTTGGTTGATGACTACTGTGGGTTGCTCGGCGCTCATCTCCATGGACATGCGAATAATCTCGGGATCATTCATGTACGCCTTGACGATAGGAATGATGTCGTTCTGGAACTTGTTGGGGTTCGACAGCCACACTCTCCTCTGTACAACCTTTGGTGCGATCTATTGATAACATCCGAAAAAGAATGATAGGCGTAAGCGCTTGGAGCACTTGTCCTGTATTGTCGAGAGCAATTATCGGCTCGAATATCCTGGACTTGCCTTGAAGAGTTCCTCGCTTTTGCCGATCTTGTCAATGATAGGGTCGGTCATCCTGTCCGGGAAGCGTCCCAAGAGGCACAGAGGCAGTTCTTGAAGTCCCTCCACGTCGATGTAGGGTAACATGGAATCCAGAAGTGTGTTAACTCTATCATTTCACGAGTAGCCGTTAGCGTGGTGGTCCAGGTGGCGAGGTTGCTCCAACAACTACAGGTCGATATTAGCGCAACAAGCAAGACAGAAGATGATATCTAACCTGGCACTGTCCATTTGGGCAGTCTCCAGCTGGTGCAGCAGCTTTCCTTTCAAGGCTTTCATGCATCTGAGGTGAATCTCGTGTCTTGTCAGTCCATGGTGGTCGAGCAGTGGATAGATGGAACCGATATCTGGGAGTAATAATCGAAAAGCATAACGAGAGAAAGGCAGGAGTCATACGAGCATCTCACGCGTTTGAACCCATGCGGGGTATGTGACAAAAAGAAACAAAAGCGCGCTCGACTGACATCAATCAATAGTGGTAACATAGAGAACAATAAAAAGCAAAAGCAAGGCTACGAGGCAAAAAGAAAAAAAGAAGGGTTTGTTGTTGGGTTGTTATGATTTAGGCCGCTGCGTTCCTGGATTTGCCTAATGGCCATGCCTGGTTTCTGCTTGACGAGCATGTCGCGAATCTTTTCGCCTGCGCGGGGTCCGAGGAGTCGTTGGTCTTCCATGGCGCGTTTGTTGAAATGCTGGGAGGTTGTGGGATGGGTGCAAAGGTGATCGTTTACGATTTTATTTGGCCGCTTTTGAAGGCTCTCCTGGAAGTATTTCACGTGACGTGCATCATTGCGCCACCAAAAATAGATGATGGGCAACTGACGCCAGAGACGGGAGGAGAAAGAAGGTGAATTTGTGAAAAAGAGGGAAGAGAGAGTTCGAACCCAGAAGGGGAGTGATAATGGCGCTGTGTCAATCCTCTCTGTCTGGGAACCGAATATCTATTTAACAGCCCCTCTACAGCTATTTTCTGTATCTACACTATGCTGCATACCTTGTTCCGCTGCAGGCTTTTTCCTCATTTTTCACATTTTTTCTTTCTGTACCCCCACGGTCTCCCTCTTTCTGATTGTTTTTCGGCCTTCATTTCTTTTCGCCTTCGTCTTCTTTCCCTCCCTTCCTTTCGACCTCTTCCCTTTCATTTCCCACTTTTCATATACCTCATCGCTCTCCGCTAGGACCCTTCGTCTTTCTTAGTCCCTTTTTTTCTCGTACTTCTCGTACTTCTCTCTTACACACGTCCACTCTCACTCCTCCCTCCCTGACCACCTCTGACCCCTCCACCGACCTCCACCTCATCTCTACTGCTGCCCTCTCTCTTAGATCTTCTTTATACATCAGCAGCAACCAAGCAACACTTGTCCATTCGACTCGCCCACCCCTTGTACCTTCCCCCCTCCTTCCTTCTCTTTCTCCTTCGTTCCTCCATTCCTCTCCTTCAGTCCTCTTGCTCCCTACTTCCCTCCTCGCCATCCCGCTTTTCCATTCCCGTCAACCAACGATTGCTCCCACGATTGTCAATCTCTCTTTCTTACCTGTGTCACAACCGAACAAGAAAAAATCGTCCAGCAGCAAATTAAAACCGTTTGCATATCCCATATGCCAGGCAGCGCATATTAGGATCGCTCCTTGACACCCACCTTCGGTAACAACCTACAGCAGTAACACAACAACAGCTACAACCAACAGCTAGAAGAGCAGCACCAGTTGCCATGTGGAATCCGCCTTTGTCAGATCTAACGTTCAACTTTCGGCACCCGAACCCGCGAGTCAATGGTCCCAGCGGAGGGGGTGTCTACCAGGATGTCTCGCCCAGAATCAGCCTAAGCAACGATGCCGCCTATCCTGCTGGAAGTGGTCGTGGCGGTGGTAACAGTGACCCCTCAATCCCCACAAACAATCACATCGACAACAATGGCGCTCCCGGCAACGCCCCTTCCTTCGAGCGCCCACGGGCCTCGAGCCACCCCATTCTCGCCCGCTCTCTGCCCCATCCAAAGCTCGAAAAGGTCGCCCCATATCTCACCATCGCCACACTACAAGCCTACACTGTCTTGACAGTCGTGCGTTGTCTCGCTGACCCTGTCTGGATCATCCCTCGATCAGGAAACGAGGATCCCATTCGGACGGCAGAGATCGGTAGTCTCGAAAAGTCGTTCCTAGCCTGCGCGATCGCCTTTACTATGCTGAGCTGTCTTGGGGTGACCCTGCGCATCCTCGACAAGTTCACCTTTCTGCGACAGATCCCTGTCGTTACGGCCTACCTTGAAGGTAAAAAAACTACTCCTCTGTATGGTCCAACCCATGAGGCTCAATGATTGCACCCTTTCTTTCTTTTTTTACCATTGTTGTCATGGCATGTATGCCTGTTGTGCATATTTATGTCTTGCTCTTGCAGCATTCGTGGTCAGCCACATTAACTCTTGTCCCGCTCCTCCTCCTCCGGCATATCATGTATTATATTATGCAAAATGTACCTTGGTTTCTTGGTAGCCCAACCACATTGACACAAAAGCTCTCATTACCGGGATTCATTCAAATTAGCCATCTTTTGTATCGCCGCCTTGACATCCTTTCTCAGCACTCACTCGTTGCCAAGTGGATCACAGTTCTCACACGGCTTCCTAGCCTGTGTCATCACAGTGCTCTTCTCGTCCATTGTTGCCATCATGCTCACAGTGGACTGGTGGCGAGGGTTTCCCTCCGCAGGACTATCGGCAACATTGAAGGGTCTTATCATCGCGTCCTTTGTTATGACCATCGTTATCATTATCGGCGCTGCCATCTACTCGACTCTGGAGGACTGGACCTTTGACGAAGCCGTCAATTTTTGCATTGTGTCTTTTGCTACAATCGGTATGTGAACGAACCATATATATGCCCTTCATTCTCAAGTGGACACACGTTGTCATTGCTATGATACTAACGTGCTTGTATTATGATTTTATTCTAGGATATGGCAATTTGAGTCCAAAGACCGTTGCTGGCCAGTCCATCTTTTTCTTTTACGGTCTGTTGGGTATCAGTTCTCTCGGATTCTTCGTTGTCTCGCTCCGCAACGCTGTGATCGAACAGTTCCAGTGGCGCCTGGTTGATCGCTTCTCCAAGCCAGCTCATTTGACACGCGTTCAAACACGCATGTCAGCCAAGGATATCCCTTTTCCAATTGCACGATTTGAGGAGGAGCAACGCGTCAAAATGGTTGTCAAGCGAAAGATGATGGTCAGAATGGGCTTTATCTGGATTGTCATGTGGTTCGGAGGAGCAGGAGTCTTTTGCGCGTTCGAGCCTTGGACTTATCTCGAGTCCTTATACTTTTGTGTAAGGCAGAATAAGTTCGTTCCAATTGAAACGACAGAGCAACGGTGAGGCGGAGTCAACACGTATGCTAACTGCAAAATTCTCTGCATTCACTTATTAGTTTGTTACATTAACAACAATTGGATTTGGAGACTATGTGCCCAAGCAACCTGGGGCGATCGAGTTCTGGAACGTCTACGTATTTGTGGGTCTCGCAGTTTTTGCCTACATCCTTTCACTGTCTTCTGAGTCCATGGCTTCTCAGATCCACCTTGTCGACGATCAAGATGACGACAACGACGACGATATGTACGGATGGGAGAGGAATGAGGATCCCAATGCGCCTCTCACAACTCGCAGTGGAACTTTGGGACTGGAGGGTCTCAAATGGCTTCATCATCAACAGAACATGCAACGTCGAGACTCTGTCCAATCCATACAGGTGGATCAGGAAGGAAAACCTCTGGACAACAACAGTACCTCTGAAATGCCCAGCATGACCTTTGACGGCAGTCAGGACGAAGACCGTTCCCTGCAAGCATCTATTCAGCGTAGCCGGCCCAACAGAAAGAGCTCCACCGGTAGAATCCTCATGGTATCGGCCAAGGAAAGGAAACAAATGTTAGAGGCTGAATATTACGCGACGCACTCATTACCAACCACCATCAAGTTTATCGACACCAAAGGCATGCCGCATCAGAAGACCGTTGGGAGAGCCTCGACCATGGCTGATTCGATCTCTGGACCCAACGTCGGCAGCATGAGCGGAGACCCTGCCGGATATACATATGGAACCGTCGGATACTATGGAACCATCGGACGCCATGACCTTGCAGGACTGACGCGCTCAGGAACTCTTCTCCGGAATCAACAACCGTCGGTCGACATGGGTGGAGCCAATATCGATAATATTTATGGCCCAGGCGATAGTCAACCCATTAACACTGTCCAAACACAGCAGCTCCAGCATCAGCCGCTAATCAAGTTCGACTCGCCGAAGGGAAGTATTCGCAGCGTAGGAAACCAGCCCAGTCAGCGAAGGGGTCAGAGTCGACCAGACCGATTCGGGGACCAGGAGGATGATACGACGACAGGATATATTCCTTCTATTATGGATGTCTTCAGGCCAGCTGCCTCCGAGAACGCTGGAGAAGGCTCTTCGACTTCGGGAGCACGCGGAAAGAACCTAATCGTTGGAACGTCTCCTATTACCCGCATGAGATCCAACAGCTGCGATCAGATGATGGGCGATCGGCGACGGGGACCATCTCAGAACGACATTCACAGCTGGATTGCCGAGGATGCAGGAACTCTTGAGGGACCCAACTTCAAATATGTCAGCAGGCCTCCGGTACAGGGAATGTCGGATGCCGGCCCAAGCACGGATCGGTCGAGGGAGAGTCATGGCAGCGACACGACGAGAGTCACCAGTGCCCCGAATGGAACGTCGGATTACGTACATGAAGATGCTTACCCGACAGAGCAGTCCAACATGGCACGAGGAGCGATTTTGGACTCTGCTTTGAACGAACTTAGGGCTCACCGCGATGGAATTGCGCCTGACGAGATACCTTTTATGCCTTTGACGGACGAGCCGGAGGAGATGAGTCAGGACGACGGAGACTACTCTGAGGATGTACCTCGCAGCGAGACAAAATTGGACGCCACTTTGCCACCACCTCAACCTCGCGGTCTGGTGACTATCGTGCGGGAACCGACCTTGCCTGCCGTGGATGCCGAGCTACTCGCTACCGCTTTGCCATCCAACCCAGACAACTTATTCCTCAGAGGCGAAGAGGGCGCTGGACGCGGACCTTTTGCCGAGGGTGTTACATGGCCAGACTCAAGAGCAGGATCGGAATACGGCCAAGAATCCAGACCGGGGTCACGCATCGGATCACGTCATGGATCGGCTGGTGTGACCAGCCCAGAGATTACCCCCGCAGCCTTGTTTGACGATGACAACGGCCACCAGTACACGCTCCGACCTACGACTTCACAGCCCCCATCACTCTTTTCAAACCACCCACGATCTGGAAACAACAGCGCCATGCCGTCTCCGACAGGTTCTAGGCAGTCGTCTCGACCGGGATCGGTTTTGATGACTATCTTTGACGAGCCTGTCCGGAATCTTCCTGGTTCACGTTCGGTTTCCAGGAGCGGTTCTATACGTGGATCAGGAACAGGATTGATAGAAGGAGGAGGCGGCCCACTGGCAAGAGTCAGCTCTAACCCAATGTCCCAGCCTAGATCAAGAACTGGGTCGATAGTTATGCCCCTCAATGGATCCGGAATCGGCTCTGGCAGCGGAGGAGGAGGTCCAGGGGCCACATCGCCGGCGTCTACGAGGAGTTCCGAGTCAATCGTCGGGCCGTTTGACGAACACCGGCTACCAGCAGATCTGCCGCACTTTGACGACGATGTCGACTTGAGCCATGTGGGTGCAACCCCACAACAAGTCGAGGACGAACATAGACGCAGGAAAGACCTGCGGAGACGAGAACGCGAGATTGAAGCGCGTTTAGCAACCCTTGGCGAGAAGGGTCGATGGGTTCCTCGTTGATTTTAACACTTTTATCAACCCCCCACCCCCACTGTATTTCTAGCATATTAACTACTGTACTTTTGAAGCATCATAAGAAATTAATTGTCACTTGAGATGAACGATCAATCGTTTGAAACTAACTGGGTTTAGCGTGATCAGTATCATACTGGTACTTGGTTTTAATGATGACCCAGGAATCTGTGTCTTGATCACCGGTTAATCAAAAAAAAAAGTTCTGGCGAGTATCCTTTTCTGTTTGCTTGACTCTGGGCGGCCAACAGGGCTTTTCGGATGCGTAGCGGAAGACCCTGTAGATCAAGATCGACTAAAAATTCAGATACCTCCTTCCCTCACACAGCGCAAACACACATACTTCACGTTCCTCTTGTTTCCCTTGTGTTCTATTGTCGATCAATGCATTCGCTTGGGGGGCAGAACCGGCTGTGTGCTATTTCTTGCATCTGGTACGTATTTCTTTTCTTCTTGGTTTGCTTCTCACAGCCATCTATGTTTGATGAGCATGGAAGGACAAGAACAAGAAATGATCTGCTGTTCATGTCTTTGCTTATATTTTTGAGGCGCAAAAATAATATGCAGGTTGAGCAGCATCAACATCTGCTTCTTGAGAAATGAGCGTTGTCTCGTTTTGCATGCTGACTGGCTGCTCGAGGAGGAGGAGGAGGATCGTTGCATGCTGTTTGACAGATTGTGAACAACAGATGGTATGTCCCCCTCCCCCCCTCAATACTACCATCTCCAATGGATTCTCTTTGATTAGGCAAGCAAGTACCAGATCAAGTACCTTTCGCACCTCAAGAGAGAAAATTGTCGTGTGATGAAGTCGAGTATCAATCAATCCCCAATGGTATCTGAACAAGAGATGCAATCAAAAAATGGAGAAATCTCATTACGAAGTAGGTTACCAACAGAGACAACACACCATTATTTGGTAACCAGCTTGGACTCTTTAAGATTGGAACTGCGCCCTCCTTCATCTTGGTATGGTGTCTAATATGTGTACCAACAAAGAGCTACATCATTACTTCATTAGCACGCATATCGATATGCATGTATGCCAGTAAAACGGCATCAGGAAGCGTGGCAGGGCAAGCGCAGTTACAAAAGGGCGGTTTGAAGATCCTTTCCTCCCACATTCCATTCCACTCTCTGACATTGAAACAGCAGTGGCCTCTGTAAGAAGTACATCGTCATATTGGAGGGAATAGAAGAGTCAAGTGCTTCGTTTCATAGGAGAGCGGGAGGTTGGGGGGGGGAGAGAACTTTGACAAATGGATTATCACTTGAGAGAGAGTGTGTCTATGAGAGCAAACAAAGAAAAAGGTCGGGTTTATTTTGAGAAGCCCTTTTTTTTCATGATCCGTTGCCACCACGTTTTTCACAGTTGGGCGAAATGAATGAATGTTTAATTGCGAATCCGAATGAAAAATTTCATAAGCCGTTCCGGATATGCAAAAAAGGGTTCTGTCGGTTTGTCAGTTTGCCTGACCAGCCTTTGCCCTCCCTCGTGTCAGAGGTGCACGGCAAGTCGGCAGGTGCAATTGCCGCCTTGGGTCACCGTCATCTTCCACCACTCATACAAGACTAAGGCACCGTTAGCAATAAGAGAACCAGTTCGAAAATAATATGTAGTTGCTCAGCAAAACTGCTCACTACATACTCCAAAAGGTTGAAAGGCACCATTCTGATTCTCTCGCTCGGGGTTTGGATTAACCTTTCGAGATCAAAAAAAGAGTCGAGACCTTGGGCTGGCGCCCTCTCCCCTTCACTCCCTTTTCCACGTTTTTTTTTTGTTCTTTTTTGTTCTATGACGTTATAATTGTGAATAGCTCTTGAGGAGGGTAGCGGCATCAAGTCGTGAAGGAGTTTGTGGAAATGAACAATATGAGAAGGAAGGACCTGAAAGGATATCTTGCTGGTTTTTTTTTTTTTGCACCGCTACTCTCACACTTAGGTAATACGCTTGATTTAGCTAGCTTGAATCTATCTTTTTTGCAAACTCGCTGGTTGGTGCATGCCCCACCCCTCCATCATGCAGCAGCAGCAGTAGTTTGTTGTTGTTGATGCTTTGTTTTGTGCGACGATCTGAGGGTTCCCCTGTCTTTGTCGCTCTTCCTCCCTTTCTCTAGAAATAGAGCAGGCGCAGAGCCGTTGTAATTGTAAACATACACAGAGGGAAATAAAACAACAGGAACAGCAAAACAAACAAATAGCAAGACAATTGTTGTTGTTTGGTCCAAAGAAAATAAAGCAAGACATGCAGAAACAAAAGGATGGACAAAAAAAAGATATTCTTAAACAAACAAGCAAGGTAATGAACTGAGGAACAAAGGGATTTGCCAACAACAGCCGCTGAATAATGAAAAGAAGAGTCAAGAATGAAATGTGAACATGACCGAAATATCACAGACCTTTGTCCTTTGTTCCAAGCGCCTGCCTCGCTGGTCCAGGTCCCTTCAGAGGAGCGGTGCCTTTTTTTTAGCTGCGTTTATGCACCGCACCCCTAGACTGGATGCTAACGGGAAGATCGAGAGAGCGAGTGTGAGTGGGAAGGAGAAAGATGTGAAGAATGAACGGAGGATTGTGTCACCGGCGCCTACTTTGGCTGCAACAAAACTGAGGTGTAGGGGGCTCAGACACTTTCTGGAGAAACTGGTATCCTGGCACAAACTAGAGACAACGATAAAGGAAGAAAATATGGATGTGGCGATGATGACGATGATGGACTGGTTAAAGAACGAATAAAAGGTTGAGGTAGGTTGAGGTGGCACATGCGGCGGCGGCGTATGCCCTGCACCCCTGCTTGTTCCCTGATCTTTTTGCTGTTCCGGGTGTAATACATTGCCCACTCCACGAGTTGCGAAGCAGGTCTATGTGGTTTCGGAGAAAAGCCATGTTGGAAAGGAATAGGGGAGTAGGTAGTAGGTAGGGGAAGGGAAGGAGGATATCACGGTTGATGAACAGGTTGGTGGTAGTTGTAGTCTTGTAGGTGTTGCTTGTTGTTTGAAGTCAGACACTGTTGTTCTGTCTCCTCCTCAGAAGTTCAGACAGTCATTTGTGGACACCATGGACGTGGCTCTACAAGCAAAGATACGATGTCTTGTGTGCACAACAATAATGTCAAGAAAACAACAACAACAACATCAAAAACTTCTTGATGAGCATACAAAAAGTCCGATTTCCTTGCAGGCTGTTTCCCTGGTTGTCCTTGTGTATGTTGCCTGCCGGGCGGCGAGGCGATGGGCAGCAACAGGATGATGTTTGTTTTGCTCTGATGATGAGCCAGCAAAGCAGGCAGGCACGGCACCCTTGTATGTGTGAGTGGATAAGAGTACGAGAGTGGGTGGTTTAGAGTAGAGATGAGGATTGCGAGCGAGTGCTCACCTTTTTTTTTTTCACAGTTCACTTTTTGCATTCGAATAAACAGTGAGCAGGACGAGAGACAGACAACAGAATGCGACTCGATTGTCCTCCCGATGTATGACCCTTCTGTTCAAATGTGCTCTCAAGGGAAGACATTCCTTTGCCCTCTCTGTCCTACCCCAGGTGTTGGACGATAAAGAGGGGTTATCCCTTGGGTCTAGCCACTACATATACTGTCTCATACAAGTCCCTGGCCCTTGCTGCTACGTGCTTGTTTTACTCTCTGTGGTTTACTCGCTTCCTGGTTGATTCTCACATCTCCTTGCTCCCACTTTTAAACCATACCCTCCCACTTCCTCTCTCGGCAATGACAAGCGACCGACAACCATCTTGTTATATTACTTGCTCAATTGACTACTGGCCTGTGTTGTTGTAATACTATTCATTTTCACTCGATCGAGCAAAAGAAAAACAATATCGACAACGATAGGGTTGTATGCTCCTTCCATCTTTCTTTCTCCCTCACTCTTTTCTTTTCTTTCTTTCTTTTACCCTCTATTGCGCATCCAATCGCCCCACCCACCCCACTCCATTCACAATCATATCCATTCACGCTCGTTGTCTCTCTCTCTCTCTCTCTCCTTTGACAACACTCTTCCTTTTCTTCATTGTCGCATCATTCATATCCTCAGCACCCTCCTTCACTCACACATACACACACTCCTTGAGGAGCGCGTCGCCCTTTTGTTCACTCATTGCCATAAACTCCACTCTCTCCCCACCCCTTTTCATTTCTCTGTCCTTGCCGTCACTTAATTCACCCACTTTTGTATCACTTGCTTTATTTTTCAGGCACCATCAAATCCCAGAAACGTACCAGTCCATACCGCAACCCAAACCCTTCCCTGAACCCTTGTTGACAACAACACCACCGCACCGTCTATCTCTCCCCCCCTTACTTACTCACTCATTCGCACACGACCTTACAACGCATACCGATCGCCATTCCTTCCTTCCTTTCTCATTCAGCTCATTCCATTCTTCGTTCATTCATACACTTTTGTATATATTCTTAAACAATGGCTCTGGCAACTCGGAGTTCAGTCCAGTCGTTTGGGACGTTTCAGGAACACCAAACCTACCATAACCGACACTTCTCCTCCCTCTCCTTCACCACAGCCACCGCATCCGAATCACCCATGCCCTATGAACAATACATGACCAGCCGGCGGGAATCCGTCGCCACTATGGAGTCGACCGGTCACCAACAGACCATTAGTACCTATAACCCTCTAAGCCGGCCGGCGTCCATGGGACTTCCTTCGCGCAGTAATACCAATAACATCAACAGCAGGGTAGGACAATCAGCAGGAGAGAGCGTCGATCTTCGGAAGCAGGCGGCACAGAAATTGGCGCAAAAGCAGCTGCAATTGAGGCAGCTGCAGAAGCAGAAGTTGAAGGATCAGCAAAGGAAGAGTGGTTTGCCCCTTTTCCCTACCGAGCGAACCAGAGGTGCTATTGGACCCGGTACCCTTCAACCAGGTAAATAACACTAACGCACACTCTTTTTTATTCTCTCTTGCTCTGATGTGATATGAGAGCGAATGAACGAAAGGGAGAGAAGAAAGAACATGAAGGAGTCCTGAAAGAAGGAAGCGTAAGCGAGAATTGCTGCCACAGACATAAGGTTAACTGGCACTTTATTTTGCAGCTGGCATTCCGGAGCTTCAAAGAAGCGCAGGAAATGCAAAGTCTGTTATTGTAATGCTCTCTCCTATTTTTTCACGATAAAGAAAAAAAAAGCAAAAGGGGTTTACATGTTAACACGCCTTTTTTCATAGGGGGAGTTTTCTAGATCACTGAAAACTAACCGTGCTCCCTCACTCATCTTGTTGTCTAATGCTCTTTCGATTCTCACTCGTCTTCTTACTTCTTTCTCTCTTCTTCCTACGTTCACTCTCCTTTCCATCGTCCTTCACTCGGCTGACATATCGTTTGCTCGAATGGATGTTTGTCATGCATAGTCGATATCACCAAGATCGATCTGATGCCGATCGAGGTTAGCCGCGCCATTATCATTAAGTGTATCGACGAGATCAAGTTGAGAGGTATGTTTATGTTTATGTTTTTGTTATTTTTTATTTTGCTCCCAATGTCGCTGTCCCCCACTCAACTCCACTCCACTCCACTCATTCCACAACCCTGCTGCTGCTACCTTACCCAATCCTTCCTCCGACATGCCTACATCATCTTGGTGCTCACCTCTTGTTGCTTTTTTGTTGATGCTCTCACACATCAGGCACATACGCGATTGTACTGTATGTGGACTAGCCTGTTTTTTTTTGTCCATTCCTTCGCTCTGTCCGCCCATGTGCACCGTGCCATTGCTGCATTTGCTGTGGGCCTTTGCCTTCTCCCCCCCTCGCATCTAAATCTTTTCTTTTTCTTGCGCATATCTGATACCTTCATACATCATCTCCCGCATGAAATAGGATTGAAGCACAAGTACCTCTTCAGGAATGCCTTTTACAGCCCCTCAGTCGAGGCATCACTCCAGCTGCTAAAGAACCCCAAGAAGCGCCATCTCTTCTCTGTCAAGGCCCTGCGCGTCGATACCGTCGGAGGGCTACTGACTACAGTCCTCTCGCGTACCTACCCACCCCTCATTCCTCCCGATATCCAAGAGAAGTTTGAAAAACCCAATGGTAAATATTTCGCACTTTATTTTTTTTTCTTACCGCTGATGAACCTTGCATATCCTCCTCGACCATGTCCATCTCCCAGGATGTCCATTATGACATACCAATACGCGCATTCCAAAAAAAAACTAACAAACAAAAAAACGACGGGAAACTATTTTTAGGCCGGTTCTTCTTCGAGCTCCTGGGTCTCCTCCCAGAACTCAACCGCTACCTTTTCGTCGAGATCTTAGATCTCTGCTGCGAATTAGCAGACGGCCAATCCGAGAACCACGTCTCCCATTCAAAGCTGGCCATTTATCCGGGGTCTTGCTGCTTCGGACTCGAAGAGTACATGCCTACTTGGGATACGCGGTATCTCATGACGCCCGACCTCAAAAAGTTTTCAGAAGTGTTTTATAACGTCATCTATGCGTATAGGGAGGAGCGGGATTTGTCGGCGGAGGAGTTGCAGAAGAAGGTGGAGCTGAGGGAGAAGGTGATGGCGGAGGAGCGTTTGGAGATGTTGGAGCAAGAGCATGGATTGGAGGGAGCGCAGATTATTTTGAGGATGGAGGCGAGGGTGGCCCAGGGTTTGCCAGCAGAGTCGCCACCTATCCCGGTTGTGCCGACGTCACCTTCGGATCTGAAAGAGGTCTCGCTTTACGCGGGGAGGAAGGAGAAGGTGGTAGCAGATGATGCTATTTCGGTTCTGGAGATGGAGATTGATCAGAACGAGAACACCAACGATAACAACGCCAGCGGCTCTGCTACGGATGTTTCGAGAGATGGACGTACGCAGGACAGCGGAACAGAAGACGATGGAGACGAGGAGGAGGATGTCGAGAAGGTGATGGCTGATTTGAGGAGAAGCGTATCGGTCGCTATGTTGGGATACTGGTCCGACAACAACAACCGCTCAGCCTCGTCCCTCAGTGCAACAACCACCGTCTCGGCCGCCTCATCCACTTCAACCATCGCCTTGCCACAACAACACAGCTATACCCGCTACACTAACACCACCAACACCACCAACACCACCGTCAACACGCCCGCCAAAACTGCGGCAGCTGCTGCAACAAGACCCCGTCTGGCACACACAAAGTCCCTGGCTCGCTTCGGTTCCATCGCCCAAAACCAATTCCCCGTCTCCCCCGGCGACATTTTCGGAATCAGTCGTCATGCGATCGAACAACGCGAACTACAACAGTTCCTCTCCGTCGCTCGAACCTTCAAACGTCGCAAATCTTTCGGGACCAAGAACGGTGGTAATAACGGCAGCAAACGGATCTCACAGTGGCGTCTTCAGAACAAACGACTCCGTCCATTGTCGCCTTCCAGGTCGCCTGCCTTTGGAGCTACCCATTTAGCGGCTGGCTCGGCACCTCTGTTTGTTCTTCGTCGGACTCCTCGCCAACACAATGCCACGTTGCTCCTGGCTGCCAACGGTAGCAGCAGTCGTTCTCACGCGGACTCGACAGATTCTTTACCAACAACAACGCCAACGCCAGTTCTCGTATCGGCAACAAAAAGTCGCCGTGGCAGAACTCGCCAATTCCGCAAGGAACTCGAAGTCTACCTCTCCCAAGGACTCACAAAAGAAGAAGCAATCCAGCAACGCCGACAAGATAAACACCGTCGCAAACGCGCCGCAAAACGCGCAAAACTCGCCGCAGCCCTCGAACGTGAAAGGGCCGCCATCCGCGAGGCACAGGCCGCGGTTGAACGGGAACGGGCGCTGGAACAGGCACAGGAACAGGAGAGGGTGAAGGTGATGACGTTGGAAGAGACTGAGGTGCTGGAGGCGTTTGATTACTTGACCGATGCCGAGTTTGAAGAGTTTATGGTTCTCGCCGGTTTGACATTGGCGGATGTGGAGCGGATCCGGGAGAAGGCTGCTACTGCAGCTTTGGAGCAGGTGACGGAGGACATTCAGGCGACCGACCGTGTCCAGGCTGCCACTGCTGCTGCTGCCGCCATTGCCGCAGAGAAGAAGGAGGCTGCCGAGGTTGTTGTGGTTGTTAAGTCCATTGTTGTTGAGACTGACGAGACCAAAGAGCAAGATATTGCTGCCGTTGGCGCCGATATCGCCCAGCAGCCCGTTCAGACCGAGGCTGGTGTTGTCGCTGCCGATATCAAGGAGACCCCTGAAGAGCAAAAGTCCGAGAGCACCACCGCAGCTACTATTCCTGCTCCTGCCGCATCAACCCTCGCCGCTCCAATCGACCACCAGAGGAAGCGCCCAATCACCCCCCAGCACATGACATCCATGGAGCTGTTGATCAAGAACACGGCCGTCATCGGCGACAGCAATCTTCGCTGCTACCCCATTATCCTCACCACACCTTCGGCATCAGCCATCGCGGCCTCTGCTGCCATCTCTGCAGCTGCCGCCGCCGCCGCCGTCTCTGGTGGACTCTTGTCACAGGCTTCCACCGTTATGACCACTCTCCCTGCCCAGGCTACCATCAACGAGGAAGAAGATGAAGTGGTCGAGATCAGGTCGCGAGATGTGGGAATGCCCGGTAACCGATCTTCAGTGTCATTGTTGATCACAAAAGGAATCCCCCACCTCGAGAACCACCTCTCCTCTTCCTCATCCGCATCTGCCACCTCTTCATCCTCGTCCTTCGTCTCCGCCGCCTCCGACGACGAGGATAACTATGAAGATTCCATTGAAGACTATTCCAATGACGACGACCAGGAAGACGACGGCGAATACGCCGTAACAGCAACCTCAACGACATCCACTACAACCGTGACAACAACAACCTCAGGGAACGTCCAGATCTTTGAATTCGAAACCGTCGTCGAAGAATCCGATCCCTATCCATCTAACAATGTCATGTACGACAGTGACGGCGAAGAACTTGAGATCCTCGACGTCAACCAAAACAACAACAACAACAACAACAACAACAACACAAACACCAATGACCCCTTTTACGGAATGGATGAAGAAGAGGCTTCAGAGTTGCGAGAGCTTCTGGGATCCATGACCTCCGAAGAAAGGAGCGAGTTCCTCCGTCTCTCTCGTCAAGACGACAACAACAACGACGCAGGTTACTTGACCACCTCTGCCATCGCCACCGCGTAAAATTTTAACAAAGCATAGTTACGATTACCGATTACTTTTTCCCCTTGTACAAAGGGCCCTCCATTACACACTCACCATACATACCACAACAGCATTTTTTTGTCTCGCTACCTTTCAACCTTTCCAAGCATTTTTAAAAAACCCTTTTTTGAGCACAGCAAAATAAAAACAACATCAAATCCTACTCTTTATTCTAAATAAATCATACTTCTATGCCCAATGACCCTAGATTGCAAGCGTATATGAGGTGCGGAAAATGAAACGTATGGCCTTGACTTGCAAGTTTGCTTAACCTTGAGTTTCGATAGACCCCAATGTCTGGACGGGAGTGAGTATGCTCGCATGTATTTGCTACAAAGAAAAGGTAGTGAAGCTCAAAGAGGGCTAGCAGCTGTTGGTAAGGCTTGCTGCCTCTATCACCCTCTCTCGCCAAGAACCATCAATAAAAAAACCCCTCCCAAACCAAACCAAACCAAACCAAACATAACAAACAAACAAACAAGGCATACACAGTCAAGAGAACACAAGAACAAGAAAAGACCTCCCCCCCCCCTCCCCATCCACTCCCATCATTTCCTCCATGGTGTGCCCAGGCTCTGCAAAGTGACACTGTGACCTGAAACACGGTTGTCTTCTCAAAATCAGAAAGACTAGGACTTGTCAGGTCGGAACAAGTCCTGTTAGATGTCTAAAAAGGACGATGGAGTGCGATTGTCAAGCACCCTTACAGAAAAAAACAAGCCCTGACTCAGCCAATGGATTGGAGCACAATACAGGGCGCCTGAGCCACGAGTTATAAGAGAATTCGAGGAAGGGTAAAGAATAGGTGCGGAGAGAAAGAAATATATAAGAAATAAGAGAAGCGGACACAAGTGACTTACCAAATCCTCCTGCTCAGATTCGACAACAAGGGGTGGATACATAGAAGAAAAGGCAATAAGCACGTTGGTTAACAACTCTTGGTAAGGCTTGCACCTTTCTCCTTTGTGAGCAATCGTCGCTTGCAAAGCAAGAAACGAGAATGTTAGTAACGTCGGCCAACTCTCAGAATGAGTTAAGAGTAAAAAAACCCCAGCGGCATCAGCTATACAATAAGAAGAGGAGTAATGGAGTATGTACCTTGTGTTGCATCGAACGGTTCAGCTATTGATTGCGGACAGTGGGCTGGTGTGGGCGTGTGTGTTTTTTTGGGGTGGAGGGCAATTAGGAGAAGGATGTAAGAGAGGGATGCAAGAGTGAAGAAGAGAAGGGGAGAAAGGGGAAGAGAGAAGGAAGAAAGAAAGAGTAAGGGAAAAGTGGAAATAGAAGGAAGGAAGAGTGAGGCAGACGAGTAGGTGGTCAGGGGAAGAGTAGTTAAAAAACACAATCGAACGTCTGAGCTACAACGTTGATACGAATAAACAGTCACACATGAATGGTTGATATCTCCACTCTCTCCTCTCCATGCTACAATAGGATCCGCATCAGGGATGACCGCGAGGGGTTATTAAAAAGAGACAGGCAAGAACTGTTTGTGTGTGTGTGTTTGTTTTTGCAAGATTCATTGAAACTATCTTTCAGAAAAGGGTTACCCTATTGTTGCTTTCCTGTTAATAACTGATGTAACGGACACTCGTATAGACAGGGGTAGACAGAGAACTTTATGCATCCGCTTCTTGACAGGCGAAAGACTTAGTACTGCTGATGCATGGGCTGCTGCTGTTGAGAGTACGACTGGGGCGGCATCTGGTGCTGCGGCTGCTGCTGCTGCTGTTGTTGCTGTTGTTGCATGATCTGTTGCTGCTGCATCTGGACAACCTGGTAGGGCAGGGGGGGATGCTGAGGGGCCATGGGCTGCTGTGGTTGCTGTTGCTGATAGACTATTTGCTGAGGAGGGGCAGTGTTGGACGAGAGCGGTACTGCCTGCTGCTGCTGCGATGGCTGACCCATCATCTGTCCATTTGGAACGCCACCGCCACCGCCCATCTGGACCTGCGCTGCCGCAGCTGCGGCCTGCTGTTGCTGCTGTTGTTGTTGCAAATTGGCGTATCCACGGATGTCGTTAAAGTACACATGGTTCAGGGCGTCCTTGGCAGTAATTCTCCGCTGGGGCTGATAGATCAACATCTGCATCAAAAGATCCATTCCAAAAGTGTCGATCATGGGCACCACTGTCGAGAGGGGTTTTGGAGGGTAGTACGGGAAGTCCTTGCGGTATTCTGACAGCTTGGTGACGCCGGGCCAGGTCTCCTCAGTGGGGGTACCCATGACCTTGAAGATCTTGAGAAGCTCATCCTGGTTATTAGATCCTGCAAAGAGTGGCTTGCCCAGGTACATCTCTGCCATGATACAGCCTGCGGACCAAATGTCGATTGATGTCGAATATGTCTTGGATCCAAGGAGAACATCGGGTGCTCTAATAATAAAGGGGAAGAAAGATGAGAAATTGTAAACGTGGGGGGAGTAAGATAATGGAGACTGGGTGTAGGAGATATGGTACAAAAACAAAAAAGAGTAGATTCGAAAGAGCGCTTGCTTTTACTGCTTTTTTGTTGTTGTCGATGTTGATGTTGTAGCCCTTCCAAAGAACGAACGGAATAGAATATGCACATTGGCGCAAATGATAATAAAAACACCAGTTTTTGTTGGTTGCTCATATTGTCATCCAGTGGTTATAACCTTCTCCCTCAAGGTCCCTTTGTGTGGTTTGTACTTCATTGCACCTTTTGTTTATGTTGACTTACCGATACCAAAGGGTGACGACCTCGTTCGAAAAGGTGTTGACAGGGATACCAAAGGCTCTTGCCAAACCGAAATCGCCCAACTTAAGCTCGCCCTTGCGGTTAATCAGGAGGTTCTGAGGCTTGAGGTCCCTATGGAGGACCCGGTTGTCGTGACAAAAGGCGACGCCCTTGAGGAGTTGATACATGAAGGCCTTGATGACAATGGGTCCCAATGCACCCCGGTTGCCATGCTGGTCCATATACTTTTTCAAATCCTGGTCCATGTACTCAAAGACGAGCGTCAGCTTGTTCTCGGTGTGGATTACGTCGTGAAGTCGGACAATGTTTGGGTGGCGAAGTTCCTTCATCAGCGAAATCTCACGGATGGCAGTCGATGGTGCACCCTCTTCGGAATCGAGTCGGATCTCCTTCAAGGCGACGGCATCGCCGTTCGATCGATTCTTGCCCTTGAAGACTGTTGCGTATGTGCCCTCACCAATCTTTTCCAGACTCTGGTAGCGTTCCATTGTGTATGTCTTTTATGTGTTTGTGTTGGGTGGTTGTTGGCGGGATGGGCTGTCGTTGTTGAGGTTGCTGCTGCTGATGTTCGTTGTTGGTGAATGCGCAGCCCAGAGGAGTTAGACGATGGCAAATACGACGTCGGAGGCACGGCAAAAGAAAGAAAAGGCGGTGTTGGCGGACGGACGGGACAGACGAATGAGCAGGGCAGGCAGGGAGAGAGGTATGGAAAGGAAGAAAGAAAAAAGGAAAGAAAGAAAGAGAAGGGGAACAGGGGGAAAATGCACGACGGACACGAAAGAGTAAAAAAAAAAAAAAAAAAAAAAAGTTCAGATGACAAAAGCGCGATGGGGTGGAATCAGATGCCCACCCTTCAAAAGGAGGTGAAAAAGTGGAATCAAAGAAGAACAAAAGAAGGAGCTCTGGATCAGCTAGGATCAGAACAAACTCATCTCGCCCCTTGCAACAACAAAGACTGGACTATTTCATCCTCGCACTCTCTATCATTTGTTGCTGTGTGCTTCCAAATGAAACTCCAGAAGACAGACATGACGGGACCCAGCACAGAGCAAAAAACAGACTTCGCCACGCCGTGTTATTGTGTTGGGAAATACTGCGTGAGAATCTATACATACTCCTTGCTTTGCCTTTTGACCTCTCAGAAAACACACAAAGAAAAGCCTACTCCCGCTGTTGTAGGGTTCATTTGTCAATGTGTTCCTTGTGCACAGAAGGGCTAGGCCTCTTTCTTCTCAGACACACAGTGGTCATGTTCATAGTTTGTTGACAGAGCGGGTAAATGCGAATAAGAATGCATGCATGAACAGAAAAAGGGCGGAGATCAATGATTTTCATCTTCATTTTATTGTTCTCTTGGACAGCTAGAAGCCCTTTCTCACATTAGACTGAATCCCTTCCTTAGAAAAGTCAACCCACATCAACATCGACCCCACCTTGGCCTTGATATGACACGAAACATCCACCTCCAGCGATCCCCCCAGCGCCTTCTTCAATGCCTCGTATCCGACTGACGACAGGTCAAACGCCACCGGCAGTCTCGGTGTCTTGACATACCCAGATGTCTCGTTCTGATGGTCGTTGGCGGGGATCAAGATCGGTTTGGGACTCGCAATATCGTGTTCAAAGTCGACGTTGACGTGGCCCAGGGGCTCATCCTTGTAGGACGCTGTGCCATTGATATACAGCACCGTGATCGCCGTATCCAATGGGTTCTTGAGCTCCAGAACAATCGTTGACGACAGCAGGTACATCGTGGTGGAGACCAAAAAGTCATCCTCGATCGCGGGTAGTCCGGATGAGATCGAGAATGTAGACATCATCGGCTGGAGGAGAGGGATATGTGTCGACTCGGGGTATCCAAGTACATCGATCGACGTCGAGTTGTCGCCTAGGGCCAAAATAAGAAGAGCAAAAAAAATGCAATAGGAAAAAGAACGCGTAAGACACTCATGCATCAAATATACTTTTTCCCTCGGTTATCATTCGTGCTTACTTACCAGAAATGTACTTGGAGATGAACTCCCGCGAGGCATTCTTTGCGAGCTCTGGGTCGCAGGTCTTGTCCTTTTTGTGAAGACAGTGGATAGAGGGGTCCATCATACCTATGCACTCGATGGTGTTGTTGCCAGCATGAACTTGAAGCTGCGGGACAGAGGCCATTCCAATCAGATAGCCTCCATAAGACCACAAGAACGACAGATCACCCAGGTCGGCCGAGATGTTGGATGGGTTCCAAAGAACCAAAGTTGCCTTGACAGTGAGTGAATGTTCAGTGCTGTCGACGACATCCAATGACTCCAATACAGGAGGAACACTGACGAGACCACCTAGACCTTTTGTTGTCGGTTTATTTGTTGATTACCCAATGTCCAAAGGGGTAAAGTCAACATGCGTAACGCACAAAGGTAAAAAAAGGGTTTTTAGTAACTGGTATTAGGAAATAGAATAGCATGCGACATGTTCTTGTTTTTCTTTTCGCCTTAGTCTCCTTCAGGCATAACCAGAAAATTATTGTCGTACGACGTGACTTAAACAAGACAAGGAAGAGCACCTTTACTTACCTCGCTGGCGTGTGATCACGTCAAAGGGGATCGGTCCAAGTTCAAACGTGCCAAGGCCACACTCAACAACAGCATGCGCCTCGCCTGCGATCCCAAGCTCAATCCACTCCTTCGTGAACGACGTATTCAAGAATTGGTAAAAGTCGTCCAAATGGTCGGCCACGATCCTCAATGGAGTATCCTTCATGTCCACCTGCACCTCCAACACATCCCCGTCCTGCTGACTCGTTGTAGGTAAAAAGTCAGGCATCTCAAGTAATGCCATATCCTGTCCCTCGGGTGTCCGTAACCATGCCGTCGGCTTCATCTGAAGAACCTTGATAGGAAAGGTGACATTCGGCGGTAGCTGTAGCTCACTAGACATGCGCCCAGTCAGCATGGCTGACTCTTGGTTGTCGGTGAACCCAAACTTGAGTTGATTCATACCCAGTGTTCGAATAAAGTCCTGTGCTGGCGAGCCTGGGAAAGCCATGTCGAGGACGATACTCTTGAATGCCTCTACCAGCCAGGATGGGAGATTTGGGTCCTTGGACAGTGCCCGTACTTGGATAGTCGAATCTTGGCCCTGAATAAAGCGCGACAGGAGACGGCCCAACAGCAACTGCTTCTCTGATCCTGAACCAAACGAGCTCGTCCTCCCCATCTCACTCAGGATCCAGTCGTCCAGATGAAAGAGGCGACCCGAGAGAGCGACCTGACTCGACTTCCCTGCCTCGAGGTTGAGCTCTGGACACGACATTTCTGCAATCTTGAATTGGTCGACCTCTGGGTGAGCCACCGAGGGCAGATAGATGCCAAACGTGACGGCGTCCATCTTGATCGAGACGGTGCGCGAGGGGTTGTTGAGCAGTGCGAGGCCAGACATGGCGATGCCCCCTTGGGGGTGGTCAGCAGGGAGGGACATGGACACCAGAGTCGCATTCTGCACACCCTTCATCCCATCCATCGATACTATCCGATTAATCCTTAGTCTCATGTACCAGAGCGACCCCAGCCTCGTCAAGATAGGGCCTCGGATCGCCAAGTCAACCGTCGACTGCTGGAGCGTCGCGTGGAAGAACTGGGCCATTCGATTCGCATCGGTCACATTGATGTGGGTGGACAGGTTAAGTTGCAGGATGTCGCCCATTTGCATGTGCTGCCTCTCGACCTCGAATTCCGCCATATGAGCATCGTCCTGATCGGTCGGCAGGCTCAGATGGAGCACGGTGGATTCAATAGTCATGGTCGGATGGAAAACGGACTGGAGAGTACGCGTGAGACCAAAGATACCATCATGGGCGGGATCAAGGTAAACGGTGCTTTGGATCGATATTTGGAATCCAGTCTGGTCCATATCGTAGATGCTGGCCTTTTGGATGTCGAGGACCATGGCCTGATCGAGCACACGCTGGGCAACCCATGGGGAGAGAGCAGCGACGAGGAGACATCCGATCAGGACTGCAGCCACGACCTTGACCGATCGCGAGTACATCCAGCGATTGAGGCGTTCCCGGCGCCCTCCGTTCTTGTTATTGTTGTTGTTGTTGTTGTTGTTCAATGTCCCAAGATTGCTCTCATGTCCGCTGTGTGACAGTAGGGGCGTCTGCTCGTCGGCTATGTCGTGGCCAAGGCGATCACTGTGGTTCATGGGGTAGGTCTTGGCCTTGGTGGATTCACTGCCATTGCTGTTGGGCGATTCGGTAGTCGAAGGAGTATTGTGGTTGTTGTCGTCGTCATTGTTCCTCCGACTGCTGTTCGAATTCCTGTCCATCGGTCTGCTTTGTTGGTTGCTGTCCAGACTTGTTGAATGTCGTTCTTTTTACTCAAATCAGACGTGTGATGGTTTAATGTGTTTGTATGTGTGTGTGGAATGTAGAGTGGAGAGGAGGTGTTGTTGTTGTTGTGTGGAAAGGCAAAAGAAGAGCGCTCGTTTCTTTTTTTTTGTTCGTTGTTCTTTGTTGGGGGTTGGTTGGACAGCAAAGGAGTATTTCCTAGCTACCATTTGCTGCCATTCCCCACTCATATCAATCGCGTCTCCGAGTTGATGACTATCACCATCATCCTTGTCGATGGTTAACGAAGCGTGTAGCTCTAACCCTCTTTATTTCTTCTGTTCTGGCTACTTTGTCTCTTTGCTCCCTTGTCGTCGATGTTATTTTCCCGACATCTTTAAGCTCGCATAAAGCCATGACAGCCTGTTAATCATTGGTCATCATTATTATTGTTGTCATCGAAAAGGAAGGGGTGGAATGGTACAAAGGCATAGAGGGAGGAAAGCAAAACAAAATAAAAAGGTCATCCTCTTCCTTTTCCTCCTTACCAGCCGGCATGCTGTCTGCTGGAAGGAGGAAAAGGAACATATACTTTCTTCCCGGTGACAAATGAGAATAGAGAGAGATGGATAAGTTGCTTGTAAAGAAGCTCGGACCTGCATCAAAGGGACATGTGTTTGTTTACAGACAAGACTCATTTTCAGCAAAAAGTGCACAGATCGACCCATTCGCCACAAGGATGGGGCAGACAGCCTGCCTAGACACGGATAGGAGACAACACAAGAGGGTTGGGAAAAGAAGATTAGACCAACACCACCCACCGACGAATCTTGCTCTTTAAACAGTCGCTCTCTCTCACACTCTCTCTTGAGCAAATGTCAAGAGCGAGGAACGGAGAGAGAGTCATCTCACTGAGAGGATGGCTCAGCTGGTTTTTTTTGTGAGGTGTAGATGAGATGTGGGCAACGATGTCATCGACAAAGAAAAAAAATAAAAGCTATCGACTCCCTAGCCCTACCCTGCCCTTTTGTTGTCCAGATGGACTCTAGATTTTTTTTTGTTTTGTTTTGTTTGTTTCCTTCATTAGTTGCATCGCCACCAAGAGTCGATAGGGATAGTAGACAACGAAAACCCGCGATTCTCAGGGGAATGTAGTTTTGTAAATAGCGAGAGTGGTTACTCTTACTCTCTTTTCTCTCATGTTCACAAGAAAACGCTCTCTACTCTCAACCCCATCATCACACTCTCTTTTTTATTCATATTTGCACGCTCACCTCTCACTCGCTCATGTCATGTCATGTTACAAAACAGGAGAGCGACCGACAAGAGTACAAAATAAAATACTAGCGAGAGGCTGGGGTGAGCGCGCAGTTGGTGCGAAGAGGTGAGGTGACCCTTTCTCTCTCTCTCGCTCTTTGTATCAGCGCAACGAGCGAAATGAATGATGATAGATGCAAATGTTTCAACAGCCTCGGGTCATGTCAACAACGGAGAGGTGGTGGTGCGAATGAAGAAGGTCATGTCCGAGTATGGAGTGCTATTTTATTGACGGGCTTGTGGTGAGTGTGGATGTGAATGTGTGAGTTGTCCTACCCACACGTTTATTAAAAAGGTCTTAAGTGTGGCAGGTGGTAGTGTTGATACCCCTATGATAGCTGCGGGGGTGTGTGAACCTGACAGGAAGTGTCTAGCCATGTTCATTGGGGTTTGCAAGCAAGCAGTATTGACAAGGCGCGCGCCGATTGGCACAGACAGCAGTTGCCGAAGCCTACGCCTTGTCTGTTTGGCACCGCAGACAGAAAAAAGAGTCAAGGAAAGATACATCAAACAACCTGTTTTTGTGTTTGTACTTTGGCTCTCAAGAAAATGCGCACTAGTTCGTTCAGGTGGATGTCGCTCGTCCGAATGAGTAAGAGTCTTTTCCCTTTGAGTTTCTGCGCCTTGGTCTCTCTCTCTCTGTCCAGGCGTGTTTGTGTACTGTTCATTACCACTGGGCGTGTCAGTCTCTGCCCCCTTTCCTTCCTCCTCTTTTCTACTTTTTGCTCTTCTTCTCGGACTTCTGCTTCTTGTTTCTTCTGTTCCTTACGCTTTCTGCTACCCACACCTCATCCTCACCATCACCACACACTCTCACACTCCAAAGCAGACCAGCTCACACCCTCTCCTTTTTTTCCTTTCTTATTATTACCTACCTACTTAATCCTTAATCTTTTATTTACAATGTCCTGCATCACAAAGTGAATCTAAACCAACAACAAAAAAGCACATCTCTCCATTACCCCACCCGAACCCCTTTCCTTTCTTTACTCTTTTTCCTTTTCTTTTGTATTCTTGTACTCTACTTTCCTTCTCTGTATTCTTGTATTCCTTTTTATCTTGATCATCATAATCATCATCATCCGACAACAACATCGTCAGTCCTTCCAACCATTCAAGGTAAATGCGACTTTCACCACTCCTTTACCCTCTACCTCCAAAGTCACTTCCTTTCCTTCAATCAAATTGGGCTTTATGCAAAGAAAACAGGATCTTGGCAACACAACCCAAGTGTGTGTGTGTGCATGTCTGTTGTCTGTGTACACTCTGGCAATCATCCTCCTCGCCCTCGGAGAACCCGATGTAAAATAGCGCAGAGCGATAGAGGCTGCCAAGGCACCGTGCCAATCTACCGAATTTTTGTCAGGACGTGAATCTGTCTCGGAGCCAACAGCTGCATTCACTCCAACTCCAAATGGAACAGGGGCGATTGTTAACTTCGCGATGAGGCTAGTCATGTTATTCCCTATTGTTACTGTCAGCCTTCCAACCCGTCCTGACATACCAACAACTACTACTACAACAACAACAAACAACAACAACAACAACACAACCCCTTTTTCATTCTGTGTGCGTTCATCCACATTGCAAAAAACAAGTTCGCGCTTCCACCGATGACCAGAGTTTCTGTTCTTGCTTTCCCTCCCTATCTCTTTCTTCCCCCCCTTTTTTTGTTTTTCCCAACCACCCGCCTATGGCTTTCTCCTGTTATGCGTACCCTGCTTCCCTTTGTTTGTTTTTCTCTGTATGCGATATGATGCACGATATGTGCGTGCGTGTGTGATATGCAGCGAGACTCGTAATGCTGTTGAATAGTACGGCGTGGTAGTACACCCTACGTCGGTCATTTTTTTCTTTCCAAGCAGTAAGGTTTATCTTTTCCCTTCCTTCCCTCCCCTTCGTTCACTTTTTCCTTCTCCTCTCTCGCCTTCTCGCCTTCCTTCCCATCTGTCGAATGACTCTTTTTTAGAAAACGTTATTTTTCTGACCCTTTTGATGGTCCCGTGACGCGATCTCATTTTTTTCCTTTTCTTTTGGTGCTCCGGCTGTACCAATTGTGAGCTCGAGTTCGGGTTGAGTTTTGCTGAGATAGGATTATTGGAGAGTATGATGATGGAGTCACTCAGCAAGGGGTTTGTACAACAGTGAATGGAGTCGGTCAACACCAAAAAGAAAAAGAAAAAGAAAGAGAGACGGATGTCTGGTTCCAGAGTGGTCTCTTGGATGTTGGATGTTGGATGTCTGGGATCTTGAAGGATGTGGCATCATCATCACCGTTATTGTGCGTGTGTAAGCAAAAATTTAACCATGATATGAGGTGACTAGAACAAGTAGGAAGGAATGAACAAGATCTCTGTTGCTATCTCCCATCAGAACATCATCCGTTTGTTGTCCTTCTCCTTGGTACTATGTGCTTTCTTCCTTCCTTGTTTCTTTTTATGCTCGGAACCCTGCCCTTTGGACTCTCTCTTTCACTCTTCTGCTCTTTCGTTTCATTATCCCTCTCTTGGCTCTCTATTCGCTCACTCTTTATTGGGGCATTTCTTGTGTAAATGACAGAAGGGGCATTTTTGTGTGTTCACATACATACCCAGCGGGGTGTCAGTTAGTGCCCACCATTATCTTTCGATCGATCGCACAGCTATGTTCAACAACAACAAACAAAAACATCAATCGACGACTAACAACGAACCAACCATTTCCCATTTCTGCCGTTTTAAACCCATGTCTAGACTCCTTGTTCTTTCTTCTTTGTACTCCAAAGACCCCTCTTTCTTTTCTTCTGTTCTCTCTTTTCTTTTCCTTTTCTTTTCCCATCGTTCCCTTGCAGCTACATCGTCGCACAAAAGGATCACCTTTTCTCCTCTTCCTTCGTTCCCATTCGCCCTTTCCCCCCTTCTTCAACAACAGCCTTCAACTATTGTTCAAGACAATAGCCCATAGCCATTTTCTAGAATGCTGTGCCTTCCACTGAATCATACCCAACAGGGCTGCGGCGCAGACACCGCTCTGGTGACCGCATCCGGACTAGCCCCTGGCTATACTTCCAACAACGGCAACAAATCCTTGGCATCGTCGTCCACCTTTGCTACTCCTCCAGCCCCTCTCGTCCTCTCTGCCTCTTCCTTCCCTTCCTCTTCCGCCTCCACCGCAAACCCTCTGTACAGTATCGCCTACCCTCAAATCCTCCCTCTCCCTCTCCCCCACCCTCATTCACACCCGCAACACTCTCATCACATCAACCATCACCCTCATCACTACCCCCAGCACTCCCGCTCCTACTCCCACAGCAACCTCAACCACATGTATGCCTCTTTCGACTCCCTTCCCACTCCTTCCTCGGGCGCTCCTGGGGCCATGCCTTCGATCCGTTCTTGGCACCAGCAGCAGCAGCCTTCGAGTAACGTCGCACCCGTCCCCTTGATCCTTGACTCTTTGGCAGCCAACAAGGTCAACATAGTTGAAAATCTCGTCGGTAAGTCTATCTGGATTGTTTTCAATGCGCATACCTTTAAGCGTATGCCTCTCTGACTTGTTAGTCATAGTAGGATCGTGAAAGATGTACCCATGGGCTGACCATCTTTATTTTTCCTTGTCTGCTGGTCATACTCCTATCTGTTACTATTCTCTTACTCCCACACTCACAATAACCACAATGACGACAATCCAGACACTGCTGCATTGATTATCGAATCGATCTGGCCTAGCCCTTCGTTGAGTGCCCAGTTCTCGCTCAAGACGCCAGTGATCCCGCTGCATATCTTTGTCAAGGAGACACTCAGGAGATCGCGCACCACACTGTCGACCCTCCAGCTTGCGCTTTATTATATCTACCGTGTGCGCTCCCAGGTCTTGGCAGCCCAGGAACGGATCCGTCTCGACCAGATCCAGCATTTTCAGCAGCACATGGCCGCGCTGCAGCATGGCTTACCCCCCTCTCCCTGCATCTCCCTTGACAGCCTGTCCGAATCAGACATTCGCCATACCGACTATTTTAATGTGACCAACAAGCCCACCCTCCCGCTCACACCACCTGGCTCCAACAACACCACCCCACCCTCGCTCTCGCCCCTCTCCCACACCTCGAATGCCTCGGCCTCGCCTGTCCTCGCAAAGTCCGAACCCGTCGGATGCGGCCGCCGCATGTTCCTTGCCGCCCTCATCCTCGCCTCCAAATTCCAGCAGGACCGCACTTACTCCAACAAGGCCTGGTCAAAGATCTCTGGCCTGCCCGTCTCCGAGATCAACCTCAACGAGATTGCCTTCCTCGCCCTCATCGACTACCGCCTCTTTGTCTCCCAGTCCGTCTTCCAAAAGTGGGTCGTCGTCCTGACCGAGAAGGGCAAGTTCAAGGAGAGGACTACCATTGCCCTCAGCAACAGCCACTATGCCGCCGATCTCTGCGTTCCCTCCGTGACTCACTCGCCCATCCCCCGTCGTAATTCGTCCCATATCTCACTCCCTTCGCGTATGTCCTCCTGCATTACGCCTTTGTCCCTGGCTCGGCGTCAAGATTCGTTCCACTCCTCATCATCGTCGTCCTCTATCCCCTTGCCCTCATTCTCTGCCTTGGCCGGCCCTCACCAACACCAGCAACAGTCCACCGCTGGTATTTCTCAGCCATCGTTTCTCAACAACGGTTCCTTCCAGTTTGGACCTGCCCAGACCGAGATTCCCTTGGGCAAGTCTGGCCAGAGTGGTCTCTTTGAGCCCGAGGCTCTGCCAAGACAGCAACAGGGCATGGGATCGTACTTGACCCACCGATGGGTCGAAGCCCAGAGACGCGAGTTCCTCCGTAACCACGTCAAAGCAACTCTGCCTCGCCTCCCATTGATTTCGAGCCCAGTCTCTGAGTTGGATGCCTCGAATGGTACCCGCTTGACGATGAGTGCTACTGGATCGGACCCTATGTGGTGTAAGTCGACCGGTGCTTCTCAGCGTCAGGCCCTCCATGCTAAGTTGGCTGAGATGAAGCCTGATTTTTTACCATCGCCTGCTACTTCGTTCTCGCCTATGGGCATGCAGTCGATGGCTGGCTCGAAGCGTCGTATGACCGAGTCGGATGATGTTGATGCTAAACGCGAGCTCAAGTGCCAGCGCCGCCTCAGTGTTGCCTTCCTTGTCGATCTCTAGATCTCCTCTTCCTTTCCTACCCTCCTTCCTCCTTTCCTCCCTTCTCCTTTCCTTTCGCTTTGTGTTCTTTTCTTTTTTGCTTCCTTTCTCAATTGTGTAGATTACCCTTGTACCATAACCATGCACACCGCACCACACCCACCCAAAATACCGGGGGGTTTTTTTTTTTTTTTTTTTTTTTATTTTTTAATTCCTCGACCAAAACTCCTTCAAAATAGTCGTTGTCTCTTTTTTTTTTTTTTTTTTTTCCTTTCTTCATCGTCTTCTTGGGGTTATTGTTTGACGACCCGATAGTGTAACCGAGTCGTTCCCTTTTCAGATTACCAAGCCGTCTTCTTCATAGTAGAAAGACAAACCCTCTCAATAATAACAAGCCGATTCTTTGTTTGAGGAGATGCTCACTTAAACGGGCACCTTTTCCAAACGACGTATTGCTGCTCTCTCTTTCCTCCTGCCAAGCAAAACTATAGTTCTGTGTGCTTTCAAGTAAAGTGGATAAATGCGCTCCGACTGTCATGATTTTGTGCGATCGGTGTCCGTCCCTAGAGGGACAACCGCATTTCGCCATTCGTATGGCACGTGAAGCATACTAGATGATTGGTCGATGGAGTAGACCGTTGGTTCCTTGCCACTTTTCGTTCTCCTTTGCTTCTTTGTCCCTTCCCTCTGTTCGTTTGTCACTTCACTTCCTTTACCGCCACCAACATATAACTACTTCCTACTTTACAGACACCAATTCCCTTTCCCCTTTCTCTATTGTACCCTTTTCGCTTCTCCCCTCCCATTCTTCTAAAATGAGTCGCACTGGTCCGTCCATCCCCATCCCCCGTACTGTGCCTATCCTCCCCCTGCACGACAAGGTGCTCCTGCCAGGAGTCGTCACCCGGATGCAAATCACCCGACGAGACTCCATCCCCTTGTTCGAACAGATTCTCCGGACCTTTGACAGTCGAGAACTCTCCAAATGCATCATAGGGGTTTTCCCCGTCCGACCCCCTCCCACTTCCATCACCACTCCTTCAACAACAGCGCCCATTCAGCAGAGTTCGGCCGACAACAGGAGTGACACAAAAAAACCGGGTGTACTCCCTCACGGTGAGCTTATCATCCCCGGACCATCGCCCCTCTTGCCCAACCCCCGCAGCAGCAATGGCAAGGACGAGCGTGCCTTAGTCTCGTTGCGAGCTTCGAGCTCTGTGAACCCTGCCCATATCCATTCGACTGGTTGTGCGGCTCGGCTTGTTCGACTTGAACGAGCCGTTGGCGGATTCACTGTCGTTCTGGAAGGTACTTCTCGCTTGTTTCTTTATGCTTTTTTGTGAACAATGCAGGAAAAGGATGACTAATTCCTAACCTTGCCTTCTTCCCCCACCACATTTAAAACAAACAGGTCTTGTTCGCCTTCGCTTGAACAAGTTCACATCCCAATCACCCTACTTTGAGGCGGAAGTGACCCCACTCCCGGACAAGGCTGTCAACAAGTCGGACCAGGAGCTCCAGGACCAAATTGTGGCTCTGCGATCGACCTCGAAGGAGTTTGTATCGCTCCTCCAGAGCTTAAAGTTGCCTGCGCCCGTCTTGACGCAGTTGCAAAAGTTTCTCGATAATGTAACGGTAATGCCCGGTCAGGTCGTCGATTTGTTGATGAGCACCATCGAGTCCTCTCTCGACGAGAAGGTCATGATCCTTGAGGCTGTTGATTTGAAGGATCGCATCTCCAAGGCTATCGAACTTCTCACCCGTCAAATTCATGTAAGCCGGAATGGAATGGAATGGAAGCGAGTTTTTGTTTTGTTCTTGCTGATCAAAACCAGAATTGAGGTGTTGATTCGATAATGTCAATTGTTTACAAACCGATGTAGGTGCTCAAAATCTCACAAAAGGTCCACGATAACGTCGAAGGAAAACTCAATAAGAAGCAGCGCGAGTTCTATCTCCGCCAACAGATGGCGGCTATCAAGGAGGAGTTGGGTGAAAAGGATGCTGGAGAGGACGATGAGATGACCCAGATCGAGAGCAGACTCGCTGCAGTCAACCTCCCAGCCGATGTGCAGAAGGCAGCCGATCGGGAGTTGAAGCGTCTGAAGAAGATGCAGCCTTCGTCGTCAGAGTACTCTGTGATCCGAAACTACTTGGACTGGCTGGCAGACTTACCCTGGGCAAAGTCGAGCGAGGATATCTTGGATGTTGAGAAGGCCAGGAAGCAATTGAACGACGATCACCATGGACTCGAAAAGGTCAAGCGCAGGATCTTGGAGTACCTCGCTGTTACAAAGTTACAGCAGCTCAAGGGAGATGTCCGTGGCCCTATCCTCTGCCTCGTCGGACCCCCAGGGGTAAGTAGTCAATGTTTCATGACCTCTTCTTCTGCAACGAACATTTTTCGTTTGTGCCTCATTGCTTACATTGGAGTTTTACACCTGTTGGGTTATTAGGTTGGCAAAACTTCTCTTGGCCGTTCAATTGCTTCAGCCATGGGCCGCAAATTCCATCGCATTTCCTTGGGAGGAGTCTGGGACGAGTCCGAGATCAGAGGCCATCGCCGTACATATGTCGGTGCTCTGCCCGGTCTCATTATCCACGGCTTGAAAAAGTGCGAAGTTAACAACCCAGTGTTTTTACTTGGTAAGATATTGCGATATTGGAAAGGAAGTTGATGGATGCAATGGCGACTTTCTTGACAGGTATGAGGCTAACACATGTGTATGTCGTGCAATGCTCGTGGGTGGTAATAGATGAGATTGACAAGGTCGGATCGAGAGGTCATCATGGTGATCCTTCCGCTGCGTTCCTGGAGGTTTTGGACCCTGAACAGAACAACAGCTTTGTAAGTTCATTGTCCAGAGTATATTGTTTTTGCCAATGCGATCTACTTGAAAGGGCTTTGTGTATTGACTGACGGTTAATTTCAACCCCGTATGTTACTAGACCGATCACTACTTGAACGTGCCGTTCGATCTCTCCAAGATCCTGTTCATCGCAACCGCAAACTCGTTGGACACAATCCCAGCACCATTGCTCGACAGAATGGAGACCATCACCATTCCTGGATATACCTATGCTGAGAAGCTTGCGATTGCGACCAACCACTTGTTGCCCAAGCAGATCCGCCAGCACGGCCTGGGTGAGACCGATGTTCAAGTTACGCAAGATGCCCTCTTGAAGGTCGCCACCGGTTACACTCGCGAGAGTGGTGTCCGTCATTTGGAGCGTGAGATCGGCTCCCTTGTCCGTGCCAAGGCTGTCGAGTACGCCGAGATCCAGGAAAAGAAGGAGGCTGGCCAGAGTGTTTTGACTGAATACCAGCCCCTAGTCTCCTTGGACGATGTGGAAGAGATTCTCGGTCAAGAGAAGTTTGTGAACGAAGTGACAGAACGCGTCGCGGTGCCTGGCGTCGTGACTGGCATGGCGTACAACGGAGTTGGTGGCGGAATTTTGTTTATTGAGGTCTCACAGATGCCTGGCAAGGGTAACCTTCAGCTGACAGGTAGTCTGGGCGATGTCATCAAGGAGAGTGCCCAGATTGCACTGAGCTGGGTTAAGAGCCACGGCTACGAGATCGGTCTCACCAACAGCCCCGGACAGAATGTGATGGAGAAGGCCGATGTTCATATCCACATGCCCGGCGGAGGCACTCCTAAGGTAAACTCTATCAATATCCACTTTCTGAAATGTTCTAAAAGCCTTATTTCTCTTTCCTCAGAAGTGATCGCTAACATTTGGTCACGTATTCCCTTCTATGTGATGTAGGATGGACCCTCGGCTGGTATTGCTATGGTGTGCGCATTGGTGTCGATGTTCTCCAACCGGACGGTCCCAAGCACGACGGCCATGACGGGCGAGTTTACGCTCCGTGGACTGGTAATGCCTGTGGGCGGTATCAAGGAGAAGGTGATTGCCGCTCACCGAGCTGGTGTCCGCAAGATTATTATGCCACTCCGCAACCAAAAGGATGTGACTTCGGATGTCCCTGTTAATGTCCGCGAGGATATTGAGTTCTTCTATGCATCGACCATCGGGGAAGTCCTCCGAGAAGCCTTTGAGGGCCGCCTGATGGTTCGCAGTTCTGCCAGCACCGTGATCGACAGCAGGATGTAACTGTAGCTTCAACAATATATCATGTATCAAAAAGTCGTGTGTGCATCCTTTTTAGCTTTTTTTTCCTCGGCTGGGCGAGTCGATATGTCACGTGTGCGGCGGAGGCATAAAAAACAGAGTCACAGTTGCTTGGTTACTAACCTTTCTTCTCTACAACACTCACAACTTCCCTCTCCCTCTCCATCCCCCCATCGGTCTGCCCTTGTTCGTTCTTTTGGTTCAAGCAGTCTATCACTCACTCTCCTCAGTCTTTCCCTCCACAACTTCGCCCTCTTTTTCTATCTTTCATTGTGTTATCTCCTTCCTTGTCCCTCCCTTTGTAAACCGATATATTTTCTTTCCAACTCTCTTTGCCATGATTCGTGATGAAACCGCCTTCCAGGCACAGGCAGCCTTGGACCAGCTTGCTGCGACTGCTCATGCGACTGCCCTTTCTGCGGCTGCAGCACCGGCCACACCAACAACTCCCTCCACCCCAACCACCACGACCTCCACAGCACCAGGAACAGCAGCAACAGCAACCGCAACCGCAACAGCAGGTGCACCACTCGATCCTGCCGAAGTCCTCAAGAAGGACCTCATGAGCCAGCGCGTCCGTAACGACAACAGGGAGCGTAAAAAGCGATGGAGAGAAGCAAACGAGGATCGCAGTAAGTTTTTTTTTTATAGTAGACTGCCCCTTCTGACCCCTCTGACACTATCCACACCCTTCTCCTCCTCTCCTCAGCGTACATACACATACAGGACAAAGGAACAAAGCAACTTCAAAAACAACAACACCTCCAAAGCTTGATTGTGTTCTCTACACCTCTTCCTCTTCATTCAGCTTCATACCCTCCCTCTCTTTTCCCCCCTCTATCGTTCGTCGTCACCTTTTCTCGTGGCTGTGTGCAGAGTTGATTCCTGAAGAGAGTCGGTACAGATGATGTGAGGCTGATTGCTAGATTCAGACTCATTCTCATTGGACATCCTTGTTCATATCTTTTTATACGCCAGCGGCTGCGCGTACATATGTTTTGTTGTAGTTGATGTTGTTCGACCGGTTGTTTTTGCAACGATTTCGTCTTGGTTCCCAATGATGCTTGAGTGTTGTTGTTATCCACAAGAAGCACAAGAAGCGCAAGAAGCGCAACGAGTTTCCGGACCCCTCTTCTCTCTGTCTCTCTCTCTTGTTGTTTTTCTCTTTTTTTCACATTCTATCTCCCCCTTCCCCCCCATACCCCTGGATAACGAAGTAAAGCACTCTATGGTTGGTTCTTTCGAGATACGAGCTTCTCGTAGATGCAGTCTTTGAGCAAGCGAGAAGCAGAGTGGTGTTCAAAAAAACAAAAAAAATAGTAGTCCCATCACAAAAGAACCAGTCCCTCTTCACTTGCCCAAGGCAAGGTTCGTCCGAGGGCGGTTAGGAAACAGTCCCCTTGTTCTTTCCCCTCTTCTTCGTTTCTTGCTCCTCCTCTCTCTTGCTCACTTCGGCACTCAGCTCAGCAGATTCCTCAGCAGCAGTGATGTTATTCTTTTTTCCTAGTCCGCTTTGTGTTTCTTTTTTTTTTGCGCTCTCAACGCTGTCGACAGACAACCCAAAGGTTTTTTTGTGACGTGTGTTTGTTGATATCCGCCGTCACGATTCCTATTGGCAAAGCCCAACCTTGAGGGTCACACCTCCCTCTCCTTGCCACTTAATCACCATTGGTCACATATCTTACAACACTCGCTCGCGCAGATACGCTTGCATATCATTCATTACTAATGACACTCACTAACCTACCCGACTACTCAATGTGTTCAACTAAATAGACAAGGACAATGATTTGCGGTGCAGAGTCAACAAGCGGGCAAACAAGCTGTTTGGCAAGCAGGAGAGTGAACACAAGTCGCGCTGGATCGAGGAAGAGTTTGGAAAGCGCCAGATGAAGCGCAAGGACAAGGAGAGGCGGAGAAACCCCAACTCGGCTGGATCGATGGAACCAACACCCGCTCCTACCACACCAACGGTTTCTCTGAACGAGCACCTTGCGCTTCACCAACAGGCACAGGCTGCAGCCCAGGCGGCAGCCGTCCAAGCACAGGCCCAGGCCCAGGCCCAGGCTCACCAACTGCAAGCAAGCCAACTCGCACACCCCCAGTTTGATCCTTCAACGGTCAAGACAGCGCTGGCGCTGAATGATTTGGTCAAGAAGAACGGCAGCCATCTGGACCTTGCGCAACTCACTGGTGTCTTGACCGACCCCAACCTGGCACGTCAGCTGATCGAGATCGAGGCCAACAACCCAGCAACACAAGCATCGGCTACCATGATGGTCATGAACACTCAAATTAAGTCTGAACACGAGTCTAAGGCTGGCCATATGATGGATGCCGATTACCCCATGGATGCTGTCCTCACCCTGATGCAGCTCAACGGCAGCTGGAAGGCTTAACGACAAGCACGGATGGACGAAAGATAAGAAGGAAGGATCGAAGGAAGGAGCAGGTGGAGGATCTCGGGTCACTACTTTTTTTTGTTGTTCTTTTACTCTTTTATTCATAACTACCCCAGCGCTACTCTCTCTACTTTTTTCTTACTTACTTCTCATTCTCTCCTCTTTCAATACAACATATTTGCACACACACACACACACTCCATACTACCCCACTACCACCATACACACACGCTGCACACTTTGCACGCACACATTCTCCACACTCTCTCTCCCTTGCACAGCTCATCTAACTATAAAGCACAACCTTTTTTCAAAACGTGTTAAACTGCAAGCGCTCTCCTTCCCTTTTCTCTCGCGTAGAAAACCAACCATCAACCTCCTTCCTTGTACATCAGGATCCTCTCCTCCTCCTCCTCTCTCATTCTACCACATCCCGTTTTCGCATATCCTCTTTCATTCACCACACAACATACAAAGCTATTCTAGTTTCATTCTCTTTCCCCCTCAAAGAAAAATAATAATATTCATTTCTATCAACAAATCAATGGCGCTTTTTTAAAAACTATCTATACCGAATATCATCCATGATACAATTCCGCGGATCATTGACCGCCGAAAACAACATCCTCTTAAAAAACGCCTTCTTCTCCTCAACCTCTAACCTGTCTACAATCTTCGTCCTCAAATACTTTTTCAACGGCGCGTACACAAACTCGGGCATCCGACTCGAACCCTGACCTAATCCGGGGCCAGGTTGGCTCTGACCTTGTCGTTCGGGTAAGGTCTTGAGGAATGCGGTGGCGCCTAACCAGAAGACGTGGCGTTCGTAGACGCGGAATTCGACGCCGGCTTCAATTCCAACTTTTGAACGACGGCTGTTGTGGAGGAGGCCGTAGGCTGCTCGGAAGATGCCTGTGACGATCTCGGGGAGGTCTGTGGGGTCGATGATGATGTTTTGGCGGTAGTTGATCCGGTTCTGCGAGGAAGAAGAAGAAGAGGAGGAGGACGAGGAGGAGGAGGAAGAGGAGGAAGAAGAAGAAGAGCGGTAGGAAAGGGCGGGGTCGAGGAAGAGTTCAAGGATGTAGGCGTGAAACTTCATGGCGCAGAAGATAAAGTTCTGGTAGATGTTGAGGAACACTCTTGCGTGGGAGTTGTAGGTCGTGTCCGAGAATGACATCTGGCACATGTGTTGCATCGCTCTAATTATCATACGAAAAAAATAGATGAGAGAGGTGGTTCATTGGTGAGTTTTGAAAGGGGGTGAGGTGTGGACCAAAGTTTCATGTTAGAACGGTGACGCGAGAGGAATAAGAAGAGGATGTGCTTACTTTTTCATCTTGAGAACGATAGCATAGCCGGCTTGGACGTTTTTGCTGGGTTGCATGTTTCGCGATACGGTCAACAAGTCACGGATGTCTATTCGAGTTTAAAGGGACGCGGAAATGGTGGAGGAAAACGCGTCAGTACGCATGAGACAGATATCACAATGTGTAACTGATCGAGCAACAAAAAATATCAAGAGTGGTCAAGCTTACCGTCCCCATCGTATCGAGTATAGTCAGCACGGATCTCCAACGTCTTTGTGTGCAATAGGAACCCACAATAAGGAAAGTCTATCCCACAAATCAGTATCGAAAAGAGCGCGTTGTTAAAACAAAGCACGTAGAAAAGGGCGCTCATGCTCCCAAGATACCATAAGTACTTCATCATTGTAAGCACATACCATTGCCTTGACACTGCTGGGCAGGTTGAGCATTACTCAGCAAGACGTCAAAGTTGGTGACCGTCTTGCTTTCATTGATGAAGCATCCAAACTCTGGGTGTCCGGCTGCCATGATCCTTAAGAACTCTATCGATTTGTCCTTGTCGTGACTGATGAACAAAAAGTCGTCCGCCAGACGCACCAGTGCCTAAGGGGAGAGAGAGATTCACCAGAAGAAAAAGAAAAAAAACGGTATCAGATAACGATTGACGCGTGTGTCTTAAGTGAAGAAGGATGATAGCGAGATTAAGATTTACAGAATCGTCACTCTGAGTGAGGTGTGAAAGTTTTCTTTTTTCCATCTCGTCGTAAAAGAACCTATCGATGGGGAAGAAAACCAAAAATGAAAAAGACGCGTTTTAGCATCCATATCACACGTCAAAGATTCTTAAAAGTGGCCTTCCCGCATAGTGACAAACCTGCAGAGCGCTGGGGAGAGTTTCGATCCTTGAGGAATGCCCGTTGCCTGCTTATAAAAGTGTCGTCCAAACTTGACAACGTTCTCCCGAACATGCTCCATGATCATACTTATAAGTACATCCTTGCGCTCACTCGAATGTACAACCTATAGTTATCCCGTAGAAAAAGAAGAAATAGATTGAGTGCCAAACTCTGGCTATCGCGACGTTTGCATCGTCATACCTCACAGAGTCAGCGTCGCTTACCTTGTCGACGAAGACGGCGTGTTTGGAAAATACTGCTTGTTCATGAGCAAAGTCGAGGAAGTGGGGGATGTCGTCGGGGGCGGTAGCGTTGGCGTGGAACCGTTTCATCATCCGCCCGTTCGCAGGGTTCACCTTCGAGTGCCGATGTATAACGTACTTGTCCTATGAACAAATCCAAAGGAAGCGCACGACGGCAAAGTGGTAAATCGTGTGTTCACTGAGAGGACGCTCGTTAACAAAAATGCGATGATCGATATAGTTACTTACCTCTTTCAGAGTCTCGTAAATGAGATGGAGCAAGTTCTCCTGGTTGATCGAGTCGAACGCCTTTTTGATATCGACTTTTACCATGTACAGTCTTTGCCTAAATAAAGGATTGAATGTTAGTATCTCTCAGCACACCAAAAAAAAGAAGTTTGTCAAGAAATACGGGCAAGAGACTTACTGGCTGCGCGTGGACGAACCAACAAGTTTTTCTTTGGCCTTTTTGAGTCGATGAAAAAGGTCACTCATCCCTATGGCCGATGAACACTTCATCTGCCGACTCCTCTCATACGCCAGGACCAAGGACGCCGTTTTCAGTCGATCGTTTGTCGATTTATAGTTTCCCGCAGATCCTCCATTGACCTACATCGCAGATATTGAACAAAGAAGTCAGGGTTTAAATAGAAACGCCTCCAAACCTGATACAACACCGCCAGACTTAAAAAAAATCAAAGGCACAGAGCCAAACATACCAGTCTAGGTGCCCTTCGACCAAGGTTGATAATAGGCCGAAGGTCGTTTGTCTTTGGAAGGAACCTGACTTTAGAATAAACGCTGTTGCACACCGAAACTTCTTCCTATTCAACACGCAGAGACAGGGACACAATAAAAGAGGCGTAATATCAGAGTAATGTACAAGAAGATCTCAATTAAGCCAGTGAACAAGAGGGGAAGTAGAAGCATTGTCTTACTGGCTCCATTCTGATAAACATCTTGCCCTGGATAGAGTTCACGGCAGACTGTGTGATGATTCGCCACAGCCCATGTCGATAATAAAAGAGTTTGTTGCGCTGGTACGAGCTGTCCGTCACGTAAAATGTGGCCTAATAGATTTGCAAGTGCGCCGCGTCATGTTAGAATGATTTCTCAGAACGTGGCAAAATTAATCGTAGTAACAAGAACGCGTGAAGAGGTAAAACAAGAAGAAGAGAAAAGTTACCCGAAGTAACGGCATGAGGAAACCTTCAAAAATCCAGTAGACAAACTCGTGCAGGATCTCGTGCTGTTTGTCAGACGCCGTCGGAGCAATATGACAGACTGGGCGCCCTTCATGGACTCGGTGCGAATCCTGGAGCCACTCGCACTCGCTCAACTTGAAACCTTGAAGCGCGTACTGCAGTGGCAGAGTCTCAAACTTGCGAAGTCGAATAAACCGTGTCATTGCTAAAGTATCAGAGACGGTGTTTTGATTAGGTATGTTGTTGATCGAAGCATGAGTATTGAAGGGAGCGTGGTCGATAAGCAGCAACGTGACATGGCTATGTTTTTCTCTCTTTAGTACCTCGCAGTATGACGGCCCGGTTATCGGTCGATCCGAACATGGCCAGAGGAATGACTTTCTTTACGACTGCATGGACGAATGATGTCACCTGCACGCAAAGTGAGAGATACGAACATGTCAGTAAGAGCTGCACAAAGAAGTTCAACGCGATCATCGCGTAGTACACAGGTTAACGCCTTACCTGATCGAAGGAAGAGAAACTCGTCAAAAGAGAAGCGACGTTTGTCTGTGCGCTCTCTGGTGCATTGTCAATCGCCTAGAGGTATGAAGTTTGGAGAGCGTCATATCAGTCAATGGTTTATATCAAACCTGCAAACAAAGGATAGGAGATATCGCCACAAAAAAAAAGATTGAGCGAATCAAAAAGCCTACCGCGACTGGGCAATAGTATTGAAGCAAGGCCATGGATCGACACTTTTGGTTAAGGACAAGCATCTCCTCCACCAGAGTTCTCATGGAGCGCAACCGCCAGCCTCCTGCCGCTTTTTTCTTCGCCCTTTCAGTCCTATATTTGATTTTGCCAATGGTTTGACGCGTATCGGGCAACCATCCCGATGAAGGCACGGAAGGTGAGAAAACATTTTGAAGTCCATGTTGCTTGGGAAACATTCGCTTCATCTGAATATCCACAATCGCCTTCAGGTCTGGAACATAGTCCGCCGGCTTAAAGCTGTCGTCTATTCGGCAAGTTCATTATGCGGAGCAAATTAGTCACGATAACAGCATGGTAATAACGCAACACAGATAGTAGACATAGCAAAATAAATCGGCGCAGGAGCACTCTAGCTGATGTACTTACAGTCGGCAAGCAGAAAGTTACGAAGCATCACGCTTTCGATATGGTATCGTCGCGCATAAAAGATCCTGGACCGCTGGAACGATATTGCCGACGGCGATATGGCGGCTCTTGGGTTTGTAACCCTGTCCTTGTCTTTGTCACCGTCGCTATTATTATTCTTCCGTCTCTTGGCTGCTGTCGGTGCACACTCCAATGCGTGTCCTTCCGATTTCCGCTTGTCGTTCGAAACAGCACGTCGTTTTGCAGCCGGTGGCGATGTGTCCTTCGAGTAATGAGTATCGGATGTGGCTGAAGAGGGAGTAAGATCGGCAGGGCGCTTCCTGGTTGAGAGGCTTTGAAGGACTTCTTGTTGTATGAGCTGTTTCGAGACATGCTGTTCGCTGATAGCTGGTCCTGTGATTTGGCAGTAGCAATTATTGGGTAGCGCCGCAAAGATAGAGGTTTGTGTCAAAAGATAGGCCATCGCAGGTTGACCTATCCTATATGCAAGGGTAGCATGTAAGAGTTAGATATTTAATCAAGAAAAGATCATATACGCTTCTTTCATGGCACAACGCGCAACAGATCAGATGCATACCGTCGCAAAAGAGTCTCCCAGTGCTCTGAACGAACAAATGTCTCGAGGGTGTTCTTGTGGTACGGCTGGGCTCTCTGATCTGAGATTCGTCTTATCTAAGCGACATATATAATGGTAATGTCGCGATGGCGGTTAATTCTCTGTTTTGTTGCCTATTGTAGTCGACGACTTGTAAAAAAGAAACGGTGCGTAAAGACATACCGACTTATACCCGACCGCCAATATGTTGTATTTTCCGATGGGCCACTCGTTAGGAGGGCAGGTGTTTCTAATAGCAGAGTCAACAATCTAAGTGACAGTGCGCGAGATAACATGGCAAGGATGAGGAGGGATTAGTCATATCGTCCAGGGCACAGGTGACATTTTTTCACGACTTAAAAGAGGTGTCTTACATCATCCTGTCGCCCGCTGGGAGACTGTCTACTTTCTGTTGGAAAGGGCTGGATGGCGATACCCGCGTTCTTCATAGCAGCAGCAGGCGTAGGTGCGACAAGTGTGTCGTGCAGCAGGCACTTGTACTCGTCTGGGTCATCACTGCAAACAACTGTCGGCTGGCCATTGAGATTGGTGTCGAGGAATTGACCGAGTCGTTGGAGTCCAGGGAGCAATGTCAGCAGGACAGCATTGGTGATGGCAGCGTTGGATTCAGCCATGGTAGATTGTGATGTGTTGTTTGTGTGGGTAAAAGTAGAAAGGTGGGTCCATTCTCTTAGAGGTATAGTTAATATTGGTGGCGTTGCTTTATTAATATTTTATTTTTGCTACATATTCGAAGGGTGAGATGGAGGAGCGTTTGCTTTTACTTCTTTTCTTGTTTCGCCTAAGGGACATGAAGGCGATAGGGGAGAAAAATAAAACGATGTTAGCTGCCGCACGACAATTAACAATTGAGAAATCAGTAGAGCAAAAAAATCAATAAGGTACCTTGAAGGCATCTGAGAAGCTGGACAGATTGCGCTTGGCGACAGCCGTGACATCGTGAGGCAGGGCGACAACGATGGACCGGTCTTGGCCAAACTTGAAATTGTCTGCAACGACGTGGTCGGCGTACTGCTTGATCTGGTACTCATAGTGTCCGTTCTTGACGCGACGGAAGTTCCAGGTGATAACATAAGGCCCCGTACTCGTCACAATAGTCTTTTCTGCTTCATTCACGCCGGTATTGAAACGCGCCGTTGTGAAGGAGACGGCTTGTCTGATTGCAGCAACGTGCTCAGGCTTGAGATGCAGCTTGATTGCCTTTGGCTAAGAGAAAACAAAGTCATTGAAGAAGAAACCTGTGAGTATGGAGACGAATACAGAGAATTACTATAGCATCTTGAACAACAGCACAGCATACCTTGTTCTTGGCAGGGAAACTGGCATCAAATCCGAGCTTTTTGTTCTCTGGGTTGAGGACGTCGATCAAGAGCAAGTACGTCTTGCAGGTGGCAATGACCCAGCGACCGTCGGCTGTCACGTCAAGGCCGATAATAGGATCTCCGAGTCCAGGAAGAGCCGTCTTGGCAGGCTTGCCAATAGTGTTCAGCAACTTGATCTCACCGTTGGCTCCAGCAACAGCTACAGATCCATTGTCCGTTGTTGCAATGCTGGTGAAATCGTTGCTCTTGGCATATTGAATGAAGGCACTATCGACAATCTTGTTGCCAGACAAACGAGGGTCGACGCGGAACATGGCGTTGTGCGAGTGTCCCACCATGGTCTTGTTGTCCGTCAAGTTGGAGTACTTGGAGTCGCCTACTAGGTTCAAAATACCAGTTGTTCCAGGCATATGCCATTCCTCGACAATCTTTCCGTACTCCAGATCCATCTTGTAGGCAGTATCCAGATCTCGAGAGTCCATCATGACCATCGCAGAATCCTGCTGGTGCAACACAACCTGTTTCAGAGAGTGATAAACGAGTTCTAGTTAGCAGTCCGCAATACCTCATTAAAAGACCTAACCATAGCGTGTGTAAAAATGAGCAACTTACTCGAGAGGGGTTGACGTCTCTGCCAGCTTTGTTTTTGATGTTCTTGATGGTGGTCGAAAAATCCAGTCCGTCGCGCTCGTTGTGCTTGAAAACGCCGATCTTATCGCCACGCACGACATATGATCTGTCCTTGAAGCCGACGGCTAATTGACTGTTCTTGGCTGTATCCTGCTTGAAAGCCTCATGAGGGTTCTCCTCTTGTTCGTCTTCGTCCTCGTCATAGCTATCGTCGCCTTCGTCGGAAAAGAGATCCTCTTCTTCCTCCTCCTCTTCCTCTTCCTCCTCTTCTTCCTCTTCTTCTTCCTCCTCCTCATCCCTGTCAGACTGCGACATTTCAACATCATCCTGGAACGTTTTGATCATGTACTCCTGATCAGTAGACTATAGAAAAGAAAATTACATGGAATAATCAGCAACGAGAACACTCAGTTCAACATAAGATCAATAAAAGACGTGAGAGAGTACGTACCGGAACCTTGTCCCACGAAAGCTTGTTTAGAGACTCATACATGCACTCTCCGAAAACGGCCTGGAACTCTGAAAGGGCAGCCTCGTTAGGGAACCGAATCAACCAGGAGTAAACGTTGTGTTGCTCGTCAAAGTAGTTCCAGATAAAAGAAAGGTGTGATGCACTGAACACAGGGTTCATCCTTGCCTCCACAGGCTGAGCAAGCTGCTGCTCTCCATCCTTCGAGAGAACGACAAGCCAGTCTAAGATGTCACATACATATAAGATCGCGCAAATGTTAGTTATTCAAGCCTGAAACTACTCTTCGGTCTCCTATATCGAGAAACATCAAATGCCTTACATTTGAACTTTTCAGCGCGAAGAAGTTGGCATCTGATAAGCTCCGCCTGGGGCATGAACAAGTTTGTCTTTGGATCGAAGAGATTCAATTGTCCTGTCGCCTCTGCAACTCCATCGTACTTGGTGGGGGCGTCACGTTGGGCAGGTCTGTCGATGTCCTCTTCCTTTTTCACAGGAGCCAAGCTCTCTTTCTTGAGGGCAGGCGATGCTTTACTGGCTCGAGGTGAAGTAGCCCCAGGGGATACTGCTGCTGCTGTGCTGGATCTCGATGACGTAGGACTATTGATCAGACAGAGGACAAATAAGTCAGAGTGAGTGACTAAAGATCAAAGAAGGCGTGCTGTAGTTCTGTTGCAGAATAGGGTTGGCTACTGGATGACGTACGGGAGCTGGAATTCTTCGACTGCATCATCGTCCGCGGAAAAATGCGTCTTTTGGTACTTGCGCTCGTACATGCAGTGATAGGCAGTGATTTCAAAGTTGTTGGCGGTGAACACCGTGGTTTCGTCATCGCAGACAAACTCGTATTCAAGACCAGCATCGTCCTAAAAGAGCCAAAGCATAATTGGACGTCAGTTACCACGCCTTCCTGTGCTTAAAAATTACGCCACTTGAAAAGATGGAGGGAAGACTTACTGCCGAGAGGCCTTGCCACGTGAAGGTGGTCGCTCCAGCCGAGACACCCTTCCTGAACTTCATGGTCTGGTCGATCAAAAAAACTTTTTCGTCGTCAACTAGTAGGAGTAGAAGGTGTTAAAGAGAGACGATAGGATAATGGACTATGCTCAGTTCCAAGTTGATTTCTGTCGCAATTTGCCTCCAATTCCTGGCTCCACTTACGTTCTTGCTCATCGTCCTCCAAAGTCTCCTCGCCTTCCTCAAAAACGCGGTTGATGGCCAAGACATACTGGAAGGGTTGAGTAGTGCGCCGAATCGTTGCCATGGAGTCAATATAGCTATAGCAAACAGGTTGGTGATAGAAAGAATTTTGCATTAGACACTCATTCACGCACACTTTTCTCATGCCAAGAAAAAAACAAAAAGTAATAGGTCTTACATGCATTCCCGGGTCTTCGACCGTGCGCCAGAGGGCTTGTAGACGTAGAACTGTCCTGATGAGATTTGAACGAGCTCTGGGTTGGAGGAGTCACCCCAAATGAGTTTTCCGAGAGATTTGAAGACGTTCATGTGTGTACTGTGAGCGAGTGTGGGAGAATGGAAAGAAAGCTTGTCGCACACCGCGAACTTTTTGTTTTATCCATGTTTCAGGGAGCAGTCACCAAAGAGGGTTGGTGGTCTTGTTCTTGTTCACGCGCGCTCCTCCTTTTCCTATTCACCCCTCTCCTCTTTTCTTTCACACCCACTCACGAGTGCGCTTCACTTCTTGCCTTTCCTTCACTCAGCCTCTCATTCGACAGTTCACTTTTTCACACCTCCAGCAAAAGCAATGATTCTCGAGTCCCCTCCCTTGGTGAATGTCACACCCCTGGCACACATACACGAAGGTTTGGCCAGCCAACCTTACTTGCCCATAGCAAGAGGCGAGCGCTTGAGGGAATAAGGGAAAGACTTGGCTAAGAGAAGTCGAACCAATTGCCTAACATAATATGTCCTGTGTCTTTTGCCTGTCTCTTCAGTGCCTATTCATATCAACCACCCAATTCACCCCAACTCGGCGAGCAAGCACAAGCGACTGGGTCTACAAATGCTCAATGAGCTCACTCGCATTGAGATGTTTGTGACTAGGATAGACGCAGTTGGCAAGGTAGACAGCTCCAAGTAGTCATTGTCTATTTTGTATGACACGCCCTCTTTTTACCGACGAGCAACTACATCCCCAGCACTGACTCACAACACCTCTTGCCTACCCCTTGCCTACCTCTTCCCTCTTTCCTCTTTCCACTCTCTCACAACCAAATAAACAAAAAAAAAAATAGCACGGGGAGACAAGCACTGAGCTGAACAAGACGATTGCTCACCTGGAGCAGACCCTTCTTGCCTTTGAAGTGGACACTGGACATTCAGATCGCATCGAGAACACCTCTGGCCGTGAGATGTTGCGGGTATGACCAAGAACATTCTGAGATCTAAGATAATCTCACTGTCCATTGACTTTGTGGTACTAATGCTTTGTAGTGTTTGCTTATATTGTTATATGTGGTGTTGGTGGCCCTGTCCTCCTTCTAGAGATACATGATCAGGACAGGCCTAGCCGAGATGTTCCCAAAATCATCAGAGTACTTGGGCATTGAACTTGTACTTCCCGGCGGAAGTTACATTGAAGGTAAAATAGTAGTCAGACTGCCTCGTTCGTGCATACTCTAGTTCTTGCCAGCCATGAAGTGTGTGTACTAACCACAGCACGATGCTTGTTAATAGCTCACTTTCGGCAGATGTCCTCCATAAACCAGCTCACGTCAATTGCCCTGCAGCTCCAGAACGACATCAAACTTACAAATCACAAGTTTGTTGCCCATCAAGTCGCACTCCTTTATGTAAGGGAAAGAGCTCTTGGACTGTGGATGATTACTCTTAGCCTCTTTGCTTCGTAAAGGTTACTAATAGGCGTGATTGGTTGCTTGGGCAATTAGCAATGCATCACACAAGCAGGGCCCCAGTTCTCGAAAAAGTACAAGAATAGGGTAGAGGAGAATTTTGACGCCCTCAAAGAAGCCTCCAGTGTCTCTGACGAGCCTTACCTTCCAATTGAACTCCAAGCATGGTACGCCACTGTAGTCAGGGCCAATGAGTCGAAACTTGGAGTGTCTACTTTTAAGCCCTGTCAGATTGGCTTGCTAACATCGCCTTTCCCTTTGCCTTTGCCCTAGGCTTAATGATCTGACAACCGACATCGTAGCGGAGGCGCTCTTTAGTGGCAGGCCAATGTCCCAACAGACGCCGGATGCTGCACACCTCTCCCAATACATCGACAAAGTGTCGTCTGAGGGAGCCGAAGGGGGAATGGTCCAGGCAGCGTAGGCTCTTTCATACTCTGCGCGGAAAAATGAATTAAAAAATAGTCACTTTTTGCCACCAATTCTGTCGCGATGTCTTAAGTGCGAATGGTGTGAAATTGCCCAGTTTTTGTTTCTTTCTTTTACTCTACTCATTCGCCATCTTGCAACCATGTCCTCACTACCTCTCGCCTTCCAGAAAGAAATCGTCGCTGAACTCGTTGCAGAGGATGCTCTGCTCATTATGGCTAAGGGACTGGGACTCCGCAACATCCTCGGTGCATTCCTGCAGATTTACTCTCAGCCTCAGAATCTCGTTTTGCTCATCAACACAAACACCGAGGAAGAGACGGCGCTTCGGGACGACCTCCTCAGGTCCAGTGGTATCGACAAGGGTGGTGCCTCCCACTTCAAGAGCATCACAAGCGAACTGAGTCTTGCGGAGCGTAGCGACCTTTACCGCTATGGAGGCATCATGGCCATCACGTCGCGTATCCTGGTCATGGACCTGCTCACAGGCCGAGTTCCCGTCCAGCTCATCACAGGAATCCTTGTCGCCAACGCACACAGGTACGTAGCAAATTTCTTCTTGTATTGCCATCAAAAAATGGTGTATCAATACTACCGCAACATGGTACTAACTGGTTCGACGTGGTTCAATATGCGTTCTAGGGTGACTGCATCCACCACCGAGGCATTCATTTTGCGACTTTTCCGTCAGAGCAATTCAGAGGGGTTCATCAAAGCTTTCAGTGATCAGCCGGAGACTCTGTCAACAGGATTTGCGACTCTAGAAAAGACGTTGAAACTGCTATATCTCCGTAAAGTGAACCTCTGGCCACGGTAAGCTGCTTACTGTTTGGATTAGGTCAAAGTCGCATGTCAGGGAACATCACAGGTCGTGAAGCTAACTCAACGGTGGTCCTGTTCGTCGAACTAGATTTCATGTTACAGTGACGGAAAGTCTGGAGTCTCACACCGCGGATGTTATCGAAATTCGACAGCCAATGACGAAGGCAATGAAGACTATCCAGGCAGCCATCATTAATTGCATGGATATTTGCTTGCAGGAGCTTCGACGGTCCAGCTCAGCTGTAAGAATTATGTTCGTGCGCACCGTCAATTCTTTCAAGTAGGAACTCGTTATTTGCTGGCGAAACTAATACGACTGTTTCTTTCCGTTCTAGATTGAGATTGATATTGACGACTTCACGGTGGAGAAGGCCCTGTTCAAGTCATTCGATGTTATCATCAGGAGGCAGTTGGATCCTATCTGGCATCGCGTCAGTCACAAAACGAAGCAGTTGGTCTCGGACTTGAAGACTTTACGCAGTTTGTTGGGCTATCTTGTGTCCTACGACAGCGTCAACTTTAACCTGTACCTTGAGACCCTCTTGGCCTCTGTGGGCCCTCACTCAGGAAACTATTGGATGATGACGGATCCTGCGGACAAAATCTTTTCGGTGAGGATGACAGACATTGGCGCGACTTTCAGCGGACATGATCCACACATACACCGCACAGTACTGATATGCTTTCTCATAATCGATTAGACCGCGAAATCTCGCGTTTATCTCCAACAGGATGGATACAAGGATCCTGACGACCCCAACATCCTGCCCAATATGAGACCCATTCTGGAAGAGCTTCCCAAATGGGATATTCTGTCTGAGATCATGGATGAAGTTGAAGTCGAGATGCATAACGCTCCTCACCCCGAAGGTAACGCCATTTGCCCCTGGAGAGAAGTTGATGCAAGGTTTCGTACGCAGATGATGGCAGTGTGACTCTAACAACACCGGTTCATTTGCGACGATAGGACTGGATACGGTTCTCATTATGGCACATGACCAGCGAGCTTGCTTACAGATCAAGCGATATCTGTCGACACCCAAAACAAGCGCGTCTTCAAGAGGCAAGCCCCTCATGCGCGATTTACTGCATGGATACTTGCAGTGGAAATCCAACATGAAGCATTTTAAGGACAATGTCGCTACCAAAACTCCCACCAGTCTCGCCTCCTCTATGGCATCTTCAGGTACCGAATGCGTTGTTAGGTGGATCAGAATTAACGCAACCCACATATGCGAACTAACATCTGCTCATTTACCATCGAAATAGGCAACCCAATGGCGGGAGTAAGAAGAGGGCAACCAGCTAACAAACGGCGGCGAGTTCGAGGAGGCGCCAGCTCATTAGCGCCGGTAGCCAAGCATTCAACTGCAAATTTTGAAAAAGAAGCCGAGGTCATCGCCACATTGTAAGTTAAGGACTGGAACACGTCGCAAGTACCTTCAATGACCAAGATGCTTACTTTGCTCTTTTGGATGACTTTAGTATCAACACGAACCACCAAGCTAGTTCGAAGTCTACTGCTCGCATTTTCGATCACGACTTGGAAGAAGTGGACGATTTTACGGATTACTTTGGCCTCGTTGAGCCGAGTAATATGGTTCTTGTTCACAGTTATTCTGGAGAATCAGACTCACTGCTGCTGGAGAACATCAAACCGCGCTTCATCATTATGTACGATCCAGATCCAACATTTGTCCGGTGTATCGAGGTTTACAAAGCGCGCCATCCAGGAAAGCAAGTGCGCGTTTACTTTACAGTTTACGATAATTCTGTCGAAGAACAGCTGTACCTGAGTGCTCTTCGTCGCGAGAAGGACGCGTTCACAAGGCTGATCCAAACCAAGTCGGTATGTGTGGGATGTTTGCGCAGTTTTTCATTAAAATTGAAGCAAGACAAATTATTCGTGCTTTTGCTAACTGTGTTTTGAATCTAGATGATGGTATTGCCAATAGGCGACACATTCACAAAACAAGTGCAGGATCAATCACTTCTCAGGAACATCCACACTCGAATTGCAGGAGGAGGAAAGACTGGCGACGAGCGGCCACCACCCAGGATCGTTGTCGACGCAAGAGAGTTTAGGAGCTCGCTGCCGTCCATTTTGCACTCACAAGGAATGGTTCTCGACCCTTGCACAATCACTGTCGGAGACTACGTTCTGTCACCCAATATCTGCGTTGAACGAAAGAGTATTTCCGATCTTATCTCATCGTTCGCATCTGGACGACTGTAAGTCTATCTTTAGCGTTTTGCAGTGTGATTCACAGACCATGTTGAAGACATCTAATATCATGGAAATTGCTCTCTTGATAATAGGTATACACAAGTTGAGGCGATGACTGTGCACTACACCCGGCCAGTGCTTTTGATTGAGTTTGATGAAGACAAGTCATTCTCTTTGCAGGTACAGGTTCATTTTTCGGAAGTATGCATGTAACGAGACATGCCGTGGTCCCGACGACTAATATATGAATATCTTCTTCGCGCTTTGTCCGCCATTTTAGGACAAGGCGGACATTAGAGCCGATATCTCTGTGACCGAGCTATCGTCCAAGCTAGTCTTGCTTACGCTCGCATTCCCTTCATTGCGACTCATTTGGTCTTCCTCAGTGCATTCGACTGTTGAGATATTTGAAGATCTGAAGGTATGGACCTACTAAATCTGCGTTTAAGTAGACGTTGACCGCGGGAACCTGGATGTGTGATTAGCTAACGAGTTTTCATATGTTGTGTTTGTAGCGGTCAGAGGATGAGCCGGATATGCAGCAGGCACAGGCGGTTGGTGTTGATGCCAACCAAGCGATTGACAGTGCATATAATCTGACGCCGCAAGACATTCTTCGCAGTTTGCCGGGTATCACATCGAAGAACTACAAGCAGGTCATGAGGCATGTTGAAAGTATCCGCGAGCTGGCAGAACTGGATGTTGCAAGCCTATCCAACATCGTTGGCGAGGGCCCAGCAAAGACGCTCTGGGAATTTTTCCACAAGGACTCTCGAATGGACATGTCCTAAGTAAGACCTTGTTCTGTATTGGTGATTTCTTGTAGAATAGAGCAGAGAGCACCGACACGGAGCAGAATAGAAAAGGGAAAGCGAAAATCACTACTGTAGAATGGGCTGAGAGTGACGCGCCACTGGCGTTGCATGATCTGCTGAAAAAAGGAGGTACGCATAACAAGCACCGCTTTCTTTTTTTTTCTTGTCGCTTTCTCTTTCCTTTTCTCTCAATTCTTTCTTCACTTCCTTACTTCCTTTTACTTTTCACCCCACTCTACTTACTACTTGCGTCGCTCGCTTTTTTCATACACACAAATACTGTTTTGCTATCAACACACACATACAACATCAATGTTTCCAGGACAACTTTACAAGACCGAATCAGGACGTCTGTTTCACGCCGGTGCCATCGCCATCATCTTTGTAGGGTATGCATGTCCGTCTCCCCTTCTACTTTCGCATTCCAAGAAAATGATTCACTAAACGCGTGTCATAAGAACGACAAACTAAACCTTCATTCCACCCCGCATTCACTTCTTTTTGTTATTGATGTTGGTGGTGATTGCATGCTAGACTGCCGGCGCGTGGAAAGACTCATGTGTCGCGGTCGCTGAGCCGATACCTTCGCTGGCTAGGAGTTCAAACATCCGTGTTCAGCGTTGGCAATTACCGTCGTCAGATCATTGGCGTCGAGGTGACCAATGACTTTTTCAGCCCAAGTATGTGCGACACAGCGACCCCTTTCCCACCCTTTCACACTCCACGTTCTTTCAACAAGGCGGAGTTTTATGGACTGTTTGTTAGATGACGAAAGGCCGATCCCCCAGGAAACTTACTTTTGTCTATTTTTTTTTATGAAATAGCGAACAAGGAAACGGCGGACTTGAGACTGAAGATCGCGAATGCCTGTTTGGATGACATGATCCGCTGGTTCGCCGCAGGAGGACAGTGTGGGATTCTGGACGGCAGCAACACAACGGAGGAACGTCGTCGTGAGTTAGTGGAGCGGTTCAAGTCGGTCAATGTCCACTACATGTTTATCGAGTCCATCTGCGACAACCCCACCATTATCGACTCTAACATCCGAAGCGTCAAGGTCTCATCACCCGATGTATGTATTACTTTGCACTTTTTACTTTCTTGATATTTCCCTGGGAGATCAAAAGAGGCAGAACAAGCGAGGGCTATTTTTGCTTTTTTATTTGTCCCTGTGTGACCTGTCCGACTCTCTCGTTTTCATGTGCAACGCAATCTATGCATTCCATGCCTGCGTAGCACGGATGCAGCCCATGCAATCGAACATGAAAGGAAAGGAAGAATGGCGCAAAAAGTAAAACATTGGACATATTGTTTTGAGACAGCTATGACAGAGAGCGATTTAATAACTAACCGAAGGCCATTTTTTTCATTATCCGTTATCTTATAAACCCTAGTATGTGGGCTGGAAAGACGTCGATGCAGTTCAAGACTTTAAGCGCAGGATCGAGAACCATATGCCGTTTTACGTGACCATTGAGGACAAGACTCTGAGCTGGGTTAAGCTTATCAATGTCGGCGAGAAGATCATTGTCAATAATGTCCAGGGGTTCCTCCAAAGCAAGATCGTCTACTACCTCATGAATCTCCACATTTCGCCCAGGAAAATCTACTTTGCCAGGGTAAGAGAAGGACTTTCGCACTCTCCATGATTTGATGAATGTTGTTTACTATTCTTTGCATTTGCCGTTCAAGCGTTGTACTAATGAATGATGCTTCCCTGGTGCTATGTTTTGAACGATAGAATGGTGTGTCACTCAATGAGCAATCATATCGCGCGGATGCACCTTTATCACCTTCGGGGCACAAGTACGCTGAGAACCTCAAAAACTTTGTTCTCAAGCTTCGAGAGAACCAGAGTCTGCTCTCGCCTGCTATGACGACCGTAGAGGCGCCTCGACAGCTGACAGTGTGGACATCAGCTCGTAAGAGGAGCTTCCAGACGGCGGCCCATTTCTTGGACCATGAAGATATCATTGTCCGCCAGAGAAGTGTTCTTGGAGAACGTCATCCAGGAGTCTGCGACCAGATGACGCCTCAAGAGATTGAAAAGAAATATCCGGATGAATGTCTGCGAAGCATGAATGACCCCTACCGACACCGCTTTCCTCGCGCCGAGGTAACTTTCATTTGATGGTTTATGCTCGAACCTTGCCGTTTACTCAGTTGAATAACTTTATCGGTTTCTAACCTTCTTGTGCATGTTTCGAATCCTCAAATAGTCTTACTACGACTTGGCGAACAGACTGGAGAAGGTCATTCTGGAGCTGGAGCGGGAAAAGAATGATGTGCTGATCATCGCCCATGAGTCGGTCATCAAATGTCTTTATGGATACCTGTTCGGTCTCTCAGAACGCAGCATTCCCTCCTTGGAGATCCCTGAAAATGTCCTACTTGAGCTGGTGCCAAGGGCCTATGCGACTGAAGAGACACGTCATGTCATCCCAGATACGCTGGTCGGTATCAACTGGCAGCAACGGACAGCCAACCTGCTCTCACTTGCTGGCAAGGTGCCTTCATCGCCCATGTTCATGGACCATTATCTGCCGGATGACAAGCGTAAGGGCCGACCAGGCAGCAACACGGGGTTTTCGACTCCATTGTCGTCACCTGCACTGTCGTCGACTGCTGTATCCGAGATGTCGCCTGGTATCCAGCACCGGGGAGACCTTGCCGATGATCTTGGGCATGGTCCTGAAGGCAACTTTCGATTGTAGATACCCCTCGCTATTTAGCCTGGCTCCCATTTTTCATCATGAATGGCATCACTCTACAGTAAACACAGTAAATATTATATGTTCAATCTAATAGTCGTTGAAGATTAAAAAAGTGTTTAGTGACGCCAGGGATGAGGTAGGAAGAAGAGTTAAGTTGGCCCGTGCGATCGCCGAACGTGCCTTATTTCGATGAAAATAACCAAAAGTGTTCCAGGAAGACAGTCACTTTGTTCGCATCCACACGGATGTAAACAAGACATTTTTTTTGTTTCCTTTTCTCTTCTTCTCTCACACCCCAGAACCTCTCCCGACCTACCGCTACAATGCTCCGGATTTCGACGCTAAACTCACGGATAGGAACCAGTACTCTCCTTCATCTCAGGACAAATACCATTTGTACAGGGCGTCAGTCATGGCTTCCGTCCCTTGGCCACCTCCGTCCGCAGCCCCTCACCCTTACGACCACAACCACAAACAGCTTCTCGACAAGTGCACGGTGTACGGCCGCGATTGAGAAGAAGGCGCTCAACAAAAAGATCACCCTTCCCAGGGACCCTTACCTCCTCTCAGAAAAAGTCGTAAAGTTCGCCAAGAACGGGAGACTGGACGATGCGATCACATTGGTCATGGAGGCGCCCAAGAGTCGACAGAACGAGGTTGTCTGGAACCATCTTATTCAAGAGTCTTCGAAACTGGGCAAGATTAATCAATCCTGGCAACTCTTGAATGATGTAAGTTTCCCTTATTTCCTCCCCTTCCCTCCTGTTTGCATGAATATCAAGAAGAAATGTGAATGAGAAGTTGTTGTATTTTTTTCGACGGACTTAATTAACGATTCTTTTCTTCTATCCTTATGAACGATCAGATGAAGAAGCGCGGATTCGAGCCAAGTGAAAGGACATTTACCATCCTCCTAAACTCCCTCGCCATCAACGCCACCTCCCCTAACAGTGTCCTCCGCGCCCGCGCCCTGTACCAACAACTCCAAGATTCCGAAGACCTTTCCCCAACAACCGTACACACCAACGCCCTGCTCAAAGTCTGTACCCGCCAACACGACTACACAGCCCTCCAGGAAGTCTACGCTTCCATGTCGAAATCTGGAGAGAACGCACCGGATGTGATCACGTATAGTACGGTGATTAATGCGCATGCGAGAAAGGGTGGAGATGAAGGATTTGAGATGGCTTGGAGGGTGTGGGAGGATCTGGTGCAGGATAAGGCGAGACGTGGGGAGGATGTGGAGTTGGATAGTAAGATTGTGGATGCGGTGTTGTTGGCGTGTCGGGGGGCAAAGAGTGCGGTGTTTGTGAAGAGGGGGTATAAGCTTGTCGAGTCCTTGTACGGCCTTCCTGCTTCCTCTTCAACCTCAGGATCAGGAACAGGAGCAGGAGCAGGAGCAGGAGCAGGATCGGGATCGGGACCAGCAACAGCAACAGAACGTGCAATCTCGCCCACCAAATCCCTCGGCCTCCCACCCGGCTCCCTCCGCAAAGAAACCATCCACCCTCGAACCGTCGAACTCCTCCTCTCAATCTGCTCAAACCTCAAAGACTACACCCGAGCAACTCACTACATGACCCTCATCCGCTCCCATTTCCCGGACTTCACACCCGATCCACAACTCTTATCATCCCTCATGCACCTCCAAATCTCCAACAAACAATACGATACCGCCATCACCACCTGGGACGAGATCTCGGGACGGGGACTTCAACATACCCCAGGTACATTTAAGCAAGGATTGGATGCTGCGCTCAAAGCCCGGAACTGGGACAAGACACAAGAGATGTACACGCTCATGCGGGAGCTCATCGAAAAGAACAAGAAACTCAACTCGTCTTCCTCTTCGGACCTTCACCGAGCCAACACCCTCGTCAACCCACTCGTCCGGTCCCAGGACGCATGGACCCTGGTCTCGACACTCAAATGTGCCGTCAAGACGAACCATAGGGAAGAAGGGTTGGAGATCTTGAGGAAGAGCCGGTGGATGAAGGTGGTTCAGAACCCGCAGTACCCGCGTGCGAATGCCGATTTGGCGGATCTCGCCGTCAAGATCTTGGCGGGGAGTATGAAATCTCTCAAAGAGGCCTTTGATCGCACCGCTATTACCACCACCACCACTTCCTCCTCCTCCTCCTCCTCCACAGTGGACAGCGAGACGATGGGAGCGACAACGACATCAACAATAACAACTACAACAGAAGGCGGCGATAGCTCCACTACTGGAAACCAGGAGAGACACGAACAAGAAATGGAGAAGTTGAAGCGAGAGCTGACCGATGCTAAGGCTATACAGACGCAGATGACAAAGACGTTGGCGGATCATGATGCTGGGAAGGCGGCGCAGAAGGAAATTGAGGACGTCAACCGGTTCAGGAACCGTCGTTCGTCATCATCGTCGACTGAATCGTCCTCGCGATATGGATCTTCAAGCCGCGAATCTTCCAGATACAGCTCCCGCAACGATAACAGTGATGAGGACGAAGGTGACAGATCGGCATCAGGAGGAGGCGGTGGTGGTGGTGGTTGGAGGAAGGTCTCGGCTGAGGAGTACACGGAGAACAACAGCAACAACAACAAACATCAAAAGTCATGGACAAGGAAAGATTCAACAGCAACTTCATCCTCGCCGTCATACTCTGATCGCCCTCAAACGTCCTATAGAGGAGGAGCAGGAGGACGTTCAGGATCGTCGTATTCGCCCCGTCGATACCAACGAGATAACTATGGATCAGTCAATGATGCCTTTACCCCTAGGAAACGGTTCACTCGCACCATTGACGAATAAACTAGACAACCCCCCCCCCCCTTTTTTGCATATCATCACGTTATTTTACACAGTGTTTTAATAGTCGTAAAGCAAAAGGTAGGAAATGACAGAGACGAAAAAACAAACAACAACAACAACAACAACAATGCTCTAGTTTGCAACAGGAAAATGAGGGAAGACAAAGAAAAGGACCCATAGAGTACATTTTGAAACGAAAAAAAAAAGGAGAGAGGTGAAGAGAAAAGAAAGATGGACTAAAGAACAAGGCCTTGCATAAGATTCGTTTCGTGTAAATATCGCACAAAAAGACAACAGGATGAAGATGATACAATAACAAAGACAGTAAGAGAGAGGAAAAAAAAAAAAAAAAGTGCCAAAAAATGGGCGCAGGCGACAAGTCAGAGCCAAATAAAACAGAGGCGGGCCAGGAGTAGAAAAACGCCTCATCCGCGACAGTAGCCGGCGGTGCGGAAGCCAGTATGAGGCTGCTTCTTGTCCAACGAAATGTCCTTCCAGGTCACCGTCTTGACGTAGCCATCATGGAACTGGATCTTGCAGTTGAGTCTGTCGCTCAAGATAGTCTCGATCACGCCCGAGTAGTACACATTGTCGTTCCATCGTGCCCAAACAGAGAGGCCCGGCTTCAGCTTCTTGGTCATCATGTCTCTCCATGCCTTATATCCTGCTTCCTTTTCCTTCTCCTGGCGCTATTGAATCATCGCAACGATAAGGAAAAGGTGTTTGTCAATGTTACCGTTATCATCAAATTGCAAAAAAAACATATTGACATGGCCAATTAACGGATGCAAGGACTTACAGGGTCGTGCGTGGGGCAGTAGAGTTGATATTCGATGCTTTCATCCTCGTGTTCAACTTCATCGATATACATGCCTTCCATTTCGGCACAGCTAGCATGGACTGCTCGGATGCATTTGCCCTTGCAGCACTGAACACAGGCGCCAACCTTCTTTTCGCAGACAAAGCAACGCTATTGTTTTCACCACATTCAACAAAAAAAAGAAAAGTCCGTTAGTCATAGTGCCTCCAGAACGTTAATTAATAGCATCAATTGACGTCATAAAACTTACAAGTCTTCGTCTTGCTGCAGGAACCCCTTCAGTGTGGACAATGACATCGTCATCGTCCTCTCCAGACATGTATGTCTCTGGAATGTACTGAGCGCACAACATATGGCAGTATTTACCATTGCTGGTGGGAAGCAACTCCCCATCAAATTCTTGGTTTGGGCAAAGAACGCACTATTGCAGCATTACATAGTCAAGCACATGTTAGCACCACGATAGAAAGTATAAAAGCATAGACATGGTGTTGGACGCCAAAACTTCAATGTTAATTACATCGAGCGCCTTCTCATGAGTCGTCGCGGCCTTTGCCTTCTTGCTGGGTGGAGCCTTTGTTGAGGAATCCGACTGACTGCGAGTCGTCTTTGTGCTGGGGGTGAGACTATCTGTCGCCTTGTCGGATTTGCTGCCAGTGGAGAGCATAACCGTAACGAGTTTCTCTGGTGCTTGATCCTTGATGGCACCACGTTTCCTCTTCCTTTGTGAATCTATCGGCGGGTCGTCCTGGTCATGCTCATCCTTCATATCAGCATCCTCAGAATTCTTTCCAGGTCGGCTCTTGGATCGCGCTGACTCCTCCTCGGCAATGGATTTCTTTGCAGACCGGAAGATCGCATCGACATCGATCTGGACGGCGTCGTTGATGCATCTACACGACTCTGCCTTTTGTCCGATCGGAATCCAGTCGTCCAGCGCAAAGTTGATCGACTCTGCGCAGTTGAAGCCGAGGTTGTATCCTGAATGGTAGGCGAAAGGGAAAGTGAGGACAAACTCTCCTTCGTGCTGAACGAGTCGGTTGACTGGAACGCCGTCGGCTGCCAGCTTGGTGGGCGAGAGCAAGTATGTCTTGTGGCGCAAGAACTGAGGACAGTTCTTATAGTCGGACGAAAAGATTCCCTGAGCGATACGTTCGAACCGGCTACTGTTTTCAGGTCGGATGCAATACCATTGTTTGGGGGCGCCGAAGTGGAGATAGTTGATGGAGTAGAGATCCATGTCCTCGACGTGCCATGCAAACGTTGCTTTCCACATTCCAAAGTAGAGGTAGGGCGTGTTGACTCCTGGCAAATTTTGGTCGATCTTGCACAAGAGGTCTCCCAAGCGCTGTGTGTTCCATGATGTTGTCCTGTCATCGAAAAGAGAGCCTAAGTAGATACAGAAATTGACAACAACTGTAAGTAATGGCACTCCTCAGCGGAATGGTGCGTGATCTTGGTATATCAAGCGACTACCCTGCTCGTTCATGCGCTCTAAAATCTTGCCACCCTTGCTCCCGCCCCTGCTCAACTTCTTCCTTTTACTTCTCCCTTTTACTCCCGCTCTTGCCCCTTTCCCTGCTCTCGTCGTTGGTCCAGTACTGGCTCATGTCTTTGTTCCTGTCCTCAGTCCTGACTTTACTTCTGTGCCTGCGTCTGTGCCTATGTTCTTGTTCCTGCAAAGATTGTAACCACGACCTCAATGACCACAATTGCAAGATGCGGTGAAATATATGCTTCCTGAGCAAAGGAGCTTCCTGGCCGCAAAGATCAATGTTTCCTGTGTCTGATAGTGTCTCCATGTTCCTGTGTTCCAAGTTTATTTGTTCCCTCATAATGCCTGATCGTTCCTGAGTTGATGAGGTGGTGAAAAAGAGTTCCACTCACCAGACATGTCGGCTCCGTACATAGGCTGAACAAACGTCAGGTTGCGCCAGTAGTTCCGCTCGACCTCCTTGCAGTAATCCGCTGAAAAATCCTCGCCATGCTCGACCTTGTAATCCGTCATTGGAGGCTCAATCCTTTCCTGCTCTGCCGCCTTTGCTTCCTTTTGCTTGTTTCCATTGCTGCTACTGCTGCTACTGCTGCTGCTACTGCTGCTGCTGCTACTGTTGGTTCCAATGTTGTAGGTGTTGATCTGGGTGGTGGAAGATGCTTCGATTTCGTCCTTGGTGTCTGGTACAAGGGGCAACATGGTCTCTCGTGAGGCAGCATGCCTGGAAGGAGGTGAAGGACTTGAAGCCTGGCGAAGGAAATGTTTTCGGGCGAAATCGGATCCAAGAGACGATTGGAAAGGTTGATCTGGGCTATTGTTGGCAGTGGTGTTGGCGCTTGTAGGCACGAGAGCATCATGAGAGTCGTCATTTGAAAAGTGATCTGGGATATCTGGCTGGTGAGTAGGGGTCGTTGGTAGAGAGTCGACCTCCATCGTGCTGGCTTCGGTTTGGAGTGCGACGGCAGCTGGTTTGCGATTCCTCTTGCGTCTCGGCAGGGGCTCAGCGGGGCCATGAGGCACACCTTTGCGGGAAGGGGGGCGATGATTTGAGTCGTTTGAGAGGGTCTTGAACTCAGCGACAGTGTAGGTTTTTCTGGATTCGATATTGGTCTGAGAGTAGATTCCCTTGGTGCCTCTGATGTGTTGGATAATGGGCCTCTTGATTCGTACTGAGGACAGGCGCTCAGAGAGATCAGGAAGAGCAGCGGTCCTATAAAAAAAATGTATCGAAGAGAAGGCCAAGGAAGTAATTAGAAGGTTATCCTTCAGCACGAGATGCATTTCATTTGTGTGAAGCAAAAAATTCGTTTGGTTGGAGAGGAGAGGTTGAGCGGCGAAGGTCTGTTAAAGTGGATTAAAATAAGCTTAGGGAGAGAGAGAGAGAGAGAGAGAGAGAGAGAGAGAGAGAGAGAGAGAGAGAGAGAGAAGACGAAGAGGGGTTTACCATTCTTTTGGAGGGATGATCTTGACGAGGCCAGCTTCACGTCCGTAGCTTACGATGGACTCGCAAAAGGTAGAAAAGTCCTTGAACTGGTCCATGGTAGGACAAAAGACGGGGATGCCACCTGCGGCATTGTCGTAGTAGTGATCAGGTTTGATGTCGATGAGAGGCATCCTGTGAGAGGGTAAGGCTGAAAGAGTGAAGTGCTGCGTGGTGCTGTTGCTGTTGCTGTCTGTGAGGGAGTATGACAGAGTGGGTGTGTGTCCCAAGAAGGCTAGTGAGGGCTAGTCGTTGCAGGTGGTGGGCGTGGGCGTATTTGGGGTAAGGAAGGAAGGGGAGGGGATGATGATGCGTCGAAAGAGAGTGGTGCGGATGGATAGGATCTCGAAGTGGTTGTCTTGAAGCTATTCCAATCAAGCGGGTCAAAAAGAGAGAGGGGCAAGAAGGACGAGGTTAGTTTTATAAGTTTTTTTATGGGAGCGAAGGACAGGGATGATGTTGTTTGAAGGAAGAGGGAGTCAAGAGTCAAGAGTCAAGAAGTGAACAGGGGGATATGTAGTGTGATAGAGTCTAATATGTAGCCACAGCTGTGGAGAACATAGGAGGAGTAAGAAGGGTGGTTGACTGAGATATGGATGTGGGCGGACCACATGACGATGGGTGGAAGGAACTGCGGTTATTACTTTGAAAGAAGTGGTTGCTGTGTGCAGCTGGTGAAACGTGAGAGAGTGAGGGAGGGGGTGGAAGAGCGAGGGTGAAGGAGTTGAAAGCTTTGCAGGTTGAACAAAGAAAGTTGAAAGAGTGCGTGAAAAAAAGAAAAGGCCAAGTCTGGTCAGGGTGGATACGAGCTAAGCAAGTCCAGATGAGAGTGACATGGAGTGGAGGAGGAAGAAGACAATAAGGGCGTGGCGAGGCAAGGCGAGGCAAGGGAATGCAAGGGAAGGCAAAGCAAAGCAGAGTATGTGTTTGATGTGTGTGTTATGTATGTGTCAAAAGTGTGAGTGAGAGGCGAGAGGCAGGGGGAGTTAAAGGAGGAAGGGGTCGATAAAAAAGGACAAAAATAAAAAAACAAAAGGTGAATGGGCGCTGGTGGATATAAAAGCTGCGACAACGAGAACAACAGCAATAACAGCTGCAATGATAATGGCAGCAACAACGACAAATGCTTTTGCTCAGTTGTAATATGTGAATTGAGCAACTGGAATGGCAACAGCAAAGGGGTGGAGTGAAGAGTAGATAGATCGATGGGGTGTCGTTGACTTTCGACAGCAGTGGAAGAGGAAGAGAGAAAGGGGAGGTGAGCAGCCAAAGTGAGAGTGGTGTGAGCAGAGAACGAGGAACAGCAGCAGGCTGTTAGGGTGGAGGAAGAGATGTTAGTATTGAAGAGAGATTGACGGATGGTGTACCTTGGAGAGTCGTTATTTTGTAAAGAGTGGATGTGGGAGGAGAAGAAGGAGAAGAAGAAAGTGAGTCAAGGTCAAAGTGGAGGAGAAGGGGAGAAGTGAAAAGGAATAAAAATAAGAGGGAAGAAAGCGGAACAGAGAGAGAGGGAGGGGGAGAGAAAAGAATCTGATAAGTGTATGTGAACGAAAGGGCAGGGGAGAGGGTCGTCAAAAGTAAAGGTGATTGAAAAGGTGTAGCTTGTTTGTTGTTTGTTGTTGGACTGAGGGTGAGTGCAAGTGTAAGTATGTGTGTTTGTGAAAGAGTAATGACTGAAAAAGTAAAAGAGTAAAAGGAATGGAAGGGAGAAAGAAGGAAAGAGAGGAAGAGAGAGGATGGACGGGAGTGAAGGAATGAATTGAGTGAAAGGAATGAGTGTGAAGGAAAAGAGGTAGAAGAAAAAAAAAAAAAAGAAAAAAAAAAAATCAAATAACAACAAACAACAACAAAAACAGAAATAAAAAAAAAAAAGTGCGGCAAATTTGCTATTCGTAATTCTTGACATGAACACACTGCGCCCAACATGTGGTCCTTTCTGTTCGTCTGTTTGTTGTTGTCATAGAAGGTGGCTGTTTGCGACTTATGTCTTCACATACTACACTACCCTAGCAAACACTGCCTTCTACTCTTTTGAACGATGTAGCCTTCCACCTCATTTTTCTTTTTCGTCCTCTTCTCTTTTGTCTTTGCTTGCCTTTGTCCATTTGCCCCCTTCTGCTTATCACACCGTCGCTCCCTTGACAAAGCAACCCGGCAAGACTGATTGGGCCAAGTTGTCTCTGATGTCATGTGACAAATATGTCCAATTCTAAAAGGCCCTTAACAACTTTGTGCCTGGAAGGCTGGAGCCATCTCCTCACACCACGCCATTACTATGGTGATAAATCACAAATCACGCATTTTCTATGTACAGTTACAGTTACAGTACTAGGAAATGGTCGGGCGGAGGTGGATCCGAACAAGACATGGATAAGAGAGGAAGACATGGTATGGCCTAGATGGTACATCCACCACCCTTCAAGGATGCCCTGGATAGAGTACATACCATACTCTCGGTTTCTCTCTGTTGGAAGTGGATCGAGTCATCAATTAGAATCATCGAGCAATTGTGCTCAAGAAACACCCGCTGGAAACTCAATTCTCCCCGCCTGGTTTATTTTCTAGTCTTCCCTGCTACCTTCATAGAACTATCTGCCCTGTGGTTCAACCTTGATGGAGGAATTGACAAAAGAACAATACCAAGATGAAAGAGAGTCCGGCAAAGAAAAGACCGATCATATGTAACCTATGAGACTCTAAACTTTGTACCCAAACAGAGATATGGGAATGGCACTAACAGACATTAATGCAATTTAGCTGCTGAGATGCACACCCTTCGCAGCCGGCACAATTAAAAACACGAGAGCGTCTAAACCTGCACATTCTCTGTCTTACTGTCATTCCTCATCCAAGACGACCACCGGCAACAACAAAACAAAGAATACATACTGCAATCTAGGGCACATTACCCTTGTTACCGGTGATATGGCAATATGGACGGGAGCAAAATAACGAGAGCATTGGGCTCCTGTTTAAAAGGAAAAAGAACACCATAAACAACAAACAAACATGCAGTCGAACAAGCGATAACCGGCACCGAAGGCCGCAGGAACCGATGGAAACCCGCTTCGACCGACCAAAAAAAAAAAAAAGAGCGGATTCCATTGACTGAAACGAGTAAGGCGGAAACGTCGTCTTTCCTTCTGGTTTTTCTTTGGATTTTATTTATATACGACACACACAATGCATCGCATTCCTGACCCCTGCATGGCTACACTTTATGCTCGCCTAGTGGATACTTACGATATTCTACTTGGCGCCCACCTTTGAAGACATTTTTGTGCAAAGCAGGGATGATTTTTTTCCTTTAGACGTGTAAGAGAATGAAAAGCAACCCCCTATTCGGTTCTTCCAATGAAAGAACATCTCTTGTTCTTCCTTTCTGACTGAACTCCTGCCTTGCAAATGAACGAATGGGAATTCCTGCTTCGTTCAACGACCAACGAAGCAAAACCGCTGCCTTGTTCACAAAGAGATAGCCAGTTGTTTTGATTCTTCCTCTTTTTCCAATAAAGACTTCGCTCTTTTTTTGTTGTTTTTCGATGAGCTGACAAGCTTGCGACAATGTACACTTGTCGAGGTATCCGTCCACCTTGGATATGCTCGTGTAGGGTTCATCCGTGTTATGTGAGCGCCGTCGAGAGTCTCGCTGTCAGTCTGATCATGCCAAATGTCGAAGCTTTAACAAGGGCTATTTCGGCCTCAAACCTTTTTTCCTTCTTCTTCTTCTTTCTCTCTTTATTGTTTGTTTTCCAAGGTGTTTTCGCCACATCCCCCCCCTTCTCCACTCCCATTTTACTCTCTGTCCTTGGACAATTGTGTTCTTGACTTCCTCTCTCCTCTTCATTCACTTCCGCCTTCTCTCGTCTCCTCTCATTCGCTCTTTTCTTCCACCCTCTTTCTTCTCCATTCCCTCCCTCCATTCCTTCTATTCAACTCTCATCAACTCTCACTCTCTCCTCACCTCTTTTCCCATCTTCCCTCAGTCACATATTTTCTCAGGAACAGCGGCGACATACCCCACAAGTGGCATTCCCTTGCATAATGAACACCCAGCAACGCCATATCTAAAACAGCCATCCCATCTCATCGCACCAACAAACATTTATTTACGCCCCTTCAATCCTCATCCACCTTTTCGTTTTCCACAGAAAAGCTGCTCCCGCCCTTCTATAAACAAACAAACAAATAATCTCCTATCCGACATCTAATCGGTCCTCCTTCGTCAGCCCACCTAAAAAAAAAAGATATAATTCATGACCTCTGTCATCCCTCCAGCCTGGCCAGCTGCAAGAATGACCGACCCTGCGCAGGGCTTTCACTCACCAGAACAGCCACACCAACACCAACACGAACACCAACACCAGGACCAGCACCAGTATCAACGGCAGCACCGGCAGGAGCAAGTACAGCAACACGCCGACCCTGCACCTACATCAAGACAGCCACACTCAATGGACGACCATACACATTCTTCGCTTCCAACTGAAACCACCCTGACCTCACTCGCCACTCACCTCTACACAATATCCAACTCTCAGGAACGCTCTGGAAGTGATCCGACGCTGAAATCAAAGACAAAGCTCAGCAAAGCAGCAGCATCCACAGATCCTCTCACAAAGCAGAGACTCAGACAGCCCAAGAGCCACAACACTTCGGTAAGTCAATTGACCCCCTGTGGTTATTAGTTTTCTGTTTCTGCCTCTGGTAGTCTACACCCATTCAAAACATAAGAGGAGGGATTGTGAGCGATCAAAGTACACAAGTCAACTGTTGAAAGACCGATATTTTGTGTATTGCATGCACAATACGCAACTTTGGATTGGACAATACGTTAGATAGACATGAGAGGTGTTGGGTAGTGAAAGTCAAGTTGGGGGTTGATCGGTGAAGTAAGGACGAGAGGGCCAAGTAAAGTGCACATGGCAATGGCAGGAGGCGCGCAAGACAACTGTTAGGTGCTAGCAGGGTTTTGACCGAGTTTCGGACTGGTCGAAAGGTGCACCGTGATACAGAGTGGTTCTAAGTACTGGGCGGGAACTGGGGGTAAAGTCAAGGTTCTTCGGTGTCGGTATGTCGGTGAGGGAAACCAGACGAATTAGTGTCCTTGATGATTGGCTTGCATGGGAGGTTTTTAATCCCCTGTCGGGGCTTTTGGGTGTTTCGATAATAGGGCGAACGGGGGTCATTGACCATCATAAATTGGACCCTAAATTGCTCTTCACGAGAAACAAGGACAGTTGAACAGGCCAATATCGATGTGTCCATGCTCACCTCACTGCTAGGTAGCTTGTGTCTGTCTATTTATCCCCACCGGCAGCCAGGAACAGAGCACAGCGAAGGGTTGATGGGAGTAGGGAGCATCAAGGAGAGAGGAGTAAGTGTGATGCTCACAATTGCTGTTCAGTTGGTAGGAAAAGGAAAAAGAAAAAGAAAAAGACGGCGAAAGAGGACCCAACCAGGATCTGTATTGTACTGTGCATCTGTACCATCTTTTTAAGTAGTGATGGCTACCCCTGTGGTTTTAGAAAGTAATGGGCTAAACCATTTGAATTTTGAGCAGAGAGCAGCAGCGGGGCATGTAGAATGTGATGTGGTGATGCAAGAAAGACAATAAGAAGAATAAGAAACAATACATAGGTATGAGGCCATGTACCTTTTTTTTTGCTTTTGTGAAGAGGGCCCAGGCAGGCAATCAGATAGGCAGACAAGCCATTAGAGCGACGAAACAATGGGACGTGAATTGGGCGTATCCTTCCTCTGTATGATGTTTAAATTGCAAACCCACATACGCACCATATTTATTAGATGGTTGCCCGACTTTATTTGATTTCATTTCATTTCGCGTACTGTCCAGGGTGTCTCTTTTTCTTTTTCTCTCGCTTTTGTTCATCCTTCCTCGATCGCTCATCCTCATAAGTGGCTGTAAATTACACTTCATCAATTTCCCTTTTTCTTTCTTCTCTCCTTTACTTCTTTCGTTCTGTCTTCTATACTTTTTTGTCGTTTTCTTTCTCTTCCCTCTCTGCCTCCTTTGTTTCCTCGCTTTGTTGCACACAATCCCCTTGTACATTCATCCTTCAATCCTCTCCCATTTCCTTCCACACTCTCCATCTGACAATCATATCATCATCCCTTGCAAACCAACATTCTTCTTATACTTCCTGTCTCTAGATCAAACGTGAACTAGATCCCACTCCTTTTTCTCAGGACCTCCCTCTCCCACCTGCCCCTCTCTCGGCCCTTCCGATCCCTCAGCGTCGCCAGCAGCCTCCCCCTCATCTGGAGCCACTCCAACTACCTTCTCAGCTGGATCTGAACAAGGATCATCATCATCAACAACAGCAACCACAACACAACAACGAGTCTGTGCCACACGCTCACCCACGAACCAAGACGAAAATCGTCATCGATCGACCCTACAGCTTCTACAAGTCTGCACCAAAAACACCGCAGAGAGTCACAGCAATCGAGTCGCCCTTTGGAGATTCACCATCTCCAGTCTCGCCCAACCCTCTACCCGTGCCTTGGACTGGCAGCTCTGCCACCACAGGATCGACTTACCAGACACATCCGTCTCAGTCCAACCCATTCATACCACCAAAGCAGTTCCAGCCTTTCCAGTCGTCGTACCAGCCTCTCCAACAGCAGTCTCAGCAGCCACAACACAAGTCTACATCACAAGACGACTCGTTCAGGAAGGCCCGTCCCGATCCCGAAGACTCTATACCCGCTGTAGCTGACACCACTGCCACCCAATCTTCGGCTTCCTCTTCAAGTTCACTATCAGGAAAAGCTTCAATGGCATCGACCATGACCCATCCTGTGACGGAGAGATCCAACTCTTCTCGTTACAACCGATCTCGTTCTCCACAGCCCGAGCAACCACAGAAACAACAACAACAGCAGGGATTTGGATTGACGGTAAGTCGGATAGGAAGCGAGCTTATCATTCGTTGATCAATGATTTGCTTCACAACGACAACCGATATTAATTTATGCTTTTTTCTTTGTGAAACCTTCATATCAATAGAATCGACCAGCGCGTTCACACAGCATTGGTGGCGGAGGGAAACTTCAGACTCGCCAACAATATGAGCAGGAACAGGCAGCTCATGCCAACAACAACAACAACAACAACATCCACACCAGCAATCCACACATGCCAGAGATACCGATCGAAGCAGCCCCAACACGCAAGAACTCTGGCAAGAACCTGCTCAGGATTGCGCGCAAGGCATCCGATTCTGCCTTCAGGAGTGTCGGATTGAATCGCAAGTCTTCTGCCAAGAAAGAAGCTCAGACTGCCAGTGCTTTGCAGGCAAAGGAGGCCGAGTCGCACCATGCCCACGATGCCCACGATGCCAACTCACACTCGCGGCATCCAAACAATCCTAGTGGTATGACGCTTTGCTATTTCTTGTTTGCTCTTATATCTCATTGGAATATTTCATGGTATTTATCAAGCTTCTTTTCTCCGCTATCTATAGGACACAACGACCAACACCACCACCACCAACAACAACAACAACAACAACAACAACAACAACAACAACAACAACAACAACAGCAACAACAACCAGGACACTACATGCCACATTTCGAGGTCGAACTGGGTCGCAACAGGTCACTGCCAGACATCAAGCCATTCTCCTCGGACGACCATCGAACCCCCGCCAGGGGAAGTTCTCTTACGAACCCAAGAACAAACCCTGGCCCCTTCCGCAGCCGACAAAAACCGCAAAACCAACTCCCAAATCAACATCATCAAATCGCCACCGCCATGTCGAACGAACCCATCACATCCATGGCAACGGCAGACATGCAGGGATCTCTGCAGGACGCATATGGCGGAACAACCGATGACTGGCGGCAGGCACAACAGGCAGAGCTGGAGGCTCGGGAACGACAGAAGCTCAAGGACTCGAGTCCTACTGATCGGTCGGGACATTTCTCTATCAACTCTGTCAGCACTCTGAACCTCCCGCCTAGCAACCCAACTGTGACACCTCCTCAGACCACGTCGATGAGCAGGATCCTCTTGCCAGACAGAGACCGGTTCCGCGACAACAACAACAACAACAAGAACAACAACAACCATCCCTTTAACTCGGCTGTCCATGCCTCTGAGCACTTGCAGGGCCATGGCCAGTTTGTTGAGGAGCCCACGCAGGAGAACACCTCGCTCGCTAAGGCCACTGCCCAGCCCGGAGGTATCTTGTCGCAATTGCAGGCTGCTACCGAGAAGGGGCAGGTCATCGATCCCATTACGACGGTCTGGTCCCAGAAGGAGGGCGCATACATTCAGCGATCCAACACTGCGCCCTATCCTTTGCGGGAAAACCGGGCCATTGCTGAAGAGGGAGAAGACGAGTCCCTAGCTGGTTCTGATCAGCGTGGTCCGTTGGAGTACAGTAAGAGTGAAGGCTATGGCACTGCATCACGACGCGATCGTCAGCAGAAGCGCGTTCAACCTCAACAGGATCAGCAGCACCTTGCAGAGGAGGAAGAGGAGCAACAGCAACCACACAATCAACGTCAGCATGCGGGTCGACCACCGATGGATGAACACAGCGACCTTCGTAACGACCCTTCGAACGCACGGCTCCGCCAGGTTGATCAGGAGCCTCTGAACATTTCAAGGTCTCGTGCCATGTCTCATGAAAACGTCGTTGACACCAACAAGGATCTCCCACCCACGCCTTTCCGACAACCCACACCACCAGGGCAGGTCTCTTCTGACGCCTCATCACGCCAACATCACCAGCAACAAAAGAGCCAACGCCTTCGTAGTGACAGCAAATCTGAGGCCTCGCGTCACCAACACTACCAGCAACAGCAACAGCAACAGCAACACCAGCATCGCCCCTCCGCCAGATCAACGGGCGGCAATGGCCCCATTACTTCTGAAGAGAGCGTCCTTGCTCTCTCACGGTCCATGTCCCCGCCACCCCATCGACGTGTCTCACACGAACGGAACGCAAGCTTTGGTAATATCAACCTCAACTTCACCCGAGGGGCCAGCACTGCAGGGCAACAACAACACCATCACCAGGCCAACGGTGGGCCTATCAACAACAATGTCCACAAGGAGCATGTCCAGTACGGCATTGATATGTTGCCCCTTCCTCTCATTCCTTCTCCGGACGAGTCGCTGAAGAAGAATGCCAACCTGGGAATCCTCCCACAGGATGTTCTGAAAACCTTGGACCTTACTACTGTCCAGAAGGTCATCACTGCCTCGGTCATCGCCAGCCGTGTCTACAAGGTCCTCGCTCTTGAAGAAGTCGAGAGCCTCAGGAAGGTAAACCTCTTTCAATTCACCTGATATATATTTATATGAATATATGTTGTGAGCGAAATGCTAACGGTTTCCTTGTCACATTTCTTCATTTCTCATTTCTTTATCAGGAACAAGGCGATTTGCAGATGTATGTCCAGACACTCCACACGTCGCTCAACATCGAATCCCGGATGCGCGATGCTTCCCACTCCCTGATCCGTCTACACGAGTCCAACATCAACATCGACGCTGTCAAGGCCTCGACGGGCCAACTCCACGCGACCACCCGCAAGATGGACAAGATTGTCCAAAAGACTCAAGAGTCTATGGAACGGCTCCTGGTGATTCAAAGGTTGCTTCTTCAACATGAGGGCGCAGTCCTGAATGCGGGTATGCGTCGACTTGATGGCGAGAACCGAGAGCTCTCAAGAACGGTTTTGGAATTGGAGACGATCCGGGATCAGGAGAAGGAGGAGAAATTGAAGTGGAAGAAGGAGACGAGTCAGCTTCGGATCCAGAGTATGATCTTCCCGAATCCGCCTGGGCTTGAGGAGTTGGAGGCCATGGCTGCTGCGGTTGACGGTAACAGTAATGATGGAGCATCGACCAACCACAACGCGAGAGGTCGCAAGTCCCCCTCTGGCCGCAAGTCTCCCTCGGGTCAACACCTCCAAGTCGTTAAGGAGTCTAGTCCACCACCTCTTCCTACCCCTCAGCCTCTCCACAACGATGCTCGTCTAGTTGCGTTGGAGAAGTACATGAAGGAGTTGAACGATGAAGTCAACAAGAAGGACGAGCGGATCGGAGAGCTCGAGAGTCAGTTGAGGATGGTTCAGGTCTGGGCTGATGACTTTGCAGGATCGCTGAAGGCCAACAAGTTGGGAGATGATCAGTCCGTTGACGACGGCAGCAAGGGCGACGGAGGTGGTCTTCACAAGAAGTTGACGCGGTTGCAGACCAAGATCGAGAATGGATTCCGTGCACTCGAGGCAAATGCTTATGAGATGAAGGTCAAGGCGGAGGAGGCAGAATTGGCAAAGAATAAGGCCTTCGAGTTCACCGCCACGACGCTTGCCAACAGCAGCGTTGTTACTGGTCAACAACAACAACAACAGCAACAACGCTCTAGAAAGGGAATCGACCGGTCTCGGACCAACAACAACCATATCGATAACCAGTCGTTCACTCAACACAACAACCACTCGGATCTTAACATGATGCTCAATGACAGCTTGGTGGAGCTCGATCATCAAATCTCCTTGACAGAATCCTCGTCCCCCTCGGTCGGGTCCTCTACTCCTGACCTCCATGATCAATACCATCATCACCACCACCAACGTCGTGCCAGGTCCCCTTCTGTTCCTCACCAGCACCAACAGCAACCCGTGCGTAGGTTGTCCCGTTCAAAGACCACCAACGGCGGCGGCAGTTCGCCTTCTCTTCTCACTCCTCAACAACAGCAGCAGCAGGAAACCAATGATGAACAACTGGCCCTCGGCAATGCTCAGGAGGAGATCAGGCGTTTGAATATGATGGTTGACGAGCTTGAACGTCTTATCCACCTCAAAATCAACGTTTGAGTCTCTCCCCTTCGATCCCACCTCCCTACCTTGTACCCATACAGACACGACACACCAACAATATCACAAACACAAACACTCACCCCATTAATAGACACGTTTTCACGACCAAAAATAATAATAATTTCGGGTGCAGCTTCGTACCATTGTTTATTTCTTCTTGTTCAAGGCAGCAGAGGCAGCAGCCACTCGTTTCATGTGCCGCCATCGATACTGACATTTCGAGATAGGGAGCGAAAGTTCGCTCGAGATCTGCTTCCAGCCCAGGGTCGACACACCATATTTCTGAACCAGCTCTGTCAACTTTGAGATGTCCTTCCGGTCCCACGTACGAAGTAGTGTCGGTGTCCTAGTTTCTGTCTCTGTCGTGGCGCTGGTGGGTGGCCGTATCTGGATCTGTTGCTGATCCTTGTCGTCGTCTTTGTCGTCGCCGTCTTTGTTTGCTGGCAAGGTTTCTGCACGGAACCGTTTTCCCGTCAGAATGACAGAATGTCTCCGGGCCGCAATGGTGTCGGGGTCGATCTTGAAGATACTCAAAGCCGCCTTGGCCGGAGGATCACTACCACCATTATCACCACTCGTTCCAGTAGCCTTCGACAAGAGTTCCAAACTCCTTCCCAGTATCTCGTTCGTCTTTCTCCGGATCTCAATATTCGTCCTGTCCAACTTGAGTTCTTCTCGAGCTTTTCGCGTAAAATCCAACGGAATACGCGGCAACCCCCGAATTGACTCGGCAGCTTCTTCCAACCCACGCACTTCCTCCGCAGTCCACAACCGAGTCCGTCGTCGTTGTCCCGGAAAGATCGTATCGTGATCCGGGTAAGGTATGGGCTCCTTGAGATCCGGTGTCAGAAGCGACGGTAACAGGTTGTCGACGAGCCTCCAGCGGTACCGACACTGATCTCCTGTCAATTGGGGATTCACCTTCTTGGCAACCTTCTCCCAATCGTTGACGGTCATGTTGCGCATAGCCTGTGACAAGTTCGTGAACCCTCCTGTTATGTCTTTGACAGCGGTCTCCATGGCGAGAAGTTGCTCGGTTGTCCAGGCCCAATGTTTTCTCGGTTGGTGGGTGAGGTTCAGGGCCAGTTCTCCGACCTCCTTTTCGAGCTCGTTCATCATCGGGATCGAGACAGAGACCAGGTGCTTGAAATCCACCCTGCAGTCCTCGGCGGATTTGTCGGCAAGTGATAAAGTCGATGCTGACATCGCCTTGTCCTTGTACCCATCAACAGTCGACGACCGAACAGCCTCCGAAACCCGATCCCAGGCATTCCCATGCTGCTTCCAAGCCCTCCAATAAGCCCGGATTTCATCCTTGGTCCAATGATTCCCACTCCTGCTTAAAATACCCTTCTTCACATTGGTGCGACACAACGCCTCCCACTTCGTCCTACACTCCGTTGGCGTATGCTTGTTGTCAAACTTGGACGATATCCGTTTCCACGATTCCGAAGTCAGCCCCTCAGTCGTCGAGGTATGAGCTGCGACAACCTCTGACAGTCTCTTGACCTGGGCCTTGGTCCACCTGTGAGTTTTCCGGATGACAATGGCGTAATGGGCCTGGACATGCTCGGGCGTGATGAGCTTCCCGAAGACGTCCCTGGTGATCTTCTTCCAGTTCAGCTTTGACAGGTCAAGATCTGTGTCCGTGATGGTGACAGGGATGGTGGTAGTGGTGGTATGTGGTTGTTGTTTCTGTCGCTGTTGAGTATCCTGTAGTTTCTCACGCAGGGTTTGTTTCTCTACCTCCAAACGCTCATACAACGCCGCGACATTGTTGAGCGGTAACTGTGTCAATAACCCGGGCTGATCCCCCGCCCGGCCCAAAAGTATACCCCACTGATGCCGACATCCTGTCGGCGAGATCACAATCCCCTCTCCTCCACCTCCTCCTTGTCCCTCCTTCTTCTTCGTCTTTGGTTGCAACGACTGAATCTCTCTAGCCACAACATCCCACGGGACCGGTTGGAGAGCCAAGGTCCGGAGTCGCTTGTTCCGTGCGGGCGTCCAAAAGTCACTATCCTTCAACTGAAGATGGAGGTGGTATCGATTATGACAGGTCGTACGGCTCCTATCAAGGGCCTTGGCGACTTCTATCCAGCCCAATCCTTGCTCCCGGAGGGTTAGGAGTTTTGCGTCCTGCTCGGGTGTCCAACTGAACGGTTGTCGTGGATGTAGGAATGGGGGGGATGTAGAGAATGAGAGGGCGTGGGAAGTTGATCTGGAAATTGGTGATAGGAGTGGGATGGCTGGATTAGTTCTTGGTTGGTGTTGACAAAGGAATGCGGTGGTGGAAGTGGTTGGTTGCTGGAGGAATCGGCTTCCACCAAGGAAGGATCGGACTCCGCGGAGCATGGCGAGAAAGCGGAAGGAAAAGAGGGGGGTGTGGACCTAATTTTTTGTTTTGCTCGCGACATCAAGTACGAAAAAGTGCGCCACTAAGCACTAGGGGTCGAGTACCTGAGTCATGTGACAGATTGTATAGATGATCGCAAGTGTTAACAAAATAACCAAGGGCTTGTAGTTTTTTTTACAGTCGACGATGCGCTTTTGAGATCCTTCCCCCCCTTCAACCAACTCCCCATCCCGCAGTCTGCCAACCATGAACTACGAAGAGGACATCGATATCACCAACGAGGTCGACTTGGTCGTCAGCGCCTACCCCGTCCAGGACGATGATCTCGATGAGGAGCTCTTGGCCGCTGGTAAAAACACACATCCTCAAACCGCCTCTCCTTGCTTTGTTTACCTTCTACTCCCTCGTTTATTTCGACATCTGGATTTCGACATCTGGATTTCGACGGCTTTGAGATTCATAAACACTGTTCCTGGTTAAGGAACGTGAATCATCAGGACAGGAAGGCAGCAACGCATATACCTTGTCAAACTGACAGAGGATAAAATAACCACTCCGTGCATGGATATGACTGACAAGGAGATCAATTGGACCAGGGCCGCAGTTCGTGTGTCTCAACGACAGGCCATGATATGGGCCAACAGCAACAGACAACTGCCACAGCTGGATCAGCCTGTTCTTCCGTCTTTTCTACATACGCTTTAGCGTCAGCAAAACAATACTCGACTTTTGATGAAGCTACTCGGGAAACTGGCGTAACTAAAGTACAAAAGCAGCCTTTTATTCTAACCAACTCTATCTACTACGTTACCTCCATGCAAACACAGACCAGAGCACACAGCAGTACCAGGAGGTTCAGATCCCCGAGGTGGTCAAGAAGTTCATCATGCTCTTCCACCGCAGCGTTCTCGAGAACAACGTCTACGAGTTGCAGTCGATCTATGAGCACTCGTTCAACAAGTTGACTGAGAAGTTCTACGCCAACGAGTCGTGGCCCGAGCCCGAGGGCATCTCGTCCTTGGTCAACGATGGTAATTACTGCTCGTGCTTCTCGGCAGTCTATTGCAGGATTTTGGATGTTGCATAAAATCAAGTAGTGTTTCCTAACGGTTTGTTTTGATTGTTACTTGAAACTAATAGATCAGGTCTTCTTGACCTTGTACCGCGAGTTGTACTACCGCCACATCTACTCTCGCTTGACCCCCACCATCGAGCACCGTTTCCACTCGTACGAGAACTACTGCGATCTGTTCAACTACATCTTGAGTAAGAACCCCAGGATCATCTCGTTTACTTGTTCAACTGGATATTGAGCTCGGAAAACGCGGAATTAATTACTGACAATGTTAATGTTACCTTGCCGGATGAATATAGACTCGGAGGGTCCCGTTGCTTTGGAGCTTCCTAACCAGTGGTTGTGGGATATCATTGACGAGTTCATCTACCAGTTCCAGTCGTTCTGCAACTACCGCAACAGGATCAAGAACAAGACCAAGGAGGAGCTCGCTTTGCTTCGCGACAACTCTCAGATCTGGAGCTGCTACAGTGTTCTCAACGTTCTTTACTCTTTGATCCAAAAGTCCCGCATCACCGAGCAGCTCTTGGTCTCGAAGAACGGAGGCGATATGGTTGAGGCTGCTGGCGAGTACGGATCCCGCCCTCTGTACAAGATGTTGGGTTACTTCAGCATTGTTGGTTTGCTCCGCGTCCACTGCTTGTTGGGCGATTTCACCTTGGCGCTCAAGATGATGGACAACATTGAGTTGAACAAGAAGCAGGCCCTCTTTGCCCGTGTCACCGCTTGCCACGTCACTACCTACTACTACGTCGGATTCGCCTACATGATGATGCGCCGTTACGCTGATGCCATCAAGGCCTTCTCCCACATCTTGACCTTCATCAACCGCACCAAGCAGTACCACACCCGCTCGTACCAGCATGACCAGATTAACAAGAAGGGCGATCAGATGTACGCTCTCTTGGCCATCTGCGTCACCTTGTGCCCCACCCGCTTGGACGAGAACATTCACAGCCAGATGCGGGAAAAGTACGCCGAGCAGTCGAACAAGCTGACCAAGCCCGATGAGGCTCTCCCGGTCTTTGAGGAGCTCTTCCTCTTTGCCTGCCCCAAGTTCATTTCGCCTAACGGACCCAACCTGGAGGATCCCGAGGTTGTTGAGCAGGGTGTTTCCTTCGAGCCCGTTCAGCACTATACCAAGATCTTTATGGCCGAGGTCCATCACTCGATCTTGCTGCCTACTCTTCGTTCGTACTTGAAGCTGTACACGACAATGGGTAACGCCAAGTTGGCCTCGTTCCTCGAGATTGAGCCCGAGCAGTTGCGCACGTTGTTGATGATGGCCAAGATGAGGAGCCGTCAGATCAAGTGGGTCGAGGGCACTCTCCTCGAGGGCGAGTACCAGGGCACCTCGGATTTGGATTTCTGCTTGAAGCAGGATATGATCCATGTCTCGGAGGCCAAGATCGGACGCCGCTATGGAGACTGGTTCTTGCGCAACATTAACAAGTTCCAGGATATCCTCGGAGGTCTTGAGCTCAGCAGCCGGGCCTAGATTATTTTTGTTGTTCTCGTTTCTTCCCTCCCCCACTCCCCCCACCCTCTACCAAACAGCAGACTAGATAGTTAGTTATTTTTTTTTGTTCCCTACAAAAACACGCGTCGATATGTTTTTGCTAGGCAAGTCGACGTTTTTTTCTTTTTTCTGTTCCATCACTTTCAGTAATTATGAAGCATCATTTTTTCCCAATTCTTTCTCCTATTTATTTTTTTTGGGCTTCTTCCAAAGGGCGCTTGACTGGCGCAACGATTGTGTGGGTGTGGTGCAATCGTTTTAGATAACGACTTTCTTCCAGGGGCCACATTTTGGGCGTTCATGAGGAAGGAGGAGGGAGGGGCGTCTACGATCGCTCCTTTTCCTTTGATGGGCGCGATGATACAGGTCAGCTCGACGGTCGATTGTGAAGAAGAAAAGTGGATAGGATGGATGAGTTGCGTTCTTCTATGTGTATGTGGACAGTCGATCGACAGAGGCAGAGGGTGATTGTTCTGCCCTTCTGGACCAACTTGTCTGGAATCCACGAACAACAAAGAATGAGAAATCAATAAAAGATGAGAATCGAGGCCGCTGATTGGCTGGATCAGGATGTGGCCTGTTTGTTCCTGAACAGCCAGAGGGACTTTACATAGACGATGTTTGTGCTGTGGGAAGAAGGGTACTACTTTCCAACGTCCGTTCGTCCTTGTATTCCCCCTTTTTCTTCTTCCTTTTCTGTCTTCTCCTCTTCTCCTCTTCTCATTCCACCCACTCCCCACCTCTCCACTCTCTCCCACTACCCAATCTCACATCATGTCGACAACAAAGTGCCTAGTCACCGGCGGAAACGGATTCCTCGGCCGATGGATTGTTGAAGACCTGATCAAGCGCACCGACTACCACATCACCATCCTCGACATCTTCATCCCCACCAACGCCGCACCCACCGACAGAATCACCTACATCGCTGGAGATATCACCGATGCCCCCGCCGTCCGTAACGCTTTGAAGGGCCACCACATCTGCATGCACGTCGCCTCCCCACCTCACCACTTCCCCGCCGAAAAGTTCAAAAAGATCAACATCGAGGGTACCCAGAATGTCATTGATGGCTGTCTCCAGGAAGGCGTCCGTCGTTTGATTTATACCTCCTCAGCGAGTGTCCTTCAGGATGGAGGGCCCCTGGAGAATGCTGATGAGACACTCCCTTACCCCAAGACGTTTATTGAGACGTATTCCGAGACCAAGGCAATTGCGGAGACGATGATCTTGAAGGCCAACAATAACTCGACCTTGTTGACTTGTTCCTTGAGGCCTAGTGGAATTTTCGGACCTGGCGATACTCAGGCGACGCCTGGGTTCATGGAGGTCTTGAAGAAGGGTCAACATCGGTTGCAGATTGGAGATAATTCGGGATTGTTTGATTGGACTTATGTCGAGAATGTTGCTTATTCGCATGTCCTTGCTGCTGAGAAGCTCGTTGCCGGCTCTGGCGTCCCCGGTCAGGTAAATTGGAGAAAGAAAAAAAAAAACGCATCCAAATTTTTTTATCATTTTTGGCGACCTTTTTCAATTGACACAACCACCCCACCCCCCATTAAACATTTTTCTCACCTTCTAATCAAAAACAAATGTAGGCCTTCTTTATCACGAATGGAGCACCCGTGCCATTCTGGAACCACCCAAGAGCTCTGTACGCTGAGAAGGGTGTCGTCGCCCCACGCATCATCATCATCAACTTCCAGATCGCCCTCATCATCGGTTTCCTTTCCGAGATGTTCTCGCTCCTCAAGAAGATGATGGGTAAAGAGGCCAAGGAAGGCTTCACCCGTGTCCGTGTTCGTTATATCTCTTACAACCGTTACTTTAACATCAACAAGGCCAGGACACTCTTGGTAAGTAGAGAAGAGATGAAAGATGAGGGAGTGAAGAAACAATGGAGCTAAGTGTATGAAGGAATGTCGCGCGATTTGGTCTCAGCGGTTCTCTTTTTTTGCCAATGGTGCTAACTTTTTTTTTTTTTTTTTTTTTTGGATTATAGGGTTACGAACCAGTAGTTGTTTACAAGGAGGGTGTCAAGAAGACAATGGCCCATTTCATGGCACTGGAGGAGCTTGAGGCCAAGAAGAAGGCTTAAAAAGAACTCTTTGTCTATTGTAGCCATCGAAACCCGCATGTTTTATATCATTTCCAATAATAGAGTCACTTTGTTACATCTTGATGAAAGGAATGACAGAGGATGTCAAAAAGGCACAGACGATCCCAAATGTTAGAACGGAGACGAGTTACGCCACTAAATTCTAGTGCAACATCCCTGAGCATTTCACAATATAAACAAATGAAGACAAGATCTCGATTCTAGAAAGTGTTTAATGTTCTCTGATTTTGCTCAATTGGGCAATAAAAAGAGAGGAGGAGGACGAGGAGGAGGAGAAGGAAGAAAAAAGATGTACATGTATGGAGGTGTGTTGTTTGGTAAGAACAGCTTCTACTTTTTTTTACAGAACCTTGGCCTCGTTCTTAAGCTTGTCGACCAAGTCATCGACAGACTCAACGATCTTACCGCCCTGTCTCTTGGCAGGCTCGACAATCTTCAAGGTCTGGAGACGGGGCTTGATATCAACGCCCAAATCTGCAGCAGTAAACTTGGCGAGGGGCTTCTTCTTGGCCTTCATGATGTTGGGGAGCGATGCGTATCTGGGGACGTTGAGGCGGAGATCGGTGGTCAAGATGGCGGGAAGGGGGGTCTTGACAGTCTCAACTCCTCCGTCAACCTCACGGGTGACGGTCATCGACTTGTCGCCGAGCTCAACCTTCGAGGCGAAGGTGGCCTAATTAGTTGAAGGAGGATACGAGAACGATGTTTTAGTGATTTGAATAACTGACGGACGTTTGTGGTCCCTGAAGATGGTGTGAGTGAGGATCTATTCCTCTGTTGTAGCGCCGTAAAGTCCTGAAAATGGTATCCGTGGTTCGTCTCTTGAATCCTGTTCTGCAAAGCACTTTTCTGTTAATAACAGAGGTCCACATGAGTCGTCTATGAGAGAAGTATAGCAATAGGCTACTGAAGGAGGAATCATTCATAGAAAGCATCCTTCGTCTTTGGACTATTCGTTTCTGCAGGTTGCTGTTGTTGTAAGTCGTTTCTGTCCCGTCCTCATATGAAAAAAAAGATTGGTCCACCAATGAATCATGACACCGTCCCTGAAATTATTATTTGATCCCCACGCTCTCCTTCGTTTGTACGAGGCAAAGAACCCGATGTCAAGTCCTCTTGTTCACACACACGAGCACAAAATGAGAGGAAAGAAGATGAAGCAAAGTGTCATCGAACACAAGGTGAAGAAGAAAAAAAACAGAGGCACAGGGAAGAAGAGGGAAGCAATTGAAGTGTTCGCACTTCAGCTTGTCAAGTAAGAGATATTTTTTTACCTGGGGCCAGTTCAAGAGACCAGCAAGCATCTGTCCAGTCTGGTTGGAATCATCATCAATAGCCTGCTTGCCCAAGATAACCATATCAGGCTTCTCCTTCTCAACCACAGCCCTCAACAGCTTGGCAACCGCCAGGGGCTGCAATTCCTCGTCGCTGTCGACATGGATCGCACGGTCAGCGCCCATCGCCAACGCGGTCCTGAGGGTCTCCTGGGATTTAACGGGTCCACAGGAGACGACGACGATCTCGGCAGTGCCGGTCTTGGATTTGGCAAGGGCCTCCTTGATCTGAATGGCCTGCTCGGTTCCGATCTCGTCAAAGGGGTTCATCGAGTGCTTCACATTGGCGGTCTCGACGGCTGACCCGGCGGCGTTGACGCGAATCTTGACGGCGTAGTCGATAACGCGCTTTGTTGCAACGAGAATGCGAAGGTTGGACATTGCTGAAGGTAAAAGGCTAAAGAGAGTTGAGCGGGGGGAGGAGGGGGGAGGAAGGGTGTTGATGTGAGAGTGCGGGGATGGAAGAAGAAGAAGAAGAAGGTTGTGAAAGAGAAGAGGGAGATGCAAAGAAAAGGGAAAAGGGAGATGGGCGGGGTTGGGTTGATCTGTTCGCACTTGGCTGCCCCCGGGTGCACTGTTGAGCTCAGAGTCACGTGAAAACATTGCGGGGAGAGCGTCATTCGTTTTTTGTGTGTTTCTTTTTTTAAGTTTGCAATGACTAAGGAAAACATAGATGCTTGACTAGGTGGTGGTGGCTATCAGGTCCTGGAATAGTCCAGCCGTTGGTTCTCGAAGAGGGCTTCTTCTTGTTCTTGTATCAGATCCTGCAGCATGTCTATCAATAACCAGGTAGAAAAGCGAGTGTCAATTGGTTGCTAACAAAGTCTCAATTGCCACTGTCAATAAAATGACAAAAAAAAAACGTACTGAACCAGATGGACCCTTCTACGGCAAAGCCTGACTGGGGCGAGTTCAACCTTGGATCTAAAGTATAGTCTGAGCTGTCCGACTGCCCTGACATTCGATTGAAGGAATCCCTCCTAAGTAGTTTGTAAAACATCAGTTGAGGAAATCAAGCATAGGACGGTTAGTCAGTAAAGAATGTTGTTGCTCTGCCTGCAAAGATATGAACATGACAATTTTTTCCCACGGCCTGTTAGAAAGAAAAAAAAAAGACTCACTCGTTCAGGTCCCAACCCGTGGAATCGTTCGAACTAATAGAGAGCATAGCCTGACTCGAGAATGCTCCAGGCGAAGGACTAGGGCTGTCATCGTCCGAATGGTAGGTATGCCCCTTCGAAAAGTCAAGCATTGGCGACGGTAACATTGGCGATCGCCCTCCTCCTCCTGCTCCACCGCTGCCATAGTAAGGAGAAGTCGATAGCATGGGCGAGGTATCCTGGCGGTACCCACGGTCGTTTCCAATCGACGTGTCAATCACAATTCGAGGTACCTCTGGTCGTAGCCTCGAGTTTTGCTTGCTTCGTCGTTGCTTCAAAAAGTTTCGACGCGCCACAATGGTCATTAGTAGGTTGTAGATCGTCTCTCTTGCCACTGCCGCCTTGATCTCCTTGACACGCTCGTTTCTCTTCAAGAACTCTTCCATTCTACATGGCAGTGAAAGAGAGATGCATCGGTTCTGTCAGTGTACAAGGACACAAAAGGAAATGAAGGCTGCATACCAGACGTTACAACCTAAAAGGTACTTACCCTAGCGCCTGCTCGATATCGACAAGGCTAATCGATAGGATGTCAAGGATGCTATAGAACGAAATGCCACGTTCACCACACGTTGCCACGGCCTCTTTGTAAATGACATTGTAGGTATGTCGACGACGATGGGCGTCTGATACATCGATCTTGGACAGCGTCTGCTGCAGGAGGTACAGGTCTAGGTTCGCCTGCGGCTCGCCTGCTTTCTTCTCGTCTACATCGCTTGATTCGGGGCTCGAGATTGTGATAGGAACCGCCCGAGGGGACATTCCTCCACCTGCCCCACTGCCGTGATGACTGGCCGATGTGGCTGACAAGCTGGGGCTGATAGACATGCGGCTCAGACGGTTGTTGGATCCGTTGTTACGAGGTTGGGTTGACAGTAATTGTGGTGATGAGAGCGCGCCGGTATTGGAGCGGTCTGTTGCCGACGACAGTCTTTGCCCACTTGCTCCTGCCGGTCCTGATCCTAGTCCGCCAGCACCAGAGCCACCTGTCGCATGAGTCTTGACCAGAGAGGGGATACTGAACTCCAGGTTCGGGTAAACTCTTGTGCACAGTCGACCATCCAACGACCGCAAGAAATGAGATAGGTATTTTGGATCGATATAACCAGTTCCTCGAGGATCGAACTTGGCCCACGTCAATTTGAAGTTCCTCAAGTCCTCTCTGGTGATAAGCGTCGTGATAGTGTCGTGTTGGTAGGCGAAAGAAAAGTTGCTGATAATGACGGCAATGAACATGTTAAGAAGAATGTAGGTGCAGACAATGTAGAATGACAGGAACATGGCATATGCCCAAGTCCGAGACCCGCAGTCGGTGTCGAGGTAAGACCCCTTGTTGGGCGTGCAGCTAGGAGCCTCGACCATCATATCGTGCATGACAAAGTCCCAGTTCTCGCCTGTCGTCATTCGGATCAACATCAGCATGGTGTTCCCGAACGTCTCGAAGTTCGCGAGGCCGGTTGTCGAGGGACCGAGACGGGTCATTCCAAAGATCTCACGGAACATGATGGCGTAGACAGTGAACACGACCATGAACACAGCCGTAATGTTAATAATCGAACCCAACGCGATCCTATTCATTTCGTGAGAAAATATAAGTGAGGTTAGTTCCGAGCACACAATGCAGTAACTGCCTTGCAAACATGACATGCTGAAATGGTTAGACGTGTAACTTACGCCAATGCTCGGAACAGTACTTGAAGAGAGTCGATTCTTTGGGCGAGACGGAAGGAGATTGTGATCAGCAGGAATTTCTCCAGGCGTAATGTCCACAACTACATAGGACGCAGAAAGGGTGTACGGAGCATTAGTACTTTTTGTTTCTTTGCGCGTATGAATGCGATCTAAGAGCGACTGCGTTTGGCAAATGCTTTACCTCGTGTTGGAGGAAACGTGGAATCAAGGTAATGAGAGCAAGGACGGTAATGATCATATCGTAGAGATTCCAACGCGATAGTCGCCACTATTAGAAGTTAGAAATGGATAAGAGGCAGTGACCTTGTGAGTTCATGGTGCACTCATTCTCTAAACGTTCAAGACTGCAAGGCCGCGCCGACTAGTCAGCTTCTTACCTTGTTGAAGCCGTATCCGCATAGTTTGACCATGATCTCCAATGAGTATACACCCAAGAAAATGAAATAGCAGATATCTAGTGCACGTTAGAAAGAAAATTAGTAGGCAAGAATTCAGTTGTCAACTGCTCCATCACGAGGCACGAAAGATGTAGAGGACAGATATGGTACCTTGAACATCGGTGAGCAGCTGAGGCTGGGCATAATGCTGTGAAGCAATCATACAGACGTTGGCAACCAAAACGACAGTCATGATCCTCCATAAAAGTCCCTTCTTCTTGTTCACCATGTCATAGCAGAGTGCCCTAAACTTGTTCTGGGGTCTTGCAGGAATCGCCGTAGGCTTGATCAATCGAAGCTGACGTCGCAGGTCAATCCAGCGACGCTGTTCGACGGTCAACAACGAGATACCGTTCCATGTCTTGAAGGACTCCAAGATGACTCCGATGAAGATCTGGACAAACACGATCGACCCGATCAACATGAACAACAAAAAGTAAAATGAGTTGAATCGGTTGGGTTCGTTGGGCTGGATGAACGGCTGATCTCCCAGGTGGTTAGGGACCGCACGACCGGATTGCAAGACCAAGATCCATCCTTCCTGCGAGGCCATCTCAAAGAGGACCAAGATCGCGGCCTGGATCGTGTCGAAGCTGTAGTCGTAAGGATTGGCCCATATCCGTGGCACCAGAATCTCGGCATTATCATCTCCACTCGGCAAATCCATGAACTCGCCGACACATTCGTTCTTGAACAGGATGGTCTCGTCGTTGCACTTGTAAAAGTACCCGGCGTAGATGTTGACACCATAAATCGCGAACGGCCAAAAGAGCAGGAAAGTCAGGAGCATGGCAACAACCATCCTCGGCAATGCCTTCCCGATCGCGGCAAACATAGCAGAGACACCCTCAAAGTAGCGGACAAGACGAATAACACGAAGACATGCTAGGGCTCGTACCGCTCGTGTCAGGCTGAACAAATGGTCAATCTGACCAAAGACCTTGACACAACTCATCAACACTATCCCCAGATCCAGAACGTTCCAGAGATCTCGTAGGTAGCCAGTTGGTGTGAAGAGAAATCCATCCGCCAAGATACGTAAGGTTTGCTCAACGACGAAAATGATCGTCGTGGCATAATCAATGTCGTCCAGGATGTCGAGTCTCGTGGTGATTCCTGTCACCTTGGCTTTCAACCGATCGATAGGATCATCCACGAGGACCACCCCAATACTGACCAGGATCGTGACAAAGATGGCCCAGTTGAACCAGTTCATCGTGACAATCTTGCGTCCTGTACGTGGGCCGACGACTCGGCGGCACCATTGCCGGAATCGGTTGTTGCTGGGAAGAATGAAAAGAGCCCGATCGTACATTGGGTGGGCCTCCAGGAACTCGCGTGTCTCTACATAATGATCGTCCTTGAGTGCATTCTCCCTCTCCTTGGCCTTCCTGTAGCCTTCAGGGGAGAGTGTCTCCGTTGATCTAATTGAATGATAGGCAAGGTTAGATGCATGGTACAAGTGACGAGAAATATATGAAAGCGCTGTTTGAAGGACCCTAACAAGTACTGTGTTGGCTTACTGTGGCGCCAGAAGTCGGTCTGTGTCCCAGGTAATCTTTTCCAGTCCCTCATCGAGCCTCTCGAGGTTGGCGTCAATCTCATCCTGAGTCTTTCCAAATCCAGAGATTCCATGCAGATTCGACTCAGACTTTTCTTTTCTGGCCCCCGCAGCTTCCTTGGCCAGTCGAGCAGCTTCAATCTGGGCTTGAGTCGGGAACCAGTAGTCGCGCATCCGCTCCAGCCAGACAATGAAACCAAGCTTGGACTCCATGATCTCCGTCGTATTCTGTGCACCGAAGAAAAACAATATGATGTTAGCACCGCATTGCATGTTGGCGACTTCAGAGTACTGGACTCAGAGAAGAGATGAGAGTTGAACACTCACCGGTGCACTGTCGCCTTCAAGAAATTCCCGGAAAACGTTCTTGCGAACTGTCACTGTCTGGTCGACCGTCAATCCATACACTGACAGTGTCTGGGGTCGCGCTGGAAGATACGAGTACGGATTGAAGTACCTAGACAATTTCGCAGAGTAACGTTTAGTCGGTGTCAGAACGAATACAGAGGCGTCTGCTTACATACCGGAGCCATCCATGGTTTTTGGAACTCACTGAAAAAGTCCACGGTTCTTGGCCTTTTTGGATCGCTGGTGCTTCTCAAAGTACATCTCAAGCTGCATCTTGTACTTTTCATCATCGTCCATTTCAAAATGCTCCAGCACAATGGCAATGAAGAGATTCAACAGCACGTCTATTCCAAAGCAGAATAGCTGGTGTTAGTAATTCGCTTCCTTGAGTCAGTTTTTCGAGCCCATCGGTGACATGGACAGAAGAAATATCTGCAGGACTTACAATGCGAAGCGCAGTAATAAACGACAAAGAAAATGGTGCCATATATCTCCTTGAATGTCTCCGGGTGCGACTCCAAACTCTCGTACATAATGTTAATCCAGTTCTCGCCAGTTAGAATCTAGGTATGACGATGCGAAAGAAGTTTGATGAGAACTCTTCGAAGATATGCGTCAGGAGGGAACCAAATGCATATGAAGAGACAAACAGAGGATCTTACAATGAAGAGTGAGATGAAACTCTGGCCAAGGTCGTCAAAGTTGACAGGTTGCGGTTCAGTCGCCTTGATAGCTTCAGGCATGTCACCACCAAATAGCATCATCGGGGCTGGCGCACAGACCAAGAGGAACATGAAGGTAATCAGAAGCAAATTCAGCATTCCTGTAGCACTTCCGACGACAGACCTCTATTTTAAACGGGACAGGAGTTAGCCACAAGATGATTCGTATCAAAGTAGTGCGAAGACCGGCAGCATATCGCGAAAGAGGAAGGTAAAGAACACTCACCATGAGCTCGCGCACTCCGGGAATGGCGGGGATGAGGCGGTAGGCTCGAAGGACCTGAAAGATCGTCAGGTACCGGAACCACTCCCATCGTCGGATCGCAGGGATTTGAATGATCACTGTCGTCAGTGCCAGGAAGAGGTCAAAAGTGTTGCTTTTCCGCTTCCAGAATAGCTTCCATGTACTGTGGCCAACAATACGAACACAAATCTCCACAAAGAAGAAGGCAGTGAATGCCATTTCTGTATAATCGAGTCGCATAATTTCCTGCGGCGTGCTGTCGAACCGTCGAAAACACATTGCTGTCAAATTGAGAAAGACCATGAAGGCGCCAAATCCTTGAAACCAAGGATGGTTGACCATTTGAACGATGCGTTGTCGGATCGGCGAAAGGTTCGTATGAATCTCGTCGTCAAATTGCCATCCCTCGTCTGTATCCAGAAGGATTCGAACGCTCTTAGGTTTTGACGAGAAAGCTGAGTGTCGTTTCTCTGCTCTCACAGCTCCAAATGAATACGTGATACCAGCTATCGCGTAAAGCGGGTAAAATACCAATTGCAGAGAAGTTAGCTTGAGCTCTTTTTTCCTACAATTACAACCCTTCATGTACATTGCGCTGAACGTACCAATGAAAAGCGGGATCATAAGGAAACTCATAAGGAAAATCGAAATGCAGAAAAAGATGGCGGCCCACTTGGAGTCACCATCCATGACCCAGTACTCAACATCCGTCCATCCCTCCATTGAGCTGATGGTGAAGGTGGTGAGAAGCGACAAGAAGATATTGTCGAACGAGATCAAGCCAAACCCGGGATTGTAGTCGGGGAACTGCATGCACACTTGACCCTCCTGACAAATCATTGCTGACGTTCTGGGCGAAGAGTCGTCACCGTCTCCCTGTCCAATGTAGCCGATAATTCCCCTGATGGTTCCATTCTGGTAATATCCTCCACAAAGCATCTCCGGTGATGCAGGCGCATCTAAGAATGTATGCATGGACCATGGAGCGTTAGCTATACGTGCTGCTGTTTCCCAAAATATAATATGTGGCATACCCGAACAGGTTTCGTACAAGTAGGAGGGTTGCCTGGCTTCAATATAGCGCATCGGCGCGACAGAGCTCCTTGGAAGACCAATAATCCAATAAGACTCAGGATCAAGAAAAAGAAAAAGATGAATCCAAGAATCGTGAGAAGCAGTGGTGCCGACATTGAAAGCGAATCGATAATGGTCTATCATTGTTTTCAGAACGGCAGTTAGTAAATGTTACAGATCTGCATGCAATTAACCGTTTCAAAGCTAAAGTCGCTTTGTATGAGTAAAACTTACTGAGGTTCCTTCAGTCAACGTCAAGAGTCGAAGCGGCCGCAGCGCACTGATAGCCTTGAAGAGGTACACATCTTGGATTCCCACCATCATGAACGCAAAGTCGACCCAGTAGCTCATCACAACAATCCCGTCCAGACGGTTGTAGTACGAACTAAAGAAGGGAGCATGAGCCGGAGGGGCAGTCTCTTCTTCCACTGCAGTCCCAGGCTGTTCGTTTCCTGTATCGCCTTGAATAGTTGTCACCATAGTCCCCTGTACATGCACTCCTGATTTTTCAAAGGTCGATTCACGCGAGCGTACGCTGTTGACACGCGAAAGTGAATTGTGTGAGCGGTGCGTCGACGAAGGAACCGTTTTGTTGGATGGTATAGCGTTGATGATCCGCTGCACCCACTTCCAATTTGGAAACCTCTTTTGCCATTGGAATCCATTGCGGTCAAAGAAGAGCCCATAGACGATAGCTTTGGAAATGATCTCTAGGCTAGTTGTTCATTCAGCATGCAAAATACAAAAGGGTGAGATGAAATTGGAGTGGTATATCGTCCTATCAAGAGAATGTCGCCGCCTGACTTACGTATAAAGAATGTTGATGGCCAACAGTCCGTAGTGAGTCCAGTAAGATCCAAAGATATTCTTGGCGTCGTGGGTAGTGGGTGTGATGACGAAGAATACCCATTCCGTCAAAATGATAACCAAGATAATGGGGTCAGTGTACCTATGTGTAACCAGCCAGCATCCAAGTACGAATTAATTAAATGTAACCTTTCAATTTTGTATTACCATTGAATCAACAGATACATATAAGCCGACTGTACTTACTTAGACATCAGGATTGACGCCAAAAAGAGGCGAAGTGGGTTCTCCGGGGAGAAGAGCTTGAATGATCGTCCCTCGAGTCTCATCTTGTCTGACCCACGCTGTTTGAAACCTCCTGGCGCAAAGACAGATTCTTCGTCGTCCTGAGTAACCTTTTCTGGTAGGGCGCTAGCCGCTTTTCCAATATTGGAACCTGCTCCTGACTTAGACCGGTCCGTGCCATGGAAAAGACCTCGACGTCCTCCACTTCCTCCGCCACCGCCACCGCCACTAACGCCGCTACTTCCTTGACGATTGGTTGGTCCAGCACCCAAATTAGATCCTCCTGCATGATTCGATCCTCCGGCGTGACTTCCTGAACTTCGCTTGGATCCTGATCTCCTGAGGCCAGTAGCTGAACCATGCTCAGAAGCATCATGTCCTGAGAGTGATACCCATGGAGGTACTTCAGGGTTTGTGGATGCCATTGCTGGCGATGATGCGTCTTGTGGAATGGAAATGTGGTGGTTGGACTTGTGTTCGCTGTGGTCTCCGTCGCTGTGATCTCCAGAGTGGAATGATGAGCGATTGGGGGCTCCGTGCTCCTGCGCTCTGACACCGACAACTCGCGAAGATACATTGGCCATGACCTCAGACAGACCGCTCATCCATCCTCCCGAAGACTCGGCCGCTGCTGTGCTGATAAGAGAAGAGCGATTGTTGGTAACAAAGGATGAACGTTTGGACCCAACGGAGGAGAGCGTAGGCGATGATGATCTGTTGTTAAGTATTGTAGGGTCTCGCGTTGATGAGGTTGAGCTACGGGAACCCATTGAGTGTGCTCTTGGGGCGAGTCCTGACGTAAAAGATCCTCCGGCTGATCCTGTTGTAGGGTTGTCCACAAGGTGGAATGAAGATGGCCTCCGCCTGCGGAGGGATGGTTCATGAGAGAGTTTCGGGGAGGGTTGGTCGAGATAGTTAGGATCGGTGAGTTGTTCAATTGTGAGACTATCAAAGTCTTGACTGTGCATGGAGACGGGGCCGCCAGGGAAGGATTGGTATTCGTCTGGCTGGGGTGACGTGATGTGGATTGAGTAATTGGAGTGAATACCGGAGGCAGAGGACGATAGTGGGTTGAGTGGGGACAGGTCTTCTGTTGAGTCTCCTCCGGCGCTTAGAGGATACAGGTTGGGCGAGGGTGCCTGTAGGAAGATATCGTTCTGTGGCGGGAATAAGGATGATGATACACTTGGAGGGCGGATATTATTATTTCTAGTAGGTGTTGGTGGAGTGTCTGTAAAGGTTGCAGGAATGGAAGGTGAGATGACTGAATCGGTGGTTGTGGAAGTAGTATAGTCGACGGCCTGAGTGCTCCTGTCACCAGAAGTGGAGTTGTCGGTGTGTGGGTTTGCCATTAGGTCGCATGGGAGGGATGGGAGAAGTTGGATGTGATGTGTTGTTGTAAAGAGTGTTGCTGATTGATGGAATGTCGAGCACATGCAGTTAACTGGAATATCAATAATTGAGCCCCTTCTAATTGACTATGCCGGCTAATGTTTGGATTGAATCATTGATTTGATTAAATTGTCTCTCTCTTTGTCTCTTGTCCATAAAAAGATAAAAAGATAAAAAGAAAGATACGAAATGCGACCAGCAAAAGGGCTGTGAAGTGTCGAACGTCCTCTCCACCACCACTCAACTAAATAGACCCTCTTTGTGTCTTCACACATTCCTTCTTTACCATTCACTCTCTCTTCTTCTTATCCCTCACTCCTCTTCTTCTTCTTCTCTATTCTACTCATACCCATTCCTTTCTTTCGTCTTCTACTCTCCCACTCTCTCACACCTCCTTTCCTTTCTCATTCCCTTCCTCTTCTCCTCATTCATTGCTCCTTCTCCATCACCTCCTCCTTCTGTTGCCACCACTTTACTTCCTTGCCTGAACCCTTCACAGTAGCAAACCTTTACTCACTGTACCCTCCTCTCGGGCTCAGTCTCTCCACATACGCACATAGGCTCAAAATGACCCAACTGCACCCTTCACAATCCTCAACAACGCTGACCGAGGACGCAGCGCTCCGCAACACCCTTCCTCTGCCACAACATCGCACCCTCAACAACTCACCCTCCACCTCTTCCCTCAACACCAACACCACCGCCAACAACACCGTCCCAACTCGTCGTCCTTTCGCTGATGCCACCTTCCACGCTGCTGATGCCTCGCAGGACGAGAGCATGTACGGCACCCAGGGTCACCACCCAACCTCCAAGGCACCCCTCTACATCCGTGGACAATGGTTCAAAGATCACACCGGTCGCACAGTCACCCTTCGCGGCGTGAACCTTTCAGGAGCTTCCAAGATGCCCGTCGGCTGCCCTTCCCATCAGGCCGAGGGTTTCTTGGACGAAGACGGAACTGAAGTTTCGTTCGTTGGGCGGCCCTTCCCTCTAGAAGAAGCTGATGAACATCTGGGCCGACTCAAGTATTGGGGCTTTAATCTTCTCCGATTTATTGTTACCTGGGAAGCCATTGAACATGCAGGACCGTAAGTGCCTTGTGTTTCTTGCGTTTTCGTGCGTTATTAATACCATTCATCGGATGGAAATATTTTTTCCCATTTGGCCCGCTTGGATCGCCATTGGATCTCGTTGGGGGTTTTGGAGTGGTTTCATTTTCTTTGGGCATGTCAAATGCCTCTTGTTTCTCATTTGCTTGTGTGCCACTGGCATGGAGACGAAACGGCGTGGTGAGGGAAAAAAGAGAGTTTTCCACAATCATCGGCTGACCATGGTTATTTCTACGCTTGGAACGAGACTTTGTGAACAGAGAACTGGCATTAATCGGACGGCCCATCGGCGAAACCGGTGCTATCGCTTGCCAGCCCGCCATTGTTGTCGTTGGTTCATTATCGCTTTTGGGGTTGTTTTTTATGCTGTCCGTGCTGGTGTCTTTCTGTCGCCAATGATGCAACGATGATGAAGAACCTACATCGAAGAGTTCTTAGTGTTTTCTGTCTTTTTCTTGCTGCAACTTTTGTGTTCTTACTTTGCTCTCGCCTCCACTTTTTGCTCACGCTTTATGTTCTCTTGGATGCGACCCTGGCACACACACATTATCGATTGATCGAACCCCAAAAAACAAACAACAACCAGAACAGCCAGGAAACTTGACCACAACAATTGAGTACCACCGTTTTGTGTGTCTGTGAACTTGAGTTGTGTTTTCCCTGTATCCTGGTCTATCGAGTACGCACATGTGTGTACAGAGAGTGCCGTAGTCAAGCGACAATGGTCTTTACTACGGTGATCTGGGCTTGAGCAAAAGAGGAACGGTTGGTCTTGGTGTGGCTCGAAATTCCTGACAACAACGCACAGCGCACACCCTTTTCCCTTGAACCGCTGTGGAGGAAAAACAGAGAAATCAGGCCACTTTTTTTGATTTGTTTATCCCCTTCTCACTATTGTTCGCGTGGAAAAGGAGATAGGTACTTGTTTGTTTATTGTTTGTTGGGCGATGTTGTGTTGTGTGATCAAGAGTGTCTTTTTGCCCAATGCAACATTCTGAAATAACAAAGAGAGAGAGAGAAAAAAGGGTGACAAACAAGGACAAGTGCGCACGTCCTGTGTGTGTCATTGTGGTCATGCCATAAGAATAATATCGACGCCTGGTGCAAAACGTTACCGTCCTGCTGACCATATCACCTATTGTTCTCTCCCTTTTTTTTATTCACAGTGGCAAGTACGACATAGAGTTCTTTGAATACCTCGTCCAGGTCCTCCACAAGTGCAAAGAGTACGGCTTCAAGTGTTTCATCGATCCCCATCAGGATGTGGTATGTTTTCTTCAACTCCTCCTTCCCTTGGTGACGCACTTTGATCTGCTGTCTTGACAGTGATGTCAGCTAATGCTGTCTTACCCGCATAGGCGTAGCGTGTACTCTCTTACATAATGCACCGATGAAGGTATTTCCCGCTCAATCTACTGAACCTTTTCATTTCCCTATGACATCGTCTACTGTAGTGGTCACGATTCTCTGGCGGATCTGGTGCTCCCCTCTGGACATTGCACCTGGCGGGACTTGATCCCAGCCGCTTCGCACAAACCAACGCCGCAATCGTCCAAAACTTATATCACGACCCCGAAAACTATCCCAAGATGATCTGGGTCACCAACTACACCAAGCTTGCCGCCGCTACCATGTTCACCCTCTTCTTCGCCGGCAATGTCTTCGCCCCCAACTGCGTCGTTGACAACATGAACATCCAGGACTACCTCCAGACCCACTACATCAAGAGCTACATGGCCCTTGCAGAATACATCACTGCTCAGCACGGCATTGAGGACGACGTCGTCATCGGATACGATACCCTCAACGAACCCTCCGCTGGTTGGATCGGTGTCGAGGATGTCACCAAGATCCCTGCTCACCAAGAATACAGCAAGGAGTTTACCCCAACCCCACTCCAGGCCATGCTTCTCGGCCAGGGACATGAGCAAACGGTCGAGTTTTGGGTTTCAACATTCTTTGGACCCAAGAGAAAGGGATCCAAAACCATCGATCCCGAGGGCGTCACTGCCTGGCTCTCACTCGAAGATCGCGACCAAAAGGACAAGCGATTCGGCTGGAAGCGTGCTCCCCAGTTCCCCAGGGCCGGCGAGTGTATCTGGGCTCAGCACGGTGTCTGGGACTTTGACACTCAGCAAGTCTTGGTGCCTGATTACTTCTTGAACGATCCTGGTACCAAGGAGATGTTTGACTTTGGTTCACGGTCATTCTTGCCATTCTGTCGACGATTCGCCCAAGCTGTCCGTACGATCCACAAGGCCGCCATCATCTTTTTGGAGCCTCCAGTCAACGAGCTTCCTCCCTCGCTCCCTCCTCCTCATGACGACGATGATGTTGCCCAGTTCGACATCACCTCCCGTGTTGTCTATGCCCCTCACTGGTACGATGGTCTGACTCTCCTGAACAAGCGCTGGAACTTCTTCAATATTGACTACCTCGGAGTGAAACGCGGTCGATATGCCAGCTACGCCGCCGCAGTCAAGATCGGCGAGAAGGCCATCAGGGAATGCTTCCGGTATCAGTTGGCCTGCATCAAGGAGGAAGGTCAGGCTGCTATTGGACAACACCCCACCCTCATTGGTGAGATCGGCATCCCCTACGATATGAGCGACAAAAAGTCCTACAAGCCCAACGGCAACTACAAGGACCAGATCAAGGCCATGGACGCCAACATGTACGCGCTCGAATCCAACCACCTCAATTTTACTCTCTGGAACTACTGTGCCGACAACAGCCACAAGTGGGGTGATCTGTGGAATGGCGAGGATCTCTCGCTCTGGAGCAAGGACGACCTCGACAAGGACCCTCGCAAGTTTGCCAACGATTCTAGCACTGATGTCTACGCCCCGCAGAAGAATGGATCCCTGAACTCACTGTCATCTCCCCAGGACGTCACTATCCCCCTCCAGGACTCACCCACACTCACAAGACGATCTTCCTCGGTTTCGATCGACAAGAAGCTGGCACAGGCTCAGGCTCGGACCAGGGTTGGAACCCTCTCGTCAACGTCAACGTCAGCGTCATCGGTTTCATCTACAGCGTCGAATCGTCCCTTGTTGAAGAATGGTGCTAGCGACGCCAGCCAGGGAGATCGCCGGCTTCTTCACCCTGACGTTGGAGGACGTGCTGTTATTGCCTTCTGCAGACCTTATGCCCAGAAGGTCGCCGGAACCCCCTTAGAGATTTCCTTCTCGCTCAACAATGTCACGTTCAAATTCTCATTCAAGCGCACACCCTCGACGACTGAGCCCGGCGCAATTGCCTCCAACCCTCTCAACTCGCCCAAGCCTGGCAAGCTCAGCGAACCTACGGTGATCTATCTCCCTCGCATCCATTTCCCTGGACGCGAAGAGTACTTGGCCTCGTTGGGAGGAAACCGCTCTGCAGGCACTGCTCAGACCAAGCCCAAGGAGCCTGTCTGCCCTGTGACCGTTTCGGGAGGTCATTGGGAGTGGAAGGAGCAGGAGCAGACTTTGCTCTGGTGGACTGGCGAGGGCGAGGATGGTAATATGGACAAGTCGGAGGCTGGCAAGCGCACGCCCTCGTTGGACGATGGTGTCTATGAGATTACGGTCGTGGGTAAGAAGTGGACCGGCAACTCGTTCGGTGGTTCTGCAAAGACCGGAGGTAGCAGTCTCTGGAGCGCCGTCAGCCAGTGCTGCCGCATCTCTTAGATCTCTTTATTTTTCTATTCACCGCAAAACAAAAATATGAACTCTAGCCCCATCCACAGTCCTTCCTCCCGATGCAGGACGAAGAACTGAAAAAGAGAGACAACATCAACATGTAGATCTCTTTTTTGTCTTGTTTTCTTTCTCATCCAGTTGACCATTGCGGAATAAAAATACCCCGGTTTGATACCATTTTGTACTCTAAGAACGAACTTTGGTTTATGTGCTTATTCATTCATCTACGTTATTGCTGTTCGCTTGTTTTGTTTGTTGTTGCTGTTGTTGAGGAGGCGGAGGAGGAGGAGGCGCAATTAATTTTATCAAAGGGGATATTTTACTTGGTCTTGACGAAACGAAGCTTCTTTGGTGAGTACTTGAAGTTATCAGCATAGATCTTCTTCTTGAAGATCTTCTGGTTGGGCTCCTGAACAGTGAACTCCCATCCTATTAGGGATATTGTAAGCGGAAAGGAAGTTGTTTAGCATGTGGTTGTTCCGGTTATCTTTTGATCAATTCCAGGAGTGCAAAAATCGATCCAGGAGAATATTATTCTTCCGATTCTGAAATTGGGGGTACATACCCTGCTTGTCGGCGAAAGCGATGGCGTCCTCCTTGGAGATGAACTTCATCTGAAGAGCCTGCATGTAGTCAGCGCTATTACCAAGAAACCGACAATGACAAAAAAGATGCGAATTGGCGTTAATAAATACTGTGCATATATCACTTTCATACTGCTGATCGCTAAATTAATGTCCCAAACGTGGGGCACTCCCATGTTTTTACCTGGAGGCCCATCCGATGAGCTCGTTCTCGAAGCGGCCGGCCTGGAGCTGGGTATCGAAATCCAATCTCCAGACGCCAGTGTTGGTGATTCCGGACTGGGTTGAAGCCTTGGACTGCTTGAAGATGCGGCAAGGCTGCATACGGATCTCCTCTATTTTTGTCGCATTAAGGTAGTTGTTGTTAGTGATATGAAGATATTGTTTTGATGAATGGGTTACATGGTTGGCGAGGACGCGTGGACGTGCAAGATCGTGCAAGATTTTTTTTAGTCGTTCAATGTACGCCTAGACATCCAGCGACTCTCTCGGTGCCTAACTAGCTTTTCCAACGATCCTCCAATGCGTCTCCTTTTCCGTTTTGTGATATCGATGGATGGTGTCGATTCCTGAGTTCGATTTGGTTCCCGCCACTTGGTCCTGTGCCTCCTTTGACAATGTATGTGACGGAAAACTCACCAGGGGCTCCGCTGACGATCTCGGCCTGGAGAGCAACGGGTTCCCGGGTCTCGATGACGGATGTAGAGGTCGAGTTGAATCTGATGGCCGAGGCGGTGGCGGGACGGAATGAAGCCATGAGGGGGGTGGCCCTCATGGCCTGCTTGACAAGGAGCGAAGCCGACATTGTTGTATAAAGAGTGGAGTGGAGAGGTGGTTTGTGTGATGCCGATGAGGTATGTTGGCATCCGAACATTCAATATTTCCGAAAGGGCGGAGGATGTAGTATATGCGTCAAGAGATTATACTTTCACGTGCATTTCTCGAGGTACCAAAAGTCCACAAAGGCAGGTTGTGTCTGTGCAAAATTTCCTTTGGCGACGGTTGGTGGCCCAACGGTTGGGTCTGGACTCTAGTGTGCCCTTCCAATTGCTCTGTTCCTGAAAATTGGATCTTCTCATTCTTCGTCTTCTTTCCTTGTCCATCACTTCTTTTTTTTTTTTTTTTTCTTTTTTTCTCTACCTTTTCCGAATCATTCCACTTCACTACCCTTCTCCTCAGAACTCTCTCCCTCAGAACCCCTTCTGGAGACAAGGAACTAGAAAGATACGAAAAAGAAGTCTGTTCCAAGACACACACACCCCTGGAACCCTCCTTTTTTTTTCCAAACCCTCACATAAAAATGTACCGTGCAGCGGCATTCTCCTCAAGGGCAACTACCCTTGTTGCGCGTCGACATGTCCTCCTCTCCTCCTCTGCCACCGTTCGCCCCCTCACAACCACAGCATCCTCAACAACCATGCCTACGTTCACATCAGCAAGGAGAACAACACCGTTGACCAACACTAGTGTATCCGTCAAACCTACCCCTTTTCTCCGCACCCAAAAAGTCAAGGGTGCATCGACCCCTCGCAAATACACCACCGAGACCCCGATTCATGCCGAAGAAGAGGTACACACATCCCCCACCTGCTCAATTGGTCCCCCTTCTTTCAGGGCTTTATCAAGGAATACCAGTTGAATAACACCTTCCTCCGTTTTCCTTCTCTCTCACTTTCATGGAACAGCTCCCGCTTCAATATGGCATGCTGTACTTTGATAACGCCTACCCCCTCAAGATGGGCTGGTGGGATATCCGGTACTCGCTTCTGAAACCTGGCTGGCGATCCCTCGAGCGCAAGGCCAAGACGGAATTGGTTCCATCCGAGAAGAATATGCCCTTCCATTTCAAGATCGGAGGCATCGAGCCCAGGTACACTTTCCCATCCTTCTCGTCCTTCTTTTTAACCTCTGGACTACAGCCCGAAGGAATTTCCCGAGCGACCATTTTTGTCCTTTGTTAACGGAAAAACATGTATGCTCCCGCTTGAAACACAACTAGATTGAAGGATGGCGGTATGTTTGTGCACTTTTCATACGTGCGCCCAAGCTCGTACACAACCAAGGAGGCGCTCAAGGAGATCGAGTCCCGATGCGAGCAACATCTGATCGGCAAGGGTCATTATATGTGGTTCAACTTTCAAAAGGTCCGTGCCTTCCTCGTCAAAGGGTCGCCCTTCCTCGAGGATCTTGCCAGTCGATACCCCAACAGCAGGATCCGAGTTGAGTTTGCCGGAAACCTCAACGTCGAGCAACTCTATACCCTCTTCCGCAAATACGGCAAGATCATGGATATTTCGCTGCTCACACCCGTCAAGGATATGCCCCGCCAGGCGATCGTCCAGTACTCATTCATGCGTGCTTCGACCAGCGCCAAGTCGTGTTTGCATGGGATGGAGATCAATGGAACCCAATTGAGTGTCACCTATGAGAGAACTCTTCAGGGTAACGCTATTTGGACCTGGTTGACCAACCACCCCAAGATCACGGTCCCTCTTGGAGGTGCGGCTCTAGCAGGAATGTCGTTTATGGTTTTTGATCCCATGCGTGTCTTTAGCATGCATGCCAAGATTACTCAGCTGTTCAACGCCAACGAGTACTCGTTCTTAAAATGGTTGCGCAAGGAGACTGTTGGACGTTTGACCCGCAGTCCTCTTGATGCGATGCAGGCTAGTGGATGGCGCGAGAGAGCCCACGACGAGGAGAAGCTCCGTTCTTGGCTGCGCACTGCTCCAGGTATGATCTGGTTTGGCGTTGTATCCACTTGGGGGTATCTCACTGTCTATGATGAATTTCTTCCGCCTAACAACTTATTTTTCCTCGTTCTTATAGAGTCATTCGCAATTGTTCATGGACCTCGAGGAGCAGGAAAGACAGAGATGGTCGAGTATGTGATCAAGGACAAGAAGCACAAGGTCGTGATTCGCTGCGATGAGCTCGCGAACGCCAGGAGTGAAGGCGAGCTGTTGACCAACCTCGCCAAGCAGATCGGATACATCCCCTTGTTCCAGTTCATGAACACTATCAACAACATGGTCGACGTTGCTATCACCGCCACCACCGGACAGAAGGCTGGTGAGTTGAACTTTGTTGTTTTTCATTTTTTTTGCTGAATCATAATCCGGTAGCATGGACACTAATGCAGATGAATTTCTGTCTCGCCATGGTTAATGTTTTATAGGTCTGTCGGCAACATTCGAGGGACAGTTGAAAATGATTTTGGACACATTGAGCATCGCCATCCAACAAGCCTCGCCCGTCTCGGACCTGTCCAACACCTCACCAGACGCGATCATGAAACGCATCGAGGCAACACTCGAAGAAAAGACCCGCCTCTCCGAGTTGAACAAGACTGGACCCTGCGTCCAGACCAATACTCTGGCCCTGTCTATGTCTGGAAACCCAAGCAGACGTCTGACAAAGGTCAAGAGACACCGACGGGAAATGGACTCGGACGATAATAACACCGAGTGCGACCCTGATGAGATCCCTGTCATTGTGATTGATGGGTACATGTCGAGGGAGAAGGGACCTCATGCCAAGGAGTTGTGGGCCTTTTTGGCTGATTGGGCTGCTGTCCTGGCCGAGAACCACATTGCTCATGTTGTCTTCTTGACCAACAACGTCACCGCCTCCAAGCCTCTCGCCAAAGGTACAGTACCGTTCACGGTTGAATGCTATTAGAGTTGTTGTCTGAGCAGGTCTTGTCGTTTGTTGTGTCGTATTGACACTCATCTACGTCCCAACTTCACGCCGTCATTAGCATTGCCCAACATGCCCTTCGAGTACATTGTTCTCACGGATGCGACATTGGAATCTGCACTCGAGTTTGTGTACAACCATTTGGACAGAGACGAATATCCCGACTTGATCAAGTATGTCCAGACTATCGGCGGTCGTCTCACCGACCTCGAGCTCTTTGTCCAAAAGGTCAAGAGCGGACAAAAGCCTGACGGTAAAGCATTCCCTCAACCTTTCTTCGCTTTTTTTTGATTTGTAGAACCATATTAATTTGACGGAGGATTGACATTCTATTTTTTGTTATGTTTTTATTTTATTTTATTTTATTTTATTTCTTCGCATTGACGAAAACTATAGATGCCGAGAAGGATATCTTGGGACGCGCTGTGGTCGAGGTCCGCAAGAACGCCTTTGATTTTGATAACTCGGACGGCCGGACCCTGAACTGGACACCTATCCAGTTCTGGGCCGTCATGAAGAAGTTGGCTACCTCTGAAGCCGTACGTTTAACTCTCTCTCTCTCCTTTTTTCATGATTCCCTTAGCTTTCAGTTTTCACATTTTTGCGCTAGTCATACTTACACTATCAATTATTATTTTTCTTGTGATGTGTGTGTTTTTTTTTTATTAGGCAAGCTTTGATGAGCTCAAGATCCATCCCTTGTTCAAGAACGACGAGGGTCCTTTCAGTGCCATGGAGCAGGCAGAGTTGATCAACATCGTCCACAAGCATGGTAACGCCCTCCTTTTCTTATACCTTGACCCGTTTCCCTCTCTCATGTATCTTCTTATGCACATTGGCCGTCTAACAAATTCAAATATCCTAACCTCATTCTCTCACTCTCTCTCTTTTCCCTCAACAAACTTACACTCACTGCTACCAGGACGCCCATATGCCGTCCGCCCCGGAAAACCAATCTACAGAGCCGCATTCCAAAATATTCTCTCCGACACTAGCTTCTCTGCCGTCATGGACCTCGAATCCTCCACCCACCTTGAGAAGGAAGAAATGGTCAAGGTCGCCAAATGGGAGGCCGAACTCAAGGAACTCTCGAATCTACGACACACTAATGGGTTTTGGTTGTTTGGCGGTGGACGCGTGCCCAAGGAGGTCGATACACGTGTGAAGTGGTTGATGAAGAAGTTGGCAGAGTCTCATGCCAAGGTCGAGAAGTATGAGATGGAGGCATCGCAGGCCAAGAAGGCTGTTGCTGACATCGCCGCTTCTTCTTTCTCATCATAGATAGACGACGCGACAAGCACGAGTAGGCGCGCGGGGGGGGGGACTATAATCAGAAGCATTTCCATTCATCATTTTTTGACATCCAAAAATATACAAGCATCTTTTTTTTTTCCATCCCCTTGAAAACAACCGGACTTTTTTTACTAATGTTTTTCTAAGATAAAAAAAATGGCAAACACAGCTCCTTATTAAGAAAACCCATCAATTACTTGACGCGCAAAACACCACGAACGCCCATCAGGAACCTCAAAAAGATCTCCCGCCGAGCCGGTGTCATGGCAATATCTCTAGGTGTCAAAGCTCTCTGTCCCACAATATCCGACGTCGGGAACGCCGTAGCCAGATGCTGGAACGAATCCGACAGACGCTGCTGCAACTCGGGCGTCAAGGGTGTCTCACTCGCCGCCAACAGTTGCTCAATCAATCCACCGTAAGCCTCCTGGCGCGCGCAGACAAGCGCCAGCACACATGATCCAGCCACATCAACCAATTCCATATCCAGCTTTTTAAACAACAATTGCTCAAACGTCAGCTTCAAAAATTCGTCCAGATGGGGTCGAAGACCAGAAAGGTACTCTGCAGGGTGGTGGAGTGAGGCGTTGCAGGCATAGAGAGCCATAGCGGTGATGGCCTGGAAGGTCAAGTGTGAGACCTCGAGGATGTTGTGATCGATTCCAAACTTGAGCGAAGCCATCAGGTTGTTGAGAAGGTCTCCGGGCAACTCGACCAGGCGTCCAGGGTACGATTCTACCAGCTTTGAAATCAAGCGCACATATAATGTGCACAACCGAGGGATCTATTTCGCGTAAGAAGTGGGTGAAGAAAACGTGTTAATTTCTCTAGTCACCATAGTGTCAGTCAGCGCATGAGACAAAGGAAGTGTTACCTTGAGCATGTTCTCTTTGATCATGGGGATGAGGATATTGATTCCAGAAAAGACAACAGTAGAGGGCAAGACGGCATTGGGAGAGTGGGCCAACATCTGATCGACACCCAGAACCTCAAGCAAACTCAACAACATCTCTAGCACAACTGAAACATCACTGTAGGGCTCATCCTCCGCCTCTTCCCATGAGCTGGCGCGCTTCTTGCCCAAGTTGGCGTTCGAGAAAGTCTGCAACAGGTTCAGCAGACACGTGTGGAAGTAGCTGACCTGCTCGGGGGTCAGGGAGGTGAACTCGAGGTGCTTGATCAAGTCTGTGTACAAGTTGAGCACCAAGATCTGAACTTCGGGGAAATTGCTGTATATCCGGACAAGGTTCACAAACGACTCGAAGAACCGGGAGCAGAATGTATAGATCATAGGGGTATTAATGTCCGTCAATGCCAATGCCAGTCCATTAAACATCTAAATCATAATAAATGAAAGGAGGGCTTGTTAGATGAAACGCCTGGATATATGCTCGAAGCAAACTGGGCCAAACAAGTACACTGCGTCCAATGAAGGTGTGGCACTGTACCTCGAGACCGTTCATGATCTGGCTCATGACTTCAGAAGATTGGTATTTCGTCATGAGATCCTTGTCGTGCAAAACAGCTGCGAAGCGCGTCTCGATCGCCGCAGAGACCAAGCCAAAGTAATGTCCATTCAACTGCTCCGTGGGAGCGTATGAGATGATCGCTGTGATAGACTGGATAAGAGAACTAAAAGTTGAGGGTAGAACGATTGAATAAACGGTTAGCGTGAGGAATACCCAATAAATATGTTTTCAAAGCGTCGCCAGGTTGAGAGAAAGAGCAAACTACGTACTTGTGGATAACTTCAGGGAGGATGGAAAGGTGGTCGATAAAGAAGCCGACCAGAGGAGGGAATTGCTCAGACTGAAGCAATGTGTTTCTCACGGGAGCCCTTTGACCAAACGTGTTCAGCAAGGCAATGATTTGGATCAAAACGTCGGGGTCGGCGTTCCACATGATAAAGTTGATACGAAGTTTGGCCACCAAAAACTCGAGAATAGAGCTGCCCTTGCCACCCTGAGACGCCTCTCCATATGCCTGAACCAAGTTGGGGCTGAGAGCGGCGTAGTTCTCCGGGCTGGCGAAGAGGTATGTTTTGACCCATCTCTCAAGGAACCAGAAGAGAGAAAGAGCGACCTGTGGACTGCAGGAGATTGCCTATTCGTGTTTGTTTTTGCGATAGTTTGTTGATGTTAGTATTGACTGGTAAACATAACGAACACGGCCTTTTTCATAGATGAAACCAGTAGTTAGAATGTATGTACCTGAGCGGAGTGAGAATCAAGGGAGACTGAGTCCAGCAGGCTCATAAGGTTGCTGAAAATGTTGATGAGCTGGTCCTGAGCCAAGGCCTGGGTCTTCGAAACCTCGTTCAAAGTCTCGGGGATCAAGGCCGTCTCACCGATGTTGTTATCGGCAAAAACGTATCCTGTAATAACGATCAGCCAGTGCAGGTGTTCGTAAATGTAGACGACATAGTCGGGGTGGTTTCCATCGTGTGTGGTGCTGAGGAAGCTCTGAAGACGCTCAATGCGATCGTGAAGGAGTCCCTGAAGTCTGAGAAGCGTGTTGTGAGGGTCAAGTCGGGCCAAGGCAGCGATCGAAATGAGTTGATCGCCGTATGTTTCCCAGTCCTGGAATCCATCGCTCTCCTCGTCCACCAGGGCGTTGAACTTGGCAAGCTCCAGTCGAGTGTCGATATACTTTTCCACGATGCGGTAGCTGACGCTGTGGAAGAACTGCAGCAGGTTGGTGGCGTCAGCAACCAATGCGGGTGAGTTGTGATCCGAGATAGCCGCCTGCGAGTCCTGGACTATAATGTTGAATGTAAAACGCGAATATGTGTGTCAATATTAATACCGCCGTTGAATAAAATGTTCAGTCCTGCCGATCCATGCTTTCCCTATAAAGTGAAAACCCAACTTACCGAGCTTCACCCAGGTTACCAAGAGTTCGTCAAAGGCGCCCATGAGACTCTCCGACTCTTCAGGGACCTTGGACGACTCGCTCAAGCAATGGACGGTCAACAAGGCGACCTGGTTCAAAAAGTCAAACTTTTCGGGAACAGCACAGATCGTTTGGATCGAGTGGAAGGAGAGCAACTGTCGAATCATCTCCGTAATAGCAATCATATTCTCAGTGTAATCCGCCTGCAAGCATTCGTCCGAAGAACACGACGCCACGCTATGTCCGAATAGTACACGAGGTCGATTAGTTTCAGATATTAATCAGGCCTGATTTTCTCCGCATCAGTATCAATTGCGGGACAATCTGAAGAAAGACATACTTGTTGATGAGGGCCAAGAGACCATTCATCACTCCTGAAATGTGGTGGACTGTAGCTGCTTCATTCTCAAAGATGGCTCCATGCAGACCGCAAAGCTGAATCAGACACTGTCGAACACGGTGGGTCATGATGTTGTCGTCCTGAATCAACGGAAACAACTATTGATGACAAATGCGGACAGAATGGATTAGAGACACTTATCTTTCATCGTGAATAGCTCATAAAACAATCAACCAGATAATGGCCATATACCGTGAAGAACATGGAAAGAACATCAGCGTTCACGAGAACTGGGCGCCAGCTAGCAGGGTAGACAATGGTCCTGCTGAAGTCATCCTCGTCGTCAGCGAATGTACCGGCCAACACAGGCTGGCCTAAAAGAAAGTGCACGAGTAGATGAACAGTCCCAGAGGTTAGTATCCAGGGTCCGGCGGAGCATACTTTCAACCTATAGTATCCATGATGGTGCTCAGAGTAAGAAACTTACTGGTAGTGGCAAAGTCCCATTGCAGGATCGACTCGAGAAGGATAATCGAAAGACTGAGCAATGGCTTTTGTGATCCGGAAACCTCCTGTCCAGGAATCGACATCAGATCCCGCAACTGCTCGTGAAGGATTGTCAACGTTGCTTCAAAAAGCAAACGCAAGTGACGCTCCTCGAACGAGTTCTTTGTCTTGTAATGGAAATCCCAAGTCAATCCGACACTGCTTGCCTTTCCTCTGCTCGAGAACTCATCGACCATCGCATGGGCCAAGGCCAGTCCAATCTTCTTTTGCTGGTCGTTCGTCGATAAGAGGTGTCGAATGTCGTTGTAGACCACATCCTGCTCTGCCTCAGACGCCTCAAGCCAACCACGCTTGGAGATCACAGCGATGGCCTGGTAGATCTGCTTGGCGACCCAGGGGACCAATCGTGGATGTTCGAGGTTGTAGTTGATGAGGTATCGCTGCAGGTTGTGAATGTCCTGCTTCTGATACAAGCCATACTCCCGAACGATTGCTCCTGTGATTCCTGAAGCGGCGTGAAATTGGACAGAGGGGGTGTTGGAGTTGGCTACAGTACATGTCAATAGAAAAGGGGTGGAAGTAAGGCTAGTTAGTCATTCACCCTTTTACTTTGTCGACAAGGGTTGGAGGCTGAAGGTAAGCTGGTATTTTCTCTTACCGAGGAGATACTGGCAGACGGGCACAATGTTTGCGCTTTGCTTAAAGTCAATCAAGACTTTCTCGGCCTGCAGTCGAGTCGTAGGGTGCTACATGGTAAAAAAAGTCGAAAAGGTATGGTATGTGTGAGGGCGAAGTCGAAGCTGAAGGTAAAACAGGGAGAAAAGCAAGTGTTCGTTTTTATCCGTCGAGTGCGTTGGGATGGAAAGTGAAAGGTTGTCGTCCTGATGGTGATGGTGATGGTGATGTGGTCCATACCTGTGCCTCTGCACAGGCCTTCTCGATGGTGGCCAAAGCCGTCGGGTAGTCCATGTCTGATCGTCTTGAGGGAGAGATGTCAAGAAAAAAGAAGAGGTCTATCTTACTTTGGTAAAGAAGCTCTTTCGTTCTTCAAACTCACCCTTAAGAACCTTGATGCAATAAACCTGCGATCGCTTTTTCTTCGGTGACATAAAAATGGCGCCTTTACACAGGCGCTCTCTAACCAAGAGCAGTAAGGCGGGGATGCTGCTGCTGCTGGTGCCAACCAAAGGATGCATGCATCAAACGACATAGATACGGTGCTCACAAGCAAGGTTTCCCGCCCATGCTGCAGTAGATCATCCGCCACCGTAACCATCGTCTCGTTTGGCTAAAAAACCGTCCCCATTCCTCGATATCATATCCACTTCAGATATGCAACATTCGACGCGTTGACGGGACAGCCTGTCGCTATTTCTACCACCAACCCTATTATTACTACCACATTCATGCGACGTGGTATTCTTAGCAATCGCCACACACATCCATCAGCTCTCTACGCAGCACCCATCTGTCACCAGGAACGAAAGCACACACAATTGCTAACTGCCCAGTCAGCCCTTTTTCGAATATGTTCCACCTTCAAACAAAGGACCCTTCCTTCATCGCTTTTGTTTCTCATTCATACTCCTTGCTGTTCCTTGCTCCTTCATTTTACATCTCTCTGTCTCCCCTTGTACGTCCTGATGTTATTATTACTCTGAACACGACAAGAAACATGTCATCGTATCGACATAAACGAAATCAAACAACTGCCCTTTTGCTAGGATGACAAGGACGTCCAGGACGTCAAGAGGTGGTTTGTACTAGTGGAAAGTACAAGTCGAATTCTTCGTCAACAAAGAAAGGAACAAGAAGAATCAAAAAAAGAGAGAGAGCAAGGGAAAGGGAGGAGGAGGAGGAGGAAGTAATGAAGTTGTATCAACATGAAACGAATTTGCTTTTCTATTGCTATTGATTGACTCCTTGAGATTTTAATTCACCGCTTCTTTTCTATTTGCACTGTTGGCTATTTCTTTCCACTGTTGTTATTCCTTGTACGACCAATGTTCGCCACTCTCTTTCCTTCCTTCCTTCCACCCACGCAAAGGACACACACGCCTCCTATCCTTTAGCCCAATGAGAACGGCAACGAGCGAAGCAACCTCGTTATGCCAGTATTCTCTTTCTCTGTCTCCCTTTTCCAACGAGATGAGGGGGGATATGCAAATGCAATTGTGTGAAGGAAGGTATTGCCATTGGGCTTGGACGCTGGGAAGAATTGTAACCAAATTGGCAATCAATTGGTTCCAATGAAGAGGAGAAAAGAAAGAGCAAGGCTTGAATCGATTGCCACATGAAAGAAAGGAACCAACCACCTCTCATTTCATTTCTGATACATCTCTGGAAAATCTCACATCTAGGCTATTACCCTAACCTCGACTTGTGTTCCCGTGGTCCTTGCGCCCATCATTTATCCATCTATCTACTGTACTTTCATCATCTCGCCCCCCGGTCTTGACAGCACCACATCTGTTTGCTCCATGGTCTCACACAACCGCTCCTGCTCCCGACTCATACAATCCCCTTCCGTTTTTTGTTTGTTCTTTTCTAATCCTGGCGCCTTCCCGAGTGCGAAAACAATGAATGGTGGCAAAATGGACTCAAACAGCTTCCCGCTATTGTTACTGTTCTTTATCTAACGGGTAGGTTGCGTCAAAAACGAGCATCAACAAAAGTAACATTCAACCGAACAGCCCCACCCCTTTTTCGAACCATCGAGGATGTGAGAATAATAACAGGCTAGCTGTTGTTGCCAGTCATGACATTTGGTAATGCGCCGAGGAAGGATTGGAAAAAAAAGGGAGAGGAGGCAGAGAAGAGAGAGAGAGGACAAAGAGAAAGGGGACCGTAAGCTGCGGGTTGGTTCTTTGAACCTGTGGAGCGCCTCTTCTTTTTTTCTTCCTTCTTCTTTTGTTTGTTGACATGATCGAAGCAGCGATCGCATGAAAAAAGGCGCGAAAGGAAGGTAATTCGTTCGCCGTAAGCGAAGGAGGGAGGGGCAAACAAGAACGAAGACGGAAGCATCGATCGGATATGTTGTTGACGATGATCGTTTGGGGTATACAATATTGGCTTCATTAAGAGAATGAAATGGTTCCCTTGTCTTCGGCGGATATGCAATATTTCATTACGGTTATCCGTCCGTCCTTTGTTGCAAACGAAGACATCTTCCTTTACCTGTCCCCCCTTTGTCCCCTTCGTTTTGTCACCCAAAAATAGGTCACCCTTCCAACCTGAATACCCGTTCAATTATTATTGTGACAACTCTCTCCCGCTGGCTAAGACCGAGAGAACAACAGTACGCATACGCCAACAGTACTTACTGCACAAAGCAAGAGTGGGTGTGGTCCGTTCTTTTCCTTCTCCCGCTTTTTTGTTACAAGTCCCGAACCCCGAGTGGGACGACAATGGGTACATCATGTTCATGAAGTATTCATAGATCCTGGAAAACAATAGCCACTGGCGTCGCTCAATTTGAATCGTTGGTTAATTGAGTGTGAAATTGAATCGTTGCCTCTCCATCCCCTCCCTTGTTCTTGTCCTCTCTCTCTCTCCTCCGCTCACAACAAAGCTATTCCCTCCCTCTTTTTCTTTTCTTTCCCTTCTCTCTAAAAGGCTCAATTGACTATGTTCTCTTTATTCAAACCTCTTCTCTTTCTGGTTGTCGTCTAAACAAGGTCATCTTCATCATCATCATATAAAAAGGACCCTTTGATCGCTCACCTCCCCGTTTCTATTTCTTTCTCTCTTTCTCTCCTTCTCTCTTTCTCTTTTCCCTTTTCTCTTTTCTCTTTCTTCTTCACCTGCAGTTGCATTTTTGCTCTCCTCTCTCCCTCTCTTTTCCCTTCACAGCTCACACTCTGACGATAACCTTCCCTCCAAAACGACACACTCTCACACACTCACTCTCACCCTCGATTAACGCATCCATCCCAGCTTTTACAGCAGCAAACATCACCACCATAATAATAACAGCAACAACTTGTGTCACCATCAACAAACAACAAGCCAAGTTCTGTTGGGTGTCGATCGTCTTCCCCTCCTTTCCAAGCAAACAACAAACACGCAAACAAGCAACAAGCAGCCAGCACTCCCCTCAGGAACCTGAACTCTAATTCACATATACCCATTCGATTGTTTCACAGCGCGTCGCCTTTTTCTTTTTGTGTTCCCGCCATCAGTCATCAGTGAAACCACCTCTCACTATCGTATCCCTTTCCTTCGCCGCCCACTTTTCCTCCCCCTATATAATCCACCTTCACCCCCTATATAATCCTCCTTCACCCTCACTTTCCAACAGCACCACACTTCAACCACATTCGCCAACTTCCCCCCACTATGTCCAAATCCACAACCACAACCGGCAGCACCAACAGCTCCCTCACCCACTCACAATGGACCCACCTCCGCCAAGAGGCTCAGCTTCGGAGGCAGACCCTCGCCACCTTCGGACCTCAGGGCGTCCTCGACCTGGCCCTCGTCGGCGCAATCCTCGGCAACAACATCCGTGAAATCGGTCGTTACAGTGTCACCTGTGACGGCAGCCTCGTCCGCGGTCGGTATACCATCTACGAGCTCGTCCACTTTGGCGCACTCGCTGTCACCGGTCGTCGCCGTCGGCGCCATCATGGATCTCCCACTGACTCCTCTTCATCATCAACATCGGATTCATCAACGACAAAGACGACGGCGAAGCAAGTGAAACGCATCTACCCCACAACACTGTCTAATCTCTTCCCAGCCATGGTCTTTAAGGCTATGAGAGGGAAATCAGTCCGGCCACCAAAGTTCCAGCACGACGATGAGGATGACTGCTACTCTTCTATGCCCTCGACCCCTACTATGTTCCCCATGTCGCCCACTTTCATGGCCACTGCTGCAAAACCAACCATCCCTTTGAATAAGGACTACCGCTCGCACAGTCACAGCCCCACACCTTCGATTGCCTCATCTCTCTCTGCGACTACAACGACATCTTCAGGTACACTGACAGCGGATGCAATGCTGATCACCTCAGAGGCTGTCCTCTCTCAGCTTATCCAACACCGCCTTCATCGCGTCAAGGACCTGCCCCTCCCTCGCGAGCTCTGCTTCATGGGCGCCGCCAGTCTCCCTCTCCCTCCTGTCCTCCGCGCCATGCACATCGCCTGGACCATGGATTTCCTTAAAACCTGTGCGACCACCCCACGTCGTCAACGCCAGCAACAGCAGCGACAACAGCAACAACAACAAACGGAAGACAACGACGCTACTCCCTCTCCTCTGCGTTCAACTCCACAACAGCAACAGCAGGTATTAGGTGGATTGGAGTTCAGGCCTGATGTTTATGCACACAAGATGCGTCTTGCTCGGCTGGTCCGAGTACAACAACAAGAAAAAATGGCTGCCTCTTCTCCTTCCATTTCTCCACCTGCGTCCAACACGACGACAGCAACAACCCCCGGTAGCGGGTACAGTCATCACCGTCTCTCTGCCTCCATGCGCCGTGGCCCTTCTTCAGTCTCGATCCCAGAGGAGAACGAGGATGAAGACGAAAAGCCCGCGGTACCGCCTACCCCTGCCATCCCCCTCCTCCTGAAAGAACCCGCCATTCCCGTTCCCGCTCCCACTCCCTCACCTGAGCGAACTCCTGCGACCACGGCCGCGAAAAAGTCTGTCCGCCAAGACAAGCGACTGATGCAACAACTCCTCGCCCTCGAAAACAAAGTCCCCCGCATCGTCCGTCAATGGGCAAACGTCGCCCGGACCTACTTTGACAACGAACTGATTCAAGAAGACCGCGAGGTCCAAACCTGGGTCGACCGCCAACGGATTCAAGTCATCCTCGGATGTGGTTACCGCTTTGGCGGCTCGCCTTCAAACGCCATCACGGCCACCACTCCCTCTATCGCCTCTACCGTCAACGCTGCCAACGCTGCTGCTGCAGCTACCTCCACGAAGGGTAACGGCATCACTGGCACGACTTCAAGACCTAGATTGGCCCCCATCGCAACCGCTCTGGCCAACGCCAACGTGAACGCAAACCCTCACGCCATCCATCTCAGTGCTACCCGCCACCAACGCATTCCCTCCATGTCCTCATCCACATCCCCAGCTCCCTCCCGCAGCTGCTTCCCAGAAGGTGTCCGTCTCATCAACACAGCGCACCAACAGTCCCGTCCACAATCAACAATCCGCTCTCGCCCTACAAGCGCGACCACGAACGAGCGTCTGAGTGCTAGCCAGCAGATGCTAAGCATGCATCTCTGGCTCAGTCTTTTGGTCTCTCCACTTAGTCCTGAGCATATGATCCACGACCAGTTCAGTTTCTTGGACTCTTAAGAAAGAGTAGTTCCATGTTTTTCATTGATAAGTAAAGACAATCAAATAAAAAGTGAAAAAAACACACGTTGAACGAGCAAACTATTTTTGAATGCTTTATATTTATCACCACTCTACTTATACCAAACCAGTGGTCAGTTTCCTCATTCATAGTTACTTATTCTTTATTAAATGATATGTTCTCTAGGATTCGTCCCTGTTACCTTCGTCGATACTCGTCTCTTCGTCCGTTTCTTCTCTCTCTCCCTCTCCCTTGCTCCGAACTCGTTGCAAGTGGTGGAGTGAGGTTGGTCATGTTTGTAGGCGTGAGAGGGCAAGAGAACCGGGAGAGTAGGATAAAAGAAAAGTATTGTGTGGCATAGTAGGGAGTAAAAAAAGGGAGGGGGGGATATTTATACCTCTCCTTCCTGGATACTGATACGCGTTTGTCTCATATGTTCGCGTCCAAGGGATCAAACGCAGTCCAGCGTGTCTCGATTAAATAACGCGTCCTGTTTGTCTATTCATTGCCTGAATACATTTTCCTTTTGACTCTGGCCCGTCTTACGATACCATTTCTTGGAATACCCCCAAGTGTGTCTATGTTATAGGCCGCACCGCTGCCTGCGATCACCAAGGCCGATTCACGTTTCTAACCATAGACTATTTTTGTCTTCTTGGGATCGTCCTGTTCCTGCTTGTCGACGGCGGGTCGCCGCACCGGAGTTTTAATCCCATCCAAGAAGTCGACATGGCTCTTTGGAAAAACCTTGGCAAAGTTGCGCTGGTCAATCCTGATCGTCACCTGCTGCAGATCGTTGTCGTGGAAGTACTTCCTTGATCCTGAACGCAGGAAAGCACGTCTGACAGCGATGGCCTCGAAGTCGATATCAAGCCGTGGACGCATTGAATCTATCACGTTGACAGGGTACGCAATAATTATGCTGACGTAGACATTGGCGGGACAGTACTCATCGAGGTCCTTTACATGCTCCTTGATATTTTGTTTTGAGACGGACTCCACAGCACGGTTCGAATCTGCTTTCGTAAGCACTTGGCGGAGTTTTAGCTGCACAAAGAAGGGGATAATCGCAGCTTGGACCCGAATGTAAAAGACAATGTCAGGTCCAGAGGGTTTGGCTTTGGGGAAGAAGAAGGTAGGAACGGTTTGGTCGCTTCGCATTGAGTTGTTGTGGACGTGGGCGTCCATGAACTCCTCCATTGAGATGTGCTCGTGAGAGATCCCGCGCTGAAGTTCCTGCTCATACAGACCGACAATCACCACAGTTCCGGCGAGGTTTGCATACTGCGAGAGAATCGGGGGTTCGTGTGGCCATTCTGAGAAAGCGCGAGTCTTGAAAGCCTCGATAAGGACGCTCATCATCATGAGCTTCCATGCATATCCATGCGCTTGAGCCCTGTCCGACTGTTGGACCCACGATTCCATAGTCTTCATGAAGTCAGAATCCCGCATCTTGAAAAAAAATCGGCGGCCTTCAACACGAACGGCTCATCGAGAACCGTCCTCGCAACCCCATCGATGATCTTGATACGGCCGAAAGCGCGTTCCACCAACTCTGGTATCGCTTCCCGAAGGACCAGCCTGCCAACTCCAAACATGTGCCGTTGAAAGAGGAGTAGCCCCAGCACCTCCTCCAGTGTTCGAAACTCCTTAAAGTTCGACAGATTCGCGAGGTACCTGTTCTCCGAGCGAACAATCTCATGGCAGAGATTCCCTTGCTTCCCACAGTAGTCATACGACACCAGTCTCGTCTCCGTTTCATCCACCGCGTCTTTCCAGCCGTTTGGCTCACCTCTCGCAATGATCTTCTCAACCACAGTAACCATTGGTCGGAAGCGACCGACAAGCCTTTCCATCATCATGTCGATGGCCTCTGATGGCAGGAGCATGTCCAAAGCTCGCTTCGCATCCTCGTCCTGCAAAAAGTTCCTCAGGTTAGCAATGTAGGTATCAACTGATTCCCGATTGGTCCATCCGGGGAACTCCATGTAGATGAAGTCACCCAGCTCATGCTTTGAGACGCATCCAGAGCTTCGCGCCCAAGTGGGAGTATAGATGCTGAGTCCTGTGCCGGATGTCAAAAGCGTAAGTTCGTTGGCGCCCTCGATGTGCCGAAAACCATACAGGATTGGGGACAGGAGTGGACGGTCCTCGTTGGCACCATTCATTGACTCAAAATGTCCGATGAATCCCTCTCCGAGGATTTGCGCCTCATCGTGAGCCACCAAGAGTTTGGTACCATCCAGAAATTGGGGTGCACCTCCATGCTCAATAAGACAGGTCCGTGTAGCCTGAAACTCCTTTCGGGCAATATCCAGCAGAACTCCTTCTTCACCGGTGGATCTCTGGAGCAGCGGGACAAATCTGTGGAATAAACGCACGAAGACGTCTGTGAACATGTGAGGACAAGCCTGCAGAAGGGTCCATCTCGCGCTCGTAAAAGACCGGTTGCTGTTCTGGACTTTCAAGCAGAATTGGAGGATCAAAAGCCGAGAGAGGAGCAGAAAGTATGTCATCGTCCTTGCAGAACGGTTATTCGCATCGCGGGCCTTTTCCAGACTAGCTCCAACCTGCCACTGAAGAGCGGTCATGTCGTCCGACCCCAGATCATCCCCAGAAGCATTGAAGTAGAATCCCCATTGCCGACATAGCAGCTCTATCATGCTGCGGGTTTTCCCACATCCTGAAACCCCAAAGATCGGTACGTTCTCTGAGCCACATTTTCTGATCAGATCCAAGATGGCGTCTGACGCGAGTACTTTCGACGGCTCATTGCTTGAAGAGGGGTCAGGTAACTGAAAAAAGAGCAGACTAGGTCGTTCATCATACCCCTGTGGTTGTCTCCGAAGCCACACTCTTGGCAAACCAGGCACGATCCCGGTAGTAAGCGGAAGCTGTCCATGACCTTGCACAAATCGCTCAAGAAAGGTGGCGTCAGGTGATCCAGACGCGAAAAACTTGCCTGCGATCTTTTCGATGTCTGCACGTAGGTCACCTACTTAAAGTAAAAAAGGGAACGCATTAGACACAGAATGATCATTGCGATGCATGCAAAGGCGATTTGATTGTACTCACCAGACAGCGGACTACCAGCTTGCTCATCCGAGAGAGGATTGAAGCGAATTGGGGCAGAGGCTTGAACTATGTCCGTGCAGTCGGATGTGTAAATTGAGGTTAGTACGATGGACAAGATTATGTGCAAGGTGTGAATGAAAATAGCACGTGTGCGCATTACCTGGCGGGGGTTGCTGGACGATGATGTGGATGGTCTTCTTGAGTGGTGCCTCGATAAAGACATCAGCAATGTCGTCGGTCGGGTCGAGCTCTGTTGAAGAATCAATGGTGTTCAGGAGAACGGGCTGATGCCTGTTGGCCGCAATGACGGGGTGGGCGACATGCCAAAGAGTGAGCTAGTTTGCATCAACATTGCGAAACTCGTTGGGGTTCTCGTTCCTGACGAACTTCTTGAGGTCGCCGATGGTCTTGGTTGACTCGATCTCGACAGGGAACGCGTTGGTGGTGGCCTCTCCGTCGACAAGGCAGAACAGGGTCAGAGAAAGGAGAGTAACTGGTTCCAGATTTTTTAGGCTCTGATCACTGTCGCCCCATATGTTAACAATGTGAAAAAAGGGTGACTTTAAGAAGGTTTCAGGCACCAGGTACCTGGTCTAGAGCCATTTTTTTGCTATTGTTCATTGTATAATCTATATTTTGCATTCTAGTCAAAGAGGGACCGAAGATAAGTGGGTGTGAGCAGTGGGGCTATGGAATACCATGATACTCGTTGAAACAATTTCGGTGTGCAAAAAGGCTACTCCAAGGATAGTGTTACTCAGGGGAGAGGGTCGAAGGCCAGAGTTGTAGGACCGCTGTTAAGTCTTCTGGGGGAGGGGTTGTAGGTTGAGGGGGGTTGATAGTCGGGAATAGTGATAATAGCGTCCTAAAGAATCACACGAAACGATACACTGCAGCGCGCCAGCGAAACTCTTGTCAATACTGACTCGAGACCTCATTCTATGTCCTGAGAATATCCTACAATCAATTCCGGCTCTGAAAACTCTTCAGACGTAGACCTTCACGCGTCTCATAATCCTACCAGAAAGCAGACAATATCCCAAAGTACATCCACATGGAAGGTGCTGTAGTCGATGGAAAAGCTCGTGGGCACCTTGACCGATCCGAAATAGCCGCGCAAAAACGTCGAGTATAACCGTAGTCATGTTTCTTGGGGGATTCTCTACGCTGCCGACCATCCAAAAAAACCGTACCGATTCAAAGCCTCTGAATACGTTCGTCGAATTTCCTTCAAATACATGTGTTCGGCCAAGGGATCCAACATTAAGGTACAGCCGTCTTTCAAGTCCATTAGAGTGGTGACGAGGGGGTTCCTGGGATATTGTGTCGAAGCCGATTTTTGACAGGGGGTGGGATGGGGGTATAGGATCCTGCGGTTTTTGACGCGAACACGAAATTTTGGTGCGATAAAAGCGAAAGCTCCTTAAAGATTGAGATTGGTAGGTGGTGGGTGAGGATATTGTTATTCGCCTTGGACGCTTTTTGAATTTGAGAATGCTCAACGATAGTTACTACAGCTGGTACATTCGCTTTTTGTTGGTGTTTGTTGAAAAACCTGTCTTTTATTGTTGCCATCTTTTGATTGTCGATATGCTTGGAGCAAGCTGCTGTAGATGTCGTTTAAGAGATGGTGTTGTGGTCCAAGGATTTTCGTCTGAAAAAAAAGAGTACGTTGATACCGTCGTTCCTGGGCTGGTAAATTGGTCGATTCTGCAAGATACTGTTGCTGTTGGATAGGTGAAAAGATGAGAAAAAATAACCGCCTATTCCTAGGTAATAAAAAGTTGGGCCAACCAGTACGAGCCAATGAATAAGCCGAGTGTGGGACGACAAACAGACGAGGTGTGTATTGGCGGTGATGATCGTGGCGGAAAGGCGGAGCTGATCAACAGAGAAGAAAGGCGTCCATGGTGTGAAAGGACTTCTTTACTCTGACGCGATTGTTCTCGTGCTCAGGCCACGGGGCAGAACTGATACTAGGAAGGTCCCGTGAATGACCATGATACAATGATCACCATGAATGCCGTAGAGTCACACAACAACAAAAAGGGGGGACGATTGCGAGATCTCTCTCCATGCTTGGTGTGGTTTTAATTTTTACAAGGTGTTTGTGTCATGTTGAGAGAAAAAAAGAGAAAAAGAGGCGAAATAAAAAGAAGAAAAAAATGAAACTCCTTCGTTCAGACTCATCATAGTCATAGCGCTGTCTCGCTGTCCCGCTCCCCCAGCTCTCTCTCTCTCTCTCTCTCTCACTCGTTCCTTCCTCAACGTCTCTCGATCACTTTGACGCAGTAACGCGTGGTGATCCGGCATCTTGGGGTGGACCCTTGCCCGCATCCTTTGGCTTGGGCGATGGTGCTTGAATAGGCTCCAAAACAGGCGAATTAGGCTCGCTCGAAAGATCAATCACCACCGGTGACCGGCGACCCTTGGTAGGAGGTGGAGGATGGGGGCCACCGTAGCCTCCAGAACTATGCATCGGGCCAGGAGGCGGATACAGCGATCCACCTCGTCGAAGGTCTGGGGACAAATGATGGGGCGACATGTGACCCGTGTAACTACCGGGTGGGTACGCCGGTCGGCTCACCGCGTTCAAGGGTGAAAGTGGATGAGATCTGGATCCAGCGAGGAGTGGTGAGGTCGTCGACACCCCTCTTTCCTGTGGCGAAGCACGTCCTCCTGCATGAGGCACTGTAGGCGAACGATCAATCGGATAAGGCTCCCTCGCACGAAATCCCGGAAAGTATCCCCCTGGAGGGTATGCTCTTGTGCCGTTATGATACCGAGCTCCTGCGGGGCCTTCCTGTGGGCTGGAAGGAAAGCTGGCTCGGTTGTACTCGGGGTCGTGAGCGTATGGGCTCGACTTGGATACTACTACTGCTGGGTCAACGAAAGAAGAGACGCGAGGGTTTTTAGGAGGACGTCCTCGAGGGGCTCGGACATAGGGTGGATAAACTGATGCTTCTGACTGTGGTGGCGGTGGTAACATCGGAGGGCGTTTGCGAGGTGGGACAATACTCCTGGGATCGTCGTAGGGGTAAGCACGAGGATCAGGGGGGTGGTAGGCCGCGGGATCGGATGGGTAACGAAGGGACTGTGTGTGATGAGGCCCATAAGCTATGGCGGGGTCGTGTTCGTATCGTGAACGGTAAGAGTCGTCGTGATGGCGGGAGCGCGGGTGCATTAATTGCTGTCGAGCGTCCTGGAGAGGATCTGCCAGACGACCATTCCTCTCCTTAGGACTGGCGTCGTAGTGGCGAGATGATCCAAAGGGCCTTGAGCTCTCTCGGCCACCAACGGACAGTGGAGGGGGCGGGCGTAGTTGGCGAGGATCCGTCAACTTATCGGGAATGCCTAGACGACTGGCATCCCAAGGTCGACCGTAGCGATCAGTGAGTGGGTATCGCGATGAATAAGGGGAGCTGGGGTCGTCCTTGGGAGGCGCTTGCTCAGGTCCATCCGGTCCAAATCCTGGAATAAAACGTGGCTGATGATCCTTTGTCGGTCTGGTCGGTGGCGCATCCGGGATGGATCGGTAGCGTCTGCCCTGTGCTTGCGCAGGAGAATCAGCACGAGAATTGTACCCTTTCCCGTGTCTTGACCGAGCCAATTGCTGATCAAACATATCATCCGCTTCCTGATCGATATCCATGTCGTGAGTTGGGCTCCCAGAGGTCATCCTGATATCTGCAGATTGACCAGCATGCTTCTTGTAAGCAGTTTTGTTCTGCATCTCCCGGTCCATCACGCGTCGCCGCTTGCGTCTCTCCTCGTTCATCTGGTCGATCATATGCTGTTGCTGACTGACAACCTGTCCCATGGGTGAAAATGTGTCTCTTGAGGCTGCGGGGCGAGAAAGAGTCTCATCTGGAAACAGGAAGGCGAGGTCAGCTGCTACCTCCTTGCGACTCAGTCCCTGGGGTGCAGTCAGGCGGGACACTCTGGATTGTTTCGATGGGATGCAAATCTCGCAATCACTGCATTCCGATCCTGAGCTGGAGTATGAGTCGTAGCTGGAACAGCTTTCTCCACAAGAATCGTTCGCAGGGTTTGCATGGTTCGCTATAACAGTGTTCCTGTAGAAGAGCGCTTCCGCAAGAGCCTTTGTTTTGATATTCGCCTTTTCCGCCACCCTGTTGCTTTCTTCCTTCTCCTGCTTGATCCTATCCATACGGCTCTGAACCAAGTCGATCATGACCCGCCTGGTGTCGATCAAGCCAGCCTGCAGGTGTTAGCATCAAGGGAGCAACAACATAGAGAAAAAAGCGGTAATCACCAAATGTTAATATGGTTTGGTGGAGAATAAATAGTCGTCATCCTTGCAAGGTTGGGTCCCGACGAGTTCACCCGAAAAGTGTGGGAGGAGAGCAGACCATACCTTGTACTGGTCAAAGGCAGCCTTGCGGACAGCCTGATAGTTTTGTTCCCACATCCGTTCTGCATACCCTTTTTGAGCCCGGGCAATGTCGATCCTGGCGTTTCGTCGGTCCTCGATAGCCCTCAGTTCTGCCAGTAAGCCAGGGTGTGTTCCTGCGCGAATTTGTGTTTCTTCCACATCCAGAGCCGCCGTCATTTGAATCCTCATGCTACACGTGGTGAAAAGTATTGTGAGAATGAAAACGGAAAAAGGGTGAGGATCGCTAGTCATTGAACATGTTGCAAAAGTATCTGAAAGTAAGGACGAAACACTGTTTTAGTACTAACCTGTTTTTGGCCACCTTGTACTCCGCCGATACTTCATAGAGATTCCTTTTGGCGGCACGGTGGTCTCGCTTCAAGTCCCTTGTGAGTTCGTCGTCCTCTGAGTTGCTTTCATCAGGTGTTGACATGGTACCAGTCAAGTTGAGGTTCAAGTCCTCGATTTCTAAAATTCCGTAAGGCACGGCCATAAACCACATATATAGTCAGAAGACAAAAAGCGATACAGCTGTCATATTCACAAACAACGCATCCAGATAAGCGGCAGCATGCTTTTCCCTCCCTACCTCCAAATGTGTGCCGGATAAGCTCATAATCCTGTGCATCGACCATATCCGGGTGAAGACTTTCAGAGTCCTGAATACCCTGACGAAAGAGTCGAGTCAACGCAACGGCGGCGCTGGTGTTGGCTTTGAGCTGCTGCTGTTCCTCTGTAAAATCACTCAAAAGATGATCCATATCAAGTCCGTCGGCATCGGCTGTCAAATGAGCGACTACATTTGGAATCCGCTTGCTTGAACGTAGTCTCCGTTTTGTCGGTACCCGCTCAGTCCTCGATCGCTTTTCCTTGGATGCCCCTGTCCCGCGCCGGTCATCATCCGAGTCTGCATCTGCATCATCACCGTCCGAGGCACTGGAGCCATCATCGCCGTCCCGCTCCTCGCTCACATGACTCGACTCTGTGCGACCTTGTTTACGTGTGGGCGACTCGCTCCTGCTTCCGCTCATGGTCCTGCTGTGGCCATCACTGTTCCTGCTTCTGCTTCTGCTGTCGCTGTCACCTCTACTTTTACTCATACCCCTGTCTTGACTGCTATCCCTGCTTTGGCTCATGACTCTACCCCTACCCCTAGACGACGATTCATCCAGTTCCACTGCGACTAGAGTAGTCTCTTTCCTGTCAGGACGCTCCTCCTGCGTGTGGCTAGTCGACCCTGACTCTGGCTGGTCAACCTCCATGTCAACATCCATGCTTTCGTTGATAGCTTCCGTTGATTCGGAGGGCGACTGAGGTTCATCGACGTCTGAAGGGGACTCTACTTCTTCGGTCTCATCTCGAAGTTTAGGGGGTCGTCCTCGGGATCGTTTGGGCCTATCTTGTTCATCCTGAGCCTGAGCAGATGTGCTGCCGACCTTGCGAGGGCGACCGGGCCGTCCTGGTACGTGCGGTGTGGGTATTGTATTTGAAGTTGGGACGGTTGCGTCGCGTGGTTTGGCAGTTCCTGATCCTGACGTGGCTTGGTTCGAGGTGGATGCCGATGTTGATTGTGAACTGTTAGTGGCGCCGAAGCGTGTCCGGGTGCTGCCGCGACGGAGAAGCGGAACGATCGCCATGTTGTAATGTTATTGTTGTTGTCGTCTATGTATGCGTGCGTGTTGTGTTTTTTGTCGTGGTTGAATATGATGGGTTTACTCTACAAAGTCTACATCCCAAAAAATAATCGAAGTTGGTCAATGTATTAGATTCAAACAGCCGATCGAAGGGTGGTGGGTGTGTGTGTTTATTATTACCGTTGAGGGGAGTCTTCGGAGTGGATGGGTTGCGTAGGTCATCCGGAGGTAAGAGGAGAAGGAGGGGAGTGAAGGAGGGGGGGAGGACTGAAGCAGGAGTCTAGCGTGGAGAGCTTGATTCCGTTGGCAGGAGGCAAGAAGAAGAAAAAAAGGCGCGCGAGCCGATCGATCTTTTTTGTTGTTGTTGTGAAAACAATGGATGGGGAGTGGTGGCGCAAAGGTGAGGATGATGATGATGATGATGATGTGTATGAGGGATATTATAAGTGGGAGAGAGTGGCGAAGTATGAAAGTGGTGGGAAAGGGGAAGAGGGATGACGATGCAATGGTGGAAAGGGAGGGAAGGGAGGGTGGGGTGAAGGACAAGGAAGAGCAAAGGGAAGAGAAGGAAGAAAAGGAAGAGAGCGGCAACAGAGCAGTGAGGGGAGGAAATCAACGCAAAAGGGGCTCTGAAAGGGATACAGGCTGGTTGGTTAATAGGCGGTAGGCAGACACGTCCATCCAAACCCATCCACTTTACAGCCTCAAGAGGCTAGAACTTCCTCATCGATATCTTCTACCCACAATCCACAATCCGCAATCCACACATACCCACCACAGTTCAAGACTTGGTCACTCTACCAACTCTGCTTCACTCCTACTCTCTCTTTACTCATGCGACTTTAATCGACACCATCTAGACATCACTCTTACTCGACACACCCTTTTTGCGGCTCTTGGATTCGTCCATGCACCAGATGGCCCACTCCCCACAAAGACTCTGCCTTATGTGCAGAAATGAAGTCCTTCTCAATTCACCCCTTTTTCGCCTCCTTGCTTCTTTCCCTGCCCTGCCCTTGTGACCTTCTCGCAAAGCGCGTCGATCAATTTCTTTTTGTCTGCAAAAGGCTGCATGCACTTTGCTTTGAAGCCGTAAACGTCCTCCTTGCTTGACAAAGGTTGAAGGTAATCACCCGAAATGCCAATCAACGTTTAAAACACTTACTCGCCTTGCAGTGGCATTGACAGAGCATGTCCAGTTTTTTTGTTCCACAAGTGCTCATACCCGACCTCTTTGATGGACATGAAAGGAGCACCATGGGCCCTGACTCTGAAGCTCATATTTGACCGTTTCGTTAGGTTATTTTGGGAGGGACATTAAGATTGCTCACTACAAATGAAAGTCAACAAGCGTGGGAGGAGGGGCGGAAAAGGAGAATGAAAGGACAATGGGAAGGTGAGGGAAAGATATGACCATGCCAACCATGTCAATCATTTTTTTATGTGATATGAGAGCCAATAACCCTTGCATTGAGTTTTCATTCAATTATGTTCTCTTTTTTTTTTTCGGCGACGCAGTGCGGTTGACGCATCCTCGCGCTGAGAGTGATGATGATCTTTAAGCGGCTAGAGGAGAGGCGGCAAGGCATCTTTTGCCATCCTTGGTGTTTGTAAGGCTAATGGCTGACATACTCTGTTGAAGTTCAAGCGCTATTCATTTATCCAGCTGGGATAGAAAACGAGAAGAAACAGGAAGGGCTGAAAGTGGCAGCTGCAGCATACGATATTATCGGCTACAGCCGATAATATCGTATCGCGGACTTTTTATTATTGTTATTTTTTGCTTTTGAACGATGCATCGCTTCGGCACCATGTGCCGGTGCGGTACATATAAGTTGTGTCATTCGATGCCAATGTCCAGTCATGTCCGTTGTGAGTCCAGGCACACGCCTGATTGACGTTAATGCAGGCGAGTGACCGCTGGTGGCACAAGAAGAACGACCAGAAGGCGAGTGGAAAAGCAATAACAGAAAAATGAATTATGAGAAGGTACGGTTGCATTAGAGTAAGGAAGGTGGGAGTGGATTGCTAATCGACCGGTTCTGCACTTTATTATTATTTTTTCTCGAACCTTGAACCTTACAGGACTGAGACAGCCACTCTTGGTAGTGCGCTGCAACAACCCGAATGAACAGGGGCCGCTGCGGCACAATGACGATAGACAAGAGAGGGGGAAAGGAGGAGCGAAGGGGAGCTACTAAAATAGCGAGTAGGGGGAGAGGAAATTGCGTTGTGCCCGTGTGTTTGGTTTGTGAACGAAGTGGTCACCCAATCGATCTGGTTCTTGAAAAACGAACCCGGGGGTTTGTCCCTTTTCCGATCGATGGAGAGCGAAGGACAATGTCTAGTCATAACTCACATCTCCGGCCAGTTCCTTCCAAAACTCTCTTCTGTCAACAAACTCATACTCCTTTTGAGCATTTCTCTTTTCCTCTTCTTCTTCAACGTGGCTGAACAAACACGACACGCACAAATGAGAAAGCGAGGCGCCGTTGCGTCAAATATTATTTCTCTTTTTTTTCCCTTCAACAAAAGTTACGGCCACAGCCCTGATTGTCACTTGTATTTGGAGGTATACCTGGGTTCCATTGGTTAATACCTTGGCGTGCTCATGGTGGATGGGTTGATTGCTGTAAAGATTAGCAACAAGTCTAGCTTTGTTATGTAGCCTTCATCGCTCCTATTGCCCCTCCAGCCTCAGCCCCCCTCTCTCTTTTTATTTTTTTTATTTGTTTGTTTGGTTGCGTGGTGGATGACTTTAGGTGATGGCATGGGGTATCAATGCATGACGAAGATATCGATGGCGTTTATGGATGAATGTGAGTGTATTGAGTGATGAATGAATGTGCCGTGGACAAGAGTCTATTTTCTCTTGACTTTTTTTATTTTCCCCTTCCCTTCCCTTTCTTCCTTCTTCCGCCCTTCCCTTCCCCTTCTCCTCCCAAAAAGAAAACTCCTTTGACGCCACCCACTTTTGTGTTCTCGCTGCTCGATTGATAATTGATAATTGATTCTTCTTTCCCACCTGTCTTTTAATTTTCTCTTTACCCTTTTCGACTTTTGTCCCTTCTCTTCCCTTTATCCCTTCCTTTTTCTCTTCATACTCTGTCCTATCCTCCTATCCTCTATCAAACGCAATCAATCAGACTCTCACACTGCCCACACTGCCACACGCCTTCCATACTTTTCTTCTTCCTGATCATCTCTCATTGTTCTCTCTCTCTCTCTCTCTCTCCCTCTCTCTCTCCCTCTCTCTCTCCCTCTCTCTCTCTCCCTCTCTTTCTCTTTCTCTCATCTCCACTTTCTCTTCTCTTTATTGCTCATTCCCTTGCAGTAAACTACATACTTACTTCTGCGCATTCATACAAACAGCCAACCATTCATTCCTTGGCACACCTTTTTTGTACCTCTTCTCCTCTTTACTTTTCATTGCTCAACTCGACCTTCTCCTCCTCTTCTTCTTCCTCTCCTCTCTTTCTCTCTCCCTCTCTCTCCGAAAAAAGTGACTTGACCAACAACCAGAACTCACACTCACGCACTTACACGCTCGCACACTCTCGGCTCGTGTCCTCCCACCCTCATTCTCCCCCTCCCTCCTCGCTCAGCCTCATTAAAATATAAAAATACAGGACTGAACAACGCCAACGATCGACTCCAATGGCCTCCGACACCCAACTGCACGGTCAGGAGGACGACCTCACCACCACCATTGCTGCCCCCACCACTATTCCTACTACCAATAATAACAACAGCAGCAGCAACAACGATGGCGACAACAACAACAGTAACAGCAACCATGCCCGCCATCCACCAAACACTCATCTCAAGGCCGCCCCTCTCCATCAACACAACAGCACTGCCTCCAATACCGTATGTAATATTTTATTTTTTTTAGTTTTTCTTTGGTCGTTTGGACAAACCGAAAGACAAAGAAGACAGAGGAGGGTCAGAGAAGGTGGACTTGTGAGAGGGTGGGGACGAGAGAGTATTACTATGTTCCTATGGAGCGAGTCTCATCGAAGGAAAAGAAGCAAAAGAAAATTGCAAGGAGCGATTCACCATCGCCTTCAGTCTTGACCCAAGGAAAAGGGAACAGGGCTGCAGTTATAAATAGGTGGGGATAACAACATAAGAATGAGGTCGATTGATGAGGCCTTGGGATGCTCATGAAATGGGTATCCGACCACCACCATGGCCAGCCAGCCAGGTCGGGCATAAGCAGCAACATAATGGTGCTAGTACTTGTAGGACATACACAAGTGTAAACGAGCGAGCAAAGTGGGTGAGGTGACAATAGCACATTAGCAGGCAAGGCACAGCGCCCTAAAAAAACAGCCATGGCTCTCCACCTTCCCTGAGGGGTGCCTTCTTTTCCTCTCATCTCCATCCACTCCAATTTACATATCATATATCCCTCGGCTCTACCTACTGCCTATTTCTCCTCCTGCTGCTGCCTTCCTCTTGCTTCATCCATCCTCGGTGCCCAGTTTCTCCTTTGCCCACGGTCACTTTCCCTTCTCTTTCTTTTGGTCTTTGGTCTTTTTTACGTCAGCAGCAGCAGCAGTGATCACCTGTGATCCTGATGCCATCACTCATCCCTCCTCCATTCCTCATACCCCCACTCCACTCCCTCTCCCTCCCCTCTCCTCCTCCCCCTTCTTTGACCATCTCATACGACCCTTCCAGGGAATAGCCCTTTTGCCATTCACAACTTACCCTTGTACCTTGAACTCTGTTCCCCTCCCACTCGACTTTCGACGTGTGTTTTTTTTACTTTGAGCTGCAAAAAAAGTCTTTTATGTCGATTTGCTCCTACGGGCCGACTCCAATCGAAGGTTGCACGCGCCTCAGTTGCTAACAGCAGACTTTTTACTCCTCCCCAATGGACTTTCCCCTGTCACCCCACCTACTTTGTGTCTCCCCAATAGCCCGACGCGCCCAGCCACGAGTTCATCCTTAGCCACAGCGAGTCGCAGGGCATGCTGGTGACAAGTCCATTGATGAGCGAAGCAACCCTTCCAGGAGAGCACCAGCAGCCTCCCTCAGCCTCTTCCGCTCCTATCCCTGCCTCGGCCTCAACTTCAGCCCCAGTATCAGTCTCATCCTCCACGACAGCACACAACAACCCTGGAACACTCGACACAACAGACAATACTCACGACCGGCGGCCTAGTGGTGGAAGCCACAGCAACGGATACCTGAGCAGGACAAACAGCGGCACCAACTATATCCGGAGGTAAATAACTCTCTCCCGTCCTCTCTCTCTCTCATAACCATGGTTTCTGCCTTCTTTATTGCACTAAACCAAAAGGCATATGGCGTCGCTTCTTGGTCCCCTTTTTTTCTATTGAGTTTTGGGTCGCTGGGAGTACTGGAGTCATGGGCTATTTTGCGTTTTGTTTGTTTGTGTTTGCATGTTTGTGTATTGCGTTTGTTGACGGGAGAGTGTGCGCAAACCCTTCAGCCCTCCTTCGCCACCGGACCATCCCTGTTCTCTCGTTTCTCTCTCGGTTTTTGCTGTCATGCATGAGGTCTCCGATAGTGCAATCAACAAACAACAACACCATCATTTCAACACACAGGAAAGCCAAGAGATGGAATCAAGACACCACTCTTTATTGCTAGCACCAAATAGAAAAAATATACCTGGGAAGGGGAAGATTTCACTCTTCCCCGCGCCACGCCATTGTTGCGCTGTGGCGCTGTGGCGCTGTGGCGTTGTGGCGAGTGCCTATGAACATGTACTAAATCTCCCTCCCATCCTTTTTATTTCTTGTACGACTCCTCTCGATACAGGAGCCCTCAGATGTCTTCGAGCGCCGTTCACTCTTCGTCGGGACAGTATCAGCTGTCGGTCGCCACTTTTCACAAGCGTAACCAAGATACAAACTCCTTCCGGACAGGGCAACAGTTCCTCATCAAGTTAGATCTCAAGTCCGCAGAGCCGTTTAAGAGCCCAATGTCATTGATCCTGCCCCGGAGGATGATCCAGGGTCAACAAAAAACCCGACAGTCCGATCCTCCTACTGGAACCGCTACCGATGGCGCAGCCGCAGCATCAGCAGGCCTTGTGTCACCACTCATGTCGTCGCCCATCATTCAGGAACCTGCAGGGACAGCACCATCTCAGGACGGCCCAGGAGAACTCACAGGCCACCCAGAAACCCACTTTTATCTCGAAGTCACTGTCCACTTGACCAGTTCTGAGGCTATTGTCCAAGCCTGCCCAGAGTGCTGTCACAAGGTGGAGGGCAAGGTGCGTAAACCATCCAACGGACCAGGAGCCCCCGCCAAGACACATGGAGCCAGCGAACAGGTTGACCCCGGTCAGATTCTACAGTTCTGCGTCTTTGAACACGTCGTCGACTTTACCAGTGGGACATCAACTGTCATGGCCAAGGTCCTTTGCTCATCTACACATCACGACAAACGAGGCAACAATGACCGGTACTTGTAAGTACATCGTCACAGCTATCGCTGAATGAATCGTATCTCATATGTCTCACACTAATCGTTTCTGTCTTTTGCTATGGTGATTGCCCTGAAATAGCTTCAAGTTCAGTCTGATGCAATATCTCAATGGACAAAAGATTCACATCGGGTCGTGTAGGACAAAGGACATCTTGTTCACAGGAAACCACAAGAACAAGAGTATGGCCTCCTTTAGTGAGGACAAAGTGGAGACGAAGCCCAAAATTGGCCGTGCAGAGGACGAGTCGATTTTGTCTACCCCAGGCTCAATGGTCATGGGTCAGACCTTCACAGAGGAGCCAGACTCTATCGCCGAAGATACGCTCGAAAAGCCATACCATCACGACTCGCCAATGCAATCGACTCACGACAGGCGCTCTGCTTCAACCCCACACCACCGCCCCCTCTCTTACGGCAATGGCCAGCCTCACCACAGCGGCGAACACATTCCTCGCATTCAGGAGCCATCATCCAGCATGGACATCGACCCACCTCGATCACGGCACAGAATCGATAAAGAATCCTACTCTAGTCACGGTAGCCGGTCATCATTACCTCCAGCGCAAGGATCAGGAGCCACATACGGCGGTCATTCATCGACCATGTCCGATTATAGACTGTCAAGTGGACCTGCTTTTACGCCGATCAAGTCCAAGTCTTGGAACGACACCCTCATCACGCCCAAAATTACAAGGATCATTCCAGATGTTGGCGACATGCTTGGTGGCACCGAGGTTACCATCTTTGGCTCTGGATTCAGAGGTAAGCCTCAAGCTACAATGAAATTGGTGGCGAAATAAGCACAGAGCACAGTTGTTCTTGGAAGGCTCACTCATTGTCGATTCCATTCCATACTACATTCTCTCTAGCTGGATTGGTCCCATACTTTGATTCGTTACCAGCATCGAACGTCACTGTTCTTCATCCGGATGTCATGACTTGCCGCACACCGCCCCGAATCCAGGCTGCCGTAGCTTCGGTGGGTTTCCTATCCAAGCGCTCCTCAGGATCGGGCAGGATTACGCCTGATACACAATATTCATACGCGGACAAGCTGGGCTTGGGATTAGCAGAGCTTGCGGCAGAGATTGTTGCCATGGAACGCGACGACTACGACGAGCCCAATCCCCAGGCAGGATCTGGCGTTGGACTTGGGCATCCAAGTTATGACGCCACTGAGCGGTCAGAGCAGAGGCTTGGAGGGCTTGGAGACTTGCGCTCAAGAGCTACTCGTGTAGTTCGTCGTGGAAGCACACGTCGCGACTCTTCGGACATCACAAGCCAGTCTCGATCCAACTCGAACGGATCGAGGCTGAACCCCATGGCTGAAAGCCCTCGCCGACGATCTAGCCATAGTCCAATGGGTCACGATCATGGCCTGGACGATGAGGAGCTTGAGCGCCTTGTGACAGAGATGATGTCGCTCGGCGTGACACAGTCGGTTGTACCAGCAGCACAAACCTGCAAGGCCTTGGAATCGGCTATTCTTAACATTGTACGTGGCACGGACGACATGCATCACATTTCAATGCAAAACGACCAGCGTCACACCCTGCTTCATCTGGCTGTCCTCCTCGAGATGAACGACCTTGTCGAATACCTGCTTAAGGAGAAGATCGAAGTCAACGCTGCCGACTGGAATGGCTTTACAGGTACGAACAACAGGAACTCGATACAAACAAAATCATGGGACAAAAGCCCAATAGCGTTAACAGCAAACACATAACTAATCTGCCTCGTTCTCTCATTATTCAATCATAACAGCTCTTCACTATGCGGCTTGGACAGACCAAACGGACATGTATGAGATTCTGGTGGGTCATGGAGCGTCTGCGGAGGTGCTCAACTGCCACCAGGCTCTCCCACGCCATTTGTTTGCAGGCGTCCCTGGAACACCCCAGGAGTTCGTTGCCATGTACCACCCGAAACCAGGACAGGCGCTGGAGACTGGGTCATCCTATGATCGATACCCGTCGGGTGGCAGAGCGAGCCTGGACAACCTCAAGGACGACATCCTTGAAAAATACAGCCGAGCCAAGAAGGCTCGTGGTTCGAATGGCAACATGTATGTCAAGTCGTCATCAGGAGACTCTATTTCCAAGGCGCCGGCGCCGATGGATCACCACCGCGACCCCAGTCACAGCCACGAGTCCCCTCATTCAATCCACCGTCATGCCCCCCGCCACGTTGTCTCATCACCACCTCTGCTTCCTCAAACCCAAGGCCACTTGCGACCTGCTCCTCACACGATGCAGTCCCTTCCTCACCCTCAAGCTCCGCGCTCACCGTCACCTCTTCGGGAATCGTTTGCAGGACCCTACACCCAGCCGCACGCATCCTCATCCTCATCGTCTTCTGGTAACAACAGTTCATCGTTTACCAGAAGGTACTTGCACCCTGTGGACAACCCACCTTCGCGAACTGGATCGTTGCCCTCCATTCGGCTGGAACGTGACCACAGAGAGAGTTCCCTCCAGCACAGTCCGTCGTACCATCACCAACAGCAGCATCTTCAACAACACCACCATCACAACGTTGGATCGCCTTCGTCCTCTCCAAGTGCTGCCATGACAGGCGCCCCTTCGTCTCCTATGCACCATCAACAAGGATCTTCGAACAACCGGTACACATCGTCGCCTTCCTCTTATGACCACGTACAGCAATCGCCTCAGCAATATGACAGCCACCCGGAAGAACGCCGATCAGACCGCATGCTGCCTTCTTTTGGGCTCAATCTGCCTGTTCCGTTCCCTTACCAGGGTGATTCGAGCAGGGGTCCAAGCCCAGGAAATCATGGCCCAGAGTCAGGCGACGGAGGACATCATGGATCCAAGGCAGTTGAGGCAGGACAAAAGCGCCCGGGATCTTCTTACCATGGCTCTTCGCATGACGGGCCAATGGTCAAGTCTCCAAGGACCTTTGATGGACCTATTCGAACCAAGGGAGGAGATCACCACGAGTATGACCAACAAGGACCTCCCCTCCCCATGGATGGCAATCGATCTACACAAGCCAACGCCGAAGTGTCACGGTCTTCTAATGCCGGAACGGATCTGGAGAACGATATCAGGGACGGATCTGAGGACAGTGGCAAGTCGAACCGTCGTACGAGCCAGGCAAGCCACACTTGCCCTCACCCAAACTGCAACAAAAGCTTCACGAGACCCTTCAACCTCCGGGCACATATGCGCGTTCACACTGCGGAGCGTCCTTACAAGTGCGATACTTGTGCGTTGGCATTCTCACGTCTTCACGATCGCAACCGACACGCCAAGCTTCACACTGGAATCAAGCCCTTTGAGTGCTCCTTCTGTCACCACCAGTTTATTCGGCCAGATGCTCTGCGCCGTCATTTGGGTCGTGGAGGTGGAACAGGATGCGGACAAAAGATCGCGGCGACTGCTGCAGCTGATGGTCAAAAGGCAGTCAGTGGTGCCACTAACTCGACATCGTCTTCGACAGATTCTGCCTCCGCTTCGGCCACCGCCACTGCTACAACAACAACAACAGCAACGACGGCGGCTGCTACTTATGGAACAATGACCACTGCAACAACTGCGACGGCTACTTCTCACGGCGAGAACAAGACCCTCGTCAACAATGGAGCTTCCAGCCGGAGCAGCAGTGGAAGCAGCGTCCGGAGCCAGGCGAGTCTGAGCAGCATCAGCAGCGGTCTGACGGCGGTGTCGTTTTCGGCAAGCAATGATTGGAATCGCCATCCACGGTCGTCGACGGACCCTTCGGGCTCGAAGGTGATGGAGCTGGATGAAGATAACCGCGACCGCGGTCATCATGCTCCTCAACAGCACCATATTCATCACCAACAGCAACAGCCACATCTTCACCCTCCTCGATCTCCTCTTGGTATTATCTCTGATGGACGGCGGTATGCCTCTCCGACTGGCACTGACCATGATGAAGACATGAGGTCTGTTGATGGCGAGGACCACCATGTTGAGGCCGCAGGCGTGAACGAGAAGCAGCACATTACTCGCCATTTGTCGCCTGTGCCATATGACCATGACGACCGACGCGATCACCACCACCATTTCCAGCCACAGCAACAACAGCAACACAACCCACATCACCACCATCTCCATCGTGCTGAGCGGGACGAGCAGGAACAGCAACAACAGCCTGCTCCCACCGCCACTGCCGCCAGCAGTTAATTCAGTCCATAAAAAAAAATTGTAAATTCATGCAGTCTTTTTCCCCTTCCTTGTAATGCGCCCTCTCGAATTCCCCTCTTCCCCTTCCTTTCTTATTCTACCACTTTTGAACTGTACAAATATCCGCACGGCAACAATAATAAATACAAAAAGTATCTTTTTCCGCCTACGCCATTCTTTGTTTCTAAAAGCCTGCGCCAGTATTGAATTATTTTTCTGTATGTCACCCGTCCCTGCTTGGCGTTCGATGGACAGATGCTCCTTGACGCCAAACTTCACTTTAGAGTTGTATTATGCTTTAAGTAAGTAAGTGTACTCTTCTTGTCCTGTTGTCCAGACATTATCATTCCTTGATGGCATGCTCATCGAACTCGAGTGGTTGACGGCGGGAAATGGATCTAGGACTGGCAAGACTTGAAACACCGGCCACCCACTCCAGCTCAGTCGTGTTGTTTGAGGAAGGGTACTACTTCCCCCCCCCCCCCTTGCACCTACACCGAGAGATCGTTGAACAAAAGTTCGCGTACACCGGGGGAAGATTGGTGAACAAAGTCGCGGCGTCCTTTGTTTTGTCTATCCTGATTCCTGCAAGTTGAGAGGGCGGTGGAGTGGTGTTGTAGGAAACGCGAAAAAAAATGAACCTGGAGATCGCCTTTGCCGTGTGCACGTGGCTGGGATGTATACAAAGGCCGCGAAAACTACTGTTTTTGCTTTTTTCTTCACTCCTCTTCGCCCACTCCCTCTTGGGCACCCGTCTCTACCGCTTGGACCCTATTCGCTGATTCAGCGATATTTGTTAAGAGAAACAGAAACACTTTCTTTTTTTTTTCAGTGAACAGAGAAAAAGATAGAAACGAGGGGTGCGCGCGTGGGGGTGTTGTCATTCCGCTCTTTCCGCTCTTCTTTTGTCTTTCCTCTTCGTCGCTTTCTTTGTTCTTCCGAGGGGGGAAAAGTTGGGGGAGGAGGTGTACATTTGCATTGTTTTTCTTCTTTGCTTGTTTTCTTGCTGGGGTTGCACATTTCCTTTGTTTTTTTTTTTTTTTTTTTTTTTTTTTTTTTTTGTTTCGTTTCATTCCCCCTTTTCCATCTTGCACGCTCATTTCATAAACTATCCCCCCTCCTTTGCCCTAAACTAATCGCAATGATCACACCATTTCACACGCGACAGAAAAAAAAAAAAAAAAAAAAAAAGAAACGTCTACAGTTTAGTGGCGCAAACTTTTTGCTAGCCAGAAAAAGTTACTGTTAGTGACATGGGTGTCAAGAAGGGACCAAGAGGAGTCAAGACCCTCCCTTCCCCCCACCTCTCCCTCTCATACCTAACTGTTCGCAACCCCGACTAGACATGGTTGGCCATTTGGCCATGTCAAAGGTGTGAGTGGTGGTCAACTTGGGGGGCGTTTGGCCCTCCCAGCACTGGCATATGCTGTTGGAGGAAGATGTATGAGGGTGCTAACCCTAACCTTCTTTTTTTTAGGATGAGATGATGGGATAAAATATGATTCTGAGGGCAAACTTGAGACTCCGAGGGCTAACATGGAGGGCTAACTAAGGGGTCGCAGGTCACTAAGGGGTCGCGGGGAACCAAAGGGGTCGCGGGAACCAAAGGGGTTCGCGGGAGTATGGACTCGTAGGGATGACCGTGTGCCCACTCATAATGATGGCATACTAATGGGAACGCGAGGCTTCCAAGTGCCCATGATGACGGTCGTTTTGAGGCACTCGGGCAAGTGAGAGCTCGCTTTTTTATCTCTTCCTTTTCTTACAATTAACCAACCGGCTCGCGACTTCCTCGCGGTGTGTCCTGGACTGCGGGTTATCGCAATGATAACCTACAGACTGATCGATGAGTCATTATTAAACAATCTTTTTTTTTCTTTCTCATCTTTTGTTCTTTGCTATTCCTCTTCTTCTTCTCGCTCCTGTTCTTGTTCTAGTTCTTGTATGGGCGGTGGCAGTAGTGACAAAGATGAAGCAGTCATGCTTGAATAAAAAGGTATCCTAGAGTACGATCGCCATATATTATTTTTTTGCTCAGTAAAAGGTGGATCGCGCGTACTTTTTTTTTATTTTATTTTTTTATGAAGGCGTGTTTCTTTGTCTGGGCACGCGCAGACTCGCCATATGTGTATTTGAACAATCGACAGACATTTTTGCCTTCAAAAAAAAATTCGAAACGAACAGAAAATATTCCTCCCCAACTGGAACCAAGTGCAACAAAAATGCCAAGTCATTTGTAGTAGTTTGTAGTAGGTTGTTGATCCAGGTTTTTTAATTCTATGCTACATGATGTCTAAGATTGGATTGTTATGGTGCAAAAAGAGAGAAAGAGAGAGGGAGAGAGAGAGTGAAAGGAACCCATTGGCTAAGCTAAGCTTAGAACCAGAGCAATTCGCTGTAGCGGGGGATGGGGTAGTACTTGTCGGCAGTCAAGGTCTCGAGTCTGTCGGCAATAACACGGGCGTTCTGCATGGCAGGGACGATGAAGTCCGACGCAGCCTTGGCCTCAGCAACGGCGTCATCATGGATGGCGTGCAACTTGGCGACGGACTCATCCAAGACAACGAGGGCGGCCTGGAGGTCCTTGACGACGGGGGTCAAGGCCTTGAGGGCGCTCAACTCGGGCGACTGACCCTCGCCTTCGATCGAGTTCAAGAGCTGGACGGTCTTGGCGAGAGTGCCGCGGTACTCAAAGGCGGCGGGGAGGATCTGCTGGGAGAGGAGGTCCTTCATAGTGTTGGCCTCGACGAGGAGGTCCTTGGCGTAACGCTCGTTCATGATGAAGAAGCGGGAGGTCAACTCGGTCTGGGAGAAGATGCCGAGCTTGGTGAGCATCGACTGGTGGGGGGGCTTGATCAGCTGCTCAAAGGCCTCGGGGCAGGTGCGGATGTTGGGAAGACCACGCTTCTCGGCCTCCACGACCCAGGCATCAGAGTAGCCATCGCCCTCGAAGCGGATGTTCTTGGTCGAGGCGATGAACTTCTTGATGACGGCGACCTTGTCGGCGTCCGAGGGGAAGGGCTTCTCGCCCATCTGGGTACGGAGGGCCTCAGAGACGTCCTGGAGGGCAGAGGCGACGGCGGCGTTGAGGATGGTGACGGGGAAGGCAGGGGACTGCTTGGATCCGACGGCACGGAACTCGAACTTGTTGCCGGTGAAGGCGAAGGGAGAGGTACGGTTACGGTCGGTCAAGTCACGGGCGATGGTGGGGAGGGAGGCGACCTTGACGTCGAGGGCGGTACCGCCCAACTTGATGGTCTGGATCTCGGGGACGGAGAAGTTCTTGATGGGGCGGGACTCCTCGATGGAGTTGAGGACCTCAGTCAAGTGCTCACCCAAGAAGATGGAGAGGATGACTGGGGGGGCCTCACAGGCTCCCAAACGGTGCTCGTTAGAGGAGGAAGCGATCGAGGTACGGAGGAGGGCTCCGTGCTGCTGGACGGCGTGGAGGACAGCAACGAGGATCAAGAGGAAACGGTAGTTGGTCTCGGGCTTGACGGTGGGGTCGAGCAAGTTCTCGCCGTGGTCGGTCGACATGGACCAGTTGCAGTGCTTGCCGGATCCGTTGACGCCCTTGAAGGGCTTCTCGTGGTAGAGGACCTTGAGCTTGTTCTTGTGGGCGACCTTGGAGAGAACATCCATGGTCAACAGGTTGTGGTCAACGGCCAAGGAAGCCTCCTCGAAGATGGGGGCCAACTCGAACTGCTGGGGAGCAACCTCGTTATGGCGGGTCTTGACGGGGACTCCGAGACGGAAGAGCTCGAGCTCGGCCTCAGACATGGTGGCCATGACCTTGGAGGGAACACGACCGAAGTAGTGATCATCCATCTGCTGGTGCTTGGGGGGCAAGTTTCCGATCAAGGTACGGCCGGTGGTCTTGAGATCGGGGCGGAGGGAGTAGAGGGAACGGTCGATGAGGAAGTACTCCTGCTCGGTTCCGAGGGTGGTGAAGACGTGGTTGGTGCGGGGCTGGGCACCGACGGGGACAGACTCAATGAGCGAGAGGAGCTCACAGCAAGCCTTGGAGATCTGTGCGGTCGAGCGGAGGAGGACGGTCTTCTCGTCGAGGGCATCTCCGTTGTAGGAGATGAAGACGGAAGGGATGTAGAGGACAGAGGTGCCGTGGGGACCCTCCTGGATGAACATGGGCGAGGTGGTGTCCCAGACGGTGTAACCACGGGCCTCGAAGGTGGAGCGCATGCCTCCGGAGGGGAAGGACGATGCGTCGGGCTCGGCCTGGAGCAACTGCGAACCAGAGAAGGCATCGATGGCAGTGGTCTATTTTATATTGCGGGGGAAAGTAGTTGTTAGTCAGGGGTGGTCGATGATTCATTTGTAAAAGCACATGGTTGTCGTGTGGGGTGTGTGTGCCGTTGGTTGTTCCTGCATTTTTTCACTCGAAATGGTTGCTATTTAGCTGAGCGCAAGGGCAGCAAAGAGACAAGCAGACAAACATGTGTTTGGTCGGGTCTTTCGAATGACAGTTCAACTTTTGGTCGATCCTCATCGATCTTCTCATTTTCACATTCTCTCGGTATACGATGATGGGTGGGTGTGTATCGGGTGTGTGTGTCGATGGAGTTGTGTTGCTTGTCGATCTGTTTTCCGGACATCCACATCTTGGCCATATTTTTCTCTTATCTTATCGCCCGTCCAACTCACTCACACTCACTCACACCCATCTAACACACATCTTTCGTTCCCTGTTGCCGACATCTCCCTTTGACATTTCTTTCCTTATGAGGAACATCCTGAGCGAGAAGTCATGATTGGAATGAATCACACCAACTCTTATTTTTCTCTTTGTTTGTTTGATTATCGTCGCTCCTTTGTTCTTTTTTGATATCCAGATGGCCTCCTTGCTGGTTGGTTTGTTGGTTGGTTTGTTGCTGTCCTGTCCTTGCGTTGTTGGTTGTTGTGCTTGTGGTTGTCGCTAAATGCTTTTTTTTCCCAGGGTACCTTTTTTGTCCAGTCCCCCTGATCAAAAATAGCTGGCACGCAACCCCCCTATTCCTTTCTTCTACTTCATCTCCCTCGAAAAAAACCCCTTCACTCTCCTCTTACACACGTACGCCTCCAGAAAAGAAATCAACGAAAAAAAAAATTACCTCTTCACCAGCGGCGGTGTAAGTAGACTTCAACGTCAAGAAAGCATCGTGCTTCTCGGCAGTGGTACCAGTCTGGGGCTGGAACCAATGAGTGAAATGAGTCGCACCACGATCCATGGCCCAGATACGGACCGCATGGGCAATAGCATCGGCAGTGCCACGGTCAAGGGACTGGCGACCACGCATCTGCTTGAGGAAGGAGGCATAAGCGGGCTTGGGGAGGGCCTTGGCGATCTGCTGGAGGTGGAAGACGTTCTCGCCAAAGAACTCGGATGTGTAGACGGGGGTTCCGTCGGCGTTCTTGGGGTAGGAGATCTTGCGGGTGGGGCGGTTGATGTTGTCCCGGAGGGACTCGACACGGGCTGCGTTGACGGCCATTTTGTTATGTGTTTGTGTAAGGGGAGAGACTGTTGGAGGTGGTTGTTGGTTGCGGAGAGATTAAAGTGTTATACAGAGTTGTAGTAGCAAAAGAAAACGAAGCAGAAAAGAAACCGAAGTATACAAAGAGAGCGAGAGAGAGAAGAAAGCGGATGAAGAGGGATAAGGGTGAAGGGATGAGGTTAAATAGAAGAGGAGAGTAAATAAAAGAAAAAAAAAGTAGAAAGGCAAAGTGGGGGAGTCAGAGGAAAATATATATACTCAGGACCAGTTAAGGGTCAACATACTTACATTCACATCTGCCGGGGACCTGGCTCCCTGATAGTTTATGAGTGAATGAGAGAGAAGAGGAGGATTGTGCCTGCTTTTTTTGATGCCCTTGTTGTATTCTATTTTCATGTGCATTCGATTCATTCATTCAATGAGTCCCCGTCAGATACGTAGCGGGCAGTTCCGCTTGCAAGTGGTGGAGTGTGAGCGAGTGAGTAAGAGAGAACAACTTAGCCTGGAGTGACAGTGGTCAGTAGTCCGTCCCATCTGTCCAGTGTCCACTGTTTGGCAGTCATCCCAGGCCCATCTATCATTGGCCCCACTCTGTTCCTGAAATCAGTTGCTACTTATCACATATCCACACTCTACTCTTCATTTGATAGATCGCTATTCAATCGACTGCCCTCACTCGCCGTGTTAGCTCTCTCTAACTTGCTCCTTTTGCTCCTGACATACCCGATGAGATAGTCCCCTATCATTGCCCCTCTCTTTCTTTTCTCCACTTCGCCCACTTACGCTTTTCTGTTCCTTCCATTTCCGGGCCGAATTGATACGGCCACCCCTGTTCTTCTTCGACCCTCTTTAATTGTTGAATGTAGCCACATCCCTATCCATTGCTTGTAAGGATGGCTCTCTGGCGCCTCCTCCGATTTATCCCATCCTCACATTAGCCAACAACACCAGCATCAAGGCTAAGCAATATTGCAACATAGATCAGGGTCCTCTAAAGGATGACGGAAAAGCTCAAGCCTAAAACTTTTTCGAAATAAAAGGGTGTGAATACAGGGGAACCGCGATCTTTACTCTTCCACGTCATCAAAAGAACCAAAAGTACCCAATTTTTTTTTCCTGCTGCCGTCATCCCATCGTCACTTTGTTCTTTTCTTCGCTGATCCAAAATAACCTTGTCAAAATCCAAAAAATGACACGGTGCACACAAAAAGCGAATGAAATTAAGCTGAGGCCCTGGAATGGTCGCTGAAAAAAAATGTGCTTACTTTCGACAAGGGAGTAGAGGACGTTTTTTCTTTCTCTCTGCCCCAAAAAGATAGGGACCATTCGAACAAAAATAATAACCTTGCAGAAAAGTTCGTTGGGTCATTATTGGTTGTGTCCGTGCTGCTAAAAAAAAAAAAAAAAAAAAAAAAAAAAAAAATTAAAGGCGCTGGAAGTTATGGAGAGGGCTGTGTGTCTCGTGCACCTTTTCCACTTTCCGGACAAACAAGACCTTCTTTTGCTCTCTTCCCTACGACAAAACTGGGTTGAGCAAAACAGAAAAGAAAAAAGGAGCACACTTTGTTGAGAAAGTGGGAAAAACAACAAAGGAAGGGGAATAGAAACGAGGATGAGAGCTGAAAGGAGAAGAGGGGAGGAGATGTGGGGAGTGGGAGTGGGAGAGTCTCCTTCTCCCCTTGCAGAAGGAATATCTCGGGATTCGGAAATTATTCAAAGTTCAACGCTTTTATTTTGCTCCAACGCGACAATGAAAAAATCTCGGGTGAGCATGGAGAGGGGGAATGAGGGAGAAGAAGGAGAAACGACCGGATTCTCGCGAACACAAAAAAACACAAGGAGGGCTACAGGAAAATAAAAAAGGTGCACATGGACAATTGGAGAATTGGAGAATAGACAAACAACGCAGTTGACAATTACGTTAGTAAAGTACATCAACAACGACAAGTGCGCGTTATGATGTAGCCAGTGGAATTGATATAGAATGAGTAGATGTATGTAGGTTTTTATTCTTGTCTCGCAAAGTGAGAATGGTCAGGGCCTTGTTCTTGTTTTTTTACCAACAACCCTTCTAGGCGACAATCATTACATCAAGGCGGTTCAACTGGGCGTATGTATCGGCAGGCATCCTGAACTTGATCGACCCAGCAAACATCATCAGCGTCCTTGCCCTCCTCTTCAACATAGTGATCGACTAGTTGTATGCGATACATAGACAAATGCTGGTTAGCTTGAACATCAACTTATCACAAACCAGCCCTCATTTCTGAATGACATGACAGAGAGATACTTACGTCCCGGCGGCCGGCATCGTCGTAGGGAGAATTTTTGAGGATCTGGTACTGCCTGAAAAGACTGTCCATGGTCTTGAGGAGGACATCGGGAAGGTTCCTTGCCACGCACTCATCCAAGGCCTGGAACTCACCCGCCTTCTCGGCAATCTGTCCCATATCAGCTTCCAAAGGAATCAGGCCCAGCTCCTCAATCGTCGCAATCGCTGCCTCGTACTTGGCACGATCATAGCGCTCTGTAAACTCGACTAACTTGAGCAAAATGCCGCATGTCGTCAAGTTCTTGGGCATAATCTGCTGGCTGACCTTGGGATTACTCTCGTACTCGTTAATCAACCGGCGGATAGCTGGAATGTTGATACTTGTCTCTCCTGTGCTAGCAAGACCGGGGTTTGACACAAACTCGGCCAACTGACGGTTCAGAAGCTCCACCACCTGGTTATACGACTCGGCAATGCTATACAACTGAATCGCATCCTCGACGCGTCCTTCCTTGGCCTTGCTCTTCGCGGCAGCAACCGTAATATCCTTGACAAACTGGCCGCTGTTGGCAATCTTGATCAATGGGAGGTACTTTTCAATCACACCAGGAGACTTGATGCCGTGTGCCGTAGAGCCGAGAAGAGTTGAGTAGTCCTTGGCCTGGAGAACCAACTCCTGAATGTAGCTGTGACAGAGTCCAATCTGCTCCTGGTTGATCGCCGGCGTCAGATCCGTGTTCAAGCAGATCTGGTACAGATATGAGAGTGCCTCGGTCGGGTAACGCTCAGCAATAATGCGGGCCTGATAGTGAATCAAGTGGGTAAAGTTAAAGTGTGACACTTCGTGTCCTTGAGCGTCCTTTGTCGTCGAGAAGGGGTTGGGGTCCGATACGCGATGTACCGATGGAATGCGCAACAATCCATAGTATGTCAGCGCGATCGCCATATGGACCGTCTCGAGTGCGTACGCCTTGAAAGAATAGAGATAATAGATAGCCTAGATACATATACAAGAAAAGGTACCTATGATTAGTGCTCTAGTTCCTTTTTGACTTGACCGGGAACTACAAAATATGCACTTAATCATACGTACTCGCTCAAACTGCTGAGAGTGGACGAGGACTTGGAAGTATTGAAGAGGGTTGTTGCCGTTGGGGTTGAAGTGGGCGGGTCCGTACTTGAGAACAAGAGCCTGAAAGTCTGCAAGCTCGTATTTCTCGTGAGCCGCCGTGGCATTGTCCCTTGGTTCACGGATCAACGACAGCTATTATAAAATACAAAGAGCGGGAAGGTCGTCAGCGTATGAGCTACAGCGAATATTATACAAACTGTGAATGATCGTATCTCTTGAATGTAAAGCAAAAACAAGAAGCTTACATGGAGCCAAATAAAGTCCTCAACGGCTCCAATGACAGGTGTCGTCCTCTTGGTCAGTTCACACTGGCCAATGATCTTGAAGAGCGTCAGCTTGTATGGGTCAACAGTGTCGGAGCTATAACGAATCCTGTTGTTAAAGTCGGTCCGGAGCCGGTCCTGCAATGTTGAGGGCAATGTGCGGTCTTCACTCTGCCAGTAGGCGTTGAGGTACATGACAAAGTTGCGGTCTGCAGGGTTCAAGTTCAACTCGTTGTCTCTTGCAAACTGGAGAGCATCCTGGACATGACCGGTCCTAAAGAGATAGTAGATCTGAGCCCAGACTGCCTGTCCATTCACAATCTAGTGGTATCATAGTTTGAAAAGTAATTAGGTGAGCACAGCGTACAAACTGCAAGGAGAATGGCACTGCTTTTATCCTTTCATCCTGTTTGCAAAGATACTGTGACCCTTACCTCGAGGTTGGGCTGGGACCATGATCCATATCGAAGATATTTGAGCTGGACAAAGGCGCGAATGGTGTTGAGAAGTGATGGGATGCCTCCGAGGTTAGCTTCTGCTGGGTTCTCCTTCACGGATGCATTAATGTGAGCCATGAACTGCTTCTCCAAGAAGTTCTTGGATCCCTTGATAAGACGATCCCGCAAAAGCGCGGCAGCCGGACTCCTGTAAGGCGACATCAAATAGGCGTTGGCGTAAACTCGCTCCTTCAATGCCATGCTCTGGAACCGTCCGTTTCTCAACTCCAGCTCGCCCAACACTGAAGTCAACAGGTCCCATGTCTCCTGAATCTTTGAGTTGGGCTAATATCATTGAAGTGAAGTGAAGTGAACGTCAAATCAGCAAAGAGATCCTGAAACGCGAAAACATCCTGCGTGTTCCTGAAAGAAATCACTGACCTGGTCCTTGTGAGCCAACTTGGAGGCTTCGACGAAGCTGTTAGCCAAGGGGAAGGCTGGTCCTTGCAGGCGTGCCTCGCAGAGATCATGAACGACCTTGTAGTAAGGCTTTAGCTTGCTGAAAATCACATCCAAGGAAGCCGTGTTCTGGGCGAATCCTGGAGTGTACGCGCCCTATAATGGAAAGTGATAAAGATGATATCTCGGTCAACCACTATGTCCTGTGTTGTTGCGTCCATGCTACAAAAAAGGCCAAAAATTGCACTTAGTCCCGCTGAATGAAACCCTCCATGAAATATAAACATACGCTTTGAGACTGGGCCAAGCTAGCGTTCCCACGGAAGGAGCGAGTCGACTGTCCCAAATCGGCTTCCGATCGACCTCCCTGTCCCTGATGCTGTCCGAGCTCCTCAAAGATCCTCTTCTTGGTGCGCTCCCAGTCGTAGTTCAGCGACGTCTCAAAGTTGGAGTCGAAATCCATGACGGTCTAAATCACAAATGAAGGGAAAAAGAGAGGACACATAGATGCTGTTTGTTATCTTGATCTTCGAGGTCCGTGCAGTCAAAAGCGAAGGGAAGGGAGATGTTTCTCCAGGGGCAAATATTCTACCTCGCGTCTGCTCTCATCAATGGTGTTGATAATGATCTGTTCATGCTGGTGCCTCAAAAATGACTATTTGCGTAAGTAATGATCTCGTTAGGAAAAAGTGGTGGCGTAGCAAAGTAGGAATTGAGAGGTGATCTACACGCTGAAGCTTCTGTGGTCCTGAGAGTAGTTCATACCTCGGTGTCGGTATCGTGAATAGGCTGGAAAGGCTCAAATGTTGACTTCAAGTTGATAGAGTTGAGGGTTGTGTTCATCACATTGGCGTCGATGCCTCCCTTGGCAAGGAAAAACTGTCTATCAAAAAAAACACAAACAGAGAAAGCGCGAACGTTTGTGGTTTAGCTTTCACCGTGCTTCACCAGGTTTGCGCATCGTCCTAATGTGTTGACAAGGTCAAGGTGTAGACTCTCGAAATGCGTGATGCCGTTGCTTCTGGTCACATACCCCTTGTTGTCAGTGCCATCAGTAGGCTTGGACGCCTTAGCGGCGAGCTTGCGCGATTGACTCTCGATCTGATCGATGCCGCGCTTAATCTGGGGCACTTGCAGACCGCCGATGTGGCTGGTGAGTTGCTTGGATTGCTCTGCGAGCTGAGCCAGGGTGGATAATGCCATGGTGATGTGATTGCTCTTTTGTTTCCCGATCCTGTGATGTTGTTGGTGAGGGAGTTCTGCCGTCTACAAACAAAGCGATTGAGGGGGAATGAAAAGAAAGATCACTTTTGGAAAGCAAACCGAACTGGCTTCAAAAATAAATGGGGTCGTTAACGCGCTTTTTTTGGCAACTTTGTGACGTCACTCGTAAGTTTTTTTTTATCTAGGCAGAACGAAAGACGCGAAAGTCGTCGTAGAGGATGTTGCCGTCAACGTCGTAGTGGAAGCTATCGTAGCACTGCTCGCAAAAGTAGCACGGCGTCTCGCCAGCGAGTCGGTCGTCCACCGTCACATAGAAAGCCTTGTTGATCTTGCACATCCTACACATATGCGACGTCGTCTTGCCCTTGTACACCTGCAGCGGATATGAAAGCCTGTTCAAGTCGTCGTGTCGCTGGCTGAACAATCTATTTACAAATACAGTGAACAACACGAAGCCCATATTAACACCCTGCTCACATATACATCTCGTTGAATCGTCGTCTTCTATAAACAGCCTTATGGAACTTACCTCAAATCGCGAAACATTAGGATGTGCTCGCAATCGCCTTGGTGAACAAAAAGATAGGGCTGGTTCAGTCGAACTGACAGATGTTGGATCTGAGAGTCATGCATATAGGTTTTCTGGAGGTTCCCAAATCCCGGCTGTCGTTTCCTCCCTGGGTTTTCTTCCACCCAATCCAAGATAACCCTAGCGTGCGATAAAAAGTGATATTGGTCAGCTCAGTACCTATCAATACTACGCAACGTATAAACCAAATGAAACCCCTTGAGAGACTTACTGGCTGTAGTCTTCCGAGACTTCCTCGAGATGATCTTGGTTCTCCACTTCAATATTCTCGATCGGCTGCTCGTGGTACGTGCTCGCCTCCATTTGTGCTCGAAGGTCCGAATCATCAAACTCCAAGTCCATGTCATCATCGTCACCATTGTCGCTGGCATCATCGCTGGCACGACTCACACTTCCCAGGGCCATATCCTCTCGTAATAGACGTCGCCTCGTATTTCTTAGTCTCACCGCTTCCTGGTACCGCTCCTGTCTCAACTTCTCAAGTTCATCCAGCCGCCTAGATGATTCCTCCCGCAGTTGATTTCGCTTCTCCAGTCTAGCGCGTATCAATGGTGAGTCCGAGTAAAAGACACCTTCGATGAAGAAGAAAGAGTTGCTGGTCTTTTTGTCCGCAGTGTTGTGAACTTTGAAGGCATCCGAGAACTCGTCCCACTCTCGAAGCCCACTATCTGATGCGCACTCAAACGCATCCCTTAAGGCCGAGAGACGCTGACTCCCGAGGAACACAAACTCTTGCATCCGCTGGTCTGGTCGGTGTGCGCTGTACATGGCAACAGAGACGACCAATTCATCCTCCATAATAGGGACAAACGGCCGGCTGAAGCGAGGTGGTGCAGGCGGGGCGAGATTAAGGGGTGGGCGTTGTTGAATAGGGAGAAGAGTCTGAGACTTCAGAGCCAATGACTCCAGGGTGCTGTCCTCCAGTATCAACGAACATCTTTGGAACCTTGCCTCCAGAGATGTCTTTGTGATTCGATTCTCGATCTCCTGTTTTGCTCGCTGTTCTGCCAGGTGTTCAATGAGTTGAGCGTCATTTCCCAACTGCGCAAGCTCTGCTGCGGGCATGTCGGGTTCCGGCGGTGCTGATGGTGATGACTCCAGTGAGTCTGTGTCTGTGACTCCAGTAGTTGATGCCACTGTAGATGTTGTTGTCGCAGTTAGCCCCTCTGCAGATGCAGAGTTTGACGCCTTGTCCTGTATCCGCGTACCAGCCGCCTCCGCTTCCTTCTTGGATATCCGAGAAGCCCTCACACCCCTTATCGAACCCCTGATCTTTCCACGACCACTAACAAACGGCACTCTCCGCCGCCCACGATCCTTAGAACTCAACAACCGCCGCACATTATCATCGCCCATCGCCACAGGCCGCCCCAAATGCGGCGTGAACCTCCCCTTGATATGCAAGTTGGACCGGTCGCCAAACTCTGACACATCCTCCACTTTGCCGAAAACCGACGACCAGGTCGGCCGCAAGCCCCGGCTGACTGGTCCTTTCGTCGAGGACAGTCTCTCCTCATGCCACTCCTGCAGGAGACCCAGAACGGTCGGGTCTCCAAAGATATCGTTGACAAGCTCGGTCTCGTCCCAGGTATCAACCCTCTCGGCGATTTGTTGCTCCAGGTCCTTGTTGTCTGCAAAGTAGGCGTCGTAAGGGTCGGCGTCCTTTTGGTCTTGAAGGAGGCGGCGATAGTCGTCTGCGAAGGATTGCAGACGGAAGAGTTGTCCTTGGGGCTGAACGTTGACAATCGAATGGACGATCCTGGGGGCATCCAACCCCCATCCACCTGGCGGAGGTCTGCGATCCCGAGGACGACCGCTGTGAACTGATTCTTCCTCTCTCTCCATGATGTCTCCTGAATGTGCTGATGTGCTTGTGTTTGTAGGAAAGATCGCATGTCTTTTATTTCAGTGCTATTTTATGCGTGTCTCGCAGTCACTCCCTTTGGCACTTGATTCAATAGTTTAAAGCTTGTTTGAAAAAAATGTATTCTATGGTACGAAGAAAAACTACGATAATGACAAGGGTGGTTGAAGAACAGCGCAGAGAGATCATGTCTTGACTCGCTTGCGATGGCTTTCGTCGACTGGCCAGTCGTATCCAGGATCAGCGTTGCCAGAGACGGTAGCAGAAGGAAGAGAAATAGGAGAAGTCGGGGAGGACCAAGAATCGACATCATCTTCTTGGTAGGAGGACAGCTCGGGCGAGGCAGTCGACGACGATGCTTGGGCCGATCGTTTGACAGCCTTCACTCCAACCAGAGTCTCGGCAGCAGCCTTTTCGGCCGCCTTCTCTGCAGGGGTCAAGTGCGTGCGCTTGTGTCGAGTGAGCTGGTCTGGCCTAGAGAAACGCTTCTCACACCCAGGGAATGGGCACTGAGACGGACGTTCGCCGGTATGGACACGGAGATGCTTGGTCAAGTTTGAAGACTCTGCAAACCACTTGTTGCAGCCCTCAAACTTGCACTTGAAGGGCTTCTCGCCAGTGTGGATTCGACGATGGATCGTCAGCGCACCAGAGATCGAGAATGAGCGACCGCAGCCAGGCTCAGGGCACTTGAAGGGTTTCTCACCGGTGTGGATACGCATATGCTGGGCCATAATGTTCGCCTCTGAGAACCGCTTCTTGCAGATCGAACACTGGTAGGGCTTGTCTCCGGTGTGCGTTTGAATGTGCCTCATCGCCTTTTGTCGCTGACCGAATCCACGTCCGTTGCGCTCGCAACCCTCCCACTCACAAACGTACTCGCCCTTGCCGGTGCCGATGTGGTCCTCGCTCAGATGGGTGGTGAGCGAATCATAGTTGGAGAATGACCGCTTACAGCCCTTCCATCGACAACGGTGCTGTTCCTCTCCAGAACTTGCGTCACGATCATCCTGAATTGGTGGCGACAGAGGGTTAGGAGCGATAACGGGTTCCCTTGATGCAATAAGCTTGGCCTTGATCTCCGGACGCAAAGGACGAGCGTCGAGTGCAGCTTCTGCTGCTGCAGGGGGCAAGACAATGTGGTGGTCTGCTCGAAGATGATGTAATAGCTGGTCGCCGTCGGTTTGCTCAGTTTCACAAGATTCCCAGAGACACAAGGCGTGATCGTTCTCGGGTATGGGCACGTGTAGCTGAGATACGTGCGGCAGAAGGTCTTCCTGTGAGATAAACTCAGCAGTGCAGCCAGTCCAGAGACAGCGAATCATGTGGTCGATTTGAGCGTCGTCCATTGAGTCAGACCCGAGGGAGACACTGGACGAGGGTGTTCCTGCGAGGGAGCCCATAGGAGACCCATTGGAGAACGAGCCATGGCCATGGCCGTGGCTGTGAGTGAGGTTGAGGTTATGGCTATGGTTATGACCGTGGCTGTGGCTGTGGCCGTGGTTGGTATGGGTACCATGGCTATGACTGTGGGAATGGCCTCGGTTGTTTTGGTGGTTGCTGGTGTTGTTGTTGTTGTTGTACCCGTCATTATTCCCTCCGAGGATGTTGGTGGTGGTCGTGCTTGTTAAAAAGTGGAACGCCGAGGGTTGGTTGCAATCCATGCTGTTGCGCTGCGCATGGCCATCCGAGGTGCAGATCCCAGCGGGGTTCCAGCTAAAAACAGATTATACAGTCAATTAAGATGATCTCCAGCTTAAAGCAACACAATTGTATCAGATGTGAGAGCCAAAAGCTCTTTTGAGTCCCGGATATGGAAGTGGGAAGGCACAGGACAAAAAAATGACATCCAAGACTTACGGCTCATCGATAGAGTTGCACTGCAACGTCTGTGTAGAAAAATAATGCGGCGACTGCAGGGTGCCGACCGAGGTGGGCGAGGTGGATGCCTCCGAGGGTGCGACCGAGGTGGACACAGATCCAGGGGTGGACGAGACGGTGTCGGGACAGCAGGTGAGGCAACAATCGTTCAGAACCTCTGGATGTTCCGAGCAACAGTTGGGCGCAGCAGGCCCGACGATCATGCCGCCGGGTCGGACCAGGTCCTGGCAACAGTCCGAATCAATACCATCCTTGATGGCAGAGTCGATGATGCAGCACTCAATTTCCTGCAGTCCGTAAGGCGTGCTGGTCGGGGTCGAGTGAGAGCTGTTGCAGCACTCGAGGATATCGAGTTGCAGCTCCGATTGAGGACCACAACATGGAGTCGGCTCGACTGTAGTGCAGCAAAAGTCGTCAACAGTGTGGGTCAGCGTGCAACAGTCATCGATAAGAGCAGATGTTGCAGCCAGGCTATCGTTTCCGGGCAGAGGGTGGAAGAGCGATTGGCGCTGCTGGTGCTGGTGTTGAAGCTGCTGCTGAAGTTGATGTTGCTGCAGTTGCTGGTGGTGTTGGGCCAGTAATTTCTGCTGTTGCAGTTGTTGCTGTTGCTCTAACTGCTGCTGTTGTTGCTGGTGGTGATGGTGGAGCTGTTGCTGGTGGTGGTGCAGCTGCTGGTGTTGCAATTGCTGTTGCTGCTGTTGCAGTTGCTGCTGCTGAGCCTGATGTTGCTGCTGCTGCTGTTGTTGTTGCTGTTGCTGTTGCTGCTGAGTCACATACTGAAAGGATGACAGCTGGTGGTTGAGCGAACCGTCAAAAACCGTTGACATGACTTTGTGTCAAGTGAAGGGAGGAGAGGCAGAGGAAGGGAAGGGAAGGGGTATTGTTGGACGGTCAGCCGGGAGGGATGTGGGCAAAGTGTCAGAACATTGGAGGCCAAGTGCGGATAGGGGGGAAAGTCGAAGGGGATGAATGATAAAGGACGGTGGGAAGAAGACGGTGAAAAATAACAGTGAAGAGTGAGGGTTGTTGAGTTGAGAGAGGAGAGCGCCTTAGCAAATTACATAAATAAGTATTGACCCGCATAAATTGGGAACATAAGGATCACCGTAGTAACGCTATCGTAAATGTTAAACTGTGGGTGGCTCAGTGCGATCTATATCTGCATGTGTGCAATTAGAGGGGCTCATCAATATCATTGTCAAGGACACTGCCCAGTTCCCACTCACTTTGCTTGCAGGGTCAAGTTCATCCAAGAGCGAAGTGGGCGGAAGAACATTTGGCCATTGACGAGATAAAAGGTTAAGCGATTGAGAAGAATAATGCAGGCCAGAGCTGTACCTGTGCTACTAGTTTAGGAAGCCAACAAAGATGACCCATATGAGTGCAAACCTTGTTTGTACGATCTTTTATTTTTTCTCCGGAGTGACGATTTCATTGCTGATAACACGGGAAAGAGTCGCGCGCGCGCGTTGTGAGAGGCTCGCCAAGTGGAGGATGTGAGTAACATTGGTTGACATGCGATCTCGGCAGCCACTAAAAAGCCGAGGTCGGCTTGTACAGTGCAGTACACGCATAAAAGGAGATCAGTGCCCCCTCCCCCTCGGACATCTTTTTCCTCTTTTTCTTTTTTCTCACCCACCCACCTCACTCTACTCTACTGCACGCTCATCCCTCCTCTCTCTTTCTCTCATTCACCCCCACTCTCATTCCTCTTTCTTTCTTTCGCACATACATACACACACATATATATCAATAATGTCCTCTCTTCTCTCAGCAGCAGCAGCGCAGGTTGCTGGTCAGGTTAAAATGTAAGTCAACAATCTTCCGTGTTTTCCATAATATGTTTGGCTAGCCAGTCAAGTCTCTAACATATCCGGACCTTTTGATCTCTTTTCACATCTGACATAATAGCCATGCCAGAACTTCAGCAAGGGCAGCAGCGGTCCAGTGCCATCATTACTCGACTAGATCCAATAACTCTTCTACACCCGAGCTCAACAAATTCAGTTCCAAGATCACACAGCCAAAGTCGCAGGGAGCTTCCCAGGCCATGTGTAAGTTACTCCTCCTTGCAAAGATCAGAGAAGAGATCTCTTCACAGTTCGGACGATACTCTGAGTGAGAGTGAAGTTGGAGGAGATATCTTGATCCAAGGACAGTCTGGAGCCTAATTTTCTTACCTTGTCAACTAATCGATTTGCTCTTATTCACTTTCGATCTGATCATGTCCATTAGTGTATGCTACAGGATTGAAGGAGGCTGACATGAGCAAAGCCCAGGTCGGCATCTCCAGTGTGTAAGTATAGCTTTAGTTTTTACTCATCGCTCTCCTCTCTCCACATCGACGTTTATCGAGAGAGAGGGTCTTGACTGAGTTTCATTAGCGCGTCACAACATGACTCAATTGACTGACCGCCATCATTCTCTTTCTTTTCTTTCATACTTTGTCTTTGTTACTTTTCTTGCTCACATGTGACGGATGTGCAGTTGGTACGAAGGAAACCCCTGCAATATGCACTTGAACGATCTATCTGCGAAGGTCAAGGAGGGTGTCCAGAAGGCCGGACTTGTCGGCTACCGCTTCAACACCATCGGTGTCAGCGACGGTATCTCCATGGGAACTTCCGGCATGAGCTACTCTCTCCAGTCCCGCGACATCATCGCCGACTCCATCGAGACCGTAAGTGTCAGAAGAACAAACGAAAGCGGAAACTTTGTTGCTATCTTTTGAATCGAAGATGTGTGTGAAGAGTGGGAATGGGTTATTTAAAGTTCTTGTTTTCTTTGACCAATGAGTGCCTTCTATCCGAGGACTGGCACATTCGAACTTATCTGAGTACTAATCCGAAGCAATCCGATTCCTTTTTTCAAATAGGTCATGAGCGGACAGTGGTACGACGCCAACATCTCCCTCCCCGGATGCGACAAGAACATGCCCGGATGCTTGATGGCCATGGGTCGCGTCAACCGCCCTTCCCTCATGGTCTACGGAGGCACCATCAAGCCCGGCGCATCCGCCTGCAGCCAGGGAACCCTCGACATCGTCTCCGCCTTCCAGTCCTACGGATCCTACCTCGCCGGAAAAATCACCGAGACCCAGCGTCAGGACATTGTCCGTAACTCTTGCCCCGGCGCCGGAGCCTGCGGTGGAATGTACACCGCCAACACCAGTAAGTCCCTCTTCCTCCTGTTTCAATTGATCCACAGTCGAGAATGAACTCATTTATTTTATTGAAGGCTGTCTAACATATATCCCCTGTTTTTGTTGGTTCTAACTAATAGTGGCATCGGCTATTGAGGCGATGGGAATGACCCTTCCTTACAGTTCATCGACTCCCGCCGAGTACCCCGAGAAGCTTCAGGAGTGCTTGGATGCCGGAATGGCGATCCGCCACTTGCTCGAGAACGACATCAAGCCACGTGATATTATGACTCGCCAGGCTTTCGAGAACGCCATGGTTCTCACCATGATCTTGGGAGGCTCCACCAATGCCGTCCTCCACTTGATTGCCATTGCCCGCTCCGTCGATGTCAAGTTGACCATCGACGACTTCCAGAGCGTCAGTTCCCGCATCCCCCTTTTGGCCGACTTGAAGCCCTCTGGAAAGTATGTCATGGAGGACGTCCACCGTATCGGAGGCACCCCCGCCATCTTGAAGTACCTCCTCGAGGAGGGCTTGATCGACGGAGACTGCTTGACCGTCACCGGAAAGACCATGAGCGAAAACTTGAAGAACGTCCCTGGTCTGATCGAGGGTCAGGATGTCATCTACCCCCTGACCAAGCCCATCAAGCCCGATGGTCACTTGTGCATCCTCAAGGGTAACCTTGCCCCCCTCGGATCGGTCGCCAAGATCACCGGAAAGGAGGGTCTCTTCTTTGAGGGACCCGCCAACGTCTACGACCACGAGTCGGACATGTTGCGCGGATTGGAGAACGGCGAGATCAAGAAGGGCCAGGTCATCATTATCCGCTACTCCGGCCCCAAGGGAGGCCCCGGTATGCCCGAGATGTTGACCCCTACCTCTGCCATTATGGGCGCTGGACTCGGAAATGACGTTGCTCTCTTGACCGATGGTCGCTTCTCTGGAGGATCCCACGGATTCATCATTGGTCACATCACGCCCGAGGCCCAGGAGGGAGGCCCCATTGGTTTGATCAATAACGGCGATATTATCACCATCGATGCTGACAACAAGACCATCGATGTCAAGGTCACCGACGAGGAGATGACGGCAAGACGGGCCGTCTGGGTTGCACCCCCATACAAGGCCACCCGCGGCACCCTTTACAAGTACATCAAAAACGTCAAGAACGCCAGTGAGGGATGTGTTACCGACGAGTAAAACCCCTTTTTCAATAAACACCATGTACATTTATCACTTCTATTCTACATTCACCATGATCGAATGACAGTCACCTTAGTAACTTCGCTCGATGGCGTTTTTTGTGAATGACACCATCGCCAGGACCTTTCCGCCCAATAGATAAAAGGCCATCACCTGTCCGCCCGCTCTTTTCTCTTTTTCTTTCTCTTTTTCTTCAACCTCTCCTACACTCACACATACACTGCCTTCCAGCTCACCCAGCAACCAAACCATAAGGACACCAACCACCTCAAAACATCCACCTCCCCTTTAGGACATACATATATCACCAAAGAGAAAATGACCATCGAAATCCGCCACCCAAGAGTCGAGATTGAGTTCTGCACAGGATGCAAATGGTACCGTAACAAGGTGACAGGAAACGATAAATTGGCATGCAAGAGACAGAGAGCGAAACTGCTGCACCTTCATCGGACTCTTCCGTGAATACACCTTACATGGATCATGAACCCCAAATATCAATTTACTTACTATCTTGGCTCCTCGTCTTCCTGTCATGGGAAAAATATATATATATAGGCACCTTCGTGCGGGATGGATGGCTCAGGAACTGCTCCTGACTTTTGGAAACACCATCGGAGAACTGGCCTTGATCCCTGGAAAGAGCGCAACTTTCATCGTGCGAGTCAATGGAGGTAAACAAAACCCGCTTCACAGAGCGCAACACCACATGTTACTGTCGTTCGAAGGTGTCGAGGGGGTCTTGACATGATAAGATCGTAGGTCCTAACCAATTTTACCTCGTGGGTCTTTCTTTATTAGATGTAGTGTTTGACCGCAAGGACCATGGTCGGTTCCCAGAGATGAAGGAGGTCAAGCAATTGGTGCGGACAGTTATTGCGCCTGAGATGGGACTTGGTCATAGCGATAGTAAAGTCAAGTCTGCAGAGCCAGCAGGAGCGTCAGAGGCAGCACAGGGACATGAGGAGACGAAGAAGGCAGAAGCTGTAACAGCGACACCTGCACCAGCCACATCAGGAGCAGCAGTAACGGACGAGGACGATGAAGATTATACCGCCCACGATAAGGAGTGCAAAACGTGCCTGTGAGTTCTCCCTCGTGATACTCAGCCAATAAAAATCCAACGATTTGAACTCAGTAACCTCGTGGATGAAATGAAAAAAAGCCAGGCGCGTAAAGTCACCAGGAAAGATCTATCTGAGCGAAACTAGGATGCAGGAAAAAAAAAGGGCGTAGAACCCCAGGAGGGCAAAAAAAGTTCTATTGCCCGTGGTTTTCTTCTTTAGGGCTCACCTGGGGATGGGGATGGATGGCAATACACTAAGTTCTTTATTGGCATGTTTACGGGCATGGCATGACATGACTTGTTGAAACGAATAATGCAACCCCCGTTTCCTTTGGCTTTGCATTCTTCTTATCGCGGAATGTCCAGAAGCCACATTGATACCATTTATCTTCTCCCTTTTCCTGTCCAGGGCACTACTGCACTAATGCATCCCTCACTACCCCCTTTGAAATGTCCGAAGCCTCGATGGATTCCATCCTGGTACCTTATTTTTGTCTCAATAACATACATCATCACTGGGGTTATTATTACCTCGCCTCCTACTCCTTCACTCCTACTATCCAATTGTGTCTCTCCTTTCCGCCATCTCTCATCCTCCTTTATTCGAGCTCTAGAGCGCTATGTCTATTTTAGAACATAAGGAGTAGGAGGAGGAAGAGGAGATGTAGTTCCCTAATAGCGTCCCTTGATTCTTTCCTTCTCCATTCTCCTCACATTTTTCATGTCCTAGTCATTCATTCATTGCCTCCATTGCCATCATATTCCATATCTCCCTGAAAAAAAAATATACTTAAAATGCGAGATGCTCGGTGAAGTTGGTTCCTGGCTTTTTAGGAGGCTGTCAGATGTCCGCCTGCTAGTCTACCTGTCTACCTGCCGCCCGCCCTTTTGGTTCCTGAATAATTTAGAGCACGCCCTCCTTTTCTTTTGATAATGTATCCATTTTCACCTCAATGATGCAAGGAGAAAGGGGAAGGAGGAAGAGGAGGAGGAGGGGGAGCAAGTTAAAAAATGATGGCGAAGGAAAAAAAGATAGTACATTCTGCAATGTAGCTAGTTAGCACTTTGAGAAATGAAAGATGGAGGAGATGGACATTGCTGTTAAATTAGGGACCCTCGCTAATGCACCATCGTCAACGTGGATATTGTCACCCACCCAATACCGGCAAAGGGAAGGGAGAAGGGAGTAAGACACAGAAGTAACCCCAAAAATAGATCACAGACACAAAAGAAATAGTGAAGCGAGAAAAACAAGAGGTGGAAGTAAGAAAGAGAAGGGAGGGCGAGAAATATTGAGCAGAGAGGGGGCAGGGCTGAGGAAGGGAGAGGCTGCAGGGCACAAAATGCAGATCCATGGGGTCTGCCTCACTGTCTGTTGTTTTCCTAATGCACCAATAACCGTGCGTTTGCATTTAAATTCTGGATCTCATGCACAACCCTTTTCCTCTCTCTCTCTCTCGTTCTCCCTTGTTGAAAGAAAGAGAGAAATGAGAGCACAAATGTGGGTGAGAGAAATAGAGAGAGGAAGAAGCTCCTGTGTTCATGCCGAATGGCAACTTGCCCCTCCCCCTCTCTTCTCTCCCCTTTCCACCAGCTCCCCACCGGTTACAATAGGCGAACAGAGCTGCATAATGACTGAAGATGCGGAAACAAAACACAAAACAGAAAACGGAGGGTAAGAACAAACAAAATGTGTGAGACTAATTGTACCTTCCTCTCCCTTTCCTCGCCCACAATGACGGTGGACATGCTCTCATCCAGTCAAGGAAAATAGTCCACGCAAATTACGGGAAGACAGGACTGGCAAGCAGGAGGCAATTGAGAATTGAGAATTGAGAATTGCAATGCTCTCAAGAAGGTGACCCGTTCTAACTATGCAGCATGTTTTTTATTTCTTTTTGTCCATTGTCGAACCCGTTTGTTGATATAATGTGGTTCGTGCGATGATCGTAAATAGTTTCTATTGCTCTCTGAATTAAAAAGTTAAGGTGGATGGGATGGTGGGGATGCCGAATCACTATTGGTCGGGACATGTGTCCAACAGAATGGAAATTCTAAGGGGATCGTCTTTCTTTGTGTTCGCGTTTGAAGAATCAACTCACACGCACAACAAACAAGCAAGAGAAGTTTCCTGGGTAGGCCTTGGTCTCATTTTGCCCTTGAAGCATGTATCTGAGTAGGGAGAGAGAAACAAAGACGCGAACAAAACATATATGCCGGATCCCTTCACCTCCTTCTCTCCACTGCCCCAATTTCTTCTCCCTGTGTCTAGGCCCCTTCAACATGGAGTCTTTCTAGGAATGGGTTGAAAGGAGAAAAAAACGCGTCAAGGGGAGAACAAATCTTTTTCAGAGCCACCCCACTCCTATGCCACCTCACTCCTATACTCCTATGACATCTATGGGTCAATATAGCTCCGTTTCTATCTAGGAAAATAATGTTCGTCGTGTGTGTGTGGTTGCGTAGAGCAAAGGAGAAAGAGAGAGTGCGGCTCATCTTTAACATCCTATCACCCACCCACCCTCAGACTCGACCATTGATATGACCCAGAAGGAGAATCCGCCTTTTTGTCGTTCTTCTTCCCTTTGATTCGGTGTAGAGGGAGATCGCGATGCGAACTGCTGAGCTGCGCATGTGTGACACCTGACATTGAAGTCAAGAGGAAAGGAAAGGGGGCTAACATGGCTGAAGTGCGCTACTGCTGGGTGTGCTTGCATAAAGGATCAAGGTGCTGAGCCGGATCAACGTTTTTTATGCTCGATTTTACAAGAGATGGGGCACATTACTGCTATGCTGTGGGCTGTGGACGAGTTGCCTATCAACAAGAAAGCTAGGAGATCACGTTTCTATGAATTTTCGCCATGCCACAGATAAAGATCAACAAAAATCGAGTTCCCGATCCAACGCGAGTGGGAGAGATAGGGAGAAGCTACGGTCGGGTAGATTATCAGGGTCACACACAGTTCAGGGGTGTAGCACGAAAAAAAGGAAACAAAAACAAAAACGAGCTCGTCCCGTCCTTGTAGGGCCACAATCCACCTAGCTCTTTCGTCGGAAAACAAAAGGGAAGAACAGGGGGTAGCAGGGGATGATGAGGGAAGAGTACTAATGAGGGGGGAAAGGAAATGAGGACTGCGTCGTTGGGTAGCTTGCTTGCATAACAAACCTTTTCAAGAGAGAGAACCAACCCTCCTTTCCTCTGCCTTCCTGCACTCACAAGGCAGCAGCCATAAAGGGAGAGTGACGAGTGTGACGGTGGGGTGGCAGTGGTGGTGGTGGCAGGTAGGTAGACAAGGAGGAAGGTAGGTGCCTTTTGGCCATGCGGGCCTGCCCTGTCTTTTTCTCGAGGGGTGAAGAAGGCGATATGCGCGCCAAAGGCAAGAAAGAGAAAATCAAAGCGAGAGTAGCAAAATCTGCCTCTCTGCCCATGCCTTCTTGGTCAGACCTTGGATTGGGTATGTCGGCATAAAAAAAAGAGAGAATAAGAGAGTGAAAAAAGAGGGCGCTGCGCGAATGAGAACACGCGGGTGAGGCGCGTTCTTGTTTGCCGAGACTGAGGATGAGAGTGAGGCAGGCAGTACCCGACCCTAGCAGCGGTAAATTACCAATAGAGAGAGATATAGAGAGCCGCGTCTTGTTCGCGAGAAAGACAGACACGGTTCGTTTTTGACCGTCGTTCATATTTATCTGACTCGCAATTCTTAGTCCGCTTGAATCTTCTCTTCTTCTTCCTCGTCTCGTTCACCCCCTGTTTTTCTTTCATTATCGTCGTTGCCTGCCTGCTTGTCTGTTGATCGTGTCGTTGGAGACACCCTTGGACTCTTTCAGAAGACATACTTTCCTGCGGTACAAAAACGCTGTTGAAAACAGCCAAAGAATCCATGACAACAGCAACAACAACAACAACAACAACAACAACAACAACAACAACAACAACAACAACAACAACAATAACAACAAAAAGAACCCCCGCTCCTCCTCCTTCTCTTCTTCCGTCTCTTCCTCTCCTTTTTCTTGCAACTAAAAGCGCGTTCCATGGGTCAGGCGGGTAAGCAAGGGAATGCACAAATAAACACGAAACTCATTGTCGTTGTTCGTGTTCTTTGTGAACATGATGAGAGAATACGAATGACTCTTTCGCGTGCGTCTGTCCGTCCGTCCATCCATTCCTCCTTTGGTCGGGACTCCCTCCTTGTTCTTTGTTGCTTTTGATTACCCCTTGGATGGCCACTATCTCTCTTCCTCTGCCCTTCCTTCACTTGATTCTCCTCCTACTACTCCTCGTCGTTGTTTTCCTCCTAGCTCTTCTTCTCCCTCTGACCTACTCTCCTTTCGCTCTGACTCTGCCCCCAAAAGCCATCAGGCTAAATATCCATCTAACTCCTTTGTCTAGGGTTCTAAACTACTCGCTTTTCTTCTTGATTCAAAGCAGAAATCCAGTCTGAAAGAATACTGTACACCTTGAAGTATCCACGACATCAAATAACTATCCTAAGTCTTCCCAATGTTTGCTGTGTTCATCCGATGCGCTATATCTCGATTGTCGCGCTGAGAAAAAAGGCAGTAAATGAAGAAACCTGACACGTTATTTTTCTTACTGCTTTACGCCATCTATTGTGTTTTGTGCAACACGAGCGTGAGGAATGTTGGCAACACGCACAAAAGAAAGGTACCTATTATATTTCATGTGTTTGGTTTTGCAGAAGATATCTGAACAAGAACGACCATGTTGTTATCTGTGGGTTAAGGTCACCAGTCACCTCTCTAATTATGTTGCCTTTCTCACAACCCAGACGGAGCCCTATAGGTGCAGCAGCAAGCAGCAAGGTAAAGTAAGGAAAGGAGATAAAGCGATCGTCGCGACAGGCCACCCCGACAGACCCGACAATTGTGCTTCTTCATCTTCTCTGCCTTGCCTTGGCCTTTACTTGGGATCCACCCCCCTCTTTCCTCCCCTCGTTTTTTTGCCTCTTTCAACTACTGTACTGAGAGGCTTTTGCTCCCCCCAAAATTTACACTCGATATGTAGGATCCCAGACAAGGACAAGAAAAAAAAAAGAGGGGGGGAGAGAGAGAGAGGACAAAGAGAGTCTAGTTGGAGATGGTAAGGTGAAAAAAAAACCAGGAGGAACTCTTGAGATAAACTGGCTGAGAGAAGAAAAAAAAAGAGGGACGAGAGGAAGAGGATGGGCTGGTGCGCGCGCGAAGAGGGTGAGTGAGCGAAGTCAGAGACAAAGACGCCCGCATCCTTGGAGAGACTGTGGTTGCGGGATGGTGCTGCTGCATGTAGTGTGTCTGTTTTGTACTGTATGTTGACATGGTTGGCTGGTCCTGTTTGTTTGTTTTGTTTGTTCGCTCGACTGAACTCTTTTTCTCTTCACCCCTTGAACTTTTTTGTTGCCCACTGACGACAAAGGATTGTCCATGATTGAATAAACCAATGCAACCCCGTCCTATTCAATTGGACCCATTCGCTCCTCCCTTATTCTATTCCTTCATTCTCTCATTCACTCCACCTCCCTTATTTTTTCCCCTCTCGCCCTCTCTCCTTCTCTCTCTCTCTCTCTCTCTCTCTCTCTCTCTCTCCCTCTCGCTCGCTCACTCCTTCTAATTCTCGCTTGCTCTCGTTATTCTCTCGCTCACTTCGCTTCCACTGAGGGCATTACTCTTTTGTGTTTTGTGTTTTGTGTTTTGTTTATTGTCCGTGGCTGGGTCTTCTTCCTCCACCTTCTCTCTCCCTAATATCGGGAGGATTGAGTAAAAACAACGCAGATGGAGTGACAGTTGGCGATTCACTCAGGATTTTTATTCAATTAAAATAAGAATAATGGCTCAAGCGCACACATCGCCTGATGCAATATTCATTTTCTTCGTTGAGACACGGCGCAACAGTCGATAACAGAAGAAGAAGAGTAAAAGAGGAGGTGCACCATGGAGACTGTTGTACATGCGACTCTTGCGGCTGTTGATGATACCGCCACTTACTGCAATTTTTCATTCGATTCCTTTGGGCCTTTTGTCTTGCTAATTACTGTACTCAGCTGTTGCTTCTCTATTGCTTTACTTGTCACCCTTTTTTTTATGTCCCGTCACCTTTTCTTCCTCTCTTGTTCCTATCCCCCTAATGCGATGCTCATGCTTGTTGCCAACTGGGTACCGAGAGTGAGCATAGAGAAGGAACAAAAGGGTAGCAAATAAAGAGACAAAGGCGAGGAACCGACGGATGTCATTGGGATGGGGAAGGTACCTTTTGTTTATTACATGGGCGGATGCAACATGTATGTATGCAGCTATCCGCCTCGGCCTCAGTCAACCGTTTGCTCCTGTTGTGAACAATATGTCGATTCAACTAATGAGAGAAGTAGAGATAACCCCTTCCCTTTTCCCTTCCCTCCCTTTAGCAGCCAATCCCCATCTGCGGGTGCAATTGACCATCCAATGCAAACAGCACGAACAATAACGCGCGAAAGGAATGAGTACTCAAAGGGAAGTAAAGAATGGGGCACGTTGATCACTCTTTTGGCCTTAGACGTATAAGAGGACGGGGACAGCAACGCCCCCCTTTTTCATCATTCTCACATCTCTCACATTCGCTTCTCTGCCTCTTCGTCTATCTTTCGCTTCTCTCTCGCTCTCTCTCTAAACTATCAACACCCCCCTTCTCTTTCTCTCTCGCCGTCGTCTTTCTTACATCCACCCTCCATCTTCTTTCTTTGTCTTACTCCTTTAGTTCACTCTCGTCTTTTCGCTGTACCAATCAATCCTCTATCTATCCACTGTTGCCTCTCTTTCTCTTTCGACAATATCCATCCAGTGTCTTTGACCCCCTTGTGCTTTTTGCGGTGCAGAAGCAAGACTGAATCATCCTTATTCTTCGTTCCATTTAAATACCGCGCACCTCCTCCCATCCTTTTTTCTTCTTTCAACATTCAACAGCACCAAGAAAAAACAGCTATTCCAACGTGCTTTTTTTTCAACACCTCCTCCACCCCTCATTTCAACATTGACAGAAACCTTGTTCCGTCTTTGCCTACTCCATAACCAAGCCCTCCCTCACCCCTTTCCCTGTGTTTATTCCCTCTACCCTACCCTGTAGATATCTCCCACTTATTTCGTTTCACCTTTTTTTGTTTTCTTTATAGTCCTCGTGCGCTGCCTATTGATTGCCTTTTTCACTTTTTCCTTCTCTTTCTTTCTTTCGCACAGCATTGCATCAACTCCACTTTCTCTAACACACCCGATTGTTTTTAATTTCCCAACCAAGGACATCCAAAACTACCAAAAACACGGTTGCTCTTTCATTTTTCTATATATTGCCCAACCCAATCTCACCCATTCTCTTTTTCTCTTCTTACTCTTTTCTCACATCCCCCTTTTTCTCCTCATTATTTTGCCGCGTTGGCTCAGCTCGCCCTGAACCGTTCTCCTTCACTCTCCTTTCACTCTTGTGCTCCATTATCCATCCGAGCTCAACAGCCTCCTATACCCCATTGTCGCCAAGTTTTTTTTTATTTATATACTACTGCCCATCCTTCTTTTTCTTTTTTTTTCTTCGTCTACTACGCACCACCGACCCACCGTCCTCTTCTTCTCCTTCACCTCTTCTCCTTTCCTTCCCCTGCTGAATAACAACCTCTACAGCCTCCCTCCATCCTTGCTTTATCCTGGCCCCTTTTCCGTTAATAACTTGTTATAATTGGCCTCGACCCTTCTTTATTCCTTTATTCTCTTTTCATTTCCCCTCCGTCTTTGACACTCCTCCGTCACACTTCTCGTTTTTATTTAAACCTCCTCATTATTCGATATAGCCCAGAACCCCCTTCCTCTTTCCGTCTCTTTCCTCGACTTTGACACTTTCCCTCCCTTTCCAAACACTCGTATAACTCTACAACACACCCTTCAACATGGTGGGATCAAAATCGGTCAATCCTCTGCCCTACTCTGACTTCCGGAGCGACACTGGTGAGTAGAGTAAAGCATTATGAAGGATGTAACAAACAGGCTCACTCAAACAACTTAATTGCAACACATGGCTTCTACGCGTTGTGGTTTGTGCTTAATTGCCTTTGAGTGGTCGTACGAGTTACAATGCTACCAGAATCTGGCTTTTCGTTGTTTGTTGTTGCCTTAGTTACTCATGTTTTTTTTCTGTCCCAATTTTTTTCCGTTGTCTTGCTTAATGCTTTGTGCCTGGATTATGACGATAGCTACTGCGCCAACGCCTGAAATGTTTGCAGCGATGATGAAGACTTCTCTTGGAGACGATGTCTATAATGAGGACGACTCTGTCAAGAAGCTCGAACGATATGTGGCCACGCTCTGTGGCCACGAGGCTGCTCTCTTCTGCTCATCTGGCACTATGGTAAGAACGCTAAACCACAACAATGGAAAATGAACAATTGAAAAGAAAGATAATATGCAAGTATGTGTCAATGGCTCTTTTCTAAGACATCTCTACTTCTCTGTTTGCCCTGGCTATTGAACCCTACATGATAACCACACGCTCATCTAGACAAACCAATTGGCTCATCGTGTCCACCTGTCCAACCCACCACAGTCGGCGATGGTTGACATTCGATCCCACGTCTTCAATTACGAGGCCGGTGGCATCTCCTTCCACTCACAAGCTGCCGTCTACCCTATCATGCCCTCAAACAACAAGTACCTCACTGCTGAGGATGTCGCCTCAAGACTGGTTCTCGATGTCGATGTCCACTATGCCCCCACCCGATCCATTTCGCTCGAGAACACCCTCAACGGTACCATCATGCCCATTGAAGAGATGGAGCGGATCCGTATCCTCACCAAAGAGCACGACATCAAGCTTCATCTCGACGGTGCTCGTCTCTGGCACGCCAGCATTGCCACTGGCATCTCGATGAAGGAGTACTGCAGTCACTTTGACACTGTCTCCCTCTGCCTCTCAAAGGGCATTGGTGCCCCCATTGGTTCGATTCTAGTCGGCAGCGAGCTGACCATCAAGAAGGCTAGACATTTCCGTCTGCTTTTCGGTGGTGGCTGGAGACAGGCTGGTCTTTTGGCCGAGGCCGCTCTCTGGGGTATCAAGAACAACTGGCCCACGATGGAGGATACTCATCGTCGTGCAAAATGGCTCGAGCGCGTCTTCCTCCAAGTCGGATGCCAAATCACCAACCCTGTCGATACCAACATGGTCTGGGTCGACACGACGAATGCGGGCTTCTCGGTTGACGACTTGATTGTTGAGCTCGCCAAAGAGGGGATCAAGATTAGTGGAAGTGGTTGCCAAGCGCGTGTGGTTTTGCATTACCAGATCTCGGACGAGGCAGTCCAACAGTTTATTGAAGTCCTCCGCAAGATGGCTCACTCCCATCGTATGAAGGTCAATGTTGATCTCATCAAGACCTCGATGCGAGAGCAGCCACATAGTGTCTTCGACGACGAACACAACGACAAGATGACTCCCCCTTCTCCTCCTCTCTCGCCCGACAGCCCTATCCTCGGACAGATCAAGACCTTCTCCAAGGGCCAATCTTCAGAAGCGAATCATCGGCCCGAGAAGAAGACTAGCGACTCGGATGCAGAGGATGAGGTCTTGCCACGGTCTAGTATTCAGAGCGGCCCCGACATGAAGCGGTGTCTGTTTAAGGAGAGCAACGAGCCTACCCTCGATACCACCGAACCCTTCCAGCCTTCATCCCGCCGCTCGGCACCACGGCTGATGAGTGCCTACTACGAACCCGAGCTAATGACGGCCAGAGTCCGCGAGGCCGAGCAAGTATTCGGTATGCGCAAGAGCTTTGGCGAGCGCCTGTCGGAAGACGACGAGAGCCATTCTGAAGACGATCAAGTCCCCTCATCTAGGATGATCCGGACGACACAGTCTCTAGACCTTCAAGAAATCGAGGCACGTGCAGTAGTAGAACAGTTGGCTGCAGCAGTGGACTCACAGCGGCCCCAGACGGCCGTGTCGACGTGCGAAAAGAAGAAGGTCAAGAAGATCCAGTATCGTCTAGCCCATAACACCGCCAGCAAAGCCTTCAAGCGCGCCAGTGTCCGGATCGTTCGCTGGGGTAGCTTTCTGAACCGCGAAGCATAATAACAGTTACCCACATTAAAAAAAGAACACATACATCTATTAACGCCTGAACGCAATACCCTTTCTAAACACCTGATGTTCACGTTGTAGTCATCATAACGCATTTTTTCCTATGTCATTAAAAAAAAGACCCATCTCTTGGTCGTTTGCTATCCTCATAATTAAAAAACATACGATCTCGTTCCTGCGCGAAAGAACCGAGCTCGCATCTTTTGGTCCGTGTCAACCATGTCATGTAAAGTGAGCAGTGGTTAAAAAGAAGCGCCTGCTCTCACAGTTTTGTTTTTAGGTGTTCAAGATTTTCTTTTCTGTGATCAGACTAAGAGAACACCTTTCCTCTTTTTTTTTACGCTTTTGTCAGAAGAAACCTTGCATGATGCATGTGGCCGTGGGCTTGACTCAACGGATACCTCCCCCCCTCTCCTCCTCTCCCCCTCTCATGGTCCTTATCGATCCTCCGTTCCGTTCTTTTTTCTCTCTTTGCCTTGCCATTCTTTTGCCGAGGTACATAGACAAACAGACCATCCATCCAGGCCCGCTTAGGCGCACGTTTGTATGCCCCGCATGACCATCCCCAAGCCTACGCCCATGCACACTCCGCCAGACCATCCTTTTTTTCACACTTTCCAACAGACCGAGCGGACATTTTTTTTTGTCTGTTGGATCTTTTTGCATGAATGATGCAGGGGTATGGGAACTGGATCCAACGCCCAAAATCACAGGCAACAAAAAAAAAAGAGAAAGAAAAAAAACCTAGATAGTTAGGGGATGCATACAACCCAGCCAGAAAAAGGGGAACTATGAATAGGACTGGGCCATGTACCCCCCCCCCCTCCCCTCCCCACCCCCACTCCTTCTCTACTCCTTCCTTTTTCGCCAACGCCATTGGCATTCTCCAGCACTTGAAAAGAAAACAAGTGCAGTATATCATGCAGCAAGCAAGCAATGGCGCCCAAAAGCAGATAAAAGGCAGTTCAAAGGAATCAAAGACAAGGCAGAAAGATATATTCCAGCGAGGGGGTTGAATGGGCGAATGATGAAAAATACAAACAACCAGAAAAACGGAGAGAACAAAATCAAACGGCTGTACAAAACAAAACAAAACAAAACAAATGGCCCGTGAAAAACAAGCAATCAGAAGCTGAACATGTAAACAACCAGAAACCGACGATAATTCTTGATGTGCATGGGTAACATGTCAATAACAAAGGCAAAACAGATAGACAAAGTAGACAGAAGTCAAAAGTAAAAGTTTGGGATTGTTAGTGAGATTGCAATATCTCTTTGCTAGACCTCATGTCATCAATACACTATGAAGACTGTTAGAAGGATGTGACAAAAAAAATAGGTAAATGCAATAACTAAGATAGAGAAGTGACTAAAGAGGTAGGGAAAACGGAGTTGGAGGAAAAGTGGTTCCCAGAGTTACGGGAAAATGGAAAAAAAGGGAGATAGAACAAGGGGTGTTTTGAAAAGGTGGAGGGGAGGTGAGGAGGAAGGTAGAGGAGAAAGAAAAGACATGGCTGGTGAATGGATGGGGCTGCTGTCGAGCTTTTCAGGGGGTGGTGGGCAGACAGACAGACGGACGGAGGGTCAGTGGTGGTGTTTTAGTGTCATGTTTTGTAGCTCGTTGTATTTGTCGAGCCACTCCAATGAACCTTGTTCGTGTTCACTCTAATCTCCCAACAAGGGACATGTTGAGATGAAAGGCGAACTTTAGGGGAAAAGGAAGTCTTCCGTGAAGGAGAGTAATGTACCAGAAGGGGCGACAATAGGGAGAGGAAGGAGACGAGGAAGAGGAAACTGTGGATGACGGAGGATGAAGAACTTTCATTCCGTGGAACAACACCGTGTAGCCACTCATCGTTTTACTTAGTGCGAATTATCCCAATCATTCCCTGAAAGGATGATCCCCTTTCGACTGTCTCCCTTTACTAAGTGGCCTTTTGCTTGTTCCTTTGGTCAAGGGGTTTTTCTCGTTAGTTTTCTTCTCAACCCTCTTTTTCCCGTTGCCTTTTGGACATAAAACACCCAAGGAACAAAAAGACGTCAGGGTGAACCGTGCATGGAGTCATTTCAATTTTTTGCACTGACCTTTGAGGGAAGGCCTAGAAAGAAGAGGCAAGGGGAGGGGAAACAAAAATTTGCCTCTCCTTTCTGTGTTTCATGATATTGCGTTATTGCACTTGCCAGCCATTCATCCAGGGCAGTGGAGTACCCTCCAACATTGTTCTTCCATGGATAGAGAGAAGGAGAGCCAGGCAAGGCATCAAGGAGAGAAGGGACGGGAGATGGAAAATGAGGGAGAAAGTCAAGGGTGACATTGAGCGTGGGTGGGAACGAGATGAGCCTGTAATGCTTCCTGGGAATGATTGAAAAAAAGGACTTGAAGGGAAGTAAGCACTTTGCCAATCTACGTGGCGCAAAACCTATGTCTTTACTCGACGCGTCTTTTTTTTCTCTTTTTTTCGCGCCGAGCAAACCATAAGCAATTAGAACGTCACAGAAGAGCGGAACGATGTATGATCGTATGTTCTTCGTGCAATTGAGTTTCAACCCCCTATGAAGAAGGAACACTCGTCTTTTCTTTTTTGAAGAACACACGCACACCTACACGCTCGATCGCCTCGGAAAGACAGGTAACAACCCATGGGCACACGACAATTGCCAAAGCAAGGGATCACGAACAGCCTGGAGAAGAGAAAGATACAGCGAAGGATTTACAAGAATAAAACACGAACACGGTCCTTGGTCATTTATAGGTCCTGAAGGAGATCTTGATCATTGAACAAGCGATCTAGGAGCACTTTCAAACTCATGCACACTACCTTCACACGTTACTGTTCATGTCATTAGGGTTACCGCCATGAGAGAATTGCCACAGAAGGAAGCCAACTTGTTCAAGCAAATCTTGGTAAGGAAAGGTTTCTAACATGGCAAGACCTTTTGTGCGATCGATGGGCACTTGTTGACCTCGACCTTTGGTCGTCCGTAGACTCAATCAGGAGATCCAGTGTGCTAATCTACTTTTTTGGTCCTTTGTCCCTTGCCCCTCACCAATGTCGTACCATCGCATAGAAATGCTATGAAAACAAGCAGTACAAGAAAGGATTTAAAGGAGCCGAGCAGATCTTGAAGAAGTTCCCCGAGCACGGAGGTAATCAACAAGCCGAAACAACAAATCCGATATCAGGAGCAAGGAACTTGTCGCTTCAACACAACATCCGATACTTTGGCAATCAAATCTAAAGCTATTCATTTCTTTTTTCAATTGAATACTATTAGAAACTTTGGCCCTGAAGGGATTGTTCCTTAACCATTTGGACAAGAAGGAAGAGGCATACGAGTTTGTCAAGAAGGGTCTTCGCCACGATTTGCGAAGCCATGTCTGTAAGTCAGCAGCCAACGCCATCTTCAGGAGCAATAGAGAGCAAAAAAGCAAACCAGGACGGGACGAGGAGGAGCGTATGTGTTCATGGAAGACACTTCACTAACGTCTGGAATATCGACAATCGACCACCTTTCTCGTCTTTCCCCTTGACTTTTAGGCTGGCACGTTTTTGGACTGTTGTACCGTTCGGACAAGAACTACGAGGAGGCTCTGAAGTGCTACTCTCAAGCTCTCAAGATTGACAAGGTAACAGACCAACAGCAACTAGTGCAGTTTTGTTTGTGTTGTCCCCTCTTCTTTTTGCAGATCAAGGAGTTGAAGTGTGCCAGCTCGATCGGCCACCTGCCTCTAATATGCTATCGTGTTTGAAACGATCATTGTGTTATAGGAGAACCTTCAAATTTTGCGTGACTACTCTTTGCTTCAGGTACAGACCAGGAACTATGAGGGCTTTGCAGAGACTCGCCACATCTTGCTCGAGCTGCGCCCTCAGAACAGACAATTTTGGATCGGTTTGGCTATCGCCTACCACATGATGGGCAAGCCTGACCTGGGGATCAAGGTCTTGACCGCCTACGAGGAGACTCTCAAGGTGAGCATCTGTTTTTTATTCAAATGGGCCAGAGGACTTGCGATTCGTCACATGCAGAAGACCATGACATCTAATACCAATAATTCGAATTCGATTGCGTAGGATGTCCCCGCGAAGCCCGACTACGAGCATAGCGAGATGTTGCTGTACCACAACTCGATGCTGGAGGAGACTGGCGACTTTCAAGCAGCACTGGATCATTTGGATACGATCGAGAAGCACGTTTGTGACCGTATCGCTCTTCGAGAGAAGCGCGCCAGGTACCTTTTGGCTCTCGGACGTCAGGAGGATGCCGAGAAGGCTTACAGAGAATTGATCGCCCATAACCCCGACAAATTTGCCTACTTTGACGGCCTTCGCAAGAGCATTGGACTTGGTCACGATAACTTGTCAGCAGAGGAAGAAGCTAAGCTTTTGGAGCTCTTCAAGGAGCTTCAGAAGGAGTACCCTCGTTCAAATGCCGCCAAGCGCCTTCCCCTGCGTTATGCCACTGGAGATGCCTTTGTTAAGGTTGCTGACGAGTACATGCGCAACAACCTCAGGAAGGGTGTCCCTTCGCTCTTTGTCAACATGAAGACCCTCTTCGCCAATAAGGAAAAGGCCCAGGCTGTCGAGAAGTTGGCTCTCGGTTACCTCGCTGCCCTCGACAAGACTAAGGGCTTTGACAATTCTGGTATGGATCTTGCGAACTTGTTCTGGATTTTGCGCTGTGGATGAAGGAAACACAAGAAGGATATATTGGATCGGAAACTAACGATTTTGTCCCCACATCTGGTTTCCTGCGGACAGGATCGACTGTTGAGCCACCAACTGCTCTTCTCTGGACCTTGTACTTTGTCGCCCAGCACTACGACTTCAAGCGCGAGTCGAATGAGGCTTTGACTTACATCAACCGCGCCATTGAGCACACCCCTACACTCGTGGAACTCTACATGACTAAGGGACGCATTCTCAAGCATGCCGGCGACTATGTCCAGGCAATGAACGTCTTGAACGAGGCTCGTGAGTTGGACTTGCAGGATCGCTTCATCAACTCTAAGTGCTCAAAGTACATGCTCCGTGCGGACAAGATGGCTGAGGCTGAGAAGACTGTCGTCATGTTTGCTCGCGCAGATATTGCCGATCCTTTGAACGATCTGGTCGATATGCAGGCCATGTGGTTCATCCTTGAGTCTGGTGAGAGTCATCTTCGTCAGAACCATCTCGGACGCGCCTTGAAGCGTTTCCATCAGGTTGAGAAGGTACGGTCACAGGTTCCTATTCATTGGCAAATTGATATGAAGTTGCATGTGTAGGATCATTGACTAATGCCAACTCTTGTTTGGTGGCGTTGTTTATTAGCTCTTTGCCGACTTTACTGAGGACCAGTTCGATTTCCATATGTACTGTCTCCGCAAGATGACCTTGAGGGCCTACATCTCGTAAGTCAACGCTGCCTCTTTTTCGTTACAGTGTGCTTGTACGTATTTGTCATTCGTGAAAGGAATTTCCATCTCTTAACCAAGTTACAATATTGCCCTCTTGGAAACATAGGCTGTTGAAGCTGGAAGACCAGTTGAGGTCACACCAGTACTTTGTCCGCGCCGCCCAGAACGCTGTTCAGTGCTATATCACTCTCTTCGACAAGCCCGAAGGCGCCGATTCAGAGGAGATGGAAGGCATGACCGAGGCCGAGAAGAAGAAGTTCCGCAGCAAGCAGCGCAAGGCTGAACTTAAGGCTCAAAAGGAGACCGAGGAGAAGAAGGCCCAGGCTGTTCAGGAGATCACCAAGAAGGGTGGAAAGGTCGATGAGGACCCTGAGGGTCTCAAGTACACCAAGACTGAGGACCCTCTGGGTGAGGCACTCAAGTTCTTGAAGCCCCTTCAGGAGCTTGCTGCTGATCGTATTGAGACTCACCTCATGGGCTTTGAGCTCTACATCCGCAAGAGTAAGTCTGCCGTTGATATTAACTGCCACTCGCTATTCGACAAGGGCAGCTGATCTTGGTTTTTTGCAGTCGGAGGAACTGACCATAATACTCTTTCTTTTGGTAACTGAATCGGATTAGACAAGCTGCTGTTGGCGTTGAAGTCGTTGCTGAAGTCGATCAAGATTGATGCCAATAACGCCACCCTCCACGAGCAGCTCGTCCGTTTCGCGCTCGCCGTCCAGAAGGCCGGTACCTCTCTCAAGCCCGCCGTCAAGTCTGTGATCGACAAGCACTGGGACACCCTTTTCCAGGGAAAGGGCAAGGACCTCAAGGTCTTCACTGCCGGTTTCTTGGAGACCTCCAAGACCCTCGGCTCTGTGCCCCATCTGATCTCGGGCGCTATTGCCGTCTCGTTGATTGAACCTGGTACCGAGAAATCCAAGACTGAGGCTGAGGCGATTATTTTCTTGATCGCGGATGATAAGTATGTTGGAACACGGTCCTTGGAGAATGTGTTGGTTGCGCAAAAGACGCTCAAAAGCCTGAAATCAAGTCGGGTTCAGGAGTTTAGAACTAAGGCTGCATCGTGGTTCCCCAAGGCCACCGTCTTTCTGTCTTAGATGAGTATTAATAATAGAATGATCTTGTTATTATTTTCCACTTCTTTTCCTTGAACATTTGTCTGTGAGAGAGTATTTTACTTTTTTTATGTATGTGCTGGTATATGAAGGATCAGTGGATGGAGTGCGTGAGAAAGGAGGAGAGGTGTCTATTTGAGTTTGGAAAAGGATTGCTGGAGTTGCTCCAACACTTTGCCCACCTGCTCGTTCTCGCCCCGCAACGACTCGTTTTGTTTCTAAACATTTCAATGTGGATCCCATTTGAACGGATGGTTTTAGCACAGTGGTCTAAAGATATCTTTCATATCCAGAGCATTCCTCAAATGCCCCGCCTTTGGTGAGTTCTTACCTGAAGTTCAGAGACCTCCTTGGAAACTCTGGCAACATCCTGCGACGACACCGCCGGCCCAACAGGCTTCTTTGCCACTCCTGCAGAAGCCTTCTCAGCCCGCAGGGTCAACTCGGCGATCTTATCAATATACGACTTCGTCCTGGTCTGCAAATCTGTCTCCTGTTGAGCCTTGAGGTTCTCGACATCGCGGTGGTGCGTCGTCATCAAGGATGAGAATTTGGTCTCATGCGACTCTGCCTGTTGGTCGTGGGTGGCGCGCAGCTTGTCCAAGTTGGACTTTGATTCTACGTGCAGGCGGTCGACTTTTGAGGTGTGGACCTTTTGCAGTGCCTGAATCGACTCGGCATGTTTCTATTTGAATTAGGTCGCAAATAAGTGTCAGACAGATATACCAATGTCAAGTAGCACTGAAACTAGAACGAGGTGGACGTAAAAGAAAGCGAACCTTTTGAATATTAGACTCCTTGGTAACTGAGGACGAACGGATTTTATCGCGCTCAGACTGGGCAGCTTCGAAATCGGAACGCAAGGCCTGGATGGCCTTTGTCAGCGAGTCCTCCTGGTCTCTCCAGGCGGCATCCGTCTTGGCAATCGCGTCCTTCATTGCCTTTTCCTGCGTCGCCTTTTCGTTCGCCAACAGTGTAGCATGTCCACCCTGCATCGCCTAGAATGACATATACAAAAAAGGATGTTAGACATTCGGCCAGAGGTCGCAAATCGGCAAAGTATGATCACAAGTTTGAATTCATAAGAAAAGAAAAAAAAAAAACTCACCCCACCGCTGTCGCCATTTTGGCTGGCGGTAAGAGCCTCCATAGAAGCCTTAACAGCGCCAATCTGCTGCTCAACATTAGCCCTTGTATCCTTCAACGCATCTTCATGCTCCTGCTTCTTCCTCTTCAACGTCTGCACAGCCTCCCTGGCCTGCTCTTCCGCCCTCGACAACCGATCCTCCAACTTTTCCATCTTTTCTTCATGCGCGGCCCGAAGTCCATCCATCTTCAATTCCTGCTCCTTGTTCTGCGCATCCTGGTCCCGCTCAAACTCGGTCTCGACCCGCTCAAGCGCCTCCTGGACTTGTTCGTTTGCAGCATTCTCGAGTTCCTGAACTCGGTCCTCGTGTTTGACAATCAGCTCTGCGATCCGTGTCTCGTAACTGGCTTCGAGCTCGCGGATCGACTTGTCCTGCTTGACCTGGATCTCGGCCACAAACGCCGCAAATTTCGTTTGAACTTCATCTAACTCCTGCTGCACCTTGTACTGAAAGGCATTGATAAACGAAAAAAGTGAATGAGCGTTAGGAAACACGTATGTCTCCACATTAGCGCATATTATAACTTCAAAGGTGCAACGGGATATACCTTGGTGGCGGTCTCGAGAGTAGTCAGCTCAGACGAATGCTTACTCGTCCGCTCAGTGACCTCGTCCTTATGAGCCCTCTTCAGTGCTTCAGTCTGTGCTTCAGCATTCGCCTGGATCGACTCAATCGCAGCCTTATGGCTGGCATGCAATCCCTTGATCTTGGCGTCCAATTCCTGAACACGAGCTTTATGCTCCGACAGACGATTCGACAAGTCGTTCTGGTGTTTGTTCTGAAGAGTGCCAATAAAGCTGCTATGATCCTTCTGTGACTTTGTTGAGACATCTGCCAAGGCGCGGACGTGACGTTCCTGAAGCATGTCAATCATGTTTTCCTCTGATCCTGCACGGTCGTTGATCGACGATGCGTGCGAGTTCTTTATCTGTGTCAGCTCCGAGTCCAGGCGTTCCCTGAGCTCAGTCTATGTATTTTATGAAGTGTACGTCAAACGTTAGCCCTGGGTCACTAGAGCATGGTTATTGTTCTCGATCCATCGTAAGCACGAGTTATCAAGCCGTTACCTCGTGCTCAAGAAGCTCCTCCTTCAGTTGCTTATCCAACTGATCATTGATCGCGTTGACCTCATCCTGGTGCTCGGCCAACATTTTCTCCAGATCCCGTTGGTGATTCTTCTTGAACTCTTCCAAGTCTAGTCGATACCGCTCCTCAACTTGCTGACTATCGCCCGAGAGCTGATCAGGTCGGAGATCAACCTCCTGCTTGTAAGACTGAAGCTCCATCTCCAAGCTCTGCAGCTTATCATCATGGAACCGATTGAGCTCCTCCAACGAGGACGAGTGCAGCTCTTTCGACTCTTCCAGTTTCTTTCCCAATAGAACAATTTCCTCATGTCTCTGGATATGCTCAGCGAGCTGCTGGCGGATAGTTGCCAACTTTACATCGTGCTCTGCCTGATGTTCGACCTCGCGTTGAGTCAGCTCCTTGACCTTGTTCTCGTGCTCCAAGCGCAACCGCTACAACAACAAGAAAAAAAATGCGTCAATAACCGTTATTTTCGTTGAAGACTGTCACTGTTTGACAGTGGTGTTGCAATCAATATGCCGTTATTTTACCTGGACACGCGCCCTCAAAGTTCTGACTTGATGCTTCTTCTTCCCGACCTCCTTCTCCTTTGCGGCAATAGCAGTCGTGATAATTTCCTTATCCTAATAAAAACATGAGATATATCGGGCGAAAGCAAAGCAAAGCAAAAGGCGGAGATGGTAAGAATGGGTTGTATCAAAATAGCGAATGAAAGAAAAGGCAAAAAATAACAATAGATGTGTCCATTTCACATGCATAAATCATTTGTTTGGGGTTCTGTATCTTGCTGTGTTCGGTCTGCCTCCGTGCCAATGCAACATGCGGAGGCGATATGCCCAAAGAATAGTGCAAAAATAACACAAACAATGCGCTTATTTTTCTCTTACCTCGGGAGCAATCTTCGAGAGATCGATGTCGGGAACAAGAGTCTCGCCTCCATCGCTCGACTCGGTCTCTGCTGCTGCTGCAGCGGCCTGCTCGTCCAGGGCCGTCTCCCGTTGCTCACGGAGGTCAGCCAATTCCTTCTCTGCTGTCTTCAATCTTGCCGTGGTGTCCTCCAACTAAACAAGTGTACAGGGATGAAGAGATTGTAATAAAGATCAATATAAAAGAGCTCAGACTATATATGTATCTTGTTGTTCATGGCAATCTATGATTTCGATATTATTACTTCAGCAAAACATTTTTAGTTGCGATCACATCTTTTGAGCATCTTACCTTTGCGCGAGTGGTGGCGACGGCCTTTTTCAATTCAATCGGACTTGTGGGCGTAACTGATGCAGCTGCTGCAGTCTTACCCGAACGTGTGCTACCCACAGGAGTAGGCGCCCTGGAACTCCCACTTCCTCCCACCACTGACGACGAGTTAGTCCTGGATGTGGGTGTGGACCTGCCAACAGTCGACGGCTTTGGGGGCAACCCCTCATTCTTCTTCGCGGCAGCAGAGGAGCTGTTTGCTGGCTTGGCAGTCGGTGGTGTACGGATAGTGGTTGTTGTCATGTTGAGTGGAGAACGTCCGCCGACTGCCGGAGGTTTGGCTGCAGTCCCAGAGGATGCCGTTGGAGGAACCCTGATCGAAGTCGTCGTCCTGGCTGTCGCACTTGCCCCTCCTGTCGCTGGCGCTGCTGGACGACGAGTGGAGGGTGTCTCTGGTTTGGATGCTGCTGGTGAGTTCCTTGTCTTTGGTGTCGTGGCTGGTGCTGCTGTCTTGGAGGCTGCTGTAGTTGTAGTCGTCTTGGGCTTGGCCGCAGGTGTCGAAAGTACCGACTTTGCACCCGCAGCAGTTGTAGTAGCAGGTTTCGGGGCGGGTTTGGTGGTTGGTGTCGAGCTTCGAGTTGTCCGATTGGCTGTAGTAGGTGTCGCACTTCTTGTGCCTGAACTGGCGGTGGCTGTTGCTGTGTTTGCTGAAGCAGTCGAGGTGATGCGAATGGACGTGGTGGTCCTAGCAGAGGCAGTCGCCCGCTTGGCCGCTGCTGCTGCTGCCTCGGTAGCCTTGGCGGCACTGGCTGCTTTGGCCTTGTTGGCAGCTACATTTGCTGCAGTTGCTGCCCTTCTCGCTGCTGCTGTTGTTGATGGTGTTGCCGTGGTCGATGCCGGTGTATCCCGAGTACCTGCCATTGTTATATGAAGGTGGTTTTTTTTTTGGCTGGGGGGTTTATAGTTGTTGCTGCTGTTGTTGTTGTTGTTCGGACTGGTTTGACTTCGCCCGATAGTAGGAAGGGAGGGAGGGTTGTTTGATTCCTGTGAAGGTGATAAAGGTGCTGAAGTATGGTATTTGAGAAAAGAACGGAGTAGAGACAAAAAGAAGTGATGAGAAGGAAAGAAGGGTGATGAGGGGTGAGGTGAGGGTCGATGAAGAAAAGAGCGAAAGTAGGGGGAGAGGGAGAGAAAGAAAGCGGATGTAGTTTTTTTTTAAAAGCGATGGAGAGCAAATGACGAAGAGAGAGAGCGAAATAATAAGTGGTAACGGGAACAAAAGGGATTCAAACAGACGCTCACACAGAGCATTCACAGAGATAGCATATGAATTAAGTTTGGTCGGACACAGAGAAGAACCAAAAGGAATGAAGGGGGGGGCATGAAACGAAACGTGCAAGGGGAGAGAACGAATAACACTCACTGTGGCCTTGTCCTCCCTGTCATTATTCTCAGCGACCACACACACACGCATACACACACACACTCACATATACGCGTTCGTCACAGCATGGCATAACAACGCCTTGAACATTCGTTTTCGTGCTTGTCGCTTTTATTCATGAATGAGAGAGTAAACAAGCCATTCGTTTGGTATCTGAAGGAGAAAAATAAATACAAAAATATACATACACAACAACCATTTACTTCAATTTCGCCTCAGCAACCTCAAAGGCAGAGGCCAACATTGCCTGGGTCGACGCACGGAGCTGGGCAAAGTCATAGCCCTCGCGGTAGACAAGATCGCCCGAGTTGTGGTACTTGGGGTCGGCAATAGGTCCGTTGCGCTCAAAGAATGCCGTTGCTGGGTATCCTGCCTCCCAGAATGACTATTATGAGAAAAAGAAAACGGGGATTATGTCAGAACCTTTCAACAACGAAACCATACCATGCATGCACAAGCAATCAAAGAGATAACGTACCTGGTGGTCAGAGCAGCAGGCACCAGTGATACCAACAACAGCCTCAGGGACATACAGCTCGGTCACATTGTGCAACAATGAGCTCAACTCAGCGGTATGGTAACGAGCAGGGAAAGCAACTTGAATAGGCTCGCCAGGCTTTCTGTAAGCCAACATATCCTGTTAGGAGGGTAATACAAAATAAAAGCCATTGGTTAGCACCAAGAGTTGCCCTTCCAAGAGTGTCCTAATCCTGAACAGTGCGCTCGTGACCATCCAGAGAGATAATAAATATGAAACGTACTCCTTGAACCATCATGGTAATGGTCGTTCCTTGACTCTTCAACTTCTTGGCCAACGCTGCAGAGCCGAACAATCCTTGTTCTATAGAGCATTCACAACAATAAGAAAGCATTAGAGTCTATCCGCACATTACTTGCAGCACCCTGGGACCATACGTTTCCTGTCCATGTTCCTGGATTACGACGACAACAAATAAAGCAGTAAACAACAAGGGTCCACAATAATTTTGCCTTACCTTCTCCTGAGAATGCGGAGATGACAAAGGTGCGACCAAAGGTCAGGTTGTTGGCCTTGATGATACGGGCCACCTGGAGAAGCATAGACGTGCCTGAACCATCATCATCAGCACCGGGGGCACGTGGGTTCAAGAACGAGCCGCGGCTGTCGTGATGTGCGCCCAGAATGACATGCTCATCGGGGTACTCAGTTCCCTTGAAGGTGCTGTTATTGAGTAGAAAAAAGAAGACAGAGCAATAGCGTGGAGTTAGCATCTGCTCCTTATTTGGGGCGATATCGCATGAGGGAGAAAAGGAGTCCACCCAAACAGGCGTAACGGTATCTGGTCACTTGTGCAAAAATAAAGGCGGTCGCCCCATCCCCCCTGTTCTTTCTCACCAATCCCTTCAATATTGCCTCCACGCTCTTCTCTCCTGCTATTATCATATTGCTACCAGGAGTTGCGTGTGAACAAAAAACTTACCAGATGACGTTGGGTCCAAAGCGGGACTGGTAGCTCATCAGCTCGACAGTGTCGCATCCATAGCTCTCGAACTGCGACTTGAGCCACGCTGCAACCTCATGACTCTGCTTGGAGGTCGAACTGCGAGTAATGAAGGGACTACCGGTAGCTTCACCCGACAACCAGGTGACATCCTGCTCCAAGGTCTTGACATCAACCTGGTCAACAACCGCCTGGAGCGACTTGCGATGCTTCAAGTTCTTGCTCTTGAGAACAATAGGGTGGTCAGAGGGGAGACCTGCAAGGGGAGTCACAAACCCTTCAGTGCGGACGGGGAGGATCTCGGTGTTGGAGGGCAAGACGTCAATGAGGTCGGGGACCTCTGAAGCAGCGCAATTGGATCCGATCAAGACACGGTACTTGGGCTGGGTGTCGGGCAAGTCCACAGTCGTGAAGCGGCAGAACTTGCGACGGCCACGGAAGATGGAGTAAGGCAACTGGTTGCCGGTGCTCTCCTCAACCAAGTCGTCAGTCGCAAAGTCGGCAACAGCCTCCTGAACACTGTTGTTCCAGTCAAGAATGTCCTGGGGGGTGTCGCCCTCAAGGTGCTGTCGTTCGAGGACAATGAGCTGAGAGTACATGTGCTCAGCGGGGAGCATGCTCGACTTGATGATGCATTCCTCAGGGACGGCGTAGATGGAGAGGTCTTCGTAGACACCGCGGAGCTGCTTTCCACAGGCGGGCTGGAACTCTTTTGTCTGGGGCTGGTTGGCGTCGACAAACTCCCAGTGGGTGGTAGCTGCCATAGCGGTGGTTGAGGCAGCGGCGAGCAGCAAGGCAGCCGACACTGACAAGAGGATAGAGCGAACCATTACTGTCGATGGGAGGGGTTTGTAGTGTTGTGTGTGTTGGGGCGTAAAAGTGTAAGAGTGTGGAAGTAAGGAAGTGGTGGAGTAGAAGAGACTGAGGAAGTGTGAAGAAGAAGAAAAGGAATGAGAACGGTGGAGTCGGTATTTGAATGAACCTTCTTTGGATGGACCCCCCTCGTGATCTGAGGAAATGACGATCCGCATGGCGTCTTTGACACCACTCAGGGCTCAGCATTCTCCTTGTACCATGTATCAGCATGCAGGCTCCACTCAATAGTCTTTTATTCACATATCTTTATTATCAACTCTCAACGACATGGCTGATTAGAACCAGAAGCTGACAGAAAAACTAGTCGACAGTGACCGGATGTAATGCCACCACTGGAACGGGATATACAACAACTCCCCAGGCGCAAGAATCGTCTCCAAATACTCTGCCTCCGCAAACCGTGGATGACGTTCCAAGTCTGGTTCCTCCACATTGACCTGACTCGTATTACCCAACATGCTGCTACCACCGTCTCCTTCCCCTTCACCTTCACCTTCTTTATCATCCTGAGACTCGTTGCCGTAACAATACAGCTTGGACGTCTCCTTGGGAGCATACAGTCGAATGTACTTTCGTCCCACGACCTGAGCCAGCAGGTTATGGTACGGATCCGTGTGCATCGGTGACACAGTCCCTCGAGGCCCAAACCAAGCATTCAACACCACGTCGTCTGGAGGGTCGTATCCTTCCTGGTCGTTGGGCCCGATCATGCAATAGTCTGGAATGTCGATATCTCGTCGCAGGCGCGGAATCTGCGCAAACAGATCATGCTGGGCCAAGTACCCAATCTCCGCTGTCGCTGCTTTAGCATTGGTTCCGTCATCATTGCCTCCATCGTCAGTTCCTGAATGTTTCTCACGAAGAATATACGCCTGAATGAACTCTCGCATGGTCACCAGTTTCTGTGTCCACTGCTCATCCGTGTATTGACTCCCGATCTCAATAGGCACCAATCGATCCGGTCCAGCCGTCCGACATAATGTTTCTAGATCAGTCCACCGCTCCCGTGCCGGCCAATGGTCAATCCCGCCCGTGATTATAATAGGCACCCCGGATGCTCCCTCTACGCCTCCACCATTAACATGCTGTTGGAATTCGTCCATGGTGGGTAGATGGATTCGAAGGATAGGGAAGTGAATCTCGGGTATCGGTTCCTGATCTGGTTCCTCTCCTAGCTTCACCTTTTCTTTTACCACCGTAGGTGCTGTTGCTGCTGCTGATAACTTCTGTCGTTTGACCATTGGCGCCGCTCCATCCTCCTTCTGATCCTGCCCGTTTTCAATTTCAGTCTCAAGATAATCAAGCATCTCAAAGACAAGATCCCTCCTCCTCTCTCCTGACGCCCCCGCCATCACTAACACATTATCGCACACAGCAATCGCCACCTTCAACGGCTCCACATCCACCGCCACCACCTCCAGTCCACCACCAACACCAACACCACCACCTTCATCCCGACCCCTGAAAGCTGAGAACCCAAGCGCCAGTGCCTTAAGGATCCCAGCATCCGTATAAAACTCTCTCCAGTAAGACGGCACCTCCCGATACGGATAAGCATGCAACATCTCCCGTCCATAGTCAACCAGCGCGTCCGCTTGATAGATCAAAGCATGAACCCTGTCGTTCGTTGATGGTGTTGTTGGTGAGGGTGAGCCAATTGATGCCAAGAGCGCCCGTGCTTCCTCCAAAGCCTTGACCGGCCCTTGGCCACAGTTGCGAGGTGTGATTCCTACTGCTGGTTGAATAAACAAGTGCATCACATTAGCTTTCCAGCGGTCAAAGTGCAAACAGAAAGGTAAGAAGTGGTAATGAACACAAGTCTTTACCAGAGTCATTGCTTGACGCAATGTGTGTATACTTGGAAGCGAGTGTCTTGATCATGGAGAGGAGAAGAGGAATGTTTCTAGTCCTCCTGCCTTGCCTGAGTGTGAAAAGCTCGAGGACTGTTTTTATTATTGAATCTCGGGCAGCTTTCAGATCGTGGTTGCCCTAGATTAAGGTACTAGTAAATAATTGCATTCGTATTAAGTGCGTGACATAGATTGCATGGTGTTCTTTTGTTCCTCTACTCGCGGTCTTGACCGGTCGTCAACTTCTTGATGACACGCAAACCGCGCTTGCCCGAAACCTTGATATATTGTTGTTGCTCCAACTCTCCCAGCACCCTCGAGAACTGCTCCTCCGACACGCCCTTTGACAAAGAAGAGGAGAGGAAAGGCAACGTTAGCATATATTCTACACAAAAAACCATAAATACGAAAAGCAGAGACTGACCAATGACTTACAACTGAACTCTGAGCATTAAAATCGGCAAGGACATCAGCCCAGCGGAGGTTAGTCTTGTCAGAGGCATTCAACAGGTTCAACAACTCGCGGCGCATATCCTCCAAATGGCCGCGGTCATAGGATCCCTGTCCCGTCGTTAACAGATCCATATCCAACAATCCTGTGCGGGGATCCATCGCAGACTCCTTCAAACCCTCACGAATCAAACGCGATGCCTCCTCGACATCCTCCTTCTCGACATCAGGCGACAGACGCAGCCTGGCGCGAGCTTCTGCAAGACGGATCATCGACTCAAGCTGACGGGTCGTTGCGGTAATCTGCTTACCACCACCAAGCTTGCGCAGATCCAAGTAGCATTGAACCAACACCGCACTGGACTCCTCGCCCAATGCTGGGTGGCAATGGTTACGGGCGTAGCTGATATAAGAGGTCAATGTGTCGATAGGGATAATATCCGTTCCTCCTGTTTCGGGGGCGTCCTCCAAGTACATCGAGAGAATGTGGCGAGCCAAACGACGATCGCTCTGCTCGTTCACAATATCCAAAACCAGGTACAACAAATCGAATCTACAAAGCAAAGACTAGAACGTTAATAACAGTATCCTTCGGCATGTAAGTAAGGACTCTACCCATTCAAAGAATATGCTTCGAGTGGATAACGCACCTGGAGATGAGGGTAGGTGGGAGGTCAATGTTATCGACCATGGGAAGCCTGTGGTTGTACTGTGAGTGGATAGGGTTGGCAGCGGCCAACAACGATGTTCTGGCGTTGAGGGTTGTGATAATTCCGGCCTTGGCGACAGAGACCGTCTGCTGTTCCATGACTTCGTGCAAGACCGACCGTGTGGAGTCCGACATCTTATCAAACTCATCAATACAGCAGATACCGCCATCCGAAAGAACCAAAGCACCACTCTCGAGAACCAGCTGGCGAGTGTCGGGATCCCTCGTCACATATGCAGTCAAACCGACAGCCGAAGAACCCTTTCCGGATGTGTAGACACCACGAGGGGCAATCTTGTGGACGTAGCTCAGAATCTGCGACTTGGCTGTTCCTGGGTCTCCGACAAGCAACACGTTAATGTCTCCTCTGTAACGGGGTGATCCTGCCTTGAGGAAAGTCTTGTTGGTGCCTCCAAACATCTGCAGCAGCACTCCTTTCTTGATATCGTCGTGCTCGAAAATACTGGGGGCGACCGATCGGGCAAGGGTCTCGTAAAGGTTGGGGAGCAAGGAAATCTCCTTGATCTTGGCGACCATGTCCTCGCTCTGAACTTCAATCTCGTCTCCTCCCTGGTAGGTAGCTCTCTTTCCGCCATGGTTCGAAATATCGTCGTCAATTGTCAGTCTCTTCTTGTCTGACTTTTTGATATGGACAACATCCAGATAGGTCCTGTACAATGATTTCACAGTGCGCTGTCTGGGGTTGACACGAACAGGGACTCCTCTGAAAACAGCTGTGATTTCCAGGCGGTCACCAGGCTTACAAACATCGACCAAGTCATCGTGAACCACCAACGAAATGCTCTGAGGGGTCTGACCATCGGGGATTGATTCTAAAGTTATACAACAGCGCAGAAAAAGTAGCAAGTAAGTCCTCTGTTTGCTGCGATATCCTGATTCTTCTTAGAGTCCTAAAAGTCCGAAAAGTTCGAATCCATGCGCACCTGGCATCTCCTGCATGCGGCAGACCTGCTTGTCAGCGTATTCACCACGGTTGTGGATCAAGGACATAGAGTTCAAGGCTCCGCAGACCTGGTTAGGGCACTTAGTAGGCTCAGTGATACGACCACGGTCAGCCTCTGATGAAGCAGACTGCTCGCACACCAAACACTGGAAGAAAGCCTTCTTCACGTTGGGAATAACGCTGGAAGTACGGAGCATTAATCCCTTGACGGTAACGAGTCTGTCAATATCTGCAGGTCCAAGGTCGCGAGTGTTGATGCATTTTCCGAGGTTGAAGGGACGAATCATCAAACTGTCTCCGCGCAGGTCATCCTCGGGGTAAGTATCGGCAAAGAACTCATTCAAAGAGAAATCCAAGAGAGGCAAGACCTCAGCAGGGTAGTCGATCAGCAAGCCGTGAACCTTCTTTGATGAAGGATGGTACATGAGGTTTTGGCAGTCCAAGTTGAGCTGGCGAGCAGCAGTGCGTCTCATCTATATCATCACAACAAAAGAACATAAATGTGTCAATTGCAGATTCGACCGGATAGTGGTGTCCAGCCATTACGACAAGTTCAAGCAACCGTTAAAAGCATATGTTCCACTTGCCTGGTCAATAAGCTGAGGATAAAAGGGCTGCCTTTCACTCTCGGTATACAATCCTCTGGGATTCTCCTTAGTGATCCTGCTCATCTGGGTGAACTCGTGCAAGAAATCCTTGAATCTGGCAATCACGTCGTTAATCTCCACAGAGGTTCCCCAGACGACCTTGACGACCTGAGTGGGATCGTTATCCTGTGAAGTTGGGAAGGCGCCTCCAGAGTTCAATGCGAAGTCGCTGGCGGGGTCGGTCATCAATGCGAGGTGGCGCGCCACCTGGGGACTGCTCACAACATCTCCACGGCGTCTCCTTGGCGTCTGAAGTCTATCGTCGTTATAAATTAATACAAGTTTCCTGTTAGCACTTCCCGTATTATACCAGACTCAAACAATAGCCAGGATACTCCAGTGTCGACATGTTGATAATCTTACCCCTGGCCATCGCGCGGGGTTCCATAGGAGACATCTGAGCGAAGATGAGACGATCCAAGATTGCTTCGTGGGGGAGATGAGGGCATAGCCATAGGTGAGGAGAGCTCAGAGTCTAGATGCACATGCGGAAAAAATATCAGGGTCAGCTTGAATTCTTCGCTCTCGATGGTCTTTCTGAGTTCGGTTTCATTTGGCTCGCAGCTTCTTTTGGTTCGAGCTAATAAACACAAACTCACCCTGCAAGTGAGAGCGTCCAACGGGAGTCTGAGCAAACTGGCCGGGTTGGTATTGGACCTGGAAACCAGGAGTAGTAGCAAATGGCAAGGGCGAGTTCACACCCAAACCAGAACCCAAACCGGGAGAGGAAGGGTACTGAAGGCCAGGGGAGGAAGGAAAGTCTGACGAGACGTTATCGCGTCCTTGACTGCTGCTGGTTCCAGGTCTGGCGATGGGACGACGAGGTGTCCTGGGTGTGCGTGGGGATGACATGTGTTGGACGTTTGTTTTTTCTCGGGGGTTCGTTGTCGTTGTTGTCGTTTGTGTGTGGTTCGTTCCGGTCCCTTTGATGTTAACGGTGCTGTTCCTGGGGGTGTTGGTTGATGGCGAGATGAACAAAGAGACACAAACACAGAGCAACAAACGAAAGGCGTCGTGGAGTTGACGAAAGGGACTGTTTCTTGGCTTTGTTTTTGTTTTTCACGGCGACATATTTTAATTTATGAAAGACGCGTTGTATTTAAGGGGTGCATGACTACTTTTTTGATTTAGAAGGATAAACATTCTTCGCACAAAACTTTTCTTATTCAACCCCGAGTTCACTATTTCTACCTCCCATATCTGAATCTCTTCCTAACATCTATAGTTTTTTACCTCGGCCATTCAATTAGATAGTCACGGTACTATAAAGTACACCACCGGCTTGCAGCCTTATTGTTTTTCTTCGTGCGGCATTTACGTCTCGAATTACCGTGTTGCTCGCCTCGCGTGATTGGGCTTTGTCTCCCACTCTCTCGCTTTGTTTGAGCGTCGTTTCGCAGTCAAGAGCAAAGACCTTGCCAGGTTTTGCAATATCTTAGCGCCCATTCTTGGTCTCGCCTTCCCCCTGTGGGGAGTGTTTGCGGGCCTAGAGGGCTGGTAGTTGCTACATTCATCTTATTCTTTCTTTTCTTTTAATTTACAACTTGTATCTCACATGTCTTCTTTTGTTCAACTTCGTTGGTTGTCTTCCTTCTCAGTAGTTTGTCTGCTCTCCTTTTCTTTCAACACCCATGGCAGATTCAGACAGTCTGTGGTTCAATTGGATGCTTGGAAGATATTATTAAGGATAATGTAAAATATAAAAAAGGAAGAAACTACAAGAAAAAAGTAAAGTGAATAAAAGGACAAAAAACCGCTAAATTTAAACCTCCATGCCCATCTCCAAGGCCTGACGGCTGCTCATCTTCAATCCCAAAATATCACCGACCTCAGAGACAACGCGGAGGACAAAGTCCAAGTCCTCCTTGGTGTGCGAGGCCGACACACAGAAACGAGCACGGGAGGCAACAATCGATGTGGCAGGGAAACCAACAACAACTACGGCAAGATCCCTCTTGCGACATTCACGCGAGAAGGCGGGGATCTTGGCGGGGTTGAAGAGAAGAAGGGGGATGACGGGAGAGTCACGGTCACCATAGATGATGAATCCCATCTTGCGCAAGTTGCTGCCGAGGTAACGGGCGTTCCATGCAAGACGGCTCAAACGCTCCTGGCCAGCACTGGTGCCATCACGGCCCATGATCGACCACATACTAGTATAGATTTGCTGAAGGACAATGGGCGAAATGGACTCTCCATAGACCGAAGAGTGGTTGGCAAGACGCAAGTGGTCGATGATCTCCTTGTTGGCGCTAATGTATCCACCAGAAGCACCGAACGACTTTGTGAAGGTACCCATCAAAATATCGACCTCAGCGGGGTCAACGCCATAGTAATCACACACACCACGTCCGCGGGGTCCAATGGCACCAACAGAGTGGGCCTCGTCAACATACAAATGGAACTAGAGAAGGATAAACAATGGAAAAGGGTGGGCATTGTTGGTTAGAACACTCTTTTCTCAATTTGCTATGTCGATCAAAGTTGCAAGTGGTGCAACAGAAAAATACATCGTAAAAAAAGGCACTTTACCTTATACTTCTTCTTGAGCTCGACGATCTCAGGGAGCTTGACAATGGAACCCTCCATGGAGTAAAGACCCTCGACAATGACCAAGATGTTCTTCCAGGGACGGTGAGTTCTGGGCTGACCCTGCGAGATGGCATCGCGGAGGACAGACTCGAGATCGGCGGCATCGTTGTGCCTGAAGACACGGATAAAGGCGCCAGAGAGACGGGCACCAAAGACAAGAGAGTTGTGGTTGAGCTCATCGGAGATGATGAGAGAGCCCTTGGAGGCGAGACCGGCAATGGTAGTACTGTTGGTGGCATAACCCATGGAGACAAGGAGAGCGGCCTCCTTGCCCACAAACTCGGCAACGAGCTCCTCGGTCTTTGTGTGCAAATCGGACGATCCACCCTCAAGACGGGTTCCGCAAGAAGATAAACCATAGGTGTGAACGACCTCTTCGACGGCATCCGCGCAGGGACCAGTCGACTGAGCGAAACCGAGATAATTGTAGGAGGACAGGTTGACGGCCTCCTTGAGCTTTCCTGTGAACTGGAAGGTGCGGCAGTAGTCCTTGGTGACACGCTCCAACATGTTGATGGTTCTGCCGGGCACGAGGGTGGTGGGGATCGAGAAGCAATCCTCGATACGCATCTTCAAGTTTCTAGTCCAAAACGAGTCCCAGTCGGAGGTGAGAGCAGCATATCCCTATTATCACGCGAAAAAAGGGGTTGGGAGTAGGAAGATGGGAGAAGGGGTGTTGAGCCGGTGTTCATTCACTGATGTGATTAGACCCTCCTTTTGATTTGTTTGCTTCTTGCTTATGTGTGTTTGTAAAATGACTCGTTGTTGCTTTGTTGCTGTGTTCTCTTCACAAGGGGATCAAAATAAGTGGTGGTGTATCGGTATGTTGGTATGATGTTATGCTGATGGACTGTTTACTGCTGTTGTTGTAATTTACCCCAATTGATACCTGTGTGTCCTGCGTGGTATGTATATCTGCGCTGTCGAATAACTTCCTGTTCTGTCCCGTCTGCGGTACTCCTGTTCCCTGTTGTTGTTGTTTCTCTTACTGCAGCTTTTTTTTTTGTTGCCGTTATCGTTGTTGCAGTTGTTGTGGATACATGGTCAAACATATCCACTGAAGAGTACAGCGCAGTTGCAAATATATTCAAACCAAAAGCAAAGAGAGGCCGGAACTGCAGTGAGCAAAAAAGATGATGACAACAGCAGAGATGAAAAGCTCCCACTTACGTTGGAAGGCATAACATGGGCAAAGGCCTTCTTGTTCCATCGGAAACCGTAAAAGTCACGGACGTGGCCAAAGAAAGAGAGGATGATGTAGGAAAGGTAGGTGGTGATCAGATAAAAGTAAGGAGGCTCTTCCATGATGTCGTCGTACGAGGTCTTAAAGAGAGCACGGTTCTTGGCCGAAGAGGAGAAGCCCTTCCAGTGAAGCTTCTCCTTGGGTTCCTTGACAGAGAGGCCCTCCTGGAACTTTGCGTGGTGCTGTGAGGAGAGCGGGGTGGCCTTGAGGCTGACAGGTGAAGCCTGCACTGCAGAGCGAGATCCTTTGCCCATGATGATGATGGTCTTGTTGATCGGAGGTGGCTTTTTTTTGGAATATGCGATGGGAAGGAGGGTCGAGGTAGAATAGGGTAAGGAAGAGAAGGAGAGGGATGGAAAGGAAGGATGAAAAGAAAAGGAAAAAGAGAAGAGGAAAAAGAGAAGAGACAAAAAAAAAAGATGATGGGAAGGGTCTCTTTCCGCACCAGTCTCCGTCCGTCTCTCTGCCTCTGTCTTTGTCCGACTCTTTCCCCCTCTGTTCCTTCCTTGCCTTGCCCTGAATATCTGACTGATTGACTTTTCTCCCTTTCTCCCCCGACTTTCTTGCTGGTGTCACTCTGAAGTGGTACTGCTGCAACCCCAGGGGGGACAAGGAAAAGGAATACACACTCCCTCTCCCTCTTTCTCTCTCTCCATCTCTCCATACAGACAGAGACAGAGGGAAGAAAAGGCAGAAAAATCTCCACCCTGGTCTCACCAAAGGCATGCAAATCTCTTATATTAATCTCCTTCCCTCGTAAGAATGACTCGTCCTTGAAGTATGGACAGGCGAACAACGGAATGAAATGTAGCCCAGCTAGGGTATCCGTCCATGATACTACCTACTATGGCCATAGGAATGAGTGTAAAAAAAAATATTTGAATGTCCCGGGCGGATGATCATTTAGGCGAGCTACCATTGGTTAGAAAGATGTAGCATTAACTTTTTATGCTTCTCTCCGCTTCATGAATGGACAGTGCTACTATGTAATTTGTAGGTAGACAGGGGAATGCTAGGTATAGGTCGAGATAGAGTGAGAAAGATAGAGGAGGGTATCATGCCCGAAGCTAAGCACCCCCTCGTCTAGTTCCACCTGCCCTTGAGGTTCCTCGCAATATCATCCGGATGAGGTCCCTTCCCCATCTTGTTACCGGCGTCGTCACCAGGTTTGACAACGTTCTGTGGATAGCCAGGAGCGTCGACAATCTGGATCCCCTTCTTCTGGGACCACTTGCCATTGTTTACACCGTCGATCTCTACATCGGCGCAGCTGATATAGAACTGGGGCACATTGACCGCAATCCAAGACCACACAAACAGACACTTGCCCCTCTCATTACAACTCGGCACATTGTCGGGGATCTTGACAGGCCACTCGTAGTAGAAATCCGGACACGACTCTTTGTACTCGGCAATCAGATGGAACGTCTTGCCGCCGTCGTAGCTCAGCGAGTACTGGCAGAACCCTCCACCGTGGCGCGCCTGGTTTATCTGCTTCCCACCACTTCTGGGCCTTTGTGGCAGATCGCTGTTGTAGTTCTTCTTCAGCGCAGAGCCCCAAAACCGTGTCTGTTCGTACCAATAAAAGATGTAAGGAGAATATGCACGGTCCATGTTAGCGATGACACTCTCTACCATAGAAACGGTCTCAATGCTACGGCCTAACAACTGTTCATTACACCAACTTACGTTAATGATCTGACCAGCCTTGAGCTTGGTAATGTGTCCGACCTTGTTGTATCCATTGCAGGGGAGGGTGCGCTTGTTGGAGTAGCCGACAAACTCATGCGCCTCATAGTCAAACTGCTTGTCGCCAGGCGACCCTCGAGCCACGGGGTACAAGAGTGACATGTGGGCCATTGCTGACTGTGCAAGTAACACGGCGGCTAGCACCATCCAGTAACGTATGACCGCCATTTCTGTATGTGTTGGTGGAAGGGAGATTGAGTGGTGTAGGGATAGGGGAAAGAGGTTTGAAAAGGACGTGGTTATGTAGGACGAGGTTGGATTTTTGTTATGGTGGTGAATTGAGGTTGAAAATGGGGAAGACAAGAGAGAAGAAAAGAATGGAGGTGAGGGAGACAAAAGAAAGTAGGTGTGCTTTTTGGGGGATGTTACAAGCAAAACGGGCTTGAAGTGGAGAAGAAGAGAAGGATGAAGAGGGGGAGAGGGGTTGTTGGAGGAAAAAAGTGGGAGCAAAAAAAAAGAGGCAGGTTACTATAAGTACAAAAGGGTGGCAAGCTAACAAGAAAGGTCCTTTAGAAGAAAACGGGGCGCTTCTTTTTTTTCCTTCGAGTTCCTGTCTGGTTCTCTCCTTGAAGTGCATCACCCAAATACAATAATACATTTTTAGTGTGAAGTAAATAACCATGTCACCGTGCTCCAAAGCTCAATGGAACTATTGAACGGCTCCCGTCTGGAACGGCTATGTGTGCTGATGAGTGGGCGAGCAATGAAGGTAGCCAAAGAGAACAAAGAGAGAGAGAGAGGGATCCATAACATTTCTTTGTCTGCCAGCTCTATCTAGACATGTTGATGTCCATCTGGTTTTTTTTTGTGTGGGTCTTGCCGCAAAGGACGCTATGAAAGTTCAAGGAGCCTTTCGTTATTATTACTATTGGAGAAATGCAAGAAAAGGGTGGTAGCAAGTCAGTCCAGTTCAACTCATTGGAGCTGAGCAAGGGGGAGGTGAACGAGCGTTATTTTTGTGGTTGTTGAAAAAGGTCGCAGAAAGAAGGGACGCAATGGCAACAACAACAGATGAGTTCCAAGGATAGGAATGCCAGGCCGGACAAACCTTCTTCGTCTTCTCTCCTGATCTTCTTTCTCTTTCTCTTACTCTTTGTCTTGTTTCATCCATTCTCAATCTCGCACATCTCATTCTTTCGCTTTTTTGCCTTTCAGTCTCAACCTTCCGGCAAGTAAAAAAAAAATGATCCGAGCACAATGACACAAGCACGACGGCAACAAGTATGAATTAGCAAACTAGATGGCGAAAATAACGTGCCGTTCTTTTTCTTTGGCGCGAGGCATCGATCCATCCCTGCTTGCCAAGAATTAAAATACGCACCACAACGGCGAGAAAGGAAGGGAGTGGAAAAGAGGGGACGGCGAGGGATGAAAGGAGAGGGGAGGGAAGGGGAGGGAAGGAGAGAAAATAGTAAGTTGGCAAACAGGAGAAGGGGAGAGAGGAGAGAAGTGGAGATATGGGAGATTGCCACCATCTGAACGAAAAGAAGGAGAAGAGGAAGAGCCTTGATATTGCTGTTGACCCAGACTACAGTAACAGTCTCCAGTCCTAAAGAGGTGGCAGTCGGTTCTGTAGCGACGTGTTGTTGCTTCTTCTCAGACTAGGGCATCTAGCTGTCATTTTCGTAGTGTAGTGCCTGGGATTTCTGTAACATAGTCAAACGTTTCAACCGTGCAACCGAGAAGGGGTGAAGGGGCAAGTGAGCGTGTGAGCAAGGAGCGCGCGTTTGGATGATTTAAGGTACCTACGAGAATTGTGAGCTGGTGGCGGGATTTTTCATTTTCATTTTGTGCGACAGAACCCCATGCCCGTGCATACGTATTTTTACCAGGCTCCTTCCCCAAGCTCGCTTGGAACAGCCTTTGCTAAAAACCATTCATCAAACACACACATTCTTCACTGTGTTTTTTTCAGCAACAGATCACAGGTAAAGACACGCAATGATTTGAAAGTACCACTGGTATGAAATAAACATTCAAGAAGACTCTTTGCGGAATGTAAAAGTGGATAATCTAAGGACAACTGTCGCGCAGCCAATAACCAAGCCGTCCGAGTCAGCGATTCGGGAACGAATGGAGATCCGTGTAGGATGGGTTGGCTTGAAGTAGTACACCTGCATGTTCGATCGATCATCCAAAAGGCGACGCCCATACAGTGGCAATAAATCGATCAATTGCTCGGCCCGTAGCGCTATCCATAAACCCTGTTTCAACACTTATCGATACTTTTACATATTAGAGGGTGTGCAAAGGGAGCCAGCTCATCTCCGTCTTGTGTACATATAAGATATTCTTTGCATTAGCCACTGCATTTTCAGCGATAGGAAAATAGAAAAGAACTTATTATCAGATCTGAGGACACAGACACGTCTTCATATGTACTGTACGTTTGGCATTGCGATCGTTGACCACCCTTGGCACCAGAGTACCAACATGTCTTGCGTCCTGCCTCTTCATCTACTTGGTGCTGGTGGAATACCTATCCTGTTGAAGAACAATCCCAATCCTGTTTTCGTTCAGAGTTGTCCAAACCAACATGGTCGATCCCTGCATGTTTGATATGTATGATCCACGAGGCACCCTGGAAGGGTGAAGAAGGCGAGATAGGTTAATAGTCAACGGTCTATGTATAATCAATGAATCGGCACATACCCCATCCACATACGCACACATTCTCGTCCCAAACAATCGACACCCAATTACTTATCTCCCAACAAACAACACAGCGGGACGGCTGGTCCTACGATCCTATCTCCCTTTCACCAAAGCGACCGCAATACGGATCCATGCAACACATTCTTAATTTTATGGCCCCGCCCAAATACCCCCGAAATGCAGGCTTCACAACCGAATGAAAGTGGAAAAGAAGGAGGGACTGAAAGTGAGGGAGGGAGAGAGAGTAGAGAAAAACGAAGAAAGAAGGTGAATGGAAAGTGCAAGTGGGTGGGAATGAACATGGAGTATGGAGAAGCTAAACAGGCCAAACAACTGCGTTTTTGTCAAGGTCGTCTAACACATACACCGACGCCCGCTACAGTAGAGCGCTTTTTTTACTGCCAGAAGAGGATGAGTACAGTACTTTTTTGATGAAAATGGCCCATCAGCTGCAGGCCTAGGCGTGCCTGCAATCAGGCTGGCGATAACAACGATTTTATCTGAAGCTGGGTCATTAAAGGTCGGAAGCTAATTTGTTTGTCCCTGGCTGCAGGTTGCAGATAACTGATGGTGCCTGCGCGTTGGTCTGTGCGTCAGACAAGGCAACGAGCAGGGCCGCAGAGGTTCACAAGAGAACCTCGGCTTGCCCATTTCCATGTGGAAGGTGTGTGTTTGCTCTGACCTTTTATGTCTGTCTTTCATCATCTATTCCCTTTGTATCTCTAACGCCATCATCCTCGCCACTTTCATCAACAACCCAGGCTCGTTCATTCATATCCTCCTTCCTTCTTTTACATTCGTCTTCGTGTTCCTAGGTTTCCCATCATCTGACATCTGCCCCCGCTGGACACACAAACACTCGCTCTCCAAGTAGAGTAAGTTCTCTCTCATTCACAGCTCACACTCTTTACCCACGACGAGAACTTACTCACAAATGTCAGCCTGTTGTTTCCTTCCATGGTACGTCTTCGTTTCTCCAACAACAAACGATACCAACTCATATACGCGTCATCTCTATTGCCTAGAACTCATGTTATCTTTTCCCAATTCCCCTCACCCCCTTCGTATTCAAGTGACCAACACCGATGTATTATTTCTCCACGCGACCTCAATTTCTGGCCTACGTCAAGACAACCAACAATGGACCTCGCTAGAGAATTATTTGCTCCACAATTATCACATTATAATGGTGTTCACCTTTATACTTGTTGTTGTTTACTAGTATTAGGATCCCCGACATAACTAAGGATGCTCCCAAGGAATTAGATTCGTATGCTGCGGGTGAGAGCGAGGACACCGTCAACCACCAATCGACCATAAAACACGACGTTGATGACTGCGCCCAGCGCATCCCGAAAAAACTCAAAGTCCATGCCAAGGCGCAGAATATTTCATACCTCGAGGACGACTCTCTCCAATCCCAGGTACAGCGCCTTGAAGAGTCATGTTTACGTATCTGTACTCCCTCCATGGCCAAGGCCAACTTTCGAGCCCGAGACGATGCCTCGTTCTTCTCATGGATAACGTGCAGGAGTTCTTGGTCAGCAAGCATCAAGTCATGCTCACTCTAAGCGATTCAATTGCTGGAAAATCAACTTTTAATCGACACCCGCAACATCAACTCTGGGCAGACTACAAGCAGGGTGGACTCATCCTTCTCTGCATCAACCTCCTTTTCATCGATAACCCTACACATGATCTGATCGAGATGCAACTCCAGTGTCACAACTATTCGGGGGATCAGATCCAGGCAATGAAGTTAAACTGCCAGTTCTTCTCTTCTGCGGTGTATATGACGGAAGCCAGCCAGATGTCAATTTCCACTAAGCCAACCGTCTCCATCGGCGAGGACAATGGAGCGCCAATATGATCATCTCCTGCAGAAGCGAGTTCTTGGGACCTGTCTATTTGGACCGCTTTGTCCCAGAGCCTGAGGACGACTACAAGACCGCTTGGTCGGATCTCTTTCAGGAAGCTATCATTGCACGTTTCTCCAATTCGCAAGTCGAGGACTTCATGCGGATGCTCAGGATCCCCAACTTCGTGGATGTCATGAACCCTTTCTCCTGACGTTTGCGCTGGAAGCAGTAACCTTAGTTTCCTCTGTGCCGCGGGTCTGGTATTCAAGGACGCCATTGGTCTGAGCCTGATCTGCCTGAAGTTGTTGGCTCGACGTAGAGCTGCCATGGGCGACGTCTTGGTTGCGAGAGGAGATGGATCTGTTGTTGAGCAGTAGTCATAGAATATGTGTAGTGCTTTTCATCAAAAGATAGCAGGAAAATACAACATACTTGACAAGTTGTATTGTTAACCGACTTTATTTATATCTACGCTTGTGTGAGGCCTTTCTGCTACCTTTTCATAAGGCCAAGAGAACAAAGAAGCTTGTGGGCGCGCACTCGAAGAGCTGTGGCAAAATAGTGTTCACACATTGCCTTTCATTGGGTATGATATTCCCACGTTGCCAAGTAATGAAGCTATGACGGTACAAGCAAGCATACGCAATGTTCTTTTTATCCAACTGCTTTGAGAGCCACGCAACTGTTTATCGACTTTTTTCTCTTGTTTGCAGGGAGAAGGTGCACGTCTGACTTCCTGCAAGTCGCGTCTCTCTCTCATTTATGCACCTCCATGGCGTTGAAAGTAGTCACGTTTCTTTCGGGTCGTTCCTGGGTAAAGATGACAAGCGAAACGCCTCTTGTTCTTTTGATCTCTTACCTCATTCCATTCACCACCTTCTCACATTCACACAGCCCCTTTGCATAAAACACATTCAAAAAGATGACTCTCACCCTGGTATCGCAGAGCAAGCACTTTGGAGGACTCCTCGCAAAGTACAGCCACGCCTCGGCCGTCAACCAATGCACCATGACCTTCAACATCTTCCTCCCCAAGGCCGCCGCTGAGCACCAGACCAAAGTTCCCGTACGTGCCTACCAACGCGACCCCCTCCTCCTCCCCTTCCAACCCATTTTTTACTTTTCTTGTTACGACAATCAATTGATCGTATCTTGCGTTCGCATTGCTGTAGCTCGATGATTTCTAATACGAAGTACTGACTCTAATTAATGGAACGTGGGAAATTCTAGGTGCTTTACTGCTTGGGAGGATTGACAGCGACAGAGGACAACTTTGCTCAGAAAGCCGGTGCTGCTTCCAGGGCTGCTCAGTATGGACTCGCCTTGGTATTCCCCGACACCTCTCCTCGTAATGTTTCCGTACATCTACCCTTTTTCCAGTCTGCGTTGCTGGCAACTGAGATCGTCAATTGAGATGGATGGTTCGCCTAACATGGATATGTTTTTTTTTTCATTGGATAATATAACATCTTCTTAGGCGGCGTTGATTTCGCTGAGGCTGGTGCCAGCGATGACATCGGATACAGTAAGTGCGCTTTCGTCAACATAACTGAAGGATACATCCTCCTCTACTACATCCGAGTCGACTGCGCTGCGGCATGCATCACGCGCTCGCACTCTAATTATTTACGTCATACATTCTTCTGCTGGGTGAACGTCCATAGGCGCTGGATTCTACTTGAACGCTACTCAGGCACCATGGGACAAGAACTGGAAGATGTACGACTACATCTCCAAGGAGTTGCCCCAGGTCCTCTCTGCCAACCTCCCCATCGTATGTATTCTCGGGCATTTCGATCATCGGTTATGTTTCAGGAATCCTCAATGGATGGATTGTTGTGATCTGAAAACCTTATCAGTCTTATCTACCACTCACCTTGTTTACGATTTTTTTTTTCTCGGCGTAGGATATCTCTCGTTCATCGATCACTGGTCATTCCATGGTACTTGTCGAACCAACAACTGGGAACTGTGTTTGCAAGGATATGCGATTTTGTTTGGCCACCTGTCACACACACCCCAATGCTAACTTTCCCTTACCTGTTTGACATATGTGTCCGATAGGGCGGCCACGGAGCCTTGACCATCTTCCTCAAGAACCAAACCGCCTACAAGGTAAAAACCAAACGCAGGAACAATCCCTGTCAAGGACTGATCTCAACTGTCGCCATCATTAGTCAACGCAAAAAAAGATATCGTTGGAACCCAATCTCCAACAAACCTAACAACCCTCATTCTTCATTATGTGTTTGTCTATCCTAAATAATAGTCGGTCTCGGCATTCGCACCTATCCTGCACATGTCAAAGTCGAACTGGGGCCGCTTCGCTCTGCCAAAGTACTTGGGCGATGACCAGTCGACTTGGAAGGAATATGACTCTGTCGAGCTCTTCAAGCTCCACCATGCCCAAAAGACCCTCCGCACTGACTTCAACGTCCTCATCGACCAGGTAAGCAGCGCTCGTGGTCTTTTTTCTTTCACCGACAGCAACGAAAACAAAAAACGGAAAAAAAAAAAAAAAGTGTGGTGAGCATTGGAACACTCCCATTGTTTTTCTTCTTATTCCTTTCTAACCATTGTTTTTGGTATGTTATGTATACAATAGGGCACGGGAGACAAGTTCTTGAAGGACAACTTGCACACTTCAGATCTGATCGAGTTTGTCGAAAAGGAAGGACTCGAGAAACAGTTCACGATCCGCTACCAGGACGGATACGACCACGGATACTTCTTTATCGCCACCTTTGCCAATGACCACGTCGATCACCATGCCAAGGCTCTTGGTCTCACCCTTTCTCATTAAGAGTTATACAAAAAACGAAAATAAAATGGCAATGACGACGGGGAACAAGGTGAGTGGCCGTTGCGCTCACCTAACCTGTTTTCATATCTTCGTTTTCAACAAAAAAAAAAAAAATAGGCAAGGAATGACATAAAAAAAATTATATATATATATATTGTTGCATTTCATGCATGCTACAAAGTCAAAGAACACGTCCAGGGCTTCGATCATGCAAAAAAGAAAAAAACAACCTAGACAAAAGATATTGTGAGGCTCCTAAACACTCCACTCTTAAATTGGTTAACTGCATACACTACTGTTCTTTCTCCTTGATATTCTGATATTTGATATTTGGTTCCTGTGTTGACTCCTTCCTTGACTCCATATTCGTTGGGAATGAGAGGAGGTGGGTGGAAAAGTTAATCTTATTTTTTTTGTCTCGAAGACAAGGGGGTCGCCTTGCCTTGTGTTACTTTTTACATAAAGTACATAACTAGGTGAAGAAAAAAAAGAGAAAAGAATGATGAGTGACGTGTTCAACCAAATGTGAACATGACAGAGATAATGGAAGGTGGTAAAAGAACAAGGGAAACTTACCACGAAGGAGATCAGGCTTGACGGCTAGGTAGGTGCTCTCATCGGCGTTGCTCTCGCTGGACTCGGTGTCCGACCAACGCTCACCCTTGGAGTGGAAGCGCGCGCGGGCAGCGACCAAATGAGCGTAGTACGCAGCGGGGACAAGGGAGACGGTTCGGGTGCAGCGGGCATACAGATGGCACAACTTGTAGGTAAACTCCTGCAGACTGTCCGACGTGAACCTGTTCTCGTCATACAAAACGTGATAATGCGTGGGGCGAGAGGTACCTTGCAGACTGGCGTGCGACTGCAAATAAAAATCGAACTCGAAGGGGTGGACAATGCCAGTATCGACGACCGTTCCCGCCATACAGTTTCCGTTGCGGTCTCCCTCATCACGTCTCGCGGGGAAGAAACGGGCATGATGACGTTTCTGGACAACGACGAAGGTAATGGTGGGCTTGTAGTTGGCATCCAGGGTGGTACAGGCGGCACGGACGGACGCGACCTCAGAACGCAAGACCTCAGCAAACTGACCCTCGGACACACCGTCACGGTAGAACAAGATGCGCTCGGGCTTCTGACCGCAGGTCTGGAAGAACGTACGCAACAGCTCCACAACCATGCCTCCGAGATCAGCAATGGTCTCAGTCCTGGCGGTCTGGACACGGACGGTGGCAGCATAACGAGCGGCCTTGGCATCCATGGAGCCAACTAGAGACGCGATCGAGGGACGGGTGGTGTCACCAGGCGAAGGGTGACTGACATCGGCACCAAACAGAATAGTGGGCTTCTGGGTCAAGAATGGGGTCTGGTTGGGCGACAAAAAGGCGTTCATGCCTCCAAGCTTGACGTTGATCTTTAGGCAAACGTTTGCGCAATACTGCTTCTTGGGGGTGCGGGTGTGCGACATTTGGACACACTGGGTAGGGATGCCAATGACAGTGTCACTGACACGCTTGATTTCAGCGTACAAGGGCACACCAGTGTTTGGCAGGATGCAGACCAAGAGCTGGGGTTGGGACTTGACGGCATTGCCGGCACGCATCCAGGCGTTCTTGAGACTACCCTCAATGTCTCCGTGAGGGTTGGCGTACAAGATCGGGGGTTGCTTGTTAGGGATGGTCATACCGGTGTCGACGCAGGTGACGATCAACTCGCGGATGAATGCTTGGGCAAAGGTGAGGGGTAAGTCGCGCTCAGTACCAAATACCACAACACCCCAGGAGCCCAAGGTAGCACCAGTGGCAACACGCTTGTCACGCAAGTTCCAGGCACCGTCACGGGGGACAAAATTGGCCTGGCGGGATGAGGGGTGGTACGAAATGGTGGGCGCTGGCAAAACACGGGCTAAGATATCAAAAGCAAAACCAGCAAACTTCGGTCAGATAGAGTTATCAAAGAGACATTGAATTTGGTGGTCCGCATTATTTACCGAAACAATAAAGAAAAGGCACGAAAGATTGTTTACCGTTAATCTGGACCATCTCGGTGGCGACCTTCATGCCGAAATCGTTAAGGAACTCGTTCTCATGGTAATTGAGAATCTTGAGGCCCTCCTTGATCTTGTTGGCGCGAACCTGAGGAGGCTGGCAGGTGAATTTGATCATATCGGCAGTCTGCCTCTCGTTCAACTTCTTAATGTGGCGCTGGCCCTATATCATTCAACAAAGCAGTGAAAAAGAAGGAGTTAAAGTCAAAATATGTGTCAAGAGACTTTCTAGCCTACATAGAACAACTTTTTTTTCTTCCTTTTAGTCTCCAGCGTATTACCTCGATGACAGTGCAGATCTCCATGGGAAGGAAGACATCCCTGCCGGTGACAACACAGGGCATAAAGGGATATTGCAGACGTCTGCCATAAGTCTGGAAAAAATATGTGGCGACATCGGTCTTGGTGTTCTCTTTCATAAACGATGTTGTGTTGGCGGGGGTAGGGGTCAGCTTGGTTATCTTGAACCTGCGCTTGACTTCACTACGATGGGTGACCCTGATGAGCAGGCCTCGCAGAGATTTTTCCAGCTTGGTGCGATCACGATCTGTGAACCCGCGACGCAAATCATCTATAGCAAAAGGTATTAAAACCAGCGGTGGCACATGTCAGAAGATTTGAACATGAAACATTGCAGATGTGCGCGAAGTATTCAATTTCAATTGCAGTGTGACGGTCTGATGTGCCCATAATAACCTCCTTACCGATGTTTCGGCGATCCAGTATCTTGACAGCCAGCTCCAAGAGCGAGCCCGACTGATAGTAGGCGGTCGCGGCGACATCCAAATTAATCATCATGCGACCTAAGAGGAGGTAGTATCATTGTTGTTGTTGTTGATTAGTGAAGGTTATAACATTAATAAGGCATCAAGTGCAATTCAAATTCCTTTAGAAAAAACAACGAAGGCTTTCCATTGTTCGCATTTGACAACTTACCAAGGGTAGGTCTGGCAGACTGGTAGAAACCATTCCAGACTTCGACACCTCCATATAAGGGCTGGGCGCCATCGGGCGTGAAAAAAGAACGACCGACGCTCGAGTAGAGCATGGCGGGCTTGTGACGGATTAAGATATCCAAAGCCATGATAGCGGTGAGGCAGTTGGGGCTGAGGGCTGACTTGGCGTTCAAGAAACGGTGAAGTTCCTCAAGGTTGATCTCGGAGGCCTTCTTGATCTTGACCTTGAAGCCACGAGGGGGGTGACGGGGGACGACACCTTTCGGGGCCTCATCCTCAGGCAAGGTGATCTATGTAATAGACATTTAAAAAGTGCAAGGGTAGGAATGAAGACTTGCGTTAGAACAATTGAATGAAAAATGACCTCGATTCATTTTCCATACAGCCTTGTGGATGGATGTGCAGCGTGTGGTGCAGGTGGGATACGATAATCTTTGTTCGTTACATTTGCCACTCCTTCATTCGCTCTCTCTCTCCTCTCCTTCTCTTTTTCTCTCTCTGTCTCTCCCTCTCTCTCTTGTATTTTGCTTCCCACTCTACCGCGCATTCTTTGTTTTATCTTTCTCACGCATTATGCCTCCTCCCCTTCTCGTTCCCGCAACCTGTTTCCTTGTGGCACGTTGATTTTTACTTTTCCGCACAAGTATATCAAGAACAAGAACGGTGAAAAATTACGTCAAATGTCTTGCCGTCAAAGGGGAACACTTTCGGCGAGAATATGTTCTTGCGACCATCAAAGACAGGACGGGAGCCATTGAGGTCAGACTTGCCGTAAACGAGGAGCATGTGCTCAAAGACCCGCCGGTTGACGATCGGGGGCACATCCGGCGTTATAGAAACATCGTAGTGGTACACATTAATATTTGGTAGCTGGGTGATCTCGAAAAAGTTCGCGTTAATCTTGATAGCCTTGCCGGCAGAACCGGGGTTGGGCCGTTTGACGAACTCTGTCAGACGAAGGCCGGACATAGTGGTTTGTTTTCGTTTTTTCTTTTTTTTTTTTTTTTCTCTTTTGGTTTTGAAAAGGGTGAGGGTGATGGAAATACTAAAGTGATTGAAGGAAGGTGGTCCAGATTCCTAGTTCTGTTTGAACACAGATCGAGGGTGATAGGGAAGGTGAGAAAATGACGATAAGGGCGGATGGAAGGAAGGGAAGGAAAGAGAAGCAAGAGAAAGTGGATATGGCGACGACGGAAGACAAAAAAAGAGAAGGCGAACGGGAAGATATATATGAAAAAAAAGGATAAAAAAAAAGGTTAGTTGAATGGGACGTCCTATCTGGCCGTGCCCATGGTCTGGTGGTGGTAAACAGCAAGGGCTCTGAGCCAAGTGGGTGGCTAGCGAGCTAACAACATTCAGGTCTTTGCTCCTATTTGCTACTGGGTAGTGTCAGTTTTTCCTCGTTGTTTCGCCAGGGCCTGGAAGAATGGAAATGGAACGATCACTTTTTTTCCCAGCTGTAGATTTGTTGTATGTCCTAAACAGGTGAATGTGTTGAAGTGTGTGTTGAGAGGAAGGAGAGCACGTATGTGCGTGAGAGAGAAAGAGGCAACTTACTCGTATGGTGTACGAATATATTCTGGTCGGTCGCTATGGGTGGAAGAGAAGAGAGAAGAGAGCAATGCTAATGATGGGGAGAGCGAGTGAATGAGTTAGGGAATGGAAGGACAGGGAGAGTAGGAAAGAAAGTAAAAATAATAAAAAATAAAAAGGTGCATAAAAATAAGGGAGAGCATGGACGCAAGGTCGTTCTTGTTCTCTCGTCGTCGTCGGAGGTTGTTGTTTGCCATGGTGGTCGTGGTAGATGTGTGGGTTGATTCCCACAAAGGATGTACCAGGGTGTTTTAGGTGGAGGCATCACAGTACTTCTTCTCTCATATATACACACAAACAAACATACATACAAGGTATTGTGGGTTTGGACAAGCGGAAGAAGGGAAGTAAGCAATGGTGCCACCAGCAAGTGTTCAAAAGAAAGGAAGGGCAAAGAGAGAAAAGGAAACAAAGATTTTTCACGCAAGACGACGTTGTTCGTTTCTTGGCTCTCCGGCTCTTCTTCCGATTCAAAACTCAATTGACTGTAATGAGACTGCTTTTTTTATTTCGATTTTTTTCTTTCATCAAAAAAGGGAAAGGAACAGCGAGTGGTATCGAAAAGGATCCTCGAGACCCGAGAGGGAAAAGATAAATACAAGGTGAGAGGGAATAAGAACGGGAGAGAGAAAAGGAGTATGAACAACATTGGGTGGGAAGAAGTAGAAAAAGACACAAACATTCTAACGGAAACCAGGAAGGACGCCCACGTGCTGAGACTGGTTGCCGCTAAAGAACTCGCTCATCTGCTGGGGCGCAACAGCTCCCTCAACCTTCGACCGGTTGACCAGCTTCTGCGTTCCATTGCCCACCAGGGGCATCGCCGAATACGACTTTTGCAGGTACCACAACAGCCTCAACTTGTGCGCACGTCTTGGGTTCAAAAAGTCCAAATGGCACTCAAACGACACCGGCTCAATCCACCGCTCCCCATTGATCTTCTTGCCCTTGCGCGTAAACGACGATACCTTGTAGATAAACGCCCAGGGGCATCCCTTATCCGAACCAAGCAACGTCCTGGTGCCAGGCTTCAAGATCGACATCTGGGCCTCCTTGTCGAGATAGTCGTACTTGTCGGTGTCGCCGACGGAGATAATACGGATCACCGGTTTGGTAATGCCAAAGGTCTTGCTGTAGACCTGTCCACGGAACTCGGGCTTGACTGGCTTGGGCAACCAGCGGATACGGTTCGTCGCCTCATCAAAGGAATCAAACAAGAACACTGGGCGGAAGGTGCGATGGCCCTCCTGGTCAGCCCAAAGGACCACGTGGCTCTGCATAAACTTGTCGAGCAGGGCACGGGTCGTCAATTGGCGCCAGCGGTCTGAGAGGGTGTGGAGGTCGTACAGCTCGAGAATGGTCAGGGTCTCGAGAATCAGAGCAACAACGTCATTGGGCAGGTTCTCCATCTCTGCGGTCGAGGGGATGTTGGTGGGAATACGGCCAGCAGTGACGCCAGCACGGGCACCACCGGTGGCAGCGGTGGCATGGGCAGGGGCAGTCGAGTCGCCGTTACGGGCATCAATAGTAGCGCCATTGTTGTTCAGGGACTCTGTTGCAGCAGCATGATTGCCGAGAATCGATGCCAGATCGTAGGTTGGGGGCAACGTGTTGGGGTTGCGGTCAGTGTCGACGGATCCGAGGGAGATGTTGTCGGCATCCTCACCGTCCTCGTCATTGTCGTCCTCTGTTGAACCTGAGTCTGAGATGCGGTTCTTGGTGGTACTATTGTTGTTATCTAGGCTGAGGTCGATAAGCTGTCCCTCGAGAACGGTCCTGCCGTTGGTGTTGGAGACAGAGTGCGACGAGCTGTTGGTCGAGTTGCGGTTGCTTGTGCTTTCCAAGGTCATCTTGGTAGATGTGTCAATAGTAAAGGAGCTGTTGGAGCTTGTGGTGGTGGTGTATCTGCGATTAGAGGGCTATTGAAAATGCGGTCAGCGACAAAGAGGGAGAAAGGAGAAGGGAGAGAGAAAGAGGAGAAAGAGGAGAAAGAGGAGAAAGAAGAGAAAGAAGAGAAAGAAAAGAATAAAAGAATAAAAGAATAAAAGAATAACCGGGTGTCAGTTGGGCGAGCTTGTCAGTCAGTCTGTCATTCGGCATGGAACAGGATTGTCTTCTTCTCTGTTTGCTGGGTCATCTCTTCACCCTTTCAAGCGCAGTCGCCCTTCCTCTTTTTCATTTCCATTTCGGCAGTTCTCCCGGTGATTGTAGTCCAAATGGACGTTGTCAGGGAAGCTCATTTCTGCTGTCTGTAGTCATTGCAGACAGACAGACAGCCAGGTTCCCGCCGAAGAAAAGGTCGACTCTCATGGCGACCCTCGCTTCTCTTTTTTGGTACTCATTCAGGTCTCTTTCTTGTTTTGTTACACCTCTGTCTCCCTTTGTGGTACTTCTTCTCCTCTGCTGTTACGAGTAGTGGAAGAGGAGGTGTTTGTGTCTGCGGCCGTCCTGTTATTTTTCAGGGGTTGGAGTCTCCCTTCCTGTTCCCAGTGATCGCAAGAAAAACACTCACGGTCTGTAGTAAACAGACACATGCACATATGTGCAGCAGAGGAAAAGCGGGGTGCAAAGCAGGGTAAGAGCGAGAACAAGAGCAAGAACATAGAGGTACCTACCAAGATGGGGGGACAAGGACGTTAAAAAGAAGAAAGGCGGGAGTGAATTGGAGCAGTGTATTTTTTTTGTTCTTGGACGGGTGTAGAGTGAGAAGTGGAAAGGAGGGATAGAAGATGGAGGAGCAGAAAGAGAAGATAAAAAGAATGCGCCAGCCTTTCTATTTTTTTGCGTTCTTATGGGCCTGCTTCCTTCTATCCCCTCTGTGTATTTGCATGAACAAACCATAGATAATGACGACAAGTCGACAGATAGATATCGAAATTCAATAACGGAACGCTCTTTTCATTCTACCACACATTACTTTGCAAAAAGGCCCTTTTTCCTCTTTCTTCTCCATTCATCGGCTGTTGCATCTGCTGCACCGTACCCATTCATTCATATCACATCATCATACCCTTACAGTTTCATTCATTTCACATGGCTTCCCCCTCACTTTGCCCGGGAACTCGTTTCAAGATAAGTCGACCTGTTACCTGCTGTCTACTTTTAATCTGTTTCTCTGGCGGGCTTAGTTCTCTCGTTCTTTCTCGCATTCTTCCAACGGTCAAGAGATGTCTTCTTTTACACCCCCACCTCTCGATTCCTCAACCTGCCATTACGCTATTTTCGTACAGCGAGAGTCGGACACTAAACACAAAGGCGAGATAGGCCATCCTCATTCGCCCACCCGCCGGCATCCTGACCCGTTCCTTCATCGCGATCTTTTTTATTTTTCAAACAAACAAACAAAAAGGTGTATGTCACAGCCATGGTTTCTTCAACCATTCAGAATCCATCCATCCTTCGGATCTACACCCGAACAAAAAAAAAAAGCAATGTAGGAATATTTCATTGGTCCTACCTCGAGAACTATCTTCTCATTCTTTTCGTCTCTTCTTCTACATACAACAATGTTATCCTTGTCCGCAAACGTCAAGATAGTTACATGATCGCCGTCTACATGTGTTTACATTGGAATCCCATCACCCCATTTTTTGAGCAAACCCTTCGGATGTCCGGATATCTTTTCCTTTTCGCTCTCTTCCACATACATCTGTTCATTTCACTCCCCCGCCATTGTAACCTTTTCTTCCTACCAGACATCCTCTCACAAAGTCCTTCGAACTATCCTTTTCCATGACTAGCAACAACAACAACAACAACAACAACAACAAACAACATTCCAAAGCGATCAAAACACTACCCAGCCGAACCCTGAGTGAAAAGAGTCCAGAAATTGCCCTGTGCTCAGACGGCTAATGAAAGGAGAGGGTCTTTTACGTTCTTGTTCAACGTTACGAGAACTAGAGAGAAATACTGACTGTTTGTACTATTGTTGAGTGGAGCAAGAATGTAATAAAGAGGAGTCAGATGCACACAACGATAATTAGAGGGAAAATGGCGACAACGATGGTTGGTTGATTGGTTGAACATGGCGGGAGACAAGCAGCGCCAACTGTTTACTCTTTATTTCTGTAGTTTTTGTTGCTGTTGTTGTTGTTGTTAACCCTCAGTCCGATCGAAGAAAGTTGTTCGACTGTGTTGTATAGTCCATGGACTGAGCTTTGTGTCTGTGATAATTATTGCAAGGGGGTGAATGGGTCGCATGCGATTGGCCGAGAAGGTCAACGGGTTAGATTCTTTGGGCACGCGCACGATAAACCTTTCTTTCACTCGCTCAGCAATCGAAAAGGAAAGGCAAGGTGTACAGATAACAATGAATTTGCTAGCCGTGGGTATCGATGGTGATAGGCTGGCTCTTCTTTCCAGTTCCCTTTCCTCTCAGAGCGAGAATGGACAATCAAGCAAGAAAAAAGCTCTTCCTTCCTTTTTACTCACACAATGCACGCGATTGAATCGCTGTTGTTGGGCAACATTTGTAGGTGAGCTTCACTTCTTCTTTTCCCCGTTTGTTCGTTCGGGAACAAATCCGAAACTCTATCCCGCCCTGTGATCCCCTTTTGGCCCAGGGAAAAATGATCCAAGCGCGTCTCTTTCTTTTCCTGTTATTCATTTTCTATTTTTCCTTTGATTTCAAATAAAATAGTAGGGCTAGGAACAGGTTTTGGTGAGCTCAAGGAGCACGACACAACACATGTCCCCCTCTTACCTCTTCCTTCTTTCTTTTTTTCTTTCGATCTCGTGGTACAACAAACCACTTTTTTTTTCGTCTCTCTCCCCCTCTCACCATCGTTACAAATGCAAACAATCGTACTAAGCACGCAAGAACTGCGTTCCGTCATGGCCGAGCACCTATGCGTGAGTAAACAATTGAGGTGGGGTGAGTGTGTGTCTATTTTTTGTACTTTTTTCCCAGCAGGACTCGTTCGTTTGCTCACATCTTCCCTTTTTTTCCACGCTCGTTCATCTACTGCTCATTTCTGCTGGCCAAAATTGTAGTTTGCCTGGGCCACTACTCTTTGCCCATAGGGTCGCCAATGTTGACCAACTATGGCGTGCACAGGTTAAAGTAAGAACAACAGCATAAGCTCAGACTCATTCTGTTATGACGTTCATCTCTCGACGCGTTGTCTTCCTGCTCGTCGTGTCTTCTTCTTCTTCTTTGCCTCCTTATTTTCTCTTTCTCATTCCAGGGTCTTTTACTCCCCTTTTCTTCACTTTCTAGTTTTCATAAACATACCAGAGCGAAAAAGGGTTGGGGGGGAGACGATCGTGGCACTGAAGGACTCTCACTCCTTTCACTCCCTCCCCCTCTCTTACCTCTGGTTATTATTTTTACATCCCTCAACAACCAACACACCAACGACAACAATATCATCATGACAGTCCTGACCTTCAACTCGAACCCGAGCACAGCGACACGACATAATCTTAGCCGGCGACGGCATGGTATCTCTGGTGGTAGGGAGTCGATAACAACCTCCAGTAGCGTCAGGACATGACATAGGATTAGGATCGACTAAACTCTCAGAGGCAGAGTGGGGCTTTCATGACCTGGATGATCATATCGGGGCTCGAGCAACGACTCGGAACCAAGCAGGAAGAGGACGACGAGGAGGATGACGCTTCGAAGAGGATTCATAGGTGTTTTGGTTGCTCTGTCGATCATTGCGCTTTGGACTCGGTACTCGCCTCATCAGTCAGGACTTTCTATTGCTGTGACTCCCTTGACGACACGAGTGACAATGACTACTGGACGTACGATTCTGACAAGAAGATCTTGCCACCGAGGCCTTACGCGCCAGACGAGAAGTACTTTATCCACGAGTACAGCCCTTGGCTTAGCTTCAACAACATGAGGTACTGCTGTTACATCTAAAATGGCACTATTCAATCCTTCCTTCTTCTTTTTCACTCGCAAGACAAACATAGATTCATTTTCGCTTGTTTTCTTTTCATTTGGGCGAAGGACAGGTGCATGATAGAAAGAGGACTCTACCTCGCATCCCTCCTAAACCGAACACTCATCCTCCCCACAACCGTCTCCAATCAAGATCCCAAAGTTCGGATTATACATGTCAACAGACGACTACTTCCAATCCCTCGGTGCGATCCTCTTCGAAGACCTCCTTGACCCTTACTTCGAATCTCGATTCGGACACTTGATTGTGTTTGATGATTGAATCGGGCTGGTGGAGCAGTTGATCTGTGTACGAGCGGCGTTGTTTGTGGACTATGAGTAGTAGCTTTACGAGTGGAATTCTGAGCTTGAGGTTAGATCCTGAGGCGTTGATGAGGAGGAGGGAGGTGGTAGTGGGAGGAAGAGGTTTGGATACCTCTATAAGAAAGGTGGGCCGGTACTTATATCTGTGCAGCAGCAGCAAGGCTAATAGCTTTCTCTCTCTTTTATCATTTAAGTGATAACTGAAAAATAATCATGGTTCCTGAAATTGATGGACATGCAGGGATTGCTCCTTTGCGAGTACCATTTGTTAGGAGTAAATAACGGGTTGTAAAGGCAAGGTAATAAAAAGACGCTACGCGACAAACATCGCGTTCTCTGCTGTGAGATTGCTTGGACAGTCAAGCGGTTACGAGTGAACAAAAAATTGACACGATCCAAACTGAGAACAACGATGGTGGCGTCTACCAAATGAAAAGGAAAGCATGGACTTTCGTGGACACCAACGCGTTCTACACACCCCTTGACACCACCGGTTGGGACCCCAAAAAAGAGAGCTACCTGGAAATAGCAAAAAGATAGCGTCAACAGCAGGATTTGAACCTGCGCGGGAGAACCCATGTGATTTCTAGTCACACGCCTTAACCGCTCGGCCATATTGACTTGTTGCTTGATAATATTTCAGTATTTCTGTCTCCTATGTACTCAACATAAGTTGGTGGCGGCGCCACCAACTTAAATCCGTCACGTGAATAAGGTACCGTATGCTCTTGTATTACATAGAAAAATGCGTTCACCACTGGTAGGATGGCCGAGTTGGTCTAAGGCGCCGCACTCAAGTTGCGGTCTCGAGAGAGGCGTGGGTTCAAATCCCACTTCTACCATTAACTTTTGCCTCCCTAGCGCACACACTGCTCTCCCTGAGTGCGAATGAAGATATTCTGACGCCATGGCTTTGGACACATGTCAGAATATCTTTTTGTACAATCAGAGATGTTAAGAGTTTCCCAATAGTCGCACGTATTCGAAGGCCGAAGAAGAATATAAAACAAGGACCCCCTTGGGGTGCTACAAGACCGCCATCGTGTGAATGCTCTTTTTCCCTCGGCCGACACGACCCTCTCGTCCGTATGGGCGTTTTTTTTTTCCTTCGGGTGAATATATTTGACAACCTAAGACCATCTGCCTTGCCCTGCATTCAAGATGCTGCAATGAAACTCCCGTTCTTGGCGATCATTATATCGGTGCGTTTTCCTGAGTACCCTTTTCGTCAAATTGACCCTTCGCGCTATATGAGTATTACGAGTATTACATGTTTAGCCAGTTATTCAGACATTCAATGTCATTTTATTTTTTCACCTGAATGCGATTCTATTATTTTCTGGGTCAGCGCAGAGTGGTCAGAAAGGACACGTCCTCTTTTTTTGCTCGTGTGTCCGCAAACATACAGCTCAGACTAGCATTCAACCATGGACATGCATAGTTAAGTTGCTGATATTAAGTTTTATTACTGGGTCAAATGATATGTGTTTCTAAGCGATGGTCGGTGCGCTGGCGGCGAGTTCCTGCAGCGACTGCAGGACCGGAAAGTATGGCATGGGGGCATGCAACTGCTGCTGCTGTTGTTGTCCCTGCATCTGCATCTGTTGCTGTTGGAGCGCAATCTGCTTGGATCGCCAATTAATAAACTTCTTGACTGTAAACTGCCTCACATTATTAATCTGGGTTTCCAACACCAACTTCCTCAACAACGGCAACTCATTCATCGCATGCGTAAATGGGATCTGATCCAGCGGGTCATCAGAACTCGGCTTTGGTGGCACATTCGATACCGCAAATGGTGGCCCGCCCTGTTGTCCCGTCTCGGCCATATGGATCAATTTGTCATAGTCGATCCTGAAGGTATAGATGGAGACTCCTTGTTCGCGTAGGGTTTTGAGGACGTGGACTTTGAGTTGTTGGACGTCCTGTTCGGATTGGGTGTCGATTTTGGAGATGACGGGGACGACGTTGACTTTTTCGGAGATGATGCGCATGTATTCGATGTCGAGGGGTTTGAGCCGGTGGACGATTAGGTAGAAGCAAACATCGATGAACTTGTGGGCTCCTACACCTATTCGTCATTTTCATTCATTTTAGGAAGAAAAAAAAGGGTGAGTGTGTGTGCCAAAAATAACGTTTAGTACGCTCAGCTTTTTTTTGTTTTGTTTGTCACGCAACAAATGATGGATGGGCGGGAAGGAAATAGCAGCAAAGAAAAACCACTAATGCACCCCCATTAGCCTGTTAGTGTAATAAATATCGCTTTGGTGTGGGTGTGTGGTATTTTGGTATTTTGGTGGTTTTTGTCCCTTGAGTGATCCGTACCTGTGACAAGAGAGCGCATGAGTTCGTTATTGGTGACCTCGATAAAGGGCGAGATCTTGCTGTTCTTTTCCTCGAAGGTCTGGCTGACGTGGTTCATGAACAGGGCGAAGTTGGTGCGGGCATCGATCACACTCCCGTAACCAGGAGTATCTACAAGAAGGGTAGCGAGGGGGGAGGAGCATGGGAGAAAAGAAAAAAGCGTGAATAAAAACGTCGCAAAGGAGGGTGAGAAGTATGTGATGAAAGATACGGAGAAAATGAACGATCTGCACATGCAGCACAAAGGCACAAAAAGAAAATATACAATTTGACTGTTGTGTCCAGCAAACGAGAGCGGGAAAAACATTACAACAGAAACGATGGAGGAAGAGAGCGGAAACTCACCGAGAAAGACGAGGTTGCGGGCTGGCGCTTCATCGTCAGCATCCATATTGTCCCAAGGAATCTCCATCATGGTACTCGAGAACCGTTCCGTCAACTCCTGTGTCTGCACATAATCATCTTCGTCCTCGTCCTCGTCGTCCTCGTTGGTGCGACGAGGCTTCAATGGCTCCCAGTCGTGAGAGAGTACCTCGGGAAGGGTTTCGACAAACTGGCGAGCAAAGAGAGTCTTGCCAACAGCGCTGTCTCCGACGACAGCGAGACGGAGATATCCGATGTTTTGACCCGCACAGGGGTTGGCGAGGAGGTAGTGTGTCGAAGCCATAGGGTAGTCTGTCCTTAGTAGGTCGTTGTTGTCCTGAACTGTGAATGAGTGAAAATAGATTGGCGGAATGAATGAGTGAATGCTTATTGTCGGGTGAGGAATGGAGTGGAAGAGAGAATGAGAAGAGAGAAAGAGAGAAGAAAGAGATATGAGGTCGAAGGTAAAGGGGAACAAAATAAAACGAAGAGAGGCGGCGACAAAGTGGCAGTGGAGGAAAGGAGAGGGTGAGGAGGTGGGCTCGTTCGGAGTGATGAAAATGGTCCATGAGTGCTTCAAGTAGTACCTAACTAGTACTTGCATAACAGTGTCCCAGTCGCAGATTAGTGTCGACTTGGTGCCGATGCTCTTCAAGTGTTCCAAAAGACCTAAGCGAGATCCATCTAACAGACAATATCATCTCTTACCTGCTCCTACTTGCCATTGCCTTTTTTACTTTAACCTCTTATCCCCTTTTATGTCGAACAAAAGTGATCGTTCAAACTTCGTTTTACATGTCCCATCAATCAATCACCTATGAACTGATCAATGATGTATTTCATTCGATCGATCTGTGTATACTGTAGTGTTGTAGTGTGTAGGGCAAAGTCGTGTTTTATTAAAAGTAAGTGGCATATGTATTAAGATTGAGTGGCCTTGCCGTGTGAGAGCCGAGACTGGTGCTCGATCTGATCCATCACAAACGAGAAACTGGGGTTACTCAGCATCATCTGCTTGTTCACACGATAAGTTTCCTTCCTAGGAACCTGCGCTGCCGCCGCTGAAGGCACCTTCGGTGACTGTCGGGAACCAGGCTTGGTTGCTGAAGCTGGAGTAGTGGCAGAAGCTGTCGTCCAGGTGACAGACTTGTCAGTCTCGGATTGAACAAAGATATTGGTCGACAGGACCTGGGATGGTTGAGGCACACCACGCCAGTTGAGCTTCTCTAACGTCAACTTGAGCGCGTCCTTTGTCGACACAGTTACTGTAGGGGCTGGTGTCTTTGTCGAGAGCGAGCCCTGGACATGGATCTTGGTCACTTCGTTGCGGAATAGCGCATGCAGCAGAATCGATGGTGACAATGATACCACTCCAGCTAAATCAGGGGTACCAAAGACGAATCATAGAAGGAATACGGTTAGGACACGCGACTTGTTGGTTTTTCTAGCTCGACTGCTGATGATCGTGCTGAACAATATTCATTTCCGAAAGCCAACTAGCTGGACGTGGACGAATCATTTTTAACGGACTCCTTCGGCTCGTATCACCCTCACCTCCGAACCATAGCTAATGTGGCACGGACGCAACAAATAGCTACTCCTCATTCTACAGTTTGTCGATTCGGCTCACTCTCTTCCCCGCCCCACACACATAATTGCTCCGTCCGTGTAATATTTGCTGACCACGTTCAATTGATTAAAGCAGAAAAAAACAAGCAAAACAACAAGCAAATTTACCCATGATCGCCAAGAAATGTTCAGTGTTTCCGAGAAAGAGGGTTGAAGGCACAGCAATACAACCGCATGCACCAAACACAAAGGCCACAGTCTTGCATTGACGCAGCGAGGAAGCGTAAGGTCCGACATAGGCCAAAACCGAGTTTGCAGGTGGCACATAGGGGCTACTGTTGTTGCTGTTTGTCAGTTTCTTCCATGGGTTGGTGCCTGAACCTGTTGCTGTTGTTGTTGGTGCTTTGGAGGAGGAGTTCTTGGCTCTGGAGTAGAAGAAAGGGGCGCTGGAGGAAAAGGTCCGGACTACTGTTATTGGTCCAGTCGAGGGACGAATAAGGATGTGACGCAATTGAAAGAGACAGGGCGTTGCCATGGTTGAGTGTTCTGTGCAGGTTGAATGGAATGTGTGAATGGGTGATCCAGGATTCGTGATCTGACTTTCCTGTCCTGCCCTTTACCTTTTTTCCTTTGCAACTCATGTAAAATGAATTTACGAAAAGAATTGAAATAAGGAAGGGCGAGATGAATGATTCCTTGCCGTTCTTTCCTTCCTTTCCCTCCCTTTCGCTTGGCCTTCCTCCTTCTCCCATCTCTTTCTTCTTCACCACTTCGGACTCGCATTCAATCGGTCAACCCACCCATTTCTCTCTTTCTTTCTCCATCCCCGCTCTCCTCCTTCTCCTCTCCTCCTCTCCTCCTCTCCTCCTCTCCTCCTCTCCTCCTCTCCTGACTCGATACCCGTTCCTTGGCACTCGACTCTACCTCTCCCGGCTATTTTTTTCTGTCTTTGTGCCATTTCCAAGGAGACAGGAGCAACACGAACCCTTCGCCTTCTTCACCCCGACAACCTTTATCGCCAACAACAAACACCAAAAAACAAACACTCCTGGAAAGTGGGCATGTCATCCTATCTGCCCTGGTACCTCTCGTACTCGCTCGCAGCCGGACTGGTCGCTGTGCTGAGTGGAGGAGCGCTCCTCTACCATTACCAGTGCGAAATCATATATCCGGCCAACTTCCCAGAAGGCTCCAGGAGACTTGTATGTGCCGATAATTGTGAAATGCTTTTCTCGTGAGATGTGTCTGCCAATTGGTTCATATTCTTCCCACACTTTTTGCTGACCAGGCTTTTTTTTGCTTGTCCTTCAATCCATTCTGTTTTCCCCCCTGTGTGTCTTTGTGTAATTTGTGTACGTGGTAATGTATGTGTGATGAATGTGGCGCGGTCAATAGGTCGCCAAGCCCTCCCAATATGGCTTACCCTACGAGGACTTGACTCTGACGACGCCCGACAAGGTGAAAATCAAAGCCTACTTGATCAAGCACCCCGACGACAATGTTGCCCGCAAGAGACCTACCATCATGTACCTCCACGTATGTTACTTCCTCTTTTTTGGCTGACTCAATTGCACATCCTTGCACTAAAAAATTGTGGATACTCACGAGAATTATTTTACGTTTTCTTGTTGCCCTTCTCCTCTGCTTACGGGTGGGTATTGAATTATTTAGGCAAATGCAGGCAACATGGGTCATCGTCTGTCGATTGCCGATGTCTTCTACAAGGAGTTTGGCTGCAATGTCTTTATGCTCTCCTACCGCGGGTAAGAGCCCCAATTTTGTCATATCAACAACTCCATTGGAGAAAGATGATTGCATGGCATAGACACGGAGAATGATACAAGCGGGATATATTCTTCTCAAGGCATATCATATTAATCAGTAGCATCAATTGCTTTTGTTCATCTAGGTATGGATTGAGTGAAGGCAGCCCCTCCGAAAAGGGACTTCGTCTGGATGCCCAGGTACTTTTCAAAGGATATTTCACAGAAACTGGACTCGTTACCATGAGGCAGCAAATTGCAAAGATTGTCAAGATATATACCAACCAATTTTTCTCATGAACAAACATTAGACGGCACTGGACTTCATCAAGGCGCACCCAGTGATCTCAGAGACAAAGTTGATCGCATACGGACAATCGATTGGAGGCGCAGTGTCGATCGATATTGTTGCAAGGAACGAGGACAAATTCTCGGGATTGATCATCGAGAACACGTTCCTCAGTCTTGTAAGTCTCCTCCTACGCACTGCATCCCGTGCAAACTCTGCATTGCGGCGTTTGCACGGGTTGTAGTGCGTGGGAAGTTTATCTGCAGTCGTTTGTTGTAACGATCACCGTACCTTCGGCTGGTGGCGAATAGTTTGTTCGCCACTAGCCGAAGGTATGGTGTCGAGACTGCATTTGTTGGTCGATTTCAGAAGCCGTCTTATTTCCGCCTGCTGGAGAGATAAAAGCTTTTCCGTTATCGAGGAGAAAAAAAAGAATCCCATCTTATCGTTTCCGCCATACCATATTTCAATTCTTGCCGTATTGTTACTAACTAGCCCAATACATCTTTTACATTTCCAAAAAAATAGCCCAAGCTTATCCCCCACGTCCTCCCTATGATCAGCAAAGTGGTCTTCCTGTGCCACCAAGTTTGGAACTCTGAACAGATGATCCAGCAGATTACCCGCTTGCCCGTCTTATTCCTTTCAGGACGCAAGGACGAGCTCGTCCCACCTGTACATATGCAGGAGTTGCACCGTATTCTCGATACCACTGGCGAGTCCGTTTGGCGCGAGTTCCCTGATGGAACTCATAACGACACTTGTCTCAAGCCTGGGTACTTTGAGGCCATCAAGGCCTTTTTGGAAGGGATCATGATCAGTGTCGTCCGTAAAAGCTAAATAGTGCCTACTTTTTGCTGGCGCTCTTTTTGTGTGCGCGTAGCAAGTAATAATGCGAGGAGAAAGAGATGAATGATTGGCATAGCATTCTCGCCCATTCTCAAAAATATATTTTTCTCTTCTGTCCATTCCGTTGACATGTACATTATAACATCTCTATGGGAGGGGGGGTTTCTAGGAGATGATGCAGCATGTGGTCCGACAGTGGCGATTACGATCTTTTACCAGGTACTCGTCCACATCCTTGGCCTGTGCCTTCGCCTGCTCCAACCTATCTTCCTCCTCTTCATTCTCCGAATCAGTTTCGCTATCGCTGTCAAAGTCCTCCCTGGGTATCCGTATTTGTGCTTCGCTTCCCCTTCCTTGTATGCCACCATACGACGCTGAGCTACCGCCGCCTTTGCTCCCAGATAACAACGGCTGAGATGATGTGGGGGTGGGGCGAAGTCCTGCTTCTGAAGATGACAGTGCAGTCTTTTGGGCATTGTTCCAAAGTAGCCATAGCCCTTCATCTGCTTCTTCCTGCCCTGCTTGAATTTCTTCCGCGTCTGGTTCGTCCATGATTTGGGGTTGTGTTTCTGTCAGGTTTGAAAAAAAGGAGGGTGGTGATGATGGGGGGAGGGGTTAGTAACGGGGTCAATTGACGTTACTTGGGACAAAATAGACGATTGAAATATTGAATTTGGTACCTGGACGTGGATGCCTTGCAGACTTGTTGAGTGTCCTGTCGTTTCTTTTCTTGATACTTTCCAGCTTGGCTTCTATACAAATGAACACAGGGAAGGGAAAGGAAGGGAAGGAAAAAAAGGGGCATGTAAGGAAAAAATGTTAATGGGAAATATTCAGGTTACTCTCTCACTTTTTGAAGAAAGTGATGGTTACCGAGTCGTCCGACATGGAGTTCTGATTCCGTTCGGAGGTTCCATTCAGGTGCCTTTGTAGTTGTTGTGGAGGAAGTGGGTTCCAGTTCTGGCCATGCAGCGTCCGACATGCTGTGTGTGGTGTGTGTGTGTGTGTGTGTGTGTGTGTGTGTGTGTGTGTGTGTGTGTGCTGAATTGAATGTAAAGAAGCGAATGGAGAGGAAGAAGGATGAAAAGTATAGAGAGTTGCGACTGCTCTGACATTTTAATTGGCTATTTTTACTGCAACGGTTGGAGGGACGCAAGAGATACATTCATACATACTTTGCAAACACGAGGGAGGATCGACACTTTTTATCGAAAACAGACGAAGGGATAATAATTAAAACGGGCGTTTGTTTGTTTGTAAAAGTACAAGGAGTGGAAGGAGAGAATGAATGCATGAACATGTAAAGAGAAAGATAAAACTACCGCCAGATATCATCCGAGAAAGGAGGCTTTTGCGCACAAATAACCTTCATAATAAGCTCCGCATTCTCGGACGCACACTCCATAACCATCAACCCAATCGTTTTCTCAAAGATCCCCTCCTCCAACCGGTTGATCTCAATAATCTCCTCCCGTAACGACTCCACCATCAACAAGTACGCCCTCATCGCAATGTTACCACGCCGACCCGCCCACTCGCCCATCGGGATACCGTACTCGTAACATTCGACATTGATCAATCCGGCTCCCAAAATGGTCGGCATCAGAGCCTCCACCATTTGCATAGGGTTTAATCCAGAACTCAGCGCCGCCGTCTCGACCCACCGGTTCACTTTCAAGGACTCCACACCTGCACGGACCACCATCCCATTGGACTCTGCCAATTGGATCCATCCTCCTGGTCGAGTCAACCGGCCTAATTCTGCGAAATGAGGTGTCCATTCCATAAAATGGGTCCTGAACGCACCTAATCGCTGATGGACAAGATCAAATTCTCCTTCCTGGTCTTTGACATCCCGCAGCTTGAACTTGCAATTGTCCGGAATCCGCTGTGGTAGCCGCGCCACGTTCAGCATCGGGTCCAATGCATACACAATCGTCCTCGGGTGCTTAATCGCCATATCCTATTCATGCCATGTCACATCAACAAAGGACGTTCATGTAAGTTATCGAGTCCATTGGCACACAATTGAACAAAATCGCAGAAAGAGACAGAAAAAAGAAAGGTTACCATGGCCCATTCACCAGAGGAGCAGTTGATGTCGATCACCTTGCGGAAGGGCTTTCCGACGGGCGCCATGAGGTCGAGCTCAAAGGTGATCCGATCCATGTAGAAGGGGCTAAGTGATACAACCAAAGATAAAGAAGAAATGTCAGTCATTTCGCCCACACAAAATTAAGGAGTCCTTTAGTAAGCATTTTTTAACTATGCACCACACCACACCACACCACACCACACCACACCACACACACACACACACACACACACACACACAAGACACACTGCACACAAAAGGACACAAAGGACAAAAGGGCAAAGCAAGGGCAAGGGAAAGACACAAGAGAATAAAATATGCACAAGAGCAAAAAGTGCAAGTGCTCAAGACACAAAAGAAAGGTGCTTACCTATCAGGATGGTCGAGGTCGTCAGGAGTAACAGGGATCACCCATCCAGGGATATCCGTGTCCGGGTTGAGGGTCAAGGCTTTGGCCACATCGTCCAGCCAGCGATAGATGCGTTCACGCTTGTCGGTCTCGCGAGGGTTGGTGGGGTATTGTTTGGCAAGACGCGCAAAGACTTGGTCCGCCGCCGGTGCCTTGTTCGCCGCCATCATCGGGTTATCGATCAAGGGTCCTGCCTGCGCCAACATATCGGCCGTCTTTGTCAGAGGCATTGACTCCATGGCTGTCACATAGAGGTTGCTGCTGTCGGTGTTGTAGTTCAGGGTATTAGTGTTATTATTGTTGAGGGGAGAGGTGTTGCTATTGTTGTTATTGTTGGTATAGTTGTTGTAGTCGCTTCGTATCCGACTATCAGCCTTGGATTGTTTAATTGGCTGTTGCTGGAGTTGGAGTGGTGAAGGGTGGTAGCTGTTGGATTGTTGTTGATGATTCTGTCCTCCTCCATGGAGACCATATCCGTTCTGGAAGGAGGAAGGACGCTGATGGTGAGGAATGTCCATGAGATCCGAAGGCATTTGACTCCGTTTGCCCTTGCTTTCCTCGTCTCTGTGTCCATTGATGGGTGCAGGCGAGGCCATGGACATGCGTTGCTGCTGCTGCTGGTGTGGTTGGCTGTGGTACTGGGAATGCGGTTGATAATTCAGGGACGTCGAGCATTGGTTCTGTGCGGGCGATGGAGAGGCGAGAGCCGAATTTCGGCCTTGCGATTGGCGCATCGAGATGGGCGACGCTCGCATTTGTTGGTCGCTCTCCCGCTGCTGTTGGTGCTGGTGCTGATAGCTCATCTCTGGGACTCCTCTGTTCAGTTCCCCCGTTGACATGGCCGTGGCTGTGCGGGGCGCCAATCCTGAGCTCCAGAGTCGCTGCGAGTTGGTCTTTATCTCGTTGCTGATGTTGCTGCTGTTGATGAGGTAGTCTGTGTCTGGGGGAGGACCTGGACCAAGGACGGTGGCTCGTTTGACCCTGGAGCCGTATTGGAGCCGGAGGCTCGAGTCGGACACCTCCTTTTGCTGGTCCAGTCGACCGGGACTAGAAAGGTTGTTGTGGAAGGCTCCCCCGGGAAGTCCAGGGGCTACAGTCGATCCATGGATAGAGTAGTGTCCACTGTCGTTGGTGATGGGTTGACTGGAGAAGGCATCGAGGGCGGAAGGGTCATTATTGTGGTTGCTTTTGTTGATATACTTTGAGGCGTGTTTTGCTTGCTTGCGGCTCTGACCAGCGGGATTGGCTTGGCGAGACTTGGAGTTTCCCATGGGCCACCACGTTTGTTGCTGGGGAGGTTGTTGTTTCTGAGAGATGTGAGTTTATGCTAGGCAGGGTTTAAAAGTGTATTTTCTAGAAAGCAGCACCAACAATCGCTTAAAAGCAAGTTTAAATGAAATAGATAAAACGACTTGGTGTTGTAGGTGTGTGTTGCCGCCTTTTTTTTGTTGTCGTTGCCGTTGTGTTGTGCTGCTGTAAGCAAGCAAACAGATCCTCTTTTGATTGTCAAGTGTTGGACGTGAAAGAGAGTAAGAGAAAGAGTGCTGTGGAGTTTGGGGAGAGGAAGAAGGGGTATCGAGTATCTGAAAAAGGGTATGTATAGGGTTTGTAAGAATGAAAAAAAGGAATGCAGGCGTTGGTCTAGGTGATGTTGAATGAAGGATGGGGGGTTGTGGGTGAGGCGACTGACGGATGGGAAAGGAGAGGAGAAGGAGGTGAAGGAGATGAAGGAAGAGAAGGACAAAGGAGTGGTGTGTGTGTGTCCAAGGAGGACAAGAAAAGAAGAGGAGGAGGGGTGAGGAAGAGAGAGAGAGAGAGAGAGAGGGAGAGAAAGAGAGGAGACAGGAGAGTGGAGTGGGAGAAGGGACGAGGGAAGAGAAAAAGAAGGTAAAAAGGGAAAAAAGAAACGAGGAAGGAGAGAGAGAGAGAACCAAATAAAGGGTATTTGTGCCAATGTATTTCATCTCCTCTCTTCATTTCTCGCTTTCGCAACTAATGTGCGTGTGCGTGTTTGTTTGTTTGTTTGTTTGTTGGCGCATGCTCATCGTCGACACACTCCCATGGCAAGGCATGAGAGCGAGAGAATAGTAGAAGGGTGAGCATGGTGTGCGATACTCTACCTTGCTTCTTTCTACAGAGACGATGGTATGTCCCATCAGCAGCAGCCACTCTCTAGTCTCTCTTACAACCCTTCGAGGCTGTCCCCCCTCGATTCATTTCAACGGGTCATCAGCACCAGCAACAGGCAGCAATGCATCTACAAAAACACGCCCGGTTAGCCTAAAAACGAATGGGGTGCCCACCCTCTCCTCCATCCCTCTCCTCAACTCTGTTGAACAAAATGCTCTGATCCCCTTTTTCTTCTCTCTCTCCATCTCATTCTCTCTCTCTCTCTCCTCTCATTCTCTCTCTCTCTCTCTCCTTCGCCCTCTCTCTCCCCCAGCAAAGACGGCGATACACAATCATCCAAACCATGATCAAGGAAATCCCAGATCATGGACAAAACTCTGCCTTTTAGTTTTCTGGGCTGCCCTGGGTTTATCAGCACCCTCCCTTGCGCCAAACCAACCATCAAGCTGCAATGCTACCTTTATCTTTCCCTCCTCCCTTTCAATCGATCCTCTGTCCGTGGGACCCTCTCAAAGCCCCAAAACAAGGCAGCATGTCGGCTTTTTGGCTAAAACAACTCATCGGACTTTGATATTTCGGTCGTGCCTGCCTTAATTGCTCAGGAACGGCTTCTGAATGGTGTCCCCTTCCCTCCGCATTTACCCCCCCTCTCCTTTACCCATCCACTCGTTTCTCATCAAAAGAGCTCTTTTTCATTTTTCATTTTTGATGATGAAAAAAAAAAAGAAAAAAAAAAAGACCGACAGCCAGCCCAGCCCGCCCCAAGCCTAGCCCAATCTATAGAGCCAGATTGGATATTCATTTATTCAGGCACCAGACAACCAAACAGGGCTGTTCCGTCGCATGGAAGTCATTCAGGGACTATAGTCTCCCAAACCTTCCTATCCTATCTATTGACCAAAGCGAAAAAAGCAGTTCACAACCATGAACAAACAAGGCAGAAATGAGAAACCCAAAAAAAAAAAAAAAAGGCAGGATGTTGCCTTGTTTGACAATGGTTGCACAAACATCCATCTCACACATGCCTCTTACTGTTCTTGACTCTCCTTATTTTTATTTTTATTTCAAGTTCAAGTAACCTAGCCCCTACTTTTGCCTTTTCCACAAACAACTCACCAGATCAAATAAAAAGAAAATAGCCATTGCAATCGACCCCCTTCTCACTTGATCTTCTTTCCTCTTTTTTTTTCTATTCCAGCCGTTCGATCACCCCTTTCTTTTCTGTTCTCTTCACTACATCCACACCGTGATCTATCTATCTCACCTGCCTCTCACCTGTCCACTGCCCCTTCACCTTGATGTATTCCACCCTCTCTCTCCTTCTGCTTCTCTCCTCTTCTGCCTCTCTCTCCTCTCAGAGTACACACCGTGCATAGTACTCTGCACCCTATTTTCGCCGCGTGGCGCGAAGGCCTATTTTTGGGGCATCGTTCAGAGCCTTTGTTTTACTTTTGCCCTTCTACAACCTTTTTGGGTGCGTGTCAAGCCATTAGGAGTGAAAGTGAGTCTCGTCACGTGTACATATCCATCCTATCGAGCAAAAGAACCTATCCTTTGTCGCGCTCTTTTTCTTTTCAACGTCGGCCGTGAGCATGCAATAGAAAAGGACAGTAGAAGGCTCCAGTAGAAAAAGAGAAAAAAAAACTATCCAGCAGTTTTTACGAAGAGTATGTCTTTGTTCTCCTTTCAATGCGATAGAACCACAACAAAAAAGAACATCGGTTTGCTTTGATTGGCATTTCGAGTAACCCGCGAGCGATTCTTTTGATGGTATGCTCGTAGAGATATTACTTTTTCCGATCCAGATGTCTTCTTCATCCCGAAATTCTTGTTTTCCCATATTTCCATATTTTTATTGCTGACGTTCTTCGCCTTTCCTAAAAGAAAAAAAAAACACATCGTTCCTGATTTAGGGCGCCGCTCATCCTCCTATCCAAAATGTCCTGTACAGTGAGAGGTTTCACGAAGAATGGCGATGATGAATCCGCAAAAAAAAAAAGTTGTCTAGGATTGGTGTTGGTTGTGAGGTCTAATCTTGCTGTGCCTTGGCTGCAACAACGGGTTCAATTGTGCCAAGTACGTAATCGCCCACCTAAGTGAATTGTTTCAATTGTTGTAAAGATAAGAGTTAACAGGTTGAAGATCCTAGGCATGTTCAAAAATTGGTGTTGAAAAGAAGCTGATGTCGTGATTTTTTTTTTGGTTGAGTGTTGAGTGCTGATCCCAGGAACATTTTTGAATGATAGTCGCAGTGATATTCCCCACACAGCGACAAAAATGTATATCATAAAAGTGTGTCGGGCTGGTCGTGTCCAGCTTTGCTGCAGAGGTTCCTGTTGGATGAAGACGGTGTCGAGTCGTATATGTTTCCGTGAAGCATGCTTGTATGTTGGGCTTACATCAGGTAGCATGAGACAAGGGTCATGATCAGCGCCGTGCGAATGACGCTATTGAAATCAAATAGAAAGCCGTGTCGTGTTAGTTTCGAATGAAAGCAAAGGTCGACAGTCTGACTGCCGCTATTTTCTCCATGACTTGATAGGAAGGTGACGCCCTTCGTCAGAAGAAGGGAGAGAACGGCGGCATATGTGTATGGTTGTGTGAGAAGAAAGAGGTAGACCCTTTACGTTTGGTTGGGTCCACGGGGCGCGAAGAGGTAGGACGCGGCGGACAGGGCGACGACGACCGCGAGGACAAAAAAGATTAAAAGACCTCCCATGGTTGCTTGTGAGATGTTATGTGTCGGGTTGTTGTGAGAGACTGGCGTTAGGGAACAGTGGAGTGGGGGAGTGGAGAGAGTGAAGGAAAGAGTATGGGGCGTGAATTGGATGAGTAGGAACTGGAGGTCAAAGATGTCAGGAGTGTGAGTGTGAGTGCATGGTCCAAGTCGACAAGATCACCAGGGCGACCTGGTCTACTCGTGACTGTCCATGCCACCCCTTCTTGCCTCAGACGTCACGGAAGGTTTTTGACGCCCCTCAATAAAAAAAAGGGCAAAGCATTTTTTTCATTCACAACTGATCTCCACAACCGGACATCAGCAACCTTACCCAGGACTTCGGCATTGGACATCACCACAACCCACCCAACACCGCATCATACCACAACGACCTACAACACCCAACCACCACCACAACCCTCCAACTACAACAAGACACATACACACACACACAAAATGGCACGAAGGAAAGCAGCAACAAGCGATATCCTCACAGATATCCCTGAACTCGAGGAAGGCCAGCGGTTCGCTCGAGTCTTGGGAACCCGTGGCAAGAACGTCCACGATGTTCAGTTCTCCGACCACCAGGAACTCCTTGTCAACCTCCCTCCCAAATTCCGCTCTCTCGTCTGGGTCAAGCGAGGTTAGTTTCGTCGCCGTTGCCTTTTTTTTTTCTTGCAGTGGGGAATCAGGATCGATAATCATTCCCGAGAAAAATGATATCATGGACTATCGGCACGGAGGGCTCTCTACAGAGGACTATTTCGATCAGCTCCAGGAGAACCTCCCGTCAATACCTCCTGGGGTCAATCAATCAACACTCTATCTCACTGCCTTATCACCTGCCCACTAACACTCCCATACCCTCAACCTTTCCCTCAATTCCTTACCGCCAACAGGAAGCTACGTGATCATCGAGCCAGCAGAAGAAGAGGACAAGACAAAAGTCGGAGGCGACATTGTCGCCATCCTATTCCCAGACCACATCAAAACTTACAAGCAGAAAGGGATCTGGCCCTTCACCGATCGGCTCCCTCGGTCTATGCACAACGATTCTGATTCTGAGAAGGAGGACGGCGAGGATGATCTGTTCAGGAATAATAACCGCGTGGTGATCGAGGAGTCTGACAGCGAGAGCGAGTCTGAGAGTGAGAGTGAGAGTGAGAGTGAGAGTGAGTCCGAGTCCGAGGAAAGTGAAAGTGAGAGTGAGGAAGAGTCAGAGGAAGAGTCAGAGGAGGAAGAGGTGGACGTGAGCAAGGCGAGAAAGTAGAGGCAGTTCTGGGGATCAGGACATTAGAAAAACGTCTGGCGATGAGAAGAACAGCAGCAACACCCAACCGACAATATACATAGAGCATACTCACTTCAGCAACCACCATCACTCGCATTTATTTCATGGCATTCTGTACCTTTTACTCCGCACTTCCATAGACCAGCACAATACACAAATATATATCAGCATCAGAACAATCAAACGTATGTTCTGGAGCACTGTTGGATGTTTGGTGGTGTGATTGTACATAGAATGGGGTGAGTGAACTCTTTGGTTCTGCGCTACTTGCTGCTGCTACTGATAAATTGAGAGAGAGAGAGAGAGAGAGTGTGTGGTGGTGGTGGTTGGTGTGTGTGTGTGTGTGTGTGTGTGTGTATGTGAAGGGTGGGATATCTGCGCAAAAGGATAGTTATAACTGGAGCATTAGATCGACTGCGCTAATCTGCCTTGTTTTTCTTGTTTTTGGATTGGTTCGCCATGGTGGTTGTTTTGTTGGAGCGAGTTGGTGAGTGAATGTCTCTGTAGTTGGAAGAAGAAGAGCATGCCGATTAGCTCGATCTTGTTAATAGCCTCGCATGTCCATTCTGTGATGTGCTGGGTGCGCCATCCCTTCAAAGTAGGGGTGGAGTAAGGCTATCGTTGAGTTTTTGGAAATTGTTCAAAATAATTAATTAGCTACAAATTTCCATTTTCGAAGATGCTTCGCCCAATATGACCTTTTCCCAATCATTTATGGATCCTCGCGCAGTTTCACTCCCAATTACCTCGCTTGGCTGAGATCCGTCGTGCAGGGTTGTAGTCGATCAGTTGTTCAAGGAGATCCAGACCTTCATCGTCCAGATTAGGCACCAGTGTCCTCAGATCCTTGCGCTGCCACTTGGGAAACTCGGGGTTCCAGTCCTTAAGACTCGATACTCCTGGCCACACAGTCTCGTTTGGCGTTCCGAGGATCTTGAAAATCCTGAACATCTCGTCAATCTCCGAATCACCTTATAGGTAGATCGTAAAGGTAGGTAGTGGTTTATCAGTCAACGTGGACATGAGATCTGAGCAACATTATCAAGTGAGTCACAGTCATCCTTGTGGGTACCTGGGAAGAGGGGCCGCTTAGTGATCATTTCAGCAAAGATACAGCCGACACTCCACATATCGACGGCGGTCGAGTAATGACGGGAACCCATCAGGATCTCAGGCGCACGGTACCATAACGTGATAACCTCGTGGGTATAAGTCCTGAGAGGAATGCCAAACGCGCGCGCCAATCCGAAATCCGCCAGTTTGAGGTTCCGGTGCTCGTCAATCAACAGGTTTTGAGGCTTGAGATCGCGATGAAGGATTCGCCTCTGATGACAGAACTCAACCCCCTGAATCAACTGGTGCAAATATTCCTGTTTCCGTTTGAAGCGTTTTACCACATATGCAAGGAAGTAAGATATGAAAGAGTAAATGGTGGTTTTGGTAAGTTCGGGTCACTTGATGTATGCATCGCGATCCGTGTGAGTTTGTCATGCTTTACCTTGACTTGTTGCAGGGGTAATCCAGTGTTTTGTGCCTTGGTGTGAGCATCCATATATTTCTTCAAGTCCACCTCCAGATACTCAAATACCAAGAACAACTTGCTCTCCTCATGAACAACATCAAGCAGCCTAGCAAAATAGAGAGTTGATCAAACATTAGATGCATCGTTAGAGACCATTTCGCCGTTGTCAGCCATTTGGTGGTGTAAAGCGAACAAAGAAAAACGAATGTGTGACAAGGCAGATAAACGTACTGGACGACATGATTGTGTTTGAGCTCCTTCAGTAGCGAGATCTCTCTTATTGCGGTACTGGGTACACCTAGATGAAATAAGACACCAAAAGAATTAAGGCGGTCAGTTTGGCGTCCCTTATTGTTATTCCTGACTGGTCAACAGCAGCACTGAAGTGAAGGTCCGAGTGGAGCTGTGTTGAAAACTTGTTGACTTTACCTTCATCCTCATTCTCAAGACGAATCTTCTTCATTGCCACCACCCTTCCTGTAGTTCTGTGTCTAAGTGACCGAAACGGCATTCACAAATAAAAAGTGAAATCAAGTTAGTCAAGACTTCGCATTCAGCAATGCAAACAATCGTTGAAGTTAAACGGGTTATATGAATGTACACCTTCTCGCTTAATGTAAGCACGAACAGCAAAAAAAAAGAAGCTACTCACGTTGCTTTATAAACGACACCGTATGTGCCTTCTCCAATCTTCTCCAGTTTTTGGTAGGGTCCAGTCTCCTTCTCTTCCTCTTCTTTCCTGAGCTCCTCCAGCCTCCGCCTCTCGGCCTCTCGTTTCTCTCTGGTGTCGGCCTCGGCAGGCATTATTGTTGTGAAGTTGGAAGGTTGAAGTAGTGCGGGCAAAAGCAAAGCTGTGTTCTGCTTTGGCGCTGCGTGTATGTGTGTAGAAGGCCTAGGAGGACAACTGTTGGTAGGTATATGAAAGATGGTTGTAGGAAGGGGTTGAGTTAATGTGATGGTGAAAGAAGAAAAAAAGAATGAAGGGTTGTATGAAGTAGGGTGTTGTCTGTAGACAAAGCGCCCTGGACACATCTGTTTTCATTTGTGTGAAAAAAAGGCAGTCTCTCCCACTTCTTAATGAAACAGACGCGACTGGCCAACAATTTTGCCACCATCTTTGATCGTACATTAGACTCAACAAACGTCCTCGCACTGTCATGATTCAAATACTTCTTCTCTTTCATACTCCTTCCCTGCTGTCCCACACATTCGCATGAATAATAGTTCTTCGGATGATATGAAGTGTAAGTGTATTCCTTTCTATGAAAAAATGAAAATGAAAAGCAAAAGCATAAAACAATCTACAGATCTTTCTTGGTCTGCTTCTTGGCAGGGGTCGAAGTGGTCTTCTTGGCAGCAGCGCGGTCCTGATCACGCTTGATGTAGATGTCAGTCGTGAAAGGACTATGTCCAAAAATAATAAGCAAGACGATGATGGTTAGTATTCAGGCAAAGTAAAATAGCAAATGTGATCCAATTGCAAAAGAAGTGAGAATTCAGATGCGGGCTCTTACCCCTCAAATCTCAAAGCAATGCGGTAGACAAAGTGAACAATGCACGTTAAGTAGACTCCAGTGGGACTCAACGACCTATATTGAATGAATACAGAGGGATTTCAGGTATGTTAGATACAATCGCTCACAGTTCATCTTGTCTGATCGCTCCAATTACTAAGTAAGCAACGTGAAATGCTCCATGAAGGACGTACCAGAGGGCGGTGCCGAGGAAGATCATGACGGTGCCGTTGTACATGGGGTTGTCGTTGACGTTGAAGGGGAAGGAGGTCACACGCTCGTCCATCAGGATGCCAAAGTAGTCACCTATTTCCGATTTCCAATTTTTTTTGTGGGGTTGGGAAAAAGAAGGCCGGAGAAAAGAAAAGAAGGTCAGAGATCCAAGGGTCAACAGGGTCAGTATAAAGTTCACAGGCGTCTTTAGACACGCGATTTTTTTCATTTTCACAGGGAGAATGGAACGAGAAGGAAACAGTAGTACAACTGTTGGGGTAGAGAAACAAAAACATGGGTGAAAGGTCATGGAGGGGGTCGATTATTACCGAGGTAGGTGCCGGTGACTCCGAGGACCCACATGGATGAGAGGACAAAGATGTTGCCGACAGCGAACAAGAAGTAGGCCAAGGCCTGGAGGAACCAGTGGTCCATGCACTGGGCCTTGGGCTGGGCGTCAACAGCGTACTTGAATCTACATCACCACAAATCAACACCGATTTGAACCAAAACAAAGGTTAGAGAGGAGGATCACTTTCCATCTTATGGGTGCATGATGAATGACCATGGGGAGGGTAGTGGAGATAACAATGTCACCAAAAAGACAGAGTGAAGCTCAGACATACACAGCATCACGGATCAGTCCGAGGGTGAAGATGGTGGCAGCCAAGGCGTAGCATCCATGGAGACCGTTGCCGTTGAACATGCGAGTAATGAACTTTGTGCGGTACTCTATCAGAAGTAAAAGATTGAAAATGTGAAATGAGATTAGCGACAAGCACAGACGATCAGGTCTAGGAATAAGCGCTCTGACCCCATGGAGACATACACTCTCCACTGTCGTCCATCCTGAGTACCGAGTCCATAAATCTGGCTTATGAGAGTCCAGTTCGACGGTAGTAGTTTGCGAATGCAGGAGAAGAACGAACCTTTCCTGGCGACGATGTTCCAGAAGGTGGGGTTGAAGACGATCGAGGCGACGGCGAACCAGATGCGCTTGTCGCTCCAGTCGACCAAGAGTCTCGAGTTGTGGTAGCACTGCAAAATATCCATGGCTGCTGATGAACGAGGAGTCGGGTCGGGTCGGTCGGGTCCGGTGTAGGTATGAGGGGAGAAGGATGAGTGAGGAAGAAGAGCAAAAAAGAAAAAGGAAACACGATGAACTTTTGTGCAATGGAAGCAAAAGTGAATGGGGAGAACTGTTGAGGCTCTGACTTCTGAGAACGAAAAAAAAGTTTGACACTCGACTGCTTTTTCAATTCTTTGATGGGGGAATCAGCTTCCACGCTTACTACACGTGACAGCACATGTATGCTACCATGAGATGTGATCCAAAGCTATTTGGTTTATTCGCTCGTTTGTGCTCAGTACTCGATTGTCCTCTAATTGAGATCCTGGGGACGCTGATCGGGATAAGTTCCGACAATCTTGACATCCAGACAGAACTGTCCCAGCTCAGCAACCACGTTGCTCATCACCTCGCTATCTCCATGCACGCCCGCACACTCAACAAAGAACACATAGTGCCATGGTCTCAGCATCGAAGGGCGCGAGTCGATCTTGGTCAAGTTGAGCGAGTGGTCTTTAAAGACCTTCAGTCCGTCACACAATGCTCCAGGAAGACGGTGATCCACCGTGAACATCAACAATGTCTTGTCGCTCACAGTAGGAGCATCCCATGCATCCGAAATAATAAAGAAGCGCGTCGTGTTATCTATTTCACAAAATGGAAAAGGCAGGTTAGTTTGTAGTATAGATTGCACCAATATCAGAGAACGACGACATAAATGTACAAAGTTACCTTGCTGGTCCTCAATATCGGCGTGAAGAATGTCCAGACCATAGATCTCTGCACACACGCGGTTGCAGACAGCGGCTGCGTACTTTTCCTTGGACGCCAACTGAGCAGCCTCAGAGGTAGAAGCGCAAGGAATAAGCTCAATGCCCTTCAACTGGCTGTTCAAGAAATTCTGGCACTGAGCCAAAGCCTAATAACACCCACAGCAACACAACATAGAGTTAGAACATCAATCTGTCGGATCTCATACACAGGCAGTCATCACGGGATCATTAATAAAAGCTATGCAAGCGAAGTGATTTCTTACAACGGGGTGGGAATATACGCGACGGACGGCTTCTGTGGTCGAGTTGGAGAGGAGGTAGTGGTGGACAGGGAGATAGGTCTCGGCTCTGATCTTGACCTTGGACTTGATGAACTTGTCCAGTGTTGGCACAACAGACCCTGCAATCGAGTTCTCGAAGGGAACAACTCCGTATTGGCACCGACCACGCTCCACAGCGTCAAAGACATCCGCGATCGTTCCCTGCGACGCATACTGAACACTGTCACCGAAACGCTTCATGCTTGCCTGCAAGACATATTGACGTGTGATGGCATAGTGAGTGTTGAGCTCAAATGAGTATAGATCATTCATTGATTGCCAGATACTGTTAATAAAGCAATGAAGGCGGAACTTACATCGTGGGAGAAGGATCCAACAGGTCCGAGGTAGGCAACCATGACATCCTTTTGAAGGGCAATTGAAGCCGACATGATCTCGCGGTAGATGGCGCAAAGGCTGTCGGCAGCCAAGGGTCCTGGGTTCAGCCGTGTCACCTAGTTAAGTTGAGCGCGGAAGTTCCATACTAGTGGTGAGAAGTCCCGTCCATAGTTCGCCATTTCTCTTCGTGCTGTCAGTTATTGAAGCAGTTCCAGTCAGTCCATACCTTCTCGAAGACCTGCTTCTCACGGCCTGGGATATATACATGAGTGTTCTCCTCATCCCTATCAAGTGGAAGAGAAACGTGAAAAGAGGCGGGTTAGGGGTTAGGGTGAACAGGTTGTTCGCGCATGTACTTTGAAAAAAAAACGATTCCTGCATTCGTATGAATGAGGCTGATTCCATACTGGCTGTCCTTTGATTCGCGCTTTGCGGCGCCGATGTCAAGGGAAACCTGGGCGCGCTCGTTGAGGAGGGCGATGAGCTTGTGGTCGAGCGAGTCGATCTGGAGACGGAGGGTGTCGAGGTTGAGGGACATGCTGATGAGTGTGTGGTGAGTGAACAAAGGAAGAGAGGAAGAAAGAAGAAAGGGGGAGACGAGAGGAAGGTCAGAGCGCCTTTAAAAGTGCACTTTGAGAGTCGTGAGTCAAGGCGAAACCTAAAGGCGCCATCAAACAAAAAGACTTATCGATTTAGTGCGGACGATGAATCAAGACTTAAAAAAGAAACGTCTTCGAGTCATCGAAAAATGTAAAAGGTGAGAGGGGACGCGGGAAAGAACAAGCCTGGTGCGCACAAAGGATGTAAGGGTTCAATTGAAGGACAGGTTACGAACGTAGTAGGAGGGGAGTTTGATGATCGCCACGCGTTTAAAAAAAGAAGGGGCTTCTGTTCATGCCTGTCCACTTTTTTTTACCGCCTTCGTATCAATATCACTCAAGCCCAAGATATAACCATGAACTCTCTAGCCGTGTACCGGTGACAAGAGCAGATGAACAGTGATGGCATGCCCATCCAGGCACCATCACTGGCGACTTTGTCTGTCTCACTGACCGAGGGATCTGAAAGTAATATCTGATCAAACACAGAAAACGGTCTCGAGCAATAATCCCATTCTCTTTCACTCCTCGGTCAACACTTGCATTTTTTTTTTTTTTTTTTTTTTTTTTTTTCGTTCTTTCTATGCGTTGATCCAGACACAAGCTCAAGCCCTATCCACCCCAATGATTTGATTTGTCGGACTCAAAACTCCCTTTTTGGGCGAGCACAACCTGTTGTTCTTGAATTGTTATTTCTTCTTTGCTTGCTTCTTCTTTGCTTGCAACCCACCCGCCCCACCCGCTTACTTACCCTCCCCTTCCTTCTTTCCCCTCACTCTGGTTTCTCTCACCCCCCCTTCTTCCTCTATCCATAATACTCACATACGTACAACACAAGGACCCTTGTTAGTCCCTCCCCTCACTGGTCAGGCATGGCCCTCTTCCATCCTTCACGCAATGTCGCCCTCCTCATTCACACCCACTCTCGTTCCATTCATCTCCTCTCACTCCATGCACTAAAAGCCGCAACAAGGACACAGGCACAGACACAAACACAGACATGGACACGGACACGGACACTCACAACCGCTTTCGGTGCGCCACCAAGTCTTGCCCATACCTGGAGCCTTTCAACTCGATCCAGTACAAAACCCAATGCACACCTTTCGTCGCTTGCCCTCAGTCGGATCAATGCCAACAGCAGCAGTAAAGGAAGCAGGGTCTTTGTCCGATCAAAAAGCACAACTACAGAAGTAGCAGCATCGTCGTCCATTCCGCCACAGGGGTTCCTCAACACTCCAGGATCCATCAAAACAAAGATCAAGCAAGGACTATGGATTGGACTGGGTGTTGGTACGGTCGTCTCTGCTGTCGGGATTGCATGGAGTCCATCGTATCGGGAGCATGCCACGCTTTTGAGCGCAGCTGTATTCCGATCCGTCGCTACTTTCATCACAGGGTATGTTGCGAAATAGATGCATCTTGATGGCCTTTTATTTTATTTTATTTTATTTTATTTTATTTTATTTTGGCGTGCATCCAATGACGACAGTTGCAGAAACCTTGTCTGGGGTACATTATTGAATTGACCTCTCGATCGTTCTTCTTCTTAGTTGTCTTTGTATGGCCGACTATAAGATCTTGCACTTACGTTATGCATCTGAGGGCTACACATCGGACACCTATAAGGCTGAGCGGAAGGTCGTTCATCAACGTTGTGCCGATCGGCTTTTGGGACTGTGCAGACTTAACACTGGAATCTATTGCAAGGCTGGCCAGCATGTCGGTATGTGTCAAAAAAATTGTGAAGGACAGAGAGCATTAGCGCATTCCTCCGATATCAGATGACGCTCTGACACTTTTTGCTTTTGTCCCTTTAGCCTCCTTGACTTACGTCGTACCACCGGAATATACCAACACCCTCTCTGTTCTCCAGGATCGCGCGCCATTCAAATCAATGAAGGAAGTCGAACAAGTCTTTCTTGAAGAGTTTGGCCAACACCCTCTGGACCTGTTCCGCGAGTTCGAACCCGTCCCTATGGCTGCTGCCAGTTTGGCGCAGGTTCACCGAGGTTAGCAGACATATCGATTTGGAAAGGAGGGATGGCCTACCCCCTTTTTTTTTTTTTTTTTTTTTGCTCAGTACTGAAACCAACACCAATCGTCTAACCATATATCCCTTCTGTTTCCTATGCATAGCCGTGACAATGGATGGGAGACTTGCTGCAGTGAAGGTTCAATATATCAACGTCTCTCGTCTCTTCAAAAGTAAGGAACAGTCTGATCACTCCTCTTTTGTTTTCTCCCCTTGATCGGATGTGGGCGCTTAGATACTAACGCAAAGGATGACTTTGTTACCTTTAATAGCGGACATGTGGACAATGCAGACGCTCTCGGACATGGTTGGGCTCTTGTTCCCAGAGTTTGAGCTTGGATGGATCGTGACCGAGTTCAAGGACAACCTCACCTCCGAGTTTGACTTTACCCACGAGGCCAGGTAACACTTTGTTCATCTATGCGCTTGGTGTGCAATTAAAAAAAAATGGCTAGGTCCGTGCTTGATAAACAACCACGCAAACTTACGCACCGCAACCTCTTCGATCGATACAAACTCTTAGGAATGGCGAGGCGACAAAGGAAAGATTCAAGAACAGATCCGATTTCTATGTACCCGAGATCTATTGGGAACTGTCTTCAAAAAAGATCCTGACCATGGAGTTCATTGACGGCGTCAAGGTCAATGATATTGAGGCATTGAAGAAGTTGGGCGTATCACCCAAGTGGGTCCGCACGACTTTGCTTGAGGTCTTTGCCGAGATGATGTATCAGCACGGAGTTGTCCATTGCGATCCACACGTAAGTCCCTTTATTTAAGTCCCTTGTTCATATCGCTTGTTAATCGCTACTGAGTAGACATGACCCCTAAACACGTATGTTACATCTCTAGGCTGGAAATATCTTGATCACAAAGGACCAGTTCACGGGCAAATGCCAATTTGTACTATTGGATCACGGACTCTACAGGACTCTCGACGAAACTTTCCGCTTCAACTACTGTCAACTCTGGCGAGCACTCATCCTCAACGACCAAGACCTTCTCAGCCGCGCCTCCGATAACATCGGCATCCCTGAAAACTATGTCAGCTTCATCCCCTTGATCTTTATCCAGCGACCCGCAAACTCCAGTCAAAAGATTGGAGAGGGCATGACGACCGAGCAGAGACAGGAAGTTCGGTCATCGCTCAAGAATGTTACTATGGCAGAAGTGTTTGAGTTCTTGGAGGTCCTGCCGAGGGATATGTTGTTGGTTTTTAGGACGATTAATTTGACCCGCGGGATCCATCAGCAGTTGGGTGGTGAGAACGTGGAGAGGTTCCATATCAACGCCCTCTTTGCGACAAAAGGTGTTTGGTCCGAGACGCGACAAGAAGAACACGACCGGAGAGTACAACGCGAACGACGAAGACGTGATCGATTGAACGGCCGATTCGGAGCTATTGCATCATGGTGGTACGGAAACCTGGACGACAAGGACGAGAATAGTTCTGAAGCGACTAGGGCTTATGGGATGCAGTTAGGATTGGGACCAAGGAATCGGTGGTATCTTTTTGGAGACACGCCTACGTTCCATCGGAGTTTGGGATACTTGTGGGATACTTTCTCGATGCGGTGGAGGCTTTGGGTGGGCGAAGGGCTTTTGAAGATTTGGCTATGGTGGGCGGGCAAGGATGTCGCCAAGGCCATTAGTTAGAGGTCGTAACTGTACTTTGTGCTCACCTTTCTGCATACTAGACATAGAGAAGCTGCTTTAAAGAAATTGTGAATATTTGACCTAGTGTTTCTTCTTGATGTTCTAACTGTACACCGGGACCCCCTCAAACGTCCGACCCAGCTCCTCCATGGCTCAGGTTTTTGTCGATAGCACCCAGTTGAGCCGGCAACTTCTCGTTGATCGAGCTCAGACCTGTCGCGTCCTTGAGCAACGGACCCTCGGTGCAGAGAACACCAAGGTTGGACCCCCAATGCAACTTGTCAACAACGTTTCCATCTTCAGCACTCGACAATCGCCACAATCTGACAGATCCATCCTCCGAAGCCGTAGCAAGGCATGTCCCCATAGGCACAGCAGGATTCCACGCGACATCCTCAACGGGCCCAAAGAACGCACGAATGACAGAGACAAGAGACCAACATGCCTCCTGCTCCCTTGATTGTCGCTGCCAGAGTCGAACAGTCTCGTCTGGCTCACCGCCGGAAGCGAACCATTGGCCACATGGCGAGTAAGAAATACAATAGACCATCCCGCTGTGACCCTCCAGTTTGACGCTTGGCTCGTCCGACGGGGGGTCCCATAGGTAGATCGAGGTGTCGGTGCCGAGCGCAAGCTGCTGGTCGCTCGGCGAATAGGTCAAGGAGAGAACTCGTCCTTTTTCAACGTCTTAGTCATCAGAAGGGCTCTAGTTTCGAAAATCGAATAATCAAATGGTGCCCACCACAAGGTGCTGTCCATAACGCGAAAACGCTATGCCGCCTATCGTGTCGTCCGCCTCTCCCCTCCCTTCCTTCCTTCCGCTCAGTAAGGACATGTTGTTAGTTGTAGTCGTGTAAGCCCTGCATACTGACAGTAGCTTTTCGACAGCAGGGATGGTATTGCTCAGTTAGAGACAACAAATGTTAGAACACACTGTTAGTAAACGAAGCAAGACACCCTAGGTGCCCCTTCCACTTCCACTTCCACGTCCACTTCCACTTCCACGTCCTCTTCCACTTCCACTTCCAGGATCGATCTGTCGGATCATCAAAAAAAAACTCGGTTTCAGATAAAGTTATCAGTTCAGCTAGGAAGACAATCATTCGTTTGAGAAAAAGGAGCGAACAGAAAAATAATACAACGCATATCATTTGTACATGCCACCTACAGAACACTCACTCGTACATCTCCCTTCCCATCCCCAATACACATTCGCCAATTGCACAACCGGACTGGTACATTCATTCACATTTTTCTTCGTTATTTATCAGAGTGCTGTTTATTTCTTCTTCCTGAATAAAAGGCGTCCCTATACTACTCATCATGCAAACAAACAACCCTTCCTCCATCATCACGCCTCCAAAGCCTCAACAGCACCGCGTTGTACCAACAACTTGCGGTCCATCAAATCAAGCCCCACAACCCCCTCCAATTTCATATCTGCCGCACACAAGATCCCTAAATCAGATCCCCACAGGAACCGAACTTCAACCTCCTCCCTCTTATTCACATCTTTACCACCAACTCCTGGCGACACGCCCCAGACGCGAACAGACCCATCCCTGCAAGCCGTCACAAACTCCATCGGCACAACCGGGTTCCAGGCGATATCTCGAATGGATCCAAAGAACCCACGGACCACTGACACACACGACCAGGTATTCTCTTCCTCCGATTGGCGATGCCAGAGTCGAACGGTCTCGTCAATGCTGCCAGAGGCGATCCAGGTACCGCAGGGCGAGTAAGCAAGCGCGCTGATCTCCTGGGGTCCCTCCAACAGCTGGGCCAAAACACCGGGCTCCTCCTTCTCTGTTTCCCCTTCCGCCACAGACTGAGCAACGTCCCAGAGGTAGATAGACCCCGTGGCAGTCCCCATCGCTAGCTGACGTCCGCTCGCAGAGTACTTCAATACAAGATGACGATCGTCACGGCCACCGGGCTGAAGCTTCTTCTTGGACGTAACAACAAGCGCCTTCGAGACAGGATCAAACAATGACACGGTGCCAGTAGAAAATCCAACCGCAAGTTGGTGCCCAGTAGGCGAAAAGGCTAAAGCCTCGATTTCAACCGGATCACTCTCCTCCAGCTGCACAAGAACATGCCCCCCTTGTCCCGGCGCCGAACCATCCTCATGTAGATCCCACAACCGTGCCGCCTTGTCCAAACAGGCAGAGAGGAGCCAACGGCCACACGACGAGTAGGTCATAGCCGTTACGGCCCGGAGATGGCCCTTCATACGCGTGGCAGGTGCGGTATCAGGACCAGGTCGCACACTCGCCAATCGGATAGGACCTTCGTCAAAGCTGGCGGCGATCTGGCGGCGATCCGGTGAAAAGGCTGCACACCAAAGGAAGAATATGTCCTCAATGTCGTCGGTGTAGAGATCGGTCATGTACAGTCCTCCCCCTACTCCTCCACCTCCAGCTGCAAGCACCTCGCGATTCCACCACCGAATGGTCAGGTCGTCGTCAATGGTGAAAATAGAACCCCCATCAAGGGCATACGCCAACGCAACGATACTGACGCGTTGGTCCTGTGGTGACGATGCTTCAAGACCCGACGACATCGACTCGCTCGAATTGACATCCCTCAGGCGAACCTTCATGTCCGCACCCACCGACGCAATCTGGCGCTCGTTCGGAGCAAAGTCAGCTTTATAGACATCGCCGTTGTGACCGTTCAAGGTAGCGACGAGCGTTCCTGACGACACATCCCACAGCTTGACGGATCGATCAACGGCCGAGGAAGCTAGCCACTGGCTACTGGACGAGAAGGAAACGCTTGTGAGATCGTGGGTGTGGCCATACAGGTCGGCAATCGGTTTTCCGGTTGCTGTATCCCAGAGCTGCGCGCCACCATAGGGGTGACCTGTAGCAACCCATCGTCCATTGGGCGAGTACGAAAGGCACCTCACAGCCCCAACGGGAGACGTCCAAACGGCGGCCGGCTCCCCAGTCTCGGCGTTCCAAAACCGAATTGTCTTATCATCACTCCCCGAGACAAGAGTCCGCCCATCAGCCGAGAATCGAACGCTCCTGACGCTACTGGTATGTCCCTCCAAAACCAAAAGACACTCTCCTGTCAGCGCATCCCACAACCGAATCGTCTTGTCATAGCTGCAAGAAGCGGCCTTCTTGCCACACGGAGAAAACGACGTGCCAAACAAACTGTCGGTGTGTCCTTCCAAGACCAAGACCGCCTCCACACCAGCGTTGCTCTCCCACACCCGGGCCGTCTTGTCCTTGCCTGCAGAAACGATACGCTGACTATCCGCCGAAAATGTAACGTCGTTGGTCCCTCCCATATGTCCTCTGAGCTCGCGGGTCTTTGACCAGGTTGTTGTTTCGTAAACGTCAATGACCCCGCTCCACACAGAGACGGCAAGCAACTTGCCGTCAGGTGAATAACCACAGGCAGAAGTTAGATCCTCTGCTACGAGGTAAGGTAGCTCTTCAAACCTCACGCCATCCATCTTTGCGCCGCTCATATCCACCTGCCTCACCCAGCTCCGCGCGAGATTGACGCCCGTCAAGTTAGCGCCCTGGAACTGAGCATAGTCGAACTGCCCGCCGGAGAGATCCGCGCCTGGAACTTTGATACCTCGGAGATCGGCGCCGCGGAAGTCCACACCAGCCCTAACAAGAATCGTGATCGCGTTCGCCGCCGCAACCTGATTAGACTCCACCTCAACATCCGACTTGGACTCCTCAATGACACCCTGGAGTTGTTGTTGGAATGGCGGATCCTGCACCACACGCTCCGCCAAAAACTGCACGATCGACGACTCCTGGATAATACTTCTCCGAGCCAAGCTGGTCCTGAAGTCATAAACCTGTTCTCGCTCCTCCATACCCTCCACATCAGCGTCGTAGTCCATAGGATCGAAAATAGTTCTTGAATAAAAGTACTCCAAAAGAGACCGATGAAGGAACCGAAAGTGGGCACCGGATCGCATCACCGTACTAGACTCTCGAAGCAACTTGGCCTGGCCACTTGGATTGAAGAACGTAGCCTTCCATGTGTTCTTGTCGCGAAGATGGGTATATTTGACGATCGGGTTTCCTGCATGGTCCACGAAGATCGCTATGGAAAGGTCCTTCTGGTAGTGGATGCCGTGGTAAGAAAAGTTGTCCTCGATGAGTAGATCCAACTCTTCTCGCTCTTGGGCGCTCAGTGGACTGCCCTCCAGTCTCTTCCTGTTGACCTTGAGCCATCGTTTGACGAAACTGTCGTAGAGCTGCACGCGCGTAATACGGATAGACGAAAGGTCTTTGTTGGCGTCGACGACAGAAGGAAGAGCGTCTAAAGCCAAGGTCAAAATAAAAGGGTTGGAGACTAGATCCATGAGATGAGGGACGTTGATCAGCGTTTCCATGTACTCCTGGGCTGTCCAAGGCGACCGGTCCTGAAGAAGGTCATGTAAAGGCAGCTCCTTGACATACTCCTCGACATACTGCTGGATCTGGGCTCTCGTGAAGGCTGCGACCACCGCCTCTTGGAAAAGGTCTGTTGCCACACGGTGGTACTGGTCAACAGGCTGGGGTTGGAAGCGGGAGCGATAATCCTGTCCAAGGTACTGGGTGCGGCAGCTGATGACGATCTTGACCTTCCACTGTCCGGGCTGGTTGAACTGGTTCGTGGTGTGGATATTGACCTTGAGCTGGCTTTCGTCGTAACCATCGCAGATGAGAACAAACTTGCGGTGCAACCTCATTTCCCGGATCTGCTCCTCACTGAAGTTGTGGTACTGCAGCTGCTTCTCGATTAGGTCCTGAGCCGGGTTGTCGATGGTAGGAAGGCCAATGTAAAGAGGAATGGGCCCGTAATTCTTGTAATTCTTCCACAGTGTGTTCTCTAGCTCGAGGTTGAAAGTCGACTTTCCAGCACCAGAATCTCCCAACAACAGCAAAACCTGGCGATTGCTGGCCAGGAAGTCCAAGACCTTCTCCATGAGAGGGAACAGGGTGTTGTCGCCCGCTTTCAAACTCGGTTTCGCCTGTGGAGGAATATAAACGCCCTTCCTGCGCTCCCCAAGCCGCTGCATCTTCAACATGTGTAGATCGTACTCGACATCGGGAATACCCAGAACTCGGACGAGAAGAGGTGATGATGTAGGCAGAGGGAGACGGTTCCTCATCGGGTAGCGAATACCAGACGTGTTGCCGCTGAAAACCTTACCATCAGGATTGCTAAGCTGTCCCATGGTTCTGAACAAGTAGGTTCTGAGGCTCTCATCCCGAGTCCACTCAGGGGTACACATGCAGAGTCCAATAAGACGGCAGACGCGCCCTTGAGTGTCGCGATCCCAGGCGGCGTCGCTCGCCATCTCTAACAGCATCTGGGATATGCCCCACTGGAACAGAGGATCACGACGACAAGGCGCCTCACAGATGAAGCGGATAAAGTCTTTCATTTGACCGGCTAGAGCAAGGGCGTGGGCGGCACGGATGGCGGCGTACCAGGGTTGCTTCTTCCCAGGTCCATACTTCTCCTTGAGAGCTTCCAGAGTGTTTTGACCGTTCTCCATCAGTGAGGAAGCACCACCATAAATGGTCTTGACAGTGATAAAGGTGCTGCCGAGGAAGGCGCTTTGGAGACTGGTAAGGCCCTCAAGAATTGCGCCCAGGTCCAGGCTGGCCAGGGCGGTGGTGTTGATGAGGCCTTTGGCAACTCCTGCAGAGTGTCGAAGGATTGCTTGTAGAGGAGTCTCGTTGTCGGGGACATACTGCAGAGCCTGGAAGGCATAGCAGGCCTGGTACGTCATATAGGGGTCCAAGCTGCCCTTCAAGCTTGACAAGACGTCCGATAGCGGCTCATGCTCGACAACCCGGTCCAAGTCCTTGACCCCGTGCTCCGCCATCACATCCAAGACGCGAGAGACAGCTAGAACAAGTTGGTAGGAGTACTCTGACGACTGACCATGGGTCCCCTGCAGACGAACCCTGAGGATGCTGAGGATCTTGATGAGATCGTCAGCTTCCAGGTACCCAGGGGAGTTGGACTGTACCAACTGGACAAGACCTTGAAGTAGGGTGACGTCTAGGAGAAGAGCATCATCAAACGCTGCAATGATGGACGAGAGCAACTTGCGATACGGCTCCTTCTCCAGAATAGGACCTAGGGAAACAACCTCGGCAATCTCGACAGAGCTCCTGCTGGCAACATTCGGGACAAACTCCTCGACCATCCTGGTGGCAATCCAAAGCAGTCGATCTTGCTCCGTAGAGTCCTTGTCTATCTCCTCCAGCCATTTCCGCTCAGCCCAGGTCAGACTTGGTGAAGAAGACGCACGCTGTAAGAGCAAGGAGCACCAGTAGACCAACTGTTCAGTCTTCTCGATGCGCTCCAGGTTTTGAGGCAACTCGGTCCTGATGGCAGGTTTAGGAAAGTTGGGGTAATTCCAGAGGAATACTTCAAGGCGGGGGTCGGGCCGGTTGTTGTTATTCAATGTAAGGTTTGCGACGGCGGTGGCGGAGACTGCATCGTCGATATCGATAGTGGATTGAGGTGAGGTTGGGTGCGCGTCCTCAGTCATGATATATAGGCTTTTCTATTAAGAAGTGTAGGTCTCGAAGATGATGGTTAGTTCAAAGTCGTTCCGTCGCAAGTGCTACTACGTATGAGCAAAGGGTCGGTGGCCATAGATGTGAAGTATTCCGCCGCCCTACCTCAGGAGAAAGTGTGTTCGACGGTTCAACTGGTGCTAAACTGACAAACGTGTCGCGAGAGAGAGAGAGAGAGAGTTGAGTGGCGGTGAATAGGAGTCAAGAAAAGTGTGATGTTGAGACGAACAACGAAATGAATGGGAGGTGATGGAGTTGTGATGATGAGGAAAAAAGAGGAAAGTGATGAACAAAGGAATGAAACGACGTGGGTGTCGCCAAAGTTGAGCGTGTTTCGTTTATCTGGGCTGTGACATGACCATGATAAGAGTACAAGTCAATGGTTGCTGGTCGATGGTCGATACCCTCGCTTTGTTTTTTTCTTTATTGGTACTTGCCGCCTCGCCAGCGCTATGGACTCGCCTTCAGTTTGTGCGAAGGGAAAATAAGAACCTCCACAACGCGTCGTGGTCCGTCGATGATTGCGACGTGTTCAAAAAAACGACATTACTCCCTCTTTTTTGTCCTCGCTCTGTATCGATATCACTCAAAACCAAGATACAACCATGGACTGGATCTCTCTTTCTCTCGCTGTGCCAGAGTCAAGAGGGTGAGAGAGAGAAAGAGAGAGAGAGAGGACCAGGGACGAAAGGCAATGAAAGGAGAACGGCGATATCAAAAGTAAGAATGAAGTCCATGGTTGTCGGGACAGTTCAACGATGATGATGCCCTTCTCTTTCGCCCTTCCAGAGATTGCAGAAGGTCGATCCCTTTCGGGTACCATCACTGATAAACCTTACTTGTGTCAATTATCAAAATAAAAAAACGGTCGCCGAACGATAAAATAAAGAATAAGGCAACCAAGAGGGTACCTTTTACCCCCTGTTATCAATACCTTGTCAGGCTCTACGACAGCCAAAACAGCCTCGAATACATCTAGAAGGGCAATGGCCGGTGCCAGATAGCAGATAGCATAGAAAGTGCGCGCGCGTCAACGTGGCCAAGTATTAAAAAAAAGGTCGCGTCGCGTTCCTTGTTGTTGTTTGTGTGTGAATCCAGTATTCAATTTTCAGTTCAACACCAGCCACTTTGGCTTCCACTTGGTCGAAAGCCAGATAAAGTGCCACCAAAACATACTTTTTTTTCTTTTTATTGATCATCCTCCACTCTGTTTACCTTCACACTCTCATCGCAACATGTCGCAAGGCTGCATAGACCTAGCAATCCTCATCCCCTCGAAACGGACAAGCACACAGGAAACCGTCATGGACATTATAACAGCCAGCGCATCGTCTGCATCCGCATCACCCAAGGATCAGGACAAGAAACGGACTACTACCGCCATGTCAAGCAGCAGGCGGAGGCGTTCTTTCAAGCGTACAAGGAGGAGCACGCCTGATAGTGACGAAGATGGCGACAGTGACAACAATGACTACAATACCGAGGACAACCAAGAAGAAGCAGAGAACCTGGACGACCACGGCCACAAAGAAGCAGAGGAAAATGATCAATTGAAGGCAGAGGACAAGGTCGTGGAGGAAGTTGTTGAATCGCTGGCAGTTCAGGAAGAGATCGAGGAGGTCGATTACGAAGCTCAACGGAAACGCAACATCCTGGAGAATCAGCGGCTGTTACAAGAACTCGGACTCAACAATTCTATCGTTCGAAAGTCATTCCCATCCATCACCAAGAGCAGGAACGACGACTATGAAGACAATGGTGATGTCAGCAGCGACGGCGAATACAATGACGAGATTGGATCAAAGGAACCCAAGAAAGGAAGGAGGTTCGCACAGAACAAAGCCTCCTGGAGGAAAGCGACGGCACCGGTGGCTACGCGAGCGTCCAAGCGGATACGAGGCGAGGCTGCAGTCGAGACAAAGGTGGATCTGGAGTCTCTTGAGAGGAGCTTGAATGGCAGGGCGGGTAGCAATGAGGATGAGGGTGGGGAGGGTAGGAGCAGAGGCGAGGGTGCAGCGCCACCGTTTAAGTTGGGAGAGTATTCGAGATCGCTCTGGAAAGGACGGAAACAGACGACTGGATTCACAATGGAGGTCGAGATTCCTAGTGCTACAGTTCCGCTCACAGTAGGCAAGTATCTAGTTCCTTTTGCATGTAACTCAAGTATCGCATTATCCGACTAATACTAGCGACGGACGTTCGTCAATTGAACACAATAGGAAGCATTGCGACGACGATATGGGAGCTGGGCAGCATCTACAAGGGCGAAAAGAACAAGCTGAAATACTGGAGCGGTGGCGGAGTAAGTCCGTTATCATCCTTTACGATTTTTGATAGGTGTATGGACGTTATATGAACACGTTCTCTTAATAATCGCTACGCCCTCTTCTTCTACCTTGCGAACCCTGGATCGCCATCTATCTACTAGAGCCTGTTCAAGCATCCATACCCGATCGGCTACAAAGCAGAAAAGTTTTATTTTCGGGAGCGGTACATGATGCACATCAAGGAAGGGGCAGATGGACCCATCTTTATTGTCGAGTCTGCAAATGGAAGAGTGTTTGAAGGATCGAGCCCGACGTTGCCGTGGACGAAAGTGTGTCTGGCAAGTTCTTCCAAGGGCACAAGGATCAGTGGACCATTGTTCTTTGGATTCTCGGACCCGATTACACAAAAGATGATTGAAGGGCTGGAGGGGTATCAGAGATTTGAGCAAGTTAAGGCCGAGGTGCAAGCAGCCGAGGAGTTGGAAGAGCAGAAACGGTTACAGGCCGATGCTGCTGAAGAATAAATTATCGAATTATTATTTTGAAACATTCACTCATGGATATCGGGTTTTTATTTGTGTTTTTCATTCGAAGTAGCAGCTGGAGAGGACATTATTGGGTACTTGGGTATTCACAAGGAGAACCGGACTCAAGGGAGGGGAGCACACTCTTGGTTGATAAAACGAACATGCAGAAAAGGTGAGAGAAAGGAAGGAAAAGGAAGGCATATTGGAGTTGGGTATGTTTTGGGTACAAAGGGAGGACAAATGAAACGCCGTCAGCATATGGTCCGAGCACGACGGACACTTGGTAGACATGAAAGAGAGAAAAGGAGGAGTTGAAACTTGAAAGCACTGGTGACGACTGGGATAGAAGGACTGAGTGAGATAGCTCAAAGGACCCCTTCCCAACTTCCCCGCACAAATTAGCCAATCTTCATTCTCATATGAAGACACAGTCACAAGAGGCCCTTTCTCGGGACGAAAACAAAAGTTTTTTTAGTCCACTGACACTCACACGTCTTTTTTCTCCTCTTCTCTTCTTTTGTTCGTTACTCTTCACTGCATTCACACTGCACAACAGTCCACCTCTTTTCATTCATTCATTCTTGCAATCCTCGGTCCCCCTCTTCTTCCGGCTTGCGCCTTCACTCTACACACACACACCTCTTCCCCCTTACCCACAAAGTGTCGGAACACCAGGAAAAAAGTACTTTTCACTTTCGTTTTCATAAACGTTTCAAGCCTTGTCGAGCCCTTTTCTACTTTCGAACAAGACTAGGTGCGAAAGAGTGAACGACTGTTCAGTACTAATCTTCATCGTCATTGTTCTTTTTGTTGACAATAGTGAGGAAAACAAAAGTCTTTGGAGGCTCTTCTCACCCGGAGCTCACTTCGTTGATCACCGGTCGCCTCGGTGTCGAGCCCGGTGCAGTCAAGCTGTCCCAGTTCAAGAACAAGGAGACATCTGTCGAAATCGGTAACGTCTCCTTTTCACACTTCTGTCTCGTCATCAATTGGCCGTTGCAAGTTGAACTTGTGAAAAGAAAAAGGAGGGGCGAGAAGGAGTGAATATGATTCCACTGGAGATTTTTTTGTTGCCATATTTTCCTGAAGGCAACGAAAACAGGAAACCTGAGGAAGTATGCATATCAGGACTAATGCAATCCACAGTCAGCATGGATAAACCCAACCTTGGATCCAGACAACAAGCAAGGGCAAAAGCACGAATAGCAGTAGCGACACAGCACACGACAAGAACTTTCACTTTTCTTTGCGGGGATGGAGAAGGAAAAGGAGACAAGAGACGATAATGTTTCACCCGACATCTCATGGAGTCACTGCAAAGAACAGGCAGTGAGAGAGAGAAACTGACCTAGACCCCGTATGTCTGTGCGTGTGTTGTTTACAATCAATCGGCTTCTCTCGATTTAGGTGTCTCTGTCCGTAACGAGGATGTCTTCATTATCCAGTCTGGATCTCCCAAGATCAACGACTCCCTCATGGAGCTCTTGATCATGATCAACGCCTGCAAGGGTTCCTCTGCCCAGCGCATCACAGCCGTCATCCCTTACTTCCCTTACTCCAAGCAATCCAAGAAGAAGAAGCACCGTGGCGCCATCGCAGCCAAGTGTAAGTTGTCGTTCTTTATATCCGGAGAGATCATTTGAACGACCCGCCTGCATTCAATTGAAGTTCTTGCTACTTTTCAGTTGATCAAGCGCCTTGCTTCTTTGCAACCGAACTTTCTCTCTCTTTTCAATTGCTACGTTGCTTTCACCAAGATGACGCGAAACCGGCTGACCTTTATTCTAATTGGAAATACAATATTAGTGGTGGCCAACATCCTCTCGATCTCGGGAGTGGACCATATCATCACTATGGACTTGCACGCCTCGCAAATGCAGGGATTCTTTAACCTCCCTGTCGACAACTTGTATGCCGAGCCCTCCATCGGCAAGTGGATCCAGGAGCACGTTGACGATTGGGAGAACGGTGTCGTTGTTAGTAAGAACGCTGGAGGAGCCAAGAGGTAAGAATAATGCGTCAACAGGACAATGAATCACGCAAAAATTTCGCCGCACGGATACAAAAAGAAGAGCGGAAAACAACTGGAGGGTTTCTTTTTCAACAACAGTCCATATGGTCGACTTCCTGTTACTAATACAAAGATCTGTTATTAAAACGTGATGGAATAATAGGGTAACCTCGTTGGCAGATCGCCTCAACATCGACTTTGCGTTGATTCACATGGACAGGACCAGGAAGGGCCATGCTCAGGACCCTGACGACTCGCTCTCAAAACCCGAGAATATTTACAACCGTCTGGAGGAGGAGGACGATGATGATGATAGCATGGTCGATGCTGAGACTGGTCATGAGGTTCAACGCGCCGAGGCCGCCGACGAGACCTCATTGATGACTCTTGTCGGTGATGTCCAGGACAAAGTCTGCTTTATCGTCGTAAGTCTTTGTCTTTTTTCTTTGGAACAGGTGTTTAAGGCGCTTACAGGGATATTATCAATGCGAGAGGTGCTAATCGAGCAAGAAGAGCATAGGTCTCCAGGTTCATGCAGGTATTAACACTCCGCTTTTTTATCATTGCTCAATTGTAACTAGGATGATATGATTGACGGATGCCACTCGTTCTTGGAGGCAGCGGACAACTTGGTCAGCCACGGAGCCAAGCAGGTGTACATTATCGCAACCCACGGAATCCTCAGCGGAAACTCGTTGCGCCAGATTGAGGAGTGCTCGAACGTCCACAAGATTGTCGTCACCAACACCTACCCCATCCCTATTGAGAAGCGTGCCCTCTGCTCCAAGTTGGTTGTCCTTGATATCTCTGCCACCCTTGCCGAGGCTATCCGCAGAACGCACAACGGCGAGAGTATCAGTTATCTCTTCTCCCAGGTTCCCAAGAACTAAAAGAGCGCACGGATCATCATCAAGCGACGAGAGAGAGAGAGAGAGAGAGAGAGAGAAGAATACGAGAATACCATCTAGGACGGAATTTTTTTGCATCGACATTCAACAACTACAACTATCACAACCTTTTTTCACCACGTTCACGACTATCATGGCATGAGAATAAACACACTGTGGGGAGACATTCATTCATCAATATGCTAAAGCCTTTTCTAGGATTTTTATTTGTGAGTTGCCGCAGTAGATGACCATTGGCGAGTCAAGAAGAGTCATTAGGGCTAAAAAAGGATTGATGGCGACGATTGACGCTATCACCTTTGTTGTTGACAGCAATCATGTCAAGTCAAAGCACGCCTCCAGCAGCAAGCTGCAAACCTTGCGACATAAAAAGGCGCGTGGAATGTGTGGCTTAGTGATCAAAATTTTCTCCCCCGCTCCTTCTTCCAGTACTATTTATTTGTTTTTCTGACGAGTTCTTTTTTGATCCTTCACTCCCATTCTCTCATCCAAAATGACCGTCGGCGTAAGTGTTTTCACCTCGTTGCAGACAGACAGACAGACAGACAGACAGGAACAATAACAAGCTAGCGAGGATCATCCCGTCCTCTGATGTCGCTGTGCCTCGGACTTTTCCTCATTCACGAATCAACTCTTCCAACTCGACACGAAAACAAAAAGAACTTTGACCCTAACTCCTATCCTTCACTTTTTTCCCACCACATACGATACACAGACTATCTACTCCTACCCCCAGAACCCCCGCGTCTTCAAGGCCTTGGTCGTTGCCAAGTACAACGGCCTCGAGGTCAAGGTCGATGACAAGTTCGTCATGGGCACCACCAACAAGACCGATGCCTGGATCGCCAAGTTCGGTGCCTCCCAGGTCCCCGCCTTCGAGGGTACTGACGGTACCGTCATCATCGAGTCTGGTGCCATTGCCTACTACCGTAAGTCTCTTGTTGGATGTTATCAAGAAGAAGAAGAAGAAGGATAAGAGGAGTTAAAAGAGGATGCGTTTGAATATGTGAATGATGAATTTTATTTTAATCAGTTATCCCTGACTTAATCATACTGTGTCGAGAACTTGATTCCTGAAAAACATATTCAAACCATACCTTGCCCCAACATCTACAACAAGGCGAAGGGTTACGTGTTATCAACAATAACATAATCTAACCATTCCCACTTATTTGTGCAAACCAACAGTCGCCCATTTGAAGGCTGACTCCACCCTCGTTGGCCGCTCCAACGCCGAGGAGGCCCTTATCCAGCAGTGGATCCAGTTCGTCGACTGCTCGCTCGCCGTCGCCATCTCCGCCTGGATCTACCCCATTCTCGGATACATTCCCTACAACAAGGCCTCCGAGACCGCTGCCATCGAGCGTACCCGTGACCAGCTCGCCACCCTTGAGCGTCACTTGATCAAGAAGACCTACCTCGTTGGCGAGCGCGTCACCTTGGCCGATATCTCGGCCGCCTCTGCTCTCTTTACCGGCTTCAAGATGGTCTTTGATGCTCCCTTCCGCAAGGATTTCCCTGCCGTCACCCGCTGGTTCACCACCATCGTCAACCAGTCCAACTTCAAGGCTGTTGCCGGTGAGTTCGCCTTGTGCGAGAACCAGGCCAAGTTCACCCCTCCCAAGAAGGAGACCAAGGAGAAGAAGCCTAAGGAGGAGAAGCCCAAGGAGGAGAAGAAGCCCAAGGCCAAGGAGCCCGAGGAGGAGAAGGAGGAGACCTTTGAGGATGTCCCCAAGCCCAAGTCCAAGTTGGAGCTCCTCCCCGCCGCCAAGATGCCCCTTGACGAGTGGAAGCGCCAGTACTCGAACAATGACACCCCCGTCGCCATGAAGTGGCTCTGGGAGAACATTGACCTCACCACCGACTACTCCATCTGGAAGGTCGACTACAAGTACAACGACGAGTTGACCAAGCTCTACATGTCCAACAACTTGGCCGGTGGTTTGATGAACCGTCTCGAGCGTGCCCGCAAGTACGCTTTCGGTACCCTCGTCGTCGCTGGTGAGGACAACGCCAACATCATCACTGGTTACTTCATCGTCCGTGGTGTCGCCGACGAGATGATTGAGGAGATCACCGATGCTGCTGACTACGAGTCCTACAACTGGGTCAAGGTCAACGTCACCGACGAGGAGAAGAAGAAGATCGACCAGGTCTTCGCCTGGGAGGGTTCCCTCGATGGTAAGGCCATCGCCGACGGAAAGACCTTCAAGTAAATTATATCCTTGTTTGGCTCTTCCACCCTCTCTCCTTGCGTACTTGTAGATCATCATTTTGTATAAATCAACATCATTCTTTCTCATCCATGAAGAATAAAAAGTATGGCTCTTGACGCACCCCTGCACCATTCATATCCTTACCGCAATCCTTTCTTCGTTGTGTGTTTGTCTTTATCTGTATCGTTGTCATTTTTCTTTGTCTTCATCTGTGTTGTTTTCGTGCGTTGTCTTTGTCATTGGTGGAGAAAAGAGAAAAAAAAAGATCAATATCTACGTATCACTCCCTTGTCCCCTTTTCTATCTATCTATCTCTTATGCTCTATCAAATGGATCCCTGCCCACTTTTACCTTTCCCACGGACGACTTGCAATTGATAACAAATCCAAGCCTGAGTAGACCCGTTTCTCCACAACACAGCTCTGAATGCGTAAATGACTTTGTTGTTATTCAAAAAACAAGACCCCAACAACCAACCCTACTAAAAAATGTCTAACTACTACTCCTACTTCCTGAAAGAAAGTCGAAAAAGAAAATTAAAAAAAGAACCTTCATCAAGTGGGGGGGCTCTCTATTGCTCGGGCTGCATATCACCCTCACCCATCTCCTGCTGCTCAGGCGAAGGGCCGCCCTGCTGAGGACGACCACCCGAGAGACCCGAGACGATATCATCGACACGCAACAACATGCACGACGACTCGATCGCAGTCTTGATGGTCTGCACCTTGACCGCATTGGGCTCCCAGATACCGTACTCGTGCATGTCCACAATCTTACCCGCATGGCCGTCAACACCCCACGAGTGATGGCCCGTAGCGTGCTTGGCGCGGAGAGATGTCAAGATCTTGATAGCGTTGCCTCCACAGTTCTGGATCAATGTGCGGGGAATCACCTCCATGGCCTCAGCGGCGGCCTTGTAGGGCCACTGGATAGAGCCCTCCAGGGTCTTGCTCTTCTCCATCAAACCGACCGAAATTGCCATCTCGGTGGCGCCTCCTCCGGGCGACAACCTGGGGTTGAAGTACACGTTGCGAGCAACCGACATGGCGTCCATCAAGTTGCGCTCAATCTCGTTCAAGATATCCTTGGAAGGTCCACGCAAGACAATCGTGCAAGCCTTGGGGTTCTTGCATCCAGTCAAGAATGTGAAGTACCTAGTTACAAGGAGAATCAACAAAAGTTAGACGTTTGTCGCGAATAAAACGATCCATGTCCCGACGAGTCTTCTTCATCGCCTAACCGAAAAAAAGAATCCAGTCCTGCACAATATAATGAAAATTAAAAACGTACTCGTCACCAATCTTCTCGACGGAAAAGAGACCGCAGTCAGTTCCGACGTCAGACTCCTTGAGATCATCGACACGGTTGACAATGGTGGCGCCGACAGCACGAGCGATACGGTTGTTGTCAGTCTTGCGGACACGACGGATGGCAGTGATACCGGCCTTGACAAAGTAGTGCTGTGCCAAGTCTGAGACGCCCTTCTCCGTAAAGACAAGGTCAGGCTTGAGCTCAATAATCTTGTCGCACATGCCCTTGATCTGCTCCTCCTCGATCTGCAAAATACGGCTCCAGTCAGACTCCTTAGTGACCTCAATGTTGGTCTGCGACTCTCCCTTCTTGTACTCCAGGGGGCAATCCAGCAAGATAACACGGGGGTTCTCAATGCGACGACGCATCTTGGGGTGAGTGACATCCTTGTTGACCATGACACCATCCAACACTCTCGAGTCTTCAATCTCGCCACCAGGGATCTATTGTTGTTTGTAAAGAGAGTTGTTATGTTTGTAAATAACCGAAATGCCAAAAACGTCACAACTATTCCTGTTCCTTCTATGCTGCTTTCTTTGTTCTTCCTTTTTGTGTTTTTTTTGTTCCTATGTAAGCACCTTGTCAAAACAAAATGCATAAAGCGACACGGATGTAAATCAAAAACATTGCAGATCATAGGCTCAGCGGCGAGACAATTACCTTCTCGACACGAGCGTAACGCTTGATATCGACCTCCCGACGACCATCGACCTCAACAGCGACGCAACGGACGGCATCCAGGGCCAATTTGCACATCATATCGCTCCAGCGGCTGACAAACTTGGTGCCGATAGAAGTCTTGACAAGATCCAACATCTCCTTGGGGTCATTCACATTGACGGGGATCGAGATCTTGTCAACAATCTCGATAGCATCCTCCAAAGCCAGCTTGAAGGCAGCAATGATGACAATGGGGTGGATGTTGCGCTCGAGGTAAGGCAGAGCCTGAGCAAGCACCTCACCGGCTATTTGATGGTAGGAACCAAAAAATATAATACAGAAGAACGTTAGCAACCAAGGTGGAGTCAATAGCCTCCTGAGTGTACTAAAGCCCCAGATCAAAGCCAAGGAGGTTTACCGAGAATGATGACGGAGGTGGTTCCGTCTCCGACCTCCTCGTCCTGTGTCCTGGCAAGCTCGATCATAGACTTGGCGGCAGGGTGAGCAACCTCAACCTCTCTGAGGATAGCGTTTCCGTCGTTGGTCAAGACGACTCCTCCCATAGGATCCAGCAACATCTTCAACATCGAACGGGGTCCGAGACACGTCCTGATAATGTCAGCAACGGTCTACAAATAACACAAGGGTAGTTGTTAAGAAGGAATAGTAGCGAGAAAGTTAACAATGCTGATCAGTTTTGTCAATGGTGCCCCGAGGTTGTGAACAGTTGATGTGAACGATGTGCGAAAAGGCATAAGAGGCGCGGTAAAAGTACCTTGGCGGCGGTGATGTTGGAGACTTGAGCCTTGCGACCAGTCTCGCGCTCCATGTTGGTGTCTACAGAAGGAGGATGCAAGGTGTACGTAAGTAAGTTGAACGGGGATTGAGCATGGTGGCGTGTAAGGACCAAAAGGTAAGTGGAGGCGCGTCGTTTTCTGTTGATTTTGTTCACAGGTGAAGGGGTGTCCTTGGATGGTGTGAATCAGGGGGGGTGGTTGTTGATGTCGTTTATGGCGTCCTTGGTTTATCGTTGTCGCTGTTGTTGTTGTTGGTGAGGGTGATGTTGCCGTTCTAATCATGGCTGTGTCGATGTGTTCCATCTAAGGAGAAGAAGGGGACACGTACTCATAACAATGACTTGACTCATCTTGGCTTTGTGTGTGTTGATGTGTGGTGGTGGTGGTGGTGGTTGGTGATGAAGAAGAGTAAGAAAGAAGAAGAGCAACTTTGAGTGGAAATAGATCAGCGAATACACTGGCTCCCTGAGCTTCAGAAGGCGAAAGAACAAAAAAGCAACACTCTAAAGGAGCGAGGTGCGCGGTGTGCTGCCCTGGACTTGTCAATGTTTGATGTCGCTTACGGGGCCTGCAATTCGATCTGCATTCGACTGTTACAAATGCGATCAGATCAGCCTACCCTCCAAGATTCTATTTTGAATCCAGCATTGGACCTGTTTATGTGCCTGAAAATGAAATGACGCTCGCCACGTCCGACTGCGGTCGAACCCTTTTTGTCAGCCAGAAGTCGGGAATAAAACGAAAGAGATCTGATCTCCATTCAACTCCCATCTTTCATTCTCCCACTCACTTTTTCCACTTCACTCCCCCACTTCTTCACACGTCTTCACACTTTCTCACACCCACACACCAAATGGCCACTATCAGAAAACACATCCTCGTATGTAAAATCCCACCACCCCGTTACAACAGCTGCTCCTTCTGTATCCACTTTCTAACTGGAAAATCCCTTTAATTTCCCACGACAATCATGTAGGTTGTAGGACTCGGAAACCACACACACCCAGGAACACGCCACAACGTCGGAATGATGGTCGTCGACGCAATCGCCCAACGCTTCAACGTCCCCTGGTCCGAAAAATCCTCCTGGAAGGCAGAAGTCGCCACCGCCCATACTTCCATCACCACCCGCCACCGCGTCGCTCCACCTCCTTCAACTTCTGGCGCTAAAAAGTCTATGCGCCCTACAACCGCCGACACTATTTCTGATACGGCCACAGGAGGAGGAGGAGGAGGAGGAATGGTGGAGGCTCCTACTTCTACTTTGACACAAACACCGACAACAACGACGGCGCCGGTGGTGAAGAAGAAAGAATCTTGGGTCACTTCAACATTGGAACTCACAATCACACTCCTCAAACCCCTCCAGTTGATGAACGTCAGCGGCACCTCCGTCTCCAAAGCAGGTACATTTCTTCTCAATCTTCCTCCATAAAAACTCTTTGGCGACTTAATTGCGCAGGAAAAGGCAAGTACTAACTCTATCTCTTTCCTTCCAATCTCGCAACCAAACATAGCCAAAGACCTAGGAGTTTCCACATCAGACATTCTAGTCATCCACGACGACATGGAACGCGACATCGGGAAACTCTCCTTTAAATCCGAAGGCTCCGCGAACGGACACAACGGGATCAAATCCTGTGTAAAAGCACTCGGCACCGCACATTTCCGTCGGTTGAGGATTGGTATTGGACGTCCTCCAGTGTCGGATCGATCGCCAAAGGTCGTGGCGGGGTATGTGCTGGGGAGGTTTAAGCCGCTGGAGGTGGAAAAGTTGGAAGAGTTGGTGTATTATAAGGCTGGGGATGAGATTATTAGGGTTTCTACCACCGAGGAGAAAACAAAGACCAAGAAGGCGTAAGGTGGATTCTTGACTCATCTTGTATATTACTCGGATAACCATGAAAGCGACGCAGTTCAGGGTCGCTCTGACCAAAAAAAAAAAAAAAAAGACGCCTTCACACTCATGGGTTACACGGAGGCTGAGCCATGTCGTCATTGCCATCGTCCTCACACTCTTCCGTACAAACCGTATTCCTCCCTTCCATAATTTCGACCGCACCTAGAATCATAGACACCTATCCCAAACCACTTGTACTTTTACCCCTGTAACAAAATTCATAAATTATACATATTTGCACACCCATTTGACTACATATCAATGAAAACTGGGTTAAAAAGGAGAAAAGGCCAAGACGATTCATCCATGTTGACGCCACCAAAAAAAAAATTCAGACAACATTCCTCTCATTAGCGTCATTTCTTTTGGAACATAGCAATGTGTCCTTCGCTCGACGCACTCTTGCCGCATAAGCATACTAAAGCATGCACAGCACGTTGGAAAAGAAGCAATAGCTTTTTAATTTAGCAGAAAGAAAGTCAAACATATCTAGAACCACATGGCCCGCAAGAACCCAGCCAAGATAACAGGCGTCCCCAATTTGATCGCAAAGATATCCGGCCCCTCCTTGATTCCACCTGCACCCTCCTTGTTTGCCGCCGACCGACCAGAGGCACTCCACCGCCGCAAGACCTCATTCGACTCGAAAGGCTTGACGAGATCGCCCGCAGTCCCAACCGTCGCATGGAGCATGAACTGGGTATGCTCGAAGGGCTGGCCGGACTTTGAGCGGGTGGCCTTGATGACACGGAGGACTATGATTCGCTCTGTCCACACGATGTAGTCTGCGGTGCAAGTTGCGTCCAGATCTACATCGGAGATCGACAATGACGCTAATGACAGTGGGTAATCGGGCATCTGGGAAACGGGCGGCGGAGGCACAATGGCGCCAGCGGTAGTAGGAGTGGCAGGTGCAGCAGTAGGAGTAACAGGAGACACGGCGGGGGCGGATCCCTTTCGACGCCCACTCCGGGTTCCCTTGCCAACCTTGGTAAATCCATCATCCGGTGTCGGTGTCGGTGTCGAAGGAGGCGTGGCGACAGGCGAGTTGGGCGTAGTTGATCCGGGAGTCTTGGCCTCCAATCCCAACTCATCCGAATACATCTTCCAGAGTTCCTGAGCACGCTGCGATCGCTTGGGCGAAGTATCCTTGCGTGCCGTCGTATGGACCAAGGTAACATGCTGTCGTAGCCCTACTCGGTTCGTCTCTTGCCATCTCTTGAACATCTCATACAACTGCTCCCACGATTCCATATCGGCAGATGATGTTGAAGTTGACAATGTGGTAGATTGAACGTTCTCGCTGGGTCCTTGTCCTGAAAGACCCCTGGCCTCAAACTGCTCAGTCAAAAACTTGAGGACCGCTCCCGAGTCGATGCTGACCGCAAAGTAGTTCGGCTCCTTGATTTTCTTGGCTCTTCCAGTCGGCGTGATGATAGGAGCAGCAGGGGCAGTAAGGGAGCCACCATTCTTGTCGTTGGTGGAAGTAACGGCCCCTACCAGCGAGGAGGGCGGCATGCCCTTCGCAACTTGCTTCACCGCCTGCTCCTTGTGGAACTTGGCAGCCTCACCACTGACGACGCGATGAGGCTTCCAATCCTCGAGAGAGTACCGAACAGCCTCCTTGACCTCCTCAGGCTTAGGAATCGCGTGGTTCCCAACACCACCAGCACCGAGCGTAGGGATCGCAAACTCCTTGATAACACGCTCAACAATCGCCAACGACTCCTCGCCAGGCGTATTCTCAATCACATAGCTGAATCCAGAATCTGGTGCGATCATGGGGTTCAGAGGCTCAAACGTCCTGAGGAAACGCTGGATGATAAACTCGTATTCGGGACAGAACTCGGGGGTCATGCTCTGATGGTTTGCGCCACGGCTCTTGACACGCTCAATCTCAATGTCGCGGACAGTGCTGATGGGCATCTCCTCGTGCGACCAGTAGAGAGCAACGAATCGCGTTTTGGGGTAGATAGCTTTGACAGACTCCATGATCCTCTGACGATGCAAAAACTCGTGGTTGTTCCGATCCGCAATGACAACCATGTGGTCTTTGAGTGTCCCCACGACCGCCTTCATGAACTGCTGTCCCGAGGTCTTGCGGTAGTGGTGAAAGTCGTCGCTGCTGACATGACCCCACCCGAACAGCTTCGAGAGAGCAACGCTGACGGTCGTCTTTCCGCATCCAATGGTCGCAATGGGGATAATAACCGTCCGCTGGAAATCATCCTCCCTGGATGCACTCGAGGCCGATCCTGAAATAGCACCCGTGATCAGCTTGTCCTGCTCCTGCACCGACTTGGACTCCCAGTACTTCAGAAACATGTCTCGGATAGCAATGATGCCCTGGTTCTTGTTGTACCCAACAAAGAGAGCAGGCTGGGTCTTGATCAGGTTCTTGACAAACTCGACATAGTGCTTGGTGAGAGGGTACCGCATCCTGATCTTTAACTCATCGACGGGCGCAACCTCCTTGAGCTCTGACACGATCTTCTTGGGCGTATTGCGCTCCCTGGTAGCAGCTCTCGTCTGCTCTGCAGCGCGCTTGGCCTCAACCTTGGCAGCCTCGGTCGCCTCCTTGGCCTCAATAGCCCACAGACGCTTGGTGATCTCACGCCACTCGCGATACATGAGGTAGGGCTCATCGTACTTGATCTTGAAAAAGTGTGTTGTTCCGTCCTTCTTGACCTTGGAACGAACGACAAATCCCTCAACCGCACGGTTGTCGTACTCTCCTGCATTCCTGACCTCGTCAGCAAAGTCCATGACTTCCTGGTGGGTGTTGAAGGTCACGTACTCGGTCAGTCTCAGACCCCACTCCTTGGCAAACTCCTGGACCTTGTTGCTGGGCAAAGTCTGGAAATCGACCGTATTGCGGTTCAATCCGTGAAGGTACAATCCTGACTTTTCAATAGGGTACTCCAAAACATGCTCCTCAAAGCTATCATCGCACAGCTACGTGGCAGTTAAAGAATCGTGGCGAGTATTAATAAATCTCCAAGAATATAAAAAATTAAACACCAACAATGATAAAATAAATTACCTCCGCAACGGCGGTTAGATTATGATCCCAAAGCCATCGTCCAAACTGCTCAACAGTCTTCCCCTGGACCGCAAGCCCTCTCTCGAGCCACTCACGTCCCTTGCCAGCATGCGTGACCTCCGTCATCTTCCCAGTCTCGGGGTCCGCGTGTCCCAAAGAATGCTTGCTGGTAACAATACACCCACCCTTAGACCCCGCCAGGTGAGGAGGCAATCCCGACATAAAGATAATACATCCGTTCTCCTTGAGCGTCACTTCGTAGGGTCCCTCTGTCATCTTTGCGATCCACTCGGGTGAGGTCTTGGGAACTTCACCCACGTTGAAAAACTTGTCGTATCCGCGGAGCAGGATGCGGTACACGCCGAGAGCATCTGATCCTGTCAGTACAGGTAGGGTGGCATCCCCCTCTGCCAACTTGGGGGTATCATTCGACTGAGCGGCCTGCTCCCAGTTTCTGCGACGGTTCTTGGGCAAGGGAGGCGAAGTCGAGGTCGCGGTCGAGTTCGAGGTCGAGGTAGTGGTGGAAGGGGAGGTAACGGGTGCCTTGGGGAGTCCAGTAGTATCGAGGTACGTAAACAGCCCACGAGAGAGTGTAGGGAGCGCGCCACTCGAGTACTCAAACTCATTCATCTTCCATGACGTGACATCCAGGATATGGCTCTTATCCTTCTTCTCGGAGGTCACAGTCGCAGTCGTAGTAGTTGTTGTTGTAGGTGTGGTCGTAGAACTGGTAGGAGTGTTGGTGGAGGCAACCTTCATAGGGGGTCGCTCATGGAGGAGGTCGAGTTCATAGTGGTTGTCATAGACAAGGTTGCGTCCACGCTTGGCGCCCTTTATCTTAGACTCGGCATAGGTGTGTAACGTGCGGATAAGGTTATCGGCCTCGGTCAGGTCCTTGGTGGAACGCCCAGGGGCAGTCGAGATGGTGGCGTCGTGCATGTGGATTTTCTTGAGCTGGTTTGCCACGTTTGTCATGGTGATGAGTTTCCTTCTTGGGTTTGTGTGAATGTGTTAAAGTGTTAAGTAGTTTTGTGGATGAGAGAGGGAGTAAGAGATGGAAAAGGACGGTAAGAAAAAGGGGAAAGGTAGAAGGAAGATGTTTACCGGGTTGAGAGGGATAAATGGAGTTTTTCGAAACATGAACGACAGTCTATTTATCTATTTATCTTTTGCAAGTGAGTGGAAAATGGCGAGTGCTGCTGGAAAATAGAAGAGGGAAGTCAGAGCTCCAACAGAGAAACTCCAAAACTCACAACTCCATCAGGCACCGCCTCCACCTCCGCCTCTCTTGCCTTTAGTACCCTCGACTCAGCCATGGAAACAATGCTCTCTGGGGGAGAAATAAAAAATTAGAACGAAGCTTAGAGTTGCTTGTGGCAACTGCGGCGCATTGGCCATCCTTTCTTTATTCCCTCTCCCGTCTCTTTTTCGTGTGTAAATGTAAAAGTATGTTGCAGACTTGCAATTGAGCTGAGCATGTCGGAGATGAGGTCCGCGGAGGCGCTGCAGATTCAGAACAACTCGTAACACGAGTCGAGGTGCCTTCTCTCTTTCTTACATAGGCGCTCTCACTTCTGACTCATCTCCTACAGCAACAACAATCCTTGGTATTAGACATCGTAGCCTTCGACTACGTCCCCAAGACCGACTCTCCTGGTACCAATGTTGATCTGTCCAATGTACCCTCCATGTTCCTTCATCACCATGTAAATAAACATAACCAGTGTGTACCACACATTCAGACGTTTCTAATAATGAAATGCAAATACATAGAGACAAAAGGGTTAGGAATATACAACGTTGCATATGGTATCGCAGCAAACAAAATAAAAACAAATAACAAATGATCGAACATGAAGTAAACAACAACAAAAAAAGAGTGCATGGTGACTTACAGGAATAACCTCCCACATAGCTCCTTCAACAACAAGGTTGTAGTTGGGTGGGTACTTGGCAGTCTGCTTGATTTGCAGTGACGTCGTAGCATCGGGCTTAGCTTCCATGGGCACATAGTGCTTGTACGAGAATGGGAACCGATCGTATGACTGGCTAGGTTGAGCAGGCATGGCCAGATCCATGTACACCGTAAACAGGTGCATAATGATCTGCGAGTCCGTAGGCAAGTCCTGTGTCCATGCCTTCTTGCCGCCTTCCCAAGTCACCCCAGTCGAGTCCCAGCTAAAGTGGCTAAGCAATGGTCCCATGGCTAATTGTAGTGTATGAAAAAAGCATCTATTAGGTGCTGTACCTCGGAAACGCACTGCACGGACACGAGATCTAGAATCGGATACTTGATAAAAGCAGAAAAGTGCTTACCTTGTAACCGCTCAACGACGTACTTGCGGTTGGCGAAACCAGGAATGGCAAGGTAGAGCTCCAGAACCATTCTCTGCTTCACAATGGGGCTCTACAAGTAGCAACATAGCAAGTGTTACTGTGGTTAGAATACTTGGAATAATTGCGTGACACTCTTTCCCAAAGCAATCGGCATTGCAAAACGACGAGCAAGTATACCTCTCCATAACGGGCGTCAAGATCCTGAAGGGAAGTGGGCAACAAAGGCTGCTGGGGCAGACTGGAAATTGGGGCGAACGCGCTGGGCATGCGAGGATTGGCGATACTGGCTGCACCCCACCCAAGAGAGTTGGTCATGGGTGCTACTGTAGGCTGTGCTGCTGCTGCTGCTGCCGAGGCTGCGTTTCCGTTGGTGGCGTTTTGAGGCAGAGGTCCTGAAGTGTAGAACATAGTGGCCGACTTGCAGTCCAGGTATGACAGTCCTTGCTTGGCCAGCTCTGCGTCGACTACCTCCATCTCGCTGCAGACATGCTTGACAACCTTGTCCCACAACCAGTTGCGAAGGTTGAACACCCATCTGTCCAATTGCTCCTCCGACACCTTGAGGGACTTGAGCACCTTGCTATGTCCGAAAACGTAGAGTCCATCCTTTTGCAAGTCCGTCTTGGAGGTGTGATCCTTGGAGAGGGTGGTTCTGAGTGCAGGCTGGTATCTGCTGACGGGGCCACGCGAGTTGATGCTGGCGAGATGGTCAGGCCGAGTAGTATGTTCGGCCATGTGGGCGCCGGCGTGAGCCATATCGATGCCACCTTGGAGACCGGCTTGAGGAGTGCCATATGCAGAGTGGAGACCAAACGCACGCTTGCTAGGGTCAGAGTCAACGCCCTTCCACTCAGCCTTGAGTTCCTCCCTTGCTTCCACATTGCGCATCAAACGTTCCACGCCAGCCTTATCCTGTACAGAGACGGTGTTGAATGCGCGGGACATGGACTTGTTCAAGATTGTTGCAGCATCTCTGTACTCTGAAGAAATCGACGACACAACTGGTTTCTGGAAAGCAGTCCTGGACGAGGTGAGCGATGCCTGCGAGGGGCTTATATAGGTGCTCATTATAGGTCTCTCCGTTAAGTTTCGTGGCTAGTAGTACAAAATATGTGAAATAGGGTTAGTGAATTTTCGGAGGGGGGTTAAACAAAAGAAGAAAGGATTGAGGCCCCAAAGTAACTCACAGCAGCGGCAGGCTTTTTGAAGATTGGGACTGCACCAGGAACCTTGGAAGCAACAGGCTCCAAACCTAGGAGGGCTCTCTGTGATGGGGTCAAGGGCAGGGTCTCGAAGTTGTTGGCTCTTCGTGTGTAACTGTAGATCACCTCCGCAATGTTGAACAAGAAAACAATGATAACAGCCCATTCTATGCGATCAAAAAAAGTAAAGGTCACAGGTCAGAACATCGCTTCCTCTCGTGAAATTTGTCATCCATGGAAAGAAGGCAATGTTTCGTATGCACATTGATGTTACCTGTCCAGTAAATAATCGAAGGGCTAATAACCGACGAAAGCAGGCCAACAAGGGACCTAAGATCAACAGCAAAAATAATTGTTGATTAATATATCAATCTCATAATACAAGAATGCACTGAAAGCAAGGTATAGAAGCCGTACTTGTAGATGCGTCCCTTCATGACCCCTTTGGACACGAACAGGGCAAGAACGTTGAAGATAAGACGTTTGAAAGCATTTGGTGCCAGGCTGTTTTTGCTCTTCCACTGGTCAATCTTGTTGATGGAGGGAAGTTCATAGCGACCACGGAGAACAGGCGCCTTAGTAGGGTCAGCAGGTAAAGTCACGGTTGGCACAGAGGCGGCGGCAGCCTTAGGAACGACATCGGGGTAGTCGGACAAGAGTGACCTTACTCCCTCGGCGGGCTTTGGTTGAGCAGCAATAGGCTGTTTCCGAGGCAAGATTGCAAAAGCCAAGTTGGGATCGTGGTTGAAGGCATCTTTAGTGTCGGCAGAGTCGGTCTTGACATTGTTGATGGGAGACCGGCGTTGTGACAGGGTGTTCCTGAGAGAGCCAGGACCCCAAGGCTCTGGTGGCGCTAGAGGGTAAATTCCAGATCGGGGTCCATGCATTGTGGGTGCAGGAGGCGACACAGGCGTAGGGCTCAATAAGTCCAGTACGGGGGCCATACCGACAGAGCCGAAAGCCTTGTCCGCAAGACTGTTGATGGGTGGAAGATCGTCCAGGGGTTCCCGCTGTGCAACTGGTGTCACCTGACTATCCCGGTCAACCCGCTTTCCTTTCTCTGCTGCCGACAATTTCGGGGCGAACGCCTCGGAAACCTCGTCGTCAGAGGCATCGTCCTGCTTCTGCGACGTCATATCCAAAAAGGACTTGACAACACCTCCAACACCTCCCGCAAACAACACGCCATCGTCCGATGTTGAACTCCTCTCTGATCCAGCTGGCTTAAACTGACTGCCCAGAAACTTGGACAAAGGTTCGCGTAACAGCGACGCCAAGTCTACATCTCCAGCAGAGTCCGTCTCGTCTCCTGAATCCTTGTCTCCAAGGAACTTTTTTGCCAACAGCGCGCCTCCTGCAAGAGCAGCTGCTCCAACATAGTCCTTGATATCGTGATCCGATTCATCGTCAGACTGAGATGCCGTTCCGAGCTTTCCTTTGCGGCCAGATCTCGACAACTCGTCACCTGAATGCGGAGTGGAGGACCGCAAAGGAGCAGCGTCCAAGAAAGCCGCAAATGGCGATACCCTCAACTCGGTAGCAACCTGGGTCGCAGGTGACAGCGAACCCTGCGAATCCTGAAGTCCCTTAGAGCGTGGGTTGACAAAGTCCAGATCAATCTCTACATCCGACAGCTCCTCATCCTTCTCGAGATCCCAGCGCTTGATGTTTGTCGATTCGGGCAGTGTTGGGACGGCGGCAGCTGTAGATGTCTCAAAAGGTTGCTGTGGTGCCTTCTCTGTCTCTCTGGAGTGTGACAAATTCGACAATGAAGGGTAGCTTACGGGAATGCCCTCGTCCTCCTCGTCGTCCTCCTCGTCGTCAGGAACATGCTGATCGTCATCCCCCTGTTCCTTGACCGCGAGTACAAGTCCGCGGTCTGGTTGTAACACTGGGAAAAGTGTACTGGGCTTGGCAACCTCCTGATCCTCGTCCGTGCTATCGCCATCCTGCTCTTGGTTCTCGACATCCTTCTCTTGGTTCTCGACTTTAACCTTGTCCTTGTCTCCCTGTCCTGCTATCCTGGAAGCAAAGCCGTTGTTCTCGGAGGAGGAGAAGAGGGCCGAATTGAAGGTAGGTGGCTTGACAGACTCTTCGAAAATAGAACGCGTCGATGTCCTAGCAGCCGTTGTTGTTGTGTTCATACGATCGCCGAGGCTGGCCTTTGAAGTCTCGTGTGAAATCGATGTGTGCTGTTCCTGATCCGCCTTGTCCGCGCCTCCAGAGCTCGAAAACGACTTTTTGAGAATAGTGCTCGGGGGGGTGAAAACGGGCTCCTCGGCGTCGACATCGATGGGTTCGTCTATAGTTTCGTCCTCATGATCCCTTGACGCGCGAGAACTTGGGGCGTTCTCGTCCTCCTCTTGCTCCTCCAAGTCCCTGACAAGTCCCTCGTCGACTTCAGGAGTCCCAGTCTTCACGAACAAGCCTTGCTCGTTCTCCTCGAGAGGCATCGACGCGGGGTTGAAGGCGAGTGCAGGGCGGTCAAAGAACCTGTCGCCAGGTTGGACGGGCTCAGGTTGGCGGTAAAAAGTCTCCTGCTCCTCATCAGAGTCGTTGTTGTTGTTGGTGGTGGAGTGAATGGGTTTTGAATTGGAGGGACGCGGCCTTGTATGCTCGGCCATTGTGTTTTTCGTTTGATCCCTTTTTGTCGTGTTTTTAGGAAAAGGCTTTCTGTTGTTGTTTGTTGATGTGATGATCCTCGTCGAGAGTGGTGATCGTTCTGGTCGGGTGGAGAGTTGCTGTGGTCGAGCCCAGAAGGCGTGTTTCGAAAGTCCTGAAGGGGAGTGTGAATAGGGCCGATGTGTGCTTGGCGACGACTTCTTGGGGGACGAGTTGAGGTGAATTGGAAGGAGTGGCAAACACGCTTCTTGACAAAAAGGTAGAAAGGTGGCGCTGGGTGGCTTTGATTTTGTTTAAACGCGCAAAAGCACGTGACTTTGGGAACTTTCTATGTATCTACGTGTATCTACGAAAAGTTGAAGCGCTCGGCAAGGTCCTGGACACACTTCCAGCCGTCAAGGTTGTACCACTTGCGCCTGACAATGATCTGCACATGCGCCTCATGCTCAATAAAAACGCCGATCTTGGTCCAGTCCATGCCAGTATGGTATCCCTCCGACACGAGGAGTGCTATTTCTAGTCGCGACTTTGCCGACACGTCGCTGGTAGACGAGGGTGAAGAGGACCTTGATGAAGAGTCGGACGCTGATCCTGAACTTGGCCTTGAAGTCGACCGGTTGGACGAAGCTGTTGACTTTTTGACACTTCCTGCTTCTTTGTTTTTCCTGTTCCGTTTTGTCCCTGTGGCATCGACTCCTGTTGTCACGGCCATCGCTGTTGTTGTCGCGTCTTGGGTCTCAAAAGTGCCGTCAAGTTTCTCGACTGATCCTGCTGCAACGCGTTCTACAATGACGACTGGAGACGGCGCATCGGCAATCCCCAAGAACTTGGCTCGAGGTGGGATCTGAGGCAGGAGCAGCGCCAAGATGCTGACGAGGGCAGAGTGGTATAAGCTCCTCTTGGGTTGTGTTGCCGCTCCTTCTGGCGAAAAGAACTGATCCATGTCGAAACTTGGGATACCCATCATCGACGACGTGTTGAACTTGACTGCCATGTCGTTCTCAATGTTAGCATACGAGGTCCTGCTGACGAACTGCTTCAGGACGCGATTTGAGGTGGATCCTGGTCGAGCCATAGCCAGCAGTAGGGGTTCTGAGCCCTTGTCAAGGGCGCATTCCATGATAAGTCCTGGTGCCGATGTTGACGTTGATGTTGTTAGTGAGTGCTTGTCCGAGGTCAATGTCGACGTGGTAGAGAGGGAGGTGGCTGACGAGGCTGAAGAGATGGAACTCTTTAGTTTGGACGATCGGTTCGCGAGGGCAAGATCCTTTCCTGTCTGACCGATGACACCATGAGACAGAGCATAGGCCAGAACCCAAGGATGCTCAAAGCCAACGCCAAGCAGTGGTGAAGCGAGGGTGATGAAGTGAACCGGCTGGATGGTTCTGAAGAAGGCGCCTTGTGTCATCTCTTCAACGAAGCCGAGTGCGTACATATTGATGAGACCACCCAGTGAGTGTCCGATGATCGAAACTTTGGAGATGCCTCGGGGGAATGGTTTGATTGTTGTCTTGTTTTGTGTCAATGTCGATGTTGTTGCTGATATTGTTGTCGATTTCGAGGCCGCAAGGGCGAACGCCTTTCTCAGTTGCTGTCCTTGCTCAGTATCGCAATATCCTGTCCACTCAAGGATATCCATCGCCACTCGCTGCCCTGCTATTTGAATGCCCTCCTCGGTTCCTGCGTGGTTGGTATCGGTCAAGAAGGTGATTGTCTTTCCGTTGTCCTTGTTGTGCGCATCGATCTGCTCCTTGATGTACAGCATGTCGAGCCAAGACCCGTGGATGCCGTGGGTCAACAACACCAGATGAAGACCCTCTTCGTCCCCTGCCCCCGAGACATCCTCTGGGCGAACGGGTCCACAAATAGTTTGGGTGTCCTTATAGTCGCAGGACAAAACGGTAGGCAGCAAGACTTTGGGCTGGACTTCAGTGTCGGTTCCCTCGGCTCGTGAGTTGTTGTCGGTTGCAGCTGTGGTTGCCTCCAATGGGGTGGTGCTGCCTGCCCGTGGCACAACATAAATTTCAATCAAGATATCGATCCAGTTGTGTTGAAGGATCATTTCCGACAAGACCTCGAGCTCCCACTCGTTACATCCTTCGTCGTCGTCGTCGTCGTCGTCATTATGGTTCACCAAGGCATCGAGGCGGCAGACCTGGGCACAGCCAATTGAAGGGACAAGCTCGGGAACGACGGGGAGTTTGTCTGGGTTCCTGACGAGGGCGACGGCTATCTTCCAGGGTCCTGAGCTGGGGGTGATGTTTCTGTAGATAGGTGCGCTGTTGCGGATACAGAACTGGAGTTTGTCGATGTTCTTGGCTTGGGAGGGGAGGAGCTTGAGACGGTATCGAATGATTCCCCCGACAGAGAGGGCGACCTTGTGGGAGATGGCCAGGACAGACTTTTGTGTCATTGTGAAAGGGAAGGAGTGATTAGGAGTTGGTTGATGTAATGAATGTGGAAAGGGAGAAAGAGAGAGGTGAGGGAGTGTGAGGGAGTGTGAGTGTGCTGTTTAAGAGTATGGAGTAAGAGTGTATGTCCATGTATTGCAGTATGCAGCGGAAGAAGAACAAAGGAGAGTTGTAGAGGGGCAAGTGAGAGGCATTTTTGACGTTCAGCTTGAAAGCGTCCAGAGAGAGAAGGCTGAATTGGATGAAAATTCTGCCGCGTCCACTGGTCTGTCGGTCCATTTGGTCCTTGGATGTGGTGCAAGGCACGCAAGGCCATTGCTCCCCGTGCGAGGGCCACGTAACAAGTAACAATGAAAACCTGTTTACACACGTTTGAGATAGCAGTCAATCGTCCCTTTGGCCTTTTGTCACTAGACACCCACAGCTCACGAATACCAGGACCCACACACGACAGCCATGGCCAGCATGGTCAGCACTGCGGCATGGCCAATCATCGCGAAAGGTCATTGTCTCAATAATCTCCAAACTACCTAATCACTGACGACCTCTCTCCCTCGTCGCTCTCCGCCAAAAGCTCATCCGCGAAATGGCCATCGTCAACCAGTAGCTCAAGATTGGCGTCTAGAACCAAATGAAGGAAACCAAGAAGGCACTCGACCTCCTCGGTTCCACCAAGGAGCAGGTCTAGGAGTCCGCGCCAACATGAAGAACATCAACTCGCTCTGCAAGGATGCTCAGGGTCTTATTACCGACTACCCACGTATCCGCAAGGTAACAGCTTGCACACATCAACTTTGCCTTGCTTTGTCCGATATTAGGACGTGTTGGCCATGATGGTCCAGTATATATCAAGTTTGTTCATGAGGTTGTTTATACTTTGCTTCGCCATGTGTGTGTGATATCTATGTTCTCTTCCCCTTTTTTCTTTTGGATCCCCTTCATTTGCTCAGCCTCTGGATCACTCGTTTTTTTTTCGTAGATCCTTCGACTATTGCCTTTCGTGAATCGTTCCCTTCATAATGTTTTCCTATACCTTTTCTCTATTGACATCCTTATCTCTCCCATTTTCTCGTACTTTCGTCTTCCTTCAGCAATTCAATGACAACAACTGCTATCCCAACATCGAAGGGATCATCCTGCTCTAGGTTCCTCTCCTTTGTCTTCCTTGGTGACTATTGACCTTCCTTGGCATGTGTGTAGTTGCTGATCCTCCCCTCCTTCATATCTCTTTTGTCTCGGCCTTTTTATCTCAGTATTTCCTCCCTTAGCTACCCCCATCGGTCATTTTTTCACCCTTTGATGTTGGCTTTCGTTCATACCCTTGTCCCGTTGTCTCTCTTTTTCGGCGCTCAGCAGCCACATGCCTGCTATTCCTTGACATTCACTAGAGCGCTCTTCAAATCGATTCTCTTTACTGTCATTTTATGCACATTCAACATGCATCACACCCCAGGTAGGGGAAAAATCGCCTTGGAGCAAGCTCACAGATTATGGGTAATCTGCAATCGCTGTCAATGTTATACAGTCTTTGCATTGAAATGCACTTCAGGGGGTACCATTTGCTATGGAGATTCTGAATGCGGAAGCGATCGTTGATATCTTGATAGAAAGTGTGTTTTCAAGTAGCTGGCAAATCTCCATTCTTTTTCAGTCATTTTTTTTTTCGATCTGTTTTTCTATTCCAGCTTCCTCTTAGCCTACTGCATATGTGCTTTTAGCACCGTTGTCCAGTATCTTCCTTATTGACCCCCGTACCTAAAAACCATGCTTCCTTCTATTTTTCGCTTGTGGATACAAAATAATAAAGTAGCAAAACCCAATCCAAAAGCATACGAGTTAGACGCGGCAATGAGAGGTAAAATGGCGCGGGAAAGGAGGAGCACAAGGATTGCGCTGACACCACAAAAAAAAAGAGACGCCACGAGATCATTCTGTGGCCGCTTTCTATCAATGCAAGATAGAGAATATGGCCAGGGCGAAGCTGAGAATGGTTCACCATTTTCATCGTCAACCATCACGCGAAAAGGTTCAATACACCCCAGCCATCACAAGGCGCGTCTAAATATTGGTAGTGCCGTGTGAAGCAAATCCATTTTCTTGACTGATCGATCGACATCAATCAGCGAAGATTACATAGACGGAATGTTTACGTAACAAGCTATCTCCAGAAAGTCACGGGTCCGAGATGAAGAAGACGAAGAAAGTGGGCCTTCTGGCGTTAAAGTATTCACGCGACGGGACGCGTTTTGATCGAGAAGCTGGACTGAACTGCATACGATCCATTTTGAACCCGAACATATGGGACAAACGCGTTTTACCAGTACCAATGATATGAAGGCAAAGCACTGACACTCACCAGGAAGGACATGTATAAACACCTTACCTTTTTCTTTCTTTCTTTCCTTTCTCCTTTCCTTTTCCTCCTTCCTTTCTTTTCATTCTTTCTGTCGTTGCTTTTTTTTGTTGTTGTAGTGGTTGTAGTGTTGTTGGCTGCTAATGTTATTTGTTTTCGGAATTGCTGTTGGTAGTCGTAAAAATAACTAGGCAAGAGCAACTGCAACGACGAGTGGGTGAAGGGAAAAAGAAAGAGAAGGGGACATACAGGTCTTTATTGTGTTCTGAAGACAGAGTTGTCTGTGCGTGTCAGAGCCTCAAAGATAATGAAGAGGTCAGTGACAACTCCATCCCATTAAACAAGTCGGATTGGGCGGTGTAAAGAACGCGTCAGTTTCGGACAGAAGAAGAAACAATCGGATGGGCTATGCATCTTCTCGAATTTCTTTTCTCTTCACTCCCCTTTTATTCCTCACCTTTCCTCCTTTAGACATTACCATCGCCGTCGTCATCCTCACCATCAACAACCACCGACCTCTCTCATTCGGCTTCCATTCATCTCCTTGTTTTTCATTAGTCTTCCATCCTCATTCGGAATCAACCCCTAGGCAGCAACAAGAGCAAACGCGCACCTCTTTGTTTCCCTTAAGGTCAAAAGGCACGCGCATACAAATAAAAAATCTCGCACGCGTGAACCCTGCCTGAGTAACAAAGACACAAACTAACAACTACATGTATGTTTTTGTGTCCTTTAGACTTGTTCAGTCCATTGCTATTGCACCCTCCTACACTCGGAACTCATCAGCACCGACCAACCCACCAACCCCTCGAGCCCTTCAAAGGTAAAATTGCGTGTTATGCTCTCATTTTCTTCAGAGGAACAAGCACACCTGCGCCTCGTACTGTCACTAACAAATGCTTTTTATTGTTTTTGTTTTATTAAAGCGCGCAACATGACCAAAGATTCTGCTATTCAATCGCATGCTACCGGAGATGGTGGCGCCTCCAACGGACCTCTGCCAGCCCTTCCTACTGACAACAACGACGGAATCTCGGACATTTTCCCCAAGAACTTGCCTAAACCTGCGATCAGGACCGAGTTGCCTGCCCTATCGGAACGTATCGAGGTGACTCAGCAACTGCTCTATTGCAACAGGCTCATCCTCGATGCTCAGTCAACCTCTTCACCCACTGCTACTGCTGCGTCCGAAAGGCCGATCGGTGAGCCCGCCAACGAGCCACAGGTTGGAGAGACAGAGCGTGCATGGATCACAGCCATTGGACAGGACCCTATTCAGCAAGACCGCCTTCGCTCGCTGGTCACCATGGTTGTCGAGGCATTCATCAAGGACATTTTCAAAGTATCTGCTATCATCGCTGAGGTTGTTATCCTCGGGCCCATCCTCGATCGCGACACATACCGCACCCTGTTGTCTTGCTTCATTTCGAAGTTCGAACAAGTCACTATCCTGGATGTCGCCCTACTCCAAGGACTGGTCCAGTTAATCGAGTGCGCTTCTCCTGGCTACATCGAGGACGACGATCTGACCAAGACCCTGACTGTTCTGCGACGATGCCTGGAGGGAATGCACAAGACACCTTCAGAGTACCTGTACCAAATCACTATTGCCATCTCTCGGCTCCTTGATGTTATGGTCAACGGTATGGTCAAAGACGTTAACCGCACGAATGACCACCAACCCCTGGTCATGGCCCTCACGGAATTAAAGGCCAGCGCCGACCCCATTTTGCAGTTTCAAGTCAACTATACCCTGCAAGCCTCACGGTATATCCCAGATGACGAGTCGACTCTGCAAGCAGTCTTGCGGTTTGGTGGAGGAGTTGCCATGGCAGTATCGGGAGTCGGCGGCGTCTGCAAGTTGGATCCGGCCAACCTTCTTAGCAGTCTCAGCGTACTTCATCAAGCAGCGATGCAGACGTTCAAGGGTACAAAGTCGGTCCTGGAGGGCATGAAGGAGTCGCAGAAGGATAGTAGCGGTACTATGCAGAGCCTTCTTGAGGGTCTTCGCGCAGGCACCAAGTATGAGTGGTACCTGGTTTTGCTCGCTGCCAGGGCCATTGTCCGCGATGGTCGCCTTGCTGACTTCAACGAGATCGTCTGCAAGGCCAATTGTCGCGACGATCGGGATTTTCAGTTGGGAGTGTGTCAGATCCTTGGCGAGCTTGCAGTGGATCCGCTCTGGGACTCATTCACTCGGAGGCGTGCGACTGACTTCCTTGGAGCGCTGTGCAAAGCCACCCCCGGCTGGAAACACCACCCTGAGGTCAAGGAATGGATCGTCGTCATCCTCACCCAACTCTCAGAGCTCTCAGATGGTGTGATCAAGGATCACGCTCTTGTTGTCCTCCAGGACTGTGCCGCAGAAGACGTTGTGGTTAAACCTGTCGCCATGGTTCCTTACCCGCTGAATAGTAGACTGCCGCTGCCAGAGTCATCTCCGCTTCTTGCCCGCGTCCAGGACATCACGCATCTAGAGTTGTATCTGCACCGGCTCAGGCAGCAACGTCTCGAGGAATCAAGTCTTGGCATTTACATCCCTCCCATGGCAAAGGCCAATCTCCAGGCCCGTGACGATGACCTTTTCCCTCTTTTGGAAAAGGTTCAGGAGTTCTTGGCAAGCGAGCGGCAGGTAATGCTGGTTCTGGGCGATTCAGGAGCGGGAAAATCGACATTCAATCTTGAGCTGGAGCGCACGCTGTGGAATGACTACAAAGACCATGGACCCATCCCACTCTTCATCAACCTCGCCTTCATCGACAACCCCGCACACGACCTGATTGAGAAGCAGTTACAGTTCCTTAACTTTTCTGAAGACCAGATCCGAGAGCTGAAGTTGCAAAGCCGGCTTGTCCTCATCTGCGATGGATATGATGAAAGCCAGCTCAAGGTCAACATCCATTCTACAAACCAGTTTAACCAGCCAGGACAGTGGAAGGTGAAAATCGTGATCAGCTGCCGCACCCAGTACCTTGGAAAGGACTACCGCTCCAGGTTCCAGCCTCAGTCAGTCGATCGGTACCAGCGCACTGCGACAAATCTCTTCCAGGAAGCCGTCGTTGCGCCATTTTCCAAGAAACAGATCGAGGACTATGTCACCCGCTATGTCCCTCTTGAGCCACGGCTCTGGCTTGTCGACGACTACATACGGATGCTAACCACGGTTCCCAAGCTGATTGAGCTGGTTTCCAACCCCTTCCTTCTCACCCTGGCATTGGAAGCACTGCCTGTTGTTGTGGAGCCCCATCAGGACTTTTTGACCGTCAGGGTGACGCGCGTGCAACTCTACGACACATTTGTTGTGCACTGGTTGGATGTAAACAAGCGACGTCTCGACAGCAGCACCCTGTCGGCTAAGGATCGCGTTGTCTTTGATCGGCTTCTGGAGGCAGGGTTTACCTCGATGGGTATCGACTACTCGATAAGGCTGGCGCTGGCGATCTTTGACAAGCAAGACAGAAACCCGGTGATTCATTATGTGCAGTTGAAGGACAAGAACACATGGAAAGCAGAGTTCTTTGGTCAGGACCCCGAAGTGCGGTTGTTACAGGAATCGTCCCCATTGACCCGCTCTGGCTCTCGATTCCAGTTTCTTCACCGATCCATCCTGGAATATTTCTTCTCGCGCACGATCTACGACCCAGCCGTGATTAACGATGACACGGGCGACACAACATCTTCTACTGGTCAAGTAGTCGACACCAATTGCCCCTTGTTCCAGCGCAACCTTCTTGAAGACCCATCCATCATCCAATTCCTGTGCGAGCGTGTGTGCCCAGACCCCAATTTCGAGCGGCAACTCCGCACTATCGTCGACCAGTCCAAGACCAATGCCACCGCCTCTTTTGCCGCCACGAACGCCATCTCTATCCTCGTCAAAGCAGGTGTGTCCTTCCACGGCGCTGATCTCCGCGGCGTCAAGATCCCCGGCGCCGACCTTTCTGACGGTCAGTTCGATTCGGCACAGTTGCAAGGAGCTGACTTGACTGGCGTCAGTCTCGCGAGGAGTTGGTTGAGGCAGGCGAATATGAGCGGTGCACAGTTGGAGGGCATCCGATTTGGAGAGTTACCGTACCTTGAGCTGAAGATGGCGATTGCGAGCTGTGTCTACTCGCCCAGTGGAAAGACGCTTGCCATTGCCATGACGGACGGATCTTTCGAGCTTTATGAGACGACAAACTGGTCAAGAACCCATGAGCTCAAAGGGCATACCAAGGGGATCAGGGAGTGCGCATTCTCACCCGACGGCCAACGTATCGTGTCTGGGGGCTGGGACAACGTTGTACGATTGTGGGACGCCACCAATGGCGAGGCTTTATTGGCCATGGAGGGGCATACGGAAGGAGTATTGAGTGTTGCGTTTTCCCCTTGTAGCAAGCACATAGTTTCGGGTGGTGGCGACAAGACAGTACGATTGTGGGACTCGCGAACCGGAGACGTGGTTTTCGTTTTGAAAGGCCACACCCGAGAAGTATTGAGCATTCAGTATTCAGCAGATGGGCGGCGGCTGATATCGACTGGCCAAGAGGACACTATAAGATTTTGGGATCCAACGACAGGAGAGCCTGGTGTTATCTGGAGGCCCATGCCTGAAAAAGGACACAATGCGGTCTTCACCCCAGATGGACGATTGGTTGCCTTTTGTTACAGAGCCGGCCATATGGTACTCTGGGATACAGCGAGCTCTGGAGAGGTAGGCTTAACTCTACGCGGTCACACTGGTTACGTTACAGGAATCGCTTTGTCACCCAACGGACAATGGATCGCATCCGCCAGCAACGACTATACTGTGAAGCTATGGGACGCGTCGACAGGAGTCCTCATTTCGTCATTGACAAGTCAGACACAGTCGATGGCCATGGTTGTCTTCTCGCCGGATGGCCTCCAGTTAGCAGTGGGAGGACGTGATGGCAAGATGAGGTTGTGGGATGTTAACACGAGTTTGTTGAGTGTGGAGGTACAAGGACGTCACCTGGGACAAGTTCAGAGGCTGGCATACTCTCTCGATGGCCAAGCGATCCTCACTCTCAGTGGCCGTGTCGTACAAAGATGGGAGCCTACAACGGGAGCGCAGGGGTCAATATCGTTCGAGTTTCCGGATATTCTGTCGATCGGTGCCAACGAGTTTCCCCCAGACGGCAACCAGTTTGTGAACGGCACTCGGGACACATTTGCTCAAACGATCGCCTTCAGTATGGACACACATCGCCCACGGGAGCATCCGATGCAGGTGGACATTGCGACTTATTCACCTTGCTGTCGTTGGCTTGCCTTTTCTTTCTCGGGCAACACTTTTCGATTGCGGGACGTTCAGAACACTGATCAGGAGCATATTCTTCTTGAGCTGGAAGGAGGGCCTGGAGGAACAGTTTCAGGTGCGGCATTTTCACGGACTGGACACCAGCTTGCAGCGGCCTCTTGGAGAGGTATCATTTGGCTTTTTGATCCTGAAACAAGAGAGCTTCTAATAACCAAGACGTTGGTGCAGGAACGAGTTCTGGTGTTGACGTATTCGCCAGACGGCCAACAACTTGCGCTGGGTACGGATACCTCGGTCTACCTCTGGGATCTCAAGTCGGACGAGCCGGGCGTCAAGTTGAAGGGGCACAGCGGTATGGTCGGTTGTATTGCGTACTCGCCCTGTGGACAATGGCTTGCTTCCGGCAGCGGGGATGAAACGGTTCGACTCTGGCAACGACAATCAGAAGAGCAGGAAAGTTGGTCTTGTGCTGCCGTGGTCCGTCGATTCTATGGGTCGGTTGAGGATGTCGTTTGGAATCCGGTTGTGCCTATGGAGTTTGTGACGACTAGTAAGGATGGATCTGTGAGACAATGGCGGGTGTCGAGCAATGGTAATGGATCGAATGTCGTTGTCAAGATGACTTGGGGCTCGAACCTTAGTCTCCTCTGTGCCGAAAGTTTGGTGTCGGAGGTTGCGATTGGTCTTGACCCAATGAATCGAAAGTTGTTGGTGCAATGCGGCGCCATTGATAGTCCTTTGGAAAAGCTGGAGGTTGAGGAGTAGGCGCATCATATTTTTTTTATCACCAAAAAGAGGTACCAAAAAAAAAAGAGTTGCATAAAGAAAATAAACGAACATCCGCATTGTATTCTTCAGCGAGTGGAGATACCTGTACTTCGTGACCAAAGACTAACCACGTTCTCGAAGTTGTCCATTGCCCTCGTCTTGCAATGCCACCTCGGACTAGATTACAAATTCCTCCAGAAAGGATCGTACTCGAGAACAGCATGCCAGAGGAGGGGTACAAAGACTTGGCACCAGGCCCTGGAGACCATCGAGCAGGCAAGGAGAGGTTTGGTATGCAACATTACATTCGTGAATCCACAGAAGAAGAAGGCAGGGAAATACAATTATGGGCAACAAGCGAAGAATTCCCAGTCGACACACTAAAATGAACACGAAAAGGTATATCTATAGGGCCGAGCCGTTGCTCATGACAACAAGATTGGAGTTTTTTCTTTCTCATATGGCAGTCGAATAAGGGAGAAGTGCATATGATTGAAGTTGCGCTGAATAGAGCAGACAGGGCGAGGGCTTCGAATCCTCTGAAGCAAGTGCGTCGCTTGGACACACTTAGGCTATCAGAGTGGTCCGTGGCAAAACAGGGCCGTCTTGCTCGCACCACACGCGTAGAGTATGTTCCAATTTATACATCACCATGTCAAGCAAGACCATGATGGCAAAAACTTTGTTCAAAACGTCAATTGCCACCGCGATCGCCAGATATTTGCACAGCCACAGCAATTGAAAGAACGTGAAAGTCCCAAACAATGTATGTCTTCTTGTTAAAGATCAAAGGTCAAGAATATGCTTAAAGGTGATAGTTTGTATTTATGACGTGGAAAGAGGGAGAAGAAGGGTATGAGGTGAAGCAAAGGAAAAAACAAAAGGGTGCTTATTGCTTGACCTTGCTAAAGATAGTAGCCGAGCGTGTAGCATCGATAGGGTCCTTGTCTTTGAACTTTTCCTTAATGGGGTCCATGACTTCCTTGATGCTCGACCGGTCCATGTCATCCCTCCGTCCCAGGATATCCTCCACCAACGAGATCGGCAAGTCGTGGTAGATGCGCTTCATCGAATAAAAGTTGATGTACGCCGTCCTCTTGGTGCTGCAAGTAAATTTGTGCAACTGCTCAATCGCATCAAAGTCGTCCTCCAGGTCCTTGGGGTTCTTGTAGTCCGCGAAAAAGTTGAACACAGCTGCGCGATCTTGCTCAAGTCGTTCCGTGCAGGCTGGAAATTTGAGTCGGGCTCCACGGTTACGAAGGGCGTCCATCTGGGCAATCATCAGCCGCTCCAACATCCAGTCGATCAGCTTGTTGAACATGTAGTCGTTCAGATGCACCCTGAAATCATCGTTGTAATCCCTGAGTGTCGCCACGATCAGACCCATTGGGTCCTCCTCGTACCAAGTTGATGTGTGAAGCTTGGAAAAGGGTTCCTTGACATCGTTAAACGCCAGATCCAGAAGTGCGTTGGCGCCGTGGGTCGCAACATCGAAAAAGTCGTCCATAGTCTCATTTAACAGATCCCGTGCCGACTCAAAGTTCTTGCGGTTCTTGATCAGGTTCTCCGACTCCATCCTCTGCAGCACAGCGTCCGCAAACTCGGCACACTTGATCTGGTCGTTTGTTGCTGCCATGATGTACTCTGCCAGTCCGGGTGGTGTTGTTGTTGGTGACTCGATCTGCTTCTTCATCTCGGCCGAAACGAGATCCTTCCACCGCTGCTGGTAATCCTTCATGACCTGGATGCACTCCCTAATAACCTGCTCTATGACTGTGCCCTGCTGAGAATCGGACGCCAAAGTCACTTGCTGATTGACCATCTCGAACATCAGACTGGCGGTCTGCATGTGATACAATTTGTCCGAGTCTGTTGCAGGGGCGGCTGTCCTCTCTGTGAACTCGTTCGAAGCTGTGTTCATCATGTTGTTGGTCCATTTGACAAGGTTGGTCCTGACTAGCTTCAAATACTCGTCCAGCAATCCTTGCTCGTTTCCGTCCAACAATTGAGGCTCCAGCAACTCTTCCGTGACACCCAGTTGGTGGTTCATGCTGGCATAGTACTCCCGGACCCAGCGCAGCAGGTGCAAGATACGTCCGCCGTCCAGCTCCGGCGAGGTGACAATCTTGTTGACGAGTTCGTAGACGTGTCGGTGGTACTCCAGAACAAAGAAAGGGAAAATCTTGTAATTGGAAGGCGAACGGGGGACCAAGTCGTCGTAGACCAGTGCCAGATCTGGGAAGACAAAGTCGGTCGCCTCCAGACATTCGATAGGTTCCTTGTCAACGCGGTCCATCAGAAGGTTGAACTTGCGCGAGACCTCGTCATGAAGGACATCAAAGAACTTGCTCCGCAGCGACTTGGCTTCCCTGGATGGTTTGTCGGACTTTTTGTTACCCAGGCCCTGACGCGACGCTCGGCGCTCCGTCTTTGTCGAGACAGACTTGGCATCCGCAGCCTCCTCGCTCTCGATGATCTTGATGAGGCGGACAATTACGGCGCCCTGTTTGTTCTTGATAAGGTCGATCATGTTGCGCGACAGCTCCCAAAGATACTTTTCAAATTCCTCAATAACCTGATCGAGGCGGCCAAAGTACTCCTTGAGAGTGACCTTGACATCCAGAGACTCGTCCTTGGCCATGTGCATGGTTGTGTTTCTGAGGTTCTCGAGTTTGTAGAGCTGGTAATGGACGAGGAGGAGGTTGGGCGCTGGTCCAAGGACGTTCTTCATATCGTCGCGCATCATGCTCTTTATCCTGTCCAGATCCTGATGCAGCTCCTGGAAGTTGTTGACGAGCGTCTCTGTCGCGACAAAGTTCTGGTGTGTTTGAGAAATCTATATCAGACATGGTAAAGCAAAGTATTAACAACCTCATGAACAAACTTGATACGTACTGGACCAACATGGCCAACACGTCCTAATATCGGACAAAGCAAGGCAAAGTAGATGTGTGCAAGCTGTTACCTTGCGGATACGTGGGTAGTCGGTAATAAGACCCTGAGCATCCTTGCAGAGCGAGTCGATGTTCTTCATGTTGGAGCGGACTCCTAGGACCTGCTCCTTGGTGGTACCCAGGATGTCGAGTGCCTCCTTGGTCTCCTCCATCTGGTTCTGGACGCCAATCTTGAGCTGCTGGTCGACGATGGCCTTTTCGCGGATGAGCTTTTGGCGGAGAGCAACGAGGGTGGAGAGGTCGTCTGGGTGTTTGAGCATGGCTGAGATGATGGCGACCTTTGGGTCGGGAGCGATGGATATGACAGACTTTGCGTCGACCATGGCTGTTGTTGGTTCCTTCTTTGTACGGTGCGGTGTGTGGAGTCTTGGTGGTGTCGAAGAGAGTTGAGAGAAGACGTGGTCAAAGAGAAGAAATGAGAGTGGCAGAAGCGAGTTCTTTGACTGCGTTTTCATCGCTTGTGGCCAACGGGAAATTATCCTCTCAGCAGTTGGCTTCACTTTTCTTTTTGCTCTTCTCCGGTCAACTTACTCAACTGCAACCTCCTCCACCCACTTCATTCTTATCCCATCCTCCACTCGTATTCCTTCTCCTCTTTTCGACCACCCTTCCCCCTCCTCACAGCATCTCATCAGCATCAACCAACCCTCCTTGTCCTCCCACCACTCCAAAACGCTCTCGTCTTCTCCATCCAGATGGTAAAAATAGCATATCATAAACGATCGTACACGACACCACAACTAACGACCAACTCAACTACACTACATTGCAACCATGACCTTCAATAACTAATGCAATCCTTCTCTCATCTAGATTCGCTTTATCCTCGTTCAGAACCGCCAGGGCAAGACCCGGCTGTCGAAGTGGTATGCCCCCTACGAAGATGACGAGAAACTAAAGCTCAAGGGAGAGGTCCACCGCCTTGTGGCACCCAGGGACCAGAAATACCAGTCCAACTTTGTCGAGGTAATTTATAATTATCAAAGAGTCGTTGAGCCCTCTTCCTTCCTCTTGCTGGGCTGGTCGTTCCCCCCTGATTAATTAATACTTTCTCCTCCACAATGCATGTTCCCATCTCCTTCACATATCTCATGCCAATCGATTGACTACCTTTGCCCTGACACCTTTTCTTCTTTCCACCTCGCCTACCAACGACTGGTGCAATTGACCTCCAAAACAAAATTAGTTCCGCAACTTCAAGATCGTGTACCGTCGCTATGCAGGACTCTTCTTTTGCTTGTGCGTCGACGCCAACGACAACGAGCTCGCCTACCTCGAGGCCATCCATTTCTTTGTCGAGGTCCTCGATGCCTTCTTTGGAAACGTCTGCGAGCTCGATCTCGTCTTTAACTTTTACAAAGTATAACACATTTCGTCCGATTATTATCTTCTATCACCATCATTAGACATGACTCTATCACAAATGAAATGAAAAAGTCAAGACTGACCGGTGTGCTTTTGCTTTCCTTCTAATAGGTCTACTCGATTCTGGATGAAGTCTTTCTCGCGGGCGAGATTGAGGAGACCAGCAAAAACGTGGTCCTCACACGACTGGATCATCTCGATAAGCTGTAAAAACAGGAACAACTGGACATCCAACGACACCCCACAAGCAGTTGCAGGATGCAGGAAACGACCACAATACCAATCGTAATACCATGAAAATAAACAACAAATCCAACACTCTGCTTCTCAGTCTTGTGTTCATTGTTGCAGAGCATGTCAAAGTCCAAACTCCATACCAATCAGTCTTTTATTCAACGACAAGTACAAGGACAACTGAAAACAATCAAGGGGTTTATTATCACAAGAAGCGATTTTTTTTCCCTCGCACTCGCGGCTTCACCAGCCGTATACCTCAAGGTGATCCCCGATATAGATTGGGATTGCTCCAAGATATCCGATGCATTCACAATTGTAAGGGCTTTTTCTTGGGTCGACATGCCGGGTCCGTATTTGAGGTCGACTCTCCACGTTGATTGCGCCACCGAGCTCGCCGATACTCCTGCGACGCTTCCAGATCTAGATATGTCAGATGTAAAACTTCCGAACTGGCCAATTTTCCGATGACTTCATTGAAGGACGACTCCTGATCCAGCTTCAACGGGCTTTCGAGGATGACAAAATAGGCATCGGCGCGTCGAATCATCGCGTCTGCTCCAGCCCGGATAAATGATGTTCTCGCTGGGCCTGGTGGTTCGAATGACTTGGAACGAGTGGATAGTCATGCCTCTAGGAACCCGCGCCGATGCCGATTGCAGCAGTTGGATCTAATCGAGCCTTTCAAGGGGCTTGGCAAGGTTCGGCGATGTTGAGTAAGTTCCTGCTGACGATGATGTCCTTGGGGAACCATGCTGGGGTACGGCGTCATCATTTCTCTGGGTTGTCGATTTAAAATATCTCCAACGATCCGTCTCCGATAGATATTTTCACTGCTGCTCCCCTGTACCTTTTTTTGCCGTCAGCAATTTCATCCCTACTCAGCGGCGGTGGCGCATCTCCCACTACTTTCCCCGAATCCTGCGCTACGATTCCCTACAGACTTCATCTTATGGTTTCCTCTAGATCCTGGTCTCGCTCCTTGATCGTGCACCATGAGCCGGACAAGGATAAGTCTTTGAGATTGGCGAATAGGCAATAGAGTGTTTACAGAATGATTACGCCGTTGTTGTAGTCTGACAGCTGGAGCGATATCCTCTTGATACTGGTAATTGCTCGGTTATGCCCACGGTTGCCACTAGCAACGGAAACTATTCCTTTTCAGCTGTCTTTGAATTGAGAGTTTTTTTTGACCATAGTCGTCACTCGAAGAACACCAACCAGGCGATCGACTGGCCAGTCCTCGATACCGTTCCAAGGACATCTCCTTGGCGCGATTGGACTTGTCCAACTAAGATCGTTTTTGTATAAATTGTCGTTGAGCGGTTGAATAAATCGCATTTCAATAATGATGGTGTAGCGAGTTGAAGATATGATACATTAGAAAGGTAATAAAAGGTAGTTTCTGAACAAGGTCTAAGGACAGTATGAGTGGACAACACTCAGGAGTAGAAATCGATGAGACGAAGTCGCTGCGAGTCGCGAGGATGTCGTACGGCCACCCCTGCGTTGATCAATTGCTCGATGTGAGGCGGGTAGTACTCTCCAGGCACCAACACCAGATAAGGATCTGCAGGTTGACTCACAGACAAGTTCATGATATCCTCCAGCACCTGCTTCAAGTCATACACCGTCGCGTCATCGTCCTACAAATTGAGTCATTGGAAGAGAAGGACCATCTGTTAACAAACACACATTTGACAAGACATATCAATGCAAGTAACACGTTGTCCAATTCAAAAGATTCCGGAGGAAGAAGGCGCACACTCACGTCGGGCTGAACGGGTGGATAGTAGCGTGCAAGGAACTTTGTCAATTCACGCATGAGCTCCTGAACCAAGACCTTGGTCTCCATCATCTTTGTCCGTCCCTGTGTACTCTGCTGGCTCGATATTGACTCTCCCGATGTCGCAAGATCCTGTCGCCTCGCCTGCAAGGCTCGTCGGATCTCTTCGAGCTCCTTCATCAATTGCTTCTCTCCTGCCAGTTCTGCCTGTGTCTCCTCGAGTTCTTGCTTTAAGTGGGGCAGCATAATCGCGAGTTCGTGGATTGAGTCGTGGATAGATTGGCGGACGCGCAACTTGTTCACCTCTGACAATGGCTCAGGGAAGTTGTGTTTGTCTAAAGGTAGGAAAAGACAATATATCAACGAGGAGTTGAAGGTCAGAAGTTGGATCGGTAACTTCCTGAAAGTTGAAACCTCAATATCCAGGATATCTGTGAGTTCTGTGTTGGTCCTTACTGTCTCGGATTTTTTTGTGCTCGGCCTTCAGACGTGCTTCTTCTATCCGCAGAATCGCCAGTTGCTAGGTACCAAATCAAAGGTAGTCTCTGGTTAGCAAAACTGCCGTCTTGGTAGTGCCCTGTGCACCCTTGATATTACCAAACGAGTTATGATTGTAGTACCTGCTCCTGCAGTGTGTTGTCATTCTGCGGCCGCGTTACTGTGGACTGCTGCTTCTTGGCAACTTCCTGTCGCAACTACAAAGTGAACCACCGTAAATAATGGCGTCTGTCAGTACGAAGCTAAAGAGCTCATTCAAGACTTTGTCCAAGGAAAAGTCCAGGTGTCCTCCGACTGCTGTACCTGGTTTAGTCTTTCCAGCTTGTCAACACAACGCTCACGCAGAATTTCTCCAGTGATTCGAAGGTTCTCCTCACGCCTTTTGAAGGAAGCCGAATCGCGTGCGACCACGGCCGGTGAGGTGAGATTACTTTCAGCATTTGTGGAAGGTGTCGGCACCCCTGAAGCTGGCGTACGAAGTTCCTGATCGTTGTTGAGTCCTGCTCCTGCTCCTGCCGCTGCTGGCGTTGTTGGTATATCCGTGGGGTTCATTGTGGACAAGACCGAAGGAGGCTCGCGTTCAGAGTGAACTTGGCGGCGTTCTCTTGACACCGCCCACTGGTCACCGTAGATTTCATCATCGCATAAATTTCGACTCCCTCAAGCACACTTTGTCTCTCTCTCTTTGTTCCCTTTCGTACATCACTCTTAACTGTCCCATTAACACTTTTCCAAACAGCAACACGACATCAACAACAACAACAAGCACAATGATCGACCCCAACTCACTCAAGGTCACAGAACTCAAGGCAGAGCTCACAGCACGCGGATTGTCAACCAAGGGCGTCAAGAAGGACCTGGTCACACGATTGGAGGAGGCAATGGCAAACGATGGCACCACCACAGGCTCCGCCACCGAACCTGACGTCGCCCCCAAGGATACTGACATGGACCTCTCTACAAGCAACAAGAAGGACGATAACGCGCCAAGTTCTGAACAAGATGCGCCAGCAACAACACAGGAAGAGACAAAGGAAATCGCACAGATCGCCCCACCTGTCGCCGAACCTGTCGCTGCTCCTGCCGAGGCTGATGTCGTCATGGCACCAGCCCCAGTTCCTGCTCCAGCATCGTCCACAAAACCGTTATCGTCGATCGAAGGAGTTCAGGCTTCAACCGCTGCGACTATCACACCCGATCCAGCTGTGGAAACCTCTACATTGTCACAAGAAGGGTTGATCGACACAACGATGAGCAGTGCCCTACCTGCAGATCGGTCGACCGAGTCAAAGAAGCGATCTCTGGATACTGACGATACAACAGCCAGTGGCAGCAGTAGCGGAGACTCGTACTCGAGAATAACAGAGGCTCCGGCAAAGAAACAAAAGGCGATCGCGATCAACCGGGACGGGAACGAACAAATCATTGCAGCTGCCAAGGAGACTTTGGAGGCTGATGCTCGTCGACGCAGTGCCGCACCTTCTCCTTCACCAGCACCATCCGCACTTCCAGGACGTACTCTGTCAACGAACACTATTGCTACGGTCGCAGAAATGGCAACACCACCAGCAACAGCGACGGACTCGGAAGCTGCCGACAGTGCTACAACGGGATCGCCATCGGGACCACGATCACCGTCCGAGGACAAGAAGGCCGGAGGAAATGAGCGGAGGGATGTCAGATCGCAGTTTCAGAGATCTATTCAGTTGGCGGCACTGGATCGCAAGACGGAGGCTACATCAAAGTCTTCTACTGTTTCACCTACCACGACGAGCGCATCTGTCGTTCTTCCCGAGCCAGCATCGGCTAATGGTATGAGCAAGGCGGTTTGATTGATCTGGCGCGTATTTGGATGTATGTGGGTGTTGCGCGGTGAGCTAACACGTCATCTTTATTCTTAACTGACATAATCTATCAACACATGTAGACGACCCTAACCCTACAGTCAAGCGCGCATTGACAATCACCAATTTCGTCCGACCCCTGGTCATTTCTCAAGTCAAGAGAATGCTCTCTGAATACGGCGAGATCGAAACCCTATGGTTGGACAGCATCAAGACACACTGCTACGTGATCGTACGTTTTACAAACTATGTTCCATGAACGTGTTTTGCTGGTACCGGCGGCCTTTTATTTCCTTTTCTTTGTATCTAACGCGTTATGCTATTGTCATGTCAACCAAATATAGTTCAAGGAAACAGCGGAGGCAGAAAAGGCATACAATCACACTAACAATATGGTGTTCCCTCTGGAGACAGGCAAGCCCTTGAAGCCTTACTTCATCACAGCCGAAGCAGCACGCAACAGCATCGCAGCAGCAGAATTGGCACAAAAATCTGGCAAGAAGCCCGTCATCTACACGGGTGAACACGTCGCGCCGGCAGCACCCGCCGCTGCCGAGAAACCCAAGGCAGAACCCAAGACGAAAACACCCATTGTTGTCCAACGAGACACAACTGGAGGTATGTGTTATGTTCTCACTGTCATCTTTGCTTTTCCGTGTTATATGCATTATTTTCATTTTTGTGAAAGGAACTCTGTTCTGACAGTTACTTGCTTCGATAACATAGTCATTTTCAAGCGGCCGCAGGTCCAGGTCGTGCAGCCCACAGAACTGTTCAACATGACCAAGGCAAAGCCGATGCTGTACTACAAAGCCGTCAAGGAACCTCCTGCACCAGCTTCACCCAGGGAGACTGATGCCCCTGCTCCTCAAGTTGCCGAGGCTAATTGAACGTAAAACAAGAGGGTGTGGTTGCAATAATGAACAAAACTTGAGTTCTAGTGCTCTACAATGACTCACGCGATTCACTGCACTTTTTCCTTCCGGTTGTTTTTGGTTAATATGCATGTTCAAAGATCATGGAATAATAGGGGGAAAAGGGCATACGTCGGCTAAGAGGAAAGACGAAACGGGAGGGGGTGGTTGAAAAAAAGGAGACAGCACCATCTTTTTTCTTCTTTATTTTTTGCGTTTTTCTTCGTTCTTTTTTTTCTCCTTTGGTTTTACTTTGTCGTTAGGGTCGGCGTCCCAGAAAATCCCGAAATAAAAAAAACAATAGGGTGTGATTGCCATAATATCCTGATTTCCATGAACTAAACGCCTCCCGCCCTCCAAACAACCAAACGAGATCCCGAAAAAGAAACGCCTCCAACAAAGATGTATCGATCAAGAAGGGGAAACACCACGGGTCAAGGCGGGGATAATTTAAGCCTCGGTACGGACGCGAGCGTTAGCGTTGGTGACGCGGATGTTGAGCTGCTGGGCACGCTCGACAATGGCAATGCGGTTGCGGGACGAGACGTTGTGGGCAATCTCGGCGGCAAAGGTGCGGTTGTGCATCAACAAGAGGTTCAACTCGGAGATGTTGGCAACAACAAACTTCTTGAAGCCGGAAGGCATCAAGTGGCGGGTAATCTTGTTGTTACCGTAACCGATCTTGGGCATGACGATCTGGCCCTTGAAGCGACGACGGACACGGTTATCAATACCCTTGGGCTTTCTCCATGACTCCTGCAAGTTGGTCATATCAAGAAATTGGGAGAAGAGGTACACGTGTCAGAGGGCTATGTTTCTTTTTCCATTGGTTTGTTGTAGGTTCATTTTTTGTGTGAAATAGGTGTTTGCTGCCATTGATATTTGGATCAGTGGTGTCTCCTGAAGTTATGTGGCCGTAGTCGTGCCGGCAACTGCCCGCCTTTTCCTGCTGTTCTCTCAATCGAGACATTGCGTCCATGCGTGCCATTTGATAAAGCGTGCCATCGTCATGTCTGTTTGTGGGCTGGGCTTTGCTGATAGGCGAAAATGAAAGCTGTATCCTGTCCAAACAACCGAGCGAAGCTACAGAGTGTTTGCACCATGCTGCTGATGTTGTGGTTTCCCGAATACTGAACGTGCTCGAAACGTTCAATCTTTGCGCTGTCTGCAGGTTCAAACCACCGCCCCAGCTGAAAAGGAGCAGGCGCCGTGTTATCGTTATTGCGGGTTGGTGGTGGGATGCTGCTGTTCTGCATCGACAAAGAAGGCGTTTCTGAACGCCTTATATCCTCCTGCTTTTGCTTCCTTCTGTCCTGCTGTATGAGTAAATTTCCGTCCTGCGGGAAAGGAGTAGTACCTTGACGGTCTTGTAGCGGTCAGACTGGTGACGCTTGAAGGTAGCGGTGTGCTTCTTCACGATGGTGTGCTTCTTGAGAGGAGTGACCATTTTCTAAAGAAAACGTGTAGGCGAATAAGGCGGTAGGTGTGTCAGCGATGGGTTGTCTGTTGAAGCCAAGTTGCTGTAAGGTGCAGGGTAAGAGTAGATTAATCGTTCCTGATCCCTGTGCTGTTGGGTTCTTCCTGCGCGATTGCCGTATAGTAGATCCCACTGGTGTTGATGTTGACTCGCACCAAAAGCTCATTTCCTCCTCTCCCCGGTTGTTGAATAGAAGCTCGATGTAAGACGAGTCGTTCATCACTCTGAGGTGAGGTAGCCGCCTCCTGAGGGTTATTCAACATAGCTGGGATAGCTCTTATGATGTAAGTGCCCTCTCCCTTGCTCGCTACCCTTTCGACACTCATCCCTGACAACCTTCATCTGCCTCCTTCGACCACCTTCTGTAGTCCTTCAGCACAACCGATGCCCGCCATCTCCATGACCCGTCTCAAAAGACAAGAAAAGACGATAAACTCTCCGGTTTTTCGCCTAGCCATATCGATGATAGGTTCGCCATGGATGATGTCGTATTCCTGCACCCTCATAACTAAAGGAATAAGCCCGATACCATGATCGATGCATAGCACCCCGCCCATTGTATCCATCCTGGCTGTCCTGATCCATGGGCTTGTACAGTGAGACTTTCTCTGAACAGTCACGTACAAGAATAATAGAATTCGAAAGAGGAGGTTCTCCCCTCCCCACTCCGCTCTTTTTTAATTCTCTCAGCCATTTTTCTCTCTCACGTATCTTTGGCATTTTGCCCAAGTGACATTTCCCTCGTTTAATTTCTCTATTTCTACAATGTTACAGAACACCTAAAAGAATATCTAGTAGAAGACGGATCGCGTCCGGTGCACTTTGACAGGCCGCTGACCAAGTGTCAAGTCCAACTGTGCAGCTTTGGCAAAGTCCCAAATAAAAAAATCAATCAGAATCGCATTCACCGTCATCATTTTAGGTTTCCTCTCCTCCTCCCCTGCCTCTCCCTCCTTCTCAGCCTTCTCCTGAACATCCTCCTGCTCCTTTTTGATCAACTCCAATATCCGTTTACGAATCAACTCAACCGCCCAGATAGAGTTACCCCGAATCTCTACTTCAAGTGGGGAACCATTGGGGAGCATCTCGCCGCGGTCCAGGATCGCCAAGAGGTCAGGGGAGTATTGGAGACAGTGAAAGTGATACAGTGCTTGGGGGACGCGGTAGTCTGCAAACATGGTGATTTCGTCAATATCTTTGAATTCCCCATAGCTCTCATTCTGGAAACAAGCCCTGTTTGTTTGATAGAGTGGGGAGCGCAATCGTGATTTCAGTTAGCGACCTTGTCCGTTTACATGGTCGGCTGATGAGAGCTGAGAGAACAGGGCCCAACGATAAGTGATATCGAGGATCGTTCCTTACCAAATATCGGCAACAAGAATCTGAGCACGCTTGAAGATTTGGACTAGAAGGTGAAATAAAAAAAAATCGAATGATCAGTCACCTCGATCAATTAATATGGTCCTAGGTTTCCCGCTGTAGTGAAGCTTCCTGCTTGACTCTGAATGCGTGGTGTGTTACCTTTTCGTCCGCAAAACTCGGCTTCGTCCTTGAACGATGTAAAGTTGGAAGTGACCAGCTCCACCAACTTCAACGCCGACCGATCGGCCTGTGCAATAACATTCGCAAAGCGCCCGTCAAATTTCTGTGGTTTCAGTCAGGATGAGGAACAAGTGTGAGTGTTTGTGCAGCCTTTTCGCGCCTCAAAGCATCAACAACAAACACATTCCTGGCCCAGAGACAAAATAAGCGTACCTCAACAAGGACGCGGCCTGCTTCCCGAATGACGCGGATCCTATCCTGAAGAAGAGGAACCTGCTCCTTGGTGTCCGATCGAAAGATCCGTTCAATCTCCTTGTCAGGAAGATGCTCCTCTGAGGCAAAAAAGGCGGGTGTCGTAATTGGGATCCCTTCTTCCAGAGCTATGAATGAACTCACATGGTCAGGTATTAGTGCACGCTCCCCTTAGGCGATATTCCATGGACGCGTGGTATATCTTTAACGGCATAAGGTATGTACCTCGGTTGATCGCGGCCACCATCGACCAGTATCCAGTATAGCCAACGTCATGAAACGTGACACGGTACCGGTCTGGGTGAGGCACTCCCGTGTCGTCAATATCGATCTCGGACCAGAATGAGAAGTTCAACAGATCTACCAGGAAGATCCTATTGCGAGTGATCAGAAGTATTAGCGTCAAAGATCGCATTCTTGCATTTAATATAAATTCGATAACAACGCGAGTACGACCTGATGCATACCAGTCGACGGTGCTGGCGTTACACTCCTTGGGGTTGAGAGGGTGCTCCTTCCACTAGTAACGAGAATTGAATAAATGAATGACGCGTTAGGCACCGATCCTGAACCTGAGCGCGATAAACTTGCAGTTTTGTCGATTCAAATGGCTTACTTTGCTAGTGTCATAGTGAGTCTTCTTCATCGCCTCAAAGATCTATACGTCAATAAAATGATGTATCAAAGGTGAGTTTCCAATAGCAAAAGAACGCATCAATTACACCAACGCGCCTCTCTCCTTCTCTTAGTGAAAGTACCTTGGCAGCTCCATGGACAATACCGTCGTCGGGAATGGTGACATGCTTGCTGTGCTAAAGTTTTCGCGCAATTGAAACAGAATGTAGTCGAAGTCGTTCAGTTGGCGATTCTCATTCTCGAAAACTTCTGCTGTTGCATTCGAGCGGATGATGTAGGCATACATTATGGATGAACTCTGCACTTTCGAGAACAGGGTTTGAGATCATGGCGAAGCTTGGCCGGAGTGAAAGTGGTGCTGGAACAACTGTCCAACGAAAAGAAACAAAAAAGGCGTGAGAACAATCACGTGTATTGGTGGCGAAATGAGAATGGAGAAGACAAAGGCTATGAGAGTAAGAATTTCAAACAATCAAGAATAAGGCAATCTTGTTCAAAAGGGGAACAAGAATGTAAAGTGGCGAGCGGTTCTAGTTGGCTAAAAACCCAGTTGCGCCACGTTGTTCGAGCAGCCTGCGATTGATGACACTAAGACCGACGGTATCATCAAGCACGGCACATGATGCGGCGAGCACAACAGGTCCAGAAGACCACGACAGACGAATAGACACTCTTCCTGACCCATTACTATCCTCCACCACCCGCCAGGTGCGAATCGATCCTTCATAGCTTGCCGTTGAAAACTCCAACTTGTTGGGCCTCCAAACTACGTCACTAACAACTCCTGTGAACCCTTCGATGACCGACACACAATCCTGATCCTGCAACGGTAGCGCCTCTTGCTCCTGATCGGGGGATGGCAGCCTCCAGAGTCGAACACTGGCACTGTGGGCTGTTGCTAGCCACTGGCCACAGGACGAAAACGCAAACTGGTATATCTCCCGGTCCTGCTTCAAGATATATCGGAAGCCTTGGAGTTGTTGATCGCCATCCCACAATCGAATGTCTCCATCTCTGTGGCAAGAGGCCACCTGGAGATAACCTGGTTTATAAACGACAAAATTCCATCTGTTACGACCGGCATCGATCGTCGTTTCCGCCTTGAGCTCGCCAGTGCCTGCCTCCCAGAGTAGGACCTTTCCCTGCATGCATGTCGACGCAATCCAGCAACCATCCGGAGAAAATGCGACACTCTGTGCCCATCCTGCCTGGCCATTCAGGACATGACCGGCTGCTCCTGAGCGAGTATCCCAAAGCCGCACCGTGCCGTCGTTACTTCCGGAAGCAAGCCAACGACCGCAAGGTGAGAAGGCCACACAATTCACGCCAGACTTGTGCCCACTAAGAACAAAGGAGGCAGCGCGAGATTCGACGCTCCATAGAGTAACTTCCTGCTGACCGCTGCCGATGGCTATCTGGAGACCGTCTGGGGAGAATGCAATGCGAACTATGTTGTGTAGGTGATCGGGAAAAACAAAATCGACGTCTCCCGAATCCGCGTTGAATTGTCGCATGGGTGCGCCTCGACTGCCAGTGATGAGCTGCCGTCCGTCCCGAGAGTATGTTGCGCAGAACTGTGGGTATGCTGTGTCAGGAGAGCCGAATCCTGTTTTAAGCGAGTTCACCTCCCAGAGTTGCAGAGTCCTGTCATGACTTGCTGAAGCGATGTACGAGCCATTTGGTGAAAACCGAACGCAGTTGACCTTGTCCACATGGTTTATAAATGACGAGACAAGTGAGCCGGAACGAGAATCCCACAGCTTCACTGTATGTTCAAAACTGGATGAGGCAATCCATCGGTCGTCGGGTGAAAAGGCGATGCTGGTAATTCCACTCGTGTGTGCCGTCCATGCCTGTCTGGGTCCCAGGGTAGTCGCTGTTACCTCCCACAACTCTAACCGGCCGCCACTGGTTCCTGCAGCGATCCACCCACCGTCATGTGAATATGTAAGACGCCTATAGACATCATCACCCTGGCAAGACACCAACACAGGCAACCCGGTGAGTGTGTCGAGTACTCGGATATTGTTATCGCAGTTGGTAGAGGCAATGGTGTTCCCGCCCGGTGAATACGCAATGTTGGGAGCTATGCCTGCGCTGTCTGTCGAAACGAAAACGGAATCACCAGTCCGAGCGTCCCAGAGTCTCAACGACGTATCGTAACTGGCCGTTGCGACCTGCTGGCCCGTTGGTGAGAACGCCACCGCCATAGCGTCTAATGAGTGTCCTTCCATAATGAGATCGGTTGATCCAGTCTCGCTGTTCCAAAGCCGTGCTGTTTTGTCGTTGCTGCCAGAAAGAAGTTGTTGGCTGTTCGGCGAGTAAGCAAGACTTGTAACGGCTTTCTGGTGCCCTTGGAATACTTGAATCTTTGTCCAGGTTGCAGTGTCGTAGATGCTGATGTTGCCTTTCCATAGACCCGCCGCGAGAAGCTTGCCATCCGGCGAAAATGCGCATGACGAAACCATCTCCAGCTCCTCCAAACACGGCAGCTCTCCAAATTGAGTTCCATCCATGCCTGCACGGCTGAGATCCGCCTGTCGCATCCATGCCCTGGAAAGATTGACGCCTGTCAAGTCGGCATCCTGTAGTTGTGCCGAGTCAAAATGCCCACCGGTTAGATCCGCTCCTGGAATACGAATGCCTTGAAGATCGGCTCCATTGAAGGAAACTCCAGCTCGAACCAAGATGGTGATGGCGTTCGCTGCTGCAGTGGCTGCAAGAACGTCTGACTTGGACAACTTGACGACTGACAGGAGTTGTTGCTTGAAACATGCATTCTCATTGACGCGATCGCTTAGGAACTGGATGACGGAGGACTCCTTGAGAAGGTTCCGCGTAAACAAAGGACTGTTAGCGTCAAGTGTTGACGCAGCTGTAGAGTCAGGGGACCCTTGCGGATCAAATTCCCTTTTAGTGGAGTCTGGGCTGTAGACCACACAAGAAAGAAAATACTCCAGGACTGATCTGTGAACAAATCGAAATTGGCTGCCGGTACGTGTCAAGGGACAGGACTCGCGCATGAGCCGTATATCGGGATCTGGGCTGAAAAACTCGGCTTTCCAAGTCCTCCTGTGGTGGAGATGCGTGTACTGAACAACCAGGTGGCCATCCTGCTCCTTGAAGATCGAGTCTGACAGTCGCTTCTGAAAATCGATGCCGTGTTCGACAAAGCCAGCATCCAACAACATCCCGAACACGTCTCGTTCTTCGTTGCTCAATGTGTTGCTCTGCAGGCGCAGCTTGTTGATCTCCAGCCAATGTTCCACGAACTTGTCATAGAGGCCGACGCGTGTGACTCGGAGAGACAAGAGATCCTGTTGGGTGGCAACAAGTTTGGGCAGGACATTGAGAGCGATCGTGAGTAGGAAAGGGTTTCTGACCAGGTCCAGCAGGTTACGGATCGCCGTCAGCTTGTCCATGTACTCTTCCGACGACCAGACAGTTGCTATTCCTAGTAATTGCTGCGTGTTGGTATCCTGCACGAATTGGTCAACATAATTCTTGATCTGCTCATTCGAGAATAGCGCAATGACAGCCTCCTGAAAGAGGTCTTGATGCCTGGTATTGTATCGATCGAGGGGCTGGGGTTTGAAGCGGTCGTGGTATGAGGGTCCAAGGTACTGGGTCCGGCAAGTGATGACCATCTTGGTGTTCCACTGACCAGGCTGGTTGAGAAAGTTGGTGCTGTGAAGATTGACTTGCTGCTGACTCTCATCGTAGCCGTCACAGATAAGAACGAGTTGGCGATGCAGTTTGAGCTCCTGGATCTGGTCGTCGTTAAAGTTGTTGGACTGCAGTTGCTTGGTGACCATGTCGTACTTGGGCTCGTTGATGGTGGCAAGATTGATAAACACAGGGATTGGTCCACCGCGCTTGTAGTCTATCCAAAGATGGCGCTCGAGATGTCGGTTGAAAGTCGACTTGCCAGCCCCAGAATCTCCCAGGATCAACATGACCTGCCGGTCGCTTGCCAAAAACTCCTGAAGCTTGTCCATGAGTGGGAAGACTTCGTTGTCCTGAGCTTGAAGGCTGGCCTTGGCCATGGGAGAGATGTAGATGGGCTGTTTGGCATCTTTGAGCCGTTCCATTCGGAGCTTGTAGAGTTCGTACTCCATGTAGGGGATGCCCTGGACCTTGGCAAGGATTGGAGATGACTCGGGGATAGGGAGGCGAGATCGCAGAGGGTAAGGGTGCTGAATCCTGGGAGTGTTGTCCGAGCCAAGATCCTGCAACAGGGCAGAGGCGTGTTCGTTGATGGCGTCGTCGGATGAAGATCCCAGCGTGCCGAGGATAGTCAGCATCCATGTCTTGACGCTCTCGTCACGGCCCCATTCCAGATCGTCCTTGTAGAGATGACCAAGAAGGACAATGGCTTGCTGGCGGGTGGCAATAGCCCAGACAGTGTCGCCTGCAATCTCACCCAGCAGCTGGCAGATGCCCCACTGGAACAAGGGATCCTGGCGACAGGGCGCCCCGACAATCAGCTGCTTCAGATTCTTCAGTTGGCCGGATTGGACGAAGGCATATGCGGCACGGACGGCGGGATACCAAGGCTTTTTCTGACCAGACCCAAATCCTTCCTTCAGGCTCTCTAGAACCCCTCGACCGCTCTCGCGCAGTGAACCAACACCTTCATAGACAGTGCTGGCGATCCCAATCACACTGACGGCTACCTCCTGCAACTTCTCTAATCCTTCTAGTACCGAGCCCATATCCAACTTGAGGACACTTGTGACCTTGATTAAGCCATCCCCAACACCGGTCGAATGCCTCAATACTGCCTGCAGAACAGTATCATCATCAGGGACATACAGAAGTGCTTGGAAGGCGTAGCAGGCCTGGTACATCAGGTAGGGGTCAAAGCTGTCCTTCAATCCTGACAACACTGCAGACAATGGCTCATGCTCCAGAATTCGGCCCAGATCCTGCACCTTGTGGTCAGCCATGACATCGAGAATCCTGGAGACAGCGAGCGTGAGGTGGTATGGATGCTCAGACGACTGCTGGTGTTTACCCTGCAAGTAGATCCTGAGGAGGCTGAGGACCTTGACTAAGTCGTCGGAAACCAGAAACCCAGCCGAGGAAGTCTGGACCAATTGGACAAGACCTTCCAGCAAGTTAACGTCCAGAATGCGAGCCTCGTCAAAGTCGTGGATGAATGATGACAGCAGTTTGCGGTAGGGCTCCCTCTGCATGACAGGCCCTAGGGCGGTAATCTCGGCAATCTTAGTTGAGTCTTTGGTAGTTTCTGCGATGAACGCCTCGACCATCATGATAACGAGCCATTGTATATGATCCTGCCCTATTGGGTCCTCCTTGATCTCTGCCAACCACTTTTGCTCCTTCTGGTTGCATGTCGGCTCCTCTGTGGTTGACGACAGAGAGGATGATTCCTGGAGGAACAAAGTGTTGCAGTAGAGCAATTGGTTGGTCCGCTCGATGCGATCCTGGAGACCAGGCAACGTAGTCTTGACAGCGGGTTTGGCGACATTTTCCGGGAAGACATCCGTGAGGAGACGGTTCTCAGCCGGTGCCTGTGGCAAAGGTTTGTTCTGCTGACTGTCAACCTGAGAAGCGACAGAGGATCGAGTTGGCACGGATCTGAAGATACTGAAGAAGTTGCGAAACTTGCCGTCTTTCCTGGGAGGCTGCTGGGAGGTGTCGGGGCTGTCCTTGCCAGGGACGTCCAGCTGGTCGCGACGGTTGGTCATCGTGGTGAGCACTCTATTAAAATGGCGGTGCATTTCCTGGCGGTGTCAACAACAGAGTAGACAATGCTTGTGACAGTGCAGAGCAAATTGGGCGTGAATAACAAGACGGTTGGGTGTTTTTACCTTGATGTGTTCACGATGGTTGATTTTTTCACTTGGTCGAGAAAGGTTGGGGTTGCTGGGTTGTTTTCCTGATGGGTGATGAAGAAACAGGGGAACGAAAAGGGTGATGTTGGATGAGGGTGGTGCTGACCTCAGTGGTACTGAGAACGATGGAGACGTGTGAGAGGAGAGTAATGGAGGAAAACAAGCAGGAAGAGTCGAAGGTCGCTTTTACCCTTTTATCTGCCTTGACAGTAGCCATCCACCATGTCCGACTGTTACACTTGTTGAACGGCGAGAAAATCATGCAAGGCACATGCCATGCACCATTGCACCATTTGGCAAACAGAGAGACGAGCGAAAGGAAGAGTTGCAGTTGTGAAAAACAATCGAACCGTGATGGTTCTCAAAACAACGACTCCCACCGGATGATGGTTCTCAAAACAACGACTCCCACCGGATGATGGATCTCGGATGGATTATATCAGTGAGTAAGATAACGAAGGTTGACACTGATGTGTTCCTGAAAAGCCCCCGTAGTGATGATCTACCGATTCGCGCGGAAGCAGGGTTTTGCTGTGACGAGATATCAAATTTCGGCACCTTGCAAACACCAGTGAACAGACGCCACCTGCTACCATGCACGAACGGACCCTCGCCAGCATGATGTCGTAAACTCTAGCTTGTTGAGTCTCCACACGAGCTAGCGATTTTTCCAGCACATTGGTCCTCACGATGGCAACTTTTATTCTCAGTTCTTTGGATAAATTAGTGATGGAAAAACATCAAGCGACAAGCCGCACTAGAACCTGAGGGACTTTTTCTGTCTCAATATCAAAAGAACTCCAGGCGAGCAGTCATCGTAGGTACTGTACATCCTTCCGCTCAAGCATCTTTTGCAATGTTCCAGGTTGAGACAAACGATATGAAAGAAAAAAGGAAACGAGATCATGAAATGTAACAAAAAAAAGCGAAAACGCCCCTGTGAGTCTGTGGCACAGGTCGCTTTTTTTCTGCATCATGTTGCCTTGTGCATTGAAAATAGAACGCCAGGAAAGAAAAGAAGAGCATTTCTTTGGAGAGAGAAAAGAGAAACACACTGCGCGCTTTTGGTCAGTTGGAGTTTTGACAGTCTGGGAAAGATGGCAAGGTTGGGCGTGTGTGTGCGTGAAGTATTTCCCATCCATTGCTCACTTTGCTCTCAAACCGACTGAGTCGGCTTCTTCCATACCCCTATATTTGCTCTGATTCTGACTCTCCATTTTTTTGTTCTCTTCTTTTCATTCATTCATTCATTCATTCATTCATTCCTCCTCATTCACCTTCTCCTCAAATAACACATATACATCATGGTAAACGAAACAAGCCCTTGTCCTCCGCTTAGAACAAGAAGAACACCGCAAGGGAAAAGAAGAAGGGCAATCTATGTTGGCGTGCGTTTGTTTGTGCTTATGTACTAACTCATCCCTTTCACTTTTTCACACTCCTCTTTTCCAACCCATGTCCATTGCTCCATTTCTATCTATTGAACAACAACAACAAAAACAGACTGCCTCGAACGATCTCACTCCTGCACAAATCTCGGATCTCAAGGAGAGCTTCAACACCTTTGACCGCAACAACGATGGCAACATTTCCCGCCGCGAGCTCCACTCGCTCCTCCACACCGTCGGCCATAAGGTCGACGCCAAGGGACTCGAGAAAATGCTCGCCGAATACGATGCCGACAAGTCCGGCACTATTGACTTTAATGAATTCCTGAGACTTACTGCCATTCTCATCAAGAACAAAGTCCCCTCCAACTAATCAACAAAAAAGAACGCCAAACAAGGACTCTCGATAATGACAATTGAAGGATAGCCAAGGGCGACAACCCTTACTGGTGTTTTTCGATTAATCTCTCTTTTCTTTCGTTAAAACCCTCTCACTACTCGTGCATAATTAAAGCAGCCATACCTCAAAAAACACGATTATAGAGTGCTAATCCCTGGTATGTGGAAGTGAGTTGAGAGTGTGGGCTGAAGCAAACGCAGCTGTCATTCTGCAAATGGAAGTTTGACATCGAAAGCAGTAGGAAACAAAACCTTCAAGGAGGAAGACAGCATAGGGGATTGTTTCTTCCATTATGCAGCAGCCTGCTATTACTATTGCTGCTCACACTTTGCACAAACCAAAAAGAAGTCCAGGAAGAAGCAAAAGGGTCACCACTTGTATCCTTGACCCATCTTTCTCCAGCAGGCTGTTTTCTATTTCGTTCCGCTCGCTGCTCTTTTTTTCCGAAGTGAATGTGTCTGCCATCACTACCCTAGCTGATTCCTTGTTTTCTGAATGAATAAAAAAAGGTGATTAGCCAAAGTATGAAAAGCAGTGGGGGTGAAGTAGGGCCCTAGGCCGTATCGGTTTCCTGACGAGTCCACTCCTTTTTCTATCACATTCATTCACCGAGCAGGGGATCCATGGGCTCAGTTCGAACTGGGATCCCATTTATTTCAATAAACGATCACTGGGCCCTCACCTTCCTCTCCCTGTCCCCTTATCCTCCTTTCTGCTACTTGAGGCCGCACACCCCTCTTCCAATTCTCACTTTGGATAAATGGATGTCTCACTTTTCGGACGAGAAGAAAAAAGAGGAGGGAAGAGACACCCTAAATATCGAGGAAAAGCGCGGTTTTGTATGTGAGTGTTTGTGGGTGTGTGATATACGAGACGAATAGTTGTTAATTGGATGGGTTCATCCAACCATCCAGCCATCATTTGTCGCATTTGTTTATTTGTCCATCCGACCAATCAAATAAACTAAGAAACTCCAAAAAAAGTAGCTAGGAGGGTGAGCACTTTTGACTTTTGAGTAAAGGACCCCTTCCATCGCTTCCATTCATCCACTCATCCCCCCTCCCCCTACCTTCTCCATTTCGTCCACCCTTTTTAAAAAGCACTTCACCTTTCTTCTCTCACTTCTTTTCTTCTTTTAATTCTCTTCCTCACTTCTCCAACTACACCACTTTCCTCCTTTTTCCTTACCTACAAATTCAAGCAATATGGTAAGAACAGTAGCATAATTGTCCTAGCTCGTATTTTCACCTGTGTCCTTTTCTTCCATTTAGCACTGGGGTACCCGCCAATTGCTGACCGCGAAGCATGCAAACGAACAGACAGACAGGAACATCACATACGTAGGATGAAGATAACGAGGACAACAACGACAGCAGTCATGGACAAGATAACCATCTTTATCCCTGGCGACCAACCATTAGGAATCATTCATTCTCCATCAATCACTGATAACGGTCCCCTCTTCACACCAAAACTAACTCATCACCTTCCTCTATCACTCTCTCTCACCCCCATCCAATTAGTCCGCCATCGCCAACAACAACTTCAGCCAGGAGGAATTAGTGTCCTTCCGGGAGAGCTTCGACACGTTCGACAAGAATGGCGACGGCGCCATCAACGCCTCTGAGCTCAAGTCCCTCCTCCGCATCGTGGGCGAAAAGTTCCATGCCAAACACATCTCTGAAACCATGAATGAGTTTGACACCAACAAGGATGATCATATTGATTTCGAAGAGTTCTTGGTTCTCGCCAACAAGATCGTCAAAAACAAGGCTCCCATCAGCCCATAAGCACCAGCTGCAAACGAGGAAGAGAGGCGTCATTTTGAACAACCTTCTTGGGAGGACGAATTTCAAACAACACTCAACAATATTCAACGACAATCATCTGTACATATATTTTATCCTATTAAAAGACATCAGTCTCTTTGTTTCCAACCATCGATGAAAAAGTGAGAATGAAAGACATAGAGGAGGGTTAGACTACCACTTGTTCCATTTGAAGGGCGGAAGGATGAGCAATAAGGAGCGAATCTCAACTAACACATTTCGAAGCGGCTGCATGAAAAAAATACGAACTGCTCAACTTGAATGAAAAATAGATTTGCAGCATTCTCCGAAGGTTCAAAAGGAGCAGTGAGAGGGGGCTATGAGGAGTGGCGGGTTGAAAGCTATAGATGAGAGAATGGAAAAGGGCGATGCGAAAGAGTAAAAGTAAATGTAAACAGACCACTGTCCCTCGGCACTTTGCCCTTGCGTTGTTGCTGTGTGATAGATTGTTTATTGTGTCGAGCAGGAGTGTTTGCAGTTTCATTAAAAAGAAGGGTATCAACGGAGAGATCAAAGACGGAGTGGAGAAGGAGGAAGAGAAGGGTCGGAGAAAAATACAAGAAAACGAACCCAAACTCCAACTTTTAGCAAGAAAAGACTATGCGAGGAGCATGATGCTGAGGGCAACGGCAGCCATAACCTTGACGGCACAACCAGCAATAGTCTTTGCGCTAGCAGCGCCATTAGTCGTCTCCTGCTCTCCCTCATCCAAAGTCGCCAACCCACTTCCGGCCTTGGAGAGCCCAGCCCCCTGAATAAAGTTTTCAGATAACGACGAATGAATCGACTTGGTCAACTCATGGTTGGCAGAGTCAGAATCCATCGACCAGATACTGACACCTCCAAAGCCGACCTCGCTGAGATACTCCATCTTCATGGCGAACGTCTCCGGGTTATCATAACCCACCCACTGGTCCTCATTTACAACCATGTACATACACTTGCCGACAGGATCCATTTTAGGCTCCTGGGTGACCGTACGATGGAAATGGTCGGGCGCGCGGGACTTGACATCGGCAATCTGCAAGCTGTCTGCCAATTTACGGGCCTCGAAATAAGCCATAGCCCCCTTCTCCTGACAACCTTCCCTTCCGGGACCCTGGGCGGGGGAACCGGGGGAGGTCTTCTTCTTGTCCTTGAGGGTGAAGGTGACTCCCGAAAGAGAAAGACCGAGGTTAAACTTCATAGGGGAGACGGATTTTGGGACCATGGCCTTTGTTGCGTTGTCGACAGAGTAGCCGTTGTACTTTGTGTGTGCTGCTGTGTCGTACAAGGGCGCTGCGCAGTAGACCATGTCCTCCCATTGGCTATTTCGTTTGTTGCAGAGTAATATAAGGGCGGGAGAGTTTAGTGTGTATAAAGTAAGACTAGTTTCTTCTTGCAAGTCTTTATATTGAAGGAAGAGGGTCATATGGACTTTTGTGGGTGTGGGTGAAGGGTCTTAGGTTGAGATCAGAAAACAAAGATAACAACAACGAATATAAGAAGAGAACTTACCCGTGGAGGTTGTAGGCCATGATGTTGAACCAGTCAACTAACATCACACAGCACAACGCGCGGAGAAAAAGAAGAACGAAGAAGTGTTAGTATTGACTACAAGGAACCATATCACATCAACATCCCTCTGTACCAATTTGAGTCGCTTGGTTACCATGCTGGGCGAGCTTAGGGATGTTAAAGTACTGGCCGTGGAAGGGTCCACCGGGAAGGGCGATGCTCAATATCATGCGTTCCTGGCCCTCCTTGAGCTTCTCCTTGTTGGCTGCCTCGCGCATCTCCTTCAGGAACGCGACAAAGTTCTCGGGGTCGTTGCTGTGTCCTCCACGCAGCTTGTCCGACGGGCTATTTAGGTGTTAAGTAAATACATGTATTGTGTGAGCATTGGGCGCAATTGACTTCGAGAGATATGTGTATCCCTCGAAGTGGAGGAGGAAGAGAGAGAAAAAAAAAGGGACTTACTACTCCCAGTCAAAGTCCATGCCGTCGAAGCCGTATTTGCGGACGTAGGTCATGGCGGACTGGATGAACTTTTGGCGGTTGGCAGGAGTGGAGACCATTGTCGAGTAGTGTGCCATATCCATATCCCATCCGCCTAGTAGACCGGGTCCCAATTAGCAATTTGAGAAAGAACACATATGGAATAGATTTCTTGAGGTTAGGATCGACATCGTGTGGGATCAAACATATCTATCAGACACTAGTGATTGGATTCCGGGTTCCCAACTTGATATAAAATCCAATCGCATTCCCTTTCCTCATCTTTTTCCTTTCTTTCTTCAGTCACAAAAAAACCAAAAGAAAAAAAGAGGATCATACCAACAGTAAGAGTAGTCTTGAGAGAGGGCTTCTTGAGCTTGAGGGCATTGAGCTCCTTGTAGAGGGCTTCGTCCTCAGGGTGCTGCATCTCGACTACACCGTCATCATTGATCATGACAAACGCGAAATTGAGATGTGTGTACAGCTCATATGGCAGCTTGGCGGGCGCGAACGATGGGTAGTCCGGACACTGTCCAGCAGTCTAGTTCAGAATCCATTAGAGGAGGTGAAGAAGGTAAAGGGAGGGGAAGGATAAGGCAGATTCCGATTGGAATAAAGAAAAAAAAAAAGGAGTATCAGTCCATGTATGAGTATTCTCTTGGTTAATTTCCTTCTGGGTTACCACAAATTAAAGATTCCACATTCCGCATTTACGGCTTCAAGAGAATCATCCCCTGCTATTATGTCCTCGAGCGCGTTGTTTTCCTTTTCTTTCGTTCCACTAAAGTAACAAAAGGGGGAAACGTACGTTGTGGACTAGTATGGTTCCTTCACTTGTTACCAAGTCATCGGAACCCTTCTCAATTGCCCTCCCTTTTCAAACACTCCATGGCACTCTTTTCTCGTTTTTGCTTGTGGATCAATAATATCGAGGTCTATGCTGAAAAGGTGCCTAATCGATCCAAGTAATCATAGAGGAAAAGAGGAGCGCAGAAGAGGAGGGGAGGTGAATAATGGTGATGACGTTGGGTTACCTTGCCATAGTATCCGACGACGCGTTGCGCTCCGACAGTGACGGTGGAGAGGACGAGTGCTAGACACGCAAGCACGGCTGGTAACCTCATGATATGTTGTATGTACAGTGCAATGGGACAATGTCGTTTTTGTGTCTGGGTATGTGGGGTATATTGAAAAAGTCTGTGGGAAGGAGGGAGGGACTGTTGCTTTGTCTAGAGAGAATCCAACGGGTGTCAAGGAAAGAAAGGGTCGAAGGGTCTGAGCAAAGGGCAGAAAGGGAAGAAGTATAAAAAAGAAAAGAGGAAATGCGCTTCTCATATATAAGCGAGTCTCTCCAAAAGGCCATACAAAGACGAAGAGTTTAGAACATGAAGCTAATTCCGGTGGGAGGACATGCTTGTTTTGGTCACTTTTCTCCTCAAGGTCCTCCACAGGAATCGATATCTCTCGCTCATACTCGAACAGCAATAACATTCTTCTTTCTTTTACCATTTTGGCTGAAGAATGGATCATCATTCATGCTGAGCGGATATGTTTGCCAAAGGGTGGTTTGCAGTTATGTATCTGTGGAGAGTGTAGTAGATTGTATTCCATCTTGACCGTTCTTCGTTTTTTCTCATTATTCAAAGCAGTCATGTCGTTTGAATAGGAAACATCAGCTTGAAACCATGAAGAGGCGCGTTTTTTGTGTACATTGTAGCGACTACGGGTGAGGGAGAAGCGTGGTTCAAGCAAGCAACTGAATTGGCTGACAAGGATCCAGAAAAGGGGGGGGGGGAAGTCTCGTAGGGAGTGAGGGGAGTGGGGATAGAGAACGGTGCTTTATATGTTGATAGGGTTCATTCACTTTCTTATGCTTGTCATTGCTAAGGAGCAATGAACTCGAGTGGTCCAAGTGACCAAAAACAATAGGATTCAACAGGATGACGAAGCCCAACCTACAATCGGGTGACAGTCATCTATCTCCTCTCTCTGTGTGTAGACATGCACAGGAGAAAACATGGGAGCGGACCACCGTGCGGTGCATTTTATTGTGTTGTTGTCGGTTACTCTCCTTTTTCATTTACAGCAGCCGTCGGTCGCGCCTTTGCCTCAATGTTCTATGATGGACCCAGATAAATGGAAACGCAGGAGAGAAAAGGAGAAAGAGAATGTCATGTGGAGCCAACTGCCAAGGAGAGAGAGGGAGCTCGCTCGTTCTCTCCGTGAACACATACAGAGTTCTTTCGTGTCTCCGTGTTTTATTTTCTCCTTTGGCATCGTGGGTCATCCTGGCGTCAAGACTATCATACAGGGGAAAAGGGAAGGCGAAAAAGGAGAAGTAAGCGTCATTCGGTGTTCTTTGTTCCTGAATTGACAAAGGGAAGGCGGAACCAGGCCATGGGATCCCGGATCACGTAGGACTGTGGCGTCCTGTGTTCATGGGTACCTGTGATGTATGTTTTTGTCAGTTGTCAGTTCGAGACAGGTCAGTTGGATCGGTGCTTGTCTAATCTGATCCCAATGTTGTTTTGTCGTGTGTCAATGTCCCGTTGCCTTGGATAGTCCCTTACTGTCCATGGGATACGGCATACATTGCACGGTAGACACGGTGTAGACCTAATATAAATTGGCCTTCGATGAGCGTGCAAGTCAGACGCGACTTGGAGTCAATCGGTGAGTGCACAGATGGATGTGAGAATTGTGTCCCCCGACCTAGCATCAAAATTCGATCGAAGCCACCCACCCTTCCCTGTCCCTGCAGGGAGTGAGCATCCTAACCCTGCCCACCCTTCTTTTTCTGCCATCCCTTTCCTCATTCTCTCCTCTCCATCCATCCTTCTCTCCACTCTTTTCATTCCTCGTCCTCTTTTCTCTCCTCTCTCCTCTCTCTACTTTCTCCTATTACTCTCTCTCCCCCCCCTCATCACCTTCCGCTCTCATTGAGGATCTTTCTTTCTTTTTTATTCTGCCTCCTTACCTTTCATTCAAAAAGTTGATCAGCCATGTACCGCTCGCAGGCTCACGTCCAAAAGAGGCTTGATCACTACTATCGCTGCGTGAACACCGTTATCCTCAACCGTCAGAACCCGACCACAGGTCTGATCCCCGCCTCGGTTGCCGTCACCACCCATGGAGACTATCGCGATGCCTGGGTCCGGTAAGCTCTTCTTTTCAGTTGCCACCAAATTGGCTACTTTCGTTCCTCCAAAAGCAAAAAGGAAACTAACTGTGAGCCATGTATGACTCCTGTTCATAGTGATAACGTGTACTCGATCATGGCTGTCTACGGACTTGCTCTTGCCTACCGCCGTGTCGACGATGACCAGGGTCGTGCCTGTAAGTGTCTTTTCCCCTTTTCCCCCCTTCTTGCCCAAGAATGATCACCGCGGATAGTCAAGCTCAGCGGACCGAAACAGACAGAATCAGACAGAATCGGACAGATGCAGATACGGACAGATACAGACAGAAAGAGAGACAAAAGGACATGGGGATCTTTCTTTTCACTTACATTGCCTGTCATGTCATATCTCGGGCAATTTTTCTTCTTTCTGCTGTTTGGTCCTGGGCCACCTATTTTAACCTCGACCTGACCCCAAGGAGGAGTTACAACCTTGAGTATCAAACTTTCGAAAAAAATATTCTGGCTGATAAGGGGAACAAGCTCTTACTTTCGTTGCTATCGCTCACGCTTCTTTCCCTCATCACTGGAAATGGAGAGAGAGAGAGCTCCAAGCAACCATCACCATTGCATCACCGACAACCTGTATTTCTTTCACTATCTGGATGGGGTGTATGACCAAGTGTCTTGCGATAATGCTTGTCAAATGGCTATCAATGGAAAGATTAGGAAGGAGGACGAGATCAGAGTAGGTCAATCTCCCGGGAGAGGGATGAAGAGGGTTCCAATCACATTCCTTTACCCTTTGTCCCTTTATCTATCCTACCCTCTCTCAATGCACAGACTGCATCGTCTTTCAAACGGCTGGAAAAAGTAAAAACGAGTTGTTCCCTCACACGACTATATTATTGGTCTCTGTCACACAACAAACACACAAACAAACAACAGGCACAGGGACATACAATGTCGAAAAAGGATTTGTGTCGTCATAAAGGAATACCCCTTTCTGCTTCCTTACTTCCTCCCTTCCCCTCTCATTGTACCAGCCCTCTCGGCGATCACATCATTCCCCTCAGCTTACTCTGTCAAGTATAATATTTCTAACGATCCAATTCTCTCTCTTATAGACGAGCTCGAGCATGCGGTAATCAAGTTGATGCGCGGCCTTATGTTCTGTATGATGAGACAGGCCCCCAAGATCGAACAGTTCAAAAAAACACAGGGCTTGAACGACTGTCTGCACGCCAAATACAACACTGCTACCGGAGACACAGTCGTCGGTGATTCAGAGTGGGGTCACTTGCAGATCGATGCCACCTCCATCTTCCTCTTGGCCCTTGCCCAGATGACCGCTTCGGGAATTCTGATCGTCTACACCACAGACGAGGTCGATTTCATCCAGAATCTAGTCTTTTACATCGAGCGCGCTTACCGCACGCCTGACTATGGTATTTGGGAGAGAGGAAACAAGATCAACCATGGAGAGCCCGAACTGAACTCTTCCTCAATTGGTATGGCTGTCGCTGCCCTCCAGGCCATTAATGGCATCAATCTTTTCGGTTCCCGTGGTGGACCTAGCTCGGTATGTGATCTTATCTCTCCTTCTTCTTTTTCTCGCGTACCTCCTTACAAAAGGACGAGTCATTTCGTTTTCTTATGAGGCAAACACCACCCTAACAACATTTTCTTCGTCAATAGGTCATCCATGTGTTGCCGGATGAGATTACTCGCAACTACACAACTCTTCACTCCGCACTTCCAAGAGAGTCCAACTCGAAAGAAATCGATGCCGCATTGCTCTCGGTCATTGGATTCCCCGCATTTGCCGTCGGAGATGCTAAACTCGTCGAACGGACCAGGAACGAGATTATCGAAAAGTTGGGCGGAAAGTACGGATGCAAGCGCTTCTTGCGCGATGGACACCAGACTGTGCTCGAGAACAACAGCCGCCTCCACTACGACGCCCACGAGCTCAAGATCTTTGAGAATATCGAGTGCGAGTGGCCCCTGTTCTTCACCTACTTTATTCTGGACGGGCTTTTCAATGAAAACGAGGAACAGGTTGAGGAATACCGCGCCAAGCTGGAACCCTTGATCATCGATTCGGCTACTCTGGTGGACTTTGGACAGTACATCTCAGAGTCGATGTCCGACAGTGAGTCGGATGGTCGTAGTCTGAAGACCCCCACCTCTCCAGGATTTGCCACCCCTGGCAGCGGGGATGGTAAGCTCCCCGAGCACATCCCTTTAATTCCCGAGTTGTACTATGTTCCTGAGCACTTGGTCGAGGCCGAGAAGAAGGACAATCACACCCAGGCTCGTGTCGCCAACGATAACCTTCCCTTGGTCTGGGCCAACTCCCTCCACACCCTCGGCAGCTTGATCTACGAGAACTTGCTCAGTGTCGCTGAGATTGATCCCCTTGGCAGACGTTTCAACGCCCGCAAGACTCAGCCCAACGACACTGTCGTCCAGGTTGTTCTCTTGGCTGAGGATACCCATTTGCAGAGCATGTTGAGTATGTACGGATTAGAGACCCAAACAATGGATCAGGTCCACCCCATCACCGTCAGTCAGCCCCAGGGACTCAAGGAGGTCTATGCTGCCCTCGGTATGAACGCCAAGCTCGGATTTTCGGGTCGTCCCAAGCGTCCGGTTGGTTCCCTCGGAACTTCTCGTCTCTACCGCGTCCAGGGTCACCTTTACGCCTTCACACCTCATTTCATGGACAACGAAGAGTTCTACCTGACCAGCGACAATGACTATTTGATCTCAATCTTTGAGCAGGAATTGGCCTTTGTTCGTCAGTATTGGCATTACCCCGGTCGTCCCACCATGACCGTTGTGTTGACCCATGCCATGTTGGGTGGACTCACAAAGTCTCGCAGCTTTGCCCCCCAGAACGGTGCTGATGCCTACCGTTTGACCACTTGGCGCAAGGCATCCCTCGGTTCCAGTCCCCAAAAGGACAACAAGCGCAACCTCCTCAACTTCTTCATGAACCTCCGCAGCGGTGTTTGCAACGGTGTCCGTGTTCGTCTTGGTCGTCTCAGCGAGATGGTCAACACCTCCTGCATCGAGTCCCTCGACTTTTTGGTCAACAAGAAGGATATTGACTGGATGGGTATTCTTCGTGGCGCTGCTGATCGTCGCAAGGGTCGCCATGCGCGCAAGTTGGGACTCAACGAGAAAAAGACCCAGGCGGCTACCCCTGGAGGAAGCAGAACTCCCAGCCACCACCGCTGGTCGGTTCGTCGCCGGTCTTCGTCCTTTGGCACTGGCGGGTCTCTGGCCTCGTTGACGACCCCTGCTGTCAACACTGAGCTCGAGGGTGACAGCTATTTTGGATCTCATTCCCAGCCTCACACTCCTAGCGAGGGCAACTTCCCTGGCTCTCCCTTCGCCATGACTCCCATGGAGCCTGCCGAGCCCTATGCTGCCCCCCGAAAATCCAAGAAGGACCAGACCACGTCTTTCCGTCTCAAGGATCACGAGGAGGTTCGGCCCACTCGCAAGAATGGAAACGCCGTCGCCAACCAGTCGGGTGTTTTGACTCCTGACTTGGCTACCCTTGAGATTACGAATGCTCCCTCTCCTGTCAGCGCTGTGGACGATGATGAGGACTCAGATGAGTCACCCGACGGCATGGAGGCCTTGGGTTTGACTCTCGGTGACCCCTCCAACATGGAGGCTGCCATGTCTATGCTGTCCCTCTCCGTCAACCTCTACGACCAAATCGGTTAGTATCCTCATACATTTCGTCCGCTTATTCTCTTGTGATTATATATTCTGATTCATACTAACTCTACATCCGTGTGTTAAATAGACCTGTTGCAGTACTTGTTGTCGTGCCAGGGGGCTAACTTTTATGTCAGCAACTTGGATGCCACTGTTGAGACATTGTTGCAGGAGGTCTACTTCAAGTCGCTCCAGCTAAAGCTGTGGTCGATTGTTCGTCAGGCAGCCGGTTTGCTCCAGAAGGTCGTCAACTCGCTCACCATCAACATCACGGATCTGGTGATTCGTCAGAAGCAGATTACCATCGGCTCTGGCCGCACTGAGCATTTTATCACCACTCCCTTGGGACCCGACGTTCTCAGCAGGATGATCTATGACGGCAACTTTGACGATGTCCGTGAAGGACCCGTCGTTCAGGAGGTCATGACCTACTTGGGTTCATTCGTCCGCGCAGACCCCGACATGTTTGAGGGTATCATGCGTCTCCGTACCCATTTCTTGATCATTGCCTTGCGCGAGGAGATTTCTCGTCTCAACAGCTGTGACGAGACGGATGCTGTCGAGCATTTGATGCAGTTGTCGCCCTTTGAGCTCAAGTCCCTACTTGGAACAGTCTTGTCTGGCCCCACTCTGAGCTCGCACGCCACCAACACCTTGCTCCGCAACCAGTCGTCGGGACGTTTGAGCCCCGACCGTCGTCAGGGCGGCGTCTCGTTGTCGGGTGACTCCTTGGAGAACAATGTCACTGCCAACATTGCCTCATCTGGTCCTTCGTCGTCCACCTTGGGCGCTATCCCTATCCCTAACATGGCCAAGGGATCGACCACGTTCACGATCAAGGTCCAGTCGGGAGGATTCCACTCTGGCAACTTTTCCAAGATCTTGATCAACGAGAGCACGCTGTCTGTGTCGTCGCGTGGTATCAATATGGTTGTGATTGACCCTGTCCAAGGCGTTCTTTTAGAGTCTGTCTCGTTTGACACGCATATCTCTGAGGACGAGAGTGACGACTTGGCCCGTTTGGTGGACTGGCTACAGCCTGGCATGATTGTTGTCTGTGCAGGCAAGGATGACTGCTATGAGCATTTAACGACAGCGGGTCGTCTTGCCTTGAAGCAGCTCGGGTCCGAGCGTATCTCTGAGCTCAAGTACCGCGACTCTTGGTGCATGATCGGAGAGAAGGGTAAAGGAGAATTAAGGGATTGCTCTTTTTGGACTAGGACTAATTGATTGCACATGGTGGCAAAAGCCAAAGGAAAATAACCATTGACTCCCTTTTCCTCCTTTTCATTAGGCATTGAGACAGGCAAGGCTGTGGAGGCGCACAAATCTTTCATGGATGGGCCAACCACAGTGATCGAAAAGGAGTTTGATTTGACGTTGTACAAGGCCAGGGCGGATGTGAGTGACACCTTCCCCTGTCCCTCTGCGATTGCGGCGTTTGTTCCTAACTCGTCTGGACGGTGGTTGCGCCGTCGCAAGAACGATGGATCGTTGAACCGTGTTCCGAGCAAGTTCTACCCCCGTGTCTGGCGTATCCTGTCGCGTGCTGCTGGATTCAGGGTGGGATCCCACTTCCTGCCCCGCGACCCCATCATTTCGGAGAAGACACCCGAAGAGTTCAACTTTGCGTTGGCCGTAGAGAACTTTTTGGGAGTTATCTTGGACCCTGCTGAACGTCAGATTGCGGTTGATACGTTGATGGTGATTGCCAAGATTGAAGACAAGAATCCTGGTATGGAGATGCAGGCTGAGGTGATTGACCTTCCGATGATTATGAGGGAGGCGATGGATACGTTCTGGACAAAGTGGGTTGTGAATGGACCTGGTGGACGTGGCCCTGCTGGAGGATCAACGAATGACAATGTGATTGCAACCAGTGTATTGGGCAACGTCAGCTTTGACCACCACGAGAAGTTAGCTCGGGGGATGTTTTATGATTTGCCTCAGGAAGGCAAGGAGGGCACGTTTGCCTACTTGGCCCGTGCTGTGCTCAAGTTGTTGCCATACTCTATCGACTTTGAATAAGTTTTTTGGAGGGGAGTTAGTTTTTTTTAATCTTGTTTGCGGTAAGAGTATCTACTGTTTTTTTTTTCTATTCTCCAATCTCTACTATGCATCTAGTTTGTTCTGTTCTTTTCTCATTCTTTCTGTTTATGTTTTTGTGTGTGTCACTCTTGATGTGATTGCTTGTGTGTATGTAAGGCGTGAGTAAAAGTGGCTCGCAAGAGATGTGGCGTGCATGGGTTGTCATCATGTGTTGTACCAAGCTCAAAACAACACGATTCGGTTTGTGCATGTGTCAATTGAGAAGGCACTCAGCCTGTCGGGAATAGAATGAATGAATGAATGGATGTATGTGAGCCCGCATGGAACTAACAAAAATCCCTTGGACTTTGGACATGGCCAACGAGAGTGACACAGGAGCAGGATCTTTAGGAAGGGAGGATGTCAGTTGACGGGCGAAGCAATACATACGAGTTCCCTATTTGGGGCACGATAGTCAATCGACGTGTTGCGGCTGTCTGTGCCATCGCTGGGTATAAAGAGGGGAATCTTTCCCACAAAATTTAAAATCATTCGCGTCTTTCCATTCTTCCGTTTTCAGCTCTCAGATCCATCATTCCCTTTCCATACACACAGACACTTACACAAAACAATAGCAAAAGCAATCACAACCACGCACACACACACACACACACCACTTTCTTCTCTCAGTTACCTTTTCTTTCTTTTCCACAAACACACACATACACTCAAACAAGATGTTCCCTTTTACATACACGCTGGGCAACCAAACACCACAACAAAACACAACCACAACCACAATCCACCGCGAGAGCACGGACGAGGTCTCAAAGATCCTCACCACCCTCTACGACGGAGAGTCCATCAACTCTGGCAACAGCAATAGCAGCAGCAGCATCGACTCTATCCAGGCGCACTTCTTCTTCCAACACCAACAGTTGATTCAGCACTCCGATGCTCCATTGTTTTTCCATTCGACCCCAACCTCAATGTTGAATCCCGCACCGTGGAACATGTTCACTCCCACGCCCGTGTCGCCCGCGTCCCCAACATCGTCCTGCTTCTCGTCCTCCGGCAACGATACCGATACCGAATGGGACTCTATCTACTCCAGCCCTGCCTTCGCCTTGCTCCCTTACCCAACTAACTCTGCAGCCAATACAAGCATCGACGCGATGAAGGTGGAACTCGATGAGGACTCAAACCTGTTCTTAACGATTGAGGATCTCCTCTCGAATCACGTTTCGGCCGTTGACGAAAATGCCGCAGTTGTCGGAGCCGCCTCGGCAGGAGGAAATGGCGATCTGTACCAGTACTCTGCTGCTGGGTTTACCCTGCTTCCTGAGTACTTGCGGGTACAAGAGGAGGACAAGAAGTCACATCAACATCGCCGTCGTCATGCCAAGGGCAAGAAAGCGCTGCACATTTCCGACAATGCCGGTTCACATCCATACAACAACTGCAACCGAACAACAGGCGGTCCTCAACGCTTGTCTTCTCGTTCTCCCGTTATCTCCTTTGCGCCTTACACGTCACCCACCATCTCTTGCGCCTCACTTTCTCTCAACCAGAAACAACATAACCACAACCACAACCACAACCACAACCACCTCCGCCAAGACGACGACGACGACGCAATATCAACTTACTCTTCCTCGTCCTCCCTCTCCTCTGCGCCTTCCTCCCGCGACAGCTCTCCCGAGACCTTCACTACAACAACGAGCTCTCCCGAGACCTCCACTACAACAACGACTACCTCCAACGGAACCGAGACCAAGACGACCTCCTCCGACGGCACTACAAGGATAATCAACAAAGACGGCTCCATCATGTGCTTCAACCGCGCCACCCTCACCACCACCTTCCGCTGCAACCTCTGCCCCACCCAACAACAATCTTTTGGTCGAATCCATGACCTGAAACGTCACCAGGCAACAAAACATGCAACTGCCGAAGGTGGTGCTCCAAAGGTGTGGCCTTGCGAGTTCTGTAAGAACCACTTCGTGAGACGGGATGCGCTGTTGAGGCATTATACTATCAAAACTGTGAAGGACGATGGTGTGCATCCGGGGGAGGAGGAGGAGGATGTTTTGGCTGCTGCTCGTGCTCGTGCTAAACTTATCTGAACGAGCGAGGGGAGTGAAGACGAGAGCGGGAGAACAACAATAACAACAACAAGAACGATTCCTCCCTCTCTCTTCATTCGCGAAGAACAATAACGATCGCACAACCAACAACAACTACAGCAACAACAATAACAACAGCAACAAACAGCAACAAAAACAAAGAAAGTTTAATTTTTCGACAATACTCTTGCACAGAAAACCTTCTTCCACACAAAAAGCAACTTTCATTAGCTTAGTCTTTCTTTTTCTTCTTCCTTTTAATTCTTTTTCTTTTTTTCCTTCAAACATTGTGAATAGCTCCTTCTTCTCTTCTCCTTCCCAACTTGCATTCTTTCTTTCTTTTTACACTTTTTACCATTTGCGCAAACAAAAACAACTTATATTAAAAAAATGTATCATATCATGTCCCAAACAAACACACAGTCGCTGGAGTTGTACATCGATTTTATTCATTCTTCTGTTGTGAAATGAGGAGACAAAACAAACAACAATGAAAACGAATGAGGAAAGAAAAAAATGATGTAATGACACACGCGCTACTTTTCCTGTCATCTATCTCGTTCTGACAAAGCAAAAGGAATCAAGGTAACACAAAGTAAAAAAAACGGCGTACAACGGGGGAAAAAAAAACATAAACGTAAAACAAATGGACGAGGGTAGGCGAATGAAAGAAAATGAGGAGAAAGGAACAATCTAACGCGGACGACTCATCCTTCCTCCTCGTTCTCTTATCCTCTACTGTTTCTAGCAAGAGAAAACAGTTCAGGTTTCTTTAGACCATGGCGGATCCATCGTAGGGAGGAGGAACATGAGCATCGCCATCTTGCTGGGAAGAGTCAAGCTGGACTTTGGCATCCTTCTCGTTACGACCTTCACCCTGGAGGATCTTCTTGAACTGCGGTTCAGGGGCCGGGTAGATGTTGTAGACGACGATTCCTCCGATGATCAATATATACGCGATCGGGTACAGCTTGTTGATCTATTATCGTGTTGGAAGAAGTAAAGGAAGGAAAGAAGGTAAGTGTTTGTTCTTGGTCAATGGGGAAGATGTTGACGAGTATGAAGATCGATTGTGCCTTTAGTGCTTTCTTTTGATTCAGGGCAAAGTGAAACACAGAGGACGAACCAAACAGGCAACAACAAAAAGTATAAACAACCAACAACAAACAGCCACAGCCACATTCAACAACAATATCCCCCATTCTTACCTTGGAGTTGAAGAGGAAGATGCCAAAAATGAGTCCATAAAAGTCACTCGTCAACAAACTCAAATTAAAGAACGTCGCACTCGACAGACGGAACAACACCGGCGAGACAGAGTACATCATAAATAGCGCCACATCAAACCCGATAATGTACCCCACAACCTCTGGCGTCCAATTGACATTCCGGATCTCATTCCTCTCCAAAATCGCCAACTGGATCCCGTTCAGAATGGTCGCCCAGAACCCCAATTGACCTACGACCTCGTACAGAGGGGTCTGGCGGACCAAGAACTCCTGGTAGACGTTCGATACCGCATAAAGAGACGCCCCAAGGAGACAGAACAGGTCTCCTTTGACATAATCCGAACCCGGGAAATCCTTCCCAGCCTCCATGTCCGACCAGATCAAGAAGCCCATCCCGGCCATGGCAAAGAAGACACCGAGGTAGTGGTACCGGATGAAGCGCATCTTGAGGAAGAAGACCGACAGGAGGACGACACAGGGGATTGTCCATGCGTCGAGGAGCATTGCTGAGAGGAGGGATGTGTAGTTGTAGGCCTTTACCACAAAGTAGTTCCCTTCTACATCAATCACCGCAAACAACATGTCTAATTAAGTTCATTTGAGGACAAGAGCAATTGTGTTAGCATGTGTTTTATGTATGCACGATGGTCATGGAGGGTGTGGATAGTTGGGCGCACGTCCTTGTGATGATGTTGGACATGAAAAAATCCGCCCAATGTTACACACAGACACTATCTTCTGTCCCTCCCTTCCTTCCCTCCTGCTGACCCCCACACATGCACACCAACAAACAATCAACAAAAGCACAAGACCAGCATTCATATACTTACAGTACAGGGCCCTCCGACGCATGATCTCAATCCACCCCCAAAACCCCTTCTTATAAATCGTCACACTCGTATACACAATCCCCAGGACCAAATAGTTCAAGAACGACTGTGTGGTGGGGATCGAGACCGGGTTATCACCCTGGGCCAACTTTGTGGTGAAAATGGTGGTGGCGGTAATGCAAAGCGAGAGCAATTGGCCGAGAAGGAGGATTGTCAGGAACTTGCGGGAGCACAGGTTCGCTAGACGCTGCTGCATTGTTGGGCGGGTCATTGGAACCACCAGAGGGGTTGAGCTGTCGGCTGTTGTTTGCAGGGACTGATTGGTGATGGGGAGCACGGAAGTGGTGTCCTGCTTCCGGAGTGTGGGTGTTGTTGTGGTGTCCATGGTGTGGTAACTTGGGTTCATTCCTGGTCTAGAAAAAAAAACTTTTTACTTGGTTGAATGTCGTTTTCGTTGATGCTTGTTTTTTGATTGCTTTTTTTTTTTTTTTTTTTTTCGTTGATTGTGATTCACTTTTTGTTGTTGTCAGATGAGAGTCGAAGAGTGTTTCAACGAAGTGTAGGTGTGAGTGTTACGTCTTTTAGATGGTGGAGGGGTGAAAAGACGATGAAAGCGGCCCATCCGATCACTCCATGGCGGATCCCCTCCCTACTTATACTCCTTGAGCTCCTTTCTCCCTCAATCTCTGCCTTTGCATTACGTTTAAAACAGCAGTCACATTTGATATAGCGCTGGGTTTGCGTTGCCTTGTTGTGAGAAGGTAGCAAGAGGAAGAAGTGAAAGAGGAACAACCTTTGCTTGTTCTTGGGGTTGATTCTTATCTAGACGTCTCGCCACTGTTGCCCATCATATGTGTGTGCGTTGCAATTTTATTTAATATCAAGCAGGAAGCGCGCAAAGTATAAGCGAGAGGATATATGAATGTGGAAAAAATGTCTAGGAAGACTGGGCTCTTGGGAGACAAGGATTCCTTGTTGAGATGCACTCTTGTAGACAAAAAACCGGATAGGCACGGGTGTGGGAGAAAGGAGGAGGAATGGAATGGGAGGAGTACGGGATGGTCTGATTTGGGAAGTGAGAAGGGAAAAAAGAGGTTGTGGAAGGAGAAAGTACCAGGAGCTGCAAAGCAGGGGAGCAATTGAAGAATGCATAAGGGTCGCTAGTGAGAGGTGTGCATGTTCTAACAAAAAACCTGTTTCGAAAATCTTTTCGCCAAGTCAAGACGGGGACCCCAATGAGTGAGTGAACACGACTGAAAAAGATAAGTGTCACCTTTCTTCTTTCTTCTTTCAGGGGAGAGGGAATTGGGTAAGGGTGCCCTGTGGGCCCTCGCCCCTTGGTCCTCTACGCCTTACTATCTTCCTTCCCCCTGTCGGTGCGAAACACAAACACAAACGACGTAAGAGCGAAAAATGATCGGGGAAAAAACTTTTTTTTATTTGTGAATGTTCCTATTACCCTGTGCGACGTCCATGCATTCATCCAAAACAACAAAGGAAGACGAAAGCCACACAAACTGAATCGAGGGGGAGTGACACGCAAGGAGGAAAGAAGGAACCTTGACTAATTGCCATTGCAGGTTTAGAAGAGGGTGTGAATAACAACCTGGGGTGGTAGAGGGTATGACGAAGCCCTTAGGCTTGTTCTAGATCCGCTCACATATGTGTCTTGTCGATCGTTTTTTTTGGAGGTTGTGCGCAGTGCAGAGATGACATAAACAAGAAAGGTCAAGAGGGAAAAGCAGGTTGTGGCAAACGAGTATCTCTCCGACCTGTTCGTACATCGAGATTGGATGTAGAAGAGGGTGGGCAACTGTGCAAACGGGTGTTGGTGCATGGATATGATAGCTCGAGTACCGGGTGGCACCGCTCTGTTCAGCGAGCGAAGAAAGTAGCTAACGACGATTATTATGCGAGAACAAATCGAGCCCTCTTGACATTCTGCACCAAGATTCATATCTTTGTCCTCGATCCTCTCCCCTCCTTCCCCGTCTACTCTTCGAGGACTCCGTTGATTGCTTGGTCCACAGGGTACAGGAGACAGACACGGCATCGGCATTTTGCATGGCCGGGGTGAGTATTACGGTAACGGACTTTTTTTCATATCCAGGTGACATCCATGATTGGCTGGATTCCAGAATGAGGCTCCTACTGTTGCTGAAATGAACAGCTTTATCCAAAAGAGGGGTCTGTAACTCTGTCTTTGTCATAGGTCGAAAGAAAAGGTGGCTTGATACTCGCTGACTACAGTACTTGGTACATTGACAAAGAAGAGAGGCACGAGGATAGAGTAGGAAATGAACAGGGGCCACCTGAGTACACCTGAGTACACTCCAGAAAAGGGAGTTTCCGGCCCACTTGTTATGTGGATAGTTGGAAGGAATATTACGCACCGCAGTAAGCAAGAGAGGATATTCCCGACTCTTCTCGCTCTCTCGCTCACTTGTCGAGTGTGTCTAACCAAGGAACAGACAAAAAACAACGGGACGCGTGTTCGATTACGTCTGGCAGAGTGCGATTATTCCTTTTTGCGGTAGAACTGCGTAGTCAGCGAGTAGTTAAAAAAAAGGGGTCTCCAAAGAGCCAAGCCATGACAACTAAAAGTCGATATAAGTAGATCAAATTGTTCCACTTTTTTTTTCCAACAAAGCCCACTCTTCTTTCTTTTAAACACTTTTTATGTGTTTCTCCCTTCTCGCCGTATTCTCTTACTTTGATCTCCTTTTCTTACCCGCCAAGGCACAGACACTGCAGCCCTTACTTTACTGGCCCGATCCCTCCCTCTTCGCACTAGCTACGATCTTGGCGACAGCAGCATCCATTTTTTTCTCTTTCTCGACTGCCAGCACTTTTGGTAGGTTCAATTGTTTGCCACGATAGTGACACAGCTCCCTCCTCGCACAATCGACCCATACTTGTTTGTCTTGAGGGCAATTGACAATGACGTGGAGAGGGCGGTGGTGGTGTGTGTTGACACGCGCTGGCTTGGCCCTCCTTCTTCTTGGCCCATCTCTATCCTCTATTATATAAAGAGTCAAGCCCTAATCCTTTTTTTTTTGATTTTATTTTTGCACTTGCAAATGGCTCTCGATGCTCACTAGCGCTTTCTACCACTATTTTCATCTTCACTCTTGCTACGCGCTCTCGTTTTTCGTCTTTTCATGATCGGTCGGATATTGTAAAAAAGAAGAACAAACCAGAAAAAAAGGTAAGACGTCAAGACGATTAAGCATCCCACATGGCATCCAGCCCATCTCATTCACCGTCCCTCATACACGACACCACCTCACGAATTTTGTATCCATGGACTGTCATCCAGTCAGTCTCACAAGACACCGACAACAAAGTAATGACGGTCAGACACAATTGACACGAACCTTTCATCTAAAACAAAAACAAAGGGTGCGCGTATACCATTTCCCAATGTGGTTTGTTGTTGTTGTTTGTTTATATGGTGTGTGTGAGCGAAAATTTTGATTTGCAGAAAGAGAGAAGACAGTGCGGAACTACTGGTTGTGCGGTGGATATTTCATCCTTTTCCCTCTCATTCTTTCAATGGCCCCCATTTTGGCATCCCCTTACTCTGGACACACCCTCGTCGTGCGTGTCCAAAGAAAAGATTTGCGATGGATGTGAGAGCACAAGCCAGATTACGTGTGTATGGGCCATCGGCCCTTTCTTTTGCCATTTCCCAGACACCCTCTCTTTCTCTTTTTCCTGTCCGCTGTCCAGATGCTGTTGCACAAAAACAACACCTCTCCATTTGTGCCTTTTTTGGATTTGCCCAATCCTCTCCGCACACCATAGCCCCTTCTTTCATCTTGCACCCTGTTTGTTGTCGGGTCTAGTCCCTTTCGACTCTCTTTCCTATCCCTTTCTTTGTTTTTCCTTTCCTTCTGGTTTCTGATCTCTCTCTTGTCTCTTGATCCCTCACTTCCATCTCTCCCCTTCCATCTCTATTTCTTTGTTCCTGACATGTATGGTAACAGTGCGCTGTTTCTGTTGTTAACCTGTCCTTTCATTTCTGTGCATAAAAAGAAACGCCTCTTTTGCCGCTAATTGCCTTTGCAGGGAGTGGAAAAAGGAGTGCGAATGCGAGCGAAGAAAGGAAAAGAAGGAACGAGAGAATGCCCGGAGATGTTTTTTCGGAGTAAATTTCTACCTTTGATTCCATAGGGGACTCACACACACTAATCACACATCACAAGGGAGGGCGTAGTTGCGGGGTTCTTGTTCCCTCATTTTCGCACAGCACTCATATCCTTTCGGGGTTGAGTTCCCTCGGTCCATTTCTCATCCACTTCCCCTTTCTGCCCTTGCAGACAGGGTCTCACCCTTCTATCTCTGTCATACTTGTTCCTTGGCGGGACATTTTACTTGCCGTGCAAGTCCAGGAGGACAATACAAATGATGACAGACAATTGAAGGACGGCGACGATAGTAATAAAAAGAGCGGGAGTACCATTACTTTTCAAGAAGCGACTCTGCTTTTCTTATCCTTCATTATCATAGAGTATCCTTTTTTTCCCTTCAACACTTGTTTTTTGTTGACTCGTGCACTCTCTCTCTCCCACTGTTTTTCTTACTGGAAGAAAATATTTTTTTCATCGTTGCCCTCATTTTTGATTTTGTTGTGTGAAACAGCGATCATATTTTCTATCTCTTCGCTATATTCTATTTTCTCTTTTCTCTTCGTCTTTCTTCTCTTCACTCCTCTTCACGCCTTTCCCTTAGATCTTCTCTCTTCTCTCCACTCACTCATCCATCCACTCACTCACTCACTCACTCATTCACTCTTCTCTTAACCCCTTCCCTCTCCCCCTTTTTAGCCCTCGACTACTTCTTCCTCGCTCTCCTTTCAGCCTTCGACTTCTCTCCCTCGCTCTCTTTTCAGCTTTCTACTACTCCCTCACTCTCTCACACCTCCTTTGCCACCAACCAACCAACAGCACACACACATTCACACATTCGCATTAGCAGGTATGTACCCATTCCTCCCTCCCTACCCTCATCCAGTCCTACCTACACACAGACAAGACCAACAAGTCCCTTTCTTGTCCCACCACTTCCACTCCTTCACTCCTCTCCTCTCTCTCTCTCAACACCGTCATACCCTATCGCCTCAATACACTTTTACCACACTCGCACATACTTTCGGTACCATGCAAAGAACCTACACTTGCTTCTTTGATCAGTGTTGATGCTGCTTCATTTGCCCCCTACATTTCCCACCACCACACCACTTCCATCCTTTCCACCTCCTTGCACATTTTTTTCCCCTTCCAAACGGGAAAAAGGGGCGGTTTGCATACGGGTACTTCCCGTATGACTTTTTTTGTCGTTCTGTTCGATCCGTTTTCCACCTACACACGATCCACCACCCTATCTTTGTACAGATTTTTGCTTTTGACACCCAGCCAGAAGCATGCTTAGTTGCACCGAGACCTACATCCCTCTCGTGCCTTGTGCATGTTGACACATGTCATAAAGATACACAAACATGACCATCCCGAATCCCGACCTGGACTCTTGTAGTAAAAGAGAGCATCCGCCCAGGATGTAATGTTTATGTCAATCCACATCATCATGCCATTTTCATTACTTAACCGAGAGCCCTCTTCTTTTTTTGTTTCCTGTACTATAGTACCAGGCGAGACCAGGCCTTTGTCTTTACCAGAGATCACGCCAGCAAACCTTCACACCTCTAAATCCGATTTCGCCGTCTTTCTCTCCTTTCAATCTCCACACACACTCTTCATCCAGTTCATATCAAACATCCGATTACCCAATTACACTCCTTCACTCGCACCTACTTACACCACCAACGAACCAACTTCCCGCACTTTATTCCTTCTTTCCTTTTTTCTCATTCATTCTTTTATCGAAATTTCACTTGCGCGGTATCACCCCATTCACAGTTCATCCCACCCCTCCCCAATCTCGCTCCCTCTCCTGAGCCCCCTCTAGACAGACCAGCTTTCACCATTCAGCCCTCACTCCCCTCAACTGTACTCCACCCGCCTGTCGTTCTCAGCTTACCCTTGCTGCTGAGCGCCATAGCATCAATAACAACAGCGCCCTTCGATCCATGTCGGCCATAGCAACAATGAAGGCCCTGGTCGACGCAGAAAAGAGGCGAGCTACTACTGCATCGTCCCTGCGTCGACCCTTTTCCCTCCCAGAAGAGCAGTCACACAACAGATCAGTTCCGCCTGCACCTTCCCAACAGCCAGTCCCCTCTTCGATGTCGACTTTGGACTCTTCACCGGTAGCATCCTCGACAGCAATGGTCTTCCCTCCTCCACTGGAAGTTATCCCAGTCGTCCCAAAACTCAACACAACACCATCGTCAGCAGGCTTCTACTCAGACTCGGCCAACTCGTCCGCCTCATCTTCGCCTACCCTGGGCTCTCACGATTCTGTCACCTTTACCTTTAGCTCTCCTCTCTTTTACGACCAAAAACTCTATATCTATCGCATCCTCCTCGCCATCTACAAACAACTCGCCAGATGTATCGAGGAACACCCCCTCGTCCTCTTGATGCTCCAGTACTCTGTCGCCTTGATCCACGGTTTCACAGTCTATCTTGTCTCGGTCATCCTCTCTGTCGCCCAGCTCATCATGATTGCCTTCACGATCGAAAATCTGGACTGGATCCAATCATACAAGCCATTGATGTGCGAGTGGGACAGTCATTTCCCTGGATTCGTCTTTCCTGCATTGGATATCGACTCGGAAGAGGATGACGATGATGCCTATGCATCCAAGACTATCTCACGGGTTCACAAGGGCGGACGGTACTGGCAGGCCCAGGCCACCCTCAAGACTGGCGACGACTCGGCTGATGATGGCTATCACTCAGAGGAATCCCAAAAGCAGTTGATCGTTCGCCAGTCCATGAACTCGACCTTGCGTAAGCGTCTCGCCAAGTACCAGAACTGGGTTCCGTTACTTTGGTCACCGGAGGAGAGCAGCATCCAGGAAGCCTCGGAGGATACTGAGGAAGAGCAAGGACCCAATGAGACTGAGGACCACTATTCGGCCAGGATACGTCGCGCACTCGTCCGCACACTATCGGGAGGCGACTACCAGCCAACCAAGGGCAAGCGTCGTGTCACATTTAACGAGCAGGTCATGATCTTTGGTCGCAGGCGATCGAGTCAAGTTTCTCAGGAGTTTCCTACCGGCGACGAGTCATTGTCTTTCACATATTCTAGTGTCTCTTCCGATGCGGTCAAGTCTTCGACGACGTCAGCCTTGCATACGGAGCAGGCATCTTCGACTGTCATGGTCGTCAAGGAGCATCAGAGTTATTCGTCGACTGGAATTATGACCGCCTCGGCCACGACCACCTCTCCCATGGACCGTGAGAAATTGGCGACACTCACACACGAGGAGGCCGAGTACCAGCAAAGAACAGCATCAGAGGACACCAATGGCTCTGGAACTTCTTCTCCAACTTTTACTCCAACATCCTCCGCCGAGTCTGCATCGACCGTTTCTACTACATCATCTTGCTCGGCTGCAGTCAAGTCTGCGACTGCCAGGGTCATCAAGCAATCGGGTGACCTCCGTCGGTCGAGCTCTGTCCCTATGAAGATTGGATCCTTTCTCAATCGGCACCAGACCAGCAACCAGGAGCCAAGGGGCACATTCCCTTGTCACTCTTCTACCTTCTCAGAGTCAAGCACGGTCTCTCAGAACCCACGCGTACTTCCGGATCATTTGGAGCCTCAGCAGGAAAACAAGCAGGAAGCGGTCTCACCTCGATCGTCAATGTCCTTGGGAACCCGTGCCAAGCGTTCCTTCTCTCTCGCCCTCCCTCGACCCAACAACAGCAACAACAGCAACAGCGCAGCATCTCTTGTCGCATCAACAGAACCCAACAACAAGGACCCTTCACTTCTCGATCGCCAAGGGTCTGCGACCAAGAAGAACTTTATGTATCGGATCGTTCACCCTCAACGTTACAGGCGCGAGTTGGAGCAGCAGCTTACGGATCGGGAACGTCAGCGACTCTTGACTCTGGCTCACCTCCAACGCGATCATATCTTGGCTGAGGATTCCTTGGACCCCAACGCTCGCTTTTCTTCCACGGAAGCTGCAGCAGCGCTCCGCTCATCCGATTCTGTCCTTTATGGCGATCCTTACTACTATGCCACCTCGGCCGAGTACATTGAGGGTCTGGGTGCCCCTAACTCAGTGATCTCAACCTCATTCGGAACATCATTCCCGGAAGAGCTCCAGCGCCATGGCAGGTCGTCTTCAGGATCCAAGGGTCGCTCCAAGGTAACCAGGCCAGCCTCGTACGACTTTGACTGCAGACCTGTTGAAGTCCATACAGCAGCGTGTGGGTATGGATCTGAGGGCGAGACGGACCCGAGTAGGATGACGGGCAAGTTGGAAAAGTCCATGTCGATAGGACCTCACCATGGATTCTTTCGACGCGAGAGCAAGAAGAAGAACGAGGGCATCGTCCAGGACAGAACCCAGTCTCCAAACCGCCTTCAGCAACTGTTCCCGCACCCTGGACACAAAAAGTCGCACTCGTCGTCTTCGTCTCTCGAAGCGGTTGTAACTGCGGTCACCAAGGAAGCCGGTGCTCTGGATGCGTCAGCTGTGCCCAGCCAAGGAGGTCGCTCCACCCCACCCATCTTTTCGTCCCCTACTGCCGCCAGTGCTCACAAGCTGTTGTCGCGAGCCCGAACCAACTCTCGCACCTTCACGACATTCACCGCTCTTGGAATGCCCGCTAACCCTCCCGCACAGCCTATGATGGCGGCTCAGTTTTCGGGAGCGCTTGCTGAGCACGAGATGAAGCACACTTCGTTTACTGCCTTCGGGTTTCCGTCTCCGACCAGTTCGCCCGTCCACTCTGCACCTGCCTCACCTCGTCACTCGACCAGTTCCATGACCGATTTTCATGCCCACCTAACCCGCCAACAGCCTGTGCCACTTGTAGGGTCTGAGGAGTTTGTTGGCCAAGGAGTTACTGAGTCTGAAGAGTACTACTATTACCACCACCACCAGCAGTACCATCGGCAGCAGGAAGTCCTCTTGCCAGAAGATGAGGCCCAGGACCACGATGGTGTCAACTACCTGCCCTCGTCTGCCCCCATTGTCATGGAGTCGGTTCCGTTTACCAAGAAGGGCGGACAGGATGATGGTCAATCGAGTAGAAGCAGCAGTCGCAGCAGCAACCACGGTCAAGCCGACTTTGAAGGCTCTACAGTTGTCAGTGGTCGCGAGATGATTGTCGATGGAACAGTCGTTACGAAGCGCCCTAGCGGACTGAGCTTTATACGCAAGCTCAGTTTGAAGAAGAAGTAGTAGCATGCATTCTTGCACATTGTACATATATCCCCTACACGCATTCGCCTTTTTTTTCGTTTTTCCATTTGTTGTACAACATTCTTCCTGCATTAAAGACATTCTTTGTTTTCTTTTCGTTCAGTTTTCGTGTCATTTTTTTTTTTTTTCTTTTTCATTCAGAAAAGTAACAAATAAAAAAATAACGTCTTAAGGTAGTGGACTGTCATTGCAGTTAAGCTTATTGATCTAACGCGAAGCTGAGGCGCAGCGAATTACGGTATGTCTTACGCGATTTTAGTAAACTCGGTTGGTGGCTTTAATCAGTCTCCTTAATTTTTTGCATGTGTTTGCCTTGGATCAAGATATTACTGTTTTCAGAGCAAAATTTCTTGAGTGGTGGTTCTGAGGTCGCACAAGCAGCAACTTGGACACAGTCTGACAGAGTCGCGGGCACTTCGCTGCTTTTCTCTTTTCTTTTTATTGATCGTACACTTGATTTGTTCTGTACTTGGCGCAGGACATCCATATGTCCGAGGTTTTTTTTTTTATATTACATCGAAGCCGCATACTACTTCTAACTGTTGAAGAGGCGAGTCCAGAGTCGGCCACGGACATCAGAACAGATATCGCCCAGCAAGAACGCCTGTGCCGCATCCTCAATCATCAGATCCGCCGTATGCCTCTACGCGCCTTTGACCCAGTGAAAACGCTCTTGCGTGGTTCTTATAGATATTGTGCTGCGGCTCTTAGTCCTGCTCCGACCCGCTGTCGTTTTGAGTAAAGAGGCGGCACTGCTTGGTTCGCTGTTGTGAGTCGTGTCTCGCCGACACTTTGCTTTCTTTTTCTTAATTCTCGCAGGAACAACATAAATATGCAAAAGTTGACGGTTGTCAGACCTTTTTTGCGACAAGATTTTTTTTTAAAGAGGATGTGCAGCTGGAGTTAATGATATTGACGAATTTTGAAAACAGAAAAAAAAATGATGACAAATTTTTCGACCACCGCGAAACTGCACATGGATGTTTCCAAGCGTGCTGTGTCCACTTCATCCGCCAAAAGAGAGAAAATTCGAGCGCCTTCAGGCGTTCAAGGTGATGCAGTCGGCAAGAATTTGGAATGTAAGGGGTTCATCCTGGATATACTCTTTGCGGGACATGTTCGATTAAAATTGACTCCAAGTTGGGGGATAATTCCACAATACCGATGTCGTTCCGGTAAAACCGTGAGCTCCCTGACCTGTCAAGTGCCCTCTCCCTCCTCACCGCCATCCGCGATCTCTGTCTTCTGATCAGCTTCGAGCTCTGTGTTTCCTGTCTTCCCATGCAGTCCATACCACTTGCCTCGGAGGTCTAACTCCCATAGCTGTGAGAAGCAATCAAAGAGTAGCAATAAGGGTAAGAGAACCTGGATGTGAGGAAATTGTAACTCCATAGCCCGAAGCACCTCATTTTAATATTCTGTTCCTCTTATTTGGATCATCAACTCCTTGACTCTTTTTGGCCATTCTCAAGATATTTCTGAGGGCGGTTCATGGGAAAGCTGCGATTGCTGGATGGTACTAGGTTTGGGTACAACTCTCTTCCAATCGCCACATTCGTCCAATGGAATAACTGAGTTTGGAGAAATTGGATTTCAAAGTGGGAGTCAGAGGGAGAAGAAGAAGGAGAGGAGGGCGAAGAGGGGGAAGAGGAAGGAAGGAGGGGAAGAGGGATGCCGAAATGGGAACGCCTTATGTTGAATTTGAAAAGCTGGAATCCGGGTTCATATGTTGAGAGACAGCACCGCTTTCCACCGCTTTCCACCGCTGTGAAACTTTCAGTTCAATGTACAGCGATGGTCCGTCCAACGATTAACCGATCTGATGTATGACATCTGCCGGGAGGTGCACGTTTTGAATGCAAGCTGCAAGAGGATTAGCGCTGGGTGCTGGTTTAGCCATGTGTGTTGCTGTTGAGGTTGCTGTTGTTGTTGAAGTAGTTGAGTAGTGTTGTTGAACTTCTGTTGTTGATTTTTTGGAACTGTCATTGGTGAGGATGGTGATCGTAAAAACGGCTGAATGTTTGTTTCGGATTCGACGTAGATCAGAGCACGATGTCAAACCCTCTTCTGGCGCTCATTCGTTGATACATTGAACAGGAAAAAAACCTCCTTCCACGGCGATGCAGGTTTGACACGGTTCTAATACAATATTCGAGCCATTGAATTCATGGCCAGTGATCCAGGATTTTTTTTATAGTGAGGCGAGCAACCCACTCTGATTGTGACGTTCTCACTTTGTTAACGTCATCGTTCTGGTGCACCTCCTCATTGAATAAAAAAATAGACCCGTACCGCACAGTAATTTTCTCTTATCCTTATGTTTGGGAATTTTTTGGACTTGAACGATAGTCGAGCGATTGACTTCATGTCCTCTTTAGAAGAAACGAAAAAGAACATTCGGCGGTTCATACAGTTCCTTCAAGTCATTGGACGAGCTGGGAGTTTTTTTTTAGATATACTAGACAGCCATTGCTTCCTCCACCTTCACCACAAGGCGATACATGATGGCTGTGTACTTTGCACCTTATTCTCGTCGTTTTTAATAGACCTGCTTACACTAATGGCATCTCTGTGTGCTTCCGCTGTGATGGTTTCACTTTTCGATTTATTCTTTCGTTGCCCTTTTCCTCTATCCGCTCTTTCGATATCTCCTGCGGTTATTTTGCTTCAAAATAATACTCTAGATGATGCAAGAGGTTCACACAGAGGCTTTTTTCCGGCTAGAATGTGTTTAAAATTAAAATCGGAAGGAGGATCATGTTTTCAAGGCGATTTTCTTTGTCTGCCACTTGGCCATCAAAACGAGAACGATATGTTCTTGCCATGCATTTATCATCTTTAGTTTTTTTCATCAGCCGCCAACTACTTCTATAGCGGAAAGACTTCGCGTTGGTACCTTAGAGCTGCATATGGTGCCACACAAGTAGAGCTCACCGATATCCTCCTTACATACCTTGTTAAAGATTTTTCTGGCATTTAACTTTTCAGGATCCAAACCAGCATTCTTGCAAATCACCTCCTTTCATGTGTCATATGTTGTTGTCTGTGCTCCATCATATTTTTTTTGTAGTAGCTTTGATATAAGGAGGAAGTTGCAAAGAGTGAACTGGCTAAAAGGAACTTGACACATGTATCTCAAAGTTAGGGGGTTCGGCCACATTTTTCACTTTTGAAGTCAACTTCTTGCGATCAATCATTCTTGTCGATCAATCGTTCTTGTCGATCCTTTGGAACAGCACCCTCCTTTTTTACGCGACGAGTTCAAATAAGAAGGATTTTTTTTGGGCATTTCGCTTCGTGGTCGTTGGGTAGCGAGAGATATAAACTTACGTGAAGTAGAGTATATGAATTGCTTTGGAGAGATCGGTTTGCCTTTTGATGTGAATGATTTTTCTTATTTGTGATACACGCAGATGGCCAACCACTACCATTAACAAACTCGACGCTCTCATTTGGTTGTCATTTTATTTTGCTTCTTCTCTTAGTGACCAATTTGAGATGCGGGGTCATCGCTTTGGTTGAGAATGTGAAACAACGCCCAGGATACGTTGTTTTCGTCAAATGTTGTAGAACATTGCTACACCATCCATCGTTTTTTTTTTTAGTTAGAAATAAGAAATACTTTCAAGTGGTGGCGAGGTATGTCCTTTAGGTTCATATTGATCGATGGGCTCCAGTGCTCCTTTGTGACCAACTCTTGTTGCAGATTATTCACCTTCTTTTCACTTCGCCTTTCACTGCACTGGATTCATCCATTCATCGACATGGTTTTGATTAACTAGATGAAAATGTAAAACCAACACGATGGATAGGTATGAAAAGGCCATTCAGGTTCAATTGTTAGATCTGATCGGAGGGATGGGACTCCATCGACTGAGGTTCCCTTCTTTTCGATCCCATGAATAAAAAAAAATGGCTTTGAGGCGTGAGAAGTATATAAAAATGACATTATTGCTATCCAGTCAAGACGACCACCACGCACGTCGCACCTCACCTCTGTAACCATGAGGAGAAAAAGATACTAAGGGATAATAAAACCTTTCATGCAAAAGAAAAAAAAAACAACTCCTCTTGTAGGTTGGTTTGGTCTGATCTTGTGTTTGGTCTTTGGTGGACAACTGCAGCTTGAATGTACGGTTACTGTCTTTGAACGATGGTTTTGAGTGAGCCTAGTTATAATCTCTTTATTTCTTTTGTGGCCTGCAGTCGTGGTATTGTGTTAGACCACGCACAACCACTCTGTGTTGGACTGGAGATTTGAAGCATGTATCGTTATTTTGTGGGTTGGCACAACAAGGATTTCTCAATGGCTTCAACTCCCCGACTTCCTTTTGTCAGTGAATAAAATATATATCCCGGTAGTATGGAGAGATACCTTGCGACAACCCCCACCCTTTGTCGACACTTTTCATGTTGTCGGTTATAATTTTCACTCAAGCATTCTACTGAAATCAGATTCGGATTGAGTGCCAATCATTCTTTTTGTGGGATAAAAAAAATATAATAGAACAGTGCGTATCAACCAGCAGCAAACATATTTAGAGATTGTGCAAGATGCACATCTACGTTATTCTTTTTTCATGACCCATTTTTCGCTCGTATTTTTCAAAGGTCGTATACTTCTGAATGCTGGGCGCATAAAAAAAAAGCAGCTAGGCGATTGTATGGTCAATTCACCTCATGTCTAAATACGCGTGTCAATTAATACAAAATGGGCGAGACGATATATCATTTGCGGTCTTCCTTGGTACTTTTGTAAAAGGTGTCTACTCGTGGATCCAAACGTCCATCGCATCACTGACCTTGCCAACAATACATTTCATTTTTCAATGTGATAGGGACTACACACCTTTTTCCACTTATCGAGGAAAAGGGAATGTGTGGTTGAGAGAGGGAGAGAGAGAGCGCGCGCTAAAATAAGGCGGTGAGGAAAAACTGGAGAAAGGATTTGAAAGGAAAGTGAAAGAAAACAAGATGGAAAAAGAAAGGGGAAGATTAGGGCGCTAAGAAAAGATGCCTGGTCATGTGTGACTGATGAGGTGTCCATGGTCATCAAGTACACTGATTGAAAGAAATGCATCATTATCATTCAGCTTTTATACTTTCGCATTTCGCATTTCGCGCGAGAAGCCAGACGCCTCAAAGTCAAGTAAGCTACGCATCACCTGTTAGTACGTCAGCATCAGGTGGAAATCAAAATGGTAGTACATTTCACAATATTTATTGGTGTGGACTCATGGTTACCCCAAATCCTAAAAATCAAACAGCCACGGCTCTAACATCCAGCGCCTAAGTCTCGGAAATGGAAGAGATACCGATAGCACCACGCTGGATCAAGAGCTTCTTGTAGTTGTGGCTCAGGCCAGTCGCGTTCCTGAGGATCGAACAATCAGCAGAGAGCGTCCCCAGATGGGGGCTCCAGACCAGTTTGACCGCAACGCTTCCGCTGGCTCCCGGCTCTACTCTCCACACTCTGACAGATCCATCTTCGCACGCTGAGGCGAATTCCATAGGGTTGACCGGATTCCAAACAAGGTCTAGAACGGCACTGAAGAGCCCTTGGACCAAAGACACACACCACCAACTCACCCACTCGTAGGGTGCCTCGCGCCGCCAGAGCCGTATCACCTCGTCGTCACCGCCAGACACCAGCCATTGCCCGCATGTTGAGTAGGCAATACATCGGATTCGAGCCTTGTGTCCCTTCAGCTCGAACTTAGGGCTCTTCGACTCCAGACACCAGATAAGGATTGATAGGTCGTTGGTGCCAATTGCAAGATGACGGCTGTTTGGCGAGAATGCGAGTGCTGAAAACTTTAGATCTTTCCGCAACCTGAAGGCCCAATTTCTCCGTAACTCGAATGCCAAGCTCGGACCTTCTTGAAGCTCAAAGACTTGAACAGTGCCATTCTCGAAGCCGACGGCGACTTCCAGTCCAGTTGGCGAGAATGCCATGAGACCGACTGCATTGCCACGACCTGAAGACACACCAACAAGATTATATCGCTTCTCGGTGTTGCGGAGATCCCACAGTCGAACAGACTCGTTCTTGCTGGCAATGGTGAGCCAACGACAACAGGGCGAGAAGACTAACTCAACCGCTGTACTCCAAATCTCTCGTAAGGCAGGTCCTGCTACATCGGTCTCGACATCCCATAGCCGGACAGAACCACCTACGTGGCCGGTTGCGATTTGCTTGCCGTCCGAAGAACATGCCATAGTGTTGATGGCCGGAAGTTGCGAAAAGTCAAGTGCGACAGGTTCCGATGCTCCAGAGAGCCGATTCCACCGTCGAACGGAATGGCGGCTACCGTGTGAGATGATGGTGTTGCCGTCGAAAGAGTAAACCAACCCGCGCATATCATCTACCCGACCTTGGACTTCGACAATCGACTGGCTAGACCTCACCTCGCTCAGTCGCACCTTGAAATCGCAACCTCCCGAAGCAATCTGATGGCCATCCGGAGAAAAGGTGACAGCCCACACCTCGCTCCTGTGCCCGGTCAACATAGAAAAGAGTGCACCGGTCGATACGTCCCACAATCTCACTGTGTGGTCCTTGTTGGAGGAAGCGATCCATTGGCCGTTCGGAGAAAATGCGATTCCCGTAGTGGTGTCCGAGTGGCCATGTAGGCAAAGAGTTCGATCTCCTGATAGTACATCCCATAACTCCAACGTACTGTAGTCGTCTCTGCAAGCAAACAAACGCCCTTTCGGTGAATAAACAACGCTGCAAATACCTCTAGACGGGTGACTCCAAACAACGCCAGCCTCTCCTGTCTCCACATTCCAACACCGAATCGTCTCATCCCAGTCGTATGTTGCAAGCTGCTCTCCATCCGGTGAAAACATGACATTCTGCACAGACGAAGTGTGACCTTCCAAGTCAAAGAGAACGTCGCCGGACACCGAGTTCCATATCCGCACTATCTTGTCGTCGCCAGCTGAAGCAAATCGCTTGTCACATGGTGAAAACGCCACAGAGTTGACAGAGCCAATGTGCCCGTACATGGCCAACGATGCCTCGCCACCGGCGCAATCCCACAATCGTAATCGCCCGTCCTTGTCTCCCGATACATATTGTTGGCTGTCGGGTGAAAAAGCAATGCACACATGAGCGTAGGGTCGGGGGTGACTTGACCAGGTTGTCGTCTCATAAATGTTGAAAAGCCCATCCGTCATACCAACAGCGAACAGCATTCCATCTGGGGAGTACATGCAGACTTTCGGGTACCCATTCATAGTAAGGGATGGTGACTCCCCAAATCGAGCTCCTTCCAACTGTGCGTCGCTCAAATTCGCCCGCCGCAACCAACTCCTCGAAAGATCGGCCTTACGCAAGTCAGCTCCCTGAAAATCAGTGTGGTCGAACTGGCCATCTGAGAGATCGGCACCGGAAATCCTGACGCCTCGGAGATCAGCTCCGTGGAATGGCACACCGGCTCTGACTAGAATCGTAATGGCGTTGGTGGCTGCGATGGTGGTAACGGGATCGGTCTTGGACTGGTTGATGACGAAACGGAGCTGCTGCTCGAAATCTGGGTTCGACCTGACTCGATCGCATAGGAACTGGATAACAGATGGATCTGCGAGGAGGTCCCGCCGGAACAAGGGGTTGTCAACAGTGATCGGTTGGAATGCTGAGGACTTCATTTCAGGGCGCGAATCAAACTCTTCGTCCATCCTGGCCGGGGTGTAGATGACGCAAGAGAAACAATACTCGAGAACGGACCGATGGACAAAACGATACTGGTTGCCGGTACGCGTCAATGGGCAAGAGTCGCGGAGTAACTTGATATCGGGCTCGGCGCCGAAAAATTCTGCCTTCCAAGTGTCCTTGTCCTTGGCATGGACATACTGGACCACCGGGTTTCCTTCCTGCTCTCCGAAGATTGCTGCCGACAGTCGCTGGAGGTATTTGACACCGTATCCAATAAAACCACCCTCCACCAAAACGTTGAACGCCACCGCTTCGTTCCTACTTAACGTGTTTGTCTGCAGGCGATCCTTGTTTTTCTTCAGCCATTGATCTACAAACATGTCGTAAAGTCCAGCGCGAGTGACGCGAATGTTTGACAGGTCCTTGTTTGACGCAACTAGCGTAGGCAGAGCCTTGAGAGCCAGTGTGAGCAAGAAAGGGTTCTTGACAAGGTCCATGACATGGGGGATCGCTGCCAGCTTGTCCATATACATTCTCGCGGTCCAAACGGACCGATTCCGGAACAAAAGCGCCGTATCGGGATCTTGCGCATACCGCTCGATATAGTTCTTGACCTGGTCTTTCGAGAAGGGCGCTATGACGGCCTCCTGGAAGAGATCTTGCGAAGTAGAGGCATATCGGTCGCCCGGCTGAGGCTTGAAGCGATCGATATAGCCGGGTCCAAGAAACTGTGTCCGGCAACTGATGACCATCTTGATGTTCCAATGCCACGGCTGATTGAACTGGTTGGTTTGGTGGAGGTTGGCCATTTGCTGGCTCTCGTCGTATCCATCGCAGATGAGGATGAACTGACGATGCTGTTTGAGTTCCTGGATTTGGTCGTCGGAAAAGCGACAAAAGTTCAGTTGCTTTTTAATCATGTCCTGCTCAGGCTGGTCGATGGTGGGGAGGTTGATGTAGAGAGGAATGGGACCACCTTGCTTGTAATCGGTCCAAAGGCGGTATTCTAGATGGCGGTTGAAGGTAGACTTGCCAGAACCAGAGTCGCCCAGCACCAACATTACTTGGCGCTCACTGGCAAGAAACCGCTGCACCTCCTTCATCAGAGAGAAGAGATCGTCATCCTTAGCCTTCAGACCGGGCTTGGCCAAAGGCGGGATGTACACAGACTGGCGACTCATCTCCAGTCGCAGGAGTTGAAGTTGGTGAATATCATACTCTACATCGGGGATCTTTTGAGCCCGCGCCAGTGTTGGTGACGACGTAGGAAGAGGGAGACGATTCCTGAGCGGGTAGGGGAGACCAAACATAGTGCCGCTGCCCAGCTCCAGCACCTTGAGTGTGGCACGAGCGCGGGTTCTGACGGCCAGGTCATCGATGATACCAAGGTGGCCGATGATGTTCAGCATCCATGTTTTGACGCTTGGATCCTGAGTCCACAGTGGATCGTTCCTGTACAGCTCCCCAAGAAGATCAATGGCTTGAAGGCGGACGGATGTATCCCAGATGACGTCGGACGCGATCTCTCCCAACAACTGGCAAGTACCCCATTGAAACAAAGGATCACCGCGACAGGGTGCTTCGCATATGAGTTGGTTGAGATCCTTCAGCTGGCCAGCCTGGGCAAGGGCGTTGGCAGCACAGACGGCAGCATACCACGTTCGCTTCTTGCCAGTTCCAAGCCCATCTTTGAGGCTGTCCAGAACGCCCCGTCCACTCTCTATTAGCGAACAAACACCCTCGACGACAGTAACAACAGTATCGACGACGCTTCCGAGTGATTTCTGCAGCTTGTCGAGTCCCTCGAGAACAGCACGCAGATCCAACTGAAATACGGCCGACACCTTGACCAATCCACCCACAACCCCTGCAGAGTGTCGAAGGACTGCTTCCAATGGAGTCTCGTCATCAGGAACATACTGCAGTGCTTGGAATGCATAGCAGACCTGATACATAAGGTAGGGGTCCGAACTGCCCTTCAATCCTGACAATATCCCTGAAAGCGGCTCATGCTCGACAACTCGATCCAAATTCTTGACCTCGTGTTCCGCCATGACATCCAGGATCCGCGCGACAGCAAGGGCGAGATGGTAGGAGTACTCTGGAGACTGTCCGTGGGTCCCTTTCAGACGAATCCTGAGAATACTGAGGATCTTGATCAAGTCATCAGAGGCGAGGGATCTTGAGGGGGCGGATTGGACCAGCTGGACTAGACCTTGGAGTAGATCGACCTCTAAAAGGACAGACTGATCAAAGGCGGTTATGGTGCATTGCAGCAACCTACGGTAGGTTCCCTTGTCCAGAACGGGGCCAAGTAAAACCATCTCAGCGATCTCGGTCGAATCCTTGGAGGTGTCCTTGGCGAATTCGTCCACCATAAGAGTCCCTAACCAGCGGATTCGATCTTGCAGGAGTGTGTCCTGCTTCATCGCCTTGATCCAGCCAATGTGAGCAGATGTACTATGAGTCATGCCCTGAAGCTCGTCTTGATAGTCGACGATGTCGAGGGCTTTGGGAAGCAGGGAAATGCACAGAGCGAGTTGAGGAGTGGTATCGATACGGGCACCAACATCCGGCAACGAGACACGCACAATAGGCTTGCCGACATTTTGCGTAAAGGCCTCCAAGCAAGGTTTGGCTGACAGGACTAATTGTTGAACATTGGAATCGGGGCTCTTGATGATGGCGCTGAGGACTGCATGCTCAACCTCGATGCTGTTCAGGGCATCGACATCTTTAATACCGCTTGCATTCCCATGGATACTGGCTTTGGATTCGTCATGGTTGCTGGAGAGAATACTCGCGATGGGGTCTTCACTGCTACCAGCTGTGATGCTGTGAACGTTGCTGTTGGTGCTGGAGATGGAGAGGCGATGAATGATCGCCTTGGGACTTGTTATCTGGGACTTGACCTTGGGCTCTGGGAGGAATGACCGGATCAGTTTAGGAATGATATCTCTCTTTCGATTGCGTGAGTGCGGTGCCGATTTGTCCTCGCCATCGTGGTCAAGAGTGTCAGTATGACTTTGGTTCGTGGCAGAAGCCAATTTGCTATGTTCGACATAGATGGCTGCGAGTCCCGCGCTGATAGATCGATCCTTGTTGGTTGTGGTGGGGTTGACTGCCTTTTTGGCTGCTTGGCTGAGAAGTGAGAACGCAGAGTTGGTACTTGACTGTGAGCTTGTGGTGCGGAACGTCGCAGTCGATGGATATTGTGAGAGTTGTTGCCTTAGTGGGGCTGAACGCGAATCCTTGGTCATCGTGGGCACACTAAAGGCAAAAGCGCAGTACGATTGCATATGCAATGATGAGTGGTTGAATTTGATGTAAGCGAAAAACGCAATGCATTGCATCTCCTTTGACTGCTCTCACCTTGTACGTAATCCGATTTCTTTTTTTTTTCGATCGCAGTGGACAGTTGGCAAGTAGTTACAGCGAAAAAAAAATAGTGAGGATGGGCTAATGTTGAGGCAAGGCGCGATTAGCAAATCTCATTGGTTATTGTTCCTTAGCACAGAGTTATATCAGCGGGTTTTACCTTGGAAGAGTCAGAAAGCCAGCACGCTTGGAAAATACGTCTACAGGGCGCGGGAGATGCGCGGGAATGTTCGGGAAAAATCTACATGCATGCAAGTAAAAAATTAGTATCTTGCTCATTTGGCGACGTAGCAGGACGTCCAAGGCAAGTTGAGGGGGCACACTTACTCGGCGTGGGCAGATGGACGGTTTATATGCGTTGCCTATTCCTGTTGATGCTTGCCTTTCCACACGAAAATGATCAGTGGAGGAGGTGCAGCTATTCTCCACCAAAAAGGTCAATTCATAGGGTGAGTTCGTGGTTGACAAATCATCAATTTAGGCTCAGCAGAGGTGTATCCACAGTGCACGTATTCGTACCTTGCAGGCGCTTGTGATATATTCAAGTATTTTGTTTGACTGGCAAAAGCAAGTGGTGGGCAAGGTATCGCCTTGTCTTGGACAGCGAGGTCCTCCGCAGAATTACAGGGTAAGAGGTAGGTGGGTTTGCTTTTAGTCGACAGGCAGTGCTGGAAACGGTTTCTCAGACGTGAAGTGATTGGTTGCAGTGCCCCCAGGCTTGGGACGGCTGGACAAGAAAATACGACAGATGAGCGAGAGAGTTTGGCGAGATGAGGGAACCGAGATTGCAAAGGTGATGGATGGCACGATGCTGGGTGGTCAAAAGGTGTTTTCGGACGGAAGGTGAATGTGAGATGGAGAGAAGGTTAGTGATGAGGGCACTACTGAATGAGTCTGAGGGGGGTGATAAAGAAAGAAAAGAGAAAAGAGAAAAGAGAGAAAAGAGAGAGAGAGAGATGCTGGTTGTGTGGGATGTGGGTTGAGTTGGACTGTGTGTGTGAACCATGGTTGTCGTTGTTTTTACCAATCGGCCGTGTTCCCAGCCTGTCCCACCCCTGTCTTCCTTGGAAAAAAACGCTCGGTGCTCCATTCTTTTTTTCCTGATTGGCTCTTCCCCCACTTGTTTTTGCCAATAGCACAGAGCAGGCAGCTCGGGAAAGAGATCTGAGAGCAAATGTTGCTGTTGTCGTTACTTTTGACCGAGACATAGCACATTTAGCCACATTCTTGTTCTTAACACGAAACAAGGTGAAACCGCGACAGATCAGTTCATGTCATCAATTAAGGTTTGCCAGGCACCAACCTACCCCGAAATCATGAACAACGAAGGTCAAGCTAACTGCGATGCGACACCTTGATTCTGACTACATCTTAAAATACAAGGCATCCCCTTGTACCGTCTATTCCAGCCAAGAATAACCTCATCTTCCCCTTCACCGGGTATGGGAACAAAAAAAAAAGTTCGTAAACGACACCTCGCCCTGCCACTTTCACGCAGGACACATTTGATGCGGGAATGATGGAGTCCTATCCCTTTTTTGTTCGCCACGCCCTCATTTCTTTTAGTCCCTTCCGCTTAAGCATACTGATACTCAAAAACAAAAGTAAACGCGCTTCTGTACGTAACAACTCCACATCTTCGAAATATCAATTGGGCACTTAGCTGCTCGTTCTTGTTTGATAGCACCATTTATTCAGATAGAGCACATGGTTTTGCTTTTTTTTTTACTGTTCTTGTTTAGATAACAGGGAGCCATTCTTATCGACATCTAGAACAACCGGCACCGAGACCCTTTATTTGTCTAATAATTCTGAGATACATTGATGTGGATAGACTGACTTCTTTATAACACAAACAGCTGTCTCTAACATTTATGCCTTGAGAGAAAGAACAGCACATGCGAGTATCGTTTAGTTCCATAGAACTCTTTCACATCGTGCTCCTTATCTTACTTTCCAACGCCAGTTTTTTTCTCAGAGGATTTCCAGAACTCGTTCAAAGGTTTCAACTTTTTCAAGTACCCAACTAATATTTTTTTCACCTTTTTTCAAATGTTGAGGCGATGATGACAGGGCGTCCCTCAATCGCCAAGGATTTCCTTGTAAGGTTTCAAGTTTGGTGGCGGCAATGGCGTTCAAACACCAAAAAGCAGAAGTACGATTCCTAAGTAGAGTGGTCTGCGCTTCTCTCTTTTTTCTGCCTGTTCGACACAAAAAAAAATAATTAACGACGATGGTCAGTAGTCTTTGTTTGCCGCCTCGAAAGGGGGGTTTTTTTCGATTTTTTTTTAATTTATTTGCAAAGATATGAAGGCGCGTTGGTGTTCTTTTGGCTATGTTTTTTTTGAGGTGGTTGTGTGAATGTCATTGTGATTCGTGAACACAAGAATACAAAGTCACAAGAGGTGCAAGCGATCCGACTGGACCATAGGGCATCATTCCGTGGATGTCTTTCTTTTCTTCTTCTCGGGTCCTTTTTCATTTTAATTATTCGAGAACTGGTCGATCGGTACTTTTTTAGCGTCCACTTCACTTTCAAGTTCGAGCGAGTAGATACTTTGTTATTTTTACTGCACGCATACGAGCACAGAATTACAAAATAGAAAAGAATATGAGAATGATACCATGCTCGTCACTTATCTTTTCTACACCCCCTCTCAATAGGACTTTTATACACCTTCGACAATGATTAATATGCTCGTCAGAAAGATTATTGGGTTTCTCTATTTTAGGTAGAGGGAGGATAAGGAAAAGATAAACAAGTTAGTCGCCTTTTCGTAGGATGACAATGGATTGAGGTCGAAATGAAGAAAAGTGAGTTACTGATATGTGAAATGAGGGTGGCGTATCAAATTTTTCAAAGCTGTGGTGGCGCATCCATCTCTCTTCACTGTACGTGATTGCGTTTCGCGCGCAATTGATCACTGTTTTGCTGTGCCTCTCTCCATCTCATCACCGCCACGAGTATCGTCATGGTGGCAACCACTCTAGCCAGACTAGTAACATTTTGTCCGCACTCTGCCTTTCCACTTCTTCCCTCATCCACCTGTCGACCTCTGGAGAGCCTGATGAAATTATTTGTGCGACTTCCCCTCCCCCACATATACAAAAAGGTACATGCAGACCGAATGGAAAGTGCTTTCTCGGATATTATTTTTTTGGCTACTGTGTCCACTGTGAGAGAAAAAAAATGTCCGGACGTGACACAAAGAAACAAGAAGACAAGACCTGATGGAGATCGATTAGAGACCTCACGCGCATAAGCTCGCCCGTCGAAAATATAAACATCCTTATCTGCTTCTGATGGTCACAGCTGCGCCCTGAAGCGCAGAGATGGTCGCCTACTCACAATTTCTCTGCAGTATGAGGTGCTTGTCTTCTGGGTGCTTGAGCTACCCACTGTGCCGCCAAAATACACTTGGGGCTGCGCATGCACGAAAAAGAGGGACGGGGAAAAAAAGACCATTCTTGTCATGGGTGATAGATCCAATCGTAAGGATAAGATAATAGCACATAATATTTTATTTCATTTTTCTTTTGTTGGCAGATAATACTTGGGGTGTGGCACAAAGAAGCAAATAACAAACAAAACGACAAAAGATAAGGAAGGGCCTATCGCCCAGTAACAGAAAAGAGAGAAGAGAAAACGATACAGAACACTGATAAGAGAAAGAAACAAAGGGGGTAATCAAAATTGGGTTGGAACTGGAATATGTACAGGGGTAGAGTGGAGTGTGAGTATAGAAGCGAACTAGGGGCATGCCTTTTTTGTGTGTATGGTTGGTGTTGCTTGGGGTACAACTTTTCAAGAGGGCGAATGGAAAGGAAGAGAACAATTGGGTCGTGTGAAACAAAAATGGGGGCAAACAACGAGAGAGACACACAACGACGAACGAAATCCCACATCCGGCGTCTCTTGACCATCCACCTTAGTCGAGCATTTGACCATTCAGGATCATGTTACGCATGGGGCTGCTTGACCGCGAGGTCTTGTCGTACGAGGGCTTCAGCTTGTCAACAGCAGTGGTAAGGTGACGAGCATCTTCCTGAGTTCCTGGAGGTGAGAGCATCGATGAGTGCTGCTGCTGGTTGTTGCTGGGCTGAGGGGAGACGACCACGGTTGGACCAGCATCGTTCCTGTCAAAGGGGTGTCCTGCTGCTGCACCACCTGAAGGGGTAGAAGCGGTGTTCGAGGTTGTAGTCATCGGCCTGGAAGTCGAAAACTTGCGGAAGAGTCCGCTGCCCATGGCGCTGACAGAGTTGTGGGTATCGGTGTTGTTGTTGGTGGCAGTGTTGCCTGCTGTCTGGATAGAGATGGTCGTGGGTGGCGAACTGCCTCCAAACATGCTTGTTCTGCGGCCACGTTCGGTGGACTATTATTGCGTGTGTGAATTGTGGATGTGCGTGTGTGTATGTGGTCATGCACGATGGTTGTTTGATATGCGATATGCAAACGTGCGTATTCATGCGGATTAGAGGATAGGTGGGGTGGATAGGACAGAGTGGCAAACAAAAAAAGGGAGTTCAACGAGGTTAGCTTAGATTCTTTACAACGGTTCATCATATGGCATATCAATGTGCACCCTCTAACCAAGAACGCCCTAAACGTTATCTCGCTTGGAACAATTTTGTAGATTGGATGTACAGTACAAAGAATCAACCATGATAAGGATCATGATGCAATTACACCCCTTCCCTCATATCTGTTATCATTACCCGAGCTGGAGGAGACACAATTTGGTTGAGCTGGTTGAACGAACTCGAGAACCGTCTATGAAGAACGGGGACAGACTGCGAAGCCGACACCGAGTTGGACCCACCATTGCCGGGTGGAGAAGACGAAGTGGGTGAGAGTGGGGCAAAGGCACCCAGTGTAAATGGGTTAGCAGATCCAGGGAACGAGCCTGGGTTCGAGATCATCGACGAGCCCGTGAATGTCCTGGGGGAGGGAGCGCCAGCAGAAATAGGGACGCCACTGGTGGCAAGAGAGAACGAGGACGAGAAGGACCTCTGACGGGGGATAGAGACCGACAGGGGGATTGCTACTCCAGCAGAGAGGGACGAGTTGCGAGAATGGCTGCCCGAAGGAGCGGGGATAGGAACAGCGGCAGTGGCAGCGGTAGCAGTGGTAGCCATGGCTACGGGCTGAGATGATACTTTGCTGTTGGTGTTTGAAGCATTATTCAAAGACGAGGTCAAGGAAGAAGTAGGGGCGGGCTTGGCAACAGTGGCGGTAGGAGGGCGAGCGCTGGTAGAAGAGGAGGAAGTAGGAGGACGAGACGAGGAGGAAGGGGACTCTGAGAAGAGCATGCCTCCTCGGACGGGAGAAGCGAAGGAGTCGATTTCTCTGCTTGGATCGAAGAAGGAGGAGATGGAGGAGGTGGTGGAGGCTCTTCTGTGGGACATGTAAGCGAGCTGGAGCTGGGGTGGATGAGTGCGAGCTGCTGTTTGTTGGTTGAAGGTAACTAATAAAATACGACGGATGTGTACGTTTTTCTAACTGAGATATGATGTGTGAAAAGTGTGGAGAGGGAAAGGGATATGGGGGTGATAAGGTTGGTAAGAAGGGTCTTGTGATATCAGGAAAGATAGATTTTGGATATGGGTGGGACTTGATTGGTGGAGTTGCAGATAAGCTGGCTGGGCAAAGGGGAAAAGGTTAGGAGAAAGAGAAAAAGAAGAAAGAAAGAAGGGAAAATGAACAGAGGAGGGATGGGCGTGCCTTTTATACTTGCGCACTTATCTTTGGTATGATCATCACGAAGGTCCCTCTTTTGCCTTCATTTTTCCTTCCCTGTTGATTGTTCCGCTTGTAAAGTGTCTCGCTTTCACGTTACATGAACAAACCAATGTGTTGCACTTTCCACCTGTTAACAAGGGATCGTGCGCCTCATTGACCCTCCCTCCTTTTCTCTCTCCCTCCTTTCTCTTTCCTCTCTTTCTTCCTTCTTCCTCTCTGTCCCCCCCTTTCCCTTTTTGTTTGTTTGCCTTGCCTCTCCTCTCTCCCTCTCCACACATGCAAACATTCACCGTTTGTTTGTTTGGGTCCTTATTTTTCATGCGTGCTGTTTTGGTCTATTAGCAGCCTTCTTCTGTGCCACTACTGGTCTGGCATTAGGGTCCACTTGACCCCTCCCTCTGGTCATTCTTTTCCTACCAAACACTAAAATGTCAATGCTGTTCTCACACATTGCATACATCGCCTGCAGTACCGTTACTCATAGCTCATATCTCCAACATACCTCGTCCTTCATACCCCCCTCCTACTTTCACAAACCAATTTCCATTGCGACAAACAAGCAAGAGGAAATGCTTCGTCCTTATCGTTTGTGCAGGGGTCACGGGGGGCATGAGGCAAATCAACCAACCAACCCTCGGATTGACATCTCTCCCTCTTTCGCTGTATATACACACACACGCACAAAACAACCAATGGCAAATGCGAATGACACCAGTGCGAACATTGAACCTTGTTTTTCGATGGTGGTTGCTTTGCAATCTCTTCTTATCAATTGCTTCACGCCCTCTCTCTTTCGTCTTCTCTCCCTCGTACAAGGACAATTGTTGTTCTCTTGCCTGTTAGTTTTGCATGCATTATCTCAAACTCTGAGACTACTGCGTGCGTGACATGTCCAACAGTCTTTCACTCTGTTCTCTCCGATGTCTCTGTGTCTGGAGAAGGTGCCGAGAGAAGGGGCACAGCCCACCGACCTTCTCTCCACACCCATTCATTCTTGAGAAAAGGAAAAAGCGTTGGAGTCGCATAATTCATATCATCCGCGTGAGAGGGGACGAGGTTTCAGATTTCTTGACGATCAGAAGGGGAGGGGGGCGATGACCACTTACCTTCCATCATCGTTCCTTCTGTGTTACTTTCCTACCTTCTACGACTTCTTTCTTGTTTGTTGAAAAGGTCCCCTTGTTTCCATCATCATCATCATCGCCATCGTCATTCTTCTACTGGTCATACCCAAGGTCCCTTGTTCAAGAATCAATTGCTTCGCATCTACATTATGTCGACTCGTGCTACCCTGCTTATTGTTGTTGATCTATACTCCGTCTCACATGTCTACGGAGTGTTTTTTTTGACTGTGTGTGCGCTGTGCGTTGGTTGTACCCTTCTCTTCTTCTTTCTCCCATCTTCCTTCTGTATCACAGGCGAGTAAATGCGCCCTCATAAAATAACATAAAAAAAACAAATGACAAATAAGAAAACCGGGGGTCTTCCTTCCTCCCCCTCGCTCTCGCTTGTGGGTGGATCATTGAACCGAAAATCGTCAAAGGGGAGGGGGTGGAAGAGGGTTAGTAGTGGGTGAGTGGAGATTTTTTATGCGCGCACCCTCTACGGTCTGGAGATGGTAGGCTGCATGTGTGTATGCTTTTTTTTTTTTTTTTTTTGTTGAGGGGGTTCAAGCGAGAGGGGTCTTGGTGTTCTTACTGTCAAGCCCCGCTAAACAAGAGAGAGTGTTCCTTCTCCCACATTCTGTTCATGTAGAACAGTAACCGACGTAGAGAGGAGGAAAATCCGTAAAATAAATGATCCTTACGTCTCCCATAACTCGTATGCGTATTCCTTTTTTCTATTTGTGTGTGGTACAGAAATGTGTGTGTGCTGGATAGGGGTACACTTCTATCCTTAGCCCGCCTTTCCATTGGTAATTCTGTGAAATCTGTTTGGGCTGTTTGTTCGCTGTTGCCCTTGCGCAGAACAAAGCAGAAGAGGGGGAAGGAACGATCGCTTGAGAACACAAAAAAAAATACGTTGTGTTGATTCTGAGGGCTGAAGCGAAATGCGCAGGAGAGGGATGGTGAAAAGAAACTGTGCACTTCTGAGAGCGAGAGAAAGAGAGAGCCCTCCTCTTCCTGTCCACCGTCCACGGAGGGGTGAGACTGATGGCTCCATCAGTCTCTCCATCAGTGTTCCTGCCTGCTCTGCTCAGATCAATGGTGGCCTGTTGCATGTCGTCGTATGTCGCCTTGTCAGGTCAGCTCACTCCTCTCTGTGCCTCTCATCACCCCACCATGCCTCCACCCTTTGCACTTGCGTGGACATACGCAAGCAAGAGACAAATAAACTCTTTTTACCACCGCGCCCGTTCCCACTCTCGCAATACTTGCAAAAACTTAGAAGTGAAAGAGGAATGAGAGATTGGTTAAAACAAATTAGTGTTGTTTATTATGATACAAGCCAAAGGTAGGATAGGGTGAGAGATTATTACAAACGTAGTAGTAGAAGGTAGTGTATATAGAAAAGGGGGTGTATGGGTTATCCTCCAATGATTTAGAGACCGGCAAGGGCGGCAAGACCGATGGCGGCAACAGAGAGAACATAGGGCATGTTCAACTGGACGGCAGCAGCGGGCTTGGGGGTAGAGGAACCAGAGGCGCCACCAGAGGGAACGGTGGTGGGGGTGGTACCGTTGGCAGCACCGTTGGTAGGGGTGGTGGCATTGGCGCCGCCGGCAGCGCAGCTAAGAACACTGCCCAACATCTTGATGCCGGTGGTGGCCTCGACGATCTGGGAGGAGTTGCAGGCGGGGGCAGGGGTGGTTGGGAAGAAGCAATGGCCGGCGGCACCGGATCCATTCTCTGCGAAGGCAGTAGTGGCCCAGTGGCAGACACAGGCCTTGATGGAGGGGTCCTGGACCGCAGCCGAGATCTTCACGACATCAGGGTTTCCAGAAGCGAAACCGCTAGCGAGAAGGGCGGACTGTTCGGGGGTGAGGGAGGAGCAGGAGGTGTCGTTGGCGAACGAGGTGGTGACACAGGCCGAGCAGGCGTTCAGCTCGAACGACTGGGCGTTGGCGACGGCTACGAGGGCGACGGCAGCGAGGGCAAGGGTCTTGAACTGCATTTTGAAGTGTTTTTTGTTGGTGTTGGTTGGTTGGTGGAGGGAAGGATGAAGTGTTGTTGGGTGTGGAGAAGAAGGAGAAAAAAAGTGGGAATGAGCAGGTGAGGGATCGGTATTTATATGAGCACAATTGTTGGTCCCTTCAATGCTTTTCTCGACTGAATATCAAGGTTTGTCGCCAAACCAGTTCTGGTCCTCGGCTTACTTTTGGTTTACACAAACTACTTTTCTCACACCCACACAAGAACAAGAAGGACAAAAAAAAGTAGCGTTTGGTCTGCTGCTGCAGCTCGTTGAGAGCACTTTTTTTTTTTTTTTTGTCTTTTTATGCTCTGCACTAATCGCTCTGGACATCACGGTTTTTGTGTGCCCTGTCCTTTGCCCTTTTGTCAACGTTGTGGTCAACAGGAACAGAAGGAAGAAACTAAGGAAGGAGGAAAAACAGGAGGATGCCGAGATCAAAAGGCGGCAGGGAGACATGGGTTAAGAACAAGAAGGAAGAAAGGGCCAGAAGGGGAGAAAGGGAGACAGTTTTCCGGGTGTCTGGTCCTACTCTTGCTATATCCTCGGCGAAATACAGCCAGGGGAGAGAGAGGAGATGATCTCTCTCTTGTTTATTTTTGTCCTTCATTCCCATACATACCTGACGCTGATCTGACCCCCCGTGGAAATGTGAACGAGAATGATAAAAAATGGATCTTATGGGCCAGTTGGAATGACAACGTGCACAAGTGTGCATGGGAGGCCACCGTCTTTTCTTTTCATCTTTCTTGAACGACGACGAGAAAAGAAGAGCGAGATGGCGAGTGAGGAGTGGGGGGTGTTCATTACAGAAGAGTGCACAAATAGAGATACATACGCTTGACAGGTACAGCTACAGTACATAACTCCCATCGTTCCATTCCAACTAGTATTTTTGATACCTTGGTATTTTTCTGAGTCCCTTTTCTTTCTTTTCGGCTTCGCCTAATGGATGTCTTCTACCTGCAATTGCAAGGCTGTAGCGAGTTCCGGTAACTGTGTGTACTCGAGTGTACACTTGCAAGTCACCCCATATCCGCCCATGAGATTGAACAACGAATGTGAAAATACAAAGACCGACCCGATCCCTGCAACACACCACCAAATTGGCACCTTCTTCCTCTCGTCTGTCATTTGAGAACGAACATCACTCCAGGGAGCGGAGTCTTGACTTTGTTTGTTCGATGTGGCATGTCATGGATGCCAAGAGGATTAACCTTGTCTTCCCTTCGTCGTCCAATCCAGCGCAGCCCACTTCCTGTCTTCACGCAATTAGCCCACCAGGCACTCTATTTTGCTTTTTTCGCCGTCCGGTCGCCCATCGCGGTGCCACCATCTTTTTCTTGTTTTTCATGTGTTTGCAAAATGAAATAATTCGTGTCAAGGTCTGTTCACTATTCCGTACGGCTGCCATTCTTGGTTCGTTGTACACCGCTCCTCCTCATGTGTATTACAACATGCCATATATAATGCAATGGGCAGGGACAGCAAGTGGGCAGAAAAGAAGAATGTGGGAAAAAGGGGTGCATGAATGAGAGGAGGTACAGGATCAATAAAGCAAAAACGATTAGGCAAAGACAATCTGAGGAGAAGGAGAAGGCATAGGTAATCAGATACAAGAAGGGGTGTGGGAGTTGGGTGGATGAGGGAGAAGTGCACGCGTAAATCATGAGTAAGTGGGATTGGAGGGATGGGATGGGGCGATCTGGCGCCATTGTATTATTTTCTGTTCGCCGTTAGCGAAGAAAATTAAATTATCAACAACGACAGAGAGAGGGATCGAGAGAAAGAGATCGAAATAGAAATTGTAATCAACTTGACAAGCGAGTATGCATGCAAATGTGAACACAGAGAGATCGAGAGAGAGAAGGGATAGAGAGTGGGATAGAGAGAGAGAGGGATAGTTAAACGGCTCCAACGATCGTGTTGTTGTTGTTGTTGTTGTTGTTGTTGTTGTTGTTGTTGTTGCAGCGTGTGTTTTCTGGTTTGTTTGAACGAAGGTTAGGCATTTTTTTTAATTGAGCAGCAAGGGCAATGGTTCCACAGGATCCCCATTGGCCAACGACATGGTGGCCTGATTTTTTTTCTCTTCGTCTCTTCGCTTTCCCCCTTCCTGCCCGTGTAGTGTTCACCCTCTCTTCCTACCCTCGCATATAAGAGGGAGAGGAGTGGACTGAAAATAATGACCGAGGTAAACAACAACACTGAAAACTTTATGAAGGGCCGTTAGACGGGGATGGGGATGCATACTGAAATGAACCATTAAACGTTTACCCTTTGTTGTCGTGCCTCAATTTATAATCGATTGGTTCTTGGCTTAGGGATGTGATGTGGGATAGACTCCAACCATGCATGGAGAGAGGGAGGAAGAGAAAGAACTCGTTTGTGTGGTAATGCCTTCGATAGATACACGTTCAGGCGAAATGCGCTTGATGTCCATGTTTAGCATCGATGAAAGTTCACACGGGTGGATGCCTCTTGGGGGTCGTGAGCCTGGTCATGGTGAATGGAGAGCTTGGTGAGTAGTGGAGTTGATGGAGGGGATGCGTGGGTGCGTTCATGTCGTTTTGAGCCTTGGCTTTTTCGCGTGATAGCCCATCCTAATGGTCATCTAGCTATATAGCCTGAGCGCTATTCTCATGTCACAGAAGACGAGTCATCTTCTGCTCTTGCTCTCGTTTACTCCTAGACTCCACGCCTGGTTCCTGACTTTTTTTCAGTCAACAGATACGTACATCCTCCATTGTAATCCGATTGGATCCATTGTGTCATTGCTCCCTGCGTTCCTCAGACATTCCTCTCTCTTTCTCATGCGCATTTTTTGATCAAGGTTTTGCAAAAGTATTATCCGGCCTTCCTTCCGTTCTAGAGTAAGCTAAAGTGGCATTCCCTCTAAAGAGTAAAAAAGAGAAAGAGAAAGGGAAGGAGAGGAGAGGAGATGTCCTTTCGTAAAGGCCCTGTTTCCTAGGTTTGTTGCTGTTGGGCTCCCACAGAAAAAGGATAACTACAAAGGTACGCGATTGTGTGTCCATCATGTGACCATTACCAGGTTCTGTTAGGTTGTCCTCCACGTTTTTTTTTCAGCAAAGATTCTTTCCTTCATCCACTCCATTACCACCGCCATCACCCTTTCTACGACCAGCAGCAGAAACAGCGCGACCATCCGCCTGGATACTTTTTATCCAAGCACCTATAGGATCCTTGTCGCCCAAGACTTCACAAAGAGCAAAGTCATCACTCGATCTACAACATTCCTTGGTGATGGAAACAACTAACATACTGACGCCCTAGTCTTCATCATCCCGCACCGAGACGGTCTTGCCCGGGGGGCCTTTGAGGTTCTTTAGGACATGTGTGTACAGCTGCTGTGTTCGTACGACTATGAGGGTCATGCCCACCGGTCGGACCGGTTTGTGAGACTGGAAGCATACGCGGGCAAGGCTGCTGTTTTCAGTCAATTATACGCGGCATAGACCCCACCTTCTGTCGACGTTTAGAAGATCAGCTTTCGATACAGACCGTTCTAATACGTGCCCAGGAATGTTGTGAACGTCTTCAACGAATGCGAGACTCATTTGGAGATTGGATGTACTATATGGACTCTCACAGACGAAAGCACTGCATACAGGGTAGGTATGCGCATCATAAGAACAACAGGAAAGGCGGTGGCGGGGGATGGGATATCAGAGACAGCTGATGGTAGATTGCAGCGACTTTTCGTGATTGCTGTTGTTGGTGTCCTTCAGAGTCGATGTATGTGTGAAATAAAAAGGATACGTCTGTTTCAATGATGTTTTTGTGGATCAATGATGCGTGGATGCAGTGGGTTGTCAAGGAAAGGAGTGGGAGGAGCACAATGCATCTCACCTTATCCACTTGTGCCATTTTTTGCAGCATGGTCGATGTTTAGAGGTGACTAAGATAGATTTTCGTTTGTCTCACTTTTTTTTTTTCTTTCGTTTGCATTTGCGCACTGTGACCAATGGACGCGATTCTTGACCGATTGCATTACAGAAGTGGAAGGGGAAGGAATCACTTTTTTCCTTCACATTATGGCACACAAAAGACATGTTCTAGTTCCTCGGCTGAGTGAGTCTGTTGCTCTAAAATGAACTGGGGGCTCGGCGATGGCTCCCAATATCTCCAAGTCGCTCCGAGGAAGGAAAAAAAGGAGGTATATTTAATTAATGGCGACGGATACCTCCAATTGTTCCCCCCAGCCCAAGGCAAGGGGCGGTGTTCAACGGGCAAGATTGTATGAAAAGGCATTGTTTTTTTAATTGCTCTTGTGTTCTTTTTGCACTCCTTGTCGTCGTTTTGCGTGCAAATCAAATCTAGTGACTTTGTAACGTGGTCCTTTGAATGTGGTCGAAGTGAGAGAGGGAGAACTGAGCGGCACAATGACTTCAAGAAAAAAAAAGTCGAGTTGAGCCTCGCGTTTTGCCTTTTGGTCGAAGAGGGGCGAGTGACCCTGCCGAGAGGGAGGGATGAGGCGTGAGTTCTGAAGCGCGATGGTGGTCTTAATCGACGCAAAGGACAAAGAAAGAAAGAAAGGGGGGTGTGGTGGAAAAAAGGGGCTCCGCATTATTGGTTTTGTGCGTTCGTTGTCAAAGAAGGGCAAAGGTTCATTCACAGCAAGTGAGCGATTATTCCATACATCGTCACCCTTTCGTTACATGGACCTGTCCTGGAGGCAAAATGTAATAACCCTTCCAAGCCGAACCAAGCCCAGTCCAGCCAATGCTCAAAAGAAGGAAGGCAAGTACCCTTGCTCTCTTGCTTGTGCTTGTACTTGCTTATCCTCCAGCTGCCCTTCTATTCCTACTCCGCATTCACTTCTCTTTTGATCTTTTTTTACCTTCGCACCCTTCGCATCCTCATTCATCCCTCTTTTCATTCTTCACTCTCTCCCACCCTCACCTCACCTCACCTCACCTCGGTCGAGCCTCAGGGGACAAAGTGATCACCCTTCAACTTCATTCTCCCTCCTTTCATTCCTCCACCTTTCTTTCCTTTTGTATTCTCACATTACTCTTTGTTTTTACGACAAACGATGCAGCAAGACGACACACCTACATACGGGGCAACGCCAACGCCGACGAGTCCCACCCGCCTCTCACACTTGCCTCGCACACGGTACCGATCCAACACAACCTCAGGAGGACCTATAAGTCGGAGAGACGGCGAGCGGGCGTGGCTGCTAGGAACAGGGGTCACACGGAGTTCCACAGACCTGATTTCTGGGACAGGAAACAGAGGTTTCTCGAGGGCTAGGTCTGGAACTACTGGATCCAGGTGGGGATTTGGTGGTAATCAGCAGTCAATGAATGGTGGCGGTGGAGGGTACGGTATCCTACCTACGTCTGCTACTGGTAATAATGGTTCGGAGGCAGGGGCAGGCGATCTTGCGAGGAGGGGGACTATCAAGGAAGTCCCTGGACAAACACAGTAAGTTATGCGTGCGATGTCACTATGCGCATGCACACCTTTGCTATTCCCTGAGCTAGCGAATGGGTCTAAAGCAGGCTCGTATTCTATCATCTAACGGTTCCCTTTGTCCCATGCTACTCTAGAGACCCAGAGGATCCCTTGAACAGGACAATGTCGACGTCAAGGGACAAGTTAGTGAACGATAAACCATGAGCGCATCGACCAGCTCTGTACCCCACTGTTTTTTCATTTCATTACACAAAGGGCCATAAAAATTGTTCTCAGGACAAAATAGGTTTTGACTAACATGTGTTACCTCTTTCTCGCTTGCATGTCGTTGCTGTTGGTAGGATGGTTCGGACTGAGTCTGCTCGGAGTACGGTGACCCTGTCGTCGTTTGCAAACAACAACGAGTCGTTCAGTGCTCGTCGCAATCATCTTCATCGTCAAAACTCGTTTGGTGATCAGCCAAATCGGTTCATTTCCTTCATTTACTGGCTCAAGGACTTGACCACCTCGACCGACACGACCGACGAGAAGATCGCCTCCACCGTTCTAGTATGTTTTTTTTGACCTGACTGTGAATCAAAAGAACGAAAAAATGTAGCAGACAGCATGCTTAAGGAACAAGTGCTAACCACCTTCTTTCTACTTCTAGAACGTGGTGAATGTCGTGGTGGATACAGTCTTTTGCGGTCTCTACCTGGTAGAGGCAAGCTACCTCACACGTCCTGAGAAACACGAGGACCACTGGCATTACATCAATCGTAGCGCTCACCTCTGGCACGTTCTAGTCTTCATCGCGACCTACAACTTTCTCACCGTTGTTTGTAGCTTCATCTTTTCAGACTCCAAACTGGACTCGCTCAAGAGTATTCGCCACATCATCTCCACCCTTGTCGCTATCCCTTTTATTGTCTCGGTCTTCATCGAGAACGGTCAGATGCTCTATGTTCCATACTTTTTGCAGAGTTTTGCTCTCATCTCCAGGATCCAGCAAGCCTTGAATTTCTACATTGACATGGGTGTTTCTGGTAAGTGCTGCTGTTGTTGTAGGCACACCTCTGTTCAGATGCATTGTAAGCAATTACTAACTCTCTTCTGTGCATCTTTTTTAGACCTCCCGATGGACCCGCTAAAGTCAAAGACAATCATCTTTGGGCTGTACATTCTCAGCTTGATCTACTGTGCCATCTCTGCCTTCCAGGTGGCGGAGTATGACCAATTACTGAAATCTAACGACCACAACGACCTCTTGAAGCTCTTGTAAGTCAATGTCTGTTGTAGGCTGTTTCTTATCGCGTTTCTATAGATAGTTGCTAACGCGGACTTGATGTTTTCATCGTAGATACTTTGTTTTAATTACGATGAGCACTATCGGATACGGAGATTTGACACCTAAGAACCAGGTTGGATATGCCATTGTTATCTTGCTTATCATGGCTGTTGTTTCCGTGTTCCCCTTCATGATCTCTGGCATAATGGATGCCTTGGCCCAGGCCAAAGGTAATCATCACTTTTGGATATCAGCGCGTACCAGGGTCGACAGTTGTTATGATTATGAGACGGGTGTTAACGTAAGTATCACTTTTGTGTGTATTGTAGCTGGTGAGGGTATTTTCAAGTCAGGAGGAAACAAGTTCATGATCATCTCAGGATCGCTTCACTCGGCTCAGAAGCTTGCCAACGTTCTCAACGGATTCTGGTTCACTAACAAGGTAACGACCACTGTTATTGTGATGCGCTGTTAAGGTTAATTATGCCTCGGTACTGATGTTAAGAGTTTTCGTTGTGTAATCTAATAATGATAGGAATATTCGAATGCGGCCTTCAAGATTGTGATCTTTGGTTTGAGCGAGCCCTCCAAGGAGATTCAGGCATTGTTGCACTCGGCGCGTTACAAGAACAGAGTCGTCTACCTGAAGGGAACACCCTTGGTAAGAATCTCGCATGCTAAGTAATGCAATGAGCGCAATAGAGTAATTACTAATTCGTGCTCGCCATATTGATCATGAAACTTGTAGGAGAATAAGGATTTGGAGAGAATCCAAGCTAGACATGCGGAGGGCATCTTCATTATTGCGGACAGGAACTCACCCTTTTCGCCCCAGGAAGAAGACCGCCACAACACCTTGTCGACCCTGGCCTTCCGCAATGTGAGCGATGCCGGCATCTACACCTACAACCTGCTTCCTGAGACGGAGATCTACCAAAAGATGGCGGCCACCCAGGTTGTATGCGCGGACGAATTGCGTCAGGTTCTGTTGGCGTTCAATTGCTTGCAGCAGGCGACTGCGACTCTGATCTTGAACTTGCTCCACCAACATCGTCCTTCGGAAAAATTCACGGAGGCTTGGGAGGCCGAGTATGATGACAGTCTTGGAAACGAGTTTTATATTTCGTACCTTAACCCCATCTTTGACGGCAAGCCCTTTGGCTTCGTCTCCTGGGTAAGCTTATGCAGCCACTGGTGTCGTCATTCTCAACTTTATCTGCAGCTAAGAGTACGCGTCCCTAACCGTTTACCTATGCTGTAGTTCCTGTACCGTCGCTTCCAAGTCATCTTGTTCGGCGTTCGTATTCGCCTGCAGTCGGGAGAGTACCACACGGCACTGAACCCCGGAAAGGACTACCGTTTCCAGCACAACGAGCAGTGCATCTTTATCGCCCAGAACCCGACCGATCTCGATGACATCAACGAGCTCGCGGAAAAGAACCTTGAGAACTTTTTGAACCACCTCCGCGACACCCAGGCTGAAGACGATGAGGACATTGGAGCGGATTACCATGCCAAGAACTTTTCGAACGCCCTTCTGACTCTGAGGCCTAGGAGCCATTGTGCCCGGAGACGGAGAAAGACTAAATCGAAGAGGGCTATTAACGGTGACGCGGTGGCCGGTATGGCGCCCTATAGTCTTCATGCGGGACGGTACGAGCTTCATTCCTCCGTGCCGATTATTACGACGACTGAGGAGGACGAGATTGATTGTGAGCCCGAATTCGATTTGATGTCTGGACCTGAGGACGAGGCAGAGGAAGGAGCCGCAGCAGGATCGGAATCCCTGTCTCCAAAGTCTAAGCAAGTGATCTCGGACCAGGAGAGCCAACACAGTACCTTGAAACCCGCATCGCTTGTCGGCAAGACTATGGAGAGCAAAAAGGCGAGTATGAATCGGGAGTCGCGCCGGAAGTCGATGCCTCCAGATGAGCAGATGACCGAGTTGAGCATTGGGTACCCCACTGCCCCTTATGCTGGTGCCAAGTTGCCACTGTGTATCCTGGTTGACGCTAAGCATGTCGGTGAGCGCATTATGAAGGATATGGTGATAAGCAACTGGAATGATGTTCTGGAGACCAGGAAGGAGAAGGCGCAGGAATTGGAGGCTGAGAGAAAGGCGCAGCGTCCTCGTTCGTCGTCCATGTCCGGTCAGGATTGGCATTCGGTGTCGCAGACTGGAAGTGGTTCTCAGTCGTCGTCTGCTGCTTCAACGTCTAAGGCCAAGTCATCTCCTTCCAAGGCGGCGCCTTTGACATCCCAGCAGGAGACTGGACATATTTTGATTTGCTCGCCCAACTTTGACATTTTCCGTCTAATTTGCACCCTTCGATCGGCGCATTTGAAGCAAGTCCAGGATGTTGTCATTCTCGCACCACGTCAACCCGACGCACATGAGTTCAAGAACCTCAAGTGTTTCCCTCGCCTCTTCTTCATCGTCGTAAGCTATCTCTTTTGTGGTTCTCGCGTTCATGGCTGATGTAGGGACATCCATTGCGGATCAAACTCTAATTATTATCAACTGCCACTGCCTTCTTTGTAGGGTGATTGCTTGTCACGAGAGGATTTGGAGAGGGGCGCAATTACAAAGTCGAGCAAATACATGTTCATGAGGCACCCAGCGAATGGTGGAGTCGACGGATCGTTCTTTGACAGTGCCGCGGTCATCAACCGGATCCTGGTCCAACAGATATTTTCTGACGTCCAGGTCGCTCGTGTCAGCCGACTCGCTTCGGCTCCCGACAATAGCCACAGCAATTTGTCCTCTTTGCTCTCCACCAACACCGCCTTCAACTCTAACACAGGAACACTCTATGGAGCCGCAGGTGGGCGTATTGTCGCTGGCGGACCGACCCAGAAAAAGACCGTCTCGCTCGAGTCGTTGAACGAAGGTCCGCAGTGTGTCTATGAACTCGTCGAGGAGCGGTCGGTGGATTACTTGCAGATCCGGAAGACGGAGATCAGTCTTGGCCGGGACCCTCATTGCGGGGTCGACTGTATGCCGACCGTCCTTGAAGGCGCCGGAGGTGCGTTTGGGCCCGAATCTGATTCTGGGTATTATGGCTTGCCTCAGCATCAGCATGTTGCCGGAGCGGGTGGCGTGCCGAGGAGGAAACCTATCTCTGATGCTGGGACGGATTTCTATCATAACCCGATTTATGCGTCCGGTGGAGTCTTGGTCGGGGGGTTATTGGACCATGTGCTGTACCAGTTGTATTCGAACCCGAGTATTTTGCAGTTGATCAAGTTGTTGTGTGGGATTCAGACCAAGGAGGATATCAAGCGGGATTTTCATCTTTTCAAGCAGTATGGTGCGGGATGTCATTTGGAGTGTATTCCTATGCCCGAGGGGTTTGGGGTCCAGACTTTGAGGCCTGTTAAGGAGGATGGTCATTCCTCGTCTGGTTCTTCGGGTTCGAGTTCTTCGTCGTCCAGTTCTGATGATGACTCGAGTAGTGATGAAGGCGAAGATGAGGCGGATGGTGCTGATGGTGAGGGAAGTCAGGACAAGGCCGCCGCTTCGTCCAAAAAGGAACAGGACAAGGACACCAAGGCCAAGAAGGACCGCAAGAAGAAGAGAAGGTCGCACCACACGAGCTCCTTCTCCCGCGCAGCGTCCAAGGGCAAGAAGAAGATCTCTGCCCTCTTCCACCCCCTCTCCTCTTCCAACGCCTCTACCTCTGCCCATCACGACAGCGACGCAAGTATCGACTCGGACTACATGTACGACAACCGACACAAGAACTTTCTCCACCTCTACGAGCACTTGGCCCTCGACCAAGGGGTGATCCCGATTGGGCTGTTGAGATTGCAGGGGGATGATCCCAAGATGGTGCATTTGGGGATTGGCGGGTCGTCGAGGTGTTATGCGATCACCAACCCGTTGTTGGATACTATTGTTTTGGATACTGACCAGGTTTTTATCTTGACGCGGCAGGGTAGTTCTTAGTCTTTTTTTTTTTTTTTTTTTTTTTTTTTTGGAAATTGAGTAAGTAAAGATGTTCCAAACATATGGTATGATGAGGTTGTGTGTTTTGAGGCGTCAGGTGTTGTATTTATTTGTTGGGCGATAAGTTGGAGAGGATGAATGTGTTGTGGCGGTATGATTCTTGACTGGGGCCGGTGGTTGTGAGTATGTGGCGTCCTTGCAGAACGAGCGTGGGTGCCGCTGTCGCCGAGGTGTTGATATATCCCGAGAATCCTTTGTACAGTCCAGTCAATATCGCTTGCTTATTTTCCAGCTCACACGCGTTCTGTAAAGCCAAATGAGAGAAGAAAAAGGCTCCTGCCACAGGCTGTAACCTTACGCATTCAAACCTGCAGAATCAGCCCAACCGACGAAACCCTATCCACTGAACCGGCAAGTTCCAGTCCATGAACAGATGCCCTGGCACACACACACAAAAGCACATCAGTCGAAGCTGAAGTCGGAGCGGAGCGGGGGGTATCGTGCTTGCTTTATTCCATGATCCTGAATATTAATGATACCGAGGTCGGTTGGTATGGTTCTCGCTGTCAAATCCTCCACTTCCACCACCACCACCACCTGCAGACCCAGAATGGTACCCATAATGGTTCCCCCACCTCGACCGACCTTCTTGCCCTCTCGAAAGCGCCAAGATCGACTTGTTCCCTGTTGCTGCCTGGTATTCTTCCCTTGCGTTCGACATCCGTGATGTCCCCGTCCCCGTCGTTGCTGTTGTTGTGCCCGTGGTGGGTCTGTATGTTGAGTTCCGGAGTATGCTTGTGGGCTGCTGGTTGGAGTTGTTGCCGTTTTCATTGTTGGATGTGCGGAGTGAGGAGCGAAGGGGTTGTTGGGTTTGGGATTGGGGTGGAGAGGAGTCATAGTCAGATTGCTGGCTTTGGGGTTGATATTGTTGTTGCTCCTGACTGTATCTCCTATGGTCCTGACTTTGGCTTTGTTGTAATTGTGGTGTGATGTTTTGGTATTGTTGTTGTTGTTCGTCGATTTCGGTGTTGAGTTTGGTGTCTGGGTCTTGGGATTGGAAGTTGTGTAGGTCTTGGTCGTGTTGGGCGTTTTGCATGGTGATCGAGTATACCGATTGCTATCAGTTATGAATAGTAAAGCGAAAGGTTCGTTAAACAAGGAGGGAGGTCCACAACGCAAGAACGGAAGTGTAGTACTGAGGACGGACGTACTTTGAAGAGGGTGTAGACAAGACTCATTTTGCGCTCGACCACTCTGATCTTGTCGATGAGCTGTGCAATGTCGACGGCGTTCATCTCCTGAAGCGTCTCGTTGATCTATTATTCCCCAAAAGCATAAAAAAAGGTTGGCAAGGTCTGAGTGATGGGTCTGAGGTAGGTTGTCCATAGAGCGAGAAGCAGATAAACGCGCAACGGTTTTGTTGATGTGTGTGTATGTGGGGTGGGGGGTATTTACGTGCTCGAGCTTGGCGGCGAGTTTTGCGTACTCTGCGAGGAGTTCCTTGGATGACATTGTTATTGTTGTGAGGACTGAGTCTGATCTGATCAAGTTGGTTGTCGAGAAAGAAAGGTTCTGTCCTGTCCGGGGTGGTTGAGGCGATGAATGTGTGAAATCAAGAAAGGAAGAATTGATTCAATATGAAAGAAATACAAAGGGAGCGCGTCCAAGAGCAACTTGCGTGCAAGCCACACTCCTCTCGTCTCGCTCGAAGCAACGATCCAGCCAAAGGGCGCGTCTTGGTCTCATTGGCCAATTGTTTGCATTATCTATTTCTGGGAGTGAGTGCTCTTCTCAACTTTGACGTCTCTTCCTTTCTTTCTTTTGCTTCTTTTCTTCTTCTTCATTCACACAACATCATCACCCACAAAACCAAGACAAGGACGATGCAGACATCACTCTTCGTCCTCAGCACCGTCCTCAAGGTGCTGCTATTCCCAACATAGTGAGTCCCATCGGTCTTGTCTCTACCTTCAGGAACACAACAGCGGACAGGGGCAAGGATGAGAAACGAATGTAACATCAACTTTGGCATGGAGCAGCGACTGACATCTTCTCTTACGGGCACTTTTTTAGTCACTCGACAGACTTTGAGGTTCACCGCAACTGGCTGGCTATCACCCATTCATTACCCATCTCACAATGGTATCTCGAGGTAATAAGAACTCACAGTTCAAGGCAAACAACCAATCGCCACACTCTGTCGCGTCCTACCCCAATCTGCAAGGCACTAACCACGACAACCTCAACCTTCTAGAAAACGAGTGAATGGACGCTGGACTACCCACCATTCTTTGCTTGGTTCGAGAAATTTATGTCAATCTTTGCAGCATATGTAGACCCCAAGATCGTCCAAGTTGACAACCTCAACTACGACACCCTCGCCACAATCTACTTCCAACGGACAACCGTCATCATCAGTGAACTGGTTCTATTTTGGGCTTTGCAGAGGATGCTGGTCGCCATGGGGAACAGACCTTTGCAGAAGATCATCAATTGGTCGTTGATGCTGAACCCAGGCCTGTTAATGGTCGATAATATGCATTTCCAGTATAATGGCTTCTTGTATGGTATCCTGGTCCATTCCCTCGTCGATGCCAAGCAGGCAAGTTCCTTCTCTTCAGAGATTACGTCGACGCGTTTTGTCGGTCGTTCATGAACCATTGTCAAATGAACGTTTATTGCCGCAACTAACGCGAGAGTTCATAATGACGACTATAGGGCAAGCTGTTGCGGTCAGGAATTTTGTTTGCGGCGCTTCTCAACTTTAAGCACATCTACCTCTACATTGCGCCTTCTTACTTTGCCTTCCTCCTTCGCGCCTACTGCTTCGAGAACTCTGGAAACAGCATCAGAGGTGAGCCAGTGCTCAATACTACCGGCCATAATTGTACCGAATATTGCTGAATCCAGGAACGAACAACTAATATTGCACTTTCTTATTAATAGCGCGATCATGGATTTCAGCGTTCAGACCTTTGAATTTTGTGGCATTGGGCGTCAGTGTGATTGCAATCTTTGCTGCGTCGTTGGGCCCTTTTGTCGCCATGGACCAATTACCCCAACTCGCAGGACGTTTGTTCCCCTTCAAGCGCGGACTTACCCACTCGTACTGGGCTGCCAACTTTTGGGCTCTGTACTCGTTTGCCGACAGGATCATGATCGTCTTGGTCTCCAAGACTCCTCTCGGACAGTACTTCAACCTCGCTCTGGATGAATCAGCCCTCTCAGCAACCACTCGTGGATTGGTCGGCGACACTGCATTCGGCGTCTTGCCCACCGTGACAGCTCAACATACCTTGATCTTGACGGTGTTGCTGCAGATCCCCAGTTTGATCTCTGTGTTCAGGAAACCCACTTTTGACAGATTCATTGGATCAGTGGTCTTGTCGGCATTTGCATCGTTCTTGGCTGGATGGCATGTTCATGAGAAGGCAATATTGCTGTGCACGGTGACCATGAGTGTTGCGATTGCCAACCAGGTCGGAGCCAGCCCCAACTCGGGAGTCAATGCTGGAGCCTTCTCGACTTCGGACCAGAAGGGGTCATCGGCTCTTACACCCCGGGATGTTCGTGCGTTTATGATTGTCAGTCTTGCGGGATATATCGGCCTCTGGCCCCTCTTCTTCACTCGTCCCGGTAAGTTTTTGTATATATTGTGTCAAAGAGAAATGTGAAACGATTAGAGTGTGTGGTACTGATGCGCGAACTATTGTCTTTTTTGAAATTAATTCATAACAGAAACCCCGATCAAGGTGCTGATCACGGCGATCTGGTTTGTGGTCGTCGGCAGTGGGCTGGACCAATGCATACCCAAGCAGCCCAAATCGAACGACACTCTTTTGTCGAGCAAATCGATGTTGCGTTACTTCTCTCTCTTGGAGCGTCTTTATGTGTTTGGGTGTATCCCCGTACAGATTTATGTCAACATTGTCCACGAGGCCGTGTTTGGCCAGGACAGGTTGGCGTTCTTGCCATTGATGATGACCTCGGTCTATGCGGCTGTAGGGGTTGTCTATGGCTGGTTGCTGTACTCTGCTACTTATTTCTCCTCAAGCAAGGCGCTCGATAAGAAGAAGACGCGTTAATGATTATTGATGACACCTATTAAAAATATTATTGCCTATTTTCAGCGGGTGTTGAGAGAGAAGGGAAGTTTAAAGAACAGAGGCATGTGTACAGTTGTGGTGATCACAAGTGGAGTTGCACCCAACCCACCCCCTTTTTTTTCTTTCTCGCGTGCGAATTGCATGTCAGTGCTAGTGTGGTCTGAACCCCTGCACTTGCTCTTTCTCCCTTCGCCACCTCTCTCCTCGCACTATTTTCCTTCTTTTTTCTCACTCTCTCTGCTTCTACTTCTCTTCTTCACATTTCCACTTCTTTCAACACCCCACACCGTCTTTTCTTCGCATCACTCATTCACCCACAAGTTTCGTCACCAAGGAAAGCGCATTCACCTCACCTCAACAGCAACCAAAAAATCGTCGAGCAACTTTGCCAGGCCCTGACCCTCCTCATTGCGACACCCTCCCCTCACTCGAAGCAGGAACCAACAGAACACAATGACGGTTGACGACAATGAGATGCAGCGGCTATGGAAACTGACGAATGAGCTCACAGCACAGCTGGTATTTAACAGGACTGCGACTCTGGAACTGAAGCAGCAACTTGCCGAACTTCAAGCCCAGACGTCCTGTCTCTCTCCAGCTCATAGTTCGCGCCAGAACGATTTGCAGGACAGTCCAGGTACCAAAAACCCTGACCCCTCGCTTACTGACTGTTAATGGGCATTGTATTGTCTAGCTAAATATGCCACCTTTATCTTTTGCTAACAAGGTTATCCACTCTTTTCGTTTTTCTCTCTCTATGTGCTATTGTTTTGGGGGGGTGAAACAAACAAAAGAGTCGTCGTCGGACTATGCGCTTCGGATAGCGAACGAGAGGTTGAGGGAGGAGAACCTGCAGCTGCAGGAGCAGGTCAATGAGTATGAGCGTTGGATGGGATACATCATGACCAAGTTCCGTCTTCAGAATGTGAGTCTCCCGGTTTTTGCAATTGAACCAAAACTCGATAGGGTGAAACAGGAGAGTGTGGTCGACACCTAAACTAACGGTACTTTTATATCTATTGATGATGTAGCTGGCCATGGCGCAGACGAGGAAGGAATCGATGCAGGAAGCAAGCAAGATGACAGAACAGGGTAATGAGACTGCATACCGCCTTCAGGAAGAAAACTCGGCCCTGCAATCCCGACTCGCTGATTTGGGGAGTGTTGCGCGGAAGGCGATTCATGAGGATTATTACACGACAGAGTCCTTGATCGAGTCACTCGAGACGGAGAATAGGAGTCTGAGAGAGATGCTGGGCGTTGCAGAAGGTGGGAGAGGGCCTGTTTCGGGGCGGCTGGATTTCTTTGTGGGGAACCATGGGCTGCAGGATGAGGAGGAGTATGATGAAGGGCTGAGGAATAATAGGGGGAGTAGGGTGTCGTTCCCGAGTACTTCGGGGTCGGTTGTTGCATCGAGTGAGAGTGATCGTGAACTACCACCGCAGCCACAACAACTAGGACAACTGCATCCGTTGACGAGGCGTACGGGATCTGACTCTGGAGTAGGTGCTGGTGTTGGCAGACAGCCCCTTTCGCCCACTGCTGCTATGCGTAGCAGTAGCAGTAATAGTATCACGCACGGCTCAGGACCTGGACCGCTTACGGTGCAAACAGGACTTCGCTCGCCCACAACTACTCCAACAGCAACCACTACACCCTCATCACTGTCATCACCAATTGCGTCAGCACCCTCACGGTCAGTCTCGAGTCTCTCCTCAGCAACATCACCAACCTCTCCCTCCTGGTCGTCTTCAACGAGCGCATCCAGTTCCGCGTTGGCTTCACCCATATTCCAACAGGACCCCTCCCGACGATTGGTTTCGGTTTCCCCACCTCTCGACCCAGCAGACGATGTTCTTCCTACTGGTGCTCAAGGTGGTGCAAGAGGAGGAAATATGAGGCAGCAGGATGTTTTGGGAACTGCACCGACCGCTACTTCACCGTTGGTGGCAGTGGTAGCAGGGCAGCAAAAGAACCAGAGGGGCAAAATGACGATTAATACGAAACTGGGTGGGCACTCTGCTGGGAGGAGTCTTTAGATTTGATTGTCAAGTAGTTTGTTAATTAAACGTGGTATGTGTGTGCATCCTGCATGCATGCATCGCCTTTTTTTATGTGATGGAGCAATATGGCGATTAATTATTTATTTTGAACCATACTCACCCATCGCGCTCGTCTCCTCCATGCCTATCGGCCACTATTGGATCCGTCGAAGCACCCAGGAGTCAACAAGTACCTGTTCTTTCTTCTCCTTCTTCTTGTCCTTCTTATCCTGCGTCTGGGTCTTCCCTCCAACAGCATCCCGATCCATCGCCTCCCTGCACAGCTTGTACCCGTGCAACCGCATGTTCTCCAATGCTTGGATGATCACCATCGAAACCTCGATGGTATTCTCGGCTCCCCATGTCTGGAACGGGCATGATGTCAATGTGTACTCGTGCATACCCTTGTTGTCGCTTTCCTTCTCGATTCTGAGTATCATGGAACAAAATGCGAGAAAAAGGTTAGTAATCTGCTCACAACCATTGTTTTGGCTCTTTTTGCTTTTTTTGCTCTTTGAGGTTGGGGTATATACTCCGCACAAGAGCAAAAAAAAAAAAAAGAAGCATAAAAATGAAAATGAAAACTTACCCTTGCGTCCAATGCCTGAGGATGGCGAGACGAAGTGCTGTGAGGATAACAACAGGAACCTCGGTCGGCACCCGGATAGTATCGTACCCGGAGAGCTCGACCGTAAACGACTCCACACCCCCCGCTGTCGCCGCTACCGAGACTTGGAACATCATATCCTCCGCGTTCTTGTATCCAGACACATCACCAACAAGAGTCATCTGGTCTGCATCTTTCTCTTGCGCCGCCACCTGCTGGTGGTGGTACTGGGACGACAACCATGGACCGGGATTTCCATCCATCCCCTGCACTTGTTGCTGCTGCTGATATTGATGCTGCTGGCGGTACTGATACTGCTGGTGGTGCTGGGACGACAACCATGGGCGGGCCTGGAAACCACCCGTCCACTCAAAGAATAACGAGTCGTTCTCCTCCCTAATCCGGCTCACATTCGAAGCCAGGACCAACGACCACCCAACCTTCTCCATAGTCCTCTTCAACGCCAGAACTAAATTCGTCGATGTAAGTAACGGACCAGTCTTTGGGCTCGGGGCCCACGGTTTGCCTCTAACCCTGAACTCATAAGTCCCACAGTAAATCTTGCTAATTTCCTGTTGGATAGGTTGCTTCCAGGTGTCAACAATCGTCTGACGGAGTAAAGGGATGAGGGAGGGGGGAGCATTGATGAGCCGGATCTTGTCGTTGTCGTGGAGGTGGATACAGCAGATAGTTGTTGGGGCTGGGTATTGAAGTTGTTGTTGACGTTGGGCACGGGTTTGGGTGGGTGGTTTGGGTGCGCCCGAGTTTGACTGGTTGAACATTGCCTGTGCTATGTCGTATGAGAATGACATTGTGAAATAGTGTTGTTGGGGGGGAGGGGGAGGAAGAGTCGATTTGGGGGTTTTTTTGCGTGCAGATGGAGTTGAGAAGTTGAAGAGAAAGAGGTGGATATTAGTTGTCGGTGAGAAAAGGGCGGAAGGGTGGGTATTTATATGAAAGTGAAAGAGAGAAAAAGGATTGAAAACCCTTTTCTCTTTTCCACGCCTCTCTCCTCCTTCCTTTCCATCGTTCCTTCCCACAATTCGCTTGTATTTACTTTTTGCCTCCTGCATCATCCTGTTTTGGTGCTCTGTGCTCAACCAACACCGATAAACCTTAGCATTGTACAAATCAAACATCACACATTTTGAGTTTGCGGTACCTGAACTATCAAAACGGAGGCGTTATTCACTTACACACACATCTTCATCGGTAGCCGTCATCGTGCAAAAGTCTTTGGGGTGTTCATTTTTCCTCTTTTGAATGACCTTGCAAAAGTACAATTGGCATGTCGGTTTGGAGTTAGAAAAGGCTACACTTTTTGTCTCTCTTTGTTGTTGTTGGTTGTTTGTTGGTGTCCGATCTCTTTTCTTGCAACCTCAACTTCCATGAACTTGATGCACATGGACTTCTACAACAACAACAACAACAATACAAATCACATGCTCTTTTCTCCAACAAACGTACTCTTCTCTTCTCCTTTTTGTTACACAGACACAAACATCCACACCACACATCAACAAACACCGCAAAAACAATTCATTATCTACTACTAATAGTCGGCACCATGACCTTCACCAGTAACACCGCCACCACCATGATAATTTTGTTCACATCTCGAACAGATCAAAAGTTTCTTTTCAGTCTACACAACAACGTACCCCTGCAATTTCTCTTGCGCCATTCAACAATACATCGAACGATGACAGTGATATGGAATTGTACATGTTGGTTGCACTGTATCCAGGCATGCGACCATAATTACAGTATCTATAATACCTCGATCGTGAAGCGCGCATGATATAAATGGCTATAGATTCATTTGAGTGTGACCAGCATGCGGAAGTGCATGGATCGAGTTGTTTTCGGTCGAGCATTGACAAGTAGATAGTGTCGCGTTTCCTTTTCTCATAATGCATTACGTTTTTTTTTCCTGTTTTTGTGTTTATGATGTACTTATCGTATTTCATGTCTGTGTGTGTGGTGTGTGTATTGACTTTCCTGTTGTTCGATTGGGGACGCATAGCACTTGATTGCATACAATGTTACACGACTAATAGACAGGACGCGACGCATTTGTATCTTTTCGCTGAGGACTTGTCGGACGGCTCATAAACATCGTACAAGATGGGAAACCCACTTCATGTCTAACGTGATGATGACGTTTATTTTCTCGAAGATAAAAAGAAAAAAGAAAAAATGAAAAAAAGAAAAAAACGAAAAAAACGAAAAAAAAGAAAAAAAAAGGTGGAGTACGTAGAACCTGCTCATCTTTTCGCTAGAACTTTTTCGCGAGCTCTCTCGGTATTCATTCCTTTTAAAGACCGCAAGAACAACACTTTCCTTCCCCAACCCGACCTCGGCTCGATGGTGACCAGGTTGGTTCAGCAGGTTGACTCTTTCACACAAGAGATCACAGTCCTTCGTTCCCAGCAGCTCCAGTCCACAAGATCTACTGATTCCACCCTCAATCGTCAAAACGACTTCTTTGCCTTTCAGCCTTCAGGGCAGCTCCTCGAGCCTGGTACTTGTCACAGTGGCGACGACGGTGTATCCACATGTGCCTTCCTCGAGTCGCTCTTCTTGTCACCACTCTCTGCTGACGAGAAGAAAGCTGTGGCAGCTTCCAGCCACTCCATGTTGGGCGTGGACCACTCCCCTCCCCAGGTTCCAGAAGGCGTCACTTTCCAAGGCGACCAAAGACTGTGGGACTCACAGCTTCGTGACATCCAGTATCACGCGGGCCAGACCATCAAATGGCTCGACTATTACATGCATACCCAAGCACAAGTTCCCTCCAACAGTTCCGATCCGTCCCAGCTTTCTTTTTTTGGTCACTTTTCGCCGGAACTATGTCGATTTCATCACGTCCATCTCCCAGACGAGACTCAACAACCTCGTCAAGTTCGACCGAATTTCGTGCAAGCCCCCCGCCCCCGTTCAACCCTGCCTCCGCTCCTCAGCCCATTGACTCGGCTGTTATGTGGGACACTCTGGCCAGTCTGAGACCAAGTCAAACACGTCTAGGGCGAACAAGAGTCTGTCTGAGAGATGGACGAGATGAAATCGACATAGTTCCGGCGAAAAGTGACCAAAAAAAGAAAGCTGGGATGGATCGGAACTGTTGGAGGGAACTTGTGCTTGGGTATGCATGTAATAGTCGAGCCATTTGATGGTCTGGCCCGCGTGATACTGGATGTCACGAAGCTGTGAGTCCCACAGTCTTTGGTCGCCTTGGAAAGTGACGCCTTCTGGAACCTGGGGAGGGGAGTGGTCCACGCCCAACATGGAGTGGCTGGAAGCTGCCACAGCTTTCTTCTCGTCAGCAGAGAGTGGTGACAAGAAGAGCGACTCGAGGAAGGCACATGGAGGCCTTTCAAGTCCAAATTGTAATATAGTATATGTTACATCTCTGCAGACCTTGACAATATCTACAGCGACCATTAAAGGAGAGTGTATGTATAATATCCACCATGTAAAACAACCACAGTAACATCCCTTGCATAACTATCCTACTAAATACCAACCTATTCTCCAAACAACAAAGTCTTCTTATTTTTCGCACACCAATCTCTTGAATGTGCCCATCTACTATTAAACTGTAATCCTCACTGCAAGATTAAGGGGAGTACTTCTTGTATGTGATCATCTAAAGCACCTGTACCCTCAACTGTATTTTTGTCGTGAAATACAGGGGAGAGATTACATTTTAAAAAAACATGTGCTATCTATTGCTATTTTATCTCATGTTCTATTGCCGACTTTAAAGAGATACATCAGCTATGGAAGTCAACACTGTATTCCTTGGGCTTTGGATATTTTGTATATGCCTTGTTATCTCCTTTGCACATGGAGAGGCCGCCATGTGGATACACCGTCGTCGCCACTGTGACAAGTACCAGGCTCGAGGAGCTGCCCTGAAGGCTGAAAGGCAAAGAAGTCGTTTTGACGATTGAGGGTGGAATCAGTAGATCTTGTGGACTGGAGCTGCTGGGAACGAAGGACTGTGATCTCTTGTGTGAAAGAGTCAACCTGCTGAACCAACCTGGTCACCATCGAGCCGAGGTCGGGTTGGGGAAAGGAAGTGTTGTTCTTGGGGTCTTTAAGAGAATAAATACTGAGAGAGCTGGCGGAAAAATCCCAGCGAAAGGATAAGTACTCCGAGAAAATAAAGAGCGTCACAATGAGACAAGGGGAGACTGCTTTTCATCACCTTGACACGAACATCCGAGACAAACTCATTTTATCATTGATCGAGGGTATGAAGGCAACGCGTTCACTTATCAGGATGGACAAAAATAGATATCCCTTCTCTTCCCTTACTTTCTTTTATTCTTCTTTCTTTCGTCTTTCCTTCCTTTCCTTTCATTCTTTCCTTCCTACTTTCCTTCCTCCTTTCCCGCCCTCCATCCTTTCTTTTCTGAACCCTCATCATACGACCACCTTTCACACCCCAAGGCACCAACTGCTACTGCTGTACAAAACGCAACTCAGCAAAAGACAGCACACACACACACACACGCGCTTTTTGGGGCCTGGGGCGCTCAAGAGATATAGTCGCGCAATGTTTTTCTTGTTCTTCGCATCGTATTTCTTTTTTCTTGTTTCTTTATACTCCTTCAATTGACAAGATCAAAGAGCAACAGCAGAAATAGTAACCCTTTCTGCCTTTTTCTCTTCCTCCTCCCTCTCCTTCTGAAGACGTGTCGAGGGCTTCTGGGAGATAACAAGTCCTCTCCCCCGCTGAGGCGCCTGCGGCAAAAAGTTCGACTGAGGCCTGTACGCCGAGTCCTTGACGATCTGTTTTACCATCACCGACTGTGGCAGCCAGTTCAGGATCATATATCTAAAAATTCGCTCCCACAGCGTCTATCCCCGAAAATAATGAGGTATAAAAAACAACAGTTGGCAACAATTCATTTTTCAGCGAGATTTGATTTTCTGGTTGAGGAGAAATGGAGATAGACATACATGACCGTAGCTGAGTTTGGCGTTGCGGTGCGAGTGTGCGTATTGGGCTTTGACATTCTCGAATCGTTGTTCACGGTAGTCTCCTAGGGCGGCTTTGATGTTTTCGTAACTGGTTGGTTTGATGTCGTAGAGGCAGTTGGCTAGGACTACTGAGTCAATCATTGCATTCACAGCTCCTTGTCCCGTGCTCGGAAGTATCTAACATACATAAGAAAAATAAAGTGAGCGACCTGTTACTGTTTCTTTTTTTTTCTGTTCCCTTTAAAAAAAAAGGAAAGACGGCGACGTGTGGTGTACCTTGTGTGCAGCTATGAAAAAATGGAAAAGATGAAAATATAACGGTTACATCGGCCAGTGGTACATTATTACAAAGATATCACATACAGATGAAAGAAAAACAGAGCACGCTTAACATACCATCGCCAATGAGAACAGTACGCCCATGAGTCCAAGTCTCAAACAGCATATCCTCAAAGAACACCTTCGAGATCCTCTCTCTGGGCGTAGCATCAACAATATCCCCCAATGGCCCATACGTTGTCTTGAACTCTCTAATTTGATCCAAAATCTTTACATTCGTCTCGGGTGCCCAATCCGACTGACGGAACTGTTCCTCGTCGATATCAGCAAGCTTCAATTGAATCACAACATTCCAACAGATCCGGTTCCCGGGAATCGTGTACGTCATCCACGCAAAGGGCATCGAGTTATCGCCAATATGGAACGAACATCTCGAACCTTCCGCCGCCAGATCCTTGTACCGCTCCTCATTCGGATCCAGGGGTAGAGTGGTTCCGACAAAGGACATATACCCCTTGTTCATGTTCTTGGTATCCCCTTTGGGGAGCAACCCCTGTTCATCCAGAGTCTTGTAGAGGTGCTTGCGGACACCGCTGTGGGCTCCGTCGGCGCCGACGAGGATATCCCTGTGGACGGTGGTGTTGTCGCTGAAGCGGAGCATGACGCCTTCGTGGTTTTGTTGGAACGAGAGGACTTTTTTGGACATGTGGATCTTGTGCGTGGGGATCTTGTTGAAAAGGAGATTGTACAATTCTGGGCGCGCAAATAACAGTCTCTTGTATCCAGTTCTACACAATAAGAAAAGGAAGACAAGATGATGAGTGGGTTTGTCTCGTTCCTGACTTGCTGTAGCTTATTGCCAAAAAGGTTTTGTGTCTGAGCAAAAAGAGCATTATTTCTACTTTTATCCGTTTTCACTCACACCTCATCCTGTACACAGATGTGGGCAGTCTTTTTCAACTCGGCAGAGTAATACGTCGCATCGTATGCCGGCTTGGAGACTCTCACTAATTCATCAAAGATCCCCATCTGCTCAAACGAGCAAAGGATATTTCCTATCATCAATCAAGAAGGGAAAAAAAAAGAGAGTCAGCACCAGAATCCATCAGAAAAAATAAAACAAAGAAACATCAATGTGCAGGGCAGCCGTACCTGAAAGGGCCATGACACCACCAAGAGGCTTGATCTCAGCGACACGTTCAAAAATCTCGTAGGGGATTCCAGCAGTTTCGAGTAACAGCCCCAGATAGAGGCCAGCCAGGCCAGCTCCGACGATCAAAACCTTTGGTGACTCGTCCTTGACCAGTGGCGGCAAATCGCTACTCTTGTATCCGCCTGCGGGGTTGAGTTTGGTCGGCGGGTGAGGAAGGGGAGAGAAGGGAGAGAGGGGAGGTGGTTTCGTCGTGTCCGCCATTGGTCCGTGAGGTGGTGCGATGAGGAGGCGAGGAAGAGTGAAGAAGAGAAGAATGAAGTAGAAACGAGAAAGAGAAAGGAAAACAGAAGAGATGAAAAAGAAAGAAAGGGGATGTGGTGGGATGAAAAGTAAAGAGCAGAAAAGAAAAATTAACCGCAACCGTTACGAAAAGGGAACATCAATGAGCCATCTACATCCTACCCAATGGTATCAGCATACGAAAGGAATGAAAAACGAAAAGAATCAAGAGTTACATAGCATTTGTGTCCACTGAAGAACAAAAAGAAGATTCTCTTTTCCGTGAAAAATAAAATCGCTCTCAATCGCAAAAAAATAGAGTTTCTGTCTCCCATGGCAACTATGAATGGTTGGTCGGTCACTTTCTTACGGCTTTATGTCTAATGAAGCATTGAGGACGAGGGCTTTGAGATAACAATAAAAGTGCCTACTTTTTTAAATTGGAGTAAGGTAAAGAAATGACAACATGAACGTCTCATCCACAACATTCACTGCCATTCTGAGCGATCGGATGATCCAACGACTTCTCCTTTCAAATTCCCGTTGATGGCAACGCGCTGGAGCGACACCTCTGGGAGAGCGAACTAAGACCGACAGCACCCTTGAATGTCAGATTCGCGGCCACAACTGTGCAATGTGAGAACCCCAGTGCACACAAACTGAGACGGTCTCCTGCCTCGGCATCCAAAATACGCCACACTCGATTAGACCCATCATTGGAACCAGTGACAAACTCCAAGGGGACCACCAGATTCCATGCTACGCTTGTGACGGCCTCTGAACATCCACTGACAACAGCAATACAGGACCAACTGTCGACCTCGCCTGACCTGAGTCGAACCGTCTTGTCGCGACTGCCAGAGAGAGGATCCACTTACCCATAAGGAGAGTAAGCGACGCTGTACACCGTATCCGTATGCCCTTCCTGTTTGACATCAGGCTTGTACAACTGCAGCTCCCAGAGCATGACTGAGGAGGAGCCAGTGCCGAGCACGAGTCGCTGGCCATTTGGTGAGTAGTCCACTGAATGTAGCGTATTCGATAGACACAAATCCTTCAGAGGTTGACGAAGGCCTCTCACTCGGGGATCGAAAAGACGAAGTTTCGATAGGCACAATAGCAATCTGACCGCAGTCTGGTCTCCGACGGGGGAAAAAAACACGTAAGCCCTCGAACGGTACGGATCGGTCGTCTCAGGCACTACTTTGCCTTGATTATCGTATTATCAAGATCCCAGAACTGTGTAAACTCGTTACTGTCGCATGAGATCAACCACCGACCATAGCGCGAGAAACTCATATCAGCAATTGGGTAGTGGGAAGATCCAAGGAGGACGCGCTCATCAACATCGGTTCGAACTCCCAATCGCCGAATATTCCCATCTTCGCAACCGCTCGCAAAACATTGGCCGTTAGGTGATATAGCAACTGAATAAACTTCGGGTCCGGACGGTAATAGAATAGATCTGGAGGCCTGTGAAGGAGTTCCAGCATCCAATGATATCTCCCGTAAGTTCAGAGATTATGGATAGACCGTCATGAGACCATGCCATAGTTCGAACCAAGGCGGCAAGTCCTTGCGTGATGGAACTCGACTGTTTGGTGTTCACCTCCCAGACTCGTATAATCCCGTCCACATCTCCTGAAGCAATTTACAGGCCGTCTAGGGAAAGGAATAGGTGGTGATCATGTCGCTATGACCTGGCAACCTGGTGATGGGTTGCCCACTCGATGAGTCCCACAGTTGACCGCCCCTCTCCATGCTTAACGAAACAATCATCTCGCCAATTGGAGAAAATACAATATCTTGTAGCCAACTGGTATCATCATTGAGAGTAAGACCCGTCTCTCCGGTGATTGCATCTACCAGGCGAATCTCGGAACTGATCAAACCAGCTATGAGGGCGCACTGCCGTCCGTCTGCTGAATGGACCATACGCGAACCATGAACACGAGGAATGACCCAGTCGACCTCAGGTGTTCCTGTATCCGAATCCCACTCTCGAATCGTCCCATCGCTGCTGCCCGAGACAAGTCTCCACCCGTCAGCTGAATACGCGACACTCAAAACGGTCGCTCCATGACTGTTCAAGGCAAACAAGCGCCCTCCTGTCTCCCAGCTCCACAACCGAATCATGCTGTGTTCGCTGATCGACGCGATCTGCTTGCTGCAGGGTGAGAATGCCACAGAGTCCACACCACCTCACTGCACCTTTTCACTCGCACGCACACGCATACACACACGCACACAGACACAAAGGTATATAGGGACGGGTCAAATGGAATGTTTATTGTTTGCTTATTGTTTGATTACTGATCGATCATCATAAAAAAAAAAAGAATAAGAAGTGATCCAGATACCTAGGACACTTGCCATAGGAGGTGTAGATGTAGTCAGAGTTCTACCGTTTCCGTAGGCGAGGAGAGACATGCCGAAGATGAGGATGAATATCCGCATGTGTAGCGGAGGTGTTTCGCTGACCTCATGATAAAGAAGGTTGGTGGCAGCAAAATAAAGGAAAAAAGGAAACACGGGGGAAGAGGTGTCGGGATTAAGGTTGTGATCCTCTTAATCACTTTATCAGTAATTGAGCAGTGCCAGTCACATCGACGGTCTTCGACAAATCATATTCGCACACAAGAAAGACATAGAAAAGAACAAAAGGACCCCAAGCATGTCTTCTTTCATCTTTTTCTTCTTCTTCTTCATTCACTCCACACATTCCTTCCACGTCACCAAACACAACACAATGCGTTTCTCCGTCGTTGCCATCGCCGCCCTTTTCCTCGCCTCGCACATTTCCGCTGCAAGAACCGAGCCCACCCAGCTCCAAATTGGTACACGCATCTCTTCCTCTGTCGAACTCTCAATGAGCCCTTTGTTCACCACTTTGCTACCTCACACCATTTTAACTAACCTAAGCTTACCCTTCCAATTGAAAACCTAATAGGAGTGAAGGCAAGGAACCCTAACCCCAACTGCGTCAAGTCCAAGGACGGCGATTCGCTCTCAATGGACTACACCGGAACCCTCTGGACCACCGGCGCCCAATTCGACTCTTCTGTGGGTCGTGCTCCCTTTGACTTTACCCTCGGTTCCGGACAAGTTATCAAGGGTAAATATACTACTTCTTATGCATTCTGGAGAGCAACCACTTCTATTTTTGTTGAGTATACCATGTTCGTAGAAAACATGTTAACTCACACCTCATTTTCCTCCTCCTGTTAATGTATCTAAAATAGGATGGGACTTGGGATTGCGTGGAATGTGCGTGGGGGAGAAACGCAAGTTGGCGATCCCCCCTCACTTGGCTTATGGCGAGCGTAGCATGGGCGCCTCCATCCCCGCCAACTCAGCCCTCGTCTTTGAGGTCGAGCTCTTGAAGATCAACGGACAGGGCAAGGACGAACTGTAAACACCTCTGCGACACACATTCCAGCAGTCTTCTCCCTTGTAACCTTTTGTAATAAAATCCACTCCGCTCTTTTTCACAACTCTCCCTTGCTCCATGTGTATTTTTCCCTGACCCCCTTTTTTGTTGATTTTGCTTTCTTTTATTGTCGCCGTGTCGTGGGAGTGCAATGAAGGGTTTACTTGCAGTAGCGATCTGACTTGACTTTCTCACGACGATCCAGCAATGCTTCTGAGAACCGTCCTTCCTTCTTGGCCTTGTTGAGCTCCTTGACTGATTCATTCGACACGATGACTCGTCCATGATTCCATGTCTGGAACTTGCGGCTATTAGAGAAAGGTTGACCAAAATTTGATTAGTTCTTGCCCTTCTCTTTCTTGTCACCCGTCGCAGTGAAACATGCGTGAAATACGTAGAAGAAAAGTTACCTCTGGTCTAACTCATAGTCCTTGGTGACGATTTTGACCTCTCCCCCAGCCTTCTTGGCCTTTTTCCTGAACCGAGCCTGGATCTTTGCCCGAAAGATCTCACAGAACCCAATCGTTTCCGAATCCGCCCTGATCTGAATCCCTCCTCCTGCTCCCTTCCCAGTATCGGCAGCAACCTCATCAACACTCAAGAACTTTCCGTAATGATTCTGGAACGCAATCCCGCCTTCCTCCTCGTCTGCTTTCAAAATCGCCGTCCATTCCTCCTGCATCCCAATAGCCTCTGTATGGGCAGTGACGATCCCGAATTTGTCTGAACTGAGGTACTTCCCGTTGTACGCTTTGAGAGTGAGGCGGTCTGAATCGGGGATCATGGTTGCTACCACGACTTGGTGTACTGCTGTTGGCTCTGCTGTGTCAAAGTTCACTGGTCCTCCTGTGTGTTTCCTACGAGGATCTTCGTCGTCAGAGTCCTGTGATGGGGGTTGGAGAGTGGACATGTTGATTTTTGACTTGTCGTCGATGGTTAGGCAGGATGGGGGCTCGGATGCGAATGTGAGGAAGAGCGGGCCGCCTAGATCTGTCAACGCCCTTACGGGAACCCAGCCTAAGAAGATAATGAAAGTGCAAAGGTTAATATTAGCGGGCAAAGGTGCTAAAGTGTGACAATGCATAGCTGGATGAGTCGGCAGTGTGAAGCATACCTTCGGCATTATCGTTGGTCTCCTTGTTGTCTTCGCCATCGTCCTCTGCCTTTCTCTTCTTCTTCTTGCTAATTAGTCACAGAGACATGCAATGAGGGTTGATTAGCTCCATGGAAGTCTCTCGTTGGTCGTTGTGGATTCTTAATTGTGATTCCTTTTTTGCTTGGAGTGAGTGTTCCTTTAGCTTGAAAGTGTAACCATACGTTTTAGTTTCTCCCTTGAAGCTGAGTTTCTTCTTCTTGACGTTGTACTCGTCCGGCATGGTAATTTCTTCCTGTGTGTGTTGGTCTGGTGTCAAGGAATCTCATAACGACCGAGCCCTGTAGAACTCTTTTATGCTCGTTAGAAAGGCGATCATATATCATCCCTTAGAGTCACGTGCCGAATTCTGCGGAATGAGTGCATGTACAGCACTCTTATTGTTTGGACTACAATCACCCTTCAATTTCAGAGCCCTTCCTTTCCCATCCGCCACATCGCCGCCTCCGACCCCGAAAACAACTCGATGAAAATCCCGACAATGTGTTCTCCAGCGAGGTCAATGACGATCCCAACGACGCTATCCTCTCGTACCACCTCCAGCACACGACCGCAATCGAGTCATGAAAGATCATTTATCACACACACTCTTCTATTCTCATCTTTTACGTTGACACAACACCGCGGCAGGCCGAAGTGCTAACCTCAGGGCTAATGAGATCCCTGACGATCAAGCAAAGGAGGTTGAGGAGGAGACACAAGACATACAGGAGCTAGATGCGGAAGACTCTGGTGGAGACTCCGACGAAGAACAGGGAGCTCAGAATCAGGATGCTGCTGAGACTGGTAGCCAAGTCGGACATGGAAACGACAGTCAAAATCAAGAGGCGGAGGACGATTTGAAGGAGGAAGGTGAGAAGGATGGAGAGGATGATGATGCAGATGCAGATGCAGATGCTGAAGACAATGAGATGAAAGGACCTGTCAGACCCATCATTGCCCCCAGCAATAACCTTTGTCCCGCCCGAGCTCAATGTGACAGTATCATGGACTGTCTCTGCTTCGCCACCTGCAGGACTCGAAAATACCCAAAAGTTAAAGGAGCCCACTCTTTCGATGAGGGTATGTGGACGCGCGCTGAGCTCCACGGTCTTTTGGCGGTGATGCCGGCGTTGGGGAACCTTACCCTTTCTCCCTTGTCAGCGTTCGAGCACTTGGGGGTTTTGGATGGATTCACAAGCTTGGCAAGGCACAAATATTTGCCAACCAGCCTTAAAATCATATCAAAAATCAAACAAAAATGAAATGTGGCGATAGTAGGACTCTGCTTGGTATACTTGCTCGCTTGAGTGGCCAACAATGCGTGTGTGTGTGTGTGTGTGTGTGTGTGTGTGTGCACGGTATCAATTGCAAACAAGGATGGCTGTCATCGCCATGTTCAGACCCAACGATTTGACCCAAAGATGGTCGATTTGTGCTTTCAAATCGCATCGTCCCGGTCAATTATCTCTTCTTCCTTCCCATTCTTCTCGTCACCTTATTCATTCGTAACGTGTCGATGGCTGTGGTGACTCGTGGCAGTGGTCACCGAGCAAGACTATAATCAGAAATCAAAAATGCAAATCAAAATGCTGTGATATGCTCGAGTAGGACTGATCGACACTGAGACTATTAAGGATATTAAGTCGCTGATGGCGATTGTGATGACTTCTTGATCCTCACTGTGACAGGCACACTGCTACAAACACATGGTCACACCATGCACCATAGTCCAGAAAGCAACTTTTCGGATTTACTCACTTCACCAAGGTATCTCCTACTATTGTTTTTCTCCTGTTGTTCCTTTTAATTTCTCAGACGTCATCCCTTCTCCGTTCAGCCACTCTCCTCTTCATTCAGCTTCTTTCTCTTCTCTCTTGCATCTACTTTCTTTCTCCTCTCCTTCTCTATTCTTGATTCCCATTCTCATTCTCATTCTCCCCTCCCCTCCATCCTTCCCTCTCATATTACACTCTCTTTCTTGTTCACCTTCGCTCACATTCTCTTACTTGTACCCTTTACACCTCTCCCGCTCTCTCGTTCATTGTCAGTCGCGACACGATGTCCCCTCATTCGACACTCCGTCCTGACTAATCAAGGAAACAGAGCAGGAAAGTACTCAATCGTTCATTCATTCTCCTTCCTTCATCATGGTGCTCTATCCAATTTCCCCCAAATCCCTCCCGATACTATTATTGTCCAGAATGCAGCGCAACGTCATTCTTCTATTCTAGTGGATGAGAACGCCTCTTTGAGGGCTCGTTTGCTTGAAAATATCAGTGTTTCCTGGCTTCTTTCTCACATTCTTGTGCAGAATGGGTCAACTGTCGGTGTGAAAGTGAGGTCTACCTGTGGATGTTTGGCACGTCCACTTACTGAAATCCATTACATTGTGGTTGGCTTGCCCATGAGTGTCCTGGAGAGGCTTCATAGAGGACGATTCCTGACGCCGATGTACATTGAACAATGATCGTGAGTGAGGCAAATTGAGTCGACTTGCCAGCCAAGGCTGACTGACTCAATGGCTGTTGTCAGCATGAGGGGTGGGCGTGGGTGGCATCAAGGCCCTGGCGGAGTGCAGGTGTTTGTTTGTCTATTGTGTCTTTCAGCGTCATTAACCCTAGCCTTGTTTTCCTTTTTTTTAATGGCAACTGGATAAGAACTTTCGTCTAGATTCGTAACTCTGGAGCGAAAGGATGACCAGGACAGCAAGGAGCTATGTTACTCTTTCCGACTGGTGCAATGGTTTGTAGAAGGAAAGGGGAGAAGCGGGCGTGGTGGTCTCTAGTAGTCAGTGTGTGTGTGTGTGTGTGTTTGTCATTGATGAGAGTTCAGTGACTGTTGACAGGCGAAGAAAGACGGTCATGACGAACTAGAAGGTATGCGAATTGGAGATGGCCAACGTCTATATCAGCAATAACACCATCGAAGCATTGTTTGACAACGTGTAAAATTGTAGCTCAATAAATAAGCATTAATACATCAGGCTCATGATGACCACTCGAGACAAATGCATTGGTTAAGGAATTGGGAGCAAGGGTATCTTTCCTATGGGCCGATGCCTGTCTCTTATTTATTCGCGCTCCACAACTCTATTTCCTTTATCTCTCTTTCTTTTTCACTCATACCCACGACACCATCGCCACTACAAGAATAGGACCATTACCTCCATCGCAATGCCGCTACCAGGACCACCACCACCATATCCGCCATTACCCCCGAGCTTCTTCTTATCCTGGAATGACCATGCGCCACCATCACTTCAAGTAATTGTGTCGGCCTACTCATTAAGCACGGCCGGTGCGCCAGACAAGTGGAAATGACGGGGGCTGCCAGGTGCATCTTTTCGAGTTTATTTTCTCCATTACTTTATGTTCCGCTGTTGCTCTTTTTTCACGCTTCCCTTTATCCCTCACCTTTCCCCGCTTTGACATAACCATCACCATTATTATCCTCACCTTCATCAGCAACCACTGACCTCTCTCATTCAGCTTCAGTTCATCTTGTGTTTCATTCGTCTTCCATCCTCATTTGGAATCAACCCCTGGGCAGCAAAAAGAGCGAATGCGCATCTCTCCTTTTTTCCTTCACGATGAAAAGGCGCATGAACCCTGTGTAACAATGACACAAACTAACAACTACATATGTGTTTTTGTGTCCTATAAACTTGTTCAGCCCATTGCCATTGCACCGTACCACATTCGCACTCGGAACTCATCAACGCCCACCGACCCACCAACCCCCTCGAGCCTCTCAAAGGTAAAAATGCACGGCAAGCTCTCATTTTCTTCAGTGAAGCAAGCTCAATAGAAGGGGCGTCCGGGCTGTCGATTCCGCGTGGACTTGGAATAAAATGTACTCCTCGATATGCGGTCAGAGACCGTCCAAGGACCGATTCCAGCGATGACCATACTCGGTCAGTGCCCTCTCCTCCGAGAGCTGCACTTTCCTCCAAGCAAACAAATCGACGAAATGGAAGGATTCGAGGATATGTTGATTGCGATGGAGAGTTGACCTCGTACAATATGGCCTGGGAGCAGCAAGTGGAAGTGTTGATGGTTGGAGCCACCGAACTGTTGGAGATCACGACACAGGCGGGACGAGAACCACAGGCAGCTCAGGAAGTGCAGATGACTGTGGATGCACAGGATGCACAAGAACAAGAGGAGGGAGCAGGTGAAACAGTCGCTGCCGATGGAGTCACCTAGACTTTGGTGGTGGACTTGAGCGAGGGAATCGCATTGCCTATGCTGAAAGAGTTGGATGTCAGTGCGATCCATCTCGCACCTGAGGGACGAGCTCGCTCTTTTTTCAGAGAAACGCGCTGGAGATGGTCAATCTGCTAGACAATGTATTTGTGCTCCCGGAATTGATCACAGTCTGGGATGGCGGTGCCAAAACCTCACAATACTAGGAATGACCATCTCTGTCCAGGAAGACAGTGATGAGGCGAATGTGACACAAACCTTTTTTACCATCATCTCGGCACATTACCCTATTAGAAGTTTCTTGACCTGACCTGCATGCGTTTTGAGAAGTCAGAGGCCGGAGGACTGAGAGGGCTCGCAGGGGTAACCAAACTCACGGATTTAGGCCTTCAAGACAATGGGACACATGCACTGGGGGAGATATCCTTAGATTGATGGATTCTACGCCTGCGCTGGATTATCTCGACCTTTCACCTCGTTCCCTCATCGACGATCGCAAGGGAATGCTCGAGGTGCTGGTTGAGCCCGACAATGCACATGTTCTCGCTGATGGCGAGTAAACCTCTGGCTGTCTTTCGTTCCACTTTTTATCTTTTCATGTATTTTTTTTACCTGAATAAAGCAACCTCCGTTCAGGGTGGATGACATTGGATTGTGATGTGATGGGTCATAATAGACTCATGTTTTTCTTGCAAGTACACCCAAGTCATCAAGGTATCCTGCTTGCTTGAAGTAAAACTATTGAGATCGCGGGCAGTGATGGCGATAGTCTCTGAGTCTAAGTCAGTGTCGTTTCTTTTCTTTAGGAGATATCAACCAAAGAGACCGTCGACCATGGTCGATCGACTTCCATTTGCTTTTTTTTTTTGCATCATCCTATGTTATTATCTGCTCTCGTGCTCTGTATTGTTTTTTCCCTTTTTTTCTCTGTCCATCTCCTTCATTGCCAAGCGCTGACAACACCAAAAAAATAATAATTCTGGTGGTTGTGGGCCCAGAAATCAAACGTCCAATAATAAGACTTTTCTTTTCTCACCCGTTACCTTTTCTCACCCGTTACCTTTTCTCACCTCATCGCTTCTTCCCTTCCGACTTCATTCCAAGTTCATCTCACCTCTTCCAGCCGACAACAACATCGTCACTCTCACCACCAACCCACACACGTTCATTCAACATCCTTCCTCCTCCGCACTTTTACATTATTTCTTCCGTCGCAATACCGTAATACTTCTTCCGGTCGCGTCAGGAGGCCATGACAACAAGGCGCACCTGTCCGCAGTGAGCTCAAGTTGGTCAAGTTTTGAGCCGCAAGTCTACGTCAATGTCAAGCGAGGAGCGGTTTACACTCTCAATGGAAAGGCCATCCTCACTCCTAACAACCATGGAGCCATCCAACGATGGACGTCTTTGACAGGAGCGTTTGAAGGTTTTTTGATCGAACTCCCTAATTCGTCGTCCTCCTCTAGTACCTAGGCATATTCTCGGCAAGGAAACCGGTTGGCCCACTCGCCACTTTCGACAGCAGGAAACACATACCATGACCAAGCATGTCCTGAACACCAGTCGGGGTAAAGTAACATAGTTCCTTGCAGTCCTGGTCGTCCTTTCGCTCCGGAGTTACGAATCTAGACGAAAGTTCTTATTCAGTCACCATTAAAAAAAAGGAAAACAGACTAGGGTCAATGACTCTGAAAGATACAATAGACAAATAAACACCTGCACTCCGCCATGGCCTTGATGCCACCCACTCCCACCCCTCATGCTGACTACAGCGATTGAGTCAGTCAGCCTTGGCCAGCAAGCCGAATCAATTTGCCTCACTCATGATCATTGTTCAATGTACATCGGCATCAGGAATCGTCCTATATGAAGCCTCTCCAGGACACCCATGGTCGTGGATTTCATTTTGATATGATTTTAGGGTTGGTTTTTTTTTTGTTTTGTACGAAGTTTATTGCGTCGTGGGAGTGCGTGCAGAAAAATAATACTCATCAGCTTCGAATCACCGCCAAATCAAAAGATGTGAAAATAAAATACTTTCCAAGAAAGCACACAAACTGCATCTAAACTGAGAAAAACAGATAAACAGAGAGCCGGAAAAAGGCAAGGCAAATAAAATACAGAGGAAATAGAGTACAAATGTTAGGTAGGATGGTTGGTGTCGGTCGGGGGCGGCTCGGCTGGGGGAGGGAGTTGGCGTTCCTCGCTCTGGCGCTTCTTCTCTGCCAGCTGAGCACGGGCCTGGGTGATCGCCAGGTCTACAGCAGCAAGGACGATGCGTGGGTCAAATGCTTGGTCCTCCATGATGAAAGCAAAATGATATCGTCAAATGGTAGCCAGGATGACGCCGATCAGCAGGAACAGGGGGACGTCGTTGCGGGGTTCGAGGGGGTCCGAATTAGGAAAGAATAGGCTGCAGATGTAGTCCGCTGACCAGGCTCTCTCCTCCACATATCTTGTCATCGCGCTCTGCCAGACCTCCAGTTTCTTGGGACAGCTGAAGAGGAGGTGTTGATTTGTCTCGACCTGCGCCAGGCAAGCGCGACAGAGGATCCCGACCTTGTCCGGGAGAATGGAGTGGAAATGGACGCCAGATGGGAGTTTGTTGATCAACAGACGCACTAAACATTGCGAGCATTGTGAGGAATCGGATTCTTCCAAAACATGGTCCAAAAAGATGGCGTGAGTGGTGGTGGGAGTGCGATCATCGGTGGATGATGGGGTGGTGGTGTTGGGGGCTGTCAGGCCTTAGAGAACACAGCCTGACGAGAAGTCCTTGTGCTGGCCAGTTCGAAGTATCCGTTCTCTGTCTGGGTGGTTGATTTTAAGGTTGGTTGGCCAAGATATGTGCCTTGCCGATCTCGTGCATCCATTCCAAAACTTCCGAGTGCTCAGACGCTGACAAGGAAGACAACATTAGTTTCTGCAATGCCGGTGTCGCAGTCAAAAGACTGCGGAGCTCTGCGCGCGCCCACAGACCCTCATCCAAAAGAGTGAGCTCCCTTAAGTTTCGGGCATGTCTGAGTCCTGCCAGGCAGTCCTGCTCCTTGGCCATGTCGGTGGTGGTGATGTGCAGAATGGTGATGTGGGCCAGTCTGCCGATTCGCAAGAAAAAGCTCCGCCACATATTGTCAAAGTCATCCTCTTCTTCTGGAGGGAAGATTCCCAGTTGAAGCTCAGTCAGGTTGGTGCAAACCCAATCGGCTTGCAGCAATGATTCCAGGGGTATATGCATCCCATTCGGAAGTAGCAGCCGCTCAAGCATGGGTCGTTGGAAAAACAACCGAGATGCAAAGCGCTCTTCCTGATCCAACGTGAGAGCGGAGGCGGTCACCTCGAGTTCCTTGAGCTTGGGCATGGCAAAGGAATTGCTGAGGACAATGAAGGGTCCGGCAATTCCTTCCGTCTCATTGTCTTCAGCATCTGCATCTGCATCACCGTCCTCTTCATCCTCTTCGTCTTCCTCTTCCAGCTCGGCCTCAGGGATTTGCTCTTGACCTGTCGTCAGCATCTCAGCTTGCGTTGACCACCACAACGGAAAGCCAATCAACGTTTCGACCGCCGCGAAACTGCCCATGAACGTTTCCAAGTTTGCCATGTCCGCTTCATCCACCAAAGGGCAAAATTCGAGCGCCTTCAGGGTGATGCAGTCAGCGAGAACTTGGAACGTTGGGAGTTCATCTTGGACATAATCCTGCGGGACATGTTCGATCAAAATTGACTCCAAGTTGGGGCACAATTCCGCGATGCCTATGTCGGCCCGGCAAACCGTGAGCGTCCTGACCTGCCAACTGCCCTCTCCCTTCTCTCCGCCATCCGCGACCTCTGTCCTCTGATCAACTCCAAGTTCTGTGTATCCCGTCTGCCATTGCAGTCCATACCACTTGCCTCGGAGATGCAACTCTCGAAGCTTTGAAAAGCATTCAAAGAGTGGCGACAAGGGTAAGAGGGTCTGGCTGTGAGGGAATTGCAGCTCCAGAACTTGAAGCCTCTCCATCGCCCGGATAGCCTGAAGCACCTCGATGAAGCTCTCCGTGCCTCTTGTTTGAATCACCAACTCCTTGACTCTCTTGGTCATTCTCAAGATATTTCCGAGGCAGCTCATGGAGAGGTCACGATTGCTGGAAGGTACCTGGTTTGGGTACAACTCTCTTGTAATCGCCACATCCGTCCAATGGAAATATTGAGTTTGGAGAAAATGTGTTTCAAACTGGGAGGCAGAGGGAGAGGGCGAGGGCGAGGGCGAGGGAGAGGGCGAGGGCGAGGGCGAGGGAGAAGAGGAGGAAGACGAAGAGGGGGAGGAAGAGGGAGGGGAAGAGGGGCACCGAAACGGGAACGACTTGTGCTGAACTTGCAAAGCTGAAATCCGGGTCCACAGGTTGAGAGACAGCGCCGCTTTCCATCGCTGTGAAACCCTCAATGCGCTGTACAGCGACGGTCCGTCCAACGATTGACCGATCTGGTGTATAACTTCAGCCGGGAGGTGCACGTCCTGAAGAGGATTAGTGCTGGATGCTGGGTTGGCCATGTGTGTTGCTGGTGAGGTTGTTGTTGTTGAAGTGGTTGAGTGGTGTTGGTTGAACTGCCGTTGGTGTAAGTGTAATGTGGAGAGGATGCAACTGTAAAGTGAAGCGAGTGTAACTGTATAGTGGAGTAAGTGGAACTGTGTAGTGGAGTAAGTGGAACTGTGTAGTGGTGCGAGTGCAACTGTATAGTGGAGCGAGTTCAACTGTAAAGTGGAGCGGTGATGAGCAGAAAGAAAAAGAAGGGGAGCATACTAGATTTTTATTGTTTTCTGAAGACAGAGACAGAGACTACAACCATTCAATTACACGGTCTATTCATTCACACGGCGCGGAACTAATCGGCGCCCTCAGGACCTCGATTCATTCTCACGGTGCATTCATTCACATGGCCTATTCATTCACATTGCCGATTCAGACAACGGGCAAAGAGAGAGGGGGAGAGGGAGAGAGAGAGAGAGAGCGAGAGGGAGAGAGGGGAAGAAAACAATGTTGGGTGAATAAAAAAAGAATGATTCCAAGCAAAAAAAAAAGCTCATCTGTTTGCCCGGAGGCTTGATATTATCTTTTCGTTGCAAGACAACTAGAAGAGTGAGAGAGATGAAAGTAGCAATACAAGAATCATGGAGATCGTGGCTTTCGAGCAGTATGAAGAAAGTGGGTGCAAGCATAGTAGTAATCGTTGGCAGCGACAAGGAAGAGAACGGTGCATAAAAAACAACGAAGCAGAAAACGAAAGCGAACCCTTCATTTGACAAACGAAAAGGGACAGGAAAAGAATATATGGAGTAAACAGTCCAATACAATCAGACGCGCTTTTTTTTTCTCTTCGCGCTCAACGATCATCATTTCCTGTCTGGCAGCAAGAGAAGGAAAAAGAAGAGTACATAAAAGTTGTTGACCGGTATTTCGTATGAGAATACACATAGAGAAGGCCACCACGCTCTCTCCATCCATCCATCCTTCTTCCTCTTTCTCGAATCGACAGTTGTCAATGGTCAGACTGTTAGACAACAACAGACTAATCTCGAGGAATTGGTGCAAAGGGGGCCCATCGAAAAATTCTCTGCCTGAAAAAGAGGGTGAGGTGTACCAGGCTGGTTAATCATTTTCTCTTTTTTTCTTTGAAGAAAGCAAGAGAAAAAAGTGTACATCAAACAGGGGCAAACAAACACAGCAACAGTGCAAGGACAAGACATACATCGTTGCTCTCCCATTCCTCCCCACAAACATTCCCACAATCATCCACGACAGAACCCAATAAGTGCATTGAGGGATGAGCAACAACAAAAAGATCCGCGCACGGTTACATGGCCACACGATCAGGAAATTGTTCGCTCTCTCTTCGCCAAGTTCACCAAGGCACATACCACCCTCAATTACTACTTTTGATCGCTCGATTGCTCTCATTCGTGGAATCATCCTTAGTTTACTCAATATATCACGGATGCACGGATGTTGTTCAAGATACAGCGCATGCTCAGGCGGAAGGAGACAGAGAATGAGAAAAAGGGTGAAAGGGATGGCTGCATTGGAAGATGGAGATACTATTTGCTTTAATTTTTTTCTCTTCTACTTCTATCATTACAGTTGATGTCGCAGGAGAACAAATAGAGGTACGTCTACAAAGTGAGAGAGAAGCAACATGGATGTGAATGCGGGTCTTGATTTCTCTCTATCTAACAACTATTTTTTGGTCGGTAGAGGAGAAACGGGTAGGAGGAAAGCTCTTGTTTGGCTGTGCATCCAATGTCGTTGTTTTCTTTCTCTGCAATCGAGTGTCGCATCCACTAACCTTGTCTTACCACTATTGCTTTGCTATCATGCATGGTCGCAACAAAACAATGGAATCGTTGGACCGAAAATATTAAAACGCTCGGGCAGACACACAACAACCCTGCCTTATTCTGGTCGAGATTCTCGGCAACGAGTCAATTAAAGATAAGGGTCAGAGTGGTTTGTATGAGCGAAGGAAAAGGAAACGAGAGAAGAGGACTCATATGACGCAATTGAGTGTGTGTGTGTGTCGTTGAGAGAGCAAACAACGGCAACGACAAAAGATAAACAAATAAAAAAGGCAACAACGGCAATGATAACAAAAACACCACCCACCCCCTGTCTGAACCCAAATTCAAAGGATGAAAGGCATAACAACAGGACAAATGCAAAGAAGGGCTTGAGAAGTACCCCTCACAAACCTTCTCTTTAGGATTTCCGTCCGTACGGTCGTCTGATTGAATAGTCTTATTGCAACTCAATCCTCGTGTGATAATGCATTTGTATTTTTTTTGCTCAACCCCAGTCTTGCCTGGACGCAAATGGAAAGAATGTTGCCCTGAGCAACCCTTCTCTTTGCTATTTTTCTCCAGTTGCCTGATTGAATACCCATTGCAATTCATCCCCCGTTCGTCAACGCATTATCTTTTTCTTGTTCAATCTTGCCTTTTTTTTTTTTGTTGTCGTTCCTCCTAGCTTGTACCAGACGGTTATTCTACGGGATGCTCACGTTCACGAAATAAAACATGTACGGAAAACGAAAACAACAAGTTAGCGGGCATATTTTTCATCGGCCAGAGCAATAGCGAGACGCGATTGTCTCGCACCATCAGAGAGAGAGAGACAAGTACGGTTCTCAACGTTCAAGATTTCTCCACTTTTAATTTGGCGCATCCCTTGCCTGTTATTGTTTGACTTCTCATTTCAAACAGAAACGTTTGTTATTGCTGCATTAAAGGAAAAGGTAAAATCAATTTCTCGTCAAGTTAACTTAACTTCACATCAAGTCATTCACAACAGCATTTTCATTTCCATCATCCTCGCTTGTTCTTCTTGCAGTTGAATTTTGGAGCATCTGTGGCATCTTTCTTTGCTTTATTTTCTTCCTCTACTCGTGCTCCCTCTCATCCTCTCTCTCAAGTATGAATATCCTGCACATCTCCCAAGTCGCGTAAACCCTTCGTGGGTTATTGGCCACATATAAGGTACCTTCAAGACGAAATGGTAATACCAAACAATAGTCAACAAACAAAATGGCCCATGGTCGGATCATGTCAAACCTTGTTGTAAGGTTGTTATCATGTGAGCCGAGATACGCGAAAAAATGTCCCTGTTAATGTGGAGAAAATGTATTCAGCCCAAAGTACGCGACTCTTACCAAGAAAACTCAGCTGTCCATATGCATGCGCCTACTGAGGACGGCGATGGAGGGGAATGAATGGGAGTGGCGACATGCTGTTTGCTGGGTTGTGCTGTAGGATGCGTGTCATTGAATATGTGTTGTTGCTGTTGAGTATGCGCTGCGTTCATTGGTGTTTTCCGCCCTGGGAGTAATAAACGAGAAAAAGCAATTGCTACGAACTCGCAGGTCACTTCTTCCCCCTCCCCCTCCCCCTTTTTTCAACAGTAATATTATTTACCCATTATCTGAACTAGTTCTTCAGAACTAATCCCACAATTGCCACCGGTCAATGCAAAAGAGAGTGTATGTATGCGGGAAAGGGCGAAGGAGGGAAGGATAGATGGTATGATAGCAAGAAACTAGGAACGGAAGAAAGCGACTATGTTGATCGGTCTTCAGCTGAGTTGCTGGGAAAGAATCTTCACCTGCCTTTCTTTTTCTTGTCGCTTTTCTCTTTGACTCAAGTCATGAGACAAATTACTACACACAACAACCCTTTCTCTCATTTCTCTTCTCTCCCCCTTTTTTAAATCGCTCTGAATGAATGTTGGCGTTGTCGTCGGCGTGAACGGATGAGTTACTGATTGAACTTAACAATGTATCTTTATTTTTTCATTTCGCCTGTCTGTCATGTTTTCGATGCATCGTCTTTTTTTTGTCACTGTCAGCGATAACCCATACGCTCACGTCCACTTTTATTACATTGATCGAAGCCCTACTACTGACGTTTCTAGTTGCGCCAGTCTTGTCTCTGTTACTCCTCTGGTTGTCTGCTAATGATAACAAATGTCAACCCTCCACTCGACATACTTTTTCTTTTGGTTGAAATCTTTCGATCCAAATTGACAAAATGCTGTCACTCTGCTCGATTCATCGGTTCTCCCTCTCTTTGCCCTCACCCGCTTCTTTGCTCTCGCAATTTCTTCCCCCTATTCCAAGACCACTTGCAAAATACTTGCCTTGCCTCCACTACCCCTCCTCTCCTATCCCGCAGCAACTGCAACTGCACTAACAGCAACCCCAGCAGCAGCAACAACAACAATCACCACCCCATTCGACATACACAAACATACTAATACACACAACAATCAACACCACTGCCTTCCATCCTCTCCCAATGGCCGCCCTTCCTCTTGTAGCGGGCCTACCGAACATGAATCCTCCAGTAAAAGTCCTGCGCCATATCGGTAGTTACATGGACGGTCATTTCCTCTAAGCCAGGCTACAGGTGCGCAGAAAGTGAAATGGCTCCCTTTTGCCTATTATCTGAACTATAACCACTGCCCTGCAATTAAAGAGCCGTCGACCCCGACAAAAACCCGACGAAAATCGCGACAATGCGTTCTCCAGCGAGGCCAATGGCGAGCCCAACGACGCTATCATTTCGTACCGCCTCCGGCACACGACTTCACTCGAATGGACTGAATTTGCAACCGCGAGGGTTCTCGTCCTGGGTAGAGTTCCGCCAACCAACCAAGACCTGCCCATCCATCGTCTTGTCGCCATCATCCGCATGGCACTGAATCTGGGAAGACTCACATTTGACAGCCGGAGGCATGAGGGGTACGACTGAGGCCCCTGAGGATCAAGCAGAGGGCGTCGAGGAAGCGGCACAAAGCACACAGGAGCTTGATGCGGAAGACTCTGGTAGAGAATCCAGCGAAGAACAGGGAGCTCAGAAGCAGGATGCTTCTGAGACCGGTAACCAAATCGGACAAGGATGTGATAATAAGGGTTAAGAGGCAGAGGACGATTTGGAGGATGGATGTGAGGAGGATGGAGACGATGACGATGCTGATGCTGAAGACGATGAGACGAAAGGAATTGTGGGACCCTTCATTTCCCCCAGCAATACGTTTGTCCTGCCCGAGCTCAATGTGAGAGTATCATAGATTGTCTCTGCTTTGCCACCTGGCAGGACTCGAGAAAACCCAAAAGTTAAATGAGCTCACTCCTTTGGATGAGAGTATGTGGACGCGCGCTGAGCTCCACAGTCTTTTGGCTCCTTTGTCAATGTTCGAGCACTTGGGAGTTTTGGACGGATGGACGAGCTTGGCAAGGCACATATCTTGGCCAACCAGCCCTAAAACCATATCAAAAATCATCAAACCACAATGAAGTCTGGCCCACTGGTCGAACAGAAATGAAAATGCGAATCAAGATGCTGTGATATGATCGAGCAGGACTGACCGACACTGAGACTATTAAGGTCGGATATTGCGATGGTGATGATTCCTTGATCCTCGCTGTTACAGGCACAATGCTACAAATAGATGGACAACCCATGCACCATGGTCCAGAAGATAGTTTTTCGAATATTTCCTACTTTGTTTTTCTCCTTTTTCGCTTCTTTGCCCCACGTGAACTTATACACCGCCACCAACCGTTGTCCTTTCTCAGACGTCATCCTTTCTTCTTTCTTCACTTCAGCCAGCTTCTTTCTTTTCTCTCTTGCATGTGCTTTCTCTTGTATATATTTTCTTCTTTCCCTTCTCCTCTCTCTTTGATTCCCTTTCTCATTCTCCCCTCCCCTCCATCCTTCCTTCCCTCTCATGTCACGCTCTCTGTCTTGTCTTGCTTGTATCCCTTACACCCATCTTATTGTCGCATCGCTCGTTCCCGCACTCTCGGATATCGTCAGTCGTGACATCAAGTCCCCTCATTCGAGATTTCGTCCTGACTAATCAAGGAAACAGAACAGGAAAGTACACCCTAGTTCATTCATTCTCCTTCCTTCATCATGGTGCTCTATCCAATTTCCCCCAAATCCCTCCCGATACTATTATTGTCCAGAATGCCGCGCAACGTCATTCTTATATTCCTGTCGACGAGAACGCCTCTTTGAGGGCTCGTTTACTGTATAAATATCGGGGTTTCCTGGCTTCTTTCTCACATTCTTGTTGCAGAATGGGTCAACTGTCGGTGTGAAAGTGAGGTCTACCTGTGGATGTTTGGCCACGTCCACTAACTGAAATCCATTACATTGTGGTTGGCTTGCCCATGAGTGTCCTGGAGAGGCTTCACAGAGATCAATTCCTGACGCCGATGTATATTGAACAATGATCGTGAGTGAGGCAAATTGAGTCGGCTTGCTGGCCAAGGCTGACTGACTCAATCGCTGTAGTCAGCATGAGGGGTGGGAGTGGGTGGCATCAAGGCCATGGCGGAGCGCAGGTGTTTGTTTGTCTATTGTATCTTTCAGCGTCATTAACCCTTGTTTTGTTCTTGTTCTCTTTTTTTTATGGCGACTAGATAAGAACTTTCGTCTAGATTCGTAACTTTGGAGCAATAGGACGACCAGGACTGCAAGGAACTATGTTACTTTACCCCGACTGATGGTGCAATGGTTTGTAAGAGGAAAGAGGAGAAGCGGGCGTGATGATCTCTAGTAGTCAGTGTGTGTGTGTTTGTGTGTGTGCGTGTGTGTTTGTGTTTGTCATTGATGAGAGTTCAATGACTGTCGAAAGCCGGGAAAGTATGCGAACAGGGAAGGAGTTAGGGATGGTCAACGTCTAAGTCAGCGAGTACACCATCGATGCATTGTTTGTCAAGGCGTACACTGTAATTAGAATTGTGTCTAAAGATTCTAAATGAATAAACATTAATACATCAGACCCATGCGAACCATCCGAGGCAAATGCATTGGTTGAAAAGGAATTGGGAGCAGCGGGGACAGAAACTTTACTTTTGTATTTCCTTTGATGACCAGTGGGCTGAAGAAGGAAGGGTGGGGTCGTTCTTTTGGTGCTGTTCTTTTTCCTTCCACACTGCATCTTCATGGCATCCGCGTCCGTAGTTGAGAGGCAAGACTGGGTGTGAAGGTGAGCCTCAGGGCTAAGGAAAACGGAAGGAGTGTGTGCAAAGAGTATGGGTAAATTGCAATATTATTATTATTATTATTATTATTATTATTATTATTATTGGCTTATTGTCCTGGGTTTGTGCGCACAAGCGTCGTGATATCAAGGCCTCCTGTGTCTGCGTCATGTATTCAGCATACTCTTGTTTGCCCAGGACATGCTTGGTCGTGGCGTGTGTTTCCTGCTGTCAAAGAGGCGTGAGGGCGATGTAGCTTGGTCCGGTCGCCGTTTGAACATCCGAATAATTTGGTCTTGGTCGAGTGACAGAGCAAGGTTGGTGGCAAACACATCGTGTGAGCATTCTCAAGTGAAGCGATCGAAATTCGTGGCTTAGACTTAGGTACCTGGCCATTGAATCAAAACAAGTCCTTTTTGCCTGTCACTTTCCTGCCTACTCTCTCTCCGCACAACTGATACCCACCGGCTACTCGACATTCGACTTCGGGATTACCCTCGACCCTCCTTCTTCGCATTAGTTGACCGTCCTCTCCTCTTTTCTTCTTCGCTCACACCGTCAAGGACACAACAACAACTCGATAATGGCTTCCTTGACAAGATCTACCCGTGTCTTCTTGGGCATGAGCCAACAGTCCCTTCGTGGATCCCTCATCAACAACCAGATTCGCCTCGCCTCAACCACCGCCGCCACTGCCACCAAGAAGAGTGCATCTACCAAGGAGAGCAAGCAGGACGATTCTATCTTGTTGGAGCACAAGGGTGATTTCACAACAGGAGTATCAAGACTTCGCGAGCACTACCGCAACACTGTCCAGGACGACTTGATGGTCCTCACCTACAGCCACACCTTCAAGCCCAAGGCCAAGATTCCCGAGGGTGTTCGCGTGGAATTGAAGGGCAACAGGCACATCAAGCCTGCTCCCAAGGCCCCCTCTTCTCGTCATATCCCCGAGTTGGTCAAGATTGATGTCCACTGTATGATGAAGGAGGCTCTGGTGAGCAAGTATAACCTGTTGAGCGGGTTCATGGCCATTCAGTCCATCACGGGAGAGATGCCCGAGATTATCAACTCCAAGAAGGGTGTCCACCCCTGGAAGCTGCGCGCCGGTATGTCTTCCGGAGAAGTTTCTTCTGGTGTCCTTTCTGTTATTCGTTTTTCTTTAATCGATTATTTTTCTCGTTTTGATCTGGTGCTTGTGATCCATGACACTATTTTTTCGATCTGGTTCCTGGTTTGCTATCTGTTTGTCCTTATCGTTCCTCTTCATCGCCTGCTTTCTCTTCATCGTTACATCTTCCTCTTTTTCTCTTTGTACTTCTTATTTTGATCTCGTCAATTGCTATTCATTTCATGATCTGCGGTCTGTTATTGTGCGTGTTATCATTACAAATGAAAAAGAAGACTAACATACACTCACCCACCTCAATCAAATAGGAAACCCAATTGGATGCAAGGTGACATTGAAAGGCGACAAGATGTACCAGTTCTTGGACAAGTTGGTTGAGGTTGTGTTGCCAAGGATGAAGGAATGGCCAGGATTGCCCGAGTCTGCAGGAGATGCTACAGGAAACATTGGCATGGGATTCCCCCCTTCAGCTCTGTCATTATTCCCCGAGATCGAGAACAACTTCGACATGTTCCCCAGGATGACTGGATTCGATGTTACCTTTACGACCACCGCCAATACCAACCTTGAGGCACGTTTGTTGCTCTCTGGCTTCAACATGCCCTTCCAGGTCAAGGACCACTCTGCACCAAAAGCCAAGGAGGCTGCCGCACCATCAATAGAATCCGCCTCCGCATAAGTGTTTTTTTTCGTACTTGTGTGGAAAGTAGTTTTCTTTTGTTTTTGACACCATAGACATCGTTTTTTATTTTCTTTCATATCTTCATCCCTTTGCAATAAACCCGTCATCATTCACAATCAAGGACGACCTAGGAGTTGTGAGTGCAGTTGCATGGATGCTCTATTTTCGAATGACAGGTGAAAAAGGAGACCATGGTTGAACGTGGGGATGAAGGTAAAAACGTGAGCGAGTGGGTGTAATTGAAAGACGGGGCAGAGGAGAGGAACAAAGGAGATCTTGGCAGCAATGCAATTATGCTGCTTCCTGTGTGATTGACCCTTTCATTTCTTTTTTTGTGCCCTTTTGGCCCCTGCTTTTCTTTGCACTATTATTTTTTTTTGCTCCTCTGCGTGCTGGTAGTAGATAGTGTCGAGACATGCACCCATAACATGATGACCCCCTCACTTTTCGTCAACGCCCTTTTGGTCAAGTCAAGCCCACAACTCTAACTGTGCGCCATGGCTATTTCAACTTACCCAGCCACATTGTCTTGCCTTGTGTGAGGCTATTTGCGGGAAGAGTGGATCTCTACTCGCTCGCCTATGTGCGTGTGTACTCCGAATTGAACTATGACATCGGATCTCCCTCCCACCCTCCAAATCCCACAGCCTGCGTGTGTATGTGCTACCTGTACCTTGTGTCTTGTGTCTTGCGCTCGAACTAAGAAAAACATAAAGAGAAGCACGGGAAGAAAGAAAAGAGGTAAATGGTGAATAGGCTACTGTACCCTTGCAAGAGACAATCCAAAAATAGGGGCGCAAGAAAGGCCTCCCCTCTCTGTTTTCTATTTGTATCGTCCTTATCTTCGTCTTTACTCCCTCTTCTTTTCTTTCCCTTCTCTTCCTCTTCTCTCTTTCCTCCTCACTCCCATACCCCTCTCCTTCTTTTCGCACCTTCATACTTTCTTACCCTTTCTTTTTTTTTGTCATCGCCCTGCACAGAAAAAAGAGCAGCAAACACCCTCCAAAAATAAAGAGAGCACCAACAACAAGGCAGCAGCACTGCAGGATAATAACCACGCCTGCTTCATACGACACCAACAAAAGCAACAACAACTAAAACAGCCATGGCGGGTCGACGACATGCGAAATGCTGCTTCTGCATCCCACTTAGACTTGCAACCTTCCTTGGCGCACTTATTATCGGCGTACGTTCTTTCTTGCTGTTATTGCTGTTGTTGTTGTTGTTGTTGAATGACTGATCCTTCTTTTCGCAAAGGGGAGGGAGAGTGAATGAATGACCCCTATTGCAAAGAAGGCGACAGGCTTGTCTCAAGACCTTGCTGTTGTATTTTATTTTTTTTTACTTTCAGCCATAAACCACCGACTAAACAGGTCCTTTTTTTTGTTATTCGCCGTTTTGTTGTTGATAGGCCTTTGGAGGTGCAGGAACGTATCTTTTCTTCACCAACCAGGATCTGCGTAAGTCGGACTCCTTTCTACTTATCCCCACGCCTTCTTTCTCCCTTCTTGATCTTTTTGGACGTTTCTCGTAGCTGGTACAAGTTACCAGTTGACGTCAATGGCCTTTCTTTCCCCACTGTTTAAAGCCAATTCACGGTTTGGCTTTTTTGTCTCCAGGAACGAGAAACCGACGTAACGAGAAACAGACGTTAAACTCCGGGGTCTTCTCGTTTCCTCTTTGAAACCATTGTTTTTGTCGTGTTTACTTATCCCGTCTCTTTTTTTCGACTCTCCAACTATGTTTTTTAGCCCAGCGGACTTATACTTTTGAGGGTAAGAACAACTGTACAGAGGATGAAGGAACAACAACAAAAGGCCGCACTGCCACACCACAATAGTCCAGAAATACAGATCTTTCTTGACTTACACAAAAAATAACAACAGAGGCAGCCAGAACCAACAATAACAACAGGGACAGCCCAAAAAAGACGGCGAGGCGTGAACGAGAGAGAGCCTTAACACTAAAAAAAGCCTAACACCGTCTATCCCTTCATATATTTTAGGCGTGTCGTTGACGCCATTGACATCAGGACAGGCGCTGTGGTACTACTTCGCAGCAGTGAGCGTGTTGGCCGCAGCGGTGGGGCTTTTGGGGATGTTCTCGGCCCTCCTTGCCAACCGTCGTATGGTCAAGTCATTCGAGGCCATCTACGTCCTCTCGCTCCTTACCCAGTTTGCCCTCACCGCTTGGGCCTTGATCTGGTGCAAACAGAACCAGACCCAGTTCGACACCATCTGCAATGCCAACAAGGCTGGACTCGTCTCTCTTCCCTTGCCTTCTTTCATGAACGATTGGGATTGTCAGAAGAAATTTATGACGATCATCTTAACGATTGGTATTGGCGGACTTGTCTGGATCTTTTTCAACTTTTACATGACCAATCGGGTCATTCATTATGCCAGGGAGCTGTTTGCGGATCGTGCGGATCGGTACAAGGTTCTGGGCGAGGCGGCGACCAAGGAGCTGGACAGGGAGCAGCAGATTCCACTCAACTACACCAACGTCGGACGGTCTATGCCTGCCGAGGAGGAAGGCGAGTCGTTCCAGAACTCTCACCCCCAGCAGCCTTCTTACAGGGACGAGATTGAGTACAAGGATCCCCGTGGCAATAACGACTTCCAGTACCCTCGTGCCGCTGCCGCAGGATTTGGAGCCTTTGATGAGAGTGCTGTGCCTCAACACCAGTTGCAGCAGAGCTATCATGCCCAGCAGCCCCCAGCAGCCCCCGGATTCAACCACCGCGATTCGACTCACGATTTATTCAATCCTTACCATAGCCAGGGCGAGCAGGAACACATCCCTATCCCTCCAGCACCAGCACCTGTCTCTTATTCCTCATCATCTGCTGTCGCCTTTGCCATTCCACCTCCTCCTACCTCCTCATCGTCTGCAGGAGGACAGTCCTTCACACACGCCTCGACCGCCAAGATTGCATCGCCCTTTGATGACGACGAAGATGTTGCCGGTGCGGGCATGGGGTTAACACCATTGACCACGACGACTTCTCGGGACGATGTTAAGGTTCCCCTTCCTGACTCCCCTCGTGATGGAGATGTTCTCTCGCCGACTTCTCCCACAGGCCGCAAGACACCTCCCTCCAATCTCTTGTAGATATCTCCTTGTTATTATATGTTACATTTCGCAAATCTCCTACCGCCATCTTTGTCCATATCGTCCCTTCTTGTTCATTCTTCCTCTACTGTTCAAAATACATATCACCTCTTCATTTATATCTTCATCACCTTTGAGTGTGTCGTCGTTCAACTGTCATATGTCAAATGATGCTATAGTTTCTTCATGCCATAAAATAAAAATATAATAGTTGTACTTGTTCTCACGTTCATTATTAGCATTTCGCATTGTTGGGTTCGGTCCGAAAGAAGGGGGGGTAAATATGAATGAAAAATACTGTACACTTATTTATTTGCTTTGCTATTGGTATCAAAAGGATTGTTGCGTATGTAGACAAGCAACTACTCTTTGTCGTTTTATGCACGGCGGGTAGAAAAGCTATCTTCATAAGAAGGTGGAGGCACCGCATTATCCTCCTCTTCCTGTTCTTGGTCCTGTTGGACCAAATCAGGGCGTGGGATGGCGTGTGGAACGGGCATCGCTGGTAGGGGTCTTGAACTCGAACTCGAAGCAGGCGACGAAGATGAAGAGGAACCGAGGGACATGTTGGACATGGAGTAAACCAACATAGGGTCCTGAAGTCCAACTTTACTATCACCTCCCGAAACCACAGGTGCTGGAGGAGGACCAGCGGGGGGACGGTACTGCATCACGGGAGTAGAAGTAGAGGTGGCCAAGAGGGGAGCTGGGGCGACGGTGACAGTAGTTCTTTGTTGCTCATGCTGTTGACGTTCCTGTTGGAGATGTCGGACTTGTTGCTCAAGGTGGTTAGAGACTCCGGTCAGGGCTCGACTGATAACGCTGTGGACTAGGCGGACTGGGTGGGGGCCGCCATTGTGATGGTGAGTGTGGTGGCGGTAATGTTGTCCGTATCGGGTCCTGCCGCGGCTGCAGTCATACACTGTCAAGTCTTGGTTCAGAGGTGAGGAGACCAGGACAGGGACGGGTTGGGGGTAGAATCCATAAGGCTGGGACTGAACCAATTGCGAGGGTGGCGAGGCGTAAGAGGGCACCGAAGGAGCACCAGGAACGCTGGGCACCGAAGGAACAGCGTAACTCTGCCTGCCATACTTGTGCGCATGATGCTGATGCTTCAACTCCTTCTTCAACTCCTTACACTGGTGCTTAATCTCATGCTTAAACTGCTTCGCCTGGTGTTTGATCTCGTGGCGGAGGTCCTTTTCTTGCCGCTGAGTGAGGGACCGTTCGGCTTTAAGCTGTTTAGCATCGGAGCGGGCTTGTTGTTTTGCGTGGTTGGCTTGGTCTTTGAGGATGCGCTTTTGGGCCTTGTAGGCAGCTTTGTCTTCGGCGCGGGCGTTCCTGGAGGTGGAGGAGCAAGAGGAGGAGGTGGAGCAGTGGGAGGGGGTTCGGGTGGTTGCGCACGTACGGGTTGCTGGTTGGGCGGGGGCGGAAGAGGAGGAGAAGAAGGCGTTGTTGAAGGGGGAGGGCTCAGAGGTGGGGATGTTCAATCCAGTCTGTTGCTGGGGTGGTTGGTAGTATGGGGTATCGGGGAGCATCCTTTCCTTCTTGTCCAGCTGGAAGAATGGCGAAGTCATCTTATTGTAGTTGGTGGCTGTTGAAGGGAGAGGGCGTGTGAAGAGGGAGAGTTGAGTGTGAGAAGGCTAGTTAAAGTTGCTTTTGAGTGATGGTTTGAAATGAACTGGGGAGTGGAAACCCCTGTTCCTTTATATCAACCAGCGAGAGCGCACAGGCACCCTCCGAATGACATCCACTCCGTCTTGCTTCGCATCGTCCATACAAAAACATCATGAAAGCCCAAAATAAAAAGATCAAAAATGGGACTAAACCTTGTCAGACCAAAACAAAGGGCTTCTCTTCCTCTCAGAGAGAGGGCTCTCCCCCCCTTTTTTTTTCTTGGCTGATGTCTTGCCAAGACTTTCCCTGTCCCTCTCTCGCACACACACATACCCTTCCCTTCTCTAGCTTCTTTTTTTGCCCTTTCTTCTCGTAGAATAGCGTCTGTGGTACAAACGTTGTTAGACTCTTGGCTTTCCATCACTTTATCCAGGGCTAATGAAAGGAAGGCTGTGGTGTGGCAAAGGGTAAATTACCTTGCCGTTGCGCTTTTTACCAATTGGGGTTCTCGTACCCCACCTCCTCTCTATGTGTCCACATGGCAGAAAGCCAAGAAATCGCAAATCGATCGACTTTCTTGCTGCTCCTGCTCCGTCGCAAAAATCCTTATTCATGTTGGATAGAAATATCTCTATGGAAAAACGTCTTTTTATTACGTGTGTTCATAGGCATTGGAGAGTGGAGGGGGGAATAAGGATACAAAAATAAATACACAAGCGATCAAAACGAAGGGTAACGGAGATGGAGTGGAGAGGATAGAAAGAGGAAGGTTGTTGTAGCGTTAAACAGACGAAAGCAAAAAAAAAAAATTGCCTCGCCAAGAGTCATCATCGAAAAGGATATTAAAACTGAACAAGAAAAAACAACAGGGTCTAACAACGGCTGGTAGGACGGCGGGCGAGAATGGAGAGGTAGATCAGCACACATACTCCAATGAAGCTAGAAATTGATCCCACGACAAACGACTTGTGGAAGCACTCGGTGCCGAAACACTCGAGTGTGTGCTCGTGCTGGGCCTCAAGGTCGTACAACCATCCAAAGAGCAGGTTGAACACTTGTCCTCCAACTGCACCAGTAACTGACATCCAGCCCCTATTGCACCGCATTGGTAAATAATGAAAGAGTAAGCAAATTAGGATTTGGGGTTGCATAGCAATGGATAATGGAAAATGCTTCAAAAGCAACGAGGGGATGATTACCAGTTAGTGCCAAAGTTAGAGACGTGGAACCATTCACTAACAATGGCGGGTGCTACACCTAATTAGAAAAGAGAGATTTCAAAAGGTCAGAATTCCATCTCAGTCTGTCAAAGTGGTGTGCTTTGTGAATTTCCATCTCCCGTACGATGATGATTCATGCATTCATGCATGTTTGTATACAAAAAAATAAAAGAGACTTCTTACCAAAAACACTGCCATAGCCAAGTCCGACGAGGAGAGACACACGAACAAGGTCATCAATGTCCCGGACTTGAGCTCCAAACGTCTGTCCCAACCACACACAACCTCCCGCATACAACAGGAACCCCACCCGGCTGATCCCCCACCACTTCCCACCACCACGCTTGCCCAGATCTGACATCATTCCGATTGAGATCCGTCCAATACAGGACATCAGACTGATCAGCGAAACATGAAAGTTTTGAAGCTGCTGCAATCGGATCAAGTCCTCGTCCGTGGGAGGCTTCGAGGGGTCGTCAATGTGGTCGCGGTAAATGGAACGGATGACGTTGCCCGCGTTGGTAATATACATCAATCCCGGTCCAGAGAGAAGCATGGTTCCAAGCATCAACAACTGTGCGTGACGTGTCATCCTGAACATCTTGAATCCCGACAGAGATTTGGGAACGAGAGCGAGGCTTGACGAGTGACCGTGAGAAGCAGAAGTAGCAAGCTTAGGAACAATGAGACGCTCCAATTCAGCGTTCCTCTTGCGATGTTCTGCCTCCTCCTCGGTGATATCGTCATCGTCCAGTGAAGAGCTCGAAGAAGAAGAAGATCCCGCGGCATGAGCAACTGACGATTCCTGATCCTTGGGGGCCTCCAGATCCTCAGAAGGAAAGACTTGGAGAAATATGAGTGAGATTAAGATGGTTGAGCCGATGGCCTTGGCGACAAGGAACAGGAAAGCCTGGGTATCGTCCTTGTACCAGTGGCTGCTGATCTGGGCAAACAGCAACGCCGACAGTCCGAAGCCCGCAATGGGGACACCCATGGCAATGCCTCGGGCCGACTGGAAGTTGTGGGCATTGGTGCTGACTGAAGTCATGTAACCCGCCTGGGACCCCATACCGACAAGGATGAGGAACAAGAAAGCCGTGAAGAATCCCAATGAACCGAAGGCTCCCGTGTAAGTCCACGACAATCCTGAGTATCCAGCCACGAGCAGTGCCGCTGACAGACACCCCACCCTAAATATAGATTTAAACGTAAAAATGGCGTGCAACATCACACAGGGTTTAGTCAGATCTGTTTAGTGCGAGAACGGAGCACGGAAAAGAATGTAAAAAGTCGCACGCGCAAGGAAGTGCAGGATGTGTACACAAACAGAGAACACACAGACAGTCGCATGGTGTCAATTTAATCGACCCCTTGTGCCCACGGATTTCGGAAAAAAAAAAAAAAGTGGCAAAGTGCTGCAGGAGCAGGACCAATCGCAACTCGACCCTGTCGCCTGTCGAGGGATCAACATAAAAATGAGATGGGGTAGAATCACTGTATAGGGGGAAGGAAGGTTGGGGAATATAGGAAGAGGAGTATGGAGCAAGCAGTAATCCCGAGAAAAGAGGTGAAGAGGGGTTGTGTGCGGTTGGCTTGTTGGTTTTGGTCGGTTGTTGGGGGAAGTAGTAAGACGGTAACGAGTTGGAGAAGAAGTAGGGGGAGGGACAAGTCCTCTCCTCGATCCATTGAAAAGTAAAAGGTGGTCCTGAATTGTATCCAATGCTTACGTTCGTGGACCTTTGCTATCAACGAGTCGACCAAAGAGAGGACCTATATCATATAATTAAAGTTGATCAATCAGTCAGGTGTATGATAGGGTGTTGATGGGGTCCGAATATTGAAGTGATTGGGATAGGACCAATCGAGGGAAGAAATGTACCTGACAAGAACAATCCATAGTGGACACCAGCTGCAACCAGCTGTTGTATTGGTTCAATCATTCACACGAGAAAAAGAAGAGAAGAAAGAAAAGGGGTCAAGAAGTAAGCAAGTGTTAGCTCTCTTGTCTGATCACTCTTCCTGTTCACTGCATTCAGGTTCATTCATTTTCATTCAAGACAATGAATGAACGAGTGAGTTACACTGGACTGGACGGCGGTGAGGGCGAGTTTAGTGGTGAGCTGGTTGGCATAGGTGGAGTAGAGGTACGGGGTGCCGGAGACAAGTGCTACAGCACATGCAGCGAGGAACGAGGCTGTCCGAGCACTCGTCGTGGGCTGAGGAGTCGAAGAGGTCATTCTCTTGACCTGTTGTGTGGAGGAAGGAAGGAGGGGTTAAGGGAGAGATGAATGGGGAAGGAATGAGTTGGTGAAGGAGGGAGGTGAGTGATTGGAGTGTTTTTGTTGCTGTGTGAATGAGAGGAGAGAGGAATGGGTAAAGGAAGAAAACAAAGAAACAAAAAAGGGTCTTTAAATACTGAAGAACAAAGAGAGCGACATCGGACCTCGGTCGGAGTATCTCTTATCCTTGCGCCGCTGTCAGAAAGTACTAGCGAGATCAACGAAAAAACAACAGCAACTATGAGCTAATGAACAATGAAATGAACAAAACACATGTGCGAATTGGAAATCATGGAACTCCATGACTTCACTCCTCACTCTCTCTCTATCTCTTTTCCCCATCCACTCCCTCTCTATCTTACTTACTCACTCGCTCACTTCATGCCGTATGTTCGGCTTCGTTTTCTTTCCAACTTTTTTCTTTCCTTTTTTCAAACTCCGATAAAGGTCGTCAGACAAGGTGTCATCTTTCCTTTGGGACAAGCGGGATCTTTTTTTCTTGACTACACAATGATGCCTTACACATCCTATCACCTACCACAACAGCACACGATGGACCAAGACTTGCGGTATTTTGTTTTCTAGCCAAGTACTTTATCGCAGGAGGTACGTCCAATAATCGCAAGGATCCATGACAGCACCACCATTCGAGATCTAGAAAAGTTGCTATTGTCATCTCTTGTGTCATTGTACAGCAGGAAAGGACATGAACAGAAAGAAATAGAGGCAGGCATACAGCAGATCGTGTAGTCTGTTGTATGCATGTTTGTACTACGGAACCTGTGTTTGTGTTCTTTTCCGTGCGGCATTTCTTTCTCTTCTTCCCCCTTGCTTTTCCTTTGTGCCCCTTCTCCTCTCGAAGGAAATCCCTCACAGCCAAAGGCCAAAAAGTCCGAACCCTTTTCAATTCGAACATCAATCACTTCGTGACGAATACGAAGGTAGTGCACGGACCGCATTGCAATTACACAGGTCCACCCTTTTTCTTTCTTTCTCTCCAACCATCCTAGCCTTGTGATTAACGCGTCCTCATCTATCACTACGACACCACGGTGATATGGAATTTGACCGAAGCAATTTGCATCGCAGCTCATCCCAACATCCATCACTCTACGTGTCCAGTCTGCTTGTATATCATCAACATATCAGTGAGTTTGCCTTCCGCGCTTGGACGGTTTGTGCCCAGCCTTCTTTGTCTCATTCCCTACCTCCCCTCCAACCGGACAAAGCCAACCTTCCTTCTTTCTCCCTCCAACGGTCGCTCTCCTTTCTCTTTTTCTTTTTTTTAAACGTCTTTCCTCTTCCATTTCCTTTCTTTCTCTCTTTCTCTTCCATTACCATCCCTTCACCTTTTTTTCATTCCCTATTACTTAATCTTAATTTCTCTACTTCAATAATTACAAATCAGACCAACCTCCTTTTCTCAACTTTTTATTCCCTTACTCCCTCGACAAATAGTATCCTCCTGCAACTATAGCCCACAGCTGCCATCTGAACAAAAAACATTCCAACCATGAGAGCAAGGTCAGCGAACACACCACCTCGCTCACCACCCACATCCTCCTCAAAACCAACTACGCTCCTCACCCTCCGCTCAGCGATAATCCTCATCACAACAGCACTCCTCTCAATAACAGTAACCGCAGCATCGGGTGCTTTCGAACTCCAGACAAATCTCGTCTCCTGTGGAGGTAACAGTTCCGCAAACACGAATGCAGGAGGGTCGACGGCCCCAATAGCAGTCTGTGCTCCACCAGAGTCGAAGCTGTTTAATAATGTGCGGGTAGTGAATGGCACTCCTCAACCGGGGTCTACAGGTGTCCGCGTAAGTAGATAAATCGATTTTTTTACGTTATGTTTGTGATAGATGGGGGTGATACATGATTTTTTTTTTTGCGAGGTGTCTCTGTCTCGCATGGCTCAAATGGTATTTTTTTAAGCACCAAACCACTGAAACGATAAAACACATTTTTTCACCTTCGCCACTCTCCTCATCACCTTCTCTCTCACCACTCACCTGATCAACAACAAAAATAGGGCCGGTTGTACGATGTAGGAACCCTGTGCACAGAGAAGGTATCCGACAAGATCGACCGCGCTTGGGTCGCTTTCCTCGACTGTGGTGGAGGATGCTCACTCGCCACAAAACTCGCGAACCTGCAGGGGTCCAACCCACAGGCGGTTCTTATCTATAACCAGGCCGCCTGTACTGTCAACACTCCTAGCGCACAACCAGCGGAACCGGCGGGTAGGTCTACTACTCCCACGGCTTCTACGCCCGTTGCTTCTCCTGTGCCAACGCCAGTGGCACCACCAGAGACGGATGCGCCTGTTACGTCTGTTGCTCCTGCGGCACCAACACCAGAAGCACCTCCATCTGCTGCGACTACGACTGCTGTTGCTGCTCCTGCACCTGCGGCACCGACCCAACCAGCCGACGAAGGAGAAGGCGACAGCAACGATGATGTAGATGGTGACAGGAACGACAACGACGACGATAGAAACGACGATGGGGAGGGAGAAGGCGGGGGCGATGGTGAGGATAATGGTGACAATGATGGCGATGATGGTAACGATGATGGTAACGATGGTGACGAGGACGAAGAAACAAGGAAGCATCCACGCTCCTTCCAGACCCGCAGCAGAAACAGCAATATCATCTCGCTCGAGGGTCTTGTCGGTGCTCCAGGCGAGGGACTGGGAAAAGCTGAGGCATTGCCCCAGGGTCGGTCACCACGTCCTCGTCCCATCCTACACCCACACGTTGTTGGGTCAAAGAATCGATCGACTGCCAGAAGTTCGCCGATGGATACTCACGGTCGCCGCCGCTCCCCGCGTGCACTTCCAGCCCTTCGCCCTGTTGTGGGATCACCCAGCGCTGCAGCAAGAGCAGGAATCAGCGGCGATATTGAACCCCAAGGCCGCTCTCCTCGTTCACGCCCAGTCCCTCACCCTCACATCGTCGGAGTCCGACGCGCCGCATCTGCTTTCTCATCCGACAAACACCCTCACCAGCAACAACAATATCATGAGGTAGTAAAGGCGATGGACATTGCTGACACATACGTCCAGTTCCCGATCACAGTCGCCATGGCGGAACAAGTAACAACGGACTACCTCCTCAAAATCCTCACTGGCCCTGCGGCATTTTCCCCGCTCCCGGCCCCACTCAAAGCCCTCAAGACCACCGTCAACCCCATCGCCGCCGCCGACAGCAACAATGGGGTCATCACCGATTTGATGGTCAGTATTTCACCTGCGTTCGGGGAATCGACGGGAGAACGCAAGTTCCTGTCAATGTCGAAACCGATCTTTGCGACGGTGATTGGGATCCTGTCGGCGGTTATTTGTGGAGTGGTGTTGATGTATGTGGTGAGACCGCTTGTGAAGCGCCACCGGAGACAGAGTGGTGGTGGGTCGACGGCGTTGGTAGATGATAATGACTCTGAGAGCCGTGGTACCCCTCCCTCACAGTCCACGGGTTCTGGTGCTGCTGGGTACTATGGGAACAGCACAGCTTACACCGGAAACAACAGTAATGGTGGCAGTGGGTTATATGATGGCGGATATGATGACTACAACCAGCACTCGTCCAAGGAAGGCCCTTACTCCGCCTCCTCAACCGCCACTGGCCCTACCTCCCAGCTACCGCCCATGCAAGAAGTTATTTCAGAGAAGCACTCGCACCAGAAGAAGGACAGCAACTCGGCCCCTACGATCTTTGACCACTCCCTCTCCGGAAACAACATCCCTCACTCCGCCACTGTCTTCCCTTCTGCATCTAACGCAGTCGAGTCCGAGGACCCTGATTATGCGCATAAGCATTTGGAGCTCTTGCGTAACCAGGATCAATATCGTGAGCCTCAGCCTGTGCCTCTTCCAGATTCTACGGTCGCGACTCCTACGACTGCCACCGCTCCTACTCCTTCCGTCCAGATGGAGGTGATCCAATCTGCGAGGACACGATCGAACTGGGGTAGTGGCTACACACCTACCACCCCATCAGCGTACTCGGCCAGCACGCCTACATCTACAACTGCAACCGTCCCTACAGCCACACCAACCACCGCCGAGCCCTCATCGAGTTCTACTTCTGCATTTGAGAACATCTGCGCTGCTGGATCTTTGTCGCACAACAGAGTCCACAGCAGTGTCGGCGTGATTCCTGAAGAATCAGACCACTCTCTCCTCGAACCCTCTGCTCCCCAAGACTGCACCCACCCTACTTCCACCTCTGGACTCACCCCCGCAACCTCCGGTTCCCACCGCCACAACAATGGCGACGAAGATGATGAGGAAGACGACAGGTACTCGGTCGTCAGCAGCAGGAATGGCAGTGACTTGTTCCACTCTGAATCCAAACCCCGTCTCTTCCCTACCTCTATCGACACCTCCGGCATCCCCCATTCTTCCTCAACTGGCAACATCACCTCAGCCTCAACCAGCATCACCCGCGAAGGAGGGCTTGCAACCACGTTGTACAGGAACCACCGTCTCAGCATGGACAACCCTGGTGATTTCTCATCCCCCGCGGCCCAGTCGCCTTCCTCGAGCCTCAGTCTCGGCTTCCACCAGCGTGGCAGCTTTGGTACGGGTACTGATTCGAACTCGAACACTCCACGTGCGTCGGTATCAAATGACTTTGTGCCCTCTCGCGCCAGCATGGATTCTTCTGCACTCTACCGCGACAGTAGCAGGAGTACCGATCTGCAGACACGCTTCCAGGACATCATGGCATCCAGCCGCGCATCCGGTGCCCCACGCTCGTCTGTAGATGGAAGTACTCCTCGCGCTTCTTTCTCGGATGACTATCGCCACCGTGTGCCCACAACTCCTTCCTCCTCGCGCCTCCCCAACGCCACTACTGGGGAAGCGGCACCCCGCGCTTCCATCTCCAACGACGCCCCTCCTAGGGCGTCCTTCTCGGAGGACTATCCTGTCAGGCCGTCGTTGGATACCCTCCGCGCGAAGATGAATGCTTCTACACCAACTTCTGCCACTGCGTCGAGTGAGTTGATGTCGCCTTTGAGGGAGCAGCGTGCTTCGACTGCTAGCTGGAGTCGGTACGTTTGTCGTGATTCCTCAGGCGCTGCCGCCAACTGATAGAAGAAGAGGGAATAGAAACCAAAAAAAAAAAAAAAAAAAAAAAAAAAACATAAAACGTACAAATATTGTACATGCATGCATGCAACTCATCGCATTTTTATAAACGTCTGCATTTTTATATATACTTTGCCCGTCGTCTTCGCCCTTCGTCTTCATTTTGTACCATTTCACCCACCAATCAAACAACATCAATCTTTCGTCAGATACACAATTTATTGTTTTCATTAGCAACCTTTGGGAAATTGTTTCTAGAGCGGCGGAAAAAAAAGGGAATGCTTTTAATTACCAGCAGGTCCAGCAGGTCCACCACCACCACCCGCAGCAGCACCAGGGTCCTGATCCTTCTTGGCCCGAATCCCCGCAACAAACTTGCGAATGTTGACATTAATCTTGGCACCAGCCGCAAACGATCCTCCCCCTCCCCCTCCACCTCCACTTGCCTGACCAACACCCAACCCACCACTCTGACCGACGCCCGACCCGCTCCCAGTATCCAATTCCCCTCCAAGGGAATGCGCCCCACCACCCGGAGAATTCGAGTTCAGATGCTGAGCCGCCAACGCCGCAAACGGACTATGACTCAAAATACTCGACGTGACAATATTCCCCAACTGATACGGGTTTCCGCTACCTCCACCACTACCACCATCAGTACCAGGTCCCCCAGGGGTCATCAACCCAGCCACAGTACCACTTCCAAGACCCGCCATATTACCGGCCAAGCCAGCCGAAGGTCCGACAACACCCTGCGCCGAGATCTGAGCAGGCATGACCTGGAGGAGGGACATGACATTCGAGTTCTCCTGCAAGTTATCCATTCCCGTCTGTTTCTTCTGAAAGGCATCAACCATCTGTTGTTGTTCGGTCCGCTTGAGTCCCTTGAGTTCCAGGATGCGTTGAAAGTTGCCGAGATTCCGGTCGGAGATAAGGAGGAAGTAGTGGTCGATGAACATGTCATAGGGTTCGTGTGGGCTCATGGCTGTCTTGAGGATCGTCTCCACCTTGCCTAACCCCCTATTCACAAACTTCACAAACCTTTTGAGGGCAACGTGTAAAAAAAAAAACCAGTAATGAGTTAGTGGCGTTCAAAAATAGGAAAGTGCAAATGACACCACCTGTCACCTGTGTAATAAACAACGGAAAGAAAACGAAGAGACGTACGAGGTGGGGACGGTAACGGTAGTTTCCAAACCAAGGTTTGGAATCTCGACCAAGAACGACTTGACAGCCTGCGTATCCAGCAGCATCTGCTCGGCCCCAATCTCCGAGATGGGTTTACACCGCGTCAAATTGGCTGCGAAACGCGACACAAACGACTCGATCAACTTGTCACAGAACGTTCTGAAGTACCGCTTATTGGTGACCAGTTCCTGGATCGCGCCGACACAGGTCTTGAGGGTAGCATGGATCATTGACACATATTCGGATTGGTCGCCCACATATTCTACGGTGCCCCAGGGTAACTTGGACATTGAGACCATTCCAGGTTCATAGTGAGTCTCCACCGCCCTCACAAGTGCTCGCGTACACGCCGAGATAATCCTATAGTAATAAATCGGAATATTGTTTTAGTCAGTACATCACTCTTGTTCGATACATACATATCCTTGGCTTCGGGAGCAGATGTAACGTACTGCAAGAATGCCTGTCTCTCGGGCTCCATAGTGACTTGATCGACGAATTCTGGGTCGATGTTAGCCCATAGCCTCTCCTCGAGCTACATTTCGCAGAAATGAAGGAAAATATTTAGCACAAACGCAAATACAAAAAATATCGGCGAGTAGCTTGACATGCCCTTGGTGACCATTTACCTGGCTGGTAGTGGTGAGAGAGTAATCGGCAGTGTTCAAGACGATGCAAATCGACCGGAGGAACTCTCTGTTGATAGGGCGCTTGTCTCCCCTATGTACAATAACCGAGTACGTAAACAATGCCATTAGCCTTCAAAACATCGTAGTCCGCGTTTGGAAGGGGATTGTAAGGCGCGTCCAAGAGTTAAAGACTTACTGTTTGGGAAGTTTGGCCAGGAGGACGTCATTGGCGTAGACACGAAGCCACTTCCCAAAGACGGTGCATAGGTCCAAGAAGGGCTTCTTTCGTGACAACTTTGCACAATTTGTCATAGCTGATTTGTAGAACAAAAAGATGTCGGTACTTGATGCGAGCACCGTTACTGAAAGGTCGTCCTCTGGCACTGGTTCCTGTAACTTGAATCCATTAATCTTTTCCTCCAACGTCCTATCGGTTTAAAAGTGAAGTAAACGGTCTTAGTTGGATGTCGCTGGTAGCTTGAGGACTTATTGCAACAGTCGTATTCGCACGCCGCGAAAACTCACTTGTCTTCGGCTTCGATGTAAAGGCTGAGGTATGGTTCAAAGCAGGGCGATATACTCTCTGAGAATCCTGCCGATTCTGCATCCTCGTTCAGTGCATAATCGACATCCTACAGATAGAGGTGAAATGTCCTGGGTTAGGTTCTGTGTAGATCCCGTATATCTAAATGCTAATTGTTTTAAGATCGACCCCACTCGTTGCTTACCCTGCTCATGAAGCGAGTCTCCAGCTGACTTTCAAACTCTAGGGTAAGCTGTAAGACCTGAAGCAAAAGTGGCACATCCGCTGTTGACGTACTCCTTGCAAGAATATCTGTCAGATCCACCCTATTACAATGGAAGTGCAAGCCAAGACAATGTGAGTTCCTGGACCATGATTTTGCCATATGTGATTAAAAAGATGGTAAGATAATACGCACCTTGTGATTTGACAGAACTGCATGCAGAGAATGCGAGAAACGTCCCAGCTGGCAGGAAAGATATGGGCGTGCTCTTCGTCATGGATCTTCAGGAGACGTTTCAGCCAGGCGTAGCGTCGAGATGTGTTGTCCAGCGCTGAAACTTCCTCATTTGGCTTGAACACTGAGCGGTATGCTCGAAGTTGTAACTTGCAGTACCATTCTATCAGGTTCTGCCTATTATTTGTTGGAAGAGCGTGTGTAGTCCCCGTTAGATCCTTGTTAAGTTCCGTTACTGTCCTGCGGATATCATTGGAATTGATCGTCAATTACGTACCTGACATCATCGCCGAGAATATCTATAACAAGACACGCGCTGGCCAGTTGTCCAATGTTCCCGACCAGAATGCCTTCCTGTGTAAATCCATGCTCAAAGTCCTTGACAATATCCCGCTCCAGCTCAGACTGCAACCTTGCAACCGACTCTGTCAACTCTGCGATCTGCCTGACGTTTTGGAACGTCCGGAAGTACTGGATCAATTGCAAGACGGCCTATTGGGGTATTGTTTGAGTGAACCAAAGTGAGTGCTTTAGTCCAGTTATATTCTCTCATGTTGATTCCAAATCACTGTGTCGTTACCTCCAAAAGTTGGGCGGTTTCCCTGTACTGTTTCCTCTGAGCCATCGCCTTCAATTGATCTACCGCCGTGACTATTTTCCCATTGTCAGATGAAAAAGTCAATTGTTAGCATGCTGTCAAAGTGCCTTCCAGATTCAAAACGTCACAATGCAGAGTAGAGGACGTACCCAGCATTTGAAGACGCTTCAAAGTTGTGATGGATGTAGTGAGGTGTCGCTTGGCATAGTCGAGACTCTTGATGTCCTGAGTAATCTCCTGGACCATCTGCTCCGACTGTGTCGCCTTTTCCTTGATCTCCTTGATCTTGAAGAACAGCATCTACAAAGTTGAAGGTAAAAATGCTAAGCGTGTTAAAACTGGTTCCCGAGGACATTGTGCAATAGAAAGTCCACTCTCTTGAGATGCCAGATCTCCCTCCTATTTCCCGTGAAAGATATAGAGATAAAAAGTTACCGGAATTTATACCTCGATGCCTTTCTTTGCTGCTTCGACTTCCTCTTGTCCCTTTTGACCACCATCGGTTTGGGCTCGTGTCAGTTCCCGAAGTTCCTCCTGGACCTGCTTTGCTTTTGCCTGCAGCCTGGCCAACACCTGATCTACTGTCGACAACGAGTATTCTAATGCAGGTGAAGAACAGAAGAACAAGGATTCGTGAAAGTGTTAGTGGGTTGTCAGAAAGAACGCGGTCTTCCATAGTTAATAAGGCGAGATGTCCCTGGCAGCAGTCAAAAGCGTACCATTGGGGAAGATTTTGTTGATGTATTCGACGGAGCTGAACTCTTGTGCGTCGAGAGGGTCCTTTGAGCGGAGGATATGGGTGATGGAGGAGTTGAGTTCGGGAGCGAGGTGTATGGCCTCAGTTGTTGTCACGTAGGCCGTGTCGTCAGCCGTAGTGGTTGCCATTGTCGACGATGTGTTTGGTCAGTCTGATGATGTTGAATGTATGTGTAGGGTTGTCCCTTTTGCTGTGTGTAATTCGTTGTCGTTGTCGTTGTATAAGTGTGTCTAGACTTGTCCAGTGTCGGTTGTCCTTGGGATGAGATGGCGGAAGGTAGGGTGTGAAGTGAAGTGAAGCAAGTGGTAGAAAAGAGAAGTTCCCCTTTTTCTATTCTCTTGGAGTCAGCTCTCTCTTCCAGTGCAATTGTCCCTTCGAGAGTGGCGCATTCCTATTGGCCCATTATCAGCAAATCCCAATTCCCTATCGCTTCGTTTCGGTTTTGGCCCTTTATGCTTTTTGTTCTCGCTGCTTCTTTCTCCCTTTCTTTCTCTCTTCTTTTCTCATCAACCCGCCAACGCCCTCCCATCAACCACACCAACAAACAACAAACAACATATATACAATGGAAGCAAACGCACCACCAGAACGCCCAAAGAACCTCTGCCAGGTCGCAGACTACCTCCTCAGCCCACAGTCCGGAGTCAAGAAGCGAGATGGCGTCTTCAACGAATCGCGTGTCACCTACTTCAGAGGTAACCTACTCTTCTTCTTTTCAGGTTCATCGTCTTTTTCTCTCTGCTGTTACTTCATCTTCTTTGTGAAGTGGCAGCAATGAAGAAGGCGGCTACCATCAAAAGACATCGAAAGAAAAAAGGATCCAGATCAGAATTTAACCATCAGCTTTTCGTTACTTTTACCTTTCCTCTGCATTTGCCTCATCTCTCAATCTGGAACCAATCGCTTAAAATGAATCAGGAAAGGGAGCGGTAAACTCGTTGTTGAAGCCAGAGTTCCGTCAGACGGCGGTAGGCAAGGAGTTGGGAGAGTTGACAAGAGAACAGGCGGCCGAGCTTCTGGGCTCGATGATCCCCCACCAATTCTTCCTCAAGGTCGAGCGGCACTCAGACCCAGATGCGCCCAAGAACATTCTCCAGTTGGTCCAGTACCAGTCCTTCTCCGAGGATGCCGTCTTTGTCTGGCGCTATGAGGGCTCACAGTTGAGGTCACATCTCATGGCCGGAGGTATGCTCTTCATCGTCCTTGCTGGTGTCATGTTTCCCCTTTGGCCAGTACCACTCCGTTTGGGCGTCTGGTACCTCTCTGTCGGTGTCTTGATCTTGCTGGGTCTGTTCTTTGCCATGGCCATTGTCCGTCTGATTCTCTTCGGTATTACTTATGTCATCCTCAAGCCCGGTATCTGGATCTTCCCCAACTTGTTCGAGGACGTGGGCTTTGTCGACTCGTTTATCCCCTTCTGGGGTTGGCACGAACCCGAGGAGCCCAAAGAGAAGCAGGCTGCCATCAAGAAGGCTGCTTCAGGAAAGGCTATTACTGGCGAGGAGGCTCAGGAGGAGGTTCATACTCAGGTTGTTTCAGATGAGACTGCCGAGAAGATCTCTAAGCGTAGACCCATGGTCGAGGATGCCGTCGAGGACGAGTCATAAACCCCTGGAGCCATGTAGCTGCTTCGCTTGAATATGCTTTTCTTTCTTTGCAGGTCTTGGCTGATGGGTATCCCCATTTCACATCTATCCACCATACGCCTCCTTTTTTTTTCTATCCCAGGCATTTGCAGGAACACATATTTCGCCTCTTCAAAACGGGCTTTTTTCATTCATCCTCCCCCACCTTGTCCTAATAAAACACACAACTATCATGACCAAATGAGCCCGACCCCATTTCCCCTGGTTATTAGCCTCAAGATCATTGCTAGGCGGTGTCTTGGAGTGGGAGAGAAACAACATACCAAAGGTAAACTGTCAGACGGAAACCCAGTGTCAACCTTGATTTCAATTGGTTCATTCTTGCCTTCTTGTTTTCTGCAGGGACCGATAAACCCAGTTTGCTCATAAACAAGTCGATGCTGTGGCGAGCCCTTGTTTTTGTCCTTACGCAAGGAAGGAATGAACAAAGAACACAAACAAGGGCCGTGCGAACACATGCCTGAGTGGTATGGGTGTTGGCATGAAGCATGTTGCGGAATGGAAGTACAAGAAGGGTGGGTGCACAAGGCACAGGCACGAGTAACAGCCCTAACTCGACGATAACTCGACGAAATGACGGTAGGACTGGATCGCGTCTCTGTCTAATGATCCCTCCTTCGGGAAAAGAGAGAAGCGGTATGGGGGCCGTGCCACATTTCACAGTCATAGCCATAGACGGGTACTGGTGGTTGGTCGGTGGTGGTTTGCTCGTTTGGCGAACGAACGGAACGTGCCTCCATCATCCCTTCCCTCGAAAAGCCAAGTCGCTCATGGCAACCAACCACACTTTTTCATGGTGAGAAACCAAAGACTGGTCCAGACACTCCCTTGTGTTAACCGCAGCCAGCTGGACCCACAACCACCTCGCCCCCTTTACTCCTTCACTCTCCTCCCCACTCCGGTACTGACCAGTCCCCTCTCCCTACGCTCCCTATTCGCATCACCCCCTTGAAAAATACTCCCTTCCTTCATGAAGACTCGGCTGAGCCACTTCAACAAGATGATAGATCCCCTGTGGGTAAAAAAGGACAGTTTAAGCCTTTTATTCTTGCACCATACAAGCAGCGCCCAAAGTGCTGCTTGATGATGACGGCGATGATGCTGGATAGATGAGAAAGGGCAGGTTGACGTCTCTGCACAGTGCATGTCCTCTTGATGTCTTTCTGTCTCCTTAATTATGCGCCAGTTACTTTCCTTCTCTTATGCATCCATCTCTCAATGATCCACCACCATAAACCTCCCATCCTTTCAAGACAGATGATCGAAAGGGCATAATGCTGTCTTGTCTACGTTGAACGTTCTTGATGAAGGAAAAAAAAGGCAAAAAAGAGATGAAAAAGACAAAGTGAAGCAGGGTCATTCTGCATGTATATGTATGTGTGCCTGTGTATGAGTTAACAGGCAAAAGTTAATGAACTCGACGAACCACCACCTTTTAACATGCACCGGTTTAGCCCTTTGTCTATCGGTGAACCACATTGCTCGAACAAACGAGACCGAAGTGTCTTTTATTGGTTTGGTTGCTCTCTTTTTGGGGTTTGCTTGGTTGGATAGATGGATGATGATGTGGTCGACTATATTACTCTCACTTGAGGAATGAGCCCAAGTGGAGAAGTGGAGAGAGGAAATATGACGAATAATGAACACGGACTACACAAGCCTTTCCATTCAGGGACGAATGAGCCTTTTGCCATCGCCATGATATGCCATGTTATTAAAGTAATATGTATGTAATGAGTATGGGGAGGGTGGCGTTTATTAGGCAAGCAGCAGCCAGGTGTGTTAGTGGTTAGTGAATAAGCCTTTCAGACATAACCACGGGCACGAGCAAAAGGAACAAAAGGGCGAGTGCTAGAAGAAGCGAGAGAGAACAAGGAGGTGGAAGAGAGAGAACCAATCGGCCATTGGGAAAAGGGCAAAAAAGGGAGAGGGGTCGAAAGGAAGGAATGGGGTTGCGCTTGTTTTGTTTTGTTTGTTTGTGTTGTTGTTGTTGTTGTTGTTGCTGTTGCTGTTGGTTTTGTTGTTGTTGTTTGGGTTGATGTCCAAGTGTCGTCTTTGTTTATGTTTGGCGACGAAGTGAAGATGCGAGAAAAAGAGGAGGGAAGAGTGAAAGAAGGGAGGAGGAGGAGGAGGGGGGAAGGAAAGAGGGGTAAACCAGAAGCACAAGCACAAGCATCATCATCGTCGTCCATCTCCGTGTACTCTCTTTTGCATAACTTTGAGTTTGTCATAGACAGTACATGCGCATACGCACACAGAGCATATACACACACATGCCATAGCGAGTAGTACAGCAGTGCATTCGCAGTGGTCCACTCTCCATCCATGCATCCATGGTAACACACAAAAACTGTGGCCACATCGCTCTCACTTTCTACGGACACACACTCCTTTCTTTTATTTTTGTTCGCCTTTCCTCAAGAACGTCTTTCTTGTTCTTCTTCTTCGACCTTTCTTTCTTCTCCCTTCTTCTCTTTCACTTTCACTTTCACTCTCATCTCTCATCTCTCTTCCTCTTCTCTTCATTTCCTTTTTTTAATCCTTGTGATACCCACTCCTGTCTCCATCCACCTCCTTCCCTTCCTTCATTCTTCACCTCACCTCCATTCTTCGCCTCTATAACACACTTTCACTTTCACTTTCACTTGAACACAAACACAAAAGAGCCCATCGATCCCTCTCTTACGCCTCCACAATCAACTATGGTATCAAGACACAGCGCAAGAGACAACCAATGGTTGCACGCCTCCCCTTCCATCCCACAACAACAACAGCGACACCCCTCTCACCACCAGCAGCAGCAATACCAGTGCCATTCCAGAGAATCGTCTATCAACTCACCCTCAACCAACAATAACTATTACCACCATTCAAAGTCTCATTCATACCCAGACCTTATCTCCTCACCCGGACAACCACAACAGCACTCGCCCTCTTCCTTTCACAGTCATCATAATAACTACAATAGCCGCATATCTCCACAGGCACACTTCTCCTCTCCTGGTTCGTACAAGGCCGAAACTAATAGCATGCTGTCGCACCAAGTGTCTCCTTTTGAGGGTTCCCCAACTTTGAATTCCCGCCCTGGACATCATCATCAGCAACAGCACGGTGGTGCTCAGTACCACCCTTCTTCTAGACAGCAGCAACAGATGTACCACCAACAAGCGCATGGGGGTGTATTAGCCAAACCTCAACAGCAGCGACCTCTTTCTGGTGGCAACATCAACACCGCCAACAACAATGTCAAGCGACGGATACCAAAGGAGAAAGCACCCAAGGGCGATCGAGAGGAGGTAATTGAACGAAATGAGAGAGATGGACACATCCAGTTTTTTGATCAAAAGGAAAGGGGGGGGGGCGACAAGAATGGGAGTGAGATAAATAGAAGGAAAGAGAGGATTGTTGTGTGGATTGCTTGCTTTGCTTAGCAAACATCATTGGGCGACAATTTACATATAGAGAGGACTAGGGCGAACCGAAGACGGAGGAGGGAAAGTAGATGCGATGGATGTGAACGAGAAGGGAAGAAAGAGAGCAGTGAAGGGAAAGAGGAAGGAGAAGCCCCTGTTAAGGATGCAGACAGGAGCAGGATTGAGTACGGCTTAATATACAGCCTACGTTTCATACCATGCAGCCTCATCCAAACAAACAACCAACCCATCGTCAACAAAACACAGAAGAGAGCACTGCCCACGGTGAAGCCATCCAATCCGATATCTCTAGGATAACCAAGTTTTATTTTCTACTCCCTGCCAGCACTTGAACCTGACTGGACTTGACTGACTGACCTCGCCTTTGTTGTTATTTTTATCTATTTCTGTATTGTGCTCAGGTATGGCCGCCAGAAGTCGAAAGCGCATTCATGAAAGGTACCAATCGGGTTGTTTTTTCTTTCTCCTTGCATTCCTCAAGCATGCCTCACTTACGAATACCCAAAAAAAGGAGTAACCAATGCAATGCAAAAAATATAGGAGCATTGTTTGTGTTCTAATCGTCATCATCCATTACCATGCATTGCTTTTTCTTTCTTTATCTAAACAGCGCTTGAAGTGTTACCAAAACTGGGAAGACGCAAGGTGTTGGTGAACGGAAAGCCCTGTGGACGGAACGAGCTGATTGCCGACTTTATCTACCAGGAGACGGGCAAAGTCCGAGATCGCAAGCAAGTCTCGTCGCATATCCAGGTCTTGAAGAATACCCGCAAGAATGATCCCGAATGTAAGTCTTTTTCCTTTTTTTATGTGGATGTACATGCACACTGTATGCGAACTTTGTGCAACACGAGCTAACCATGGAAAACCCTATTTTTGTTCGTGTGTGCGATACAAATAGTTATGAAGCTGTTGTTGGATGTTGGAGATGGTGATGAAGATATGGGGCCAGAGTCGACCATCAATATGGGATACCTGTCATCTTCTCAGAGCCCCAACGCGACACCTCAGCTGCAGAACGATCCCTTGGAGTCCACTCTCTTTGATAGCCGTGGTATGCAGCACCACCTCTCACACGATCCATCGTCACCCTTGAGCGCACACCCTCATGGACAGGACGGCTACGGTAGTTACGCAGAGTCACTCAATACGTCATCAAGTGCGTACTATCGTCAGCAACAGTTCCATGGATCGTCTTCGGGAGTCATGGACCCGACTGCCTCGGACCATTTGTATGACGACCAGACGTCGGTTACCACCCCGGATTCGGCGATTTCGTTGTCGTCGCATCATAGTGTTCAGGATCCGACCACTTTTGCAATGCTGGATCCCTTGTCCAAGGAGCCTTTGCATTTGTCGAATACCCATACGCCGGATGTTAGACAGAGGGATCTCTTCAGGTCGCCTCCGCCACACCCCATGCCTCATCATTACTCTCAGCACTCTCAGGAACCCTCTTATCCGCTCTGGCCTACAGTGTTCCGGCTCTTTACGCAGTACCTCTCCGCAGAGAACAAGCACCACCATTTCTCCTCCAACGACTACAACTCACCCCCAACGTCGGGCGTCCAAATCCATGACCTGGCACGGCTACAGGATCTGAACCTGAACAATTTCGGTACCATCAACATCCACCACCTCCCCTCAGAGAAGTTCCCACACTTGCTGGATCTCTACCAAAAGGTCGCGTGTGAGTTCTTGTTGTTCAAGATTAGTATGAACCTCGATCTGGAGTTGGAGGGGGGCACGTTTGAGAACTCTTGTTTGTTCGAGTTGAATGATCCTCAGAGGACGGTTCGGTGTTCGACGTCGATTTATTCGTTTGGGGCCAAAGTCCTCGAGTCTACCGAAATCAAGCAAGGGAATGGAGGTGCTGTTGCGATGGCCGGAGGGGGAGGGATTCAGAAAGGTGGTATGGGGTTCCAGTTTGTGAACCAGTTCTTTACGGCGTTCTTGAGTGGGATCCGGACGTTGGGGACGTTGGATGAGGTGCAGGTTGCGCTGGGTAACCTGTCGATTGTGCAGATCTATGAGGAGGTTGATCCTGTTACCGTGGCCTCCGGGGCTGCTGCTGCTGCCGGAGCTGCGGGGGTTGCTGGAGGGGGTAATAGTGAGGAGAATGGTGGATCCCCGTTATTGGTGATGGCGTTTGAGTTCCAGCAGGGTGGTGGTAGTGTTGTCCCTTATTTCGTTACTGAGGGCTTAGACATGCTCGACTCTCTCATGTGCTAGATTTTTTTCTTTTTATTGGATCTGATTTGCCAGGATCTCTTTTTTTTTTTCCGTGTTCGTGATAGAAAGTACTTTTTCTCCCCCTTTGCGTAGTAAAAAGCAACAAAAGTATTGTTTGAACTCGTCTATTGTTATCACTGCTTCAACGTCCGTCCTTTTCTCTGTTGGCGGAGTTTCGCGCGTGACTGACGCGCTTCGAAGAAGTAGGTCGTGGGTGGCTTGCGCCTCCCTTCAATCTCACGAAAATTTTTTCAGTTGTTGGCTAAACATAAAAAGGCGCCACTTCGCGCTCTCTTCTCTTTCTTTCTTCTTTTCCCCCTCATCCTTTCCCACCTTCCCTTCCCTTCCCTTCCCTTCCCCGCTTCCTTCCTCACCAAGCAAACCTCCCACACGTCCAAAAGGTAACCATCATACCCTCCCTTTGTCTTACCTTCACACTTTGTTCATACCACACTCTTCTTTTTTTTTTGTTTTGTGTGTTTTTTTATTATCTGATGATTCTTCTAAAGACATTTTGCACGTCAGTCCTAGTACCTCATGCAGACTTCACATATACCCAAATTTCTGACTTAAAAAAACACAACAAAAAAGATTCTCCTTTTGAACAAAGGCCTTGTTTGATACAGTCGTTTTTGCTTAAAGTTGCAAGTTGATTAACGAACTCTTTTTCTTTGGATGTTGATTCTTCCTTAGATTTCTGGCCCCCTTCTCTTCTGGACTTTGTATCGACATTTGGAGGGATTGTCAAGGATAGATCGTTATCAGGATGGGTTTGTATTTTAGTGTAGTTATCGAAGATGAAGGAAGAACAATAAACAAAAAATACAACTACAAATTTCAGAAGCGCTGTGATACCTTGAAAATGAATGGTCAATCCATGCAAGCAAGGTGTGAAAGAAGCAGTTACGCGAACAGAAAACAAAAGAAAACAAAAACAAAAATGTGCAAGCCACGGACATGGGTCGACGTGTCACGTGTAGATTTAGATCCACTGTGAAAGAAACGAGAGATGCTGGCATGTTTGCAGAATAATGTGTTTATTTTTGTTGCGTTCTCCTGAAAGACAACAAGGCTCTGGAGAGGACCTCTGGTTGTTTATCGCGAGGAGGCCAGCTGGGTTATGTAGCCGTCGATCTGTCCTTGGATAACGGCGTTCGGACATTTGTCCCGAATCTCACTACATAACAAACAACAGAAAAATGATCCATTGGTTAGACAACGGCAACAAACAAACAAACAAACAAACAACAGCAACAAAACAAACAACATCGGCTTGCAACGTACCGAAGTGTGTCGAGATCCTTCTGGAGGAAAGCCTGCTCACCAGCCTCCTGATAAGCCTCAATCTTCAAGAACAGTCCCGCCCGGAGGTGCGCATCACACTTCAAGATATACTTGGCCGCCTCCCTGAACTGCATGGCCTTGACACACTCCTCCACAAAGGGTTCGTATCCAATCGGCGATTTCTTGGATTTCGCCAGCGTCGCAACACCATCCCAGTCACGAATCTCAACAAGGGCTCGCAATTTGATCCACCAGAACCGTTTGTCGGGCATTTTGAAGTCGCCTCGGACCTTGGTTGCCCGGTTGCTCTGGTTAATGGTGATCAGTTTGTAGACCGTACTGCTGATGGAGAGACCCGAGAACGGTTGAGAGTAGTCCTTCTCCAACTGCACCTGTGTCTGCAACAACTTGATACTATCTTCAATCGCCTATATACATCGATAGCAAAAGGAAATAAATGTCACATTAGCATACGAACAACACATCGTACATACACATCTCACGACAAGGCTGATCATGTTGAAAAGGAAAAGCTCACCTTGACTTCAAAGGTGTGCTCTTTGTCCTCTTGGTAGATTCGGAGGGCACCCTTGATCGTGTTGATTCGCTCAGTGCTGTCCTTTTGCCGGAAGCTCTCCATCAGCGTTAGGTTGGCACGGTCGACGGTGCGATCATCCTGGTAATAGAAGTCCTTGAGCAGCTCGGGATCCTGTTGCTTGCAGTACGACTCCAACAGATTGCACGCAAGCGGCTTGTTGTTGATGATCCTGAAGAACTCTCCCAATTGCAACTTGCGCTTCAAATGCAAAATGACATGATACACTATCAATTCGTGAGAGTAGAGAACATATGTGAGTACGAGCAGGCAGGGTAACTCCAAGGAAAGACAGTTGGCCATGTGCAATGACGACGTTGTTTACCGAGGTCGGTGTCTCCACTCTCGATAGCTTTGACCAGCGCAAGCTCATCCTCCTGCATGCTCATCAACAGCGGCACCTGGTCACCAGCTCTTGGCTCGTAGTCCAACAACTTAACAGAAAAAGACATCGAACAATGCGCTCATGTTAGTTTCTTCAGCCACTGGAACCCCTCCAAGCGATCGTAACCATAAGAACGTGGGCAAGCAACTCACCATGGTGGCCAACTTGGACTGGCCGGCTTTGTGAGCTGTCATCGCAATCTCCGAGTATGACAATCCAGGCTTATTGGCGAGCTTCTCCACAACCATCCTGCAAATCGTGTCTTCGTCGTCGTTCGACTTCTTGATCTTGGAGCATGCCCAATGAATCAAAATCCGATCCGTGCGCATCTTCAGGTATTCGCAGATCCTGATCGCAAGCAAATATTGGTGGCGGCTGATTAGTCTATCAATTAGCGCCTCGGGCGATAGCCTCTGGAACCTGTTGGACGAAAGAGGACGGAGTTGTATGCAATGGTGAGTACAGGGACAGCAAAGTCATAAAAGTGACCGATAAATGCACCAGGAGATCTTACTGGGTATATGTCATCGGAATACCGATCTCGTAGTAACGGACAGCGTTCAATACTCGGAGGACCTTGCACATCTCAACAAAGGAGTCAGCGTTGTGGATATCCAAAAAGCTCTTTCCGAACGAGGCAGCCTGCAATGAGCATTTGCAACGAATAAAATCGAGTTAGTGCATACCCAGAGAGAACATGACGACTTTTGACCGTGTGATGACAGTAAGTACCTTCAAGAGTGAGCGTTGGTATTGGTGAGAGATTTCGTGTCCTGCTGCCTCAATGCATGCTTCGACCGCGTCCGCGAGTTCCAGACGGATACTGCGAATATTTTCGTCCGCCTTTGGGCTCTTTTTCTATTTGGTACAAAAGGAAATAATTACATAACGCATTAAGAACATTTGGCGCCTTAATAATAACAACTTGGTATCTAGAGGAAAACGAAGGGTGGTGTACCTCAAAGTGGTCCAAGGCATCGTAGAGCATGGCCGCGGGTGCTGTTGATCCAATCTTGAAAATATTCTCCGTTGCATCTGAATGTTAGCAAATGTATACAAAAGCGTTAGACAAGAAAGAGCTATTACCACTATACTTTTCCGCGTAAGCTAGTTGATCCAACTCTTACCGGGAACCTTTTGGAGGAACTCGCACTTGTCCATGCTGATGACGCGAACACCGTCGATCTCAGGAATCAAAAAAATGGCGTCGTCGTACGTGTATCTATCAGGTACCAATGGCAAAGAAGGTTTATGTTGTCAGGCAAAAAAAGTCGTGTGTTGTCGTCACACAAGCAGGCTTCCAGGCCTGAAAGTCGCGTCTTACTTTATCCAGTCTCCGTAGGGTCCGACCATGAGAACAATCTTGTCCCAGTACAGCACAACCGAGTCCGTTCCGCACCTATCAATGACAGACGTAAACAAAATAGTATTAGCTGCACGTCCTAAACTTCTATCCATACCAATGTTGATAAACAAAGTTTTCCAGACTTACCACACTAATTGCTGTGGAGGTACTTGTGACCGTGTTGCAAACTCTGAGAGGTTCTTCTGGAAATCGGTAGAGACGACCCACAGCTTGCCGTCCGCTGTGAAAAGGGCAAGGTACTTCCCGTCAGGCGAAATAGACATCTTTGAGAAAGGTCCTTGTTGTAAGCGCTACTCGTAGATAGAAATAGTAATCCATAAAGATGTCATATGTCAGATATTCTCTCCTATAGATGGAATTGTTTACGCCATCGAAGGGCATGAAGGCAAGGTAACATACCTCGTCTCTGGCTTCGGTGGCATCGACGACAAGAATGGTCGAGTTGTGAGCGATCAGGACTTCGACGTGTCTGCTGAGGGTAAACTTTGGGGGAATGACTGTCCAGCTGTGCGGTGGTTCATTGATGCCGGGGTCTGCCAAGAAAAGTGGTCGTGGTTCGTCGAAGTTGGTGATGGCAATCAGCTGGAAACTTCCTGTCAATGCAACGAGCCCTGTTCCCCAGAATTGTACGTCAATGACTCTGTTATCCTTTGCGTCCTATTTAGTTCATATATTATAATAAATTGGTATGGTCAGCATATGGAGGATGGGCGATAACAGTTCACGTTGACAAACATGTACACGTGGCAAAACATGAGAAGACGAGGAGGAATATGCATACCTTGCCGAGCGAGAACTGTGTGTATTCTCCCAGAATGTTGTACATGCGAACTGTGCCGTCCTCCAAAACACAGAGTAGCTGCTCGGTCTCTGTCCATCCCATTCCAACGATATGTCCCTTTTCCCACTATCAAAATGTGAATATGCTGTGTTGTGAGTATGCACGTTCCATTCTTTGGTTGAGGCCAAAGTAAGTATCGATAACCAGAAATCACGCCGGTCCGCACCTGAATTGTTTCCATGAGTTTTCCTGAGGATGTGTAAAGGTAGATACTGGGCTTGATAGGTTGCTGCTTCTGTAGTAAGAGCACCTTGCGGTCGTCGCGTACGAGGGCTAAATTGGCACAAAAATGACTAGGGTGAGATTCTTGTACAACTTTGCCAGTTGTTATTGCCCCTGTCCAGTCTTGGAGTGTAAGTCGAGTCTTTACCGAGTGGGCCTCCAAAGGGTGCAGCGGCAAGCATGTATTTGGACAGGTCTACCTGTTTCCAAAGCATGGTGTAGATCTCTTGCTTCCTACATGGCGAATGAGCGAAGCAGTGAGGTATGTGAGCAGGTGTGCTTTTTTTGTCGACCGCTTCAGGTACGAAGCAACCATCGTTTTTCGTTTCTAATGACGCAGGTAGTGGTGTTACCTGTAGAACCTGTCATGGAGCTGAATCCAGTCTGCTGTTGGTGGCGACATGATGTCCTTATGTTGGCGGCAGTGGTCGGTTCCTGGTTCGGTGTGGGTCGGTGGGGTTGAAGTTGTTCGTTGTTTCGAAAAGGGTTGGTTGTGAAAGGTCGTCAAGGTCGACCGTTGGCTGTCCGCTTGCCCACGCGCGAAAAAATGACCTTCAGAACAAGTATGTGACCGTGTTGTGACGTCACCTGAGCCGTTTTTAGTAGCGGCACATCACACAGGTCCAGCACGCGTTTTTTTCTGCGATATTATTTTGCTTTGCTTTTTTGCTGTTGATTTGTGAAAAGATCACATCGCGTCAAGCTACAATTCACTCCTCCCCCTCCCCCTTCTCCACACCTCGACCGTCCCGTCTCATCAACAAAGGAGAGGCCACACTGAAGACCTCGCCGCTGACTGGACAACAACACATCAACCCCACACCACCCTCGATCCCGGCCCCCTTCGACGTACAACTCAGGATCGCGTCAAAACACATTAGTTTATACATTCAGCACCGTTAAACAAGGAACAAAAAGGCGACTGATCGGTCCTTACTACCCTCACCAGGCGAGATCAAGTTGCGCGTCTGTGCATTAACAACAATCCCGCAAGCAACACACGCTCCTTCACACCCCACATCCAACCCTACCCTCCTCCCCCTTCAACATGGCACAACGACCCATGGACGCAGACGCCAGTGAAGCTCTCCTCAAGCTCGCCTCCAAGACAGTGGACGATCAGCTTGGCAGAGAGCAAAAGTACCCCGAGCTCATCGACTTTTTCAACACCGACTACTCGGCAACTTATGTGGCCCCTGCCGATCCTCGCCAGCAGATCCTTCGTCGCAAGCGTGCTATCAGCCTCCCGGATACGCTCTTTGAGCAATACAACTGTACGCCTTTCATTTTCATTTCGAGCCTGGAGTTGTCTATTTCCCGGAGGTGTGACCTTTTAGAAGAACAAGGACAAGGACCCTCGAACTAACAACCTCTTACTTGTTCGGATCTAGTGCTCGAGTGCCGCTGCTTCATGGGATTGTTTCCGGAAATCGGACGAGTCTGGATCACCATCGACCACCGCCTTTTCTTGTGGAACTATGCTGACGGGTAAGGATGGCTTGTACAGGATGTTTTAGACCGCAAAGAAAGCTGTAATTATTGGACTGGACATATTCTGACACTTTTGGCTACTGTCTTTTCAACTTGATAGAGGACACTATGAGTCGTACGAGGAGCTGGATCAGATTATTGTTAACGTGGCTCTGGTTAAACCCAAGAAAGGTACAACGACTTGACAGTGGACAGATCAATCACCCCGAAGCATTCGATCCTTGACAGGAACGGCTGGTTAACACAACCAAACTTTTCACACATTTAATAACCGTAGATACCTTTGATGACAAGGTGCAGTACCTCCTCGTGATTGCAACTCCCATCGAGGTTCATCTTTTGGGTGTCTCTGTCGGCTCAGGATCGATCCCCCATACTCTTTACATCACCAACATGAGCGTACCTACCGACAATGTCGCCATCAAGAGCATCGTTGGAACAGCTGATGGCAGGATCTTTATGAATGGCAACGACGGAAGACTATGGGAGATTGATTATCAGTCAGAGGAAGGCTGGTTCAGCAAAAAGTGCTCCAAGCGGGAAGTCATCGGAAGCCCACTCTCCTACTTCATCCCTACATTCTTGAGCAAGATCAGAGTCGACCCTATCATCAAGGTTATCCTGGACGAGTCCCGACAGACCATGTATGGTCTCACCGAGAATTCTAACATCGAGGTAAGGCAGCACTCAGCATTTTTGGATTTTCAAGGAATAGCGACATGACCTGTTTTCGGTTCTAGAAACCTAATACACACAGCATTTACTTTTGCAATGACACACAATAGGTGATTAGCCTTACGGGAGCAGTTCAGGCGCGCTCGACTGTCAAGGCAGGATACATTTTGCAGGAGGCCAAGCGCAAAAGCAACCACAGCAGGGCCATGGATGAGAACTCTTTCAAGGTCGTTGACATTCACACCATTCCTACGACAGAGTCCAAAGACGTTTCCCTCCTTGCGATCACATCTACCGGCTGCCGTCTGTACTTTGGACAGAAGGGAGCTCTCGACTACAACAGTCAACGCAACCTGGACCAGAGTTCGTCAGGACCCTATTTATTGCATGTGCGCATCCCACCAGCCTTCAACAACGCCCCCGAGGCCGTCCTTGGGCCTCAGGGCCAGTACCGGATACATCAGTCCCTCTACAGCAATGGCGTCTTCCTGGCTGCACACTCTTTGCATGATGCTGCCGACGCCCTTATTGCCGCGGCACCAGAATCTGGACCTATCAACAAAGCATCCACGGCCAGCAAGGTATTCATAACCTTTTTGACGGCATGCATTATTTGTCATATTGAAGCAGACAACGCCAATTACCTTTTTCTCACATGCCTTTTTCACTTTTGTAGACTATGGGAAGCACGTATATTCCAAAGTTGAGCGAGATCGCAATGATTGCAGGTTTGGACGGCAAGATTTGGGGCATGTCAGAGATTCCAGGAGTCAATCACGCTGGCGCGATCGACCCTTCAATTGCAAGGAACGAGCTCGCTGTTCAGCTTTCTCGGTCCAGCAGGGAATATCTTGTTCTGACCAACTCGGGTGTCCAGGTCTTTGCCAAGCGTAGACCCATCGACACACTTCAGCAGCTTCTCCTTGACGCAAGGTCATCCGAGGCCGACCTTCTTGTCTTCTTTTCCCAGTAAGTTTTTTGTTCTGCAGGCTGAGTAATATTGCACATTACTCTTTTATGGCATCTTACCATCCTCATATTTGTTACCTGTACTTGATAGATACGGACGCGTGGAGTCATGCGCCATGTGCATCGCCATTATTTGCGGACACCCAGCCCTTTCGCCTGTTGTTGCTGGAGCCCAGTGTAAGAGATCCTACAGTGTTTTAATTATCAGGATGCTTATTCTATGTTTATGCTACTCGTTGTAACCAAGACATCATCTTTGCTACTTCACCTTGTAGACATGACTTCCCATTCAACATCTGGCCCTATTGCGGCTCTGGCTGAGAGACTCTTGCTTCAGTGGGGTGGCAAGCGCAACCCAGCCGAGAAACCCGCCAACAACATCTCAAACAACTTGGCAGGATCTGAACTCGGTCGCCCAGTCTCTCAGAGCAGTGTTGGACAGTACACTTATAGACATACAGCACTGAGCCTTTACTTGGCCCGCTTACTCCGACCTATCTGGAAGCGCAAGGTTCTCAAGGTCACCAACACCATCCGTGGTCTTGTTGACTCTGAACTCTCGGATCTTGTTCTCACGGCCGTGCAGAAGGACCTATTCTCTCTTCGCGCCTTCTTGACTAGCAACATTGAGCTCTTCACACCTCAACCTATCGTCTCCTCCAACCCACCTGGCGAGAAGGATCAGATCGAGATTGAGAACGCCAACGCAGAGACAAAGTCTTTGAAGGCTCAATTGCTTCTTTTGACACAGTGCATTGAGGGTATCGCCTTTGTCCTCTTCTTGGTCGACTCCAAGATGTCCGAGACCGTTTCTAAGTACGTGAAAGTCCTTATTTCATTTGCGAATGATATGTTATTAGTGATGATTTTGGTTCTAACGTTTGTTCACTTATCACCTCTTCTCAGTATCCCCGCTGAGTCCCAGCAAGCCTTGTTGGGAATTACCTACGAGACGTTGTTGACTACCTCCAAGGGTCATGACCTCTGCCGTGAGCTCGTCACCGCTGTCATCAACAAGCAGATGGGCCATCACATGAGCGTACGTCTACTACTGCTTTTACTCAATTTATTGTACATACAGCATTCGCTTCGGTCGCTGACATTTCTCTTTTTTTTTTGCTGTGTTCATACAGGTCGACGCTGTCAGTGATACTTTGCAGCGCATCTGCGGATCCTTCTGCAACCCCGGTGATGTGATCTTTTACAAGGCAACGGAACATTTGCGCCAGTCAAAGTCCTCTACAGACCCCGCTGATATTGAAGACCATGCCAGAGAGTCATTAAGATTGTTCAAGAAGGTTCCATTCCTGTTGGTGGATGAGTCTCACGGCCCCAACAAGCTTCAGGGGGTTTGCAAGGATTACATGGATCTCAAGTTTTTCCCAGGTTCGTATTATTTTCTTTTGTTGCTGGCAAATGAATTTTAGACTTGGGCGCGAATACTGACGTGAATTTTATGCGCAATTATCAAATAGGTGCCGTGGAGTTAGCATTGTCGTGCGCTCAGGATTTGGACCCCAGTAATAAGGCAGCAGGATACGTCAAAGATGGCATGAACTCCAAGGTAAGATCGCGCTTCCTATGGTTGTTCATGGTTGCCTTTTCATTCGCAAAGGCTGACCAAAGATGAATTTTATCTTTACATAGGACATCCGCTTGGAGCAATACCAACAGAGGGTGATCTGCTACGACAACACGGCAGCTGTCTTGGAGGCGCTGGGTTTGGACTCTGCTCAGGGGCCCCTTTCCAGCTTCGCCTTCCACACCTTGGAGACAGCCCTTCAGTTCGACGACTCTCTTTTCCACACATATCTTTACGACTGGCTTTTGTCTCATGGACGCGCCGACTATCTTTTGGAAATTTCGACGCCCTTTATCGAGGAGTACCTCAAGCAGTGCACACTCCTGGAATCAACGCGCGATCTCCTCTGGCGCTACTACATCAAGGTCGATGACTTTGGTCATGCCGCACAGGAGCTCGGAAGAATCGCCGACTCGACCCGTTACCAACTCAGCTTTGAGTCACGTTTGGAGTACCTCTCACTTGCTGTCAGCAACGCCAAGAGTTACCCAGCTGGATCAGACCCCAAGACTGACAATGGTCGTCTGTTGATCGAATTGGAGGAAAAGCTGGAGGTTGGAAACATTCAACTGAACATTATCTTGAGTCTCAAGGCCCTGGCCGACGAATCTCGTCTCAGGGCAAGGATTCTGTCACTGGATCCCACAGCCAGTCAGTTCGAGAGCCATCGTGCCCAGCAGCTCGAAGGTCTCTACCAGAGTTGCAAGGCCCAATTGCTCGATATCGACAACGTAAGTCTCCCTTCCATTTTCTTGTACTTCCTGTTCCGCTACATGAATATTTGAGAACCATACTAACGTACTTTCATCTTGCGATTGTTAGCTGTACCACACATATGTTGAGCCCCTCAAGATGTATGACTGCATGCTTGCTCTTTACCATGCCTCCGATATTGATGACGAGTATCACGTCCGCGCCGCATGGGAGGGCTTCATTTCCTCTGGTAAGATGTCTCATATGTGATTACTGGTAGGCAAGCACACGAGAAATTAGCGAAAGATGCTAATTCTTTGATTTTTTTTGTCATGTCTGTAGTGTTTGCTGTTGCTGAGGAGGAGGGAAGGTCACCGTTGGTCGACATTGAGGTGCGTGTTCGGGATTTGGGTCGCCGATTCTACCCTTCGGCCAAGGTGACTCCTATTTCGACGATGGTTCAGACTTTGGAACGTTATCCTTACTTGAAGCAGACTGCTCGCTACCCGGTGTCACCAGGCTGGGCCGTCCGTATTCTTCACGACATTGGATTCCCATACGAGGCGCTCTTTGACAGCTTCCATTCGCTGATCGAGACCAAGAACAACGTCTGGGTTGGTCCTCGTGCGTCGCTTGTTCTTATCCAGGATATTGAGTTCTTACTTCGTGTCTGGTTGGCAGAGACCCAGGGAACTGGTATCATTGCCGAGTTGAACGATGAGCTGGGCATCTCTGAGGATGAGTGGCAGGTCTATGGAGGAGGCCGTGGAGGAGCAGCTTCTGTGGCTGCTACTAACGGACTGGGCTTCTCTGGAGCAGGGTTGCTGGACCGGTACCGGACAAAGAAGCTGGATGATGCGATCCAAGTTTATATTCGTCTCTTGGAATCTGCGTCGTGGACGCCAACCCCCATTTCTAGTCCGCTGGATGAGAATTTGGGTGGATCACAACAAGAGTTGCCGGCTAAGGCCAGGAGTCTTGTGCAGAGACTTCAGGCTATTCGTAGTCGTATCCAGCGGTTGTAGTTTGGGAGTGGAAGAAAAGAAGAAGAAAAGAACAAAGCATGAAACCCAAGACAGCATTCAGGAACACAAATAAACATTTACACATACACACCGTTTTCTGAGCGCGTTTTTTTTTTTTTTTTGGCTTTTCGACTCTCTGTCGAGAGATCTGAAGATATCAAAAATCAAAGGCAGGAGCTCGTTTTGAGGGCAAAGTACTCCCCAAGTGGCCAACAGGTTGATTGGTCGAGCCGTCGATCGTTTTTTTTGGACCTTCTCCATTTGCTTCGCCCTGTGGTCTCAACGCGGCCGTGTGTCCCCCCTAAATAATTCTTCCATCAACTGTGTACACAGGCTATCAACAACAACAACAACAACAACAGCAACAACAACAACAACAACAATAACTACATCAGCAACATGCTGCATCCAGAACATTCAATTCAGAGTGAATATTCAATGTTCAAAACGATAAAGAGCAACAATATTAATATCTTTATGTGTGGAGATCATGATAAAGTATGCCCCTTCTGTTCTCCTTCTCTTACTCCACCTCGTTTGCTTCCTCTCAGCATTCCCCGGCTTCCATCGTACAACTCATGACTCGTGCAAGATGCATTGACAAGCAAATCAGAAAGGAAAAAAAAAAAAAGACGGCGACAATGGGGAAGGGAATACCCAGGCTCAATACGTGTCAGATAGCTCTTCTGAATTGGCTGCAATGGCTATGACAATGGTGATCGTTGGTAAGTTGGGCAATTTTGTAAATCCACATGAGTTTGAGCAAAGGGGATCGGCGCCTTTTATTTTTGGGGGTGGATTGGAAAAACAAAACGAAAGGAGACCATTCCTCGTGTCCTATGTCATCTGAGAAAAAAGCATAACTCGCACGCTCGCGGAACATGCCAATGTGTAATATGATTTCCCCCTATTATTAAAGTACAGGAAAGGGGAGTCGTACCATCTTGCAATTGCGAGACCTGACATCACCCAGAAATACACGGTCAGAAGTACGGTATCGAAGCGTAGATCACAGGCACGGGCATCCTCTCTGGCTCTTATACTCAAACTCACTCTTTCTTGTCTGGTTCTAGTCGTCTATGGAGGGCACGACGAGTTAGCGAGTTAGACCTGACGAAGAGTGAGGAGTCGAGGTTTTTGAGTATTGAGAAAGAAGCGAAAAACGAACACACAAAAGACATTAAAAACATATCAACCAAGATGCCGATTTGTGCAGAGGATAGCTGTCTAATGTGCCTGGTGATTGGAAAAAAAGTAATGATGTTGGGGGCCGCCGTTCTTCTCACCAGGATGGATCACATACCTTGCATTGACATACGAATTCATGTTTGAAAATCTTTGAGACAGGGTCTGGGCTTGGTACCTGAAGTGGTCTGTGCGGGGGTAACATCAGTGGTCTCAGTGGACGCACTCGCATGAGAAAACGACTCGAGGCCCCTTTTTTATTTTTTTGACTTAATGGCGTCGAGGCACGTTCTTTGTTCTCTGCCTTTTCTTCGTACTGTTGTCAATACAGCAAAAATGCACTTGATGATGACAGGCATCTGTGCGCAAGTGGGCTATGTGGGCGCATAGCAAAGGTCAGCCAGGGCTATGCTCGATTACAAACAAAATATTAGCAGTGTCATGAGGAACGTACTCTGCTTCTTTCTTTCGCACTTCCGCTCCTCCCTCCTTCCGACCTCACCATCGTCTCTTCCATCACCAACCCTCATTCGCTCATTCGACATTCGCCCTTTGACATTTTTCTTTCTTTGAGCATCAGGCTCTCTCATCTGAAATAAGCCTACCTCCAACTGCCAAAAAAAAAATTGAACGCCAAAGAGAGCGAGTACGTTCCCCTTAGTCAATTTAGTCACTTTAGTCAAAAAACAAGGATAAATCAACCTTATGCTTTCCCCAGGCTGCCTCTTCCTTTTACTCTTTGTCGTTTTTACTTGTTCTTCGCCATTAGTCAACGAAATCTGAGCCTTCGCACAGACTAAAACACAGCACCATACCGCTGCTCTGTTCTAAAGTGCACTCGGCACACGTAGTAAATACAGCTGCAGAACGCGAAATACTGGCAAAGTGTCCTTGGTTTTAAAGGAGTAATCATCAACTTACAAGTCTCCTTCTGTGTAGACAGTCAGCCTTCATCAGTAACCCCAGAAAGCGCTGCCCCCAAAAGTACCAATAAGGAAACAAGCAAATAAAAAGAAGCAAGCACCTCCGACCCTGTGAGTATACTTTTGTAGTTATTTGACCTCTCTGCATGATGAATACCTTCCTCTGGGCGTAAAACTAACCAACTCATTTATTTTTCCGTATTTGTCTTGTGACAGACCGTCCTCGTCAATTTGACCAAGCACAGCACTTTGGCGAGCAAGTCAAGGTATAATGTTCGCTGCCTTGCGAACTATACTCTAACTTTTAGCCTTGGTACTAATGACTGACGTATTTCATGGTTCATAGTAGGACACGCGATATGACCAAGGACTCCCCTATTCAACCACATGCAACTAGAGACGGCAATGAACTCGCTGAGGGCATGCATGGCATCAAAATAGACCCCGGCATCGACCCCGAGATTCAGAAGATTGCCTGTCTCGAGGTCGACCTGCGCATGTTATAATCACAGCGCCTGAAGGAGTCACAACCACCCGTCTACATAACTCCTATGGCCAAGGCCAACCTTCAAGCCCGAGACGACGCCCTTTTCCCTCTCTTAGAGAAGGTGGAAGAGTTCCTGACCAGCGAACGTCGAGTGATGCTTGTTTTAGGCGATTCCGGAATCGGCAAGTCGACATTCAGTCGACACCTGGAACGCCAACTCTGGACCGGCTACAAGCAAGGCGATCCTATCCCTCTCTACATCAACCTGCCTTTCGTTGACAACCCGGCACACGAACTAGTCGAGAAAGTACTATATTACCACAACTTTCTTAACAACCAGATTCTAGAGATGAAGCAACACCGCCACTTCATTCTCATCTGTGACGGATACGACGAAAGTCAGCTCAAGGTCAACATCCACACCACCAACCTGTTCAACCAACCCGGGCAGTGGAAGGTCAAAGTCATCATCAGTTGTCGCACCCAGTACTTGGAACTGGACTACCACTCTCGGTTCCAACCTCAGCCTGTCGATCGATGTCAGAGTGCTCGGCCGGACCTCTTTCAGGAAGCTGTGCTTGCACCCTTCTCCAAGGCACAAATCGATGACTATGTCTCCCGCTACATCCCTCTCGAGTCACGATCCTGGATAAAGGAGGCCTACATGCGGATATTGGCCACAGTTCCCAACCTCATGGACTTGGTTTCGAATCCTTTTCTTCTTACTCTTGCACTGGAGGCGATGCCTATTATTGCCGACAGGGAGCATAATTTTTCGGCCGTCAAGATCACGCGAGTTGAACTCTATGACGCTTTTGTTGTGTACTGGTTGGGTGTCAATAAACGTCGTCTTGAGAGCAACGCTCTGTCGTCCGGCGACCGGAGAGTCTTTGATCAGCTTTTGGATGCAGGATTTTATTCGATGGGTCTCGGCTACTCTACGAGATTGGCGATGGCGATCTTTGAGAGACAGGGTGGAAACGCGGTAGTCCAGTACATTCACACTCACGACAGTGGGACATGGAAGGAAGAGTTCTTTGGATTAGATCCAGAGGTCCGATTGTTGCAGGAATCATCCCCATTGACCCGCTCAGGCTCTCGGTTTCAATTTCTTCACAGATCCATGTTCGAGTATTTCTTCTCTCGCACCATCTACACGCCTGCCAGGAGTGACGCCGACCTTGATTCAGATGGCGATATTGGATCCCCCGCTTTTCAATTGACCGATGGTCATAGTCCTTTGTTCCACGGGATCTAGTCATAGAGCCATCCATTCTCCAGTTCCTCTCCGATCGTGTGAAGCCAGACCCAGATTTCGAACAGCAGCTCCGCTCAGTCATCGACCAGTCCAAGACCGATCCGGCAGCCATCATTGGAGCCGCCAATGCCATCACGATCCTGGTCAAAGCCGGTGCGCTCTTCCACGGTGTCGATCTCCAGGGTATAAAGGTCCCTGGTGCAGACCTTTCTGACGGTCAGTTTGACTTTGCTGTGTTTCGAGGAGCTGATTTGACGGGGGTCAATTTCGCGAGGAGTTGGTTGCGACAGGTGGATATGAGCATGGCACTGCTGGAGGGAGTGCGATTTGGAGAGCTACCTTATCTCGAGGTGGAGGGCTACATAAAAGACTGCGCCTACTCGCCAGATGGAAAGATGCTTGCTATGGCGCTGGTGCAGGCCATTGTTGAGATTTACGATACTACATCATGGACAAGGGTACATCAACTCAAAGGACATGACAGCAGTGTCTACTGTCTTGCATTTTCACCTAATGGCCAGCAACTTGTTTCAGGGGACCGACGAGGAACAGTTCGGCTGTGGAGTACTATTAACGGCAACGGTTTATTCGCCATGGGCGGGCATATGGACGACGTGAATTCCGTGGCATTTTCACCCTCTGGCGCCCAAACCGCATCTGCCAGCCACGACACAACAGTAAACTTATGGGATTCACAGACAGGAAAGAGACTTTTTGTTTTGCGGAGGCACACTGGACCAGTCACGAGCATCGCTTATTCTCCGGACGGACTACTGCTCGCATCAGGCAGCATAGATGAGACGATTCGGTTTTGGAACCCAAGGACAGGAGAGCCGGGCATGTTTTGGAGGCCTGCTGTGGGGGGAGTCTGCAGTCTCGCATATTCCCCAGGTGGGCATATACTGGCATCTGGTCATAGTGATGGAATGTCACGGCTTTGGGAAGCAGACTCTGGAGACCAAGGCCCGGTTCTGCATGGCCATAGCAACGCAGTTACAGGAATTGCCTTCTCCCCCTACAGGCCAATGGATTGCTTCTTCCAGTGAAGACGGAACAGTGCGGCTGTGGGACGTTTCCACAGGCACCCAAGATTCTATCCTGCCAGGACGTGATGACCAAGTATGTAGTGTTACCTTCTCTCCGGATGGTACCCAGATTGCCTCAGCGACTTTTCTCAAGGTTCGGTTGTGGGAGGTGAGCTCAAGCCTGTCGAACGTCGAGTCACAAAGTCCGCTGGACCTTGCATGGAAGGTGACCTACTCTTCAGATTGCCGTACTGTCCTCTCTGCCGATGGCCGCGGAACTGTCCAAAAGTGGGATGTCAAGTCTGGAGCGTCCGACTCGATTTCAATCCAACGCCTATATCTTCAGTCGATCAGAACCAGGGCATTCTCTCCGGACGGGAATCAACTGGCAGAAGGTGTCGAGGACTTCTCCATTTTACTGTGGGACCTTCCATCTGGTGCACCAGGACCAATCCTGAAGGAACATACGGACCGACTGTATTCACTTTCTTATTCGCCATGTGGTCATCGTCTCGCTTCAGCTAGCTGGGACCGTTCTGTACGGCTGTGGGACCTGCGCGAAACGGAGCAGAGTTTTTTGGTTGCAGAGTTGGATCGCTCAGCGGAATCGGTGGCATTCTCCCCATCAGGTCGTGGTCTTGCACTCGGCTCTTTTGGCGGGACGACCGTCAACGTTTTCGATATCCAGTCAAGGACGCTTACATCCTTCAAGGGATTGACAGGCCAGTCGAATACTGTATTCGCGTACTCGCCTCATGGTCAACAGCTTGCCATCGGGACTATTGAAAAGTCTATCCATTTTTGGGACCTCCAGTCCAACAAACCCAACATCGTCCTAAAAGCTCACTATGGTCCAATCTTCTGTATCGCCTATTCATCGTGTGCGCAGTGGATCGCCTCCTGCGGTAGCAGCGATACTGTTCAACTTCGGCACCGACAACCTGGCGAGGCAGAGAGCTGGTCCTTCGTCACTTCGGTCCGCGGGTTCTTTGCTGATGTTCTGGACATCGCCTGGAACACGGTCGTTCCGACGGAGTTTATAACTGGTTGCGCAGATGGATCCGTTCGAGCATGGCGGATTTCAAATGACGGTGATGGCGAGGGGTTTGTCGTCAAGTTTCTCTGGGGCCCCAAACTTAGCATTCTTTGTGCCGATGGTCTGGCACTCAAGGATGCGACTGGCCTTAGTCCCATCTACCAGAAATTATTGGTCCAACGTGGTGCCATCGAGGATGTCTAGGTTCCTGGAGAGGGTGTATTGAGCGATCCCTTGGTGTCTGATGAGGATGAGCTTGGTGTGCTGTCGGATGAAGTTGGATCAAATGGGTGAGGGGTAGCCGGTGGTTTATTGGGACAGAGAAGGAGGGAATAATTAAAGAACATGTACCAAGCAGTAATCATTCTGCAAGTGCTGGTTGGTAGCTGAAGAAAGCTGCGCCACCAAATCATACGGTCCAAAAAGATGCAATGCACGTGACACGAACCATCACCTTGACGACAAAAAAGGACGACCCCAGACGACATCTCTCTCACAATTCCCCCCACATTCAACAAAACAACAAAAAACATCCGAATCACCCTCCATGCCGGACGAGTACAAACGAAGCGGCGCCGCATTAACCCGCAACGAGATCTGCATCCTCGTCCACGTCTACCGGTACATCATCGGCGTCGGACCCGCCCACGAACTCGCCAACGGCGGCGGCGGCGGCGGGCCCCAAAACAACAATTCTGGCGCCTCCGATTCCGATTCCGAAAACAACACAACACCACCCCCACCCCCACCACCACACCGCGGCCGCGGCCGCCGCCGTAGCAGCAATAGCGCCGCCGCACCCCCAAAACGAGATCCGAAACGCAACCCCCGCCTGATGCTAGCCCTCATAACTGGGGTAGGAGCCTCATCCGCGCAAAAGGCCATCTCCCTCTACAAATCGGGTCAAGCCCCCCGAGAAACCACCGAAAAGTTGGGTCGGCCGAAACTATCTGTCCCCGAAAGGACTTCGAATGCGATTCGACAGATTATAGTGACGGCGGTGGAACAAGGAGCGCCGGTGGGGACTCCAGAGATAAAGAGACGGTTGGTCGAAGAGTATGGTTTGGAGTTTGCGAAATCGACCTTGGTGAGGTATATTAAACATTTGGGACATGTTAGTGGAGAGGGTGGGAAGGTTTGGTATCCGGGGAATGAGCGGTATCAGCCGGAGGGTGGTGCTGAGGAAGCTGGAGGTGCAGGAGGAAGAGGAGGGAGGAGAGGGAAAAGTCGGACAGGCGAGTTTAGAGGAAGGACGCCGGCAGTAGGAGCAGCAAGAGCAGCAGGAGCGCAGGCTGGTGAGGCAGAGCTGGAGTACCGGGAACAGGACGCAGAAGGACAGAATGATTACTATGAAGGTCAAGAAGGCTACGAGGGGTATGAAGGCCAGGAAGAGTACGACTACGAGGGCTATGAAGGCCATGAAGGGTACGAGGGCTATGAAGGCTATGAAGGATACGAGGGTTACGAAGGCTACGAAGGCTACGAAGGTTACGAAGGTTATGAGGACCAAGAAGGATACGAGGGCCAAGAAGGATATGAAGGCTATGAGGGCTACGAAGGAGAGGAAGGGTACGAGGGTTATGAAGGCGAGGAGGGCTATGAGGGCTACGAAGGAGAGAATGGTGCACCGGAGGCACAAGACATCGAACAACAACAACCCGACCAAGACGCCCAGGACCAACAACCCAGGGAGGCAGCAGTACAACAGCCTAATCAGCAATTCACTCACATTGGCCGTACGCGGTCCAATGGTCAACATGCTCAAGATCAGCACGACCAGACCACTCCCCAACCTGCGGAGGATATTCCGGAAGTGTTTTATGAGGATGAGGTCCAAGATGCGTTGATGGACGAGCTGGAGGGTGAGCTTCAGCGGGAATTGGAGGATCAGCGGTATAGCCATGATCCCGAGTTTATGGACGACGACACGCAATTACCTGAACCAGAGCTTCCACCAGCACCAACACCTGTCGCCCACACCGCGCCAAGGAGTCAGGTAGATTTCGATCGACAGCAACAGGAAGATGATGACAATCTTCCAGATTTCCGGGACAACAATGCTGCATTCGATGTTGCAAGGCGGTCAACTCGATCTGTCACAGCTGCAGCGACGTTCACAATCCCAACCGATGCCCCGGTCACGGTACCGCAGAAGCGACGAAGTCTTCGCACACATGTTGGGTTGGCCGCTCCACCACCACCATCAGTGGAAGGAGGTCCTGGAAGTGGATTTCCAGCTGCGTTGGTATTCGGTGAGCACAGCCCTGATCACCTGCAGGTCCAGGATGCCATTATTCAACTGCAGGAGGATGCTCGCCATCGTCCGTGATTCGATTCATTGACGCGTCAAATAAACGCAAGATGATTTAGCTCCTATTGTACGAGATCGCTTCTTCGAGAGTTTCTGTAAGTCTGAATTCTTTTGACCGCTTGCAAATACAACAACTAGAAAGCCTTCTGTTTGCTCGCAAGAGCACACGTCAACAAAGGTAAAAGGACGAAAAAAAGGAATGAGAAAATGCTTTAATGCGAAAAGGTGAAATAAAAGGTTGAGCTGGACGCTGGAGATGAAAACTAAATATCATGGAACTCGTCGATATGGTGTTTAGCCCGCATGTGCAAAGAGTTGACGAGCAACCATTCCGTAAGGTTGTTTTTCACGGGGATCCAAGGCCTCTCATCCTCTGCTACTGGTGATGTTGGTGCTGTTGTTGTGGTATCCTGCGAGTCTTCGTTTTCCAAAGGTTCCTGAGTCTTGTACTTGGTATCATACAAGTATGGTACCAACATTGGCGTCTCCGTGCTATCCGTGAACAACAGGACCTATGTCACACATACCCCCCACAAAAAAACAATGTGAATCTTAATTTTAGTATCCCCGGTCAATTAAGGCAATGTATGCCTGCCCATTTGCGAAGAAAAAGCTGATCGTCATATCCACATGAAAGCAAAAAAAAAAAAAAAAAGTGAGGGCTGGTGGGCACATACATTAACGTATTCAAAGTTCTCCTTGTGGGGGTAAGGAACGCCGGGGGAGACCATGATCTGTTGGACTTTTTTAAAGTCGGTCTTGGAGTCGATTTCGATCCTGTTGATCCCCAGGGGCTTCTTCCTCGAGAGGTCGACCACAATTCCAAAGTTCCTGACCTTCAGAGACTCAATTGCTGTTCCTGTCGCCCTTATCCTCGCCTATGAATGAATTTCATGTAAAAAAATGCAGTAAAAAAAAATATTAGGAAAGGTGATCAATTGAATGTTCATCCCCGTCAAAGAACCAGAAGCGATCCTAGTCTCCCGAACAAAGTGGAAGAGTGTAACATAAAAAAAAAAATGGGGGGGGGGGTAAGACGTACGACTTCCAGATCAACATTCTCTTTGATCCAGGCTTTGGCATCCTGACTCTCCTGATCGACTTCCATGCTAACGGTCGCATCGCCAGTCTCGTTCTCGGGGTCGAGCACCTGAGGTGCCTCCTCGAGGGCGTCAGGGTTGGAAGCCGCTGCTGCGGCTGCGGCGGCTTCTGCTTGTGCCTTCTTGGCGGCGGCGGCTGTGCGTCCTGCTCCTGGGGGGAGCTTCTTTCCTCCTCTGCGGATTCTTGGTGGTGCCATTGTTCTGTGGGTTGTGGGTGATTGGGAGGTGATGATGTGTTAAAGCAAGTGATGGACAAGAAGTGAAGTGAGAGGCACATTTTTTCCAATGTTTGTAGGTGTGTGACTGTTTTATGTAAAGGTGCGAGTTGGTGGCGTAAATTATGGTTGAACACTTTTTTATTTTTTATTAGAGGAGGGGGGGAAAGAAGTGCGTTTCTTACTCGTCCTCGTGAGTGGAGTAGGTAGCTTGAGAACTCACTTTTGAAGACCCTTTGGCCTTCTTCTGGGTATGATGTTGGGTATGATGTTGACTCTGTTGCTGACCACTATGATGACCTCCCGATAACTTCTTCGCATCGCCACTGAAAAAGGTACCCAGGGGATGACGACTGAAATTAAGGATCTTCTCTTTCAACGTCGCACTCAGCCCCTGAGGAAACTCAACCCACGATGAAGAAGATCCATCTTGATTCTTGTCCTTGGGTGGCTCAGCAGCCAAAATGGCATGGGTATCCTTGAAGAGTCCCGCAATATAGGCCTGAATCGGCGAAGGGTCTTCTTCCTGATGTGTTGGTGGAGAGGGTTTAGAGGGTGGAGTAGGGGTGGAGGGCATAGGAAGGCCATGCTGTTCCATGTACAATGTCCTGAACCGGGCAATCGATGCAACGCTCTCAGAGACGCGGTTGAGGGTATTGAATAGCGCCACGATCTCTGTCCTCTGCAACAAGTTTGGGTGCTTGATTGGGCTATCGTTCCCAAACATACAGAAAGGTACATAAATATTAGTAACAAAGATAACAAAACATGCCGACATTGACAACTTTGAAAACAAAACCAAAAAAAAAACACAAACGCGCGAGACTGGTATAACTTAACACACTTACTTGAGATGCTCATCGTTGTAGGAGAATAGAACCTTCAATGCAGTGCCCAACCCCGAAGTCTGAACTTTCCCCCAAAGCCGACACTTCTCACAGCCAACACAGTCCATGATCTTTGTAATATTCCTGAAATGGTCGCGGAATTCGAGTTTCAATGCCTGGGCGCCAGGACCGACAAACATGGCCTTTTCGTCAAAGATTGCAGGGGATTTGTTCGACACCTCTATCAGCTTGTCCACCATCGCCTAAAAGCATCGCAAAAGAAAGCATAAGACAGTGTTAGGAATACACATCCTGTACGAGTTGCTGTCATAACTGCAGTTGTAAACAGATGGAGAATAACTAACCTTGACTTTGGTGTCCTCGTCGGGGTTACCGGTACAGAATTCATAGTCGCGGAGGTACCCTGAGAGCTTGGTCACGGCGCGGACCAAAATAGAGTAGTCGAAAAATATGTTTTCCAGTCTATCCGGGTGTGCGCCCACCCTAGACACAAAGCATTCCAAGTTTGGGCCCTAATTATATATAAGCGCACAGAGGAAGACGCGGTCAGTTCGTTTCTGGGACTGGAGGTGCTTATCTTCGCAGTGAGTGAAAATACTACCACAAGAGCGGTACTCACCCAGACGCCGGAGGTTTGGTTAAAGTACTCGTCGCAGATGTGGATAGAGATGGAGGCATGGAGTCCGGAGATCATCCGGTAAAAGACCCGCTTTTCCAGACACATCTCTTCTTCCTGCGCGACCGCTCCTGCAGCCAACGGGTTCATCGCGGGGTCAACAAACGGCGACGTGTCATCTCCTAATCCTGCTCCTTGTTTCGGCTTATCCTGGTGTCCTTGTCCATGTCCAGTATGACCAACCTCAAGCGACAGCGGGTTCTGCGCAAATGAAATGCCGGACACAGCAGCATTTTGAACAGTCTCCGCTAAATCCTCCTCGAACGCTTCCCGATCCAACGAACATTGCTCACAATCAGCAGCCTGCTGCATCTTTTGAGCAACATTGAAACAGTTCTCGTTGTAGATCGCGTCCCAAACTTTGGCGGCTGAAGGGCCTGAGTATCCTGTGAACCGTTCTGGGTTCTCCATCAAGTCGACGTAGACACCCTCTGATATTGCTTCATCGTCTACTTGACAAAAGTCTTGGTCTTTCAGGTTGCAGCTTTGGAATGGTTGGAAGTGCTATTAGGATGGAAGGGGTGGGTTGACGGGTTTATGTATAAGAGCGGTTAAAATGTTGTTTGGTAGGTTGTTTTTGTTTAGTCATCAGATTGCTTGGACCCTTTTTCCTCGAAAGAGCGAAAGGGCTATGTGTGATAGGATACAATCCAGCCAGTCATACCTTGCCACCCATGGGTGACGAAATTGCGCCGAGAGCCGCACTCGTCCATTCCTCAGGGATAGTTTTCTAGGAACATGCACAAAAGGACAATCGTAAAGTTTATCAGTTGTCTATTCACCTCTCTCTCACACACTGTTTTCACCGAGAGAAATCAAGGTTAGGCTGAAGGCTTCGAGAGAAAATATGACGGTATAGTCAGAAAAGTACCTCATCAACAACGGCAACACCACAGTCCTTGTTCATACAGAGGTGGTTTTCTGTCCAGAAGGGACAGGTGCCATACAAGTTCAGCTAACATGGTTTGTTTGAAGGAAAAGGGACAATTGGTTAGAGCCCAATAATGTAGGGAATATTAATTATCGATAATTGAGTCTAGAGCAGATCAATTGGAAGAAGGAGAAGAAAAGTAGGCTGCGCGTGTGTATGTCCATTGGTTACCTTGTAGAACTTGAAGTACTTTTGCTGGACAAGGTTATCAAGAAGGCCTCTCATCTCCAGATTGATGGCCTCTACGGCGTCATAGTCACAGAGCGAGTTTTCGATCTGCATCGATTGCTATGGCAGCATGAAAGGGGAGGGAGCAGGGGTCGGGAAAATAGAAGACCGTTCAGTGAACAACGACTAAACAGTAGGGGCTGAACAACGGCAAAAACAACATCGACCCTCCTTTGTCTCCCCCTTTTCTCACACTCTCTGGCGCGAAGAAGGGACGAAAGGGAGATGGCCTTCCTCACTTTTTTGGTTTGCATTTGTCATCTGCGATTCGTTATTTACTCACTCGACACTGTCCAGCCTTGTGTGTTGAATGGTCATGCTCCAGTGAACCACCTGTCATTGTCGTCGTCGTAGTCGTAGTCGATGTAGCGGCAGCATTAGCGGCTGTTCTGGTCGTCGTAGGGGTCGTAGAAGCCGTTCCTGCCGATTCTTTTAGTGGTTGTTGTTGAGGGTGAATGAGGTGTTCTATGAAGTAGGGGACTTTGACCATCTTGGCAGGTCGTTTTGGTTTTGTTTGTTCGCTGCCATTAGGGAGACCGAGGAGATGAGGGGTGTTGGGTGGAGGGTTGAAGAGGCCGTTGAAGGGGTCGTGTCGAGGAGCAGCTGGTGAACGTGGGTGGTTGTGTTGTAGTTGTGTGGGTGCGTTTGTTGCAGTTGTTGACGAAAGAGAAAGACAGACGAGGCCGAGGAGAAGGGAAGTAAGTTTCCAAGAGGAGGAAGAAGAGGAGGAGGGGTAACTCCTGTTGGAGGAAGGGTGTGTTTTTGAGGGGTATAGCATTCAGTGTAGAAGGGGGGGGGGATTCGAATACAGAGGAGGAGGAGTTATGTAGGATGGTAATAATGGGTGATAAAAAGACAAGATTGACAAAGACAAGAGACAAAGACAGGAGACAAAGACAATGATCAATTTTATGAAGGAGCCGTTTCATTTCCAGGCACACACATCTCACACAAAGAGAGACTGGGCCAATGAGAGAACGCCCTGTTGTGGATTCCCCCACGCCTCTTTTCTCTTCTTGACTTCATGATGACTGTACACTGCACTGTGTACGTACAGTGCCCTAGGAGGAGCATCGAGAACAAGTCGAGTGGTACCAGATTAATAATCCATCCGCGCAGAAGACATAGCTTGGACCTGTATCCGTCATTCTGTCTACATATCCGTCATTCTGTCTACAGGCAAGGGTTGCCTCTTTGGCTGTTGTTGTTCAAACGACTCGACCAAGACAGGAGGGTGATATTTGCGCCTTCCTCAGACTGTTGTCGCTCCTGCTGTTGGCAAATAAGAATGAGGATTGGCGATTCCGCCTATTCAATTGGTTGTTCTATCCCTTCTTTTTTATCCACGCTATAATCGTGCTGTACTAGTATGGTGTCCGGTTTGGCACTCTGACCGACGATAATGCGAGCGTGCACAGGCATTCATTCCCCTTGCGGCCAAGACCAGGTATAAAAAAAGAATAGTCATCCGATTTTGTGCGAGGAAAAGGAGTGTTGTTCGACCATGGATGTCCCTCATCAATGTTAATACCGTTACCGTTGCAGGCTCGAGTGGAGTGGCAAGAAGGAAGAAGAAGGACAACGACAAACAAAGAGTCCAAAAGAGAACATTGCATGCAACACACATACACACTGTGTTTTTTGTTTGTTTTGTTTTGTGTGTGTGTGGGTGCTGAGCGTTTGCCAATCCCTTACATTTTTTTTCTTGCATACACACACACACACACACACAACAAGACAGCGGAAGACGATTGCTCTCTTGACTCCCTCAACTCGCCTTGGTTTTTTTTGTTTGTTTTCATTGCTTACTCTCTTTACCCTCTCCGCACTGCCCTTGTTCTCCTTCCTTCTTCCCTCCCTACCTCCTTTCTACTCACCCGCTGCTCCCTCTCTTCTCTCTTTCCTCCCTCCTTTGTACCTTCTTACTCCACCTTTTACCCTCAAATTCTCCTTCTTTCATCCTCTTCCTCCTCCCTCTCCTCCCCCTCTACCTTCACCTCACCTTTTTCCTGCAACCCGCGTCATCATCCCCTTCCTTCTTGCTCCACTCACTCCTTTCATCATCCTTCCTCCGTTCCCTTTCATCACTCACTCGCTCTCACTCACTCATCACCACCACCATCCTTACACCGGTCGCGCTAACCTTCAAGGGTTGAGCTGAGCCCCACCTCTCCCTCTTCCACTCTCCACCCTATTCCCCTCCTTCCCTACCTCTCACACATACACCATGGCACCTCAGACACCACAAACTCCCCCACTGGCACCCGCCAATGGTTTTTCCTCCTCCACAATATCAACAACAACAACAACAACAACAACGAACGACGTAACCGACCAACAGCAACAAACAACAGGCAGCCCTCAGACCCTTCAGGAATCAGACACCGTCATCATCGTCCGCGCACTCTACCCCTATGTCTCCGAGGACCCCAACACCATCTCACTCTCCTTCGAGGCCGATGATCTGATCCAGGTCGTCACCCAGCTCGACTCTGGATGGTGGTATGGCTTCTGCAACCAGGCCCGAGGTTGGTTTCCCTCAAACTTTGTCGAGGAGATCACCCAGTCCGACCTCGAGGACGACTCCGAGGAAGGCGACGAGGACGGAGGCGACAACAACGTCAACACCAAGGAAGTGCACGACCATGACCATGACCATGATACCAACAGCCAACATGCCCATGTTCTCGAGCACGACCTCGACGACCAAGACGCAACTGACTCGGACGAGGAAACGGTAAGTCTACCTTTTCCTCTCTCTCTCCCTCCCCTCTCACTCTGGCAACTGTGCCATGCCTCACATCCGAACATGCATATATCCTTCCCCCACTCTTTCCACGCTGTCCACCCCTCCACGCCTCCCCCCTATGCCACAACTCTCTTTCTCCCTCTCACTCTCGCCCCGTCCCTTGCCATCTACAGCTGTTTGCTGCTTGGACCAGTCCGTTCCCTTCCTTTCTCCCCCTTTCTCCCCTTTTTACATTTTTTTTATTCCTTGGGCACATTCGAGATCCATTCCAACTCGTGAGCAACGTCCCCAGAAACGAGAAGGGATACAGAACACAGGACAGAGCAACATGCCAAAAACAAGCATCAAACACTCCCAACGCACATTTTCTCCTTGTCCTCGTTCAATGTGGTTGCCCCCCTCTTTTTCCGTGCACACAAAACCAAAGAAGAGAAAATGAACGGCTCCACATTGCTGTCTTCTGCCCCTACGATCGGACATGTTGGAGATACGTTCACAACCAGACCTCCGTTTCTCGGTCGGTCTTGTCTGAGAGTTATTTAACAGTTCAAACCCACTAACCGTCTTCCTGGGTCTTTTTCTTCTTCCTCTTCGTCGTTATCTTATCTGTCTTCTAATTGCCCATTTGATGACCACAACAGTCAAACGACGACCTATGGTTGCCCCAGACAACTGCCGATGGCCAACTCTACTACTTCAATACCCGGACCGGAGACTCTTCCTGGTCCATCCCAACTCCGGCCCTCAGCAAGAGGACGACAACACCAGCAACAAATGTACAGCAACAAGACTCAAAAGATAGCGCATCTTCCACCACTCCTCTGGCTCCGCCCTCCCGTCCGAACCATCACCGCAATGGTAAAGTTATTATCTCGTCCTCCTTTTCATTCATTTCCCCGTTCTCGTATGTCCGATGGCCCCATGTTCATACTTTTTAATTGAAACTATCGTACGAGTCCTTGTTGTTCATTGCGGCAATGTGATCGGCTGAATAGACAACTCAATAATAGCACACTGTAATCCCCACTTTTTATGGACGCGTTCCTTTTTCCTCTTTTTTTATGCGTTTCTTTTATCGCAACCTTGTACCATGTACCCTGATACGACACCGACATGGTTGGTTTGTATGAACAAAAAAACACTCGCATAACACCACCGCATGCAAATGGCTGACCTAAGAAAGTTTTCTCTTTTTCCTCTACTTGCTCAACAAAAAAAATCATACCCAATCGGATACTAGACTCCAACGGTGCTTCTGTTCCTCACACCAATGAAGATCATCGGTCAACCTCCTCCAGGCGTAGCATTGCTGCCTCTATCAGCAGCTCAACGCTCTCGGGCTCGGACACCATCAAGGACAGCATGACGCATGACCAACTGCGCCAAAACGGTGGGAGTAATGGCCAGGTCACTGCGAGTTCTCGCGCAATGGGGTCCGCTCAGGAACTGACCGGAACTGAAAGTCACACGGGATCCAGTCGTTCTAGTTCATGGCAGGCGTCTGCTGTACCGGTAAGTTTACTCTCTAGAACAAAGCAAGCATATGTTGCTATACAACCCAACACGCATTACTCCGGCACCAATTGGACTCAAAACACCAGGGCAGGAAGGGATCATGACGAAAGAAAATGAAAGGAGCTTGAGCCACAATCAGAGGGAGAGGAAAGGTATGGATGAATGATGATACAACTGGGAGGGATGGGTTATTTTCAACAACCGCACAGACGGAAAGGGAAAAAGCAAAAAAAAAAACAAGAGCACAAAACATACACACAGAGAGAGATGGAGCGGACATGAGACTTTTTTTTCTCTGTTCATTGTGCACTAAAGGCCTCTTGAATGGCGTCAATTGTGGTCGGTGGGTGTGATTGAAAAAAGCCTACAAGATGGGCAAAAGCGCGCTCAAGTAAAAGATTGCAACCAGCATTGATAACAGCCTACGAAAAAGGTGGAGGAGTGCAATCCTACACAGAGGTGAATGTCGTTTGCTGGCAATTACGATGACGATTTTGTCGCCTGCAGAACCAATTGTCATCAAAAACATAAGGACAAAGAGGACAAAAGGGATAAAGAAGCCAAAAGGGACAAAGGGAGTGAAAATCGGGGCTCACAGACACACAGGCATACTATTTTTTTTTTTTTCGTTTTCATCTTCATCTTCCCTTCTTCCAGCCCTTTCGGTTCTCTTTCATTTTCTTCCCGCACCCGTCCCAGTGACTTACACCGCATATTTTCCCGGTGTCCCTTTTCATTTCTTGCCATCGCGCGCGCGTTCTAGACCAGAGTCGGCTCTCCCCATTCACAAGACGGACTTTTGAATCACACCCAGACCTCCTCCGCGGCCCACGTCCGTAAACCTTCCTCCACAGGAGCCCCAGGCGTCGGTGATTCTGCCGAAGGTCTGCCACCACTGCCTGTCGTCTCCAACCCTCTGGACCCTACACCAACCTGGGCCTCGCTGGAAGAACATGCCTCAGCTACACTCCTGAACTTGGTCCATTCGTCCGATAACGGATACAAATCTTACTACCAGATTCAGGCTGCCCAGGTCGTAGAGTCCATTCGTGTAATGTTTTATGCGTCGGGAATGATTGACAAGGATTCGGCCCCGATTCGTCTGCACGGAGACTTGAAGGTGTTCCATCGCCAGATCATGGCAGCCCTCTCGAGACTGATCCTCTCAGCCAAGATGGCGTCCAGTGTCTGGCCTCCGGAAGGTTCTGTCGCCAAGATGCGCTCAGATGCTGGAGAAGTCGCCACCGCAGTCCGTGAGTTCATCATCGCCGCCCAGAATGCCAATGTGACGGTGCACGATGTTGATGCCAAATTGGTTGCAGATCCCGACAGTACCGCCAACGCAACTCACGGCTTAAGGCATTCTCAGAAACTAGTCAGATCTCTCTCAACCGTGTCTCGGCCTTCATTGGATAGTGGGGATCGGAGCTTTGCCAATGGTAGCGCTGGTGGAAAGTCGAGCACCATCGCATCATCGACTGTCTTAACGCCCCTCGAATATTACTGCAAGAGCGCGTGTCGAGCCATTGGAGTTCTATCGTTGCAAATCACCAAAGCTGTGGATAACGTTCAAGGATCTGCTCTGCAGTCAGGATCTAACATCATGAACTCTGCCCAGTCGTCACAACTCGTCACACAATGCCACAACGCCATCTCCCACACTGGATCTCTGCTAGCTCTAGTCAGCGAATACTATGCGACGGTGTTTGCCGAACATCCAGATATCAAGGATCATATTCTGTTGGACGTTCGCGTATCAAAGCAGGCACTCTACAACAATGTCGCCTCGTTGGTCATGGCTGTACAGTTGGCAACCGACCCCATGGCGCGCATGAGTGTTCTCGAAATGGCATTGGAGGCAACGCAAACTGCAGAGCGCTCGGTCCAGGACCTCACGGCCGCTACACGAGCACTGGCAATGGCGAGCGATGAGATGGAGAAGGGCACAAGGACAAGGAGCGCCTCAGAGGCCAACATCAGCAGCAGCGATAGCTTTTTGATGCTGGAGGATTCGGATCTGGAAGGCGACACCATCAAGGGAAGTAACTCGCGACACCGCCGATCAGAGTCACGACTCTCATCGTTCTCGTCCGGGTCCTCCGCTGCCCACTCAATGGCTTCCGGAGCTTCGGGAGCTGACACTTTTAGCCGTTCAAACGCCGCTATCTATGGCTCTTCTCAAGGATCGTCCGCTGTGGTCGAGATTGCAGCCGCCAACACTGGACGTGGGCCTATCGCTGGTACTCCCTCTGACCGTGACCAACAACGCGCTCGCGGTCTCAAGCTGAAGAAGATGTTTGGAGAGGATGTGGTCCTGACAGGACCCAAGATTCCCAAGCCAGTCGAAATCCCTTGGTTCCTCCAGCACGATCACTCCACAACCGAGATTTCATTCAACATGGAGGGTCTTGTGAAGGGTGGTACCCTCTCAGCTTTGGTGGAGCGGTTGACTTTGCACGACAGTATTCCTGCCAGCTTTGTTGCAACCTTCTTGTTGACCTACCGATCCTTTACCACAACCACCGAGTTCTTCAACCTGCTTTTCCACCGCTTCACCATCGCACCACCGACGGGACTTGATGGTCAGGACTTGGTCCAGTGGACCGAACGCAAGCTGACGCCGATTCGTCTCCGTGTCTTCAACACCATTAAAACTTGGCTCGAGACCTTCTATATGGAGGATGAGGTGGAAGACCGACAGATGCTGCCAAAGATCAAGGAGTTTTCGAGTCTGATGCGCCATTCCATGCAGTTCGCCGCGGTTCAAATCATCAAGTTGGTCGAGAAACGCGAGGCCTCGGATGGATCTCTCCGGAAGATGGTCTTGAACCTGACGACACAGGCCCCTCAACCCATCACCCCTCGCAACCTGAAGAAGATCAAGTTCTTGGAGCTGGACCCCCTCGAGTTTGCTCGCCAGTTGACCATCATGGAGGCTAGCGCCTACAACAAGATCAAACCTGTCGAGTGTCTTGCCAAGGCCTGGACGAGTGAAGATCCTGAGATTGCGGCCAAGGCTGTGAACATCAAGAGGATGATTGAGACGGCCAACTTGTATGCCAACTGGATCAACGAGCTGGTTCTTAATGAGAAGGATACCAAGAAGCGTGCCCTCATCATCCGTCAACTTGTCGCTGTTGCTGAGGTAACTGTCTTCTTGTTATGTTTGCCTTGCCATGCCATGCCTTGCCTGTACTTTCATATGGAAATCAATTTGCATGCCAAATTATTTATTCAGGAATCTGCACCTTGGTGAACCATGCAATGTTTCTGACATATTACCTTTCTTTTTTTTCGCTTCCTCCCGTTTTCCTTCTTCCCGCTTCCCGCTCTTTTCTTTCATTATTGCATGAACATATATAGAAATTGCGCCAGCTCAACAACTTCAGTTTGCTCTACGCAACAACCGCCGCTCTGGCCCTTTCCCCAATCCACCGCCTCAAGCGGACCTGGGAACTGGTCCCTGCCAAGGTCATGAACACCTACGCCACCCTCCAGGCCGTCACCAACTCTGCAAAGTCCTGGACTGATTACCGTCAAGAACTCCATTCTGCCAACCCACCCTGTGTCCCCTTTGTCGGTGTTTACCTTACCGATTTGGTCATGATCCAGGACGGAAACGCGGATTTCTTGAAAGGCGCCGAGCATCATATTAATTTCGCCAAGCGTGTTAGTACCGCTGAGGTCATCCGTGAGATCCAGCAGTACCAGTCGGTGCCGTATTGTTTGACGACTGTTCCTGAGATCCAGGCTTTCATTCGTAGGGGTTTGGATCAGTCCAAGCCTGTTAACGAGTTGCATGAGCTCAGTCTAGAATTGGAGCCAAGGTAAGGCTACTTTTTCCTGCTTTTCTTTGTATTCTTGTTTCTATGTTTGTCGCTATCTTATTTACTTTTGTTTATATTATTGTTTTCGTTCCAACTTCATAGGGAAGGCGAAGAGGAGAAGATAACTAGACTGCTTGCCGAGGCCGGATTCTTGTAAGGACCTTACTCTGCTGTTGATGATGATGATGCTGCTGCTCTCTCCCTTCCTGTGCCTCCCCTATTACTCCACGGTGTCTTTCCTTCCTCTCTTGTGCGCGCGCGCGGGCGGTGTCTCTTATCTTGGAAAAACGGTGAAACGGTGATACGGTCAACGGTGAACGGTAAACGGTGCTAACCCGGGCAGGACGGCAGGACGGTGTGGTGGATGCGGTTGTTACTTCGGTGAACGGCTACGGTGACAAACCGACGGTTAAAAGCAAAGCGGTAAACGGTGAACGATGCCTGGCAGCGTGTCCTGGCTTTCGCGGATGGTCCCTTTCGGCGACTTCTAAGACGGAATCTCCCCCCGCTTCTCTTCTTGGGTGCCTCCCTCCTCTCGCCTGTTGGCCTATTGGCCTGCCTGCCTGCTCGCTCGCCTCTTGCTTCAGGTTCTTAGGCGTGTTACTTTCATGCGGTGTGTCTCTTTCCCGTTTGGCGTGGCTTCCTCTTCGGTGTTCTTCTCGGCGGGTATTCACTTAGCCTTTTTTCTTTTTTGTTGTTCTTCATTTTCATTTCTTTCGGCATATCTTTTTCACATATATTTCCTTTTCGCGTCGTCTCTTTGTTATGTCGATACAATACCTGCAGTACATATTTTATTTGCCATTACCTTTCCTCCCAGCCTTGCACATATCTCTCTTCCGTATCTTCCCTCTTGCACATACTCTCAGCCTTTTTTTTTTTTTTTTTTTTCTCTCTTTACACGAGCTACCTCCCGATATGCCTTCCTAACATGTACTTTTTCTACCATTTTCTCCATCTTTATACACTACTTGCATGGCAGACCCGACGGCTACGAATCAAACTTTTAATTCTGACTCTCAACTTTTTTTTTTTTGCCCTTTCTTTCCCCTTGTCGACCCGTTGGTGTTTCTTTTTCCTTCTCACAATTTCATAGAAGCATCTAAAATACCTCTACAAATCAAGATATCAAATCCAAAAAACAACAACAACAACATTCATTTCATCCTAACAAAAAATATGTATAGTAATCTTCCCACTCCAACAAAAACAAAAAAAAGTAAATAACATTCCTCTCCCTCAAAGCCATCGATATGAACTCTTTGGGGGGTTTGAGATAAAACAGACAAAGCGAGCATGTCCGCAAGGAGGCAAAAGGCGTGAAAAACGCTGCGAAATAGTTGGGGGGTTTTTTTAATCAGGGGCAAAGGAATAGGACTAGCTATGATAATGAAAACGTGAACGAATGAGAAAACTTTCGCGACTGGTAGAGAAGTAGAATGAAAAAAAAAGAAAAAGAATATGAGAGAGAAAAGTAACGATACAGAGAATACAGCAAATGGGTACAAACAAACAAAGGGGTAATAAAACTACAGAAGAGGGATCTCAGACAATGGGAAATGAAATGAGATTAAAACACACACAAGGGGGAAAAAAGATAATACAAATGTGAGGTGGTGGGGAATGGGGGAGGAAGTACAGCAACTGGAAGGAATGTTTGCAAATGGAAGGAAAAGAAGAAAAAGGAAAGAGTCGGGAAGCCCTTAGGCACCACAGCGGCGGGATCGAGGGGTGAGGGGCTCGTTGAGCATGCGGCGCTCCCGGAAGTCATAGCGGTCTTGCATGCGCGCCTTCTTGCTTGGGGTGCCTGGTCGACTGCCCATCAACTTGGAGGCCTGAGGACTGTTATTGGCTGAGGTATTGATCGCCGACATTGGTGTTGGGCTCGGAGGTGGGACAAGGTCCTGTGCATCTGTGATGCCTGATCCTGTCAAATCAGACTCGGAGGTATGTGGGCTCGAGCCAACGCCCTGATGAGAAGTCTCGTTTCCTGCAGTAACCCGCATCCTCTTCGACGAAGGTCCGCTCAGCTGTCGATCCGTCAGCTTGCCCTTTCCAAAGTACGTGGCTGTTGTCGAGGATGAAGCCGCTGTGAAGCTGTGGGATGTCGCGGCGGCATAGTCGGCCTCCTCCGCTGCTGATGGTGCTCCTGGCGACTCTGGGTCCTGGTAGACCTCAAACTTCCACTCGCCGGGCCACTGCTGCTTGTCCGTCTCGCTCACTAACTGGTAGTTTCCGTTTTTCCAGTAAAAGATACTTCCCGCCACCTTCTGCGCGCGACGATTGAAGGCCACCGACTGGGGCTCGATGATGCTCTCTGCGTTCTTCATCGCCGTCTTGGAGGGTACGCCCTTTCGATCAAGTGTGTCAGAAGCGTTGGGGTGGTTGTCGGGGAGTTGCTTGGACGACTTTCCGTTCAGTGGTGGCCCAATCATCACGGCCTTGTTCGTGGAGGACGAGCCTGCCGCTGAACTAGATCCTGAACTCGACCCTGCCGACAACTCTCCTGAACATCCCGCAGCCGTGCCCTTGGGGTGCTTGCCCTCTGTCCAGTCTGATCCCTTTCCTTTGAGGAAGCCTACACCCAGACCAGCGTGCAACAAGTTCCCCTGCTCATCAAAGGAATTCCAGCGCCAAGGAGAGATGGATCCGAGGGCAAGACGTCTTGACCGCCGAATGGTTCCTGGCGCTGTCGTACATCCTGTGGGTGTTGTTGAGCCATCCGTCTTGGTATATCGTATGGTTCTCTTTGATTCTGAAGAGACAAAGAATGGGTTCGAAGGGTCGTCCGACATCTTGGGAGTGACATTCTCCTTCTCCTGGTCTCCTTGAGAGCTCAGCACAGACTCGGTATCCGTCATGTCGTCGTCATAAAATTCGGTCGATTGACTAGCTCCCGGTGTCATCAAAGCTGTGGATGTTGGAACTGGTTGGAAGTACGAGTGAGAGTTCGTCGAAGCCGAGTAGTCGCCAGAAGAAAAGGATGCTTGTGCTGATGCTGATGTACTGGGCGTCGACCGGTCAGCAGGTGATTGAGTTGTAAAATTGCTGCTACTCTCTAGCTGAGACATGGGCTTTCGAGGTGTCCTGATAGCTCGTGGCGACTGGGTAAGAAAGAGGTTGTTGTCTTCGTCGTTCATGAACTGGCGAGGGCTGCTGCGGGGTGGACTCTGGAGAGCGGAGCGTGAGGAAAAGATAGACGGTGACGGCGACGACGCTGCTGCTGTGGATGAAGAGGCGGCTGGCGTAGAGGGTCCGTCTCGGAGGAAAGGTGTCCTGCCGCCACCGGCCTTGACAGGAGTTGTGAACGGTGAGGATTGTGTAGTGTCGTGCTGTGTAGTTGCGGTGCGGGTTGGGTATCTGTGGACAGACTCGAGCGAGCTAGAGCTGTGGAGGTTGTTGTTGCTGTGGTTGTTGTTGGTGTTGCTTTTAAACGGCGAAGGTGAAGGGGTTGACGACGATGAAATGGAGGAGGCAAAGTTAGGTGAAGCAATCCTGTCAAAGGGGAGGGTCAGGTTGAATCGTTCAACAGTGGCATCGTCCCTGAACCGAGCAGACGGCGAAGGTGTAGTAAGAGCTGACCGAGACCCACTACTACTACTGCTGCTGTTGCTGCTGTTGGTGTTGCGGTTATGAAGAGCCAAGGTCGTGAGGTCCATGGATAGAAGTTCTGAGGGTGTAGGGTTGGGGAGGTGGGCTCGTCGGGAGGGCAAGTCGTCCATGTCAAGGTCTTCGTCTTCGGGGAACTCCCGCTTGAGCCCACCCCGGGTGCCTGTCCATGACCGAGCTGATGGCGAGGTGAGGCGGGACCTGTGGAGGTGCGGTGAGCGAGGGGTGCGAGGGGTGCGAGGGGTCAAGGGAGTCTCGGGGACTTCTTGGCTTGTCCTGTATGCCGACGAATCAGATCGTTGTCGAACCATGTGGCGAGTATGTGTGTGTGTGTATGTGTATGTGTATGAGTATGCGAATATATGTGCGTGTGTTTGTGTATATGAAAGTGTGTGTGTGTGTGTGTGTGTGTGGTAGGTGAGTTATGAAGTATGAGTGCGAGTGAAAAAGAAGAGATGGTGGCGGATGAGGGCAAGTGAGAAGGGAGTTGTGGGGAGTGGAAGAGGTGATGGTCAAAGCAGAAATAAAAAGACTGTGGCGGTGGAAGGGACCAAGAAAATAAGGAAAGTCAGTCAGACAGTTCTATTCGTTCGGTCAGGGTACTCTCTCTGCCTGGGTTGGGTGGGGTGGAGTCAAAAGTCCAAAAAAAAAAAGAAGGGGCACGAAAAAGGGGTCATGTGGGACAGGTGGTTTAACAAGTCATCTATCAAGCCAGCTTGTGGTCTGTTGATGAAATGTCCTTTCCTTGTTCCTTTATTCTTACACACTCACTCACTCGCTCACTCACCAGTGTAGTCTTGTTTGATCTCTCTCTTTCTCTCTCTCTGGTATGTATCTTGTGTCTATGAAAAGACTAGTGATGTATAGCAAGCTGAGCGTGTAAATAAACAGGAACAAGAGTGACAGTGGTGGTTGGTGATGATCTCGGCCAATGTCATCCGCTCTTCCTTTTCAGCATAATTTTTTTTTGTTTTGGCTCGGGCCTAGTCGTCAGGGTACTATAACCGGTCACCGATTTATTACCAATCGCATGTGTTGCAGAACTGGTTTCCCGCCATTGCCTCCAACTTCAAAAAATGACAGTCCGTCTGACTGTGCCTGAAAAGTGGGCAAGTGAGAGCGGGAAGGATACAAACAAACAGAAGCCAACAAAGAAACGCGTTCCCTCTTCAGTCGCGTTCTTTGTTATTTTTCAGCCTCTTCCTCCTTTCACCTTCCTCCTTTCACCTTCCTCATCCTCTCGTTTACTACCTTGCTTACCCTACATTTTACTCGCCTGATTCCACCACGACCTCATTCCACACCACTCAACTCCTCCAACAATAACGCGGACACTCTGTGTACCGCCCACCTTCATTCCAACCATTCCTTCCTCGTCTTCTCAACCCATGGACAACGCTCGGCGTCCACGGCGACAACAGCCTTTGCCCGATAGCAAGGATGGACACCGCGGTAGCCGCAACACGACGACAAGCCCACATACACTTTCGCTCGCCCGTAGTCTGATAGACCAGCTCCCCGACCATACCCTTAGGGAAATTCTGCATTCTGTCGCTCACTTGACTCTTGTCCAAGAAACCCTTGTCACCTCCACGTTGCCGCCAGCGAGCACAGAATCTTTCCGGTCAAAGCGTACTAAGCGTTCGTCTTCGACACCCACTAATTCGCGACACGGGTCTCCTTCGCCCTACCCTGACTCCCGTTCAACGCGGCACAACCTCTCCGCAACAACCCAACCTGTCGCCCGGTCAGAGCCACTTACGCCTCAAATGCAACAGACGCGGAAACAGCTCCTCGTATTGATCCATCGCGTCAACGTCTACTACAGTAACACATTCAACACGGCCGATGCCGTTACGTGCCTGCTCAACATTGCACACCGTGCCCTCGATCAGCAATCTGTTCCTATCAGATCCCCAACACCAACTACTCCCGAGCCAGCCTTGGAGTCTGCGCCCGTTTCAGGATCCTCATTACCAACACCACCACGGACAACAGAAGCGGAGACAGTTGCCCCTTTGTCTCATCCAAGAGCCATCATACCCATCGCGGACGACATCCTGAGGTCATTAGTCATGATCCTGATCCAGTATCCGCGCTCGAAGCATATCGAGCCTACGGCAACCATATCTAGGGAAGAACCCTCGGCAAGGACAGAGAAAGAGACGACTGGCGACGACTGTGACCTCACGGATGCATTGCTAGAGATGGTCTATGCACTCTTGGATCACGAGCAGTACAGCCGGCGACCGTTGGCGATCTGTTTGTCCGAGTTTTTGGTGCATATTGCTCTTCAACGAGAGCGCACGTTTCGGGACCGGGAACGACAAAAACGCGAATACTTGTTAGGAGCAGGATCTGACTTGCTTTCTTCTGATCGAGTCATTGATCGCTGGCGGCATGGTCTAGGACAACTCAGCAAGGCTATTGGAAGCGGAGTTGCCAGATTGGGCCGCGATTCTGGTATTGGTATGGGCGGAGATCTTCCTGGAGGTGGAGTTGATTCTGAGGACGATATGCGAGGCGAGACCAAGAAGCGACTCCGTGAACAACAGCTTCAGCGGTGTCAACCGCGTGTTCGGGATGATCAAAGTCAACACCAGCAGGACGACAACTGGGAGGGGTTTTCCATGGGCCAGTCGAATATGGACTCTCCCTTTATTGTATGAGATAGTGTGGCTAGTAAGGGAGGTTTGATCGATAGTTTTCTTTAATAAGTAAGCAAGCGGCAATAGTAACAACGGTCGATTGACATGCCTCCCTTTTATTTCCAAAGAACGCGTTGTTGTGTGCAGCGATCAAAGCGCACCTTTTCAATTTTCAAATGGCGAACAGTCCATTGGCCCACTGCGCCACTGGAATAGCACAGTCGTATTTATCTCGTTGGTTGTTCTTCTTTTCCCTCTCTCTCAGCACGCGTTCATTGCCCCCTTTTGAAACCTTTCCCTTCTCTTTTCACTGATCGACAATCGACCTAACCGACTCTTCCTGGACTCAAGAATTCAAACACAGAGACACACACCACAAACAAACACGGCATCGAACTAGACTGTATTCTCGCTCTCTCCACTCTCACTTTCAATATCTAGGACTAAAACAATAAGACACAATGGATCCACGCAAGCTCAAAGTGAATGAACTGAAGGAACAGCTCCAACTCGTAGGACTCTCTGTCAATGGCAAGAAGGAAGAACTCGTCACCCGTCTTCTGGAACACCAAAAGGCTGAGGAGGAGGCTGCTCTCGCTGCTGGACCTCCCACAGGAACTGGAGAGTCCTTTAACTGGGAGGATCCCATCGAGTACGTCCTTTGTTTCGCATGGATGTCGCATGAAAGAGAGGATGCATCTTTCTTTTATTTGATGTCAGTTCCCTTGGCGCAATCCAACTAACCAAGGCCAAGTTCTCCTTTGTTCATGACAATTGTAGTGATCTGGCTCCTCTTGTAGCTGATGCCCCCGTAAAGCCTGCCCCCGCTGCTACCACATCTGCAGCAAAGGCGCCCGCCACAACCGCACCCGCCACTACTACTGAGACTGCTGCTACTCCCGCCAGCAGCGCCACAGAGCCAGCAGCGGCCACCACAGAAGACAGTGTTCAGTTCCAGGGCGCCACCGCCAGTGATAATGACGCATTAAAGGCCGAGATCGAGAAGCGCAAGAGCAGAGCTGCTCGTTTTGGAACTTCATTAACTGAACAGGACAAAGCCCTCGAGAGAGCTGCCCGCTTTGGTGTCCCCGTCGCTGCAACCACCACCGCCTCTTTGGCCAAGGCAGCAGGAACTACTGTCACACCAGCTACAACAACATCGGCAGCAACAGGAGCAGGAGCAGGAGCAGCCAAATCTGGTGTTCCTTCCAAGCCTAACGCTGTTGCCTCTCAGGTAATTATTTTACGTGATCGATGGAGGGGGGGTGCTGTGGATAAATTGCATTACGTCTTTTGTTCTGCATATGAATTTTTGGCACTAACATATTTTTCTCCTTTTGACACTAAATCATGACCTGGATAGATTCCTGCTGATGTGTTGAGCAAACGACAGGCACGTTTCGGGGTTGTGGAACCCGCTGCCAAGTTATCATCGACACCCGCAAAACCCGCTGGCACCACCGCTCCTGCTGCTAGTGCTGCTGCTGCTGCTGCTGCTGGTGTCAAGAAGTCCGGTCTTGTTCTGGATCCTGCTGAGGAGGAGAAGAAGCGCAAGCGCGCCGCCAAGTTTGGTCTTCCCTCCGTATGTTTAAACTTTTGTGTTTGCTCAATTGGTTTGTTATCTGGTGAATATGTCACAATTGTAGTTTGTCTTACTAACCGCCGCTTGTTGCTCTTGTTCTTGTATTACTTTGCTAGGCTGAGGATGATGCATCCAAGAAGGCAAAGGTGTAAAGCAGGCGACGGGATGATCGGGATGTCCAGGAAAGTTCAGAAGAACCAGTACGACAGATACGCCATTTAACGCCATGGAATAAAAACAATTTTTTTTGACTATCAACGGACTCCTGTTTGGTTGGCCTTGAGGCTTTGGACACTTTCAACGATGACCATTCCTTATTGGCGGACAACAAAAAGGGTGCACTGGAGCACACACATTGAACACATTTGAACTTCACGGGTAACGCAGGTCGCTGGATCAGGACTCTGCGGCGTCCTCGTGAAGGAAACATTGCACTGTTTAAGAAGGGCGTATTTATCATTTGTTGCTTGTCATATTACAGCAGTTCACAGCAAGCGATTCTCAAAGCAGTCTGGAGAGTGCTTTCTTTGTCAGTTGAACTTCTTCGAAGAATCCAACTTTTCGCAGAGGCGCAAAGGATTCTCGACTGAATACATCTTAGGCAATGGTGATCCTTTATTTATTTTTCTACAAAGTGCGCATTTCTTGTCCCACCTCGACCGCAGGTAAAGTACGAGGAAACTGACGTCGCGTTTTTATCTGAAGTCGACTTGGACCTGACGATAGGTCAAGTCGACAATAGGGTTCACACTGCACTGCACGTTCATGTTGTTGCTGTTTTCTTTACAGAGCTCACAAGAAGAGCGATACAATATGGCAAGCTCGCGATAGAGGGCGATATAATTATTTTCATTTTGACCTATTCTGCTTGTCTTTGGGTATAAACAAAGTAGAAAGGTCAAGGAGAGTGGGGAATGTTTTTGCTCATCTCTTCGGATGGTTGATTCTGGTTCGTGAGATTGCTTAGCCAGCTGAAGCCGCCTTTTCAATTGACAGCGTTCTACAAGACCTGTCAGGTTTCATTATGTAATAGACGATACTGATTATGACTGAGTAGGAGAGTCCTTGGTCATGTTGCGCGCTCTGATAGAACAAAAAACAAAAAGAAGTAGGTTGTTACAAACAGTACAGTACGAGGCATTGATGTGCTTACTCCTGTGCAGAAAATGAGAGCATACCACGCATTTTTACCTTTGAAGGGCTTGGGGTTGGTGGGTCGGTCGGCGTTGATGAGTTTCAAGTGTGGTAGGGTCAAAAACACATTTATAGGTGATAGTTGCTCAGGGTTCACGCTTACGAGTATACGTATTTGAATTTGTATGCGGGTGCCTTTTAGCCTTGAAGGAAAAGGGAGAGGTGCGCGTTTGCTCTTTTTGCTGCCCAGGAGTTGATTCCGAATGAGGATGGAAGAAGAATGAAACACGAAGAGATGAATGGAAGCCAAATGAGAGAGGTCGGTAGTCGCTGATGAAGGTGAGGATGACAATGGTGATAGTGATGGTGATGGTGATGCCGAAGGGGGAATGGCGAGGGATAAAGGAGGAGTGAAAAAAAGAGCAACAGCGAAAAAGCAAAAAAATAAATAAATGAAGTTATTCGATGGCCTCTTCTTTGTTTTTGAGGTTCTAACACGCACAGACATGGACTTGTTGAAGGGTAGAAGTTTTCTCAGTAGCGAAGCAACGACATTAACAGGTAATACAACCACCTCTTTTTATTTGTTTTCTGTAAAAAATAATAATCACTATGCTCATTGCGGAATATGCCTCTCTTTCCGAGTTCTGTCTCTAATCTTCCAATAGCTTGTCAGCAGCGAGTTGGGAGATGACAAGAATGCAGATGAAGCCCCTCGACCATTACTTCCCCTGATAGCGAAAGCATCTCCAACGTCGGTCTCTGGAAGAACAGGTGGCAGATAAAGCGCTCTTCTTGCTCAAGGGTAAGGTGAATGGAGGTGAACACCGACTCCTTCAGGCTTCAGCATTGGGAGCATCAACTTTGTACTTATTACAACTCCCTCCATTCCCGCCGTCTTCGCCCTTCCTTTCACCTTCTTCAGGGCTCATTAAGATTCTCCTCGTCCTCCTCTTCCGTGACTGTCACGATTCTAACGAGCATTTCAGTTTGCTCAGTCCCAAGAAGTAAAGTTTGCGATCCAATGCCGACACCGCTTCTCGAAATCCATTTTCCCCTCCTCATCGCAGCCATCTGCGCATTTGGAAAGGAAATGCATTTCTCTCAAGTCGAGAGAGAACAGTGGCTCGGCCATTGTAACGTCGGCATGGAGACGGCGTCGACGGGGCGAACAGCTCAAGAACCTCCAGCTCTCCGGCATTCCAATGGCGAAATTTCCAGCTGTTCCGGGTCAGTCGATCCGCAGCGACCACAACGTCTTCAGTGGCCTCATGACCATCAATGCCCACCCGAGCCCAATCGTGTTCATGTGCGGGGATGCGAGATGGCAGGGAGAAATCAATGACCTTAACGAGCGGCGGTCGACAACTCCATATGCGCGTCAAAATCCGTGTTTCAAAGAAGGATGTTGCAACTCCTTCGTTGTCGGCATACCCTCCAGTCCATCACGGCCTTCCTTCCTCGACTGTCGACAGTCATTGAACTCTCATCAGTGAAAAACACGAAAACAAACACACACACACACACACACACACACACACACACACACACACACACACGCACCCACAGTGACCACTAGAAATCACCACGCCCGGTACTCCTCTTGCCTCTTACAAACCATGACATCACCAGTCGGGTAAAAGTAACATAGTTCCTTGCAATCCTGGTCCTCCTGTTGTTCCAGAGTTACGAATCTAGACGAAAGATCCAGTCGCCATAAAGAAAGGAGAGCAAGAACAAGACAAGGGTTAATGACACTGAAAGACACAATAGACAAACAAACACCTGCACCGCACCATGACCTTGATGCTACCCACGCTCACCCATCTTGCCCACCCACGCCCACCCATCTTGCCCACAACTACCCTTGAGCTAGCTAGCCTTGGCCGGCGGTAGACTCAGGTTGCCTCACTCACCACCATTGTTCAATAAGCAGCATGGTCAGGAATCGTACTCTATGAAGCCTCTCCAGGACACTCATGGGCGAGCCAACCGCAATGTAATGGATTTCAGTTAGTGGATGCGGCCAAACATCCACAGGTAGACCTCACTTTCACACCGACAGTTGACCCATTCTGCACATGAATGTGAGATGGAAGCCAGGAAACCCTGATATTGTACAGTAAATGAGCCCTCGAAGAGGCGTTCTCATCCACTGGAATAGAAGAATGACGTTACACTGAATCTTGGACAATAATAGTATCGGGAGGGATTTGGTTGTTGAGAGAGAGGGGGGAATTGGGTGCCATGATGAAGGAAGGAGGATGAATGAACGAGTGTGTACTTTCCTGTTCTGTTTCCTTGATTAGTCAGGACGGAGTGTCGAATGAGGGGACTTGATGTCGCGACAGATGTTGTCCGAGAGAGGGGGAACGAGCGATGCGGCAATGAGATTGGTGTAAGGGATACAAGCAAGAGAAGACAGAGAGCGAGACATGAGAGGGAAGGATGGATGGATGGAGAGGGGAGAAAGAGAAAGGGAATCAAAGAGTGAGAAGGAGAGGGGAAAGAAGAAAATAGATACAAGAGAAAGTACATGCAAGAGAAACTGGCGAATGAAGAGGCAATTGGCTGAAACGAGGAAAAGAAGAAAGGAAGGAAAGGGATGACGTCTGCGAAAGAACAACCCAAGCGAAAAGAGGGGAACAAAAAAGGAAGGGTGGGTGGCGGTGTATAAGTTCACAGGATGAATGTACGTGAGGCAAAGAGACAAGAACAATAGTAAGAGACACCTTGGTGAAGCGAGTAAAATCTGAAAGGTTGTTTTCTGCACCATGGTGCATGGTGTGTCCATGTATTTGTAGCATTGTGCCTGCAACAGTGAGGACCAAGGAATCATCACTTTTACCATCAGGGACATTAATAACCTTAATAGTTTCAGTGTCGATCGACCATATCACAGCATTTTGATTCGCATTTTCATTTCTGTTGATCAGTGGCAATGTGAGCTCAATCTGACCATTGTCACTATACTATCGCCATATTTCATATTTGTTTGATGGGTTTTGATATGGTTTTAGGCTGGTTGACCAAGACCTGTGACTTGCCAAGCTCGTCCATCCATTCCGAAACTCCCGAGTGCTCGAACTCTGAGAGGGGAGACAGAGTAAAGTTCTCCAACGCCGGCACCACAGCCAAAAGATTGTGGAGCTCAGCGCGCGTCTACATATCCTCACCCAGAAGAGTGAGCTCATTTAACTTTTGGGGTATTTTGAGTCCTACCAGGTGGCAAATCAGAGACAGCCTATGATACTGCCACAATGAGCTGGGACAGGACAAAGGTATTGCTGGAGGAAATGAAGGGTCCCACAATTCCTTCCGTCTCATCGTCTTCAGCGTCAGCATCGTCATCGCCTCCATCCTCTTAACCTTCCTCCTCAAAATCGACCACTGCCTCTTAACCTTTATTATCATATTCCCCGATTTGGTTACCGGCCTCAGAAACATCCTGCTTGTGAGCTCCTTGTTCTTCGCCGAAGTCTCTACCAGAGTCTTCGACATCCAGCTCCTGTGTGTCTTGTGCCGCTTCCTCGACGTCCTCTGCTTGACCGTCAGGGATCTCAAGGTTCACTGAGGTGAGAATTTCGGCCTGTCGTGGTGTTGTGTCGACATAAATGAGGGGAATAGAAGTGTGTATGTGATAAATGAGCTTTATGGAGCAATAAGTGGGCTAAAAGGGAAGGTGTCTCTTTATTGTCCATATCCTTTTAGAGCACACTCTCTTAGCACACGAGTAAACATGCGGTCACTGCGACTATTAACTGCTAAATATCACAGACATGTTGTGTGCGTACACAACACCCAGCCATGGCGAGGTTCAACGAGGTCAGCTCCTCCAACTCCATCAGAGGTACGAAAAGATAGAGTCGTTGGGCTCGTCATTGACATCGCTGGAGAACGCATTGTCGGGATTTTCGTCGGGTTTTGTCGGGGTCGTTGTCAGAGGCGACGATGGCTCTTTAATTGCAGGGAAGTGATTGTAGTCCAGACAATAGGCGAAAGGGAGCCCTTCCACTTTCTGTGCACCTGTAACCTGGCGTAGCGGAAATGGCCGTCCATGTAACTACCGATATGGCGCAGGACTTTTACAGGGAGATTCATGTTCGATAGACCCGCTACAAGAGGAGGGCGGCCATTGGGAGGAAACGGAAGGACAGTGGTGTTGATTGCTGTGTGTGTTAGTATGTTTATGTATGCTGAATGAAGTGATAGTTGTTGTTGTTGTTGCTGCTGAGATTGCTGTTGGTGCAGTTGCAGTTCCTGAGGGAAGAGAGAGAGAACCGATGAATCGAGTGCATCGGTACAGGTAGAGTGGCAGCATTTTGTTAATTTGGGTCACATACAATGTATGGGTGGACAAGGAGTAAAAAACTGAGATTGTCGAAAGATTTCAACCAAACGAAAAAGTATGTCGAATGGGGGATTGACATTTGGTATCCTTGGCAGATCACCAGAGGAGTAATAGAGACAAGACTGCCGCCACTTGAAACTTGAGTAGTAGGACTTTCGGTCGATGTAATAAAAGTGGACGTGAGCATATGGGTTATCGGTGACAGTGACAAGAAAAGACGTTGAATCGAAAACACGACACACAAGAGTAAAGGGGGTCATGATTTTTACAGAGAGACGAAATGATAAAGTTATATTGTTAATTCAATCAGCTACTCATCCGTTCAGCCGACGACAACGTCAACATTCATTCAGAACGGTTAAAAAAACAAGGGGGGAGGGGAAGGAGGGGGGGAGAAGAGTAATGAGAGAAAGGGTTGTTGCTTGTAGTAATTTGTCTCATGACTTGAGTCAAAGAGAAATGCGACAAGAAAAAAAAAGAGGGGGGGGGGCGAAGATTCTTTCCTAGCAACGCAGCTGAAGACTGATCAACATAGTTGCTTTCTTCCGTTCCTAGTTCCTTGTTCTCATATATTCTATCCTTGCTCCCTTCGCCATTTCCCACACACACTATCTCCTGCATCGATCGTTGACAATTGTGTGAATGGTTCTGAGGAACTAGTTCAGATAATGAAAAAGGGGGGGAAAAGAAGTGACCTGTGACTTCGTTGTAGTTGCTTTTTTTCTCGTTTATCTCCTCCAGGGAAGAAAGTACCAATAAACGCAGCGCATACTCAACAACAACAACACACATATTCAATGACATGCATTCTACAGCACAACCTAGCAAACAGCATGTCGCCACTCCCACTCATTCCCCTCCACCACCGTCCTCAGTAGGCGCATGCATATGAGCAGCTGAGTTTTATTGCCAAGAGTCGCGTACTTTGGGCTGAATACATTTTCTCCACATAAACGGGGACATTTTTTCGCGTACCCCGGCTCACATGATAACAACCTTACAATAAGGTTCGACATGGTCCAACCAAGGCAACCATGGGCCATTTTGTTTGTTGATTATTGTTTTGGTATTACCATTTCTTCTTGGAGTATCTTATATCTGGTCTATAGCTCACGGAGGTTCTACGCGATATGGGAGATGTGCAGGACATTCATACTTGAGAAAGAGGACGGGAGGGAGCGCGAGTAGAGGAAGAAAATAAAGCAAAGGAAGATGCCACAGATGCTCCAAGACTCAATCACAACAAGACCAAGCGTTGAGGGATGACTTGTGATTTGCTGACGCGAAGTTAAGTTAACTTGACAAGAAAGTTGATTTAAATTTTTCCTTTAATGCAGCAATAACAAACGTTTCTGTTTGAAAGAGAAGTCAAACAATCACAGACAAGAGATGCGCCAAATTAAAAGTAGAGAAATCTTGAGCGTTGAGAACCGTACTTGTAGATGTGTGTTTTGTCTCTCTCTAATGAAGCTTTAGGTTTGCGAGACAATCGCGTCTCGCTATTGCCCTGGCCGATGAAAGATAAGTCCGCTAACTTGTTGTTTTCGTTTCTGTGGATTTTTTTATTTCATGAACGTGAGTATCCGGTAGAATAACCGTTTGGCTCAAGCAAGGAGGAACGACAACAAAATAAAAGGCAAGAGTTGAACAAGGAAAAGATAATACGTTGTCGGAACGGGGGATGAATTGCAATGGGTATTCAATCAGACAACTGGAGGAAAATACCAAGAGAAGGGTTGCTCAGGGTAACATTCTTTCCATTTGCGTCCGGGCAAGACTGGATTGAACAAAAAAAAGAAACAATGCATTATCAAACGAGGATTGAGTTGCAATATGTATTCAATCAGACGACCGGGGACGGAAATCCTAAAGAGAAGGTTTATGAAGGGTACCTCTCAAGCCCTTCTTTGCATTTGTCCTATTGTAATGCCTTTCATCCTTTGAGTTTGGGTTCGGACAGGGGGTGGGTGGTGTTTTTGTTATCAATGCCCTTGTTTGTTTTTTTCTTCATTTGTCGTTGCCGTTGTTGCTCGATTGCGTCATATGCGTCCTCTTTTCTTCCTTCGCTCATGCAAACAACTCTGTCCGTCTTTTTTGATTGACTCGGAATAAGGCAGGGTTGACCGTTTCTTGAGGAATGGAGAGTCAGAGATAGGGTATCAAGCTCAGACAAAGCATTATTCCATGTCTGTGTGGATACGTCTGTCCGAGCGTTTTAATATTTCCGGTCCAACGATTCCATTGTTTGTTACAACCATGCATGATTACAAAAACAATAGTACTTGCAGAGAAAGAAAACAACACAGCATGCACTGCCAAACAAGAGCTTTCTCTCCTTTACCGACAAAAAATAGTTGTTAGATAGAGAGAAAGCAAGACCCGCATTCACATCCATGTTGCTTCTCTCTCACTTTGTAGACGTACCTCTATTTGTTTTCCTGCGACATCAACTGCAATGACAGAAGTAGAACTGAAAAATAAAACAAATAGTATCTCCATCTTCCAATGCAACCACCCCCTTTCACCCTTTTTCTCATTTTCTCCCTTCCTCCTCCTGAACATGCGCTGTATCTTAAAGGTGATTCCACGACTGAGAGCAATCGAGCAACCAAAAGTAGTAATTGAGGGTGGCGTGTGCCTTGGTAAACTTGGTGAAGAGAAAGCGAACAATTTCCTGATCGTGTGGCCATGTAACCGTGCGCAGATCTTTTTGTCGTTGCTCATTCCTCAATGCACTCATTGGGTTCTGTCGTGGATGATTGTGGGAATGGTTATGGAGAAGAATGAGAGAGCAACGATGTATGTATTGTCCTCGCACTGTTGCTGTGTTTGTTTGCCCCTGTTTGACGTTCACTTTTTTCTCTTGCTTTCTTCAAAGAAAAAAGGAGAAAACGATTAACCAGTCTGGTACACTTCACGCTTTTTTTCAGGCAGAGAATTTTTCGATGGGCCCCCTTTGCACCAATTCCTCGAGATTAGTCTGTTGTTGTCTAACAGTCTGACCATTGACAACTGTCGATTCGAGAAAGAGGAAGAGGGATGGATGGAGAGAGCGTGGTGGCCTTCTCTATGTGTGTTCTCATACGAAATATGGCCTACAACTTTTATGTACTCTTCTTTTTCCTTCTCTTGCTGCCAGACAGGAAATGATGATCGATGAGCGCGAAGAGGGAAAAAAAAGCGCGTCTAATTGTATTGGACTGTTTACTCCATATATATTTTTCCTTTTTCTTTTCGATTGTCAAATGAAGGGTTCGCTTTCTTTTTCTGCTTCGTTGTTTTTTATTCACCGTTCTCTTCCTTGTCGCTACCAACGATTACTACTATGCTTGCACCCACCTTCATTACATTACTCGAAAGTCATGATCTCTAGGATTCTTGTGTTGCTACTCTCATCTCTCTCACTCCTCTAGTTGTCTTGCAACGACAAGATAATATCAACCTCCAGGCAAACAGACGAGCTTTTTTTTGCTTGGAATCATTCTTTTTTCACTCACCCAACATTGTTTTCGTCCCCTCTCTCCTTCTCTCTCCCCCTCTCTCTCCCTCTATCTTTGCCCATTGATGCAGTACAACAGCTCAACTCCCCTCTGTTGTCTGAATCGGCCATGTGAATGAGTGCACCGTGAGAACGAATCGAGGTCCTGGTGGCGCCGACTAGTTCCGCGCCGTGCGAATGAATAGACCGTGTAAATGAATGGTTGTATTCTCATACTTTGTCTTCAGAAACAATAAAAATCTAGTATTCCCCCCTGTTTTTCTTTCTGCTCTTCATTCACTCCACTTTTGCAGTTGCACTCGCTCCACTTTTACAGTTGCACTCGCTCCACTTTGCAGTTACACCTACTCCACTTTACAGTTACACCTACTCCAATTTACAGTACCCACTCCACTTTACATTTACATCAACTGCAGCTCAACCAACACCACCACTCAACCACCTCAACAACAACAGCAACTTCACCAGCAACACCCATGGCCAACCCAGCATCCAGCGCTAATCCTCTTCAGGAAGTGCACCTCCCAGCAGAAGTCATACACCAGATCGGTCAATCGCTGGACGGGCCGTCGCTGTACAGCGCACTGAGGGTCTCACGGCGATGGAAGGCGGCGCTGTCCCTCAACTTGTGGACTCGGATTTCAGCTTTACAAGTTCAACACAAGTCGTTCCCGTTTCGGCGCCCCTCTTCCCCTTCCTCTCCCTCACCCTCTTCGCCTTCCTCTTCTTCTCCCTCGCCCTCGTCCTCTCCCTCTCCCTCTGCCTCCCTGTTTGAAACACATTTTCTCCAAACTCAATATTTCCATTGGACGGATGTAGCGATTGCAAGAGAGTTGTACCCAAACCAGGTGCCTTCCAGCAATCGTGACCTCTCCATGAGCTGCCTCGGAAATATCTTGAGAATGACCAAGAGAGTCAAGGAGTTGATGATTCAAACAAGAGGCATGGATAGTTTCGATGAGGTGCTTCAGGCTATCCGGACGATGGAGAGGCTTCAAGTTCTGGGGCTGCAATTCCCTCACAGTCAAGCTCCCTTACCCTTGTCTCCACTCTTTGAATGCTTTTCAAAGCTGAGGGAGTTGCATCTCCGAGGCAAGTGGTATGGACTGCATGGACAGGCAGGATACACAGGACTCGAAGCTGATCAGGAGGCAGAAGTCGCGGATGGCGGAGAGGAGGGAGAAGGCGCTTGGCAAGTCAAGAAGCTCACGGTTTGCCGGACTGACATAGGCATCGCGGAATTGTGCCCCATCTTGGAGTCAATTTTAATCGAACATGTCCCGCAAGAGTACGTCCAGGATGAACTCCCGACGTTCCAAGTTATCGCTGACTGCACCACCCTGAAGGCGCTAGGATTTTGCCCTTTAGTGGATGAAGCGGACATGGCAAACTTGGAAACGTTCATGGGAAGTTTGGCAACGGTCGAAAAGCTGAGTGGCTTTCCGTTGTGGTGGTCGACTCAGGCTGAGATGCTGACGACAGGTCAAGAACAGATCCCCGAGGCCGAGCTGGAGGAGGAAGGCGAGGAGGATGAGGAGGATGATGATGCAGATGCTGGAGACGATGAGACGGAAGAAATTGCCGGACCCTTCATTGTCCTCAGCAATTTCTTTGCCATGCCCAGGCTCAAGGAGCTTGAGGTGACCGTTTCCGCTCTCACGTTGGATCAAGAAGAGCGCTTTGCATCTCGGTTGTTTTTCCAACGGCCAATGCTTGAGCGGCTTCTGCTTCCGACTGAGATGCATATACCCCTGGAGTCACTGCTGCAAGCCGATTGGGTTTGCACCAACCTGACTGAGCTTCAGCTGGGAATCTTCCCTCCAGAAGATGAGGATGAGTTTGACAATATGTGGCGGAACTTTTTCCTGCAAATTGGCAGACTGACCCACATCACCACTCTGCACATCACCACCACCGACTTGGCCAAGGAGCAGGACTGCCTGGCTGGACTTAGACATGCCCGAAACTTAAAAGAGCTCACTCTTTTGGATGAGGGTATGTGGACGTACGATGAGCTCCGCGGCGTTTTGGCTGTGACGCCAGCGTTGGAAAATCTAACCCTGTCTCCCTTGTCAGTGCACGAGCACTTGAAAATCTTGGGATGGATGGGTGCGCTTGGTAAGGCACATATCTTGGCCAACCAGCCCTAAAACTATACCAAAATAAAATGAAATTGAAATCCACTACATTGATTGCAGTTGAAGAGGCTTCAAAGTGTATGATTCGTGACCATGTTGTAGATTGAACAATGATCATGAGTGAGGCAACCTGAGCCTACTGCCGGCCAAGTTTGACTGGCTCGATGGCTGTTGTGGGCAAGGAGGGTGGACGTGAGTAGCATCAAGGTCATGGTAGAGTGCAGGTGCTTGTTTGTCTATTGTGTCTTCCAGCATCATTAACCTTAGTCTTGTTTTCGTTCTTTTTATGGCAACTGGATAAGGACTTTCGTCTGGATTGGTAACTCTGGAGCAACAAGACGACCAGGAGTGCAAGGAACTATGCTACTTTCTCCCGCTGGTGGTGCAATGGCTTGTAGGATGCAAGAGGGTAGCGGGCGCGGTGATTTCTAGTGGTTACTGTGAGTGCGTGTGTGTTTATGCTTGGGTTTGTCATTGATGAGTGTTCAATGACTGTCGATAGCTGGGAAAGAAGCACCACCGCCACCATAGAAACAGGACCATACCTTGCCACCAGTTATCAAGGGTATCAACTCAGGCACAATAGAAGTGATACTGTCTGGATTCCTGACCAGCGCAATCGCAATCTTCCATGGCCCACCACCAGAGGGGAATTTTTGAAGGCGGCGGTACAATTGTAAGTACGAAACTGGAGGGTGTCGATGTTGGGTGTTTGGGAAGGGAGGAGGTGAATACAGTAGCGGAGGATTCCCCCAACCGAGATGGCGGCCTTATGCGATATGAGGAAGATTGGTTTCGGTGCCGTATTTTGTCTCTAGTAGTCATTCGAAAAAGGAGGTAAAAGGATGTCAGAGGATGAATAAGAGAGAAACATTTGGAGTGGCGAGAAGTTGGTGCAAGGAAACATGGGTTTTGTAAGAATAGAAGGAAGAAATGAGGTGATAAGGAAGGAAGAAAAAGAAGCAGGCATTGTGGAGAAGAGAGGGCAACGCCAGCGGTTGTTTGTGCATATGTGTCCGTGTGCGACGGGTCATACTCACCCTTCTTTTCTTGCGTGAGAGCAAAAGAACAAGCAGGTTTGGAGTAGCCGAAGGAAATGAAAAATTTGATCAGGGACAGAAACGTATTTTTGTTTTCCCATTGATTACCGATAGGTGGTCTGAAGAAGCAAGGGTGGAGTGGTTCTTTGGGTGCTGTTCTTTTTTTTCAATACTGCATCTTCATGGTATCCGCGTCCATAGCTGGGAGGCAAGACTGGGTGTGAAGGTGAGCCTCAGGGCTAAGGAAACCGAAAGGAGTGGTGTGAAAAGAGCGTCGGTGGGTTGCATATAGTATTGGCTTATTGTCCTGTGTTTGTGCGCACAAGTGTCATGATATTAAGACCTCCAGTGTCTGCGTCATGTATTTGTATACTCTTGTTTGTCCACGACATGCTTTGTCGTGGTGTGTGTTTTCTGCTGTCGAAAGTGGCGAGAAGGCGATGTAGCTTGGTCCGGTCGCTGTTTAAACATCCGAATAATTTCCTTGGACAGGAGACAAGGTTGGTGGCAAACACTCATCGTGTGAGCATTCTCAAGCAGAGAGAGAGTGGGGCATTTGAATAATTGTCTGTGAACGTAGCATCGATGGTTTTGAGCTGAAGTGCAATGGAAGTTGTGATCACACGACGAGGCATTCGTCCTTCCTCCGTGTAAAGATTGCCGGATGTGGTAACATAATCCCAAGGTTTAGGGTCAGCCATGATGTAACGGCATTACTTCTCCACGATAGGGTCTTGAAGGAGTCGCCCAAAAGGGTCACCGAGGGCATTAAAAGATAGATAGTACTGTAAAGCGCCAAGATCCAAAGGTCCAGGAACGAAGCCTCTGTGGACCTTGTGATGGGACATCTCTACTAAAGCTGCGGAAGAACGATCGAGCGTCTTGATTTTGTAGGGCTCACGGTCGCAGTCGTACTTGATGTCGTTGATCTCGTGGGGGTTTAAAGGCTGGAATGAACGACTGTGTGTAAGAGTCATGGCTGAAAATGAGGGAATGGAAGTAGAGGAGTAAAAAAAGAAAGCGAGAACGAAAGGGGAGAGGTAAAAGATGAAACAGGAGTTACCGCACCGCGCGATAATACAATGTGAGATCGTTGCATTTTCAGTTCAAACCGTTTAAGTAATTAGATCATGTTCTTGGCGGCCTTTTCGTAGATCACTCTAAGTCCTTCAAACATACTACCACAATTACGTTGTCCTCTCTGACAAGTAAGGCTATGTGAGAAGCGACTTGTTATTTTTGGAGTGCGCGTTGAAGGTTCCTAAGCTGGATAGAGCCGTCATCGACGTTTGTTGCCAATCGATTTCCTTGCGGGAAATATGCCCAGGTGGTAGAGGAGGACGACGAGTTGGAGAGCTCGATCAAAAACTCGTCAAACGCTCCTGTCAAAGACGTCCTTTGTAGGATGGCTCCATGTTTATTACGGGTGAGGATCGCCTTCCCCTCGGGAGTGTAGACCGCTCCCCGCTTGACATCGGCGTGGACTTGCAGCTCAAACCTTGACCAACTTGAACTCACTGCCTACAGTCGCGCCTTGTTGTCGTGGTCTCCTGAAGAGACCAGAAGCGTTATTCCGACGGAAAAAAGAACGAATGTAAGAGTGCGGAGGAGGAAGGACGTTGGATGAACGGGTGTGGGTTAGCGATGTGAGTGACAATATTGATGTTGGTTGGAAGAGGTGATGATGTAGAATGAAGTTGGAGAAAGGGCAGTAGGTGAGAAAGGGCAGCGGGTGAGAAAGGGCAGCGGGTGAGAAAAGAAAAGTCATTGTTATTGGACGTTTGATTTCTGAGTCCACAACCACAAATGCATTGTCTGACAGACTGAGCATCTCCAGCGCCTCTCTCTGAAAAACAATCGAGCTCGTTCTTCGGGCGCGATGGATCGCACTGACCTCCAGCTCCTTCAATATAGTCAATGCGACTCCCTCACCCGCCAAAGTCTGGACGACTCCCTCGGCAGCGACTGTTTCACTTGCTCCTTCCTCATGTTCCTGTACATCCTGTGCATCAACACATGGACTTCCTGGGCAGCCTGTGGTTCCCGTACCACCTGTGTCGCGACCTTCAACAGTTCAGTGGGTCCAACAAACAACACTTCCGCTTGCAGCTGCCAGACCATGTTGTACGAGGTAAACTCTCCATCGCAATCAGCACCTTCTCGAATCCTTCAATTTCGTAGACCTGACAATGATGATGGTGATGTCGAAGGGAGAAATGCGGAGGATAAAGGGAGGAGTGAAAAAAAGAGCAACAGCGAAAATGAAAACAAAATGGAAAAAAGAAACTCAAGAAGAGGCATCAGGCAGCCCCTTTCATTTCTACTTACCTGGGCGGTCGTACCGACCTTGCTTAATGAGTAGGTCGACACGATTCCTTACAGAAGCGATGGTGGCGCATGGCCATTCCAGGATGAGAAGAAGCCCACGGGTTGATGACGGATATAGTGGTGGTGATCCTGATAGCGGCATTGAGATGGAGTCAATGGCCTGTTCTTGAAAAGAAAGATAAAAGGAAATAACGCACAAGCATTGGCCCATAGAAAAAGACGCCTTACCCACAATTCCTTTCTCAACCAATGCATTTGCCTCGGATGGTCCACATGGGTATGATGTATTAATGTTTATTTATTTAAACACAATTAAAGTACAGGACCATGCTTTGACAAACAATGCATCGGCGGTGTGCTTGCTGATATAGACGTTGTCAATCTCCAATTTCTTTGCTGTCTGCATAACTTCCAGTCCGTCACGGCCTTCATTCCTCGACTGTCGACTGTCATTGGACTCCTACCAACAACAAACACACACACGCACACGCACCCACAGTGACCGCTAAAATTCACCACGCCCGCTACTCCTCTTGCCTCCTACAAACCATGACATCACAAGTCGGGTAAAAGTAACATAGTTCCTTGCAGTCCTGGTCGTCCTGTTGCTCCAGAGTTACGAATCTAGACGAAAGTCCTTATCCAGTCGCCATAAAGAAAGGAGAGCAAGAACAAGACAAGGGTTAATGACGCTGAAAGACACAATAGACAAACAAGCACCTGCACCCCACCATGACCTTGATGCCACCCACGCCCACCCCTCTTGCCCACAACTACCCTTGAGCCAGCCAGCCTTGGCCGGCAGGCCGTCTCAAGTTGCCTCACTCACCACCATTGTTCAATCTACACCATGATCACGAATTGTACACTTTGAAACCTCTCCAGGACACCCATGGGCAAGCCAACCGCAATGTAATGGATTTCAGTTAGTGGACGCGGCCAAACATCCACAGGTAGACCTCACTTTCACACCGACAGTTGACCCATTCTGCACATGAATGCGAGGTAGAAGTCAGGCAATCCCGTTATTTTTACAGCAAACGAGCCCTCGAAGAGGCGTTCTCATTCACAGGAATAGAAAAATGACGTTACGCTGCATATTGGACAACAATAGTATCGGGAGGGATTTGGTTGTTGAGAGAGAGGGGGGAATTGGATAGAGCACCATGATGAAGGAAGGAGAATGAATGAACTAATGTGTACTTTCCTGTTCTGTTTCCTTGATTAGTCAGGACGGAGTCTCGAATGAGGGGACTTGATGTCACGACTGAGAGCGGGCGAGGTGTAAGGGATACAAGCAAGGGCATGTGAACGAAGGTGAACAAGAAAGAGAGTGTAGTATGAGAGGGAAGGAAGGAGGAAGAAGGAGTGGAGAATGAGAAAGGGAATCAAAGAGAGGAAGAAGAAAAAAGTGGATAGAGGAGACAAAAGAAGAAAGTAGATACAAGAGAGATAAAAATGAAGAGGCAAGTGGTGAAGGGAAGAAAAGAAAAAAGGAAAGGAATGCAGGAATGGAGGGAGGAAAAATAGGTGAAAGAAAAGAAGAGGACAAGGGTTGACTTTATCGAATTGGCCGTGGTGGCAGAGAGGGGATGACGTCTGGGAAGGGACAACAGGACCACCCAAGCGAAAAGGATGAATGTA